ATTTTTTTTTTTTTTCATTGGTAAAAATTTTTTTTTATTTTAAAAAAACTTTTTTTTTTAAAACTTTTTGCATTTTTTTCAAACTTTTGGGCCCCCCCCCCCCCCCCCCCCCCCGGGAAACGCCCATCTATCACCAAGACCAAAGAAAAGAATGCGAACCGAAAGTTAACGCCACTAATTTGCCTGCCTTCGTCTCTCCTTCTCCCTTGCAATCTTTTTGAAGAACGTGCTCTGCTCGGCCTTCTTGTTCTTCAAATTCTTGTTGGCGGCCTTGTTCTGCTCAATGTAAGCCATGTCCTGGCCGCCGCTCAGCTCTCCGAGGGTGCCAGCGGTTCGTCTAACGCCGCCCTTCTTCTTGCCGCGGCCCTGCTTCGCGCCGAAGAGGTCGTCGTTCTCGACGTCCTCTTCGGCCCCCTTCTCGTTATCGATCAGCGTCCTCTGAAGGAGCTCTCGTCGCTCGGCCGCCGAGGCAAAGGCAAGGTTTGGCGTCTGATCGATATTGGCCAACTTTGTGATGACCTTGAATGCATATCCTTGGTCCACCAGGAACGCCTGGCGCTTGGACGAATAGTACATCTCCTGGGTGTCTTTTGAGACGAGCGAGTAAAAGAATGCGTTAAATCCTTCGTCATTCCTCCGCTTCGCCCGAAGGATACGACCCAGCCTCTGAGCCTCTTGACGACGTGAACCGAAGTGGGAGGAGATCTGGATAAGACAGGTCGCTTCTGGTAGGTCAAGCGACGTGTCACCGATCTTGGAGAGGAACAGGGTGTTGACATTAGGATTGTGTTGGAAATTCTCCAACACCTTCATCCTCTCCGCCTGCCCGGTACTACCGTAGATAAACACCTTTCCAAGCTTGAGCGCATACTGCTTGAGCGAGTAAAGCTCATCGGAGAAGACAATGATCTTGTCGCCACGTGCTTCGTGATAGTTGATAAGGTACTGGCAAGCCTGGAACTTGCGAGGATTCATGGCGTACAGGGTCCGCCTCAATCGAGCCGGTGCTCGCAGGTACTCGTCATAGAATTCGGTTGGCATAGGGCACCAAACTTCCGCACATTGAACTCTGGCGATATGACCCTGCTGTGATAACTCCATCCAGTTTGCCTCATAGAGCTTCGGGCCAATGAGGAAGTTGAGATGGGAGATCTTGTCGTCCTCTCGAAGTAGTGTGGCTGTAAGGCCTAATTTTGAGTGCGATTTGATTGACGAGATGACTCTCCTGAAAACTTCGGCCGGCACAACGTGAACCTCATCCAGAAGCATTAGGCCCCATTCTCGGCCTTGAAGAAAGTTCATCATCTTCTTCGAGTCATGGGATCTCTCACGGTTATTGGTAACCATGGAGTATGTCGTGACAATGATGCCGGTATTACCTGAGAACTTGCTCTTGCTCTCAGCCGTGAAGATTGCGATATCATCAGGGTTGATGTTCGACCATTTCAGGAACTCTTGTCGCCATTGGACCACAGACATGGAGCTTGTGCAAAGAACGATAATGCCCTTCTTGATTGTGCAGGCAGCTGTGATGCCCACCAACGTTTTCCCAGCACCACAAGGCAAGACGATAATGCCACTCTTTGCCCTACCATTGCCAAACATCTTGCTCAGGCTCTTTTCTTGGTACGGTCGGATTTGCGTATTGGGCCGCAAGTCGATTTCCAGATTCGCATTTGCGTCATCATTTCGGAAGTCATATTCTTCGAGAATGGGATAAGCTAGGTCAAGACAACGCTTCTGTACTTTCTCGACAGCGCTGTCGGGGATTTCGAAGGCATGGACGGCTTCCTTATCATCATCGTCATCCTCCTCGTTGAGAGAGACGTAGAGATCGGCCTCTTTGCCATTCTCGCCCTCCTCTCCTGACTTCTTCTCTGCTGCCTGGAGGCCGTTGGCCTGCTGGACACCCGCCGCATTCTTCGTGCCGGGAATAACAAGGCCACCCATCGTTGGAGCGTATGTGGTGGTGATCTCATCCGCCCCGTGGACGCGGAGCTTCCCAATCACCTCGTCTTTCAACAATTTCTGCAGAAGGTCCGCGTCCACACTCTCGACGAAGTATTTGTTGTTCTTCAACACCAGCTTCACCTTCCCGTAGCTTCGAGTACAGGACTCGATAAACCCCCGAATGCTGTCTGGAAGAGGCGTCTTGAGGAAACGGTCGAGCGTGTTGATGATGTCTTGAGGATGCAGCCCGACGGAGACGGCGGCGTAGAGACTGTGAGTTGTCAAGGCATATTCGTGTAGGAATGTCGGCCGAGAGTTTGGTTCCGCTATGGTGATCAGGAAATCCGTGGCCTGCTCCGCCAGCGGACTAAACCGTTCCAGAACAATGATTCCTTTCTCGGGATCGATCCACAGGGGCCGATTATGATGATCTGGCTTCAGGTGTAGGTAGGAGAAGTCCCTCTTCCCGAAGTACCGCGTTGCTGCATCCTGATGGCTACCTTTCGCTCGGTTTTGAAACCGACTACTCGAGACAGCCCACGAGCTCACGAACTTATCAGCCTCCCTATCCAGCTCATTCTCCCGTTCCTGCTGGGCCTCTGTGATGTCTTCGTCGAAATCATCGTCGGCATCCGAAATTCGGTCAGAACTCGCCAGGCTACGGGGAGTTGCAGGGCCGGGAGTCGAGAGCTGGGAGGCTCTGCCTGCCTTGGACGGGCCTTGAGTCGCGGCTGCTGCCTTTCTCTTTGGCGGCATTGTTGCGGCAGTCAGAATGAGGGCTGGAGTGGTTCCGGCTGTTCAAGTGAACAGTTCGAGAATGACCCTCAAGAGCTCATCTGTGATAGTCGAGACTGAATAAGTAGGTGCCAAAGGTTGAATATCGGAATGAAGAAGGGATAGTCTGGATGGATGCCTGCGACAGAAGGCGTTCGAGGTGGTGGGGCGAAATATAGCGAAAGGCTTAGATAAGCTTACCACGCAGAAGGTTCCATATCACCCCCGCCAAAATTTATCCACTACGACTAGGTAGGTATTTATAACAAGCTCCTCTAGTGGGAACTACCTTAACCCGCATGTTCGCGATACACCCATAAAGCCTCCCAAGTCAAGAAGCGCGACACTCCTGACCTCAAAGCTACTGCGTTCAAGGAAGTTACAGATCTTGTCACTATGTGGTAAGACCAGAGATCGCGTGAAATGAGTGCTATTCCTAACGAGACCCCAAGTAAACACGTTCTCAACGCCCAGGTCTCCGTCAGGTCACCATGCTGTAAGTCTTAGCTCCCGGCGCACACCCTCCCGAGGGCCGATGGCCATGGCTCGTCGCAGCTGCTGACAGAAACGCGGACCCGACTACTAGGCAAGAAGTGGTTTGACTGCGCCGAGTGCCATGCAGAGCAAGAAAGCCACCCACTCCTCCAGCGGTTCGAGATGATCTTTGCCTGCAAGAAGTGCAAGAAGTGTTTCCGCAAGGACGCCCAGGAGTTCGAGGAGGCCGACGAATTCTGCCCGCATTGTGATAACCACTTCGTCATCGACGCCCTCACACCAAAGGCGGCGATCTCGGTCGAAGGGGGTGATGCAAGGGTGGACAACAGGATGCTCAAGGATGACAGAGTCAAGGGTCAAGAGATGAGGACAATATTCGATCCAGAATCCGAGGCAGATAAGCTTGGTTGACGGAAATACCATAATGGAAAAACAGTTCTATCCCCGCCAGATACCAAATCAAGGACTGTGAATATGGGTCAGAGGGGGCGGCCGCGCAAAATCTAGGTGTTCGGCTGCCACAGAGCCCACCGAAAAGGGATTCGCCCGATACTATTACTGTACACTGGTGGTGGCGGTCTACCTAGGGACGAGAGCGCGATACCCGGGCATGGCTGAATTACCCTCTCTTAGTGGTCTCCGGCCTCGTCCTGGCTCCTAGTTGGCAGGGATGTGCTTCCGGAACCGGTGGTTCGGCCAGTCTTCTTCTTCGCAGCCTCCTCTTGCTTTTCCTGCTCAATGTTCTTGACGTGGTTCTCAATGTCCTCGACCGGTAGCATCTCGATCGTCTTCCCCGGAGCCATGATGGCAATCTCGATATTCTTGGCGCCAGTCTGGACAACCTCCAGCAGGGACTTGATCGCCAGGCGGATGGTGGCCTCGCGATCCATGTCCTCCTTGTAGTTTCGCTCCAAAAACTCCCTCACTGTCTTGCTGGACCGACCGATGGCATTGGCTTTCCTGCGATGTGTTAGCAACATGGGGATGGTTCGCCGCTTTTTGAGGGGATAACGGGAGAACCGTACCATGCCGAGTAGATACCAGATGGCTCCGTCTGGTAGAGCCGGGGTGTCTTGCTGCCTTTGTCGAACCCAACAATGAGAGTGCTGATGCCGAAGGGCCTCACACCTCCACTCTGTGTGTACCGTTGCTGGACGCCGGCGACATACTTGGTGATGTATTCTATGGTAACGGGATCCTCAACCGTCAATCGATGCGACTGTGCCTCTAACCGCGCCTTGTCAACCAAGATCCTGGCGTCGGCGTTCAAGCCCGCAAACGCGAGGCAAACGTGGGTGTCGACGAGGCCGATCTTCGAGGGAGTGATTCTCGTGTCTTGAAGCTTCATAGCCGATCTCTTCTCGCATCCGAGGACCACGACATCCTGTCCCTTCACTCCAACCGCACATGTCCCTGGAGAAGGTCAGCTTGAGACCGTATGACTTCCTTGGGTGTATATTTTGCGAGCTATCCCTACCTCGCTTGACGGCTTCGCCTGCGTATTCAACCTGGAACACATGTCCATCAGGACTGCAACGTGTTAGAGCCTAGATGGGGTACTAGTGTGATATTTGTTGGCAACGAACCTGAAGACTATGCGTATGCTCAGGTTAGCTGGAGCTCCCTAGTCTTGGTCTGCTTCTGTTTCTGTAGCACCAACTCACCTGAAAGAGCCCTGTCGTAACCTGATGCCATCTTGTCGCAAATAATATGTCCACCTTGACTCTCGAAAAGAAGTTTGGTGAGACTCAAAAGGTGAACGCGTTAGGAGAGGCGCCGTGGATTTGAGGGTTGATGCGGGCGAGGTTGAGGTTGGTTGAGGCGGCAGGCTGCACCTCTGACGAAGCTTAGGAAGGCTGAACGAAGCTCGAGCCACAGGCTTCAATTGGTTGACGCGGTATGTGCTTGGGTACCTAGGTACCTGGCAGGGGTGGGTGGGTTGGCCGGCCCGTCAACATCTCCAGCAGCTCCAAACCAGCTGGCACTCTGAAGTGCCTCACTTCCGAGGCAATTACCTGTAGCTGTAGATTTCATCCGATGTCGCTGGTCAGAATAATCCAGATTGTTAATTGCCAGCAAGATCCACGGAATGGCTTCTCGATCTGCCTTGTTGCCGGCCTTCAGGCAATTGGCAAGGTCTGGTCCTACCTTGAGAAGGCCTTTAGCGCGACGATGTTTGAACGTCTCGAGCTCGAGGGCTTTCACACAGTCATGGCCATGCAGCATCAAGTTCACGTCCGAAAAATACCCTGATATTCAGAGAGATGCTCGGTTTTCCTCGGTCACAGGAGAGCATGTCAAGTATTTCAAGGATCTTCTGGGCAGTGGCTCCGCTGTCATCGACGGCGTCACAAATGATGCTGCCGCTGATGATATCGAGCCCTTCAATGGAGACTGGATGCGGAAGTACCGCGGCCACTGCAAGTTGGTTCTGAAGCCCGGCTCGACAGAGGAAGTTAGCAAGATTCTCAAATATTGCAACGACAACATGCTTGCAGTTGTTCCGCAAGGCGGAAACACGGGACTAGTAGGGGGCTCCGTTCCAGTGTTTGACGAGATTGTGGTCAACATGAGCCGTATGAACAAGGTCCGCCACTTTGATGAGGTCAGTGGGATCCTCGTCGTCGACGCCGGCTGCATACTGGAGGTCGCAGACCAGTTTTTGGCAGAGAAGGGTCACATCTTCCCTCTGGATCTGGGGGCGAAAGGCTCCTGCCAAATCGGAGGCAATGTTGCTACCAATGCAGGAGGTCTGCGTCTTCTCCGATATGGCAGCCTACACGGAAGCGTGCTGGGAATCGAGGCTGTTCTGCCTGACGGAACCATTGTCGACGATCTGGGCAAATTGCGCAAGAACAACACCGGCTACGACCTGAAGCAGCTGTTCATCGGCGGCGAGGGCACCATCGGCATCATTACCGGCGTTTCTGTCCAGTGTCCGCAGCGACCAAAGGCCGTCAATGTCGCCTTCTTTGGGCTCGAGTCGTTCGAGAAGGCCCAACTGGCATTCCGCGAGGCAAAATCCCACCTATCAGAGATATTGTCCGCTTTTGAGCTTATGGACGAACACAGCCAAGCCCTGGTACACCGCGTCACCAAAAACAAACGGCCGCTCGAAGACAGCTACCCCTTCTACTGCTTGGTCGAAACCAGCGGGTCCAATTCCGACCATGACAGTGAGAAATTGCAGGCATTCCTGGAGGACGTAATGGAGAAGGGCATTGTCACAGACGGAACACTGGCGCAGGACGAAACCCAGATCAAAGCTCTATGGGCCTGGCGGGAGGGCATTGCCGAGGCCTTAGGTCATCTGGGAGGTGTCTACAAATACGACGTCTCGATACCGTTGGAAGAGATGTATCAACTCGTGGACGATACGAGGGCTCGAATCGAGGCGGCCGGGCTTCTGGGAGACACAGAAGAGCACCCCGTCGTTAGCGTTGTTGGTTACGGCCACATGGGAGATTCCAACCTCCATCTGAATGTGTCTACCCGCTATTTCGACGAGCGGGTAGAGAAGGTCCTGGAGCCCTTTGTTTATGAATGGATCGCCAAGCGACAGGGAAGCATAAGTGCCGAGCATGGACTGGGTCTGGCAAAGAAGAAGTTCATTGGCTATAGCCGGAACGAGACCATGGTCGGCTTGATGAAGCAGATCAAGAACTTGTATGATCCGGTACGTTTGCTCCTCACCATTTGTCCTTGCACCCCTTCCCCCCCCCCCCACGCTGCCGCTGACAAATGATTTAGAACGGCATCATGAACCCTTACAAGTATATATAAGCCAAGTCAAGGGGGATTGCGGCCACCTCCAGGATGTCCGCCTTTCCGTTTCTGTACATATTTGTCGAGCATACTGTGTAGTAGTCTTCGCCTCGCCCAACATTCCGCTGTGGAGTCCACAAGAAGGAAGAGCGTGTCTGCGACTTAGGAGCAATGTTCTGGAAACACAGAGAATGAGCAAAGAGAGGCTACAAACTAGATTCCAAACCAGCTGTCTCGCGGGTTAGCTGTGCCCAGACCAGCTGCAGCGACAATTGATCTAGTTACAGCGGCCAAGGCGCAGATCCCTGCTTGGGCATCTCATTCGCTACAATACGACAGTTTCCCGAGGAGCTTGGGGGAGCCGACCTGTCAGCCAGCAATTTGATTCGAGCCCCAGAGTCTTGACTCCCCGACCCCTCATGTAAGATTTAGCGGGCCTGTCGAGTGGCTTCACAGTCTTGTACCTTTTCCGCACCCTTCTCCATATATGTATGACGAGGCCAGTCGGCCAATCAGAGCACGCCAACACGAGCCCACCGCTGTGTGGCGTAAGCGACTAAAACCAGCCCTATGCGGGATGGGCCCCCCTTCCGACCTGCAGCCCTATAGGGCACCCTATTTTGCTAGGAAGGTGTCCACCATCAAGCCAAGTCTGGCAGGGTTTCTACGCAATCCTCCAGATCAAGGTCGATATCCATGCTGTGATAGGGTAGGACAAAACGCTTCATATACATGGAGCCCACTCATACTCACATCGATTTACCTCTAGACTCCATCTAGCCCCCTTTTCAAAGGGGAGTCGTCGCGTTGATGCAGATGGCATGCAGATGGCTGTTCGTTTCAAAGCCCCTGAATCTCGGTTTGAACCAAGTGGCATATCCACCGTCATGGTGAGGCCGTAGTTACAAAGCCATCATATCTTACGAGATTCTCCTCGGAGGCAGCTGCAATGTCCAAACATCGCCAGCTTGACACGAGGTGATCTGCAAGTAGGCAAACCGGTGAGCAGCGTCCTTCCTCCTTCGGTCATACATCCCGCGTATATTTCTGTCGCCAAGGTCTGCCATTATCCCGCATCGCGGAATACTCCTCCCGTGTCCACCAGCTTCCTTACACTTGTCTACCTCCCCCTTCCCGCATCCTTCAGTCCTGGAATCCATACTTCCCCGTCAGACATCCGGGTGGCTCAACACTTGGGCCATCGGCCTTGTGCGACGTCGAAACTCTTTCCCCCTCGGTATATAGGGCCAAAAATCGGCTCGGCAATGTCCCGGCCATTCCATGTCTTCCTTGGACTCGGCGTTCCAGTGTTTATCCTACAGCCATGGTGGGTGTTCCGGGCAAGTACAAGGGGTGTGAGACATGCAGGGCAAGGAGAGTAAAGGTTAGTAGAAAGATAACTGCAACTGTCTGGCACCTTTTTCTGATGACTCCGGGGCTGACACTCAACAATAGTGTGACAACCAGCGACCATTCTGCAAGAAGTGCATCAACAGCGACCGGAAATGTGCTGGGTATGAGCGGGAGACGGTCTTCATCGTTGGAACCGTCCATGATTTTGGCCGCTGCTCGTCCCATCCTCCTCGAGTCCTCCCCCCGAAGAAGAAGGCCCAGGGGAAGCTTCCAGAGGCAAAGGGCGAGGAGCCAGCTGGGCTGAAACTGGTTCCCATCGAGCCGCTACAGCCCGCATGGGACGACTTGATCTCGGTCTCGAACTTCGACAAGAGCTACAAGGTTCAGATAGCTGCTCTCCATACGACACTCCAAATGGTCGTCCGAGAAAAGGACCAGGCCGACCCGTCAAAGTTCACCATCCTTTCGTTTCCCGCATACGAGCCCTCCGATGTGCAGCCTTTGCTTAGCAATGGCGATTTCCAGTTAAGATCACAGTGCACGATCCACCTCGTTGGGGGGATGGGAGACGCGGAGACCATGGAGACTGAGGGGACGGATAGCATCTGCCTCTTTCTATACGAGGTAGGTTATCACTGTTGCCAGGAAGTTTGTAGCAGGCGACTGACCAGCAGCAGCACAACAATTCTGTCATGCTCAGCAATCAGCCTCCGTGGAAAGATCCCTTGGTTCAGGCCAATGCCGTGAGGCAGCGCGGCCCCGAGAATTTTCGAATGTTCCCCAACCATCACTTCTTCGTCCGGATATATCGCCACAGTGCAGTAAGTACTCGATCAGCCACAGTGCTTTTCCCTGGACAAGACTGACCAGTCGTCACGCGATGGAAGATTTGTGCTGCGCTCCTGAATCGGAAGGCGAGTTTCCTAGCAGGCCCAGAATGGGTAACCACTCCGTGGGAGTTGCATCCCAAGTCATTCTTTGACATGCTCTTCGACGTGGTTGTCATGTTGCCCGCGATCTTTGCACGAGCCGACCGAATCTTCCTCCACGACCCTACGCTGCAGAGGCGGTTGATGGCGCAGGATCTCCTATCCAACTGCCTCAGCCTCGAGAAGCAACTGGACGAGTGGTACAACTCCGTGAGCCCCGACGACAGCACGTCCCAGTCCAGCGTCTGCTGGGTTGATGGCCCGGACCATTGCGAGGCCCAGATCCCGTTCGCCGACACGTTCGCCTTCCCCGACGCCGTCACCGCCATCATGTTCATCTACTACTGGACCTCGCTCATCCTGTTCTACCCGTGCGTCGAGCGCCTGCACCAGACCATCTTCCAGCCCGTCGTGGACGCCTTCCCCCAGGTGGCGCCGACCCTCCCGCAACACCTCCAGATCGAGCCCCTGAAGTACGGCCCCAAGGAGGTCCGCGACCTCGCCGCCAGCGTGTGCCGCAGCCTGGACTTTGCGCTCAATGCCACGGTGCAGCCCGACATGCTCGTCGTGCCGCTGTTCGTGGTGCGCGAGTTCTACAGGGTGATCAACGAGTCGGAGGGCGACGGCCAGCTCGAGCTGATGTGGTGCGACGGGTTCGGCGCGAGGCTGGCCACCAAGGGGCAGGACATCGCGGACGTCATCGAGGCCAAGACGTGGCAGGAGGTTTCAACTTATTGACCATCGTGAGAAGGAGTACCGGGCGTGTGAAGTTTCGGCTGGGCCGCAAGGAAGCATATCTGCAGCTCAAGAAGACAGACAGTTCATGGACGGGTGGGTTACTTCAACGGTAGAAAAGATAGGAACAAATAAATCTAAGTGTCAAATCTACCCTTTTCGTACATCATTGCCATTACTTCCCCAAAACAATCAGGTGAGCTCTAAAGATGCAGATTTCACCCATCCCGAAACCCTCAGTCTTAAGACCGCCATATCCTCAGTCATACATAACATAACGTACAACTATGAAATTCGACAACCTTGCGGACCTTAACCCCGGTTCTGGCCACACCCTCCGAGGGGCTTTGCTATAGCTGCCTCACCTCCATCCCCCGCCGGGCAAGCGCTGACAAGTCTTGACAACCTTGCTTGACCCGGACGACGAAACACGCGGCCGTCATCCCAGCCGGGCTGCTAGGAGGATCAGGTGCATATGCGACAGCTGTGGGCTTCCGGGACCCGTTTCTGGGCCGATACAGCCAAGCAAGGGTTGACCACGACGCCTGAGTGGCGGGATGGCTGTTCTCATGGGGGAAGGTCATTTTAAAGCATGACCCGGGATTGAACATGACTGGACCAACAGCTGGGTCTTCCTGAATGGCCGCCAAGTTACATTGCGAGTATCAGGGTGGGTTACGAGCCAGATGTAGTCATCGCAGCTGTTGCCTTTCAGGAAAGCGTGTGTAAATCTAGAACTTGAAGAAATGTTCGGGTAGCAAGGCATAAGGCCGGGATGAAGAACATGATCTAGAAGACGCGCCCCCACAGGTGATGGATACCCGATCATATCATCGAGCGTCTGGCAACACCGGCTCGCGCAGATCCTCTCGACTTACCCGTCGTTTAAGCTTGGCACGGGGACATCAGACGAGGCGTGAGATGGCCTATTCCACGGCAAAAAGGGAAAATGGAGGAAGAGGATCGAAGAAGTGGAAACGAGAGAGAAAAAATCGAGAGGGCTAAAGTGCCAGCCGACTGGTTGACGCAGACGCTGTCGGAGTGCATTCTTCACAGCGGGTCCCAAATTCATGCGTCTGCACCCAAAAAGCCTGCCCTTGCGCCTGTGATTTGCTCTTCCTTCTTGCCATGCATGGTATTAGGGCATTACCTAGACACTCGCTTCATCTCACGACCGGTATACACACTGGAGGGAGGCGAGAATCCCAGTGGACTTGAATTGGGATGAGACTGCCTATTAAAAAAAACAAGCTGGCTCGACGAATGGCGATAGGGAGCAGCCCCCTTGGCCCGGCGCCCAAGTTCCTAAACGCACAAGAAGGGGTCTGCGATCTTGGCTGGAGGTTTGGTGTGTCCATTCAGCACACAGAACAGGGTTCTGGATTTCTGGAATTTTATATCGAGAGAAGCCGACCCCCCATCTAGGATCAGGGCTGATCGCCGTGAATGGAGGAACTGGGGGCGGCGATGGCATGCATTGAAGATAAAGTGGCTGATTGTTTGGAAGCGCCCACTTTTGGGACGGTCGGTGCAGGGGGAGGAGCCATGGAAGTGGTCTCATTTGCCGGCCAACCCCAAGCTCGTCTGCGGAGGCGATCCTTGGTTGCGTGTGTCGTGGACGACGGTGAGACGATGGCCTAGTTCTGTTTCAGATCTCGCCCTGCAGCGATACTTCTGCTCCCGCCTGGCGTCACCCAGAGAGCGAAGTACTTCCCTTTTCCCAACAGGAGGCAGTGTGGGAGGTATAAACCCGAGAGAGATCCTCCTGCCGCGGTACCTGAACTCCTTTTCCTGTCATCTCCTCCCCTCAACCTAGCTCTGTGGAAGTGAAGCTAATTTGCCTTCCCTTTCTCTGCTTCGAAGGGACCTCGAATTCCCATTCCGCCAAGCCATCCAATCGTATCCCGTAGGGCAGAACAAGGCACCCTGCTTATCGATAACACATGCGGCTAGTGGAGAGGTAGCGCCTGACTGATCGAGCCACTCAGAGCATTCAGGAACCATGTCGGTGGAGCTCGAAAGCGGTGTGTTCCGGGGCACTGACGGCCAGCTGCCGAATGAGCCCCACCAATTGCTGCCCGGCAACGTGGAGACGGTCGAGAAGTTCCCAGACTATTGTTTACAAAACCACATTATCGGGACCAGCAACGCAGGAGCGGCAGGACTATCGTTGCCATTACATTTAGCGAATATACCACAGATACCACAGGGCCGGCCACCATCTCTTTCTATTCAATCTGTTACCTCTTCCGAATACTCGTCCCACTCGGACAAAGACACCACCTTCGATTCGCGCCGCTCCTCCATCATCAGCAGTGTATCCTCGTACAGCTACATCTCCCAGGGTCACCAGGGCCACCAGACCAACGATCCGCAGCAATCTCTGACTCGGAGCCGTCGAGACGCCAAGCAGTTGCATGCCGCCCGCCTACAGCGCTCTGGCTCGACCAGCCTAAGCATCGGTACCAAGCAGGACACCTCGCCAATCCGCTCAAAGTCGAAGAGATTCCAGAGGACCGGCTCCCCGGCCGACGCCTTTGCCGCCAAAGAACCCGCACACGAGCAGGGACTGACCAGGATGGCCTTTGCCGAGCAGCAACGCTGGATCACCGTCCAGCAGAAGACCTTTACGAAATGGCTGAATACAAAGCTAGAATCGAGGGAACTCGAGGTTAAGGACTTGGTGACGGACTTGAGCGACGGTGTAAGTACTACCTGCCCATACCTCCGATTAGTGACCGACTCCACCACTGCTTTTTGTAGCCAGTCAGCCAGCCAGCAAGACAGACCACTAACTGCCTCTCTTCCCCCCCAACGCAGGTAATCCTAATTCATCTGCTAGAATGCCTCTCGAGCGAGTCACTCGGCAGGTATGCCGCGAAGCCCAAGCTGCGGGTGCAGCGGTTCGAGAACGCCAACATGGCCCTGAACTTCATCAAGTCCCGGGGCATCCAGATGACCAACATTGGCGCCGAGGACGTCGTCGACGGCAACCGCAAGATCATACTCGGCCTCATCTGGACCCTCATCCTGCGGTTCACCATCAACGACATCAACGAGGAGGGCATGACGGCGAAGGAGGGCCTGCTGCTGTGGTGCCAGCGCAAGACGGCCTGCTACGACGAGGTCGACGTCCGCGACTTCAGCGCGAGCTGGAACGACGGCCTAGCCTTCTGCGCGCTCCTCGACATCCACAGGCCCGACCTGATCGACTACGATGCCCTCGACAAGTCGGACCGCCGCGGCAACATGCAGATGGCGTTCGACATCGCCCACAAGGAGATCGGCATCCCGAAGCTGCTGGACGTGGAGGACGTCTGCGACGTGGCGAAGCCGGACGAGCGGAGTCTGATGACCTACATCGCCTACTGGTTCCACGCCTTCTCCCAGATGGAGAAGGTCGAGAACGCCGGGCGGAGAGTGGAAAAGTTTGTTAATAACATGCAGGGAGCGTGGGAGATGCAGCACGCGTACGAGCGGAGGATGGCGGAGCTCTTGAAGAACATACAGACACAAGTGGAGAGCTGGCAGCTGGCAAAGTTCGAAGGGACGTACGTCGATGCCAAGGCACAAGCTACCGAGTTTGCCTCGTATAAACGGGGCAGGAAGAGGGATTGGGTGGCGGAGAAGAGTGAGCTGGCTACGCTGCTAGGTAATATCAAGACGAAACTGGGGACATACCGGTTAAGGCCGTATGAGCCGCCGGCGGAGCTAAGGTTGGAAATCTTGGACACGGAATGGGCCAATTTGTCGAAGTCGGAGATGACCCGGGGGCAGCTAATTAACGAGACGATCCGAGAGTAAGTTACTGGCGATCTTGGTTACGGGATGGACGATCCCCACGGGAGAGCGGCGAGACTAACCGCTCGTCTTAGTATCAAAAATGGCCTCCGGAAGTCGTTCGCAGATAAGGCCAATGACTTCGCGCTGGCCCTGAACACGATGCAGCTGGCCATCTCGGGGCTAGAGGGCGACGTCGAGGACCAGCTCCACCACGTGCGGAAGCTGTCAGACAACCTGTCGCCCCTGGATGCCTATCTGGAAACCATCGCGGCCGTAGACGCCAAGTGCCAGGAGGCCAACATTGAGGAGAACGACTTCACGACCTACACGTACGATGAGCTGTGCTACGAGCTGTCGCTCGTGAAGTCGTCCGTCTCAAAGAAGCTCGCCTTCCTGGAGAACCAGATGGTGGCGCGCAACATGACCAACCTGACGCCGATCCAGCTCGAAGAGTTCGAGTCCGTGTTCCGCCACTTCGACCGCGACGACACCAACAGCCTGCAGGAGCTCGAGTTCTCGGCCGCGCTAGCGTCGCTGGGCCTGGTCTTCAGCGAGGACGAGATGCACGACTACTTTGTGGCCACGTCCAACGGCCGCGACCGCGTCACCTTTGAGCAGTTCATCCGCTTCATGGTCGAGGTGACCGAGGACCAGAACACGGCCGAGCAGGTCTTCCAGTCCTTCCGCGAGGTCGCCGACGGGAAGCCGTACGTGACCGAGATGGACCTCCGCCACTCCCTCGTGCCCGACGAGGTCATCGAGAAGCTCGTCGACATCATCCCGCCGCACCACGGCCCCGACATGGCCGCCGACCGCGGCGCCCCGCAGTACGACTACATCGCCTTTATGGACAAGCTCATCAGGGAAGAGTCCGAGGACCGCGCCGCCGCCGAGAGGGGGGTAGCCCCGCTATCACAGGACAGGCCGGACGGGCGCGGCCGGAGCATGAGCCCTACGAAGCAGGTGGGCCTTATGAACGGGTTTCACTGAACGGGGGGAGGTGTGGGGAGGATAGATGGGTGGGGTTAACTGGAGCGGCTTTTTGCTCCGGCTGGATGATGATATTGGTGCTGAATTCGATTTTGGGTGCATGGGTGGAACCGGATCATACATACCCCTTACTTGAGCTTGAGAAACCTATTAGTCTTATTGTTTCTTTAGAACTTACCAAGTATATATATACAGCTCTTTCTTGACTTGCGCTCTCCCCCGTCCGATGACAGGATACGCCGTGGGAGGCAGGCGACGTGGTCAAAAGATATGAAGAGCGTCTTCAGAACACCCCACGTACACAGTCTCGCAAGCATGTGGGGAAAACGCCATCTATTTCTTCTATACGAACAGCTATGACAGCTCTCAGAACTTGACACTCTTGACCAATCCCGTCTTGATACCCGACAGCTCTCCCTGGTAGCCCCCTGGGCCCTCGCCGCCCTTGTAGGTGGACCGCATGCTCCTCAGCTTCTTCTGCTTGTCGGCGTACATCATCCTCTTCTTGACCCTCGGGTTCCGCACCTCCTTCTTCCTCCTCGGCGTGAGGCCCTTGTTCTTCAGGACCGCGTACGTGATCTTCCGCTTGCCGTCCTCGCCGACCACCTCCTGCTCGACCACCCTCTCGCCCTTCTCCGCCGCCTTGAGAGCCTCCTGCCTGGCCGCCTTCTCGTCCTTCTTCTTGCGCGACGCCGAGGCAACCATGTCGTAGTACTCGTCGTCCTGGTCCTTCAGCGCCTCCCCGCCCTCGCCACCATCGTCGCTGCCGCCGCCGTCACCGTCGTCGTCGCCTAGGTCGACGCCGTGCTTGCTGCCCTTCTGGCCCCGGCGCTCCGCGTCGGCGAGCAGGCGCGCCTGCCGGTCCCTCAGGCGCTCGCGGTAGGGTATGTCCACGTCGCCGCCGGCATCCCGGCCGGCGCCGGCCCGGCGGTTGGCCTTCTGCACGATCTGCGACGTGTAGAAGCGCAGGCTCTTCTTCCGCTGCGCCTTGTCGGCGGCGGTGCGGGCGTCGATTGTGTCCTCCTCGCCAAAGTCGGAGCGCTTGTCGTCGTCGGTCAGGTCGGCAGCGGCATCGGCGTCGGCATCAGATTGGGGTTCCCGAGACGCAGTCCCTGCCTTCGAGGCCTTGGCCGCCTTCTTGGGCTTTCTAAGGAGGTCCGACAGGTCGGCGAGAGAGTCCTCAATGGCCTGTGCCTGTTTGGCCTTCGCTGCCGCCTTCTTCTTCAAGGCCTTGATTTGCTTGAGGGCGGCCTTGTCCTTGGGTGCCTTGTCGGCTGGCGCTTCCGCTTGATCCGCCATCTCATCGTCCTCGGGAGGAGATAGCATGCCGGTGTCTGATACTGGGCCCTTCGAAGGCTGGAGCTTCTTGACCTTCAGCCACATCTCACGGCAGTTCATCAAGGTTTCCATAATGTCGTGGTCCCTCAACTCAGCAGGGTCCATTGTCGTTGGCGCACCATCGCTATCTCTTGCCGGTGAGGTAAGAATGGCAAAATAGCTCGCCAGAGACGCGATATAAGATCCGAGAACCCAGACCTTTACCACTTCCAGCGACTTGCTTGGCTTGCCCACGGCCTCTTTCTGGCACTCGGCCAGAAGGGGCTGTAGAGTCTGGAATTCGTCGACCAGGTAGTCGAATTCGGGATACCGCGCCTGCAATAGTTTGTACCTGTCTTCGGGAGTCATGTCCTCGGTGATTTTTGCATCCTTCAGTGTCTCCGTCACAACGTCCCCGCCTTCGGTGGCGTCGGTCGTTGGGGCTAGCCAGTCCTGTTCATCGAACATGAAGTCTGCCTCGGACATCTTTGCAAGCTTCTTCTGCTGCAGTCTTCGGGCCTCGGCCTCCTCCTCCAAGGCATCGGCCTCGGTCTCAATCTGGTCGGCATCGTAGTACTCCTTCTTGGAGGAACCCCACCAGCCGGAGTCGTCTTCCTGTTCGCCTCCCTGCTCCTCGTCCGACACTTCTGGATCTTTTCTATTCGTAGCAGCGGACTTTGCCTTTTTCAATGGCTCGCCTTTGCCGCCCTCGTCGTCGTCGCTCTCGTCGGAATCCGCCAGGACTTCTTCGTCCGACAATTCGAGGAAGGCCTCTTCGTCCTCGAGTCTCCTCTGACGCTTCGATCGGGGCTCTTCATCGAAATCAATCCTGTCCTTGTTCATAAAGTACTCTTCCTCCGAGTCGGCGATGTCCTCGAAGGTGTTGATTCGGAGTCGAGCATCGGCGGGGTCGACATCTTTTGGGCCGCTTGATGCCGCCTGCCGGGGCGCCTTTCTCTTCTTGGCCATTTTTCTTGTTTGTTTGTAAGGCCGTGACCTACCCGAATAAACTAACAAAGTAGGCCGACTTTCTCGATGTAAGATGTCACAAAGTTGGTGGCAGTTGGGTCGCCAATAAGCTGGCAAGCAAAACTTCGGTTTTTTTTTCCTTTGCAAATTTCGGTGGGCCCCACCACTAGCGGCTGTAGCCGGCGCCAAGCTGGAGGTCAGTGCTTCCACTTAAGTACCTACACTTCAAAGCTAAAATTAGCTGCTGAGTGTCACTTTGAATTCAATGTCAGAAGCCGGGTGTGGACTTTGAGAATCGCTTTGGGAACTGGTGAGCAGAGCAATCCATTAAGCGTCATCCTTCAGTCAGGTGGCTCATGAGACTCCCTATTTCTCTTAGTATGATACTGACTAGCTATTAGAAACGAGCTCCAATCATACAGGGCGTCGTGGCAGGTCTTGTGGTGGATTACCCAATTCCTTTAGAAAGGAGGAGGCAATTGACGTGTCGGAGTGCATGTCAAGCCCCTTTGTTCCACTAGCACCTCTTCAACCAGCTTTGGATGGATTACCTCCATAACTCCAGCCAGACGTTGATCGTGACAGTTGCTACAGGCATAGTATTCACGACTCTAGCTGTGATAATGGGGATGTTTGGTAGGAAGAACCACATGCCAGTGGAGGGCCGGGTATGAACTCTGGTTTGGGTTGATCGAATAAGGGGAGCAGTGATACTGACCGGACACCAGACGGTTCTCCTCACCGGCGCCACAGAAGGGCTCGGCCGCAGTGCTGCCCGCCAACTTTCGGCCCAGGGAGCGAACATCATCATTGTCTCCCGTAACGTTGGGAGGCTCGAGGAAGCAATTGCTGAAATACGGGTAGGCACCCCAGCTCCCAGCCTGTCCCGGAAAGAGGAGCTGCCCTCTCAGACAGGCCAACATCGTGTCCGCTAACCATATTACTTCAGTCCGCCGCCAAGTCGCCGCAGCAGCAGCGCTTCCACCACATCAGTGCCGATGTTTCCGAGCCCAACTACGCCGGCGAGGTGCTCGCGGAGGCGATCCGCTGGAACGGCGGCGCGGCGCCCGACATCGTGTGGTGCGTTGCCGGCATGTCGACGCCAATGCTTTGGGCCGACGACGGGTCCATGGACGCGGCGCGGCGCAACATGGACGTCAACTACTTCGGCGCAGCCGAGATGGCGCGCGCCATCCTGCGCGAGTGGCTTGCCCCCGAGAACGCCGTCGGGCCAGGCGAGAAAAGGCCCGAGCCCAAGCACATCGTCTTCACGGCCTCGGTGCTCGCCCTGTTCGCCATCGTCGGTTACGCTCCCTACACCCCGAGCAAGTGGGCGATAAGGGGCCTGGCCGACACCCTGGCCCAGGAGCTGCTGCTGTACCCCGACAACCCCGTCAAGGTCCACGTTGTCTACCCCGGGACCATCACCAGCCCCGGGCTGGAGCGGGAGAACAAGACCAAGCCCGAGATCACCGTCGAGATGGAGAAGGACGAGCCGCCCCAGACGCCGGATGAGGTCGCCGAGAAGTCCATCGCCGGCCTGCAGGCCGGGAAGTGCTTCGTCACCGTGTCGTTGCTCGGCGAGCTGATGCGGTGCGGCGTCATGGGCGGGTCGCCGCGCAACAACTGGTTGGTGGACACGGTTGTGGGCTGGTTCATCCCCATCATCTACTTCTTCGTGCTCAGGGCGATGAACGGGCAGGTGGGCGGATGGGCGAGGAAGCATGGCCATCCAAGCACGTATGGGAAGAAGGCGTGAAGTGAGGCCCACAAGCCTGCCATAAGCTTGCCACGATATTTTCATCGCTTTATTACTTTGCCCTCACCTTGAGGTTCGGGGCGGATGAAATTAATATCATACTCATTGATACCCTTTAATTTATTTATTCATTTTGTAGGGGGAGTCGACAGGGCATGGGTTATGGAACCTTGGGAGCTTTAAGGAGAACTCGAAGGACAACTATATTAGTTCATTGTTCAAAAGGAGCTTGTATGACATTGTATATCACCTGGCTTGAAAATGGCAAGATCTTCAAGCTATAGGGAAGAGGCCTCGATGCCATAACAACCAATGATTATTAAGACTCAAACTAGGGGTATATCATCTAAACGAAAATTCACGGCTGAACAGTCTTGCAAGCCATGAGGAGGACTCGAGTAACCCGATACGCTGGCGAGGACTCTCTCGCTCTTGGGACAGATCGCTACCCGCCAAGGGGCTCAAGTCAAATACATAAACCAGCCGGACTCCGGCTGGATCGTGTCGAAAACACCCCGCCGCGACTTCCTTACACCTCCCTCACTCGGTGGCGGCTCGCCCCGAGACTGTACCGCCTTGATCGCCACCGACCCAGCGACCATTTCCGTGGGAATGGTTATCCCGTCGTTCATCAAAGTGACCGGCACCTTCGAGAACCCCATGGGGATCTGGCTCCTCGTCAACCTGGGGCCGCGGCTGCCGGCTCCGTGTTTCTGCTCGTGCAGGCATTCCCCCTTCTCGTTCCAGTAGCAGAACGCGGTGATCCACCCAGAGTATGCAACGGTGCCGCTGCCGTTTGGGTCGTGCTTGTTGACGATGCCCTGCCAGAACGCCAGGGCCGCCTCGCCGTCGGGATCGCGGAACGTCTCGAGGAACCCGTCCAGCACCGGCTGCAGCGCCCGGTACCACCGCCTCGCGCCCTCGCCGAACCCGCCGGAGCCGAGGCGGTCCGCGCACCGTTGGGCGATCTCGACCCAGTCGTCCGCCTCGCCGAGCAGGGTGACGGCGGGGATGCCGCAGCGCGTGCCCCAGCTGTAGGTGAAGTACTTCTGCATCGTGCCCATGAAGACGATGCTCGCGACGGCCTCGTCGTTCTTGTCGGTCGTCGAGAAGGCCGGCAGCACCCAGCCGCGCAGGCTCGGGTCCTTCATGCCGTCGGCCATCAGCCCGGACATGAGGAACGCCATGCGGCCGTGGTCGATGCCCTTCAGCTCGGCCTCGATATGCAGGCCCTTCTGCCCGGAGTGGTCGACGAACAGGTCGCGCAGGTCCTCCGCGTTGGCGTTGACGTACGCGCTCAGCTGCGTGAGGATGGCCAGCCAGACGTCGTCCGGGCGTATGACAAGGTTGTGATGGTCGTTGTAGGCCTCGAGGCAGGCGAAGACCAGCCCGTTCTTGGCTGCGAAGAGGGCCGATTTCTGGTCTGGTTGGGCGAAGGAGTTCTGGACCAGGGTGCGCCTTTTCTCCGCTGCACCGTCGCTCTTGCCTCGGACATAGCTATCATCGCTTGTAGTCAACGACAATAGCTGTTCCGGCGATGTCGCGTGCGTGAATCTGTGAGACTTCTCCCGATTATCCCAAGCTACGGCGGTGCAGCTCGACGGTTTGATGGTGACTGGCATCGTGCTTCTCCTCTCAGGTCAGGCCGACTTGGCGGGAGGTAGTCAGGGGGGATGCCCGGACAAAAGTACCTCTTTTTTAGTAGACAATGCGAGATGATCAGTGGAGTTGACATCCAAAGGGCGTCGATTCGAACATCGGTTGGTCCATCTCCGCCAAGCCTGGTCAGGATCATACAGAATCGTAGCGGTCCGATCCTAGAGCCTGCTGTGAGGGATTACCGCCAGGGCAGCAAATTTTTAAATCCTCTTTGACCACATAGCCGGTCATTATATGTTACCTGGGTACTTGTTCACGTAGGCTTTTGCAATACAGAAGGTAGGTACAGTTAGAGGACTGGAGACTTGCCCAAGCCGCTAAGCCCTATCGCTGACCGAGGATCACCAAAATTGGCACTACGCACGGGGATCTGTGCACTTCCGGATCGCGGTCACGGGCCGGTTGCTCTTGACATTTTCCGGCCTGCCAGTCACATCACCACCGGGCTGCGCCGGAGTGGGAAACGATCGCCCTCGCAGGTTAGAGCGTCCGTCATAACTCGAATTGCCATCGTTTACTTTAAAGGGGGATTTCACATCGGTGGCGGAACGGGATCAAGGCCAACGTTACCAGCCAGCCTAAGTCTCGCCAAGTGTCAATAGAACGATATCTCACTTGCATCTCAATATTGGTAGTAGGCCACTAGGCATTTTGGAACCCACAGTTTCGCTATTCCAGCGCCGAATACGTGCCAGTCTCAATGTGGAGAGGAAAGTGATGTGAATGGTTCATTTCACTTATATCTCACAAACTAGCACTTCCCCCAACTGGCAGCCACTGATTGCCCATTACAGTAATAGTTGACGAGGTGCAGTTCCACGACATCCAGCACATCCTGAGATCGGCTTCAGTACTTGTACAGCTTTATTGGCCGCACCCAATATCCCCCAAGCTTTGGGAAGACAGCACTTGTTCAAGGACGGACCATATAGCTCGAGCTTGGCAACAGACTATTTGACAAGACTTGCATCGAGATGGATCGATCTGAGATCACTGTGACGCACTCCCGAGGAAGCGATACTGTGTATGTGCGAGCTCAGAGCAGGCAAGTACCTAGCACGATTGGTGGGTAGTCGCGCATTTAGCCAAGGAATGCTGGCTCGTGCGCTATTAAACTGGCCAATCGGAAATTGGGTCCAATAACATGTGATACGGCCTGGGCGAGCATCCAGACCTCGCCAGACTGGATGGAGTCGGGTCGAAAATTTCCTCCAAACCACCCATTCCCACCCGCCAAAAATTATCACAACTTACAGCTGACGACAGCTGTTGATCATTCCTCATCTATCCCAAATCAATAAGTCGCCGGCCCGCCTTGGCTGATCGACTGCACCGGGCATTTCGCCGAGTCTCGACTGCAAGCATGAAAGGCGTCATGCGGCCTCCGCGCGGCCGACCGAGCAAGGTGGCCAAAATTAGCGCACCCACACGCCGCCCTGGCCGCGGCCATGTCGTGTCACCCGGTAAGGCCGGCCAGTTCGACGAGAGCGGCATGGTCGACGAGATGAACGCCGCCGCGGCCGCCGCGGCCGCTGCTGCCGTCGCCGTCGCCGCCGAGATGGATGACGGCGAGGCCGATGGCCAGATGGAGGAGGATGGCGGGGATGACGACGCCGTCGCCGCCGCCTCGGCCGGCCTCGCGCACACGGAAAACGTCGACCTCAACACCGCCGCCAACATCCTCACGAATGGCAGCGTCGGCTCATCCTCCGGCGTCATGGCTCTCCAAGAGCAGCACGGCGTCCACGCCCACCAACCACCGGCACCAATGGGTGGCCCGCAACACCTCGGACCTGGCGATCACGGTCATGCCCATAACATGGACCCGAGTTTTGTCAAGACTACAGAGGAGCTGTCCCGCGAATCTGGCTACGAATCCCTCAACATCGACAGCGGACTTGCCAAGCGTCTCGCGCGCGAACCGGGGCTGAGGATCGCCCAGCAGCGGCGGCCTGAGCAGCAGCTCAACCTTGCCCGCAGGAGCAACGTCGAGGCTCTGTTTGCCCACATCGCCGGCGACTTGGCGCCTACCCCCTGCAAGAACTGCCACAAGGGCCACGGACCTTGGAATACCTGTGTTGTAGTGGATGGCCAAATGTGCGGGAGTTGCGCCAATTGTTGGTTCAATGCCAGCGGCGCCCGTTGTAGCTTCCATGGTGCGGTCCTCCCGATGAACCCCTCCCCCTTCTCTCCCGTCCACGCAGGGAGACAGTCACTGACCTTCGATCTGTACTCTGCGATAGAGACGCGCAACCCCCAGGCTGTGCATCACCCTTCCTCGCTTCTAGCTGGCGGCAGCGGTGGTTCCCCCCAGGACCACTCGGCTAGCTTTGCCATGTCACAGCAACTGCCTCTGCCCTCCGCCCCGGCTCACAACTCACTTGCCGCCTCTCTGAATCTCGGCGGGCCCATGAGCAACGACCCGGTCGTGCGATACACCATTGACAGGGCGATTGCCGACTTACGCGCTGCCGACCGCAAGACACGCCAGATCATGATGATCGAGATCGCCGCCAAGCAGCTAGCCCTGCAAATATTGGAGTACGAAGAGTCGGTTGCAGCCGAACAGCAGCAGCAGCAGCAGCAGCAGCAGCCCGGCCCTCCCCAGGGCCAGCAGGACCTAGGAGGTGACGGTGTCTAGGATCTCATCGGGTACCCAGTATAGAAGAAGACATTTGAGCTCTCTCGCACATCGCCGGCATCTATTGAACGCCGACGATCTATGTTTTCCGCCTGCTCTCTGAGTCTACGAATTCAGGCTTGCCATCTTGGTAGAGGCGCCACATCAGATCCTCGCGGTCGAGAAGCTATATCGCGCCGAACCTCTCACTGCGGATCAATATCCATGCCACAGAACCCACCTCTCCGCTTCTCGTGTCACTCCCCGCTCACAAGGAGTTCTGGGCTTTATTCCGACGTCCCGGCGAACATCGGGGCTGTGGGGGAAAAGGGAGGGGGGGTGGGGGGGTGGGGGGGGGTGGTTTCTTTTTATGCTTGTTACAGTTCCACCACCTGCAGTCTATTCCGCGAAGGTTTGCGTAATAGCAGCCTATCGACACCCCTCTCCTTTTCCTTTTTTTTTGCTTGCCGCCGTGGCCGGGAGACACTACCCCCCGGGAGCGCGCAGGACTTTGCAAGATGTGGTTAGAGGGTATCACAGTTTCGCCCATGTTGTTTCCTGCGGCTCCCTGAGTTTTTGGGCAAGCGTTTCGGTAATCATGAGGATCATGCATGCGAGGGTTTTGCAGCTCAAAATGAGCTCTCTGCTCTGTAATCTTTGTTAAGTACCTAGATACAGTCGGGCGTGTAGGAGGGACACGATAGGGATGGGACAGAAAAGGGTATCGCTAAGGATAGGATGGTCAGCCTTGCCATGTGCAGGCTCGATGATGCGAAAGCAGAGTATTTCATTTTCTGCATCTGTGCATCTCACACTTTACTCATCAGGAAAATAAAAAGTTATCCTTGACTTGTTACCTCCTTACAATGCTTCCCCACCCTTCTCTTACACAAAGAACCGGGATAACACCCCTCTCTACCCTCCCCAATATCCACACCCCCGGGACCATGTTTTAACCCTCTCCTCGAAACGACCAGAGAAACGCCAAAGGTTCGTCTCGTAATCAACTCGATACCAGCCATAAAAGTCTTTGTATACGTCACAACTTGGAAGACCATCCACTATCTGGGCGTATGTCTCGGAGGCAAAAGTGCCGGAGAGGAGGACAAGGAAGAGGAGGACGGGGGAAATCGTAAAAAGAGAAGGCTACTCAAATCTCCCATCCAACCACCAACTTGTTTCGCCTGGGTGCGGGGAGTAGGCAGTTAGTTAGGTACGACCTCAGGATCACACGAGAGGAGTCCCAGGCGTGCTGGTTGTGTTACTGTGCCCTAGTAAGACCCTTGCCGCTGGAGCAAATAGGAAGCTGAAGTTTCGACGCTGTAACACGCATATCACAAGCATGACCTCCAGCTACTGCAGGAAGTTGCGCCACTGTTAGTGAACTTGGTTCCAGTATCTCCTCATCTACCCACTCGTGCCACTGAAGCTTAAGTCGGATCATATTCAAGATGACCGTGCAGGGCAGTCCATGTCCTGAATTAGAGATTTCATATAACTGGGAAGTGTAGATCTGTTTCGCAAATCGGGGCCCAAGGCAACAAATAGAACAAGGAAATCGGCGGTTTTGGAGCTGGGTGACGATCCTACAAAACATTTCACGGGCACCAAGTTTCATAGCAACTTTGTTTGTGTCATGGACAAATCCAACCATTCAACCAGCCCCCTCCAGAAGCAACCTTTCTTGGTATATGGAATGCATCGCAGGACAGGCAGGCGCTGCTAACTCTCGCCTCCAGCCCCATTCCCTGGCTCATAAAAATCGCAGTGCTCGCGCCATTTTCGTCCAGGACGGGGAGGCCGTTATTGATGTCATAGTGGGAAGAAAACGAAGAGAGAGAAAGAAAGAAAAAATCAAAACACAATCCACTGAAAATCATAATTAAACAAGATAGTGTACCCCAATAGTCCGTACTTCTTTTGAGACGCACAGTCCTAATGAATGCCTGCCTCCCTCTCTCTCTCTCATATCTGTTACAAGCCTCCTACCCTGGCAGCAGAACCGAGCAGCCCATGATACCGTGGCAGCGACCGAAAGCCGGAATGAGCGGGGCGGAATGAGTGGGTTGAGACGGAACTCACGGAAGTGATCCGTGGAATCGATTATTGCTGTGGGGAGGGAGGAAGGTGCAAACATTTCGGCCGCCACATGGGCGATGTGGCTTCGACCAGTCGATTACGTTGCGTGTGGGTATAGCTGGAGTGGTGACTTTGTAGATCCGACTTAGATTAGACCGCACAAACGAAGGTTCTCCTGGATGATGATATCTGTGACTTCTTAGCGTCCTGGTTCTACGAATCAGTTCTTGGCAGGGCACCTTACCGTTGACCGCGGCCATGACGAAGCGGATCTGGGTAGTGTCGGTGGCACATGTGAAATGGGTATAGATCTGTTTTGTCTCGTGCTGGTTCAAGCTGACGAAACGGTTCAGAATGTACTCGCATGCCGCTGAGTAGTCGTCGCCACCCTCGTAGTCTGGGAAGTAGTTCTTCATGGGGCTGACTGGCAGCTTCTCCTTGAAGCGGTCGATCTTGTTGAGGAATAGGATGATGGAGGTCTTGATAAACCACCTCGAGTTGCAGATCGAATCGAACAGGGTCAGAGCCTCTTGCATACGGTTGACAGTCTCGTCCTCAAACAGCAGCTGGTCGTATTCCGAGATGGCAACCAAGAAGAGAATTGTTGTGACGTTCTCGAAGCAGTGAATCCACTTCTTGCGCTCAGATCGTTGACCACCCACGTCGAACATCCTGTATGTCAGGTCTCCGATGATGAACGTCGTCTCGGTTATTCCAGTCGTCTTCACACGGGACCGCAGCACATCCTGGTCATTCGGCATGTAATCGGGGGCGGCGATGCGGGCGATATTGTCGAAGTAACTACGGACCGCCATGGTTAGTTATGGTTGTCGGGCGACCAAGATTGCAGTTACTTACTATCTTGCAGAGTCGTTCAGTTGGTATTCCCTCGAGCGCTTGAAGCACTCCTGTACTCCACGGTCCTTCCATAATGTTTCGATAGCGTTGCCCACCTCTGGAGGCAGAACATCTCCTTCGATTTGGGCGGGCTGCATGAAGATGGTCTGGACGTGATATTCCATGCGTTGGTCCTCCAGGGGGAGCTCGAGCGACTCCATCGCCTCGAGGATAACTCGCATTGACTGGACCGTGTTGCTGAAAATAATCTCCTTGAACGACTCCCGTTCGTCACGCGAGTATCCGCCCTCGTGGATAAGCTTCATCTGCTTCAAAATAGTCGACTTTCCGGATTCACCAGCACCTGGGAGAATGCTGCGTTAGTCCGTTATCCAAGTACTAACAGAGCATCAAAGTTTGCTGTCATCGGGTGGCCGAAAGGCGCGGACATCGATGGAGGGAGAGATAATAATAGAAAACACGTACCCAGAAGGAGCATCTTGATCTCATTGCGCTGCTGCATGCGATCCCGCTTCAGCTGGTTCTCAATCTCCTCGTTCCGGGCCTTGCCCTCCTTCTCTTCTGTGCTCATTCCGCAACCCATTTTGGCTGTCTATCTTTCTGCACGCGCCACTAGAGGGCGAAAAGATATAGTTGGTGTAAAGTATCGCGAGGATCTAGGATTTTCTGTTAGCCAAGATCCAAGCTCTGGCAATGGCTTTAGGTTGCCGTAGTTGCTAGATTGCCGAGATGTAACCGAGCGAGCAGTTTGAGGTTGTCGGAATGTTGTATCAAATGGCAAACGATGGAGAGGCGTTCAAGCCATTGATGGTGAAGCAAGAAGCCTGACAGCCATGTTGCCCTCTGCATGGGAGGAGATGGCATGGGAGAGAAGGTGAAAGACGGGGAGGTTTGGGTTTGAAAGCTTACCTTGCCACCGACCTAGCTGTATGATGACCGTCAATTGAGGCTATGGACAAGGCGACGATAGAAAAATAAGGAAAAGCCGTCGAGGTTGATGGAAGGGAGCGAATGCACTACAACAGCAGGTGTTGGAGGAACCCGGGAAATTCCCGAGTTTATTGACGGTGTGAGGTGCAGACGAGGTTGGCGAGAGATGAGGAAGGGGGGACGGGAGGAAAAAGAAGAAGCACGGGCAGGCACAATGCGAAGACACTAGGTAACCAATAAGGCACTTTAGTTTACCTGAAATCTTTTGGGGGGCGCAAGTACCTCTGTTGTAGTGCACACCAAGCCCCTACCATGTATGTACAGTACCTTTGTACACACCAAATTAGGGTGGGTACTGGCAACGAATGCTTGGCAAAGGAGCAACAGCAGCAGTCAGTGGGGAAAGGGCCATGCAATTTTTGGGAAGACCCCAGGGACCCATGTCTCCCAGAATTGTTTGATCGTTACTAACTACCTTGAGTGCCTTGTGCCGGGAGTACCGCGTGCCTGGCTAGTGCAGGTTGGGTCCAGCACAAAGAGCCAGCTGAGTACTTGGGGTTTCACAATGTTTCTGTACCTACCTACACTACACTGCCCACCCAGCCTGGGTTTCCAGTGAAATGACGGGCCCGCCCTCACTGTCAAAGGGGAAGCGAACAGAAACAGAAACCACTGTCCGTTTCTGGTCATATCATCAAGCGCAAGTGGACCCTCAAGATGAAGGAACAATGGATTCCTTTCATAGTGTGGATTTCTGACAGGCGGGGAGGGCCGAGAAGGCTGAGCATGGTCAACGAAAACCTTCTCTGTCAGTATGTAGCCACCCACCACCCTTCCTCTTGGTGTTTCAGTATCTTCTTCGGCTTGTCGTCTTGTTCTTTGAATTTTGAATTTTGGAAGAGGTGAGGCATGGAGGATCACCGCCGTCTTACCGCACTGTTTGCTCGGACAATGATAACGGGCGTCACAAGACAGGGGTCGAAGGAGCTTGCATTGCTGGCAACCATTACGGAATCGCAGCGGGTAGTATGGCGCGACCGATCTGCCTTGCCCTTGCTATTTGGTCCAGATCGATTCGCAATTCTTCAATTTGGTGCTCTCTGCTGAGTACCGGCCTAGGTAGGTAGGTAGGCTTTACTTCACCGTAAGGCTGGTCCCTACACCTCCCACCACGGCCTCGCCGAGGAATATCTGGGTTGAATGGCGGAAAGCTAAAATTGAACATTGAAATCTCCGGGCCAATCAGAGAAGTGTCCAAGACAGGTACGGGGCAATGTCCAGCAAGTACGGATTACAGGAAAGGGGAATGAAAAATAAAAGAACTGCAAGTGCCAGAAAAACTCCAGCTCTTGGAGCTCATACTTTGTTCTTTTGCCGGAGCAGACCATGGGCAACGACCCCGGCTTTTTGCCGGCTGTTGACTGCCGTCTGTTTCGGACGGCTGATGAATTCAGTCCCGTCGGCGCCCAAAATGCGCCTTGGTTGGGACGGTGGCCGGCAAGTGCCACCTACTACGCAGTAAGGTGTGAGCGAGACATATCTTTTACGCAGCGTCTTGCTTCAAGTCCATGTCCACTCCAGACGAGCAGACTGCATGGCTCATCTAGGTAGCTAGACAGTTCATCGCAGCTTGCCTTCCAACGACGGCCCCAAATACAGGGGAAAGCCATCGTTGGCTTGCCGTAGCCCTCCCAAGCCGGACACAACGAAGACCTCATGGCCAGAAACACAGCAATAGTCTGTGCTCATGGATGTCATACTGGCGCTCTCGTCACAACTTTGCCTGTTGTGTGCTTTCTGGAGATCTCTCTGGGAATAAAGGCAGTTATCCATGCAGGCTTGAAACAGTGCTATGATTAGCCGGCATCAATTTGCTATGCATCATTTACTATGGTAGAGACGCGGAGACGCAAAACCGGAGTCCGAGGCTGGTATCATTAGGGCTGATTGCAAGGTGTGTCATGGACTGCCGTGGCATACACGTATGCTATGGTACACACCTACAGATCTGACGGTGAGATGCGCTGTGGTTGATGTATCCGCTCGATGCCTGAATGCATCTCGAACAACTGCGGGTCTAGGCTGGGGACGGATGAGCGAGATCTGCACTCCCTTTACGGAGTACTCCGCAAAATATGTTCCGGTCCCCAGGCCAGCGCCAGCGATCGTCGCCTTGCGACCCATCCGCCGGCCGCGTTGGCGGGTGAACGAGCTAAGGTACTGTACCTAGATAGGATGAATTCCAACTGCTGGCCGATGTTACCAATCCCCAATTCCTGCGGATTGGCGAATCTCGCTCGCATGAGACAGACGACTGTTCAACGGACGGCGGGGTCATTAATCACATCATATGAGCACTAACCCCTGTAATTGCCAGTGGAGAATTTCCTGACTCCACAGTTTGCAGTGGGACCCTGTTCTTCTAGAAGCCATGGTTGCGACGAATCATTTCCCGAATTCACTGTGGCTTCTCAGGGGTAGGATGACCTAAACGGCTTCATCTCCCCTAACCGCGTAAAAAAAAGAAGAAAAAAGCATGGCTTTGGATTTTGGAATGCCAGTGATAATTACGGAATTAATTACCGTAGATCTTGCGCGGTTATTTCTACGTACCTACTTATAGGTAGGGTATCATGAGAACATTGCTGGGTGTGGTTCAGGAGAGTCAGATCCTTGTGAAGCCTTCCAACTTCCCACAGTTACCCCTAATTGTCCAATTCCCCCCCTTTTTCCACTTTCGATGTGGGACCTCTACACGACATCGCGTTCCTATCAATATTGGCTCCACAAGCAAGGAGAGGCGCCAAAGGCACCTATTCGTATGTCTATACGTACATGGCCGTAAAAAGAGGCAACTCTGATGCATGCATCTGCTGCAGAGCATGCAATAAAGCGGCAGGCAGCCGAACCTTAAAATGCGAGGTCAACCAGTGTATTATCTCACCTGACTCGCTGACTTCCAGGGCCACGGCCCCCGTCTCCTGCACTGGCCGGGATCCTTCAGCCTCGTTAGCGGCATGAGGCTGGCGGCTGGAATTGTTCACTAATCCCAAAATAAAATAATAAAAATAATCAAGTATCAACTACCATTGGCATTCGCACCCAATTGATGAACACACGCGCCTATTAGACAGCGAGAGGCTCACTGTCCCTTTCCGGCCATTTTACCGCCCGAGACAGATAGCCTTGTTCTTCCACAAAATGGCCATCCCCATGACACGGCTGGGCGACCGCGGTATGTGCATGACAACCCCTGCCTCCGCTTGTCGGGACACCTCAGATTGTAGCCCCTCCCTACTGAACCCAATGCACTGACAAGTACCCCATGCGGCATTTCAGCCTTCAACCACAGCCCGGGCAACGATGTTGAGGCCGAGTACGACCGCCTCCGGGATCTGGCGCGGCAAGAGGCGGCCAAGAAGAGCTCGTGCTTTGATCGGGTATGCCCAACGCCCCCCTCCCTCGGCCTTTCGCATCCTTCCAGTCCTTCTCAACCTCCGCGCAAAAAGCGATTGAGGGGGATAATTGTTATACACAAAGATGGGGAAAGAGAGAGAGAGAGTGAGAGAGAGAGAGAGAGAAACACATACATACAGAATGGCCATTAATCTCTTCCACCACCCTCTCCGCAGTCACACCAAGCCTACGAGCGCGGCGACGGCGCCGGGGCCAAGTCGCTGTCCAACGAGGGCAAGCGGCACGCGGCGCAGCAGGACGCGTACAACAAGCAGGCCTCGGAGCTCATCTTCCGCGAGAACAACGCGCCGGGCCGCGTGGCGGACGACACGATCGACCTGCACGGCCAGTTCGTCGACGAAGCCGAGGCGATCCTAGGCGCGCGCATCCGCGACGCCCGCGCCCGCGGCCAGCCCCACCTGCACGTCATTGTCGGCAAGGGCAACCACAGCGTCGGCCATGTGCGCAAGATCGGCCCGGCCGTCGAGGCCATGTGCCGCGACATGGGCATCCACTACGCCGTCGAGGAGAACGAGGGCCGCCTCTACGTCGACCTCACCGGCGGACAGGTCGGCGCCGTCCCCCCCCCGCTGCCGCAGCAACCGGCCGGTCACCAAGGCGGCTACGCAGGCACCGCGGCGGGATACCCCGGCGCGCAGCATGGTGGTGGTTATCAGCCTCAGCAGCATCAACAACCATATCAACAACCACACCAACAGCAGCAGCAGCAGCATTACCAACAACAGCAGCAGCAGCAGCAGCAAGGCGACGGGGTCGAAGAACTAGCGAAGAAGTTCTTGCCCAAGATAGTGCGCGAGCTGAAGGCTTGCTGTATTGTTATGTGAGCCTTGTCAACGGCCATCAACTTGTTTTATTTACCTTCGCCGCTGAGGCCATATACTCGATCTTGCGGCATTGGGTAGAGCCGGGCGATCCAGGGGGAGTTGGGTAAGGACTTACCGGGTTTTGGGATATTATGCCAACACATAATATATTTGTGTGCTGTTATCGATAGCGTTCAGAATTCACCAGTTCTAGACTATCGATCGTATTTTTGAAGTACTATTCGGTACTAACAAGCCTGGTGACTGTTTTGGTCCGATTCCTTGCTCTCTGGCCCTCACGACCCTCAATGTCTCGGTTTGGAAGTCTGGAAGAGCAACTGTCAAGTCCTCCTGCTTTCCTAATAGGAGTCTTTGGTTTTGTTTCTGCTCCACCCTTGCTGGGAACTTGAGGGTTGTCATACTAGACCAAGCGACAGGCCTTGAACATTGAACATGCTGGATGGCAAATCATGACAGGCGAAGCTGCCTGGGGTACCTAGCACTGCAAATGAAGTAGAGACACCAACCAGATCTGTGAAATCAGCGAGTTCGACTGTATTTCTCACCGACGCTCAAATCTAACTTGACCAGATTCACAAAGCCAGACCCAGAATACCAGGCATGAGTACCTAGCCACTTCCCAAACCAATCTAGAGAGTGCACGTCCCTGGCCAATCTTGGTATCCAAAACTCTATATCGCTTTTATATTTGCCCTCGTTTGTTCCCGGTCAGAAACGGCCCTGCCTGTCTAATGCCTACTCAACGAAGCCCAAGTGCTCGGGGTCAGCCTTCACGATCCGCAGGGTGTTCGTGTGTCCCATGCCGCCGCACCAGCCCTGGACGACAACGACCGTGTCATCCTTGTTGAGGAGGTCCAGCTCCATCGCCTTCGTGATGCCCCACTTGATACGCTTGTCGACGTTCTCCTGCCAGTTGACCTTGGAGAAGTCGGGCTTCGCCTGCGGGAACAGGAAGGGGTAGACGCCGCGGTATAGGTGGCTGAACCGCGAGGTTGTCGCCTCCCGCGTGACCATGAGAATCGGGCATACCGGCCGATACTTGGAGATGAGGCGCGCCGAGTCTCCCGAGGTCGAGAGGACGACGATGGCGCCGGCGTTCAGGTCGAGGGATGTCCGTACAGCAGCCATGCTATATAATCTTGTAAGCCCTCTTCATCCTAAAGAGTTTCGGGAGTCCATTCTTGTCTTACGCGCAGGATTCGACGGTGGAGACCGGACGCCTTGTCAGTGAGACCATCTCTTCGTAATGGCTGACATAGGAGATGATGGACTCTGCTCGCAGACAGGTCTCACTCATCTCGTAAACGGCCAGTTCTGGATAAAGTCCTTTCGCAGTCTCGCCGCTGAGCATAACGCAGTCTGCTCCATCAGTGACGGCGTTGCCAACATCTGCGATCTCAGCACGAGTAGGCCGTGGGTTCTTGATCATGCTCTCAAGCATTTCTGTTCAGAATTGCGGTTTAGCGTTTACTCTGTTTAAAACCATAGGGCTCCCACATACGGGTTGCACAGATCACTGGCTTTCCGGCTATGTTGCACATGGCGATCAACTGTTTCCCTAAGTCAGCATGTGGTACTAGTGGAATTGTCACTGTCATGAAGGACCGCGATACGGTCGCCTCTCACTTACTTTCTTTTGGGCGCCAAACACCTCTGAGACAAGAGGTCAGCTACCAAGCACAACAAGTTTTCATAGATATCCATACCAGCAGCGGGGATTTCGATGCCAAGATCTCCTCGAGCAACCATCTGTGTGATTGAGTTAGTGTGTGCCATTTCACCTGGATTAGGAATACTTACGACACCGTCTGTCTCTTGGAGAATATCAGCAAAGTTGTTGAGTCTAGAAACATTTATGTTAGCAGGGATGAATGCGCTCCAGGAGTAGGTTTCTGCGGATGTATCGGGCCTTCATCGAACAAGGCATTTTGAGGGCTGTGAGTGTATTCTAACATACCCCTGACGGTTCTCAATCTTCGCGATGATTTTGATATGCGCGCCCTCAGGACCCAGCACATCACGGATGTCCCTGATATCCTTGCCGCTTCGAATAAAGCTCTATCTTTGGCATTAATATTTTCAACTAGAAAAATAGGTAGGGTCTTGAGACTTGGGGTAGCCTAGTTCTGTATAACTCACCGCAAAGACCATGTCCACTTTGTTCTTCACGCCGAACACGAGATCCTTCTTGTCCTTCTCCGACACTGCCAAATTGATTAGTTACGGGGGGTTCACTTCGCAAGGACTGGCATGAGATGGGTGGGAACGTACAGGCCGGGAGGTCAATGTCTGTATTGGGCAGATTCACCCCCTTCCTGGACGAGATGAAGCCATTGTTCCTGGCGCGAACCTCGATGTTCTTATCATCCTTGATCTGAAGAACATCAAAGGCAAGAACCCCATCGTCGACATAGACGATCCGACCTGGCTTGATAACCTTGGTTATATTCTTGTAGTCGACGTACCTAACAATGATAGTAAGTTTTCAGACTCCAAACTCGGATGAGAGACTACTGGCTAGTGCTAGACAGGCTTACATGGTTCCAGCATCACAAGAGGTTGCGTATGCTTCGTCAGTAGTAATGGTCATGACAGTCCCAGCAGCAATGGGGATATCTTGATCGTCCTTGGTGTTGCCGGTCCTAATCTCGGGGCCCTTGGTATCAAGGGCAATAGCGAGGTGACGGCCAGGCTTGGCCTTCTCGGCGGCACGAGTGTTATCTATGACGGATTGATGATACTCATAGCTACCATGAGAGAAGTTCATTCTCACGATGTTCATCCCAGCCTCGCGGAGCTGATTGATGGCCTCGACAGAGTTCGTCTTGGGCCCGATGGTGCAGATGATGGAGGTTCGCCGATATGTCTTGGCCGGAGTGAAGGAGGTATCCAGGTTGGAGAGCCATTCGACTCTGCCCCTCATGGCGAGGTGATCGAGGGCGTTGACCATGATGATAGAGTTACGATGCAGTGCTGAGAAAAGATATCTGTGATGGAAGTACGAGAAGTAGAGAGCGGATAGGGCAAACGGGCGTCAATGATTTCCGGTGGGCGGTTCCGCAAGTGAAGAGTCGATGTCACAAAATATCTGATTTTCCAGTCCTTGTCGGTCAAATCAATACGTTGTCTTCCGCTCAACAAGATTGCTGTGTACCTAATTGACGCAGATAAATGAATCCTGGCGTTGGTGGGCCAATTTTCTGTACCATTATAAGAGCAGAGCATGCGAAAACGTGGCGACATACACTAAATTGAGTCGGGGTGCGATTTTACCACCCCTCCTGACGTAAATGTCTCAACAGCCCACTTCTTCTTTTAAATTTATAAATAACCACATTATTTAGGTAACAGTAATACACTGCCCCTCGTCTACACTAAAAAAAAGTTCTGCTCAGAAGAGCTTAGGTTGAGCACAGATCAAGGGTCTTACCACCTGCCGGTCCCGCTCGAGCCACGAGATTACTTTATTTGCTTTGGCGTGACATCATGGCCCACATGCTTCGTGAGAAGTTGAAGGGCTCGAGGTCGAACTATTGACTATTGGCAACTTCCAGTGCCGACCTCGCTCGGCTAACCCCGTCGTCCCTGAAACTTCGACTCAACATTGGTCTCTCTCTTTTTAAAGAGCCCTCTCCCGGGTCTGCTGCGGTCTGTGACACTCTCTTCTGCGTGGGATGGAGTAGCTCAACAAAATACCAGCACCTTCCCAACCAACCGCGACACGTCGCCGACGACCATGCTTCCCTTTATCAATGCCCGTATGCCACATCCCATCACAGCTAGAGCTCTGAATAGTATCGCCGGCTGACCTTAGATTGTACACAGCGTTTGAATATGCCGGGAGCAAGCTCGGCGCGGGCCCAGACGAGCGTGAGGAAATGCCCCCATGAATTTCGAATGGGATGCCGATTTCAGCCGCTGACACTTATACCATCTAGTCAAGCTTGTCTTCTCATTCATTCTCTCCTACCCGTTAGCCGGAGTCCTGAAACGGATCCCCGATAGAAGTCCCCAGCAGAAAAACATTTTCATAATCAGGTACGCAACATCCAAGACAGTTGGAAGGTTTTCAGGTGGACCGCCAAAATGCATGACCGGAGACCTGCTGACGATTCCGCCCCTCCAGCGTTGCCCTATTCTACCTCGTCGGCCTCTTCGACCTATGGGGCGGGCTGCGCACCATCGCCATCTCGGCGGGCGGGGCCTACACCATCGCCAAGTCCCTCCGTGGCTCGCCATACATGCCATGGGTTGGCTTCGTCTTCCTGATGGGCCACATGAGCGTCAACCACATCGCACGCCAGGCCGCCGACAATCCTAGCGTGGTTGACATCACGGGCGCGCAGATGGTGATGGTTATGAAACTCAGCGCCTTCTGCTGGAACGTGGCCGACGGCGTACTGCCCGAGGACCAGCTCTCCGATTACCAGAGAGACCGCAGGCTGGCTGAGCTGCCGGGCCTGCTCGACTACGCCGGCTACGTCTTCTTCTTCCCTAGCTTGCTCGTCGGACCGGCCTTTGACTATGTCGACTACCGGAGATGGCTGGACACGACAATGTTCACAGTCCCTGCACAAGTAGACCCGACCAAGAAGCCGCCGACGCGGCGGAAGCGCAAGATCCCTCGTAGCGCGACGCCCGCCATGTGGAAGTTGGCCGGCGGCCTGGCCTGGATTGTGCTCTTCCTCAACCTGTCGGGCATGTACGGCACGGATGCCGTAACGGGGCCGACATACATGGACCACGGCCTCCTCCACCGCCTCTTCATCCTGCACATGGTGGGGTTTACGGCACGCTGCAAGTACTATGGCGTGTGGACGATGACGGAGGGCTCGTGCATCCTGGCCGGGCTGGGCTACAACGGCGTAGATCCCATCACGGGGAAGGTGTCCTGGGACAGGCTGCAGAACATCTCGCCCTGGGGCGTGGAGACGGCACAGAACTCGCGGGCATACCTCGGGAACTGGAACATCAACACGAACAAGTGGCTGCGCAACTACATCTACCTGCGAGTCACCCCTCGCGGCAAGAAGCCCGGCTTTAGAGCTAGCCTGGCTACGTTTGCAACTAGCGCCTTCTGGCATGGTTTCTACCCGGGATACTACTTATCGTTCATGATGGGGAGCTTCATTCAGACTGTGGCGAAGAGTAAGTTCCACCCCCCCTTTCCTCACCTTGCTTCTGTTTTGGTTTTCTTCTCCTTTCCCTTGTATATTGCCCCTATCTTGTGTGTCCCACCACCTCAAGCCAGAGCAGTCTCCACCTCCATCATCCCCCACCTCCACCTCGGGATGACCCACGGCTAACCAGCGCCTCGCCCAGACTTCCGCCGATACCTCCGCCCCTTCTTCCTCGAACCAGCCACGCAGGCCCCGCTCCCGCGCAAGCGCTACTACGACCTCTTCTCCCTCCTCGCCACGCAGCTGGCCTTCTCCTTCGCCACGGCGCCCTTCCTCGTCCTCGACCTCGGCGACTCCCTCCTCGTCTGGTCGCGCGTCTACTTCTACGCCGCCGCCGGCGTCGCCGCCAGCGTCGCCTTCTTCGCCTCCCCCGCCAAGGCCCGCCTCCGCGCCGCCCTCGACGACAGGGCCGCCCGCGCCGGCGTCGCGCCCAAGGTGGTGGGGGGAGCAGGAGAAGCGGATAAGGGCAAGGAGAGGGAGGCCCTGCATCGGTCCGCTTCGGCTGAGAGCGTTCGCGGGACCGTCTATGGCGTGCCGACGGACCCGGAGAGGGAGTTTGACGAGGCCATGGCCGAGCTGAGGGCCGAGGTCAAGGCCGCACGCGCCAAGAAGAAGGCTGGCTGAGTTCTGGGTGGTGCCTGCGGGGTGCCGTTTTTTGTCCTGAGGATGAAGTGCACCTACTCGGACGAGTGGGCGATCGGTCGGTCGTGGTGTTGGATTGCGTTGGATGTGCTGTCCCCCGAATCGTGGGCGGGAGTTAGATTAGAGAGCTAGTTAAGTAGAGTGGCGACGATGTGGTATTATTGACATCAGCCATTTTCATCTAGAGCATCGCATTTGCAGGGGTCGCACATATGTTCTGATAACTTCTTTATCGTTTGGCATTAACGTTAAGTATCTATCGTCAGCGTAAATAATCGCTGGATGAAGTCGTAAGTCTCGCTACTATCTGTAGGCATATTGGTGCCCGACAACTCTAGAGACGCCGTAAATATGCGGCGGACAAGAAAGGGTGTAAGTATATCGTAATCAGAGCCAAAATGGGACCAGCCGCCGCTTTTGCTTGCAAATTGTCGTGTTCCTGCTGTGGGAGCTGGTCCGCTCTCTTCCCAACGTCTTCCCCCCCAAATATATAAAAATATGTCCAAAAAAAAAACTCCAATGGTAATAATAGGGTATCTTTGCTCGGATCCGTCGTTGCACGTCCCGCAGTCTCCCCTCTCTATCCTTGCAAATCGAAGGTAGCTTCTGGTGATACATGAATGGTTTTACAAGGCGGTGACGTCCGTTTGACGACAAGATGGGTAATAAATAAAACAGTCTGACTGCTCCAGGTTGAGCTGAAAGGTAAGAAGGGTTGAAATGGCTTGGTGGTGAAGGAATGCGAAGCGTAATGATGAAGTAAGAAATGTCGATGGCGTCGGTAAGTCTCTACTCGGTGGATGAGATAGCTGTCATGGCACAATTATCGTCGTGTGTCGTACAAATCGTGGTGATATATGGTAGGAAATTGTTGAGGTCGTCATGCCGTCGTTGCTAAGCCGGAGGAGACAAGTGGGAGACGATGTAGTGTCTGAAGAGATAGGTATGAAAATAAGGTGAGGAGAAAGACTGTTCATGTGCTTGTGCGTAGAGCCCAGCCTTGTTGGAGCCCGAGGACGACAAGAGCCGCGATGGCACCGATGATGACGAGACCCATGACGGACATGACGCGATTGAGGTTCCTCCACCATCGGGCACTTTCGTATCTTGTCTCGCCCATAAGCCGCAGTTGGTGTGTGTAGTCGACGGGGCCAAATCGACTCTGGGTCTGAGACGCCTCTAGCATCTGGTGTTTCGGGTTAGGCGGTAGTGGTAGGAAAGCGGCAATTATCCATGCTACGGGCACCTGTTAGTTGTGATCTGGCAACGGCAGGGGGGGGTTGGCCCGAGACGAATCACTTACCGAAAGGGAAGATAAATCCTATAATGAACAACACAACCTGAACATTCCGCTTCCCAAGAAGCCCGTTGTCTGCCGACCAGCTGACGCTGGGGGGGTCCCAGACGCTGTACCCGCCCGCCCTTCGGTCGGCCCGCAGATGAGGGGACCAGATACTTGATGTTTTCCTCTTCAGGGTCCGAAAGATGCCGTAGTCCTCATGTGGTACGGTAGTGATGTCCATCTCGGCCGAGTCCGAAAAGGGTCGGTGGTCAGCCGGAGGCACGACGTGATTAGCCCGCCGGCGGGAGGTGTAGATTGGTAACGGGAAGTGGTCCGTATTTGGTGACCCACCAGTGTGGAATCCCGAGCTTCCGGGTCGGCTGTCACCGGCATCGGACGCTGAAGCAGACGACGGCCCGAGAAAACGCCGCTCGCCAGACCCATAGTAAACTCTAACTCGTGTGTTAGAAATCTCCCACATCATCCCTAAGACGTAGGAGGGGTGAGAGGGAAAAGTAGTTACCTGGCCCATGCGGGAATTAAGCCCGAATTCAGACTGTTAGCCCTCGAGCTACCACTTGAATGAATATTTCGACCCGAGCTGTCGCTGCTGCCGAAGAAGCCCGAGAGTCCAAACCTCGAAGGGTGTTGCGACATCTCGCGCAGGTCCGCCAATCCATCGCCATGCTCATCTTGATCACGCACCATTCGTAAACCCGAAGGTCCGGCTCGAGCATAAGCGGGGTGCGGTCTTTCGATCGAACCACTCTGCGAGATGGACCCTGCATCTTCCGGCCCTTCATCGAGAGGTGTGGGAGATGCCGAGGACATGCTCTGCGGCTGTCGGCTGTGCATTGAACCTCCCCAGCCGGCACTGCTCCGCCGTCTATGTCCCGCAACGTGGCCTGTTGAATTGTACGATGCGGAGCGAGAATGGCCATGAGAGCTCTCGGGGTCGCTCTCCGACATGACCGTCGACAGCTGGGAGCTCCATAGGTGCGGATGAGACTGTATCATCTGGATCCGCTGCGGTGGGCTGATGCTGGGGGAGGGGGAGGAGGACTGGCCGTCGGACGATCCTACTGCTGGCGGTAAAGCTTCCCATGAATCCTTCGTCTGCAGCTGGGTGATAGAGTCTCCCGGAGTGGAATGAGAGGACGAGGCGCCCTGCAAATTGAGCAGAATCGGCGCTGCGAGAAATGATTGCGCCGCTTCCTGGCTGATAACGGATGAGATCGATTTGATAGACGTGATTGTCTTTACCGACCCTGCGCGAGCACGGAGCTTCGCTCTCGACCGTTGTTTGTAGTACCCAAAATCTTCATATGAGATCTTCTTGGCGGGGCGAAGTGGGGGAACGATTAGGCTTTCTTGCGAATATGTCGGGCGCGGCTTTCGTGTAACCGCCACGAGGGACTGGGACGGCGATGGGGACGGGTCGCCGTGCAAAACGTAATTCTCGTTGCTGCTGTCCGAGCTGCCCGGGGGACTGCTGCTGAGCGGAGCAGGCGGTGAAGACTCTCCAAGAATCTCGTAATTCGAGTTGTTGGACGACGGCGGGTCGAGGCTGTCGGACGATATCGGGGCTGGAGAGTGGCCGTAGACCTTGTAGTTGGTGGTCTCGGATGTGGTGGATCTTGTCTGTGTCGAGGCGAATGAAGGTCTGGGCACCACGGATCGCGAGGCTGTATCGATCTCCTGGGAGGAGGTTGGTATCTCGGGCAATGGGGAGAGTGGGCTGTCCGAGGTTGGCGATGTTGGGCGCCGCTTGGTTTTCTGTTTCAGGTCTGGTGTCTTTGGGACTTTCCGAAGGCCACCAAGCATTCGGTAGTTCCAGGGCGACGAAGTAATAGGATCCTCAGCTAATTGTGTAGTGGAGGAGCTGGGGGACGGGGATGACGGAGACAGGCTCCGATCCGGGATGGTGGCACTTGTGCTGGTCAGGGGTGAGCTGGGTCGTCCCTCGCTCCATGTACCGATCGAAGGACGGTCATTCGAGCTTGATCCCCTGGAGGAGTATGATAGCGGAGGGGATATGACGCTCCTCCTCGGCGAGTTTGATTGCGTGCCGCGAGGGACAAGCGAGAAAGTCTTGTCTGAATGGATAGCGACAAAATTGCGGTTCCGTGACAGGGGTCGTGGATGGGGGAGAGGGTTATGCAGGGCTGGATCTGTTGTGGTGCGGCGGCCTAGTTCGGACGGTGACACCAGAACAGGGGAGGGGAGCGGTCTCAGGGCATCGTCTGAGGAGCCTGAAACTCCTTCATCATCGGGCCCCACCAATGGCAGCGCAGGAGACGAAGCTGAGGACAATGCGAACCCTGGAGGGTTAGCATGGCGCTCCTTGCCTCCACCACCCTCCCTCGCCCGGCTAGCATTCTCTCCGTTGCTGGGCTGGTCATCGTCGCAAACACCATAAGAGCCTCCAGTCGCATGTCGGAGCGGCGACGGCTGCTGGCCGGCGGCCAGTCCATCGGGCTGGATCCGGGGAGGCGTGTAGGGGACGACTCGAATGGCGAGAGTGTTGTTCTGGGACTGCGACCGTTGATTGAGGGGTGCTGGTCGGTTGCGATTTGGTTGCGCCGACATTCTCTGCCTCGAAAGGCTGACAGACTGTCGGGCCTCGGGATGCGAATCTGTCGGAGCACGGTCCAGCTCCACCGTCACAAAGGGCGATCAAAACCGGGCCATATCGGCTTCATGCAAGGACCGGGCGTGTCGAGTATGAGATAGGCAGATACAGAGTTAAAAAGACCGAGCAGTCGCTGCGATGAGTAGTTGTCTCTCTCTCTCCCCCCAACTCCCTGTAAGTGGCAGGCCAAGAGGAACCAGCAGCTCGGTGGGATGGTGGGATGTCGACGCTCGAGACAGTCGTTCGTATCGTTAAAAGCCGGCGATATGAATTAGGATTAGGGTAGGTAGGTATTGCGGAGCAGGGGGCCGGCCGTTTGATGGGGGGGCAGGCTTATTTCGCAGGGAAACAAAAGTATTAAACAACGTCAAGGATTCAAAAAAAGAAAAAGAAAAAGAGAGCAGTGAGGGACGAGAGAAACGGAACAAGACAGGGACAAGAGAGATTAAAGATCGCAGACGACGAGGGCGATGAGTTGTGGATTGGATATTAGTTGGCCAGAGGTATAGCAACCCAGACGGCACATCTGATGGTTAACCGGCCAGGGGAGACTCTTTTGTGTCGCAGGACCTAATAGGCGGCAATGCTACACCCACGGTTCTCAGTGACGAATTAAGCTCTCCCGCGGTCTTCCCAACGAGACGAAACAAGAAGGAGAAAAGTAACGATCGGACAGCTCGCAGCTAGAGCTCAAGGCACTGGTAGCGGGAAAAGGACACAACGGCCGGTCTATGTAGGCCAGGAGGCATGTGTTGGCAAAAGAAAAAAGATAAGAAAAAAAAGGAGAGTGCAGAACCGGTGCAGCAGGCAGTCAGGAGTGCAGCAGCAGGCGCAGCCAGTGCAGCCATTTGCAGTGCGAATGGTGTCGCTTGCTGCATGCCCGCCACCTCAAGGCTGGCCAGTTTAATTTGAGTCCCATATTTTGACACTGGCTGGTAGCCATGATAGGTAGACTTCCACAGCGGACATGGTGATCCGGTACACCGCTACGTGTGGTAGCTGTGGGTGGCTTAAAAGTCGCTTCTGCAGGTCTTGGTGTGTCTTAAGCTGCATAGGGCCAGGGTCGTTACTGCAGCCGGGATTCGTGAACGTTGGGAACTCCACAAACGATCCCAGTCTCAAAAGGCGCCGGTCGAGTTGGGCGACAGCCCACAGCCAAGGGCCTTGCTTCGCACCCCTGAGAAACGAAACTGCATCCGAGAGAGATAGCCGACCATGTATAGTACACTACATACTATTGAGAATCCGGTCCCAGAGCTCTGTCATGTTCGGGTCAGATCTGTTTTATCAAAAATTCAATTTGGCACCTGGCCAATGGCAGCCACCCCGCGTTTCGATGGCACTGAGAGAAAGCCAGAAACAAAGATCAGCAAGTAACGGGCGGCGCTAGTCTGACGGTGGGACCTTGGTACCTGACTAATTGCCCGACCCAAAAGACGTGTTTCCCACGCGCGTCTCATTCGCGTCGGTTTGTTCGGCTGGATTGGTTAGGGTAAAACAGAGAGGGCACAAACCGCATAGACCAGCAAATTACGAGTCACATGGGCAATGATGAAATCCTCCAAGCTATAGAGTTATCTCCCTTTCCATTTTTGGAGTGAAGGCGCCAGATGGCTCAATTGAAATTTGCTCGAGACATCTTCCCTGGGTTGTCATCCGTGGTAGGTAGGGCCTGTCGATTTTGAAGGGCGAGACAGCCAACAACAATAGGTACTGTCGGGTACGGAATGTACTCCTATTGTACTGTACATAGTACTCGTCAGAGAGTCCTTTGTGACCAAGCTCACTCATTCCAATGCTGAGAATTGGAACTCGAAAGTGCCAGAAGGCATTCAAGCCAAATTACTGTTTGGCCTCGAGAATGTGAATGTGAATGAAGTGCGTGAGGAACTACGGCAAGAACCAACCTAGCGAGCTTGGTCGGCCATTCGTATGTAACCCATACATTCCCAATATAGATTCCATTCCATTGCATATGTATACGAACCGGAGGGAGAGTGATTGAGAATAAGGATGGCGGAAGGTGGCAAGGTAGCTCCCGCCCGCCGTAGCAACAAAGCCCCGCCGTCAGAATCCAAAGGGCCTCCTCAAGCTCTCACACGGATATAAGCAGCTCTCCATCCATCTGCCTACCTACCTACCTAAGGTACCTACACATGTAGGTAGACCAGTGTTCGGGTCGCAAGATGCCTTCAGTCAGGGGTTTCATTGAGAAGATCAACCCGTGGCACGAGGAGAGTAAGTCAGTCCTTGCATCATCAAGTCGACCATTTTGAGCTGATCCTTTTTTTCCTCATAGTCGAATCACCCCCGCCGCCGCCAATCACGACCGGGACGGCCGTGCTGTTACTCGGCCTCTATGCGCTGATCTATGTTGTGCCCTTCTACGCCTCTAAGTTGACTCGGCCGTCGGCAAATCTCTCTCGCGATGCTCCCTCTGTCATCAAGGGTCGCATCCGGTCCGTGGCCATCTCATGCATCCTCTGCTGTTTATGCACCTACGTCATTCTCATCCAGGAGGCCCATGTGGCCATATCGGATGCCCTCCACCTGATGGGTGTCTGGCCCGTTGCTCTAGTCGACTCCGCCAGAGCCATTTTCCTCACTGTAGTCCTCTTCGCCGGGCCCTTGTTTAGCTACTTCCTTGTAGATGGCGGGACGAGCGAGTGGTTGAAACTGGAACCACTGAAAGACCTCTGGGAAGAGTGGACCACATGGCGCAACATCATCGCCGTATGTTAAAAGCTTGCCTACCCCAACCCCCCTCCCCCCTACCCATTCCGACAATGCTAACTAGACACCCCCACCATCTAGGGCCCCATCACAGAGGAGGTCCTCTTCCGCACCGCCTCCGTCCCGCTGATGCTCATCGCCCGCACCCCGATCCGGCAGACCATCTTCCTGTCGCCCGTCGTCTTCGGCCTGGCGCACTTCCACCACTTCTACGAGTTCCGCCTCACCAACCCGGCCGTGCCCCTCGCCGCCGCCCTGCTGCGCTCCCTCTTCCAGCTCGCCTTCACCACCCTCTTCGGCGCCTACGCCACCTTCGCCTACCTGCGCACCGGCTCCCTCCTCGCCGTCTGCGCAGTCCACTCCTTCTGCAACTGCATGGGCCCGCCCCGCGTGTGGGGCCGCGTCGCGCCCGCCCCGACGGCCGCCCGCCGCGACGAAGAGCGCAGCACGGGCTGGACCGTGGCCTACTACCTGCTCCTCGTCTCGGGGGCCGTCTTGTGGTGGAAGAACCTGTGGGCGTGGACGGAGAGCGCGAATGCGTTGGTGCCTACTTCAGCGTTTAGGGGTGCCTAGCATGGGCGAGGACGAGCGACCGGGGTGTTCCGAGGAATGGCGGTTTCAGGTTGGAGTGAACATAATAATGACGGGTCTTTTCACGTTGTCTTGAAACCACCTACCAGGTTTGAGACAGGCTCTTTACAGCGACTTAAGACATTGAAACATGGTAAAGTGATAACCTTCCTGTGTGGGCTGATTCCTTGCATGTTAGCTGCGCAGCAGCAACTATAGAATGTTCTCCCCAGCGCTCAATCGCTGCATGATATGGTAAAGTATATAAAAGCCAGATATACGGTTTCTATACCAGCATTTCTCATAGCTACCGACATAATAATTGAGTTGTGAGTCTCTATGAGGACCACGGGTCAGCTCGGCTCATTGGCTAGCCCTACTGCCAATCATTTGAGTGGAGAAGCGTAGGACAAAAAGCGAACAGCTTCCACCCGCTCTTCTGACAATTCAGTGCTGGGATTAGGTGGCTGTGCGAGTGACGACACGCGGGTGAAGGTGACGGGTCAGACCGCCTTAGCAAATTCTAGACCAGGAGGCTTCGGTCCCCTCAAGTCGCCATGTCCATACTCGTGCCTGGCATCGCGCCAGGCATGTTGAACGTTTCCCCCGCCCGGGAGCGTCTCCTATGCCTCAAAGAGCCCTGAGCTACATCCGCCCGACCGTCTGCTTCTGGGCCGCCGTCTCTCCGGGCTTCCTCGCGCAGATCTCGCGCAATCTCAGCGCCCTTGGCTTTGCTCATTGAGCGCTCCGCCTCGGCAATCGCATCGTCCCCACCTCGAGTGTTCTTCTTGCGCGGCCACATGCTGGGGAGCGCGATCTCCTGGAACCTAGGCTCGACGCAGCGCTCGTCGAACCAGCGGTGGAGAAGCGACTCGATCAGCTGCGCAATCTTTGGAATGTCTTGCAACCTCGACCGGCTGCCAAGGAGGCTTCGGATGGAAAAGTCGAGCCGGTAGTCATCCAAGAAGGTGAAAGTCATCTTTGTCGGTGTCGATTGCGACGGGTTGCTCGGGACGAACGATATCGATAAGGTACCACTAAACCTGACAACCGACACGGCCAACGCAACGGGCAAGACTGCGCTGAGCTTTTTCGGGTAGTTTAGCAGTAGCTTCGTCTCAATTGCGAGCGTAATCATGTCGCTCAGATCGACGTCCATCCGCGCCTGCAATCGAGCCCCTTCCCTGGCCCCCATGTTGGCATCAAAGGCTCTCCCATGGCCCAAACTGAGGCCATCCTCGTCGACGGGGATAATGCGACAGTTGCTGAAGATGGGGAAGTCCTCTCCCAGGCTCAAATCTGTAACTCGAATCTCGTCCAAGAAATCCGGCCGCGAGGCGCCGTTAAGCGCCTTGGTCAAGGACGATAAGATGGCATCGTCGTGCTGGGCATCGCTGCGGAATTGTGCGATTGTCTGGGCCACAAGAACGTTGAACCAGTCCAGGCTCTCTGGCTGGTGACTGTCCACCTTGTAGTATGTCTTATTTAGGATCGAGTCAATAGTTAGGTTTGGTGGACTCGGTCTTAGTATGCTAGACTTCTTGTTTAACGTCGGGTGGTGGGGGTGTTGATGGTTGGCATTGCGCGCACTAGGTGACCCCAGGCTTAGAAGGGATTTTTTGTGTGACAGAGTCCTCGATCGCCGGTCAGTCGCTCGTAATGAAGCTCGCACGTCGGCCGAAGGGGGTTCGCCGAATATGAAGTACTTGATGAACGCGGCGATTAAGAGGACCACCGAGACCTGGCCGAGGATCAGGCCTTGGGTAAATGAGAGTCTGTCAAACCGCCATATTAGTTTCTTCTTCTAAAACACCAAGCACATATACTTACGTCGGCTCAGGCCTTGCTGGACAAACGTCTTGTGCCATGTCTGTAGAAACGATGCTCCAAGCAGGTGTGATGCGTCGTTCTTCTGTGTGGGAGTAACCTACAGTACATACATACCTATGGAGCGCTAATGTTAGTCTTATCTTATCAGCTAGGATAACGCACGGACTCAACCCGCCAAGGCCTAGTAACGGAAGCGATGATGCAGGCACCCAGGGCTAGCGGAGCCGCATCAGACCTCCACCACTCAAGGCTGCCACTCGGATGTTAACAATACACCACTATTGTGTGGATTGGGAACTCGTATAAAGAGGGGGAATATATGCCCGACAGCCAAGCCATTAACCACGATTCGCTCCATCCTCGTTCCATGCTCTAGATCAACGATTATCGGACTCGCTATGAGCGAGGGCCCTTTCACTACGAGCCCTTCTTAGTCGACTGTGTCGCTGTGACGCGTTCTACCGGCAAGATGGATGTAGTTCAAGCAGTGTCCGGCTACATCTCGAAGATGGTGTCGGCTGGGGACAGCACGTCTGGGGCAGCTTCTGCCAAGATGAAGATCCTCCTGCTTGACCGAGAAACTGTCCCAATCGTCTCAACCGCCATCACACAGTCCTCGCTTCTCAACCACGAAGTGTACCTTATTGACCGTCTGGACAACCCCAATAGAGAAAAGATGAGGCATCTACGGTGTCTCTGTTTTGTGAGGCCCCACCCGGACTCCATTGGTCTTCTCATCGACGAGTTGAGGGAGCCCAAATACGGCGAATACCACCTGTATTTTAGCAACGTGGTGAAGAAGTCATCTCTGGAGCGCCTCGCCGAGGCCGATGACCACGAAATTGTCAAAGTCGTCCAGGAGCACTTTGCGGATTACGTTGTCATCAACCCTGACCTTTTCTCTCTCAACATGTCTGCTCCCCAGTATCGCATCTGGAGTGGCGGTCCGGACATGTGGAATACCGATTCCCTTCAGAGGGCAACAGAGGGCATCATGGCCGTCCTCCTGTCTCTGAAGAAGAAGCCGCTGATCAGGTATCAGAAGAATAGCTTCTTGGCTAAGAAACTAGCCTCAGAGGTCAGATACAACATTACCCAGGAGGAACAACTCTTCGATTTTCGGAAAGTGGACACTCCTCCGATTTTACTCGTGTTAGACCGGAGGGACGATCCTATTACGCCCTTACTCGCGCAGTGGACCTACCAGGCCATGGTCCACCATCTCCTCGGAATCCAAAACGGGAGAGTTGATCTCAGCGACGTACCGGATATTCGGGAGGAACTCAAAGAGATCGTCTTGTCGCAGGACCAAGATCCATTCTTCAAGAAGAACATGTATCTGAATTTTGGCGAACTGGGAGGGAACATCAAGGACTATGTGGAGCAATACCAGTCACAGACCAAGAACAACGCCAACATCGAGTCGATATCGGACATGAAGCGCTTCATCGAGGAGTATCCCGAGTTTCGGAAGCTATCCGGAAACGTCAGCAAACACGTCACCCTGGTCTCCGAGCTCAGTAGGAGGGTTGGAGCAGAGAGCCTACTCGAGGTTAGCGAAGTGGAACAGAGCCTAGCATGCAATGATAACCACAATGCGGATTTGAAGGTGAAGACCAAGTCGTGAATGCCGATCGGACACCAGCTGACATTGGAATCAGAACGTTCAAAAACTGATACAGTCGCCGTCAGTGACCATCGACAACAAGGTCGGCTTGGTCGCGCTGTATGCCTTGCGACACGAGAAGAATCCATCCAACTCGCTGCCAATGCTCGTCGATCTACTCAACGCTGCCGGGGGGGTGCCAGCTCGTCACACTGATCTAGTGGCGAAACTGCTCATATACCACTCATCTCTACAGCAAACACAAGGCGGAAGCGGCATCACGGATATTTTCGAGTCTACCGGCATATTTGGCGGTGCCACCAGTCGTTTCAAGGGTCTGAAGGGTGTCGAGAACGTCTACACGCAGCACTCAGCTCTGTTGGAGACGACGCTACAGAACCTCATCAAGGGGAAGTTGCGGGACCAACAATATCCTTTCGTCGAGGGTGGCGGGACAACTAGGGACAAGCCGCAGGACATTGTTGTCTTCATCATCGGAGGTGCGACTTACGAAGAGGCGAAGATGGTCGCCGGAATCAACGCATCCACACCCGGTGTGAGGGTTGTTCTGGGAGGTACAACGGTGCACAACGCTACAACTTTCCTAGAAGAAGTTGACGATGCAGTTTCCACATGGCCAGAACCACCGCCAACCACAGCAGCTGGGAGGCTCAGGAAGGAGATAGGGCGGAGGTGACGGGATTCTCAGGCAAGGGGTGTGAAATGGTAATGCATAGATTGGCATTGGATCAATTGAATTTCTAAAGCATGCTGTGCACTTCAATAAGTCTCCTCATCTGAAGCCCGTTGCGATCACAATCAAGTGTACTATATATACGTCGTACAGTACCTATGTAAGCTAGGGTTACGGTGGGGTGTGGCGATAAAGAGAATACTCGTCTTATCGAGATCTTTTTTTACCTGGCGGCGATAACACCTCGACGGACTTGACATGCGCAACACAGGAAACTGATCAGCTCACTCTCCTTGCCATGGGATAGATCCTACGGCAATCATGACGAAGATAGTGATTCCAAGAATCCTAAGGCTTGCCAGACGGCCAATCGCGCCACAAACACCACGATCTATTAGAAGGAGGGCATTCGCAACAGTAGCTTCAGACTCCAGGTACGCGACAACGAATGCGCCTCCAAGAAGTCTAACCAGACAAACTAACCTCCCGCGGCCCCAGACCTTTTGATGTAGTAGTCATCGGCGGCGGGCACGCCGGCTCAGAAGCATGTGCGGCAGCGGCGCGGTCCGGCGCTCGCACCGCCCTCATCACGCCCAAGATCGACAACCTTGGCACCTGCTCGTGCAACCCGAGCTTCGGCGGCATCGGCAAGGGAACCATCATACGCGAGATCGACGCACTCGACGGCCTCGCGGCCCGCGTCATCGACAAGGCCGGCGTGCAGTTCAAGGTGCTGAACCGGAAGAAGGGCGCGGCCGTGTGGGGTCCTAGGGCGCAGATCGACCGCGCGCTGTACAAGAAGTACATGCGCGAGGAGCTGGAGGGGTACAAGAACCTCTCCATCATAATGGGGAGCGTGTCAGATATCGTGGTGGCCGAGAACGATGACGGGACCGCTGGGGCGAAGAGCAAGATCACAGGGGTCCGGCTGGAGTCGGGCGAGGTGCTGCCGACGACCCAGGTCGTCATCACGACGGGGACGTTCCTGGGCGGCGAGATACACATCGGCCTGGAGGCATACCCGTCGGGGCGGATGGGCGAGGCGGCCACGTTCGGCCTCAGCAAATCCCTCAAGGACGCGGGCTTCCAGCTCGGCAGGTTGAAGACGGGCACGCCGCCGCGGCTGGCAAGGAGGAGCATCGATTTCAGGGCGCTCGAGGTGCAGCCCGGCGACGACCCGCCGGCGCCCTTCAGCTACCTCAACGACAGCGTCGCGGTGCAGGACCAGCTGCTCTGCCATGCTACGTATACCAACGCCGCTACGCACGACGTCGTGCGCGCCAACCTTGACAAGACGATCCACATCCGCGAGACGGTCAAAGGCCCGCGGTACTGCCCATCGCTCGAGTCCAAGATCATCCGCTTCGGCCACCGCGAGCGGCACATCGTGTGGCTCGAGCCCGAGGGCTTCGACACTGACGTCATCTACCCCAACGGCCTGTCCATGACGATCCCCGCCGACGCCCAGCAGCAGCTGCTCCGCACGATCCCCGGCCTGGAGGACGTGACGATGCTGCAGCCGGGGTACGGGGTCGAGTACGACTACGTGGACCCGCGGGGGCTGCGTGCGACGCTCGAGACCAAGGCGATCCGCGGCCTCTTCCTGGCGGGGCAGATCAACGGCACGACGGGCTACGAGGAGGCGGCGGGGCAGGGCATCGTGGCGGGGATCAACGCCGGGCGCGCGTCGCGCGGCCTGGCCCCCGTGACCGTCTCCCGCGGCGACGGCTACATCGGCGTCATGATCGACGACCTCGTGACCAAGGGCGTGTCGGAGCCCTACCGCATGTTCACGTCGCGCTCCGAGTTCCGCATGTCGGCCCGCTCCGACAACGCCGACGCCCGCCTGACGGGCCTCGGCCGCGCCTGGGGCGTCGTCTCGGACCGGCGTTGGCGCGCCTTCTCCGACGAGCGCGCCCAGGTCGCCGAGCTGACGGCCCTCCTCCTCGGCGCGACCCGCCCGGCCTCGGCCTGGCGCGCCGCCGGCTTCGCCGTCCGCAGCGACCCGCATCCGCGCTCGGGCCTCGACCTCCTCCGCCTACGCGGCGTCTCGGGCGTCGACGACCTCCTCCCGCACCTCCCCGACGCCGTCGCAGCGTCCTTCCCGGCCCGCGTGCGCGCCCGCGTCGGCGTCGAGGCCCTCTACGCACCCTACGTCGCCATGCAGGGGGCCGAGCGCGCCCGCGTCGCCCGCGACGAGGGCCTGGCGCTCGACCCGGCGCTCGACTACGCCGCCGTCCCGGGGCTCAGCATGGCCGAGCGGGCGGCGCTCGCGGCCACGCGGCCCGAGAACCTGGGCCAGGCGAGGAGGGTCGAGGGCGTCACGCCCGCCGGGTGCGTCAGGCTGCTGAGGTACGTGCAGAGGGCGCGGGGCAGCGAGGGGGCGCCCGAGGCGGAGGCGGAGGCGGAGGTGGCTGGTCTCGGGGAGGTGGTGGACGGCGAGGACATGGAGACGCTGGATGCGAAGGCGAGGGCTGCCGACTTTTGAGCGTTCTTCTGGCCGGGCCAAGGTGTGTCTGGGGAGAGGGGAGGCTTGATTATTATTGTTATTATCAAACATCATGCATAAGAAGCGATAGGAGCGGGAGAACACATGTATCATGCTGTATGAATAGGGGGCTTGTCAGTGACTATTGAATGATCCTGGCCAGGATGGGGTTCCAGCTTCGGTGGAAATTGGGTTTATTCTTTTTTACATATACAACACCAACCATTATATAAAACAACAGTGGGAGGGTCATCATCCCCCCTTATGTATGTAGGCCTGCCAAATATACCCATACAGTTAGACAGGGGAACATTTGGTAACGGGTTAACAGCACGGAATAGCTTTCAGAATTCCATTACCCCGTCATTTCTGCTCCGGCTCCTTGGCGTCCTTGTTCGGGTTCGACAAGATCCTGACCGCATCTTTACTATACACATAGCTAGCGCCACTCCAAACAGTTGTCGTTGCGACGACATACCTAGCTCATCGTCAGCAAAGATCAAGAATCACTTGCCGATAAGACCGGGGGGGGGGGGGGTTTGGGATGGGGGGATCGGAGGTGAAAAGGAAAAAAAACACGCGGGTTACTCACTGCATGGCGGTCAGGGCCGTGGTCAGATCCACCGAGACCACGGGGGCAACGGTGGTCAGACCCAACAGGGCAAGTTGCAACGCCGTGTTGTACTTGCTGATGGTGGTGGGACGGACCTCGGCAGACGGAAGAGAGAAGTCCCAGTACCTGGCGAAGGTCTTTGGCGGGGGAAGGGAGATCCACCGGTAGTAGATGGCGGCAATCCCCAGGCCGACATCACGGCCAAGAATGATGGCTGCGAGCCACACTAACGTTTAGAGGATTTGCACATTAGTACACAGGGAAGCACGGCGAGATATCATTAGGAGATGAAAGTCAACCGGGGGCTGGGCACACAGCCTACAGGCCCATGCGGGACGAAAGGCAAGAACAGCATCTTACCTGGCAGAGCACCCTTGGTCGCCAACGCAACGACGAGGACGGTCACCAACGTCTTGTCGGCCATCGGGTCGATGACGGTGCCGACAACCGTCTTCTGGTTCCACCTTCGGGCAATCCAGCCGTCGAGCAGGTCGGTAATGCCAGCGTAGGCGAAGAGGCCGAAGGCCCATGCATGGTGGTCATGGAGGATGGTGTAGCCGACGAAAGGCGCGGCAACGAGCCGAGAGAAGGTGAGGATGTTGGGGATGGTGTAGATGTTCTCTCGCGCAGTCGGGAGCGAGGGGAGTGAGGGGAGCGCTGGCAGGACCTTGCGTAGACGTGACGCTTTACGGGGTGGTTCGGGGCTCCTGAAATTCACGCCCGAGTCAGTACGCCATCGCAGCCATTTAGTAGTTGCATCATAAGCATGGCATCGAGACAAAAGGTAGGCCCGCCGCAATGCCTTCGTCATGGTCTCGATAGATACAGGTCACGTGAGTGGGAGACGGGTGATTCGGGGGGGAGCTGCATACTCCGGATCTCGTGCACAGCATCGTCGGGTGAGCGAAAGGCACCTTGCCCGGTCAGAGAGTCGGGGTGAGTGATCTAGTGCGGTTCTCCCCGGCCGCTTTCGTGGGAAGACGGGAGACTGCAAGCCTCTTTCTTGATAGTGCCACAGGCCTCTATCGCCTTTGGCGGCAAGAGAACTTCTCGAGCCGCATAGGGACCGAGATGAGTGGGCGGCTCTCAGGCACAATCGCATCTGGGAGTGCATAACTCTTAAGCCGGAGGCATTCAATGGGAGCAGCATAGTCATAATGGGTCGAGACTTGGTGGCATTCTTGCCCTTGGCTAGTTCCCAGGCGCAATGGCGACGCCGTTAGGGATCGGCTAGACCTGCCTCGGGAGGGACGGGATGGGCAGGGCGTATGCACGAGCACGGAAGTTTTGGCGAGGTGATCTTCTGGGCCGAGTACGAATTCGGTATTGCCTTAGTACCTCCTGCGGCGAATAGCAAATGCGGACGGAGGGGGGTTTGCGGAAATCGGCCCAGAGCGAGTTGCCGGCCGACGTTACCGTCTCGGGGCCTTGAAGAACAATGACAGGACTGAATGAAACTGGAAGAAAATCCGCTCCCCCTTGACGCGAGAAGCGCGAGACGCCGAGCAAGGGTTGGTGGTTTCGCAACTCACTAGCGCAAGGCTTTTTCCACGTGATGTATTCCGGCGACCAGAGTAATAATAATACTTTTTTTATTCGATTATATAAAGATATAAAGGGCCTTTTTTGGGGGTTATTTTCTCCCTTTCCCCATTACATCGCCATGTACAATCAGTCAAAAGCCTCCCCCCACCCCTCCATAGAAGAATAATTGTCGAACGCTTCCAGGGCTCCTACTCCATAGTAGGCTGGCTAGAAATCATGTCTGCGTAAACAAAACCCAACTCCGTAAACAAAACAAAGCAAGCGCGTTGAACGGAAATAGAGAACTGGATTAAGAAACCCTGCTCAGCTCGTATTTGGAATCCAAATTGGCATCTTCATCCCCCATGTGTGTCTGGGCCATTGATGACGAAAACATGATGCTCGATGTCCCATTCCTGGCCATGCTCGATGGCATAATCCTGGGGGTGGTCTCGAGCCCAAACTCGCAGTTATGGCCTGGGGTGACCGTCGGAGGCTGAATTTGCTGCGTTGTGAAGAACTGATTGGCCGGCTCGCTGAGATAGTTGCCTGGTCCATTCATGGTCAGCTGAGCCCTGAACATGTCCTCTGGTGCCACCGTTGAAGGTTCCCCGGTGTAAGGTCCTGCCGGCGAAGGTGCGAAAACCTGATCCGGTTTAACGGAGGTCCCTGAAAAATGCGGCGGAAACTCGCCAGGTAGCGTGGTCATTGACCCGTGGCCCGATGAGCTTGGGCGTTGGGGATTATAGGTGTAGCCTTTCGTGGTGCGAGGCGCATAGTCGTAAGGCGGATAGTCGTTAGGCGGATAGTCGTTAGGCGGATAGTCGTTAGGCGGATAGTCGTTAGGCGGATAGTCGTTAGGCGGATAGTCATGAGGAGAATATGCGGGATGAGTACAGTGGTGAAGGGGGTTGGGCGCCGGTGCTGGCAAAGATGGAGGTATTGGGTAGGTAGTAGACCGATAGATCGGCACGGAGTTAGTCGGGTCGGACATGGACCGTTCGCTGGGGAACTGGGGGTTGTATTCCACAGACGGAATACGATGGGGGTCGTAAAACGTGAACGACCGGTCTCCTCCCATATTGAAGTAGTACTCCTCGTGTTCAACGGGCACCCGGAAGCTTTGGCACTTCAGGAGGTCCATGCGCGGGACAACCCCGCTGAACCTGAGATCGTCTGCAACACTCGTAAGTTTCCCGGCCAAGACATCGTCGATCGCGTAGTAGGAAACCAGGTGATGCGGGATGCCGTTCCAGCTGATGCTGATGGTCTTTTTGACTAAGCCGCCCGACTTAAATGAATACGAGTCGACCAAGGACCCGACCAAGTTTCGATGGGCGTCACCTTCTCCCTCGGACACGTCTAATTCGCTAGGCATGACAAAGGCGGCCGGATTGGCGGGAACTGTTGGGTGTGAACCTCGAGGTTCGGTCCTGGTGGCAGACCCGGCCTTAGCCTTCGTCTTCTTCTGGGCCTTTTTCTTCTCGCCCGGGGGGAAGGCGGCCGACAATTCGCGGTAGACTAGGAAGTTACCAAGGATGCGGCTCGGGCTCCAGGTAACACCGTCGGTCCATCTCTTGATACCAGAAGCATTCTCTTCATATATGAAGATATTCCCGCTGCGAATGAGCTCCTCCCGTTCTCGGTCGTGAGGTCGCCGGGATATGCGCCCCACCCTCCCGGTGATCCAGCCCTCGAAGAGAATCATAGCTTCCATGGTGCTGCCAACGTGGCCGTGCCATGACGGCTGCAGGTTCTGTGACGCACTTGCCATCGTGCCTAGCAGACGGGTCAGGTGTGGATTATGAGGAGCGTGGGTCTTGGGCCGTGAACTCCTACTTCGAATTTGCTATGATGGCTGGACTGTTGTGTCCCAGAGAGCGCCGCCTAATTGCCAGTCGCAAGCAAGGTCGAACTCGAGAGAGCTGAAAGACGGATAGTTGGTAAGGCCTTGGGAGCTGAGATCACGGGAACACGGTTCTTAATAGTCGAATTCTTGGGTGCTGAGTTTTGGAGTCTTTGGGTCATGGGCTCTCTGGAGGATAATCCAGCTCCTTATATATGAAGGGTGGCAAAGGAGGTCCTCGTAAAAGATACAGCTCGGGGTACGTTGTGCATGCAGAGACAGGGCATGTACAGAGGGCCGAGTTGAGTTTGGGAAGACGACGCACTTGGGAAGACGCACTTGGGAAGACGCACTTTGTAGGCTGCCAGACCGAAATCTGCATAGCTATAAAAAGTTGTTCCTGAAAGTTAACTCAATTGGCCCTTGTGACCGCATAGTAAGTGTCGTAAAACCGAGGGACCAAGTGGCGAGGGAAGGGTAGAGGAAAATATAGTTCAATCATGCCTATGTGCCTCTAGGGCTCGGAGTTCGCTGGCGGTTCTGACAGGAGATCCTTGTGTCAATCGTCGCGGAGCTGTGGGGTGAATTGGCTGCCGCGAAGGGAAGTAGTGGAGGTTACCTTACCTAGATAGGTACCTACCTACTTACATACCTGGAGTCAACCTACTCACTCATGGAGAGCAAGTACCCTCGACGAGGTAGTTTGACCCGTCGCTCCTCCCTAGGGCTCCACAACTCTCTTGGGGTCCGGCTCGAGCTACTAGCCGCGACCGAGCTATTTTAGCGCTCCATCTCCGTTACGGTGCTAGGAGTTCGAGACGAGTCTAGCTAGAATGGTGTCGAGTGTTAATGACAGAATCTTGCAAGCGACGCCTCAGCATTTGGTAATTCAGACACTCAGCCCAAGTCGCCTCTGCGGCAAGATACCCAAGGTAATTACTACCCAGGTACCCAGGGTTTTTGCCAGTACCGTCCGGCCTTACAATGGAAGGCGAGATACCAAGTAGGCAGAGGTAGGTAGATACCTATGGATTCAATGTCCTGGAACGCACGGGCCAGCTCCACAAGCACGTCCGGTCCCTCAATGATAGGTACCTATCTCGTAGTCACTCTCCGAGACTGCATTACTCGGGCGGTCCCAGTGGCTTAGGACCTCAAACCCCAACAAAAAAAGGAATTCTCTTCCCAGCTCCAACGCGGGATTATTGACTGGCTGGTCGGTCTAGGATAAGCACTTCGAGGAGGAGAGACCCTTGATACACTTCAAATCCGTATTGGGGAGGTTGAACATGAGCCACACTGCGTCAGAATGCTGTTACGCTACATTAGCTAAATGAGTGGGGGCGACTTGGAGTGATCGGCGGGAACCTCGGGCAACTGCAACCTGGGGTGACGTGACAACTGAAAGAGGGGGGAGATAGCGGACATTCTGCGTACCTCTCTTCTCTAGGTACACGCGTCTGTGGAAGTTATTTCCATCCGTCCATCTTTGATTTCGAACCGGGCCTCTCAAGTTATTCCTCGACCCTCAGCCCGGAGCCATATCCTGGCAACGACAATGCCCACAATGCCCACAATGCGAGGGATTGCAGAGCCCGCTGCTAGGTGAAGAGGTACCCATTCGTGGTAGCAGAATGTTCCCATTTCGGGAAGAAACTCTAAAATTCATCAACGATGTTAGATTGCCAGGTTCTCTCCACCCATGTGGCTCGTGCTCCCGGTTTCCGTTTTCTGCATCGTACAGGAATATTGAAAGCTTGCCCTATTCCCATGCACCGACAGAGATATGCCGACACAGGCTCCTTCCTGCAGAGAGGAGTCATCACGAACGGCCACAAAACTCAGAGGGACATAGAGATGGAAAAACTTGGCCCCTAGCACCGAGAATGAGATGAGATTCCCTGACGGGACGACTGTGAACTTGAACCATTTTCACTCACGTGCCCACAAGGCCATGTAGGTGCTCTCACACAACAGCTTGGCCTTGCGCTAATTAGCGCCATATCCTGCATGAGCAGGGGGGTGGTGGGGGTGTCATGCATGGCCCTATGAAAGGACCCACATACAACACAAGAGAGAGCCTCATGGTTACCTACCTACCTAGCGACCAAATCACGAATAAAATATAGCATGTGATACGGCGCTGCGCCGAAGATCAGGGTCCTTGTTGGTCAAGAATAGCACCCGATGATTGTCAATCTGCTCCTCGTAAACGCATTTCTCAATTAGACCATTCCGAGACATCCCTGTAATTGTTACTGCCGTCTGTCGCGCGCCCATGGCACCCCGACCCCGCAGGACTCTTCCAAATTCCACGTAGAGACGCCGCGTGTTACTCAACGGCCGTTTTTGTTGTCACCGAGTGCGAATGCGCTGCTCGAACTACACCACCACAGTACTGCGGTAGTCATTTCAGCCAATAAACTACAGACTACACCCCTTGATTGGAATTTGGATCTACCTACCCGGCACTAGAGAATAAAGTTTACTGGTCACTAATGCTGCCAAGTGTCGAGATGTAACCTGGTAAATAGTTACATTAGGTAAGCAATCCGGACGTCAAGCAAGGCACAGCTCTTCGCAAACCTGAATACGTGGTGAGGACCTACCTAGTTAGGTACCTTAGGTAGGTACCTAAGGAGGGAGGTACATACATTAGTTGTTGTGAATACAACGTAGGTACAGTAGGTACCTTAGGTATCTAGTAGGTGAGGCTACGGGGTTGAGTGACAGCCCATCACAATCCTGACCAGCATCCATGTTTCTGTTGGAAACCCGGGGCCCATTACATCCTGCCAACATCGTCAACCCACCGAGTATGCCGAAGCCCAGCACCGGTAGGTAAAGCGGAGCTTCCAATCAAGCACCCTGCAAACCCCATGACAATTGGCTGGCGGGGGTCAGCTCTTTCATCCCTTTGAAGTTCCCTCAAATTGGTGGCGCAGTCAACCGTTGAGTTTACACCTGCATGTAACAACTGGTAGTCACCGACATAATAGGGGAAGAATTACCGAGGGCCCGCCAATCACTCATCCTGATGAAACCACGGCTGCCCTGAGCCCGAGCTATATGGCGTTCCTGGCAACTCCATTGGGATAGGGACACGCCCTTCAAATACGCCCCAGCCCTCGGACTCACCGGGTGAATCGCCGCCCCCGAGATTATCCCCAAACGCCGAGCTTGGTTGCAGGGACTTTCTTGCTGGAATTACTACTCCACACTCCCAGTTTCGACACGTTAGTTTAGGCTGCTTTGTCGCGCGATCTTTGACTAGACGACCCCTATGCATGGAGAATCAGGGTTAATGCCGATAATGATGGGTTAGACATGAGAGGAAAACGAAACGCTGGTCCAAACTTACCAAGCGCTCTCTGAGAGATTGGCGCTACCGACGTAGGCAAACCCTCCTGGGGAATCTGGAGCTCCGGCCCCTGCGTCATGCCGCCTAACATAGAGAACTTTGCTGTGCATTAGCAAGCCCTGCCTCCTCGATTTGCAGTCCCGCAACACGTCTCGTGGAAAAGTTGGCTGATTCCACCACCGTGACTGGAAACAGATCGTCCCGGCCGACTGTAATCATCAGAAAACTTTCTTGTATATATGTATCTTATCATTGATAAGTAGGCCTAGGGAAGAGGGCTAGGGTAGTCACTAACATTCCTGCCGCCGCGGCTCTGTCTGACTGTGCTCTGTGAAGGGAAGTATACGCGAACCTGAGTCTTCAGAGGCGCGTTCGGATCTTCTGCCGAGGTCACATCCTTGCTCTTCTTGGAAATTGTCGTCCTGGCGTCGTACTCCTTCAAACCGGAATCTCCTGCAAAACGTGTAAGCGCACCAGTGACCAATCTTAGGTACGTGATAAATCCCACCTTGGCAGGCGTTGTAAATCGCTTGCAGCAAGTCATAGGTGACGGCTCCGAGCGACGCGGTCTGGTCAAGGCGGTTAGTACGAGAGGCTGGTTGAGAAGCTCTTGACTCATCGATGAGAGGCCAATACCACAAAGTCTATCCTGACTGAATCGACAGAACCCAGCCCAAGACTGCAGACGGCACGCCCTAGGCCACAATAACCTTCGCGACATGTCAGCTACCTAGTATACATAGCAGTCCGAACCTTGGGCAACTCACCAGTTCGACCCCAAGATTCGCCTATATGCGACCCTGCACTGCGAGGCAAAGTTAATTAGAGCGAGTAAAAAAAAAGGGAGGCAAAGTCAAATGCTCACATTGAATGGACAAAACCATAGCCAGCCGTTTCGGAGAAATCGTATTTCCCGAGGCTCTTGATAAGCCTCTCATCCATGCCCTGGGCGGTGAGAAAGTAGGACAGCTCCTCGCCGAAGGCAGTGAAGTTGTTGGCCAACCCGGTTTCTGCATCGCTGAGCCGGGGAAGGTCGATGATAAACACCATCTAGGATAAGCCAACTGTCAGTTCAGCCACACTAAAAAAAACTGATGGAGAGTGTCGGCCTACATTCTCCAGGGATCCGGTTTCTCCCCAGTCGTAAGGCACAAGGTTCCCTGTGGGGATAACTATTCGGAGATAGGTTGCGTACTTGAGCAGTTGCAGTTTGGAATGCATGGAACCAGGCCCATTCATGGGGGGGAAGCAGAAGCGGATCTTGTCTCTAGGCACATTTCGCCTCATCTCTTCCTTCTAAACAACGCCGTCAGCCAATGGCCTCTCACAGGCTATCCTCACCCCGTGACCCGCGGAACCAGTAGAATCGAGGTGGCGATGTCACCAACAAGCCGAGATGCTAGCATCCAATGGTGGTCCATACCTGAGCCTCGTCGGCCGCGAAAGCGACCAGAACCAACTTGGTCCTGGTAAGGTTGAATTTCGACAGAAGCCAGTCGTCTTCCCACTGGAAGGAGCTAAGCACGGCTAGCTCCAGCTGGTCCTTTTGTAGGACCTCGTCGATGGTGATATCATCGCCGGATCGAGGATATCCCCTTACCCACGTCTTCTTGACTACCCCTTTAGGGAAAACAGGGGTCGTCGAGGGGCTAGAATTTTTCGTCGGGTGATATTCCCCCGAACTTTCCGCAGCTCGAGCCTTCGGCGATTTAACTTTGGTTCGCTGCGTGGGTCGTGGTTGGTCCACGTCGAGAGATTCCGGGGCTTTGCGCTTCTTGAGTCTTGCTAGCCGTTCCTCTTCCATCTTCTTCCTGTCAAGGCCTAGTGCAGCAAGACCGCCGAGGGCGGCAGGCTGAGTCGACGGCTGGGGTGCTACCTCTTTCTGGCCCGACGAGGTGTGGCGATGACTCGAAGCAATATCCAAATTTGCCTCGTCATCACCCTCAGTAAGGTCAACCACGGGATGTCCCTGTGTGGTTTTCTTCGCCGAATGGTCTTGGCCAAGAGACATGGCAATGGCGATACGGAGGGCTTCCTCCTCGTCATCACCGCCGTTCATTTCCGATGCTCGATTTTGAGGCATTTATTTCCCCGCATTCGAGTGTGTACACACCCTTCTGCAATACGAGGTATAAGAGTATTGCATTGCTCGATGTTATCAACTTGATTCGTCGTGTTGAGCAGTCAGCTACAGTTGTCGTTGATTGTTTGATGAGGTACTGTGTGCCTAGGTACCTAGGTACCTACTCTGGGACTGTGCCCGGAACCCAGTCGTTTGATTGGCTAAAGTACTAGAAATATGTATATACCGAAGTTCTGCAGTTACGGAGTAGAGGTACGGAAGTAGACCTCAAAAGTTTCTTTCCACTTACTAACAGCCCGTTATCTAAATATCTTTTTTACATACATACAACCCCTTAATTTCTTCCCCTTCACATGGCATTCGGAAGCTTCTTTGGTGTCCTAATCCTCCTAATTAGCGCAATCAAGCTACTTGGTTTTGGATCAAACGGATGACTACTTGAAAGGGGCCTCCTTAAAGCCAGGCAGATGCAATTCAGCGTTGGGAGTGTTGTTGGAATGAGGAGTTGACTCAAGACTAGATTGTAAGGGATGTGGAGGAGATTATTCTTCTAAAGGGTGGAAATGAATATAAAGAAGGCGTTGTCTGGCTTAAATAAATATATGGATTTATTTAAATAATAAGCTGTTAGCAAGTGGAAAGAAACTTTTGAGGTCCACTTCCGTAACTACTTCGAATTTCTACATAGGTACAGACCCTTGAGCCTTGAGTAGCATCCCTTGGAGACATTCGGAATTACTTCATGAGACTCTTCCCCTGGACAAAAAAGAAGCTTTACCAATTGCAAGTGTGGCGCCGGTGTTCATGACTACGGTGGGCCACAAGGGGAACTGTCTCAAACACTTTTTGGTAATTACACTTACCCCACGTAGGTCAAGGCGTATACAGGTTAAACCAATTTGACTACCATTTGTGCATAAAGCGTAATTACAGTGGATTTACCTTATATAATCAATTACTAAGCAAGAGAATAGAAAATAGGTGGCCATGTGATTCATCATGTGACTTATCATGTGATGCCACTTCAAGTCAATCCACTACATATTTCGGCCAATAAAATCTATCTACCTTTCTATCCTACTAGGCCTAATATGATCTTGCTTATATAACTATATATGCGTTGTATAAATGCTTAATACTGCGTATCACTTTTTCCTATAGGAAAAAAAGGACTAAAATAAATAAGAAGAAAAAACAGGCAAGTCCTTTTCTTAATCTAATGCAGCCTTTTACTTTGGTGTACAAATCTGTACGGTTAGTCGGAATTTTAAGGAGGTCTTGCCCTGATGCCTCGATTACTACAAAGGTGCTTTGTTCAATTTTCGAAAACCATATACGGTAGTTGCTTTTGAGACAGTTCCCCTTATGGCCCACCGTACATGACTCCCCCAGCTGCCGGCTATTACCGTCAAAGACCACCTAGCAAACTGACAAGTACCTAGGTACCTATTTCCGACTTCCCATTGCCACCTAGGTATTCCGAGCTGGCGATATTGAAATCCCGTAAAGTTTGGAAAGCTTAGATAGTCTAAAAGGCCATGGGCCGAATTCTCCAAGCTCGGGGAACTGAGGCTGAGCGGGTTGGGGAGATGATGGTGCCGAACTCGACCGAGAACAGTGTTCATGGGTGATTTTCGGCGAAGGGGTACCTACGCACGCGGTCTCTTGGATGGACACGACCGAAACCGAGGCCATCACCGATTGGCGATGCCCATCCCAGGCAGAATAGGTATGTACTTCGTAGATTTGCCACGAATCACGGGATGCTGATGGAGAGCTCAGGGTGGGAACTGCTGGTAGAATGATAGGACAGGTTGCGTTACTTATTCTGGGGAAGGGGTATCCTGTTAGCACAGATTATACCCACGTCAGAACTGCCTGAACTGTTTTGTGATCGTGAAACCCATCTCCACAAGCTGGTTTTTGTTGCTGTTGTAGCTGTTGCTTCTTTTCCAGCTTGACCGGTTGGTTCTATACCACATACCCTCGTTTTCCCACAAGAGAAAGCTGTGCCGTAAGTAAGGAGCTAAGGGAAGCTGTGGCGAAACAATTGCCAAACAACTGTGTGAAGCACATCTCGAGACATATCCACAACTATCAACACACTTAAGGGCATTGTCTGTCCGGCTGGTTGGTGTAGCTAAGCGCACAAATGCTTTGCACCTCACAAGTAGAAGACCAATGTTGTGGTATAATGTGGTTCGTGACATTCCGAAACTATGCCTTGCTGATTATCTATGACGAATCCACAATATATCCCCCAAAAAATGATTGTTGTTTTCTTGAATGTAGGTAGTCGGCATCCCCCCCCCCCCCAACCCCCCACCCCCCCCCCCAAAAAAAAAAAAAATATTGGATGTAGAGAATGAGACCAGAGTTAAAGTCCGGTTGGCCACCATCATTCAGTGCCATCTATCCACCGTCGAGAGGAGCCGAAGAAGAGAATAGAAGAAGAAAAGAGGCGGTGAATGAGAGAAGCCCTCGGTCCAAATAGGTTTGTCTCCCAGGCCCAACTCCAACGAAAGGCATGGAGGGTATCACCAAACAAAGCAGTGCCTCAACGCAGCAGCCTACCAGGCATACTCATACCAAATGTCGAAATGACAGACCCAAGAGACCTCGCCCCAACGCAATGCATGAATGAGCACATGCATATTTATGCCCCGTCATCACAAAGTTGTGTCTGCGCCCTTGGTCTAACCATGTCCAGACCAACCGGCCAACGCAGAGTGCGTCGACGCTGCCCGGAACGCCAAGATGGATGAAATTCGGCCCTGGCCCTGGGGCGATTGATACAAGATGTGTCGATGCCCCGCCTTTCATGCTCGTCGTCGCCCGCCCTCGCCGCCCTCGTGGAAAACCAGAAACCTCAAACGCCCATGGACCCACACAATGAAGAGATTGAGCAAGATACAAAAGGAAACGGCGAATATTGTACGGTATATTCGGTGCCTCGCGAATACGGAAACGTAATTCTCGGATATAAGGCGAATCATCTAGGAGCTCTGCGAGTTTGCGATAGTCGGTGCTTGTCCGAAACTGGGGCCTGAGTCGAGCTTCAGAATTCGGCGCAGACTGGCCTCCATCTGCAAGAGATCCTGGGGCCTCCCCCCATCCTGCCTGCCAGATGAGGTAGCGGTCGTTTGCTGAACTCGTGGGAGAACTGCGCCGCCGCTGAATGGATTTTGCGAAGTGGGGGACGTCAAGTCCGACTGGCCGTTGGGCTTGGCTGGCGCGGAGGGCGATGTTGAACTCAAGGCGAGGAACCTCTTTAATGCCTCGCTCCGCTCTGCGGGCGTTCCTTGCTGCTGCTGCTGCACCCCAATCGAGGATCGTCCGCCTTGCTTCTCGTTGGAACGGGCAGCCTTGATCCGCTCCTGAAACGGTGTCGAGAAAGCAGGGCCTATCGGCCTGCCCGGGGTACCGTCCAGCTCCGCCGTCGAGATGCCAACAGGTGAACTCCGGTGTACCGGACCACGCCGGGGGAGGGTGCCAGGACCGTTAGGCGCGGGTTCAGGCCCTCGTGGAGACCGGGTTTGTATAGGAGGAGAGAATGGTCCACGGGCGGCTGCTAAAGTATCGGCGCACGTCGCGCGATTCGCCCGTTCCGTCTCTGCCCGATGAGCACGGAAGAAGATATCCAGGGGAGACTCCTCCCTTGCTGGCTGGGATGTTGATGGCAGATGATGCGGAGTGGGGGCTTCTGAATCCGTTGGAGGCGGAGAGGGTTCCTGGCCGGCTCGATCAGAATGTTTGATTCCGGGGGAGTCCATGGCCTTCGCAAGGAAGCTTGGGATGGGAAGCGAGGACGGCGCCGGCGAGGCGTGGAAAGTCGCGCCGGCGAATGCAGTGGCCGAGGTAGCTTTTGGAACTGCAGTGTTGGGGGGAGTGTTGTGCCCTTGCCTTACAGGCCTAGGGGAGGTAGAGACATTCTTCGGTCGCGCCTTGTTTCCATTGCGAGCTTTGGACTTCGAGTTCGCCGCCTGCGAGGCGGGCGCTGGGCTGTTTGAGGCGGACTTGAGGGGTGTGAAGGGTGTGCCATAGGCGAAGTCGAGGGGAAACTGGAGTTCTGTTGGCATGTCGCTTTCCGAAGCATACGTCTTGTTTGCAGGCGAGTTGGTCGAGTGTCGGGTTTGTCGCCGCCTGGGCGGTGTCGCCGTGTTTTTTGGGGCTTGTTGATGCATTAATCTTTCTTGTCGAAGACTGTAGCTTGCTTGCTTGTCTCGTAGCAGGGGGTGGGGTGAAGAGTCCTATAGAGGAAGGAAAGACCGATTGAGCCGGAAGTTAAGGCCGATGCCACGCGACAGAGTAATTTGGGGTGACGGGCTGGGAGCCTTGATCTTGATGACGGAGTTGACAATGCCACCGGATATTGCGGGGTCTGACTCGTTCTGCTGCAGAGCTGTCACCTGCAGGCTGGTCGATGCTAGAATAATCGGACGAGGCAGTTGGAGGTGAGATAATATTACTGGAATGCAAGATACTGAAATGTTTGAGTGAGCTTGCTTGGCGCATGTTGTTCGAGTTGCTGTTGTTTGCAGCCGAAACCGCGAGGGGTGAGGTGGTTCCGCCCAAGTCTTCCAGGAAGTTGCCGCCCTTAGCAAGCGGCTGGCAAAAGGATTGTGGCTGGAGCTGTGGCGGAGACTGTGGCTGAGATACTTTCCCGCCAAGCGAGCAACTGGGGGCCGGCCCAGGCTGTCCATGTAGGTACCTGCTTACCTTAAGAGCTTCCATCGCAATCCGGCGGGGCAGGTTCATCATAGTTGCCCTCCGCTGCTCCCATCAACGCTTATTCACGACTAAGCAAGGACCATACCCTCTTCTGGTTTGTGCTGCCTTTGCTCTTTCCTGGATCAAGCTAACTGAACTGCTAGCAGGCAATACAGCTTTTCCCGAGAGAACCGCACCCATCCATCATATCCCCGACTCCTCCTACTATCATTCAGCTGGCAAGGCGACAATATTCTAAGCCCGCCATGGCCGATATCGACATGACAGATGCACCCGGTTCAGCCCTGGTTCCCAAGAAGAAGAGTGGCTCCGCTGCCAACAGCGATAGCAAGGACGACGCTAAGAAGCGCTTTGAAGTCAAGAAGGCACATCTCCCCACCAATACCATACGGTAGATTCGATTGAGGCTGACTCCTTTTCCAGTGGAATGCGGTTGCGCTGTGGGCTTGGGATATTGTCGTAGACAATTGTGCCATCTGCCGGAACCACATCATGGATCTCTGTGAGCTCATCCAGCCCTGCCCGTAATGACGTACTGAAGGTTAATTCCGGACCCCCTCTAGGCATCGAGTGCCAGGCGAATCAAGCTTCTGCGACGAGCGAAGAGTGTACCGTGGCCTGGGGCATCTGCAACGTACGTCGCGCCCACCCCGGCATGTGGAAATGGGGACCAGCTTTACTGACCATCTACCCACATATAGCATGCCTTCCATTTCCACTGCATTTCCAGATGGTTGAAGGCTCGGCAGGTCTGTCCGCTTGATAATAGGGACTGGGAATTCCAAAAATACGGGCGTTGACGTGTTTTCGACTGGGATGGCTTGCAGTCAGGCAGGGCGGGAGACCTTTACCGTGACATTCTAGGAGTTCGGGTATTACCATTAAACCCATAGATCGTATTCAGTCGCCTAGTAGTAAAGCTGTGCGTTTTCCATCTTAACATTTGCAGGGCACGACTTCATCAGTGCAACCTCTGCAGAGTCCCTGGTTGTATTGGGGTGCCTGCTCTCTTGCCCACTGCTCTGGGTCATCTGCCTAGACAATACAACTCGCGTGATATCCTTCGCCGGCTCAGCCACGTGTCTCATCGTATAGATTTCTCATCGATTACTAGGTTTTGTGGTGTGTTTATAGTCGCTGCCCCACCCACGGGCAACCACTTGACGGGATTCCGGTTGAAGAAAGGCCAAGGCGGAACGACGAGGACGAAAACCAGAGCTGTGCCACCTAGGCCAATATATAAGGCGAGCTTGATGTCCTGGAGAGCGTAGCCAACGATAAATGCCAGTGCCTGGAGGGGAGCCGTGTGTTAGCAACGGTGGTCGCATAACAGAGGGAAGACCTCAAGAGGGGAAACGGCCACCTACCCCGACTGCTGATAAAGCGACGTGAACGATCAGCTCTGACAACTTCTGACCCTCAAAGTCCTTTGATAATGCTGAGTTAGCCTGGGCATTTATGTGATATGTCGCAGAGGGTGCCCTGCAGACATGGCAGACTGACAATCTGGCCCTCGGCCACGTCGCGGACCTGGTCTAATATCTCAGCCATGGCTCTGGCCGTGAGGGAGTTCTCAGGGATCTAGTTGATATGGAGGGATAGCAGCAGTCCCCAATTGGAGTCCAGGTCAAGATCGTCGTTCTCCTCTAGGTAGAAGGTGTAACATGGAGCTCTCGATAGCTACCGGCGTAGGTTTAGTTGAGGCTGGTGAAGACATCTAACGTGGCTTCTGCGCTTGTTCCGCCCTAGTGTCGTTCTGAGCCGGGGCTTTGTGGCGAATCATATTGAAAGGGATCCACCCAACCACATGTGCAGACCGACAAACCCCGGTCCTTGCGGCTCCCTTCTTTGTGGGACATCGATGTCAATCTCGTTGAAAGATGTTCCGCCAGACAGCCTGTGTGACGAGACAGTCGTGGTGAGATTTTGAGATTTCACGACAGCCTACCAAATAGAGGCTTTCATCGACAAGCTGGTGTATGGCTTCAAGACGTAGGTTGCCTGCAATTTCAGATACCTATGCATTTACCTATGTATGTACGGATCCGTATGTACTGTATATACGAGAGAGTAGGTGTAGTGAAGAAACATGTGATTGCACCCATGGATTAAACCCATGCCAGTTGGAAATACTTCAAGGCCATTGGCAGGGAACCTGTCACAATGAAAAACCGCACCACATGTTCTCGCCACCCAGCTTCAGAATATGACAATCTAGACTTGGCACCGAAAATATGCATAGTACGGTGCCTTGGTTGGCCCCATTGGTACGGCACTAGCTCGGCAGCCCCTTGGCGCTCGGGACATTGGACGGGAGAAAATTAAATACTTGAAAAATTAAATCCCTCCTCTCCGGGGCCTGCCTTGGTATTTACTTACCCTTCAAAAACTACCGAAGTCGACAAACATACAAGCTCACGTCGAAGAGCTTTCCAGCACCAAGTCCACTGTTACTGATTTGGCCCTTGCTACGCTGAAAGCGCAGCCGCATCCACCTACTATCATTTCGGCTGGCCCCAAGCGCAGACCCGAACGAGTCTCGGTTGATAGACAAGCTGAAGACGTCATTCTCCCGGAGACAGCAGAAAAAGCTTCAACTCCCATAACACCGCCTGCGCTTTTGTTGTGTTGGGCCTCCTTCTCTGGTACCAGAGACTCTACTCATTCTTTTATAACACTCGCTACGAATCATTTGATTCCTTTTGACCTCTCGAGCTTCGGATCTGCCCGGCACTTTCGCAACCAAGTTGCGCAGACGTCTACCCAGTTTACGCAGAGATAATCAAGTTGGCGGAAATCGTACTTACACACTCCTCCTCCACCCTTTCACTCCTTGGCCCCAAATTCTGGGCCTACAGCGGAGTGAGCAAGAAACCCCCGTAACTGGACTGTTTTCGCATCGTCTTCCGATCCGAGACGTGGGACCTACCCTCTCGATTCCGCCTTGCGCGCCCCTGATTGTCACGACACCAAGGCACTCTCTGCGGACGGCTGATGGCCGTTCGCTGCCATCCGCTGGTGCTTGGCCTTGACCCAATCCCGTTCAGCATGCAAGTCGGCTAAACCCAAAGTTGAGAGGGTTGAGAGGGTTATCCTTGAACCCACCACTTGTATTTCGAGCCCGAGCCCGGACCCCCCTATTTATGTCCAGCGTCCTGATTCCTCCCAAACCGAGTTCTAGAACCGTGCCGGACTACCGCAACAATGTCCGACCAAGAAGAAGCCATCACCAACACGCGTTATTCAACCCCTGTGCCCGAGCTGGACGACCATCGTCACCAATCTTCGTCTGTGCAGCGCCCAGACCGGCCACGCAGGGGAACGTTTGACTCGCTGTATGGTGCCCGCCACGTCGCTGCGGAAGACTCTCCTTTCGAGCACGGCCAGGCGCAAGCCTCCCAGATTAGGGACTTCGAGGAGGCTGTCGACGACGAGGATGCCGCCGACTTGTCGCCAACCCGCCGCAGCCGACGGCCGACGGTGGAATCTATCATGGAGTTGGGACAGCGCGCCCCGTCCCCCCCCAATTCGGTCAAAGCATTCGCCGAAGCTCGTCGTCGGCCTCGCGAGTTATCCTTCTCGGAGACCAAGCCGGATAGGAAGCTGGAGGATTATGACCTGCACCGGACTGCATCCGTCGAGAGCCGCCGCAGCCATCTGAGCAGACCGCATACGGGAGCTGACGATGCAGCAAGCCTCATGTCCAGCAAGTCTGCCGTGGAGGACGTGTGCTTTCCACTTCAGGATCGTCGCCGGGATAACGATCTCGACATTGATTTTGACTATCTCGACAGCTTCATTCAGGCGGAACGCGAGGTTCGATCGAGCCAGCGCAAATCTCCCGCACCAAAGATATTCTCGGATCTTCGTCCTGAATCTGGCCCTGCCAGCGGCACTCATTTCCAAGTGGCCACTTCGGACGGGGACATCTTGGAGGTCCCGTCGGATCTTTCCCTCGGCCAAGAGAAGAAGACCCAGGTCTTAGAAGACAGAAGCCAGGCCAAGCCCGCACAGCCGCAATCTGTGGATCCAAGCAGGGTTAGTTTCTTTTCTTCCGCCTGGGAGTCGACTATCCATGCCGCCGATCTGGAGGGCTTGATCCTACCTGGGGAGGATATCCGTGGCCTCTTTTCTTTCCCGAGGGAGGAAACGGATGGTGTATGGTGGCTGAACATCAACAAGCCGAGCGAAGACGAGGTTCGGGCTGTTTGCCGCGCCTTCGGCATTCACCCCTTGACTATCGAGGACATCACCACACAGGAATCCCGGGAGAAGATTGAGCTGTTTCCGTCTTACTACTTCGCCTGTTTCAGGTCCTTCCACCTCGAGTACGACAAAGAGACGCAGGAACAGGAATACGTGCCCTTCAACATGTACGTCGTCGTGTTTCGAGAGGGAACGCTGAGCTTCAGCTATGCCAGCAACTCGCACGCTTCCCACGTCAGGAAGAGGATCACCATGCTGAAGGATTATGTTGCTCTGAGCAGCGATTGGATCTGTTACGCATTGATGTAAGAAAAAGAAAAAAAAATCCCTGCCCGCCAGCCATGGACTAGGAATACTGACGATTCTTGGGGGTGAAGTGACGATATCGTGGACTCGTTCGCACCAGTCATCAGCAAGATTGAGTATGATACGGATCAGATCGAGGATGAGGTTTTCATTGCGCGGACCGACGACATGCACCAGTTCTTGCGCAAGATTGGCAATGTCCGCAAGATCGTCACGGGCCTGATGCGTCTGCTGGGAGGTAAGGCGGATGTCCTCAAGGGGTTTACCAAACGGTGCAACGAGAACTACAAGGTCACCCCGCGCATGGACATTGGTCTTTACCTGGGCGACATCCAGGACCACGTCGTCACGATGATGACCAATCTCGCCCACTTCGAAAAGATGCTCTCACGCTCCCACAGCAATTACCTTGCCCAGATTTCCATCGACGGCATCATGCAGGGCGCCAACACCAATCGCGTGCTTAGCAAGATTACAGTGCTGGCCTCGGTCATTGTGCCGCTCAATGTTGTCACTGGCTTGTTCGGCATGAACGTTATGGTCCCCTTCCAGGAGGTGAATAACCTCATCGCCTTCTTTTGCATCCTGTCGGGTCTGCTTGTGTTCAGCATCATCGCTCTGGCGATAGCGAGGCGGTATAGAATTATCTGAGGGCATTGGAACGGTACGAGCAAAGAGAACTTGAGAAGGCCCATGAGGGAACTGTGGTGCGGTACATGAACGATAGAGATAAATAATGGCGACTCTCCTGCGGGTTTCATGTGTAGGAGATCGTATGTATAGAATAACGGTACATCCACTCTCTATATATCCGTACTGGCAGTGTACCGCAGTATACGAATAGGGTCAGGTAATCATAGGTTCATATTGATTGATGATTGTCATGCAGGATCCTACACGTGCGCCACCGATTTATGGCCTCAGTTGCGCCTCGTGTTCGGTGGCTGGGAAATATGGCAGGTGGCGGGTGAGCCTTGTTGCTCGGCAGACCCAGCCGCTAAATCGCCCTGCACGTCCCAACCACGTGTAGCCAATCATTTTGCGGCTTCCTCCATCCACCACAACACAGCAACGAAGTTGCCATCGACATCACCGACTCGAGAGAAACGTTCTTTCCTTGGCCTGGCGATATGCCTTCCCTTTCGAGAGATTCTGAATCTCAATACTGAGCCCTCTATTGTTTCGATCCACGAGCGCGAGGACAGAACAGCTCAAGCTTGAGGCCCTGGATATTCCAGCGACCATTCTCAATCCACACAACAGCAGCCTCATTGGAAGCCTTTCCACCTGTCAGGATATCTTTCGCCAGTCTTGCGAGGTTATTCTCGTTTTTAATTTTTAATTCAGCATCTTCCTGGTCCCGAAAGCCAGCAAAGGGGACACCCCATACCTTTTTTTGCTGCGGCCTGCCGCTCCTTATTTTGCCCCTCGTCGGTCGAGTTTACTGCGAACCCCGCGAAGGGCCTGGGACAACCCCCTTTCGAATTCAACTACGGCAGACGATCACGAACTTGAGTCGCTTATCCATGATCCCATCCATGGATTGCTCACACCGGTAGCGTTCGACGTCGTCAGCCTTGCTATCCAGGTTTCGAGCGTCCATATTAGCTTGAATCATGGCACCCAACAGCGCCACGATCACGGCTCTGCTGAAGCAGACGGTATATTATCACCTCGACAACCTATCCTACGAAAACGCCCTCTTCTTTGCCGAGAGGCTACAAGCCCACGATCCTCGGTCGGGCGACTCTGCATTTATTTTAGCCCTCTGCCACCTCAGGCTTGGCGACTGTCGGTCAGCATATGAGATCAGCAAACCGGCCGGATATCGCGGCACAAATCTTGGGTGTGCCTTTGTCTATGCTCAGGCTTGCTTGGCACTAGACAAGTGCAAGGATGGCATCACTGCGCTGGAGAAATCGAGGGGACTGTGGTCCAGTGGGTGTGACCTTGGGAAGCATACTTCGTCGAGTCGGACACCGTATCCTGATGCGCCGGCCATGAGCTGCCTTCTTGGGAAGCTGTATCGCGCCTACGGTGACAAGAATAAAGCCATATCTTACCTCGAGGACGCCTTGAAGCTGAACCCTTTCATGTGGGACGCCTTCACTATTCTTTGCGAGATTGGGGGGGTCGATTTGAGGGTTCCGAACGCCTTCAAATCAAATGACTCCTTCGCGCGCAGTTTTGAGCCAGAATCGAGCAACACAGACCATCGAGAGACGATGGGTTCAAATCCCCTGGAACGTATCCCGAAGAAGTCGGCTCTTCAATCGGTTATGCAGGATTCGAACGATCCGTTCGACTTGCAGCGCACATCGGCGTTTCAGGATATCCCGAACGGCAACTTTCTCTTTGCCGAGACGGGCGAAAATGACTTCTTATCTAAAATAGCCGCGGCTCGGACGAGGCTGACGGCAACCGGAGGCAATGTTAACAGCCCTGAGGGGATGGAAACTCCCACAGGGCACGCCTCGACACTGGATGCTCAAGCGCCCCGTAATCCCAGTGCCGTCGAGCCGCCCCAGGCTCCGGCAAGGAGGCCCCGGGGTGGCGCTGAACACGCCATTCTCGACGCACCGCCCAGAATGAGCTATCGGTTAGGGTCCAGGAAGAGGGAGAAGGGTCAGGACCAGTCAGCGGAGCCTTTAACGGGCACAAGTGCCCCGTTGTTTCGAGGGTCCAACCTGTCGATATCTGCTGGTGAGAGGAAGCGTACGGTCTCGGGCCACCCCGCACAGTCTCGGCAAGCTCAAGCCGAGGAACCCAGGCGAAGCGCAAGGTTGAATGTGTTCCCCAGGTCGGCTGCATCCAAGACGAACTCTGGCGCTGCTACTATCGGTGCCACAGCGGGTCGTGAGCTGAGAAAGGCTAGGCCCCCCATCTCCCGAATCATGCGGCCGGGTTCTAGTGGGTCCAGCGTCGGCCGGGTAGTAAGCGGGAACCGGAAGCCTCTCGAGGAAAGCGGCATGGACGTTGATCACGCCGAGATCCCACGTGGCAAGGATGTGGTACCGCCGCCTCCCCCGGCTGCAAAGTCAGTCGAGTCGGACTCGGTGAAGATCGAAGAAGCACTGAGATGGCTCCTGGATTTGCTGAAGAAGTTGGGCTCAGGCTACCTGCTTTCGTCCCGATTCCAATGCCAGGAAGCCCTGGCCTTCTACGCTAGTCTTCCCCGGAGCCATCAGGATACACCCTGGGTTCTGGCACAGATGGGCAGGGCACAGTACCAACAAGCGAACTACGCGGAGGCAGAGAAGTTTTTCAGGCGGCTGCGCATCTTGGCGCCTACCCGTCTCGAGGATATGGAGGTCTACTCGACGATCCTGTGGCACCTGAGGAGGGAAACGGATCTCTCGTTCCTCGCACATGAGCTGGTGGAGTCGGAGTGGCATTCTCCCCAAGCTTGGTGCACATTGGGCAATGCGTGGTCTTTGGCCTCTGACCGCGAGCAGGCCGTGCGGTGCTTCCAACGGGCAACTCAGCTCGATCCAAAGTTCGCCTACGCCTATACCCTCCAGGGCCACGAGCATGTCCTTAACGAGGAGTACGACAAGGCGCTCGGGTCGTACAGACATGCCATCTCGGCCGATCGAAGACATTACAACGCCTACTACGGCATCGGCAAAGTTTACGAGAAGCTTGGCAACTACGACAAGGCGCTCCGCCACTACAACGCTGCCTCTGCCATCAACCCAACGAACGCGGTTCTGATTTGCTGCATCGGGACCGTCCTGGAGAAGCAGAAGCAGATCATGCAGGCTCTGCAGTACTTCAGCAAGGCCACGGACCTGGCACCCAGGGCGGCGCAGACACGGTTCAAAAAGGCTCGGGCGCTCCTGGCGATTGGTCAACTGGAGGCAGCGCAGAGAGAGTTGATGATTTTGAAAGACCTCGCTCCAGACGAGGCTCGAGTCCATTTCCTTCTTGGAAAGCTATCCAAGACGCTCCGTGATAAAAAGTCGGCAGTTCGCCACTTCACGATTGCCCTCAGCTTGGACCCGAAGGTGAGATATGCTAGCTGACCATCCTTCATCCCCCAGTATTTCCTCCGCTAACAAAGTCTCCGCTTTAGGCTAGTCAGCAAATTAAGGAAGCAATCGAGAATCTGGAAGATGATGATGGCCTGGACGACTCGATGGTGCATTAAAGACTCATGGCTCATGATAGAAGCTGTAACATTGATTTTTTTTCTTGGGCTCTCGGCGCCGGTATGGCCTCTTTAACTATATGTTCCTGGAGAAAGGGGGCCGGGGGTTTGGGCTAGGATGTACGGATTAGATTCCATACTACTACGGTGGCGACGTGACTGGAGCGGGATGGGAAGACGCGTCATGAATGTTGTCGGTTGGCATTCGGCATGGGAAGGCGTTCTGGAAACCCACACATACACACACACAGGGACAAGCGGGATTTGGTTGCTGGCGAGGTAGGCGGGCAGTCCTGTGTGTGGGTTATCTGTATGAGTAACGCTCGGCATATATAGGCTCAGGAATCGAGGCCAACGCCAAACGATCTCCAAATACCTATGACTGGTCTAAGGGGATCCTGTTGACTGAGTACCTACTCCCATAACACGTCAAGGTTTGGTACTCTTGGGAGTGGCTACCTACTCGGCCAAGTCCTCCACGGTGATTACGGGTAGGCCGTGTATTTGGCAAAGTAGATATATAGTTGACAGCTTGAGCTGCTTGACACCCACTTCACCTCCCCCCCGCAACAGCTTCCAGTTTGCCTAGGCGCGTCACAATTCACAAATTCACCAGAAACAAACCAACTCATTGTCGAATTTTGATTGGTCGTTGACAGGCGGCTGATTCGAGATTCAAGCCTAGCAATGGTGGGGTCCGGGCTCCAAATGGACTCGGCTAAAATCCGGAGCTCCCGTAAAATCCCAGTGGAGCTCGGACCATGACAGGCAGCCGATTTTTGACAGCAAACCAACAAACAATGATGGCCAAAGCTGCACCACTTTTCAAGGCGAATTTGCCCGCCAATTTGGAGCTCCAAAAATCACTTAAACACGGTGCCCTTTTTAACTGAGAATCAGCACAGCAACCCCACCCTAAAGTAGACTAGTGCATTCCGCCCAGATCAGTTGATCCACGGCCTACCAGGCCCCCCTATAAGTAGACTCATCCCACTTTCCCAAAACTTCCACTTTTCCCACTTGATTCCCATATTGAGTGCATACCCAACTTCATCAAAAGCATCAACTTCTACATCGATTTGTCCACCGAGACAACGTAATCCATCAATTAAACCACATCCAATCCACTCTCTACATCAATCAACATGACTGGACGTAAGTTTATTTCAATTATCATCTCGTCGTCGTTGTCGAGCTCTACTTGCACCGCCTTCGCCTGGTTTGGAGACGCGTCGCGGCCACGCGCTGTAGCTCGCGTGTAATCCTCAACTATTGAAACGCGGTTGCAATTTTCGATCACGACGCGTGACTTTGACTCCCAGTACTTGATTTTAACATCATCCCAGGTGGCAAGGGCGGCAAGGGTCTCGGCAAGGGCGGTGCCAAGCGCCACAGGAAGATTCTTCGTGACAACATCCAGGGCATCACCAAGCCCGCCATCCGTCGTCTCGCACGCCGTGGTGGTGTCAAGCGTATCTCAGCCAGTAAGCTTTTCCTCTGACGCGTCAGGAATCATATCGCCCGATGTACAGCATGCTGACTCTTTCAAGTGATCTACGAGGAGACCCGTGGTGTCCTCAAGTCCTTCCTCGAGGGCGTCATCCGCGACGCTGTCACCTACACTGAGCACGCCAAGCGCAAGACCGTCACATCCCTCGACGTCGTCTACGCCCTCAAGCGCCAGGGCCGCACCCTCTACGGTTTCGGTGGTTAAGCAAAGCAAGCTTGCTTGCGGGGTCGGAGGTGTTGGCTGGTCTGTTGGGAGAATATCGCGGTTATCTGGGTCGACGCCAAAGGCTTTTGACATGGGCGGACCCTGGATTTGGTTCACGCGGTGTGACGGGTTGCTCCTATGGACTGTGAGTTTATGGGCGTGGTCAGTTGCACATTTGCTATCAACTGTGGCGTTTCAGGGGATCAATTACTAGGGATAAGTCGGGGCGTCTTTTGGTCAATGGGTAGATAAACCCACATTGAAACATCAAACAACACGTTTGAGAACTGATGCTTTTTTGATCCTGTCCATGTCGCGATGCTTGAATTTCATTTCCCATAATCCCCCAATGATATACACAGTCCATGAAAGTAGCGTGCGAATGGAAACGATGACGGCTACACGGTGTAATCTCAACTTAGTCTTCTATCAAACGCCTGGGTATCTTTTTTGAATTGTGCCCGCCCTCGTTTCCAAATCTCTAAACCCCCCTCATCCCATCCATCCCATCATCCCCATCCACGGTTTTACAAATACTTCCTCCCCGCAGCAGCGACCCTCGACCTGAAGACGGGGCTCCGGATCTCCATATTGGCCCTGTAGAACGGGCTCATGATGGCCTTGATGTAGTTCTCGTACACCTCGAGGAAGAAGCTCTTGACGGCCTCCTCGGTCTGCGGGCTCGTCGGGTTGGCGGCGACCGAGGTCGAGCCGCGGGTCGACGTCGCGGTCGAGGAGGACGAAGACGACAGGGCCGCCGATGCTGCTGTTGTGGGCTGGTGCAGCAGTAGGAACTTTACGTTGCCGCCCGTCATGAAGCATGAGATGTAGTTGTTGAAGAACTTGTCAATCACCTTGAGATACCTGTGAGGGCAAATCGAGTGCGTTAGTATCCGGCTTGAGAGCAGAGAAGAGATGCCAGTACACGCGGGGATGAAATCGGTGAGTGGCTACAGGCAGGATTGAACAGAGAAATGCAGTCACCGCTTAGCCTGCTTACATTTGCCCGTTGGTCCATTGCACCTCCTCCACGATATCGAGGCTGCTGTGCAGGACGAATTGGTTCAGGTGCCGGGACTCATCACTGAAACGCGGCTGACCGTCACCGCCCTGCTTGCTCGTGCCGAACTCATACTCGAAAAGCGGGTTGTCTTGCGTGCCGATGATGGCGAAGTAGTACGACATGGTGGTGTTGTCGGGTCTACCGCCTGGCGCAGGAGGCGAGGCTATGAAAACCAAACCCACGAACAGGGGACACGGACGCTGGGAGATTGAATAACGAGAGCACAGGCGGGCTGTGGGGTTCCCATGGTGCATGACACCACAACAGGCGGCCGGGGGGTTCTAGCGCCGAGGTTCTCCCGATCGCGCTAGGGTGAGGAGTGCTCCACCCGATGGGAAAAAGGCCTGCCGGATTTCTGATAGCGCTTTGGAGGAGAGCACCTCGTTCCGAAGCGCCAGAGTTACCAACGGCAAGATGTTTGGGGCATTCAGGATCACAAATCCCCTCAATGGGGGGCTTCTATGGTAAGGAGCCAACCTCCCGCGAACGTGCGTTTATCCGCGGCACGACAGCTGACCTCCTTCTGCAGGAAGACGCCCTGGCGACTGTCGCGGTTCCAGAAGTACCGGCAACGGCAACGGTTGCGAGCCGTGGACGACGTGGTCTCGACTGTCGAGGCGGCCCTGGCGAAGAAGGGCGAGAGCGTGCAGGCGCTGGAGCGGTGGAGGGCCGAAATGCCGACCGAGGCAGAAATGTTGCCGAAGGACAAGTACACAATCTTCGACCGGAAGGTGAAGAGGTATAGGAAGGGAATTCACAGTACGTCTATCTTCTCCCTCTCAGAAGAGAAGTCCTACTCCGTCTGCTCTCTTGGGGACCCTGACTAATGCTTTTTCTTGTGCAGAACTACCGAAATGGACGAGGGTATCGCAAAGAGTCAACCCTCCTGGATATTAAACCTACTATCTCCGCTCATCGACATTGTACTATATGGAGCTGGCATTCGGACGCCCGGCATTTAGGAGGAGGCATAGGTCATGTCTCAGCGTCGTCAAACGTGGAGGACACAATGGGTGTTGCCATTGATTGTATTCATAGCCCGCGTGTGCGATATATGAGCAGAGACTTTGGCATGGGCAAGTCTCGCATGAAGCTCGTATCTCTGCTCTGAGCTGCTGTAGTGTTGTATCTACGGCATATGTATCACCAGAATGAATGCCCACAGCCCTATTGATAAGCTCATCCTCTTCTGGGGTATCCTCAATCTCTTCCCTCGTGTCGGTAGAGTCTACCATAGGTTTACCACCCCTATCTCAAACGTCCAACATCCGACTCCAGGTCTCTGCGTTCAACCTCTCTCAGCCTCGCCGCGTCATGGAGAGCTCTGCCATGGCCTCCTCTGCCCTCATCATAATCCTCGCGATACTCGTCCCGAACCTGACCTCCAGACTTGCCCCTCCCATACTGCCTGCCTTCCTCAAATCCGGGGTCGAGATCGGTCCGGATGATGCGCTCGTCCAACTTGGTGCCGCCGATATATTTCATGCAGTCCAGGGCGTCTTGATGGGTGTAGTACTCGACGAAGCAGAATCCGCACGGGGTTTTGTTGAACCTGTCAAGGCCCATTACTAGCCGTTTGATCTCCCCACATTTGCTGAACAGCTCGTATACTTGCTCCTCGGTTGTGTAGAATGACCTGGAGGGTTCAAAGTTAGTGAGATCCAGCTATCCCGACCTACGCGATCTCCTCCAACGAGAGCAGATCATTTGGGATTTGCCATCCTGGGGACTATGGATGCGCATTGGGGTGGCGACTCACAAGTTGCCAACGTAGAGGGTCGTCGCATCCTTCAATGGGTCCTCCTGTGGTTGCTCTGGCTGGCCAGACTCGTCATCTCCATCTCGATGGTCCTTGTCGCTCCTCCGGCGCTTATTCTGTAACGGACTGTCAAAACACTATACGAGGCTGCGCGTGGGAATTATGGTCCATACCCTATTGTTGTAGTAAGCGCTCGGCCTATCGAGCCGATCTACAGTGCTTCGGACGCCTGGCATTGTGGGGAATTGAGGATGATAGAGGTTGAAAGCACAGGGAAGATGACTTGGAGGAACTGCGGGTTGTTGGAGGGTTGCGGCTCTTCTTCAAGGTGGGTAACCCACCTACATTCACTCTAGAGCTTTGGAATTCAGGTGGGTCCGGTACCTATGATTTTATGTACCCAGGTACCTAGGTACCTTTCCAAGCTCTAAATTGACCGGCTGGATTCCTTCTGGTCAAACAAAGACAAAAAAGTCGTGCAGCATCACGCTCTGCAAGCGCGCCGAGCAGCTCCCAACCTCCCTCCCACCCAGAGAGACGACGGCTATCTCCATCAAAGGAAAAACAGACCAACATCAAACCAAATCAAAAACAGCAGCATCAGCAGCAGCAGCATTATCACCCGAACCACCCCTATTTTTCTAATGCCCTCTTAACTATCGAGGCAGCATGCCGAAGATAAAGAGCTATGCGCCCAGCTGGCTGAAAGAGCCTGAGCCAGGCCACAAGCTGTTTGCTCAGTCGGATGACGACGAAGTAAAGCTTCCGCCATCCCAGTTTCGCATCTCGAACAAGGCAAAACCAGGGCCCCGGAGGACGATAGCTCGGCGGGGCACCGAAGTATTCGTTGCGGCCGGGAAGCAGATACGATGGGGCAACCTCGCCCACCTCAAGAGAGCGTGGGACTTGAAACAACCTAGAGCTGGGTTTGGCAGCCGTAGCAAGCTAGACGATTTAAGTGACTCGTTCGAGATCTATGATGAAGAGCCGGAGAGCAGAGTACACAATTGGGTGCCGGCTGAGGGCTATCGGGTAAGTTGTTTTCTGTCCCACCACATTGCTGTCCCAGCTGCCACTCCCTCACCCAGCACACCGAACACCGAACCCTCCGCATCTTTATGTCTGACATCTCGTGGAACAGGTGATCAAGACACCGGTCGCCGATGAGATCCGCCAACTCGTCATATCCCCGCAAGAAGACTATCTAGCCGTCCTGACGTCTCATACCGTGCATATCTGCGTCCTCCCTGACTCGTCGCATCTCACAGCCACGGATACTACCCCCTTCAAGCCCAAGTTCTGGACTCTTGGGCCGACAACCCATGTCACCTCGAAAGCCGCCGTGGCGTCGGCGCTGTGGCACCCTCTTGGAGTCGGCGGATCAGCCATCGTCACCGTGACCGAGGATGCTGTGGTGCGAGTGTGGGAGCTGTCAACGTCAGACCGCTGGTCCTTCGATTCCCCAGCCCTCGCGATCGACCTGAAGAAGCTGGCAGACGGCACATCTCTGGATCAGGATTTCAGTGCATCCACATCAGCGACCAACGCCGGCTTCTCACCCGATTCGTTCGACATGGAAGTTGCTTCGGCGTGTTTTGGCGACCGTCGATCCGGCGGCTGGTCCTCGATGACTCTATGGGTGGCGATGAGGGGTGGCGATGTGTATGCTCTGTGCCCCCTCCTACCCCAGAAGTGGGCTCCTCCGCCCACATTGGTCCCGTCTCTGTCTGTATCGATCGTGGCAAAGTTGGCCGCAACCGAAGGCGACAGCAGTGTTTCGTCGGAGGCCAAGCTTTTGGCACAGCAGCAGCTGGACTGGATGGCCGATCTGGACAGCCAAGAACCGAAGCTTGTGGACGGCCCCATTGGTGAACCTCCTTTGGAGATTTATACGCGGCCATTACGCCCCGGCACCGTTCCAAAGCTACAAGGCCCGTTCTACTTGGATCTAGGTCCCGATGCCGAGCATGATGACGATGTCGAGTTAACTGACATCCTTGTCATTGGCGAGAAAATGAGTACGGCCGAGCTCATGAACGGCGAAGATGAGGAATTGGACGTGGACGAGGTTGATCGGGAAGGCCTGTCATTGTCAGTGGTCTGTCTGCTATCAACGAGCGGCCGGGTTAAGATATGCCTTGACGTCGATGGTGTCGAGGCTCAGTGGCTACCACCTCGCAAAGCCCCGCGACCAAGGGGATTCACTCTAGAAACTGAGCCGCCGTCTCTGCTCACGTTCCAGACGTTGGACACTCTCAAGCCATCTGAGAGCACCGATGACAATTGGCCCATGTTCAGCGAGGATGCCACTTCCCGGTATTCCTTCTTCGTCACTCAAACATGCGGCATCACATACATCTCCCTAGCACCTTGGGTCTTCCGCCTGGAGGGCGAACTACAGTCGGAATCGGAAGCCGGATCCAAGTTCCGGATTGACCTGCTTGTCAAAGGAAATGGATGCGTCAGGGAGAGGGTATACACACAACGGAATGACTTGGGCCCTCTGTCCGCGTGCACTGCTATTCGCGACCCGGACCTTGGGTATTTCGTCCTCTCAGCTACTCACCGGGACCCGGTGGCGCTCTTTTTCGAGATCCCCGAGGACGAATTTACCCCACTGGCACGCCAAGGATCGCCATCGCCCATTGACGAGCCGGTAGGAGACCGTCAGCCCTTGACTCTTTGGGAACCAAGGCCCTTCTTCCACGCATCCGACATCCTCAGCAGGGACTCGACCGTGCCCCGATACCTGGATCACCTCAAGACTGGCAAACGGAGACCCCTCCTGCACCAAGAAGTTCGCCTCTCGGTCGCCTCCCTGGAAGTCTTTACGGAATGCCATCGTGTCGTCAGCGCTGACATCGACCCCCTCAACTCGGCGGTCGCTGAGCTCTTCCGGAAATGCGAGGCGCTCCATGCAGAGCTGAGAGAGCAGGTGTCCAAGACCAACGAGGTGAGGCGCCGAGTCGAGGGGATAACGGGAGAGGATGGAGACGAAGACGAGCCCATGTCCGACAACATGCTTGTCAAGGCCCGCCTGAAGCAGGCCAAGGAGAGACAGGGGAGTCTAAACAGGAGAATGGATGAGCTCAAGAGAAAGTTGGGGCGGGCAACTAGCCGCGAGCTTAGCGACAAGGAGGTGGCCTGGATGGAAGAAGTACGGGCCATGGAAGGGGCCGTCCTGGGCGGTACTGAGGCTGATGGATCGACGCAAACGACGTCATCATCATCCAAGGCCGGGCAGTCGTTGAAGCGATTCGAAGAGGTGAGGAGGCTAAAGGATGGGCTGCTGTCTCAGGTCGAACAGCTGCAGAAGAGGCTCGGCGAGGGCCAAAAGGAGGAGAGCCCTGCCCCAGCATCGCCCTACAGGATCCCTACGGATATCAAGAGGGCAAAGTACGCCCAAGTAAAGCAACTATTAGACAGGGAGGAGGCGCTTGTCGAGGCGATCAAATCGAGGGTGGATAGGCTGACCCTTGGATAAGCTGTATGATGTTTGTTGGTATGTCAAGGAAAGCAGGAAAACAAGCATGCAAATTCCAGTTAATTGTTAATTGTGTCGAGAAGACACCAGTCTCGGGATGGGGGCGCCAGACTCTTGTTGTTTGGCCTGTGTCATTCCGCATCAGAAGGCCGGTCTCCGGATGCGCCACCACTGCAGCCCTACTCAACGAGTGGTTTTAAAGTCTCCAGCGACCACCGCCAACCCTGTTTGGTCTTTTCCCATTCCTTCTTTCGCTTTGCTCCCTCCTTTTTCCTTTCCCGGATGAAGCCCTCGCATTGAAGCGTTCTCACTGGAAGCGTTCGGACCCTCTTGGAAGAGCGGTCAGGCGAATAGTCTGTGGGAGGAAAGGAAGAGTGCTTCTATCTCCTCCATCATGACTAACAAACACGGAAGACCTGCAAGTCGCCTTCCCAACCGGAATTCCCCAGCTTCAGGATACGGTGTACTACAATGATCCGGGGACGCCAGTCGCCGATATGCCGCTGGCTATCACTCACCACATAGTAGAACCTACCTACCTAGGTAGGTACCCCTTACTTCGTCAGCCTTATTTGTACGATTCGAATTCGGAGCCCCGGCTATCAATTAGGGTTGAGGCCACAGAAATATAAATTTCCCCTGGTCCCCCTGGGTTTGTTCTCTCGGGCCAGATGTTTCGGTCACTTCCTGTCTCCCCATGCTCATCCCATTGTTTCACACCCAGTCCCTGCCAGCCCTGCACCTCACAAATCCGTTGGCTAGAATGGCCCCTGTAACCTCGCCCCCCATTGACTTCCGCTCTCAGACCATTGGTGAGTCCCTGACGGCCCGCCAGTCCACCCCCACGTGGTCTTAGCTGCTTACCAGAGAACCACCAGAGAACTGTCGCTTCCTCTCCCGGCCGAATGTCGAGTTCACGATCATCACGACCAGGGAGCCTCTAGGGGCTATTAAAGCCATTGCCCTGCAGGCCGAGGGTAGGAAGCGGGAGGCCTTCCTGTCAGGGACCGGGACGACGTTCCTCGAAGCTCTGGATGATCTCCATTCTAAGTCGGCAGATGCCGCCCAGAACTATATCAGCCTGAACGGCTTGGACTTCGCCCCGGACCTCAAGAAACGCGACTCTGACCTCTCGGACGGCGAATCCGTTCACTCGGGCTCTGCTTCGTCCACGCTTACTGTCTCCGACGGTGACTCCTCCGACGACTGCGAAAGCTCGTCGGATAACGAGACGGTCTCGATCGTCTGGGGCCATGGCAACGAGAAAGCTAAACAGAAGCGCGGAAAGGCCAAGAAACGCGAGGCACGCAGCAAGACAACGAGAGCGAGACAATCTCGCTCACGATCAAGCTCTCGACCCCGCGGCTTCTCGACCTCAGTTAGAATCGACGACGATGACGACGCCCCTCGACGACCATTCCCCCCCCAGATGAGGGCGGGCCCAAGCCCCCCAAGGGTCATCCCCGGCCAGATGCGAGGTGGTTGGCCTCCACCGCCACCGCCACCACCAGGCTGGCCCGGCCGTGTTTCTGGCCCCCCGGAGACGCTGGGTACCGTAAGGCCTCTCGATGTTATACGGGCACCCAACCAACCACCGCCGCCGCCCCACCCGAGCGTCGTAAAGCCAGGGTTAATAGGCATGCGCCATCCTCCTCCTGCCCCCCAGCAGCAGCAGCAGCATCCGACAGGGGCGCCCGGCCTGTCGTCGCAGCAGCAGCTGCACAACGTGCGGCTGCACATCAAGTGGCCGGGCCACGGCGAGCAGCGGGTGATTGACCAGACGCGGCCCAGCCTCGCGGCGATCCGGACGGCGGCGGTCAACTACGTGCGCGGCAACCCGCACGCGTTCGCGGGCGTCACCACCTTCGAGGCCGTGCCCTCGCGCCTGTGTCTGCTGCGCGCCACGGTGCGCCGCGCCGCCGTCGACGGCGACGACTACGACATGACCGCGTACACCGGCGACGACCTGCGCGGGCTCATCGAGCACGCCTCGCGGAGCGGGATCCCCAGGTTCGAGGTCGAGCTTGGCATGCCGAGTCCCTAGGTGGGGGGTCAATAACCCCCCGAACCCCTGTCCCTGGGCTGTTGGGGGAACAGATGTGAGGCGACCAATCAGGTGGCCTGAGGGGTTTCCAAGTTCCAACCGGTGGCCCCTGTAGAACAAATCGTCCCAGCTACGCTTCCACTCCACGCCAACTCCGCTCATTTTGGTTTGACGCTGTCTTAGGGTTGTTATGGCTTTCTGTCTCACAGTCTCTACCTTTTCTGTCTCTCTGTCTTTATCTATCACTATCTCTTACGAATTGGTCATTTTGAGGAGGTAGAACCCGGGTGTATCCTTGTTGGAGCAGTGGCGAGCATAACTTGAAAGAATCCGGAGTACGGATAGGATGGACCTAATTCTTGCTTATTTCCCATGGAACCAATCACTTCCGCATGGAGCTGCATGGAAGCGACTGCAAAAACCGGACTCTCCGGCCTATGGCCTGCTGACAGGGGCCGGGCCATCTGAGCCTCTTGATTGTATTGAAATTGAAAAAGATGAGGCTGTCAGCCCGCAACGTCTGAACCGGTTATTTGTTTCAGGGGTATGTGCTATTATGTCTTGCCACGGCCATATCATCGACCAAGACACATCGCCTCACGGGGCTGTCACTCTTAGGAAATGCCGCGTTGCGCCGTTCGTCGTGCAGCCGGCCTCCGACCATGAGACCGGCTTTTGCCACCTACCTTATTTCGTATTGAGCCTCTACTCCAGACCAACCGTCGATGTAAGGCGCCTGTCCTCAGCTTGCATCACTTGCCACCGGCGGTTAACTCTGGAGGGCTTCAGTGACAAGTACCGCTCATCGTGTATCCGCAACCCCTGTAACTTCTAATAAGCAGAAGAGCAACACCGGGATGTGGGTTTCGCCTCAATGCCATCAGCAGACCCTGTGGCCGACTCATGAGAGGACAGCGTCGTGTACGCCGCCACGCCCACCGGGGACCGACCGACTGACAGAGGGCTGCAGTAAAACCTCGAAATTGGCTATCACGCACCCGCCCCGTGGCCAGACAGGGTCTCGTCACCCGGGTAATGAGCTCGGCCGAGACAACGAGGCTGATATCAGTGGTCTTTACCAGATCTACACGTCCCCCAACTCAAGGAGCTACGGAGCCAAGCATTTGGAGCCCCAGATTTGGTGTGATTGTTGCCCGGCCTATTAGCAACCCCCCGTTGGGCGACCTGCTTTTTGTGGACAATCAGACTGCCGATCGCCAAAACATGAGTGCGGGGCAGACAGAGCGTGAGCGAGTGGCTCCTCCAGACCGCCCCGAGGAGGAACGTTCTGACCGAAGGGAGTGTGTCCCATGGCAGTACCCTGTGGGACCCTGCAAAGTGTCCATCTGCTCCGGACCCGGATGCGGGATCCCGCAGGGTCGTGCTCGGGACGAGACGCCCTTTCAAAACAAGCACTGATGTGGCCGATCGATGGGGTTGGGCCGGGGATCCCTGGACGGCCAAACGGGTGCATACAAGTGCCGGGCGAATCAGGGTGGGATTTCTCTGGCCGCCTCGGCCGGTTCATATTTGTGCCAGCCCTTGCGGCGCATATCTGATGGATATTCGTTGCCGGAGAATTCTCCGGGCGAACCCGACCACGCTGTCTGGGACAAGCAGGGACAGGGACAGGGACGCGATCGCAGTACGTTTCCAGGCCGGGGGGGGGATATAGCTCCCTCCCCTCCTCGACAAGATCCAGGGCTGGGAACCGTTGCAAGGTTCGGGTCGATAAAAAAACAACCTGCAACCGCCGAGGCGGTCGTGATACCGACTCTTTGCGCAACGTGGCTTCGTGCAACGTGCCCTCGCCTCGATCAGAGCGTCGTCACCTGCAGGGCCCCCCCGAAACCTTCGGGCATCTGCGACTCATGAGTTTCGCCCTCGTGGTTCGTTGCGCTTCCTATCACCTGGCGACGTCGGTCGGCCCGGGATGCTGATCCGCCAATTATATCGACGTCTGCGAGGGCAGGGTCTCATGATTTATTTATTTTTCTTTTCGCCCGGCATCCTATGAAGTCGCAGTCTGCACCGGGGCTTTGCTTCGTGGTCAGGCGCGGGGGGTTAACTTCATACCTCTGCCTCTCCCTGGTCTCATTTCCCCCCTCAACCACGCCCACTCCCCCCCCCCCACCCCCGGTACCCTCACCGTCCACTCCCACAACGAGCCCCCAATGTCTCATGTCCACGTCCCGCGCGCGTGACCCCTCGAGTGTGCTATTAGCTAAAACACAAGCATATTCGCCCGGGCGCGCACCAGTGAGAGAGGACCGCAGCTTGAAATCAGTTCACTCGTGCTCCGTCGGGCGGCTGGTAAGAGCTTCGGGACGGAGATATCCTGGTTAGGCCAGTGGGTGGTAAGTGATGAATCCCCATGTTTTAGGATGGTGTGCTCTGATGGTTGATTGTCAAGGGGGAAATGGGGGAGAAAAAGTGGCATCGAACCAGCTGATAAATTCATTCATGTGGTGGTGCTCTCCTCCTAGACGATGACTTCCAACAAGTGTTGACCGCAGAACACCAGACTTAACCGAGATATCTCGTCCGCATTGCACACAGTCCTTAGCAGAGACCACAGCAGAACAGTCAAGCAAACAAGCCTGGACTATTTTTGGCTAGCCAGAAGAGACGCCTGGACCGTAAGTTCTTGCTCTGCTCTCCAGCTAAACAAAGGGGCTACCCTGGCACGTATCTCACGCGAGGGCGATCTCCCATCCACCATGCCCAACCAAGTTATGAACATCCTCCTCCTGTTCCAGACCCGATACTATCCAACCACATTTCCGAATCTATCTATTACCCCACTCCCGTCCCCCTCAACGCCGCCCATATGCCATTCGCATGCAATCGGAATGCCCCCATATCTATAATACCAAACCAAACGATTCGTAGATGGCGGACGGCAACAGTCCCGCTTAATATATGCCCTGAGTTCGGTACTGGAAGGTATCGTAACTATAAAAAAAAGCGAGAAGGCCGTCATTAGCATCGGAGAGCCTAACTCTTTATTCACGGGGTTCCAAACACCCCACGCGCAGGAGGACACTTACAGTCTCGTATAGTAGCTGCCTAGAGACTTCCCGACGAGGTCTGTCTCGACAAACTGCTCCGCGTCGTCGGCGCTGAGCTGAAGCTGGAAACGCTGCCGCAGCGCCGTTGTTGTCTGCGCGACGCCTGCCGAGAAGCAGGGCATTTTCGAGTCCCTCCCCATCATGCTGACCAGGTCGATGATGTTGTCTGCTGAACGTCGCAACGCTGTGGAGGGAGAAAGCCATCAGTCATCTTGTGCTTATATATATCATTACGCTCTAACCCGGCCGAGGAAAGAAAGAAAGAAAGCAATCGTGATCCTACCTTGGAACGCTTGCTTGCACAGCTTCTTATAGTCCTCGTAATCCGGCGATCCCACGCCCCCGAGGACATCCACGTATTCCTGGGTCAGCTTGAACGGGGCCGCCTCGAAGCCGACCGAGCCGGGGGAGTTTGACAGCATGAAGCCAAAGTCGATGTGTATTATATGGCCCTCGTTGTCGATGAGGATGTTGCCGTTGTGCCGGTCCTTGAGCTGCAAGATGTACGAGATGACGCTGTACGCGGCCAACGACCTCGCGAACGACGTCACGCCGGCCCTGTAGGCGTCGCTCTCGGGCAGGCCGAAGACCTTGACGAAGTGGTCCTTCAGGGTCGCGATCCGCCGCCTGGGGTTCTGGCCGGACTCGACGGAGGAGATGGTGAGGCTGCGCTTGATCGAGTGCAGGGAGACGCCGTTGGCGATGGTCTCGATGAGCCCCGACGACTCGCCCGTCACCAGGATCCGCATCAGCTTGACCCAGACGGGCACCTCGGCGTCGACCCAGATCTTGTGGCACACCCGGATCAGCTGGCAGGCGAAGGCTTCCTGCCGCAGGTCCGCGCCCGTCTTGACGATGACGCTCACGAGGTCCCAGTTCTTCATCCAGCCGTAAGGGGACGACTTGCGGATCCGCTCTCGCTTGGCATCCCACGCCTCGCCGAACACCGCCGCGCTCGGGTCGTCTCGGTCCCCCTTTCTCTGCAGGCCGCCAGTCTTGAAATCGTTCTCCATCCTCGCCGCGCCCGCGTTGGGATTCATCCCCGACGAATCCAGCGAGGGCTCTGCCGCCTCCAGCTCGGCCTCGCTTGGATCGCTCGCAGCCGACGCGGCGCTGGCTTTGGCCATGATCATGTCGAAGGTGGGGCCCTGTCCATCGTCCAGGTCGAAGCTCTGCTCCTCCAGGCTCTGCATGCTCCTGATGATCTTAGCCCTGATGGTCGCCACTTCCTGCCTCGGTCTCTTCCCACTTGTCGCCTCCAGCTGCGCGAGCATCTGCGAGGCGGTCCGCATATGCGTTGCCAAGGCCGAGAAGTCGGGCTGATCGACAGAATTGTTCCGAGGGTTTGTGAACGTCATTTTCCTGCGCGGGGCGGGGCTCGAAGACCTGGAAGTCTCCGCTTCGGAGCTCCGAGGCGTCGTCATGTCGGACGTGGCCGAGATAACGGTAGTAGCACTGCTTGATAATCGTTGGGGGTGGGGTGCGGATACCGCTCTCTTGCCCGACAACGCATCGGGAAACGATTCGATCATTGGTGAACTCCCGAGGTCCCCGGAAGTCGGCTCGAAGACGCTGTCAACCACAGGCTCGAGAGGGGCGCGCGTGGCGGCAGGTATCCTTGGGGACTCGGACAAATCGAACATGCGCCTTCGAGCGCCCTGCTCGGCCAGAAGGGTTGTCATGAGCCTCTGGTTGTCTTGAGAGTCAGGGTCAAAGGTGAAATCGTCACGCAAAACCTCGACCATGAGCAGATACGGCACTTTCTCGGCGCTGTTGAGGACGGTGGCCTCGGCAGGGTTAACCCGGACGATGCGATGGTGGCGACTCTTCGAGGGCGACCCGTTCACCAGAGTCGGCGGGCAGATAACTGGCACGTCTACTTCGGCCGGCAGATCCTGGGCGATCAGTGCTAGCTCGGCACGGAGTGCACTGAGACGGGCAGGCTTCGGGACAACTACTAAGCGATTGGAAATGTTTTCCAGCGCAGTCAGAAAGGCCGTCTCGCAGCGGAAGTAGTTTTGCCTCAGGAGACGGGTCTTCTGCACGGAACTCATTTCGGCGTGATTGAGCAGCGTCTTTACGCGATGCGAATGCCTCCTTGACGTGGTCTCCGATGGTCTCAAGCCGGCGGAAATGGGCGTTGATGGCCGTGTAATCATCCGGGGAGACCTCGGGTCCGGCAATGGCAATGAAGTCGAACTTAACCGTGCTTCCAGGGCTATGTTCTCCAGGTGGGAGGGCCGCCTCGACGGCTCGACCGGCGTCCGAGACGTGGAGCCCGAGGAGGCTGGTCTCGAGCTGGCGCGGCGCGACGCCTTGGTTGGGGTGAGCATCTTCGAGTCAGAGCCCCCTGTGGCTCGGCCGCCATCCTTCCCGCGATTCGACTTGGTACTGTTCACCGTTACAGTGTGCGCCCGCGCCGGTTTGGTATTGTGAGCAGCTTCGAGGACGGCCTCACCGGTCGGCTGAGGCTTCCTAGCCTGCGCAACCGCTAGTGGGCCGGCCCAATGGGGGAGGATGGGGCACGCGACACCAGCGAGTACGAAGCTCGCCAGAACCGTAACGGGAAGGGTATTCTCCTTGATCTTCTCGTGCCTGGCATAGTCAGACAGGCCGAAGACAATGTGCTGGACCTTGTTGTAGACCCTTTGGCATATCCTGAAGGCATCGGTTTGCGGGTTCGGGGCAAGATCGTGCAGGTAGGTCTGGAATAGCCAGAAGGTCTAATTTGAGGTGAGCGGCTGACGCGGTGTGTGTGGAAAAGGGGTGGAGGCGACGGACCAGCAGAGCTGCCGTGACAGACTCCTCGCACAGATCCAGGAGGAACTCCTCCAATGCCATAGACTCATTGTCAACGCTGATTATAAGGTGGCAAAGCTGAGGCAGGAAGAACTCGATGTCCTCGTAGGGAAACTGGCGGAGCTTGTTGCAGAGGACATAGTGGATGCCGACATGGTCCGCGTAGCGTCTATCCAGTGCAGAGCGACGTGTATCAGCATTCGGCATACGTGCATGGCAATGGCTGTGCAATTGAACACCGGGCCACTCACGAGAGGTAAGATACCGAGAGGAAGGGGTCCTGGTTGAAGACGTCGCTTTCGAGGAACCTCTTCAACAGGTCCCACGACATTCCTGGCTAAGGCTCAGTAGTAGCTCGGCGCAATCGATGGCTTGGCGGAACGGGAAAAGAAGACGTAGGAGCGCAAAGAGGCAAAGTGCCTCATCGGATCTTGGCATCAAAGGTCTGAAGGGAGAGGTGTCGCATTGCGGAAGCCCAGCACTAGAGGCATTGATCAGGTATATTCTACGTCTACTTGTCCAATTCAAGAAGACGGAACTTGGCGTGAAGCTCTAAAGTATCCAGAGTGGGATGGCCCGTAATTGGCCTGAGGCACACAAAATCAGGGGTTTATCGGCTGCCCCACATCCATGCCGGCATCGCCGGCTCGGCGTGGGAATATTGGAATCCTCACGGACCACCGGTCACACGAGCACGAGAACGAGGTGGTGTCAATGTGGATCAACCTTCCACATGGGAAAGTCAAGGATTAAGACTAAACTGTATATATGCAAAATGCAGGGGGGGGCAAATATGTTCGCTAAAATATCCAACATCCTCCCCATCCTCCTCCGCCTTGCTTCCAATTCAAATTCACCTCCTCCTCTTCCGTCTCTTCTTCGGTTTCACACGCTTGAACGCGAAAACAATTAGTAATTATGTCGACTGGATAGCTCGAGGAGGAAGAAGTTTGGCCGCTTACAATATATCTAACGCGCTCGCTGCCATCCGGAAGCTGTTCGATCTCGTGCTGGATACTGAATCCAAACATGGGCAGCAGCTTGGCCCATACGAACCAGTACAGGGAACCGATGACTAGCAAACTCGTGCCCAGGATCGGTACGACATAGAATGGGACCTTTGAGAGGAAGCCGTTCGGAATGAAGGGCGCCCCGATGACGTACAGTAGCGAAATGATCCAGAAGATGGTTAGGATGGGGACGCTCTTGAATGTCGTTCGCTGTTCCTTCCACCTTTCGGCCGGCGTCCAAGTTAGGTAGAGGAGGCCGATTCCGAGGAACACTTGACTTAGGGGTTAGCTCCCTAGCTCCCGTTCAGAGTAGTCACATGGGTGACGGAGGCAACTCACGCTTAATCCAGTTGCCGCTGTAAATGAAGACGTTGGTGACGAACGTATACAGGTCCGAAGTCTGGGAACCCAGGATAAAGGCAACGGTGAATAGCCAATGCAGGAAGATGGCACCTGTGCACACACTGAGGTTAGATAACGGCCAAACACTTGCATACTATTAACCAACCTGTTGGAGCCTTCTGCGGCCAGTCACTGGCCCATATTTTCGAGAACGGTAAGATGCCCTCCTTGGCCAGCTCCTGCTTGACTCTCGGCATAGCGAAAGACTGGGCAAAGACGTTGCCCAAAGAAGACAGAGCGATGAAAACGGGAACAACCCGGGTGACGAAGGCACCCTTTCCCCAGACCTGATTGGTTGTCAGTTTAAGGTGCAGATCATACGAGTTTGCCATGAAGGATACTCACGTTCTCGAAGAATTGCGCAGCAACGGTCACCTCAGCTGTTGCAATCTCGAGCTTGCTCATGGCGGCAAACTGCTTCTCCATTAGCCCACAGCATCAAAATATCAAACCCCATCGGGGCGAGATAGACTCACGTAAGCAACGTTCGCCAGGACGTACAACAGCGTGATAGCTGATGCCGACATGATTGCCGCCTTGCGCAACGTTCGAGGCGCGTCTCGAACCTCGGTGAGGACCTTTGAATGGTGTCAATAACTCGTGTATTTGCATCGAGTCACCAGACTACTCCGATCGGGGACTTACATAGTTGGCGTTTTCCCAACCGCTGTACGAATAGAGTACCTAATAAAACCAATTTGTCAGCCCGGTCGTGAAACATCAGTAATCTTGGGGGAGAGTACGGGTTATACCTGGAGCAGAGCGAGGGCATATCCTGCCGCGGCGGCGCTTGAAGGCTTGCCCGGCTCAGTTGAGGAACCTCCGCCGTTAAATGATGAAAAGTTATCTGGTCTCGGGGCAACAGTTCTCCCGGCCAAGGCCGCGAAACCAGTGCAGACAAGCAATGCGAGGAGAACTAGTTTCAGTGCCCCGAGGCCATTGCTTAACCAAACCCCCAGGCGAGGAGTCAGGGAATGGATCAGACAGACGACTGTAGGTGCAAGTTAGCAATAGGAACCCATCTGGCGTCACCGTTCTTCCTTACCGGAGATTGCAGCCACTGCGATGCCCCTGTTGAGCCAGCTCCCGTTGTGGGACTCTCCCATCGCAGCCTTCAGGACATAGCTGCTGAAGGCGATGGAGTTGCCCGTGGAGATGGCGAAGAGGACGAACTGGACTGTCGGCAGGGCGATAAGCTGGAGCGTCAATAGAGCTGACGGGAAAGCCACCTACCAGCGAAGATGCAGGTTGCGAGATATCGCGGCCGTTGATACACCCTTTCAAGCTACACACGATGTTGTCAGCAAGTGCCTTTCTTCCTCATGGGGCGCAGACCACGCACATAAACCTTCTCGCCGCCTGAGCGAGGAAGAGCCGTCCCAAACTCAAGGTACACAGACAATCTTGCGCATAAGTTAGTTGACGGTGCCTGGGAGATAGACAGAAGAGTTGCCCAAGTTTCTTACCCGCTGTTCAAATTTAGCACGACCGAACAAATCATAGACAAGATTCGGCTCGATAACTTACCAGAAGGTCATGACACCCCCGAGTACCCAGAACAGGAGCGTCGCGCCGACGCTATCTGTATACTGGATGATGGAAGACGGTGTCGAGAAGATGCCCGTGCCGACGACGCGGTTGATGATCAGGAAGGCCGTCGACCATGTTCCCAGCTTTCTCTCTTTACGAGATCAAACATGTTATTATTACATATTCACGAATCCATCCATTTTCAAATGTAACACAGGGAAGGGGTGTGTGGGTTGGGAATTTGAGGTGGGGGCTGAAGAGGTTAAACTGGCTGTGAGGGGAAGGATGGCATACCTTCAGGATAGACAAACAGATGGAAATCCTCCTCGGACGACGACTCGGTGATGACGGTATGGAGGCCGCTGTTGCCCGTCGCGTAGCTCGGGCCTGTGACGTATGTCTGCTCCTCGTGTACAGCGGCCTCCGGGTCCTTGTTGATACCCCCCACCGGCTGCTCGAAGATCTCGGGCTCTTGCATCCCGAGCATCTTGCTCGACCGTCGACCCACACCCGGCCCGCCTTGAGCGGAGGAGCGAGAGGGGCACGATCAATTGGCGCAAGAGTAATCAATCAATCCCCTTTCGAGCGCAAAGTAAATTGGAAATTGGCGTTGCTTCCTTCCCTCAATTTGCCTCGTTCATCTTTTGGTGGGCGCGGCGGTGGCAGCCTCGCGACAGAGAGAGCAGCGGCGATGAGTTCTGGCAGCAGTGTGTCGAGTTAGCCGGTCAATGTTGTGGCGGCAAACTCTGGCTTATCTACCCTGGACACAGCCATCCCAGGATAGGCATGGACAACGGAATATGGCTGGGGAAGGGGGGGGGAGGGGGATTAGACTAGCTAACAACCTAGTCCAGGCGGCTCGCCTACCAGGACTAATTACTGGCAGCGCTGTTGGGGAAACGCCCCATTTGTGGGAGAAACAGTTGCCCAGAGTGCATGCAAGCGGGCTGGGGCTGAGCTCGGCACGAGACACCTCTTCTAATGCGGAGGACCTCGCAGCAGGACTAGACTGACAAGGAAGAGAGTTGTTCGTATCACCAACTCGCGGAAATCATAGATTTCCCTATCACTGTAATCTCTAACTACAATTTCGCATCGAGACCCTCTACTGTAAGCGCTGTTCGCTTCCAAGAACAAGAGCACAGACTTTTTCTAGCGCTTGATGCATGACTTGGGGCTCTTCAGCGACACGAGATGGGCCTGGGCTAGATAGATTCCCCACAGTTTACCTAATGAATGTTCGCCCCAAGACAGGGGCATCAAAATTTTAGCGGGAGGACCCGCCCCTTCTTACCCTTGCGGATGTTTGTTGGTTGTTGGTTGGGGTGATCAGTCGACGAAGTCTTCCTCATAAGAGCCAGCCATTCTTGTCACAGCCTCACGGTGATGGTACAGTAGGAAGAAGGGAGAAAGCTTAGACGAATGTTCAATGCGCCTTTTCGATTTAGTGGTCAGCCACCATGTCCAGTCTTGCCTCATGCGGGCAGCCAAGGCCAAGCCCCGAAATTAAGGTCATTTTGGGCCCTGAATAACGGGTATTCGAAAATGTAGTTACCAAGGTAGATATGTATGTATGTATGTACAATACAAGCAAGGGCAATTGTGCAAATGGGGGCTCTTGAGGTTTTAGCATCGCAACCCAACTCATAAAGAGTAGTCCATATCGAGCTCGTGTCTCTCGGTCAGAAACTTGGTATTCGCAATGTCATCATCCATGGAACATTGAAAACGCCCTCCACTCCTAGATGCCCGAATTAATAGATGGTCCCCCAAAATCATCCAAAAAAAAAAAGACTGAACCCCCCAACCCCAAGATCCTGTGGTATAAACAATCGCCCATCACCAGATTTCCCGAGCTGTCTTTGCTGAGAATGTGGCATGCCGTATCTCCTCATTAATTTTCTCAAGTGCTTTTCGTTGTAGTCTTCGTGCCTTCATGACCTCTTCCCACTTCCGGATGAAATTGTCCTGGCCTACAGAACCCCTTGTTAGCGAATAGGAGATGTTGGGCGCGCATCTGTGACGTACTGGGCGAGCTCTCAAACTCTATTTCGAATGTCTCATAAAGGTCAAACGAGGAGATAGTGTCCGGGTCGGTACTCTGGCAGCGGATGTCCAGGCCTGCGGGCTCAGCCCCCTTTTTTGCTTCTCGGTGTGCTACGAAAACGCGAGCGTTAGTCTCGGACGTAACGGCTGGGATAAGTGGCAGCCTCTTTGAGCCTACCTTTAACACCTGCCCACCGCGAGCCGCTGCGTTTAAACACGCTGCCCCCTTTCCTCGGCTTGATCTTGACCATCGTCTGCCCCTCTGCTACGACTTCAATGTCGTCCGTTACTGGGAAGAAATTAGCCACGGTGCTGTCAAATCGAGACGTGTAGGATTGACATACTGAAAGTTGTGATGTATTCGTCCAACCTTCCGAGGTACACCATTAACCTCGACGTACTTGGAACAAGTCGGTCGCGGAGCGGTCCAGATAGCGTGGTCCCGGCGGTGACAAAAGAAGCTACATCGGACTGCGAGGACCTTCGCGCCTCTTCTTCATGCCAGATCTGTACCCTAACGCTCGAAAATGTCTCATTCGACCGGCTGTGGGCCTTGCTCAGTTTCACCAACTTCACGCTAGAGATATCGAGAACGACTTTTTCGCCCGTAAGCTTGGCCTGGAATTCGCAGAGCTCTGGCGCACAGTTCTTAGCAATATGTTCCGAAAAGAGGGAGTGCGGTGGACGCTACACACCTTGAAACCTGGCAAACTGGTACACTTCGCTGGGCCGACCATTTCCTTGGGTGGCTTGCGCGTAGCCGTTGCGTTTCTCGCTGTCATTGTCCCGTACATACACGACGTTCGGAAATCTCTGATCGTAAGCGTACACAGGGACAATCTGTGCGTGGGTGCCTTTCACTAAACGAGGATCATTATGTTAACACGGAAGCGAGGACGCCAACCCGACCCCGACCAGGTACACTTACCCCAGTACGTCTCAGATCCATATCCAATCTTGCAATGGAATCGAAGGTCACCTGATAGGGTGTTGCGGAATACTTTTAGTGAGCCGTCCACGAAAGGCGCGGAAAGACCCTGGGCAAGCCTGACTCGCCTTGTTGCTGTTAGCCAAGGAGATGGGTGTGGTCTGCGCTCTCTGTCTGCTTACCCGTCATATAGTACCTCCTCTCCGGGGAGCACGTTATCTCGACTTGTACTAGCCCCGTCCGATCTACTCGAGTAAGAGGACGGATCGAGCGTGGGTTCAATGACAACAACCGGCGTCTGGGTGTCGAAAGGGCTCATCACCCTGTTCCTCCCCCTGCCGTCATCTGCCACATTATATGAGGAATAGGACGGGTGCAAACCCCCGCCATCCTCTTGAATACTATATGAAAAGCTTCCATTCGCTCGCCTCGAATCATTGTGAAGGCTATAGGTATAGTCCGTGGGAGGTGGTATTTGAGGTATGGTCGATGCGTAACCCGGACCGACAGGCGACTGGAGCGTCTGATAACCGGAGGACGAGAGGACGATCGGGTTTGCGGGGATGGCAGGCGAGATGGGCATCGACTGCTCTAATAGCGACTGGCGAGTCGACACGTGCGTAATGCCGGACCCGTGGCTCGTTTGTTGGTGGAGTTCGGGAAGATCGTCTGCTGCTGGCGTATGTTGGAAACCAAAGTTGACGTTTGTAAGCCGTCCGCTCAGCACGGGGCCTTGAGGCGCATAGCTTGGCTCCATGTGAGTTCGTGCCGAATAGAAGCCATGATAGTATGCAGACGCATCCAAGGGGGGTCGAGCCAGTGTGACAGCCGGCGAAACTGGAGACCGAGGAATAGGCAAGCCTGGGACTGGGTGCGGATCGGTGAGAGTCTCGGCAGCTTGAACCCCGCCGTCGGAATGCGCAAAGAAGGGCGTTGCGCTGAAGCGATTGATATTGAGATCGCCCATCATCTCCAAGACCTCCTGCGCCAGAGCGTTCGGCTCAGCGCTGTCGCTCCTCAGCTGTGTGTCGTCGGCTCGTGCCGAGGGAGAATGTAGGGGCGAGTTCGAGTTGTTGGAGACTGGTCTCCTTCGTATCGGGGTGCTATTCAGAGCGCTGTAATCTTTGGGGGTGCTTGCACGGGTTGGTTCCGGTGCCCGCCCCCGGGGAGGAGGTGTTATCGCTGGCGTGGTCGGTGAGAGGCGGGATGCGTCCTCGAGGCCTTTTCCATTTCCACCCCCGCTTCCGTCCGGGATGCTCTCGAAAAGGAAACGGCGACCGTTGGGTGCGACGAATATGCTCCTGTCGGCAAACGGTACGGTGGCCTCGAGGGTGGCCCGATCGAAGTTGCTGGAGAGCAGCGGCGAGGGATGCGAAGACTCGTCAATGTCGGGAAGGTTGCCTGCGGGCGAACGTGTGTGGGCAGGCATCGTGGGATGCCTTCCGGGGTGTTCACGTCAACCACCCATATTTGCAGGCAGCGCTGCGATCTGAAGGCCAGTTTGCGAGTGGCAGCGACGAGAGAGCTCACGATCGACCATGCAAGATCTCTTAATTGAGGGAGCAGAGGTGGGAGCAAAGGTGGGGAGGGAATCCAAGATTTGCCTGCATACCAGTTACACGGAACTGAGAGGAGAGCGCCAATGATAAACGCTACAGCAACAAGTAAGGCTGAGGAGACACTGCCCATCTAGCCGAGACCCGTTTTTGCACGCGGCCCAGGAGCTTCATGTAGTGTTTAGTGTAGTATCGGTAGGGTATTTATTCGACCCGTGTTTGAATTCTTTGCGACGATCGCCGGCAAAGCCTCCATGCCTGGGCATGCACCCTAATTTTGATACCTATGTACCAGGACTCGCGGCCGCTGGGAAACGCTGTTATCTTACCTAACCTAACCTGTCTTTCCCCAGATAATCCGCCCTGTCTCCTCACTGCCCCACTCAGTTCGGTGGGGCAGTCCACAAGCCGTCCAATGAGAAATCGCGACGATGAAGACCAGTAGGGCGGGATGCAAACCTCGAACCTCCGATAATCAAACTGAGTGATACCGCCATACCTAGCACACCAAGTAAAAAGGGGTTTGCCGCCCGAGAGAACCACGTGCGAGGATGCGATAGCCAAGAGGCCGAGATGCCGCCAAGTCCGCTCATCAAATATGGATATGCTTAATTCCCATCCCCATCCTCTTCTCTAATTCAAGACCCCAATTCTAACTCTCAAGACTTCCGACTCCGTGCAGAACAAGGAACTGAAAACCTGGCGCCCCTAGTCTTCCTTCGCCAACTTGTGAAGCAAAACCGGAACCCTTTTTTTCATGCCGCCTTTTCCGTCGCGGTATGAAGCCCAACTCCGGTGTACCCATGTTTGCTTCCCGACCGAAACGCCGTCCTTCGACTCCCTCGATCATGAAATCGTACGTTGCCGAATGGCCCGTCTGCAGATGTCGCCGACCTCACTCACTCCCAGGCCAGGCAAGAATTAGATAGCCTGGGACCCCGGCCTGCCTTGGCCGCCGTGTTCGTCTTGATTGCCTGGCCTGCCTGGCCTGCCTTGACCGTTCTGCCCGTCTGGCGGGTCTTGCGGGTCTTGCCCGGTTTCCTGCCTCGCCTACCACAGTAGTCCCCAGGCTCCCCTCCCTAAGCCGCCTTTTTCTTCCGCCCCGCCTTACTTTTCTTCTTCTCCGGCGGCTCCTCCTCGCTCTCGCTCTCGGCCTTGGGCTTGCCGCCCTTGGCAGCCCTGTCCTCGTTCTCAACCTTGCTGACAATCTCCCGGAGGAAATCCCACTGATCGTCTGACTCGACCACGTGCTTCAGCATTTGGGCAGTGACCCGTTTTGAGTTCTTCTCCTTGGCGACATCGGCACTTTTGCGAACTAGAGCAATCATAAACATCTCCAGTGCTTTGCCCACGGCGATGGGTGTCTGCTGGGCAACCTTTCCGACCTCCTCATCGGCTTGCATAATCCGTTTAATCCTGGCAGTGGGGAATTTGGTCCTCACAGGGGAGGGCTCAATCTCGGCCTGTTTCTGGGCTGCCTGTGCTGCAGATCTCCGAGGAGGCATTGTGCCGGTCTGCTGCTCTGCCTGTGCCTGGAACTCTGTATCAAGACGAGACAACCCCTGACCTGGTGGTACAGAAGGGCTGTAGAAGGGCGGTTGCTGTTGTTGCTGTGTGTAGGGTTGGTGGTGAAGAGGGTCTTGCTGCTGATATTGGGCGTTCACGTAGGTTTGGTAGTAGGCTGGTGGAGCCTGGAGCCCGTAGCTGCCGCTATGACTGTGACTGGGCCCTTGGGCTGCTGAGGGAGTAGATGGCGAGTAGTGCTGAGGCTGCTGAGGCTGCTGAGGATGTGGTGAATAGCCTACACTCGGAGGATTGTGGGGCGGTGAATGTGAGTGTGGTAGAGACTGTGCGAGTGACTGGGGGCTAGACTGGGGTGGCAGGAAATGTGGCTCTGGCTGGGTATGTGAAAAATATCGAGGTTGCAGGTGCTGGCTTGAGGATTGTTGTGGCTGGCTCGAGTTCTGCAACGGTGGTCCCTGGTAGTGTCCAAGCTGTGGCTGGCCGGGCTGGCTTAAATTTTGGCTTTGTGCTTGCGGGTTGGTGGGTCCTGCCGAGTAGAAAGATGAAAGGTCGGGGGATTTTGGAGCGTAGGTTCCGTCGCTCGACATGTCTTTCAAATAAAAGGGGGAGGGGGGAGCACAGAAATAAAAGGGACCAGGTAAATAAGAGTTACTGATCCCTGACAGGAGACTCCAGCAACGATACACTAATAAGGTTTGTGAGCTGGTCGAACGCCTACTCCAGCAGGCATCAGCTCTTAGTGGCTGGTTGGGATGACTTAAGTCGTGTATTAATATCCATTCTGCTTTCGTTGATTTGGTGTGGCTGGGAAGGGAAATGGTGGTCGACGCTTGGGATGGAGGGGCAAGGGCGGAGGGGATCCATGATGCGGAGCTAATGCAAGCTCCAAGTGAAAGCTCTGCAAGCTTTGCAACAGGGCAAGTGCGAAGCTCAAAACCTCCCAAAAAGCTGCCATGAACAAAAAGTGCCAGTTGGGAGGGAAAGTGCAGTAGTGGGTATTTGAGTAGGGGTTCACACAGCTGGCAGTGGCAAACAATGGAAGCAAGCAATGACGCTGGGAATAACTAACTTTGTCGGAATGAGAGCGGCTGACCAGGCCGCATAGGCCACAGCAGATTTGTGGACAGGTGACAGGGAGACAGAGAGACAGGGATAAACCCTCTCACGCTGGCTTTGGGCTCTCAGGGGAGATGCACGACATCAAAATGCGATCATCAACAAGCCCCGAGTCCAAGGCAAGTAAGCGGAGTAATTGCCCAGGCCGATACAAAGGGGAGCCAACAAGGTTTCCTGGCAGCCCAAACAGCTCATAGCATGTATACAAGCTACGTCCCTGTGCACAAACACACCAGCCGGAACCCAGGCTGGAACGACTCGGCAGGTGCTTAGCAGCCTATGCCGTCAGTGCTTGCAAGACTCAAAGATTCAGTCTTGACAGGTGTGGTCTGTGGGGGGTGACTTTCAAGGTTGGTTTGCTGGCTGAGGTGTGTGCTGCTGACCAAATAGGAAACAAAGGCGAATAAATGAAGCTAGCATAAAGCTTGGACCATCATTTGGCGGGAGAAGTGGAAGCTACCAACCCGGCAATGGCGGAAGTTTTGGTGGGACATGGAGCCCGTTTATATGCACATCCAGATCAAGCATGGGGTTTCTGTAATCCAAGAAGAACCCATCTGATTGGGTACAGCTCCAACACAGCCTCAAAATTTTCCCCAAGCTCCGGGATTGTCACGTCAATGAAGATCACCATCTAGATTCCTTATTTATCCCATTAGCATCATCAGGCTTTGAAATCGAGCTGCGCATAGGTAGGTAGGTAGGTATGTAAGAGCCCATGGCTTTGCATGCAATAGCCTATACCGGTGCTAGGGCTTTTATTTCCTTGGAGCAGGAGCAGAGTAAGTGCATTGCATTCATTCCCTTATCTTGTTTTGCTCTCTTCATTCTTCATGATGACAGTTCAAAGCTACCAGAGACTGCAAAAATTCCGCGAGGAAGAAGCCAAGCAGTTCTCTACTATGGTTCCATCCTCCAGGAAAGCTCTCTATGACGGGAAAAATTACTTGATCTAATCTGACTTCTTCATTTCCTATATACACGTCGTTTGCCCCCTCAGTCGATTCGCTCTCTAATCTTGTCTACCAGGCCTCTGATTCCCGCCAGCCTCTGCTTGGTTGAGCGGGATACAAAGTGCGAAGCCACGGGCCACGCATGTATTCCCCCAACTTCTTCCTCACTTTCTACCATGACGCCTGCTTTCTGCAGGGTCCTCGTTAGCTCCCTAATCTCTGGAGCGAAGACCTCATCCTGGCCATAGGTGATGATGAACCCCTTGGATGGGCTGGCATTTCTCCACCAGACAATGTCCTTGCAGCTCCCAGGCGACACCAGAGGGTTATCTCTAGACCCCCAATGACCCGCAAATTGCAAGCCGTAGCTCTGCAAGGCGTCGGCATCGAGGTAATCGCTCGTACTATTCTTGTATCTTGGAGATACTAGAGTCACCCATGGTGATATCAGGACGGCCAAGGCGGGGTTTTCCAGCCTCCTGTCGTTGCCCGGACCCCTTCCAACATCCCCGTCTTGGTTTGCTAGATGAAGGAGGAGGCTGAGTATCAGGGTCGCCCCAGCAGAGTCTCCACTGACACAGACGATTGATGGGTCTCTGGCAAACTCGAGAACGTGCTGGTAGCCGTGGACGGCTTCCTGAAGCTGAGTTGGAAAAGATGCATCCGGAACCAGCGTATACTCGAGCGCAAATATGGCCGGATTCTTGTACCCGGCTTCTGCGAGGAGGGAAACCCAGGACAGCAGAAATTCGAGGTAGAAGTAAGACGAGCCCAGGGAAAACCCACCTCCTGAGGCCAAATCAGCTAGACATCATGATATGATTTCAAGATCCTACCATGGATGTAATATAGGACGAAGTCAGCCTCTTTCGTCCTGTCGCACACAACCCATATTCCCCTGAAGTGTTTCTGTTCGAAGTCAGCAGCAACCTGGTAGCGAGGGGGGCCGTAAAAGGTTACCAACATCTTCATACTCGCTCCAGTGCATCGGGTACCTCAAGTATCCATGGCGCAGCATACGATAGCGGAGGAATGGCACTGCAACCTGCTTCGAGAAGAATACACGCCCAACCCTGGGCGGTATATTTGCGAAAGCATATCGGACACAGCGTATGACGAGGTCCTCAAACGGGCTTGCCCGTCGCACAAACGAAGACTGCCGCTGAGGCCTGACCAACAGTCTCTCGTAGAAGAAGGCTACTGGCAGCTTCAGGACTAGTTCCCCAGCAATAAGTTAGATCCAGTCCAATGAGCACTCGGGATTTCTCCTGGTTGCTCACCGAGGAATGGTAGCGCCCGTAAGGCGCAGGAGATGGTCTCGAACAGTCCGGCCTGCCAGATGAGCTGAGGCGCGAGGAAGATACAGAAGACAACGCAGTCGAAATAGGACACTGGTCCGAGGATCATGAGGGGCTGGTACAGGATTGCGATCCGAGTCCCGACAGACCGACAGACAGACAGACCAGCTGCGTTCCAATGGTTGTCCTTGGGCCTCGCGATATCGTTGATCCTTAACGCGTATATCCTAACACTGTTTAAGGCCTGTGTCTGTCGTCATTCGGGCTAACGGGTGTCGAACAAGTCTTCGTCGATTAGGATCAGGTGTTCAATTCCCCATTATAAACAAGCAAAAACAATGGCTTTGATTCCAGCGATGAAACCCACCAATAGCATGGCCGGGACCTAGCATACCATTTTCTATATCGGGGAGATCTACCCCAAGATCTGTTACGACATCAGCCTGGATCCTACTGACAATTGGATATACCGACGAGCTGTGATTAGCCAGACCGAAAAAAAGCAGCGGAAAAAAAAAGGTCGAATCCAGTATTAAACTGGAGATGATGTAGGGAGAGAGTTTTGCATTATTAGCTAGCAAGCCGCTATTACATGTTCTTATTATCTTTCAAAATCTCCAACTCCATCTCCTCAAACGCGCCCAGCACCTTGCCGTACGCCTCGAAGACGCCCTCCCTGTAGCCGTCGTCCACCTTCTGGATGGCGCCCTCCTCCCGCCACCTCTTGCCGATAAGCTCGTCAAAGGTCTCGCCCTCGGCCCTCTCGAGCGCCCACACAGCCTTGTACGCCCCGCCGAGCGCGCACGCGTTCCCCCCGACGTCGAGCCTGTACACGCCGCCCGCCCCGCCGAGCACGTCGCCCATGACCCGCGCGATCGCCGGGTTCAGCGAGCCCCCGCCGACGAGGTAGACGCGGCCCGGCTGGGCCGGCAGGCCGCCACCGGGGCTGACGACGAGGCCGCGCGACCGCAGGCGCAGCGACAGCGCCTGGCTCTCGACGATGGCGCGCGCGTCCTTGTCGGCGCCCCAGGCGGCGCCGCTTCTGCTGGACTCGTCGGGCCGCAGGCCGCTCCCGTCGCGAGCCTCGGCGCCGTACCGCCACGTCCCCGCCTGGATGTTGGGCACGATCTCCGGCAGCGGGAAGTACAGGCCCAGCTTGGCGCGGTCGCGCGACTCGTCCCGCACGTCAAGCGGCGGCGTGTCCAGGACGTGCTGGTTGAAGGTCGCCCAGGGGTCGGCGGCGGTGCCATTGGCGGGCTTCGGGAGCGCGTCGCGGACCTTCTCGCGGGCCAGGCCGCCGTTCTTGTAGCACAGCATGAACATGTAGTGGCCCGGGGTGGTGGGGTGGTTGAAGAAGTGGTAGCTCGGGTCGGGCTTGTAGACGGGCGTGCTCATCAGGAAGGTGGTGCTGGTTCCAAGGCTGACGATGGCGTCCAGCGGCCGCAGCGGCAGCGCCAGGATCGTCGACGGGTTGTCGCCCGTGAAGGGCGCGATCTGGCACTCGGCGCTGAACCCGTACCGCCGCACGAAGTAGCCGCTGATCGGGCCCATGCTGCCGCCGCCGTCCTCCCGCACGTCGCCCAGCTTGCCGAGCAGCTCCGCCACGCCGTCCTTGCCGCCGGCCGTGAGCTCGATGAGCGGCTGCGACCACTTGTTGCCCGGGATGTCCCAGAGGTTCATGCCGCAGGCGTCGCTAATGTCGATCGGGGCGACGGCCCCGAGGAGCACCGAGGCGAGGAAGGACGATACCAGAGAGATGCGCGACGTCGCGGCGTACACGTCCGGGGATCTGCGACGGAGACGCAGGATTTGAGTGCCAGTGAAGCGCTGCCCGATTTCAAGGGGTCGTCAGCCGGTCTGTCTGTCTGCTAGGCGCCTCCTGGGGCTCGACGACTTACATGATGAGCAGAACTGCCCGTGACCTCGGCCAGCCTGTCGGCGGCGCCCAGGTTCGCGTCAAACTCGTCGCACTCGGCCTGCGTGCTATGGTCCTGCCAGTTAGGCGAGTTTGGGTTCGAGAAGGCGTCCTTCAGCTGGTCGACCAGCGGCGCATCGGGATTCAGGCCCGCGAGCAGCTTCTCGGCATTTTCACTCCAGTAGACGCTTCCGTGCTGCTGGCCGGCCCCGCTGATGCCCCGTATGCGGGAGAGCGGCGCATCCTTCTCCCGCAGGCGGGTGAGTACGAGGTCGAGGGCCTCGAGCCACATGGCCACAGGGGCGAAGACCTCGCCCTCCTTCTCGTTCACCTGCACGCCCTTCTTGATGCCATACTTGCTGCCGAAGTCGGCGTCGAAGTCGACTTTGGCCTCCGAGACGACGGTAAGGTCGGATTGGACAACGATAGCTGCGTAGGGGGTTAATTGGTTAGCATGGAGGTGTATAGGAAACTCCGCGGTGTAGATGGACCAATAATTAGCTACCTTTCAGCTGCTGGGTTGAAAGGTCGAACCCCAGATACAGTGGTCCGTCACCCATTTTTTATGTTCTATAGAACAGAACAATAGACACTTTAGTTAACCACAGAAATAATGATCGAGAGGAACGACTGTGACAAAATATAGAGCCCAATCTATAAAAGGGGACGGGGCAGGAATCAGAGAATCAATTGCTTTGCGGCTGGAGGGGCTCGCGGGGCACGAGGGGTTCGAAGGGTCCAAGGCGGGGCAATGCTTCATACAAAAATGCCCTGAAAAATGTAGGTAGCCTTGTCTGACGTATTTAGCCTGATATCATAGCTGGATCTTGTCCAATGCCGGTGCCGGACGATTCCAGGACTAGAGAACTACCGCTCCAATGACGCGCTGCATTGGTGGTCTAGACAGATTGCCTCTTGTTCGTATTGCACGCCTTACGCAGTACACAGGCGACACTTACATGTTAGTACCTAAAAATTTCCCCTTTCCCCACTGAACAACCAGAGTCCATGACGATTTCGGGTTTGTTGAGGGATTTGACTTGCTCTGCTTTCAGATAGTTAGGTATCGAGTTATATACACAGAGAGCAAAAAGGTATCCACACGTCGATTGGCCTTCTTGGCCTTTTCCACCCCCGGAAAACGCCTCTTGATGCGAAACATGAAGGTAGTCCAACATGTATGAAAGAAACCGCGCTGCGTAGTGGTAGATATATATGTGCAAGGTAAACAACGAAGGTAGAACGGCGGCGGGCGCCACGGCACCCGGGCCCCTATTGTGATTTCCCGTGACCATTCCCGTTCCCGTTGGAGTGGTTATGCTCATCATCCTCGGGCTCCGGGCTCGTCTTGGGGCTCACGTCACCGGGGATGAACTCGTCGAACTTTGGCGCCACGGGGGCGTCCTTGGGAACGAAGCGGACGCGCACCCTCCTGACGCCGCGGACCTTTGCGCCGACGCGGGTGCGCACGGCGTCCTCGACGGCGCGCACGTCCTCGACGGTCCACATGTTCGGCACGGCCATCTCGAGGTCGACGAGGTAGTTCTGGCCTGACTTGACGCCCGACACGTCCTGCAGCTCGGCCTCGTGGCCCTCGCTGACGCCCTCCAGCCCCTTGCGCACCTGCCGCCGCACTGACGTCTTGACCTCGTCGTCGATGCTCCGGTCCGCGAGCTCGTACAGCGCCGACAGCGTGTTGCCCCACCCGGCCTGGATAACCAGCAGCGAGATGAACAGGCCGCCCACGGGGTCGAGCCAGGTAGCGTCGTTGAGGAAGTTGGCGCCCAGGATGGCAAGGAGGGCCACGATGCCGGTGAGGCTGTCGACGCGGTGGTGCACGGCGTTGGAGGCGAGTACCGACGATTTGCGCTCGCGGGCCACTTTCATAGCTGCAGAGAAAACTGGTTAACAAGGGTAGCCCTGCGAGGGGGACTGTAGAGTCGAGGGGGAAACTAACTTGCGTGGTACAACCACTCCTTGACCAAGACCGTACCGGCTGCAAGCCACGCGGCATGTATGCTTGGGCCATCGTGGCTGTGGCTGTGGCCGTGATGGTGGCCGTGGGAGGCCAGCTCGGCCGCAGCGGCGGGGTCGAGAAAGAAGTGCGCGTATATAGATTGGCAGCTGCTGAAACACATGAAGAGCCCTCCGAAGAGCAGCATGCTCGACACCCCCAGAGAGCCCAGGCTCTCCACCTTGCCGAAGCCCATCGGGTAGTCGTCCGACGGCGGGCGCAGGCTCCACGAGACCGTGGCTAGAGTCAAGACGTCCGAGGCCAGGTCCGTCAAGCTGTGCCAAGCGTCGGCGATCATGGACTGCGAATTGAAGGCGTAGCCCCCCGCGCCCTTGGCGATGGCCATGCCAAGGTTGGAGTACAGGCCAAGCCGCGTGATGCGGACGCCGGCGTCGTTCTTGTTCTGCGAGGTCAGGTAGACATTGTCGTGGTGATGGTGATGGTGGTGGTGCCCACCGCCGTGGCTTCGTGTTTGCGTGGCCGACGCCATTTTGATGCTCGACAGTCGAGGACGCAGGAGCTGTGGGAAAAGTGAGGGCGACTGCGGGGAGGAAATGCCTAATGATGGTCGTGGACCGCGGTGGTCAGGGAACGGAGAGCAGGATGATGTTCGATATACCCGCGTCGCTTGTGGTTGAGGTGTCCTCTTGGGCTCAAACGGGAGCAGGAAGTGCTGGCTCCGGCAGGGCCGCCTCAGCAACCGCAGCGCTGCAGGCATAACTCCCAGGCATGATGAGGGGCCCGAGAGTCGCCTACAGTACAGAGAAGGCATAAAGAGGGTTTGATTTATATAGAAAGGACAGACTGGAAGGAGTGCTGTCAATTTGATGCATCTACCTTATGGCCATCCGGGTTTATTCTTGTTTTCATTATCTCCCATGGAGGCTATTTTTCCTCCGAAGGGCGCTTGTCTGAACCGCCGAAAATAAAATCCCAACGTCGCCGGCACTCGAGCGGCCGGTTATTAGGAAAGGCGCTGAAGCTTGCAGCAACAGGCCACCCAATTGTGGGGTAGGGATACGTAAACACTCATGGCGGACTGGTGGGGGCACCCGATTCCTACCTATTCCATGTTCGGCGCCGAGCCTCAGAGCCTCATCTGGTCCACTCATACCGCCGTCTGTCAAGGCTTCCATTCTACCTAATTCAAGATATCCCAACTGCCATAATTACCTCGGCACCTGGGCATATTTTCAAAGATAGTCTCATTTAGCGTGCAGATGCGGGCGCTCACACGCCATCGTATCGAAGCACCAAATGCGTAAACCTCTCCTTCGAATTCCCTTTACGGAAATCCTCACTCCTCCAACAGTCATACCCCCGAGTGCCAGCACACTTCCAGGGGCTATTGCCGCTCTCCAGCAGTTCTTCTTGTCCCCACCTCCCAGAGGACTACCGGCCTCCACCGTGGTTCTGTCTGGAGCGGGACTCTCTGTAGCCAGTGGTCTGACCGACTACAGGGGGGTAAATGGCACATATCGGGTAAACAAGTCACATCGGCCCATCTACTACCATGAATTCATCTCCAATCACGAGGCTCGGAAGCGGTATTGGGCACGGAGCTTCTTGGGCTGGACCACGCTGCACAAGGGACAGCCCAATGCCGGGCACTTTGCCGTCAGGGATCTTGGCCATCTCGGCATCATATCGAGGGTGATTACGCAGAACGTGGATTCGTTTCACTCCAAAGCCCATCCCCATGTCCCGACCCTAGAGCTCCACGGCTACTTGAGAGCTACAGTATGTACATCATGTCGAAAGGAGTTCCCGCGGGACACCTTCCAGGACGATCTTGCCCGGCTCAACCCCGCGTGGGCTGCCTTCCTAGCAGAAGCTGTGGCCTCGGGAGCCCTGGATACCAACGATCCTCATGACAAGAGGCGGCACGGCATTCGATCGAACCCGGACGGAGATGTCGATCTGCCCAACGCACCATACACGACGTTCCGATACCCGGCTTGCCCAAGCTGTCTGGCGGATCCCCCGGTCCTCCCAGATGGGAGCAAGGCAGTCGTTGAGGTCGACCGTGAAGGAGCGTGGAAGCTGTCCAGCTCCGCGGGGATCCTCAAGCCGGCTGTTATCATGTTCGGCGAGAGCATCCCAAGCAACATCAAGAATGCGGCTGAAGAGGCAATCGACAGCGCGGGGCGACTGCTGATCCTCGCGACTTCTTTAGCAACCTACTCGGCTTGGCGCTTGGCCAAGCGAGCCAAGGACCGAGGCATGCCAATCGCTGTCGTGAACATGGGAGGCGTGAGGGGTGAGGAGAGCTTGTTTACCAATGTCGATTCCCAACAGACTGGGGCTCAGGCCGTGCGAGTAGATCTCTCCACGCAGGATCTCCTTCCGGCACTCGTTGGTGCCTTGCAGCAGCAGCAGCCCAGGGCCAAGGATGAGCGGGGTCGAAATGCGCCAGTGAGACCAGGGGATGATGGCACATCTCTGTTTAAAGACATGTTGTCCTAGGGGTGATATGACCACCATGTATAACAAGAAACGAATAGACTCTAGAAAAAGCTTGCCCGACTAGGCGAGCTCGTCTGAGCTGTCCCATTTGTTGGTTCCGCTTTCTTCAACTGCTCCTCCTCACGCTTGGAATTTGGCGTAGGCTCAGCTTGTTTCTTCTTCCGATCCCGTGTCATCTCCTCCTTTTCGATCTCGTTGAGCACTAGGAGGTTGATATGTCAGTCTCGGCAGGCCCAGTCGTGGTCAAAGAGTTAGGGGAAGCACATCACATACCTTCCTGCCACTCAATCTCTTTTTCCGCATCTCCTGTCCCCAATACCTTCTCTACATCCACCTCCTCTCCCCTCTGGAGCTTCTCTACCACCTCGCGCAGGAGTCCAATCCTGACGTCACTCTGCCTTGTGAAAGCCGCAAAGTCTTTCTTCAGAGAGATCATCTGTATAGACATGGATCCGATGAGGAGGAAGATGGCGATGAAGAAAGTTGCTGGGTTCCATTCCCTCGACTTCGGCTTTCCATCCTTCGCAGAGCTCGACCTCAGCGGTTTTGGGACCAGAGACTTCCAGAACGACGGCTGCGCAATTGTCGGCATTGCGCTTGCGCAGCGCGTTCCTCGGGCCCCTATTCGAACCGAGGCCAGCGGCAAAGCTGGAGACCCGGCGCCGGAAGGCAGGAAAATGAGACGTCGGAGGGCCAGTCGACTCATATTGAGGGCGGACATAAAATCTCGAAGCGGAGGTTGACTTGGAAATTTCACGCGACGTTCTATGGCAAGACCAAAGAAAGGTTGTTAGGGTCCCTGCATGCGTCCCGGGCAGCGGCAATCGGCAGTTCGGCAGCAAATTTCCCGTGTTGCTCGGCCAACACCACTAGCTCACCCGAATGCAACCTCGAGTCAATACTGGCTGGGGGGAGGCTTCCTTCTGTGCAAGCACTGACAGCTAAAGTTCCTGTGCATCGCGTCATTGGACCTCATCCTTTGCTTTCTCACTCATACCCTGGATCGTCTTTCCTTTTGGATAATGCCCCAGACTTGGCAATGATATGATTAGGAATCAATCCCTTACACTCACTCTTAGATGGCTTCAATACAGGCACAGGTTGACGCTGTCAAAACCGCGGTTTCGAACATCTCCACCTGTTCTCCAACAACAATCGTAACCCTCAAAGCCTTGCTTCTCCCAAAAGATGGCTCCCAGGTTGGGGGTTCGTCGTCTGATGTCCGAGCCCCCAAGACCGCGAGGTCTGGAAAATCGACCACCAACGGAGCCTCAAAAGGGGCATCGAAGAGGTCGAGTCCTGCCGACGCCGGAGAGCTGTCGGTAAAGGAGAAGGGATCTCTAGCTACACAGATTGTCAATGCAACTCTCAGGGCTTTGACAGAGGCTGCGAAGCCGGTGCCCCCAACTCCTTCGAAACGACAGCCCGAGGCAGAACTGGTGAAGACGGCAACGCGCAATGCTCTCCGACGGTCGAACTCAGCACCCATGACTCCTCTGCAGCCACGTTCCATCAACCGCGTCTCTACCTCACCCGTAGCTACCAAGTCTACTCGACCCTCCACTGCCTCGAACAACTCGATCAACCTCCTGTCCGCCATCGAATGCGCCCGGGTGGCTTTATCCGCGCTAAGAACATTGCAGAGCTCGGGGAAGGTTGCTATGCCGGACCTACAGTTGGAAGCAGCCATGTCTTCATTCATCGGGAAGTTGATCGGGCTCGGGCTCCACGAGCAAGCCGTGAAGGAGCTACGGGTCTTGAAGCTTCGGTTGGAGGGAAACGCAATGGTAGATGCAAAGAGGCGGCAGAATACGGCGGGCTCAGAGACCAAAAAACAAGCCCAGGGGCTTGCAGAGATGCTTGACTTCCGTGAAGCCAAGCCATCGGACCCGGCCTTCTCGCTGGCTATCGCGACTCAAATCCACGCGCTCAGGATCCTGTCTGCGATGAAGAAGCCAGCACACATCGAGGCTGCGGCGCCGATACTACGAGAGGGCCACCCCTCATCCCTAGTCAGCCACTTGCTATCCCTAGCAGGAGGGAGCAGCGCCGACACTGCCAAGGTCGCTCGCCAGCTGGAGACTGTCTCGCAGATTCTCCTGTCGTTAACCCCGGGTGTTTCCAGCAAAGACGATGGTATTGCAACAGATCCAAGGCTCAGCATCTCACCGACGACAGCTCTCGAGCTTCAGACCCTTGGGTTGGAGTCTAGGCTCCATTGGTGGAAGATGGCCGGTCACCAGGGCGACGTCGACAGGGACATTTACTCACCTCTGTCAAAGTGTCTCGTTGCTTACACCAGGCGGCTGAACAATGCGCGATCCACATATGCCCTGTGTCAGAAATCGTTCGACCGGATCTACGAGCACGTTCAGATCCAAGGCTTGCGCTCTTCGACAAGCTCGAAATCCCCACTGGCAGCAACCTACCAATTGCTTACTTCCGTCGCTCGGGAATCTGGGATGCTCGACGACGCGGTCTGGTGGGCAACTAAGCTGTGCAATCTTCTGGACATGAGCGTGGAATCGGCAGGGAAATACTGCTCCATTGCTGCACAGCTGCTCGCACTCCAGCTCAAATACAACCCCGCTGTTTACCTCCAGAGTGAGGATCTTGTCGCCCAAGTGCTCGCTGGCGTCCAGGGGCCATTGCGTGGAGACAGTTCTGAACTCGACGAGCTCCTGGCGAACGTCGGCTCTCTGCGACGGGCCATAATAGCGATAATACTCGGTCATACCAAGGACGACAAGGGCGTGGTTGTCCAACCGCCACAGAAAACCAAGGAGCCACTCGAGGCATTCATTTTACAGTGTCCTCGGTTTTGCTTGAGGTGGCTCGGCAAGCCTCCTGATCCGAAAAGCAGCACCAAAGACTACCTCCGATATGAGCAAAGACGACAGCTCCTCTCACAGTCCATACATCATACCCTCGATTCCACCTTTCTCCTGGCCAAGACACAGCTAGACGACCAACGCCTAGCTTGGGAGCCCCTGGAGACCATCTTGAACGACAGCCTGACCCTGCTGGGTTATCTGGGAGAAATCCATACGCCCGACGACGCGACGACATACTATGTCAAAATCTCACACTTCTATTATATGAAGTATAATTCCCTTCGACAGCAATCTACGGATCCCAACGACGCGGAACCTCTGCGGGCTCTCCGCCGGTCGGTTGAGTGCGTCAAGGACCGTCCAAGGAAGGAAAAGGAAAAGGCACAGCTTCTGATGAAACTCGAGAGAATGGCCGAGCTCTACAAGAATTTGGGAAGGGTCGACGAGGCCCTGGGAGCTCTCCAAAGCATCAGGACAAGCCTGGTTGATGACGGCGTCCTAGAAGCCGTTGCTCGGGCATTCGAGACACAACCGCCGCATGTTGCTTGGAGCTTGGACAGCGACGCAGACATGCTCTCCAGGACTTTGACCTCGATTGCAAAGACGGAGCGGATCTGGATCAACTGGGCAGTCGACATGCCCGACGCCGAGCAAGCTGCTGTGTTGGAAAACCGCCTGTGGTTCGTTCTGCTCGGGAGTGGGAAGAAGTACCAGACCCTGACCCTCGATGATCCTACTGTGGACGCTCTGTTGCGCATCTATAACCCGACAAAATTTCCGATACGGAGACTGCGAACCCTATTACGCCTTCTTTGCTCATCGGTGGGCCAAGTTAACTTGGTATCAGACATCCGGTCGATCACTGCGGACGCTGTACAACTAGACGAGCATGATGGCCTCGGTGACGATTGCTCCCTGGCGAGGTATCTTGCCCACATGAAAGCGCTCTATTCGTCCATCACCGGCCTCATTGATGGCTATCCCGACCTTCCGTCTCTCCGACAAACCATCTCCGTCTGGAGGTCAATGCTCGAGGGCAGTGGAACTAGAGAGGGTCTGGAGGGTTGTATCGACGATGTCTCGGAGCTGCTCATCCATCTCCAATCCGTCACGGACTTTCTGCGGATGAAAGGTCACGACGAGCTGCTAGCCGTTGTTCTAGGGCTGTCCGCCGATATCTCTAGAGTCGTTGACGGCCCGAGGCCGGAAGACTTCCTCGACAGTCACACGAATTTGGCCTTGCAATATGCCAACGTTGGCCAGACTGGCGAGGCTGAGCGTATATTGCGGCTGGCGGAAGCGTTCAGCGCCAGACAGGAACATATCACCCCCGAGGCCGCTGCTGGTTTCCATCTTGCTGTAACGGAGTACCTTCTTGCCATCGGTAACCATACAAAAGCGTAAGTCATGCATATATACCTTCTGTTTATCTGACTGTCTCTGACGATACCAGGAATGATCATCTGTCTCTGGCAAAGGCAGCTTTCGCTGCCAATTCATCAGTCCAGAAGGCCTCGAAATACCGCAAGAGAGTCCTCTTTGCTAACGCCTCCTACTTGTATTCCCTCATCGCCCTCGAGCGCGGCGACTCCCATCATGCTCTAGTATATTGCAGAGAGAGCGTTCGCATTGCTTTCCAGGAATGGAGTCGCATAGAGACTCAATTTCAGGGGGGGTTGGATTCGAAGCAGCCATCTGCAGATAATTCCGCCCTCACCACATCAGTAATGGACCACAAAGACACCGGCACAATGCCTCTCGGGCCCGAGTCCTGGAAGGTGTTCCGAGAACTTCTACGAAATATTTCCTGGCTCTCGGCAATATATGACCACCTCGGCATGTTCCAGGAGACGCTCTATTACGCAGAACAGGTGGAGAAGCTGGCCCGGAAAGCAAACTCGGAGTTCCACCTGATACAGTGTGTAACTTGGATGGCGTCGGTGCATTTGAAGGCCGGAAACCTGGAGAAGTCGCTCGAGTTTGCGAGCGAAGCCCGAAGCCTCATCCGAGCCGACGGTCAGTCTTGCCACATCGCAAACCTGGCATGTCAGATCGGCTCCGTCTATCACCGACTCGGGGAGTCCAAAATCGAGGCTGAAATGTTCGGGAGGGCGGAATCTGCCTTGGCGGCTCTGGGTCCCAAGCAAGCCAGTTCTGTTGTTGACGAGGCGTCCACGGGTCTCGAGTTGAAGATGGCAAAGCTGGAGATCAAGGAGAAACCGGCCAGGAGGACAAGGGCGGCAACGGCTAGCACGCGCCGCAAGGCACCATCCGCTACAACGCTCACGAAGCCGAGGCCAAAGGCGAAGCCAGCAGCTACATCCGAAGCAGTCCCACCGGCTGCTGATGCGTGTCTTGGCAACATTCGAGCATCTCTTCTCGTCCAGAAGGCCGTGTCGTTGCTCACCAAGAGGGAATGGGCCGCGGCGACAACTATCCTCCGGGAGGTCAAGGAACTTGCGAGTCTGTCTATCAATATCTCAAATGGGCATCTAACCATGGCCGCCTGTCTCCTTGGACAGAGTCTTGAAGACATGGCACACGATTCTGTCTTTTCTGTCGTCCACGACTCGACACTCTCGTTCCCTACGGTCCTTGGAAACGGAAGCGACAAAGCCGTGGTAGATCGGTTATCGTTGACTAAACACTCTCCTCCGGCGAAGACCCGGAGTACTGCTGCAACTAATCGCAGAGAGGCCTCAAAGGAAGCCGTATCCCAGCGCTACATGGAGAGCCTGAGGGAGGCACATGAATGTCTCATAGAAGCCCACGCGACCGCGGCAGTGTCGGGTGATTCGAGTTTGCTCCACCGCATTTCGACGATGCTACAGAATGTGACCCTCCTGCTGTCGACAATCTCGGCAAAATCGAAAACGGCCGGCCAGGTCGGACACGCGACGTCCTCGACGGAGCTTGCGCGCAACCTCACATGGAGGCGCGAACGGAAGGCCGTCGTGCAGGAGAAGACGGCGGCCAAGCCCGATGGCACCGAGTGGCCCGTCCTGCTCTCGTCGTCGGATCCGAGGCGCTCTAGCCTGGGCTTCTCGCTCGATCACAACAAGTTCCAGAGAGACTACGTCGAGATCATCCCCAAGGCCTGGACGGCGATCTCCATCACCCTCGGCGAGAACAAGCACGATCTATGCATCACCAAACTGCAGGCGGGCCACAGCCCATTCGTCATCCGGCTCCCCCTGGAGCGGGCCAGCTCCCGCGATGCCGACAGCGAGGTCTTCAACTTCCAACAGGGTCGATCCGAGCTCCTAGAGATCATCAAGCTGGCCAATACAACCTGCCACGACGCGAGGGATATGACTGTCAAAGGGGCGAAGAAGGCATGGTGGGAGGACAGAGAGGCGCTCGACCAGCGACTCAAGGGACTCCTGGAGCTCATTGAGCGGGACTGGCTTGGCGGCTTCAGGGGCATCTTCTCCCAGCATCGGCGGCGCGCGGACCTCCTGGGGCGGTTCCAAAAGAGCTTCCAAAACGTCCTGGACAAGCATCTCCCGTCGCGGCGACAGGTCCGCGGGAAGAAGACAAAGGCAGCATCGTCGACGTCGAAGGTGACGCTCGACCCGCGAATCCTGGAGCTGTTCGTCGGGCTGGGCGACGCCACGGAGGAGGGCTGCGACTTTGACGACGAGCTGACGGACCTCCTGTACTTCGTCGTCGACATCCTGCAGTTCCACGGCGAGCGCAACGCCTACGACGAGATTGACTTCGACGTCATGGTCGTGGAGACGTTTGACGCCCTGCGCGCCTACCACTCGGCGGCCAAGGGGGGCGACGGCGACGCCGAGGACGGGGCCCACACCATCCTGGTCCTGGACAAGGCCCTCCACGCCTTCCCCTGGGAATCGCTCCCTTGCATGCAGGGCCTCGCCGTCTCTCGGACCCCCTCTCTCGCCTGCCTCCGGCGTCTAATCCTGGAGCAGCGAGCCCCGGCCTCCTCCTCCACGACTTCGACACCCAGCGAGCAGCAGCAGCAGCAGCAACCGCCTGCCGACATCCCCAGTGGCCACCACGTGTCCGCCACCTCGGGTGCGTACATCCTCAACCCGTCGTCGGACCTCAAGTCCACGCTCGGCACCTTCGACGGCGCCTTCGCGGCGCAGCTCCCGTCCCCGGCGTGGGCGCGCATCGTCAGCCGGGCGCCCACCGAGGCCGAGTTCGAGACGGCGCTGGCGACGTCGGACGTGGTCCTCTACCTCGGCCACGGGTCCGGGGCGCAGTACATACGCGGGCGCACCGTGCGCCGCCTGGACAAGTGCCGCGCCGCCGCGCTGCTGATGGGTTGCAGCTCGGCGTCGCTGGCCGTCGCCGGCGAGTACGAGGCCCACGGCGCCGTGTGGAACTACATGCTCGCCGGGTGCCCCGCCGTCGCGGGCACGCTGTGGGACGTGACGGATCGGGATATCGATCGGCTTGCCGGGCGGGCGCTGGAGGAGTGGGGGCTGATTCGGCGGGGGACGTTTGTGGATGGGGGGAAGGTTGGGGAGAGGGATATGGCCAAGGGGAGGACGGGGAAGGCGAGGCGGAAGGCGGGGAAGAAGACGTCGCTCGTCGAGGCGCTGGCCTGTGCCCGGGAGGAGGCCTGTCGGTTCAGGTATCTTACTGCGGCGGCTGTGGTGGTTTACGGCATCCCGGTTTACATTGACCGGTGAGGGGGTGCGATCCGGACCGAGAGAAACGAAAAGGGGCGAAGGAGAAGTGAGGCCAGGTTGTGTTGTCACAGCTGGGGCCCGCGAGATGCATTGTAAGGAGTGAAAGCACGAGAGAATGGGCTTCCTCTCGGCGGCGTTTGGGTTTGGTAGAGGGCGGCGCAATCATAGATTTTGCAGGCTGCCCTTTGTTTGTTGCTATTTTACACTGACTGTTCCATATCATTCATTACCTACTTCGTTACATACGGAAATGGAAAAGAGAAGAACTATCGAAAATGCGCCTCTTGATAGAGCTTGAGGTTATCCCCTGTGAATGCCGGCTGTTTGGGTGTGCGCCGGTTGCGAACGCCCCTTGCCAGACGTCCGCTGCCTGGCCGAACTTCAACGGCGTTCCCCCGGGGAGCATGCCCGGAACCCTTGAAGCTGCAGTGCAGCTGCCATGGGGGTCGAAGAACGTGTGTAGCCTCCCGTCTACCCTCAGCCGGATCTAAGGAGCGGAAGATAGGTCTACAATATTACGTCAGGGAGTTACGTCAGGGGCAAGGGCCCGGGGGGGCCTTGCTCAGGAGAAAAGGCTTCGCTACAGAGTGGGCAATATCAACCCCTGTCAAGGGGGCCAGGGGCCGCCTTGTGTTTTCCCTGTCCCCCCTTGATGATTCACACGTGGGCCGAAAAGAGGTGATCGTTATATATAAGGAGGACTATAGCTGGTATCCGTGTCGCCCTTAAAGTGGTAACCTTAGAGGCGCGTTCAACACACACCGAGTCACAAAAGGGGGCAACGGCCAGACAGATGACGGGCTGGGTCATATCGCATAGCAGCCTCCTTGCACGTAGCTTCATATTGATAGATATATATGCCTATATGTACATGCTGACACGACCGTGGCAACAGTGATATGTCCGGGCGCCTCTGGTAGCACACCGATGTGGGTAGTCTTGTCTCACTGCCCTTATATTCTGCTCGATTCTAGAAGTCCCCTGCAGGCAGAGGGAAGTGCCCCTTCCGTGTGTGTCTGCATGGAGAGCGTGGACAGCGTGGAGGCGTGTATCGATGATAGGAGACTTTCTATTCCTATAATAGGGACAATGTAGGCGGGGAGGAACTAAGGTATCATTGCGCATCTGCAATCGAGCGGCGATTCGATCCTGCAGCACACGCAGCCATCTGCCCGCGGGTAGTTCGGGTGGTTAACTACAGATAGAGAGACACTGATTTGCGCCTCCATCACGACTGGAGGGCGGTTAGGCGCGCCGAAGACGCAATCTAGATGTTAATACCCGATTCGCTACCGACGGCTGCACTGCAAAGAGAGGCGGACGGATGGTTGTTCAACCGTAGTAAATCCCCGCGTCGTTGGCCCGCCCGTCTCGCTTCCATGCATATCAGCCTGTTCGATTTAGCCCGAGAAAATCCCCAGATGGAGTAGTTGGTGTATTGGATGACGGAGGATGGGGGATGGAGGCGGTCGGGCGAATGGCAGCACTGTGAAGGGCAGACATGAGCAAGTCATGGATGTTTCCGTTCATGGAAGGTGCCAATGTTCGCTCGCCCTGCGCGTCGCGTCGAACTTCTGTGTTTCCATTCCCCGTTTATCCAACAATACCATCTTGTGGCATGTGTACAGATGGTCCGCATATGGGGCCACGAGCTCATCGCGAATTCAAATCACCGCATCACCGCACCACGCTAGCACCGCCTCGTTGGCATCAATGCAATGGTGACGGGCTCGACCACGCCGTGAGACATGGAGCTGAAGCACATGAGCTCGGACGTCCTGCACAGATAGAGATGCGTGGAGGGGATGGGGGGAGACGATATATAACCGAACCGAGAAGGGCCGAGCCGTTGGAAGGCCAGTTAGCATGTATATTCCATTCCATACTGTTGCTGTTTACGGAAAGTGTTGTAGACTTGGGGTTGGATGTTTGGGGGGGTGGGCTGCGTGAGCGAGGGATGCGGGTGACTGCAAAGCTCATTGGCTACAGATCGGGGGTGCGAACCTGGAAGTTATCCTCGGATAACGGCAGGATTAGGGTGACCTGGCGCTGCGGAATCTGGGGAAGGATCAAAAAAGATGGCGCTTTGCGAAAAACCTCCGAGATGCCGTAGCGGCGCATTGCAGCCAGCATGCGACAGGCTGAGGTACATACACAGGACGGCTCGATTGAGGCACCTGAAAAGGGATGTCTGGGCGACGAGAGGGAAGTACCCAAATAGCCTTAAAGTGCAAGTACCTGCGGTAATAAATCGGCTGCTTTCGAGTACCGGGGTATAGATGAAGGGGCAGAATCTAGCAATATTCCAGAAAACGCTTCCCCCGATTGACCACCCACTCATCACTGGCGCGCTGAGTACCTATAGGGGATAGTTGATTTGGTTGCGGGATGGCCTTGGCTTTGGTTTGGCTTGATCGGTCGGCTGAACCGCGAGTTCAAAAACTCTTGGTTTCTGATCGCCCCAGGCTTATATGAAGTAATTGCTGACCCCAGGTAGACAGCCAGCCAGCCAGCCAGCAAGCCGGACTGGTCGGCGTGGCGTCATCATTCTCTGCATCGCTGGGAGTGTGTACCACAGAACTGTGTATCCTGAATCTGATGGCTTGCATCCATCTTGGCGAGGCAGCGAGGGTGGCAAGCCACACTATACGCTACCGGCTACATCGACACTAGCTGTGAGGTCGTGACAAGTCCAGACTCGCCGCCGACATAACCTACCTACACGAGAAGTTAACCTGAGTCACGCTGTCATGGGGTGGCGAGAACGCCGATCTCGCAATTCGACGACTTTCATCTGCATTCTTGCAACCATAATCATCTCGACAGCGATCGCATCTGCAAAGCTTATTAGCCAATTACACACAGACTGGCACACTTAGCATCTTGATACAGGCCTAATATGAGCGCTTGGTGCGACGGAGAACTGCTTTGACAATCCATGAAAATGACAAATACCTTACTTATAACATGGCCCGGCGCATTCTCGGAATTTGCCTCGAGGCCCTGTCCATGGCCAATGCCCGGTTCACACTTGCCAGTCTCGACTTGTCCGTGGTGAGACTAGTGCCAGTCGGTACGCGTGCTGTCAATTTGATGCGCCTTGCGTGGAGAAGACCCCACCCTTGCAGTTTCCACCCTGCAGTTTCCAACCTTGCAGTTTCCACGTTGTACTCCCCGCCTTACGTAAGTTGGCATCTTATGCCCAGAGAGATTATTGGCACGCTATCCGTACATGCGTGGATCGTCAACCTTGGGTCCTTGGCCAGCCACTCATGTGTTCCGCTTCTTGATTTCATCCACAAGAACCTGGTCCGTGCACGTCCTTCCTTTCCGCTTTTTCCTTGTCCATTACCAACATCCATCGCTTCATAGGCATGCGCTAAAGGTACCTCTTCCTAGTGCCATGTCCACTTCCATAGTGAGTACGGATACAGGAGGGAGTGGAGGCATACTAGTTTTTTATTCCACTCCATGTCCACAATGGTCTTGGATTCTTGGTGTGGTCGCCTGCACCGGAGGGTTGGGGCAAGGTCTGTACGAACTCGATGTGGTTGTGAATACGAAGCAGTCTCTCTTGTTGTTTGCTGTGCGCTGTGTGCGGTGTGCCACTTGTCCCGCCTTAAACAAAGATGCTGATGATCCTCCGCGTCTTGCAGAACTGGTGGACTTTGATGAAAGTCCGAATGGGGAATTTGCCAGTTTATATGAACCCCTTGGAAGTTGTACATACATGCAACGCATGTACATGACCCCCTTGTACGGATCCGTATGTGCTGCGTAGATATTGTTATTATTAACTTGCAAGGTAGGTAGGGAAGCTAGGAATCCACTGCCAATACACACATACCTTTAATGACCTTGTTCATTCGCCCACTACGAACGAATCCGTACATTGGCGTTTACCTGGGGGTTTTGAGCCAGGCTCCTTCATTCCTTTCCACCGTACCCACTTCCTCTAAGCCCCGGTCCTTCGTCGCGCCCGGTTCCTCCCAGGCTCTCCTCTCCGTATCACGAGGCACCCCCTTGTCCACTATCTCCGCCACCCTTGTCGTTCCTCTCCCAGCATTGGATCCAGACGACCCAGAGAGGGAAATCGCGTCTTTACCCCACAAATTGGACCCCGACAACCGCTCATCCTGGACTAGGTGCTCCAGATTCCAACAAAGTCCACACACCCATTTTGGTCTCCAGCTTCCCACTCTTCTCCCCATCTCCATCTCCATCTTCCCCGTTTCTAGTCCCAACAAAACTGTCGACGATCCTGGGGAGTCTCCGGCGACGCTCTCCTCAAACCAAGAACACCGCTTCCACTCGGCTCACAGCTATTTTCGTTGCTTTATTCTTTCTCGGCCTGAGCGGGGGAGGTTTGAGCGTTCGACCCCATGCGATGAGATAGGGATTTGTCTCCTCACGCCGCTTCTCCGCACTTGCAACTCCTCAACCCACCCAGGAGGGACAGTACCAAAAAGGAGCCCAGAGCCAGAGCCAGAGACAAGAGGCAGAGGCAGAAGATTAAAGACACAAGATCGACGGAGAGAGAGCCGGAGACACGAGCCCTTACTGGCACCGTGCGGATACTGGATATCTCTGATCACAGCTTGCTTTTAGAGAGCTTACTTACCCTCGTCGTCCCCTGAGCACCTGCAGCAATGTCACCCGGCCTCTCGCAAGTCGAGGTCAGACGCCTCCCTTCCCTCGATCTCGACTTTGGCCAACCTGCTGGCGACGCAGAAGCTCAACTGGCACATTCCGAGTCTCCCATCTTGCACGCCTCCAATGACGCACTGAGCAGCATTGCGGCCCCGCACTCTCTGCTTGACTCTACTCATTTGGTCGACTTCGAATTCCCCTCGTACCAGGATCTGACAGAGCCTGCATCCATGGTCAATTTCGACGACCATGCCGGCGACATGTTCGCGCACTCACAGTCGGATGAGATATCATCAATGGCCGACCGCCGGAACTCGGTAAACTCCATCACCGTGCGGACAACAAATTTTCGGGGCGCCTCCGGCCAAAGAGGGCTCAGCATGGACGAGTCCGATGACGGCAGTCCCGACAGCAACAACTTTGGCGCCAACTCGCTTGAAGACCCCATGTCGGACGAGTTCGGCTTGTCTACCGGCGGCCCCGGGGACTGCAACAGCAAGTCCAAGGTCGACAAGACCGATTCAGTTCCGGCATGGAGCGAATTGAAGACCAAGGCCGGCAAGGAGCGGAAACGGCTGCCGCTGGCCTGTATCGCGTGCAGGAGGAAGAAGATCCGCTGCTCGGGTGAAAAACCTGCCTGCAAGCATTGCCTGCGGTCTCGGATCCCCTGCGTATACAAAGTCACAGCACGGAAAGCGGCCCCCAGGACAGACTACATGGCCATGCTGGACAAGCGGCTGAAGCGAATGGAGGAACGTATTATTAAGATAGTTCCGAAGGCAGAACAGGACGGCCTCGCCTCGTCCGTGACCCGTGCAGTCGTCAAGCCGGCGATTCCAGGCACGCTCACCGCCAATAAGTCGGCATCCAAGAAGCGCGGTGCCGAAGACGCGTTCGGTGCGGATCTTGATCACTGGGCCCGCGCACCGTCCAGGTCAAGACTGGACGGCCCAGACAGACCCTCGTCTCTCATGGTCCAGGAAGAGGAGGAAAGCAAGCTGCTGCTGGAGGGAGCCGAAGCGCTGCCCTCCAAGGAAATCCAAGAACACCTAGCTGAAGTCTTCTTCGAAAACATATATGGCCAAGCTTATTATCTCCTCCACAGACCAAGCTATATGAGGAAACTCAGGTATGTCCGTCCCTTGACAGATCCACGACCCCGTCGGAAGGAAATCATGCTGAACTGTGTGTGACTTGGCAGAGCCGGTGCATTGCCTCCAGTCCTGGTGCTCTCAGTCTGCGCCATCTCGGCACGCTTCTCCAACCACCCCAAGCTCAACACGAGCCCGCAGTTCCTTCGAGGGGAGGAGTGGGCCTCTGTTGTTCGCGATATCCTCACCAAGCGATACGAATGGCCAAACATCACCATCCTCACCTGCCTCGTGATCATGGGCCTGCACGAGTTTGGCACCTGCCATGGTGGTCGGAGCTGGTCCCTCGCAGGCCAGGGTATCCGAATGGCGTTCGCCCTCCAGTTACACAAGGACCTGGAGTACGATCCGCTGCGGCTCAACGGGAGGACACAGCTGAGCTTTGTCGACCGGGAGATCCGAAGGAGGACAATGTGGGCCTGCTTCGTCATGGATCGCTTCAACTCGTCAGGCACTGACCGACCGACGTTCGTCGGCGATGAGACCCTGAAGATTCCCCTGCCCATCAAGGAGAAATACTTTCAACTGGACATGCCCGGCCCAACCGAAAACTTGAACGGCCACGTCGTCGATCCCGTCTCCGCGGACGATGGGCAGCTCGCCGATGCGAAGGAAAACATGGGCGTCGCGGCATACATGATCCGCGTCGTTGCCCTGTGGGGTAGGATTATCACCTACCTCAACCGAGGGGGCAAAGACTCGGACCCCCATCCCATGTGGAGCCCGGAATCGGAATACTCGAAGCTCATCAAGCAGACTGAGGATGTCATCACCAACCTCCCTGACTTTCTCATTTACACGCCGGATAATCTCCAGCTACACGACACCGAGAACATGGCGAACCACTTCCTCTTCTTCCACATCGCTATTCAGCAGAACATCCTCTTCATGAACAGGTTTGCCGTCTCGTCTCCGAGTGGGAGCTCCCAGCAAGACGTACCCAAGGCATTTGTGACCAAGGCCGGGGCGAAGGCATTTCAGGCGGCGAACCGCATCTCGGAGCTGCTCAAAGATGCCGAATCGCACTTCGTCACCGCGCCATTCACCGGTTACTGTGCATTCCTGTCCAGTACCGTCCATATCTTCGGAATTTTCTCGGGGAATCCGACGATGGAGGCGACCTCGAAACGTAACCTGGCGACCAACGTCAAGTACTTGTCCAAGATGAAGCGCTACTGGGGCATGTTCCACTGGATGGCCGAGAATCTGCGGGAGCAGTACCGGACCTGTGCCGACGCTGCGAGGCAGGGGAATCCCGCCAACGAGAATTCGGCCTCGCCCATCTTCCAGTACGGCGATTGGTTCGACAGGTATCCGCACGGAGTGTCTGGATCCGACTTCATGGACCCCGCGGCTTACAAGAAGAAGGAGACGGGAGATGATGCCGTACTGGAGCAGAAGCCCGAGCTGCATACGGTGGAGGAGTACTTCACCAGCCTGTCGCCGGGTAGCGCCGAGGCCGCCAACGGCAGCGTAGGGAGGCCCGGCCAACAAATGAAGCGCAAGTCGATGGCCCGCAAGGGCGGTAGCGCCGCAGTATCTCGGGGCGACCAGCAGCAACAGCTGGAGCCGCTCCAGACCGATTTCGCCCAACACGCCGCAGACCAAATCCAGGCCCGCGTCCAGCACCACCGGACGTTTTCGGGTGCCGGCAACGGGGCGCTGGGCGGCCAGACAAGCGGGCCGTCGTCGTTCAACCCGCTCACCGTCCCCCACGCCGCCAACGGCAACTCGTACCACGGCCTCTCGCCGCTCAGCCCCGTCTCCGTCTCCCAGTTCCGCCACCACCACAACCCGTCCTTCTTCCCCCCGGTCCCCTTCAACATTTCCCTCGCCGCCCACCAAGGCGGCATGGCCCTACCCCAACTCGATCGGCAGCTCGTGTTCGGCGCCTACGGCAACGGCGTGGACCCCGGCGTCAACCTGGCCGGGTGGTCGCAGCAGGACGGCGGCGCGGACGGCGGCAGGCAAGGCGGCGGCGGTGGCGAGGGCGGCCGGGGCAGCGGGAGCCAGGCGGGCGGCAACGGCAACGGCGGCCACATGGCGGCCGCGGACGCGGCGCTGCACGCGGCGTTTGCGCACGAGCCGAGCTCGGCCTGGTTCATGCCCTTCAACATGGAGCCGCCCGAGCTTGGCGCGGAGCTTGGCGTCGGGCTCGATGGCTTCGTCGACATGTTTGGCGGGAGCATGTCTACGGCCAGCGGCGGCATGGGCGGCATGCACCACGGGGCCAGGTGATGGAAGGATGGATGGGGCGGAAAGTTGCAGGTTGGCGGTTGGGAAGTGTACAAGAGTTTCAAGTTGCTGCTGACACGGGGGGCGGCTTCTTTTGGGCCGCCGGCGAGGGAAGTGGAAGGGAACAAGGGGTGCCTGCCAGGTCACCCGATTTTGCGGGGACCAAATTTCAAACGTGGCAGAGAGATGTTGGCGAGCACGCGGCGATTTATCTTGCGTCATTACAGCGGCCGAGAAAGGAGAATGGTCGGAGGTTTCCCATTTGCCACGGCACACATATCAAACTTTTTTGCGACAGGCGGCGCAACCGGGTCGAGGAGGTGCGGTTCCCCCTACTTTATACGTTATGGGTGACGCATACCAAGTTCAAAGGAGTACTTGAGCTTGCGCGCCTTGGAGTTCAATTTTTTGGGGGGAGGTAAGGGGGTAATCTGGTAGCAACGTGGGGAGGGAGTCAACTTGGGATGGGGACTCTCCAGAGGAGGAGGCAAGGGTGGGCTAGATTGTTTGTATTTATCATCGGCTGGTCCTGCGTTGTACGCTCACTGCGTGTGGTATATAGTCGGGACAGATCGGCGTCCAATGTTTGGATAGATATAGTTCTGATTACGCATCTGCCGATCACCATCTATTTGTTGTGCGGGAATAGTATCTTCCAAAGCCTCAATAGTACTCATAGGTAGGTAGTACAGACTCAAGCTACCTTAGATATGAACAGTCGCGCCACCCCATTCTAAGCCTTGCCAACCTTCTTACCCTTAGACCTCTTACGCTTCTTCTTCCGTCCCCCCGCAACCACATTCGCCCCCTGCTCTTCTTCCTTAGGAGCACCACCGGCCCTCGGCTGAGGCGCCTCCGTGCCGCCGTCCTGATCGTCTCCCTCGGCGAACCCAAAGGTCGGACCTGTCCGCTCGAACTCCCTGCCGAACACCTCCCTCCGCCACTGGCGCAGGCGGGCCTTCTTGCCGAGCCGCTTACGGTCCTTGCGCTTCTTCTCGACGTCGCGGAAGGTGGCCAGCTTCTTGAGGCCCGCGTATTCGTTGAGGGCAGAGTCGGGTGCCAGTAGGATGTCGCGCGCCGTCATGCCGAACGTGACGGGCGACGTCTCGCGGTAGCGGAAGGCCGGGACGGCGTCGCCGCCGCCGCCCTTGGACGACGAGGAGAGGGCGCGCGGGTTATCTAGCTCCATCTTCGCGTCGACGAGGGCCTCGAGACGGGCTAGCTCCTGCCGGGCCTCGCGCTTTGCGGCGGCGCGGTCCTTTTTGGCTTCCTTGGTGGTCTTGCGCTTCTTGGCTGGCCGCTCGGACTCGGACTCGGAGTCGGACTCGTCCTCGGCGCCTTCCTCGGGCGCAGCTTCAGAGTCCGTCAGAGTGACGACGGGCTTTACTTCGTCATCAAAGTCGGGAATGATGTCCTTGACATCGATGTCGTCATCCCACTTGGGTTTCTTCGGTTTGGTTTTCTTCGACAACACGTCTTCATCATCGGACCCGGACAACTCGTCTGCTTGGGCGTAGTATTCTTCACCGAATCGACGCTTCATCTCCTCCTCCCATCTGTCATCCTCCCAGGCGTCGTTGAGGAACTTCACCCAGTCCTTGTCCTCCAGAACCTTGCCGCTCACACCCGCAGCTTGCTTGATCTTCTGCAGCTTCTCCTGGGCCTCTTCGAGCTTGAGGCGCCGGAGACGGCGCCGGTCCTCTTCGCGCTCTCGCTTCTCCGCCTCTTTCCTTTCCTTCTCAACCAATCGTTGCTTTTTTCTGCCTGTAAGCTCTTCCTTTCTCACTGACCGCGCCGCAACGACGTCTCGGGAGTAGGATTTCAGGACCTCGTTGCTCTTCTCTGGATCCTCGAATCTCAAGTTGTAGGCCTGTTCGAACTGCTCGGCAATATCGTTGTTGTCATCCTCGCCCTCGTCCGACTCAAACGCTTCCCACCTTGACCCTCCTTCCGAAGCCCAGGCCTTGGACGCCATGAATTTGGACAAATAGGTCTCAGGGTCCTTGTCTGCGGTTACAACATCCTGCTCCGTAAGCTCGAGGGCGGCAGCCCTTGAGGGATGCACGCCATCCCTTGTTGGGCGTGCTTGTTCCTTTGGCTTCATGAATGCCTCGTCGCCACTCCATTCTTCATCTGCAGCAGCGGCGGCGTTAATCTCTGAGAGAATGGTCTGCTTTATTTCTTCTTGCTCTTGGGTATAGGTCGTCGGGTTGTTTGCATCGTCTTCTTCCTGGCCGTCCGCACCAATATCGCCTCGCAAATACCTTTCGCGATGGTAGTCTCGAAGGAAAACCGGCTTCTCCTTCTGAGCATTGGTTCCCTCGCCAGTCGCCGGGTCAAACGGCTTGTAGAAAACCGCCGACTTGTCGTATATCCGGGGGTCTTTGTTCTTTATAGCCTGGAGCGTGGCCGAGATCTCAGCATCGAGGTCCTCGGTGACCAAGAATCCTTCGTCGTCTTCTGTCTCGTCCGACGAGGACTCGTCCTCTGAACCCGAGGCACCACCATTGGACTTGTACTTTTCTTCAAGTCTATGGAGATCTTCTCGCTTCTTGTTATGCTCAAATCTTCGAGCATATTCCTCGTTGATCTTCAACTTGGACGGCCCGAGGGCAGCACCGCCTTCTTCCTGATCATCTTCACTGCTCGAGCCCTCATTATCGAACAAACTCTTCTTGGGAATTGGTCCACCCTTGGTGGCTCCGCGGCCAGCTGCAGGCACCATTTTGCGGGGATCTCTCTGTTCTCTTCAACGGCGGAAAGAGGGAGGCTCGGGTAGAGGAAAATTTGGTTGCCTTGGAGTTGGCTACAACGAGAAGCAGCACCTCAAAATGTGGGCAACCGAGTCTTCGATAAGGAACTTTTTTTTCTGACAACGGGGAGTCGCACTCCAAAAAGTGGACTGCGATTGGCGACTTTTTTCAAGCACGGCCCAGCCCCGCAGGTCCCATCATGGTTGCACGTGCCGCTCCTGAGCCTCCACCGCGTGAGTGTCTCTTACCTTGTACCACCAATAGTATTATGTAAATTGACCTTGAAGAACAGCAGGAGGCGCCATTCACGATTCCGCATTCCCCAGCGAATAACATGAAGTGAGGAACCAGCCCGATTGGATGGCGCTCCCTGCTGTTCGTCCAAGGCCGGAGTACGGCTACCTACCTACGCACATGTATAATCTCTTACATCTCGCAGACCCTCCATCCCCGTCTCTGACACGCAATATCATGGAACAAAACAACCATCAGCTTAATTTTGATAACGTTGCAACCGGCTATGTGACCCTAGGCACCAAAGTTCCACTCTTGAGGAGTAGCCTGGTCAGGTATTAGCTGAGGGAAGAGCGAGGAGAACTTGGTGTGTAGAAATTACGACAGACTGGATACTTACTGCTCTTCAACTATGTAAACTACCTTACTACCTGTAGCTGATGCAAGAGCTGCGATTACCAACTGGCTTTCTAATAAGCTCCACTTGGTAGTCACTCCTTTCCACTCATATTCCAGAGTGAGTAACAGGAAGTCAGGAACCAGCTTGATTGGGTAGGTTCGCTGATATCCAGAATCAAACATATTCTCGTCGTGAGAGGTTGAAAGCTACATCTAATTGAAGTTCTCGCTAAGTAGTGTCCTGCATGGGGGTGGTAAAAGGAGAGAAAACTCAAAACCAACACGAAAGTCTTTACTCCCAAGCAACCTGCCAAGTGAGACACCGACCACTCCGCTTGACCGTAATGAAAATATAGAGCTCTGAAGAACGACCGGCCACTTGCGTTCCCATCTTCTGACCCCTCTTCCAGCCAACGCTTCCCGCAACCAAGATCGTCCCGGAGGCACACACACACTCCCAGAGAGAGAGATCAATCTCAACACGCGCAGCCTTCTTTGGCATTTGGATCGCGAGGCCCGCTAAGATTCACTCTCTGCTCCTCGCCTGCGCGGCCGGCTGCATTGGAGGCGCCCGGACCCCGCGCACTCTTCAACGATGTTTCCGGGATGGCATTTGCGATGGCAGTGAACACCTCCGTAACATTGAAACCCGTCTTAGCGCTGGTCTCGAGGAACAGCAAGCCCTCCTCTTCCGCGTACGCCTTGGCCTCTTCTGTAGACACCTTCCGGGCGTCGCCGGAGTCGTCTCCCTCGCCCACGCCCTCCGAGTCGTCAGCCGCGCCATCTGCAACCGAACCAGCGCCGGGGTTGGCAAGATCAAGCTTGTTGCCCACTAGCGCAATGACAATCCCCGGTGACGCCTGGCGTTGGAGTTCGGCGACCCAGTGTTTGGCCTTGATGAGAGACGTCGGTTTCGTCAGGTCATAGACAACCAGAGCTGCCTGTGCGTTCCTGTAGTACATCGGGGCAAGGGAAGCGAAACGCTCCTGTCCTGCTGTGTCCCATATCTCGAACTTGATGGTCCGCGTGGGGAGGTTGCATTTTTGTGTTAAGAAAGCAGCTTGAATAAGCCACATGCGTCAGCCATACGGTACCCTTGATGAGCGTTGAATGTCGAGAGGGAACATGACGTACCACCTATTGTTGGCTCCTTATTCTCTTGGAAGTCGTTATTGACGAAACGCAGTACGAGGGATGACTAGAACTCATGGTTAGGCTTCGGCCGAAGGCTCGAGGTTGATTGGATTTGGGATCCCACCTTTCCGACGGCCGCTTCGCCAAGCAGCACCAGTTTGACGCTGCTGCTCGGCTTCGGAGTATGCGAGTCAGCCATCTTGGGCGAGATGTTTCGTGCTTGGTGGTTTATGGCGAGAGCAACCCGTCCTGTTCGAAAACAATGTTGGTTGGAATTAGTTGACAGGCCGGTGACGTGAGAGGCAGAGACCCGGAGCTACCATGCTGATGACGGAGAACTGGAACGATGGAGCACATGGCAGCCTGAAAAGGCCTAGTGCGGGACATTTTACAAAGTACGCAAGCGTGCACAGACCACATAGAATTTCAACTCCTCCCGCGTTCGGGACTCTAGGGGCCCGTGCATTTATCAGGCCCGTACATCAGACTCGGGGGAAGAGTCCCAATTTTTCGCTTTCTTGCCGAAAACGCGACGAAACCTCCATCCTTATTTCCCGACAACGGCGATCGACTCTAAATTGTCCACAGGCACACTCATTATTACCTCGCCGCCTGCGTGACAACTTCTCTTAGCAATCGCATCTGGTCGCATCCCTCTGTCTAATGATGGTCACCTGCTCTCAACCTTCATCCCGTTGCCCTGTATAGGGCGCCTCGCGCGTTTCGTAACACAGGTTCAAAATGGCGGCGTCAGCATCGATATCTGCAGCTCAGGCAGAGCTCATCAAGTACGGGAATCCCAGTCGATGGCGTGCAGTCAGTGTGCAGCAGATATAGGTAGCTAACTGATGGACAGCTCCCTATCGCAAGATGATATTCCAGCGAAGCTTCGCTGCGCGATCTGCAGCAAACTTGCAGTGAACGCCTTTCGACTGCCCTGCTGCGAGCAAGCTATCTGCGAAACTTGTAAGAAATCCCCAGCGCTCGTTGGTTGCATCCCTGGCTGACTGATTTCCGTGCAGGCCAATCGACGTTGCCATCGTCTTGCCCGGTTTGCGAGCACTCCCCTCTGTCCGCCGATGATTGCAAGCCGCATAAGGCACTGCGGACTACAATCAAGGTCTTCCTACGAACCGAAGAGAAGAAGCGCGAGGCAAATCGGCCCAAGGATCCGACACCAGCGACGCCAGTTGAACCAAATGCAACAGGTCAACTTCCGACTCCTACCGCTGATGCTCCGGCTGCGGAGGTAGGGGGAACGAGCCGCGAGCAGCGAGAGGCGCCCGTGGCGACTGCCGAGCAGAAGCTGGACGATAACGCCACCCCTGCCGACAAGTCTGCCGATGATGCTGATCAGGTATGCTTAGCCAAGTTCCTCTCATGGTGCGAGCTAACATTCGTCATAAACAGGCATCGAGGGATAGCAAAGTCGTTCAATCAATTGAAGATGCTGGGGATATGCAGATTGTCGCCCAACAGGGGACGGGCGAACCTGCAGGCGCCGAAAAGTCTAGCGATGGAAACGAGGCAAATGTCGAGGATGAGACAGGCGACGGGAGCCAACAGAATCCCAATTTCGGCCCAGGATTCGGCCTTGACAACATGAACGGATCGTTCCCAAACATGAACCTCGGTGCTGGAAACTTCGACCAAATGCAAATGATGATGGCCATGCAAGGTGGCATGCCAAACAATGGTTTCGGTGCCTTCCCAATGATGGGTTTGTCCCCCTCACATATATGCCCACCCAACACCGGGCAGCCAGCGCTAACGCAATTTGTAGGCATGCCAGGCATGGGCATGGACCCGATGACAATGCAGAACATGTACATGAATGGTGGCTTCGGGTCTCAAGGCATGGGCATGAACGGCATGAACATGAACATGGGGATGGGAGGCTTTGGAGGCGGTCCCAATAATAACTGGAACGGGCAGCAATCATGGAATGTCGGCCAAGATAATTTCAATCATCCAAATGCTTCTGGCATGGGTAATGGTGATTATACCTCTTTTAACTCTGGGTTCCAGACAGGATACAATCAAGGTAATTATGGCCAGCCGAACCAGTTCAATGACTATCGCCGGAACCAGTATGGCTTCCGCGGTAGGGGCCGTGGCCGTGGATACGGAGGCGGAGGCGGAGGCTACGGATACGCCCGAGGAGGATACAACCAGGCATACGGCGTCTATGGGGCCAGCCAGGGCCAGAACTACATGGGCCAGCAGTATCCACAGGGACAGAACGACCAAGCAACGAACGGACCAGAAGGCTCTGTTAAGAACGAGAACGAGCCAAGTGCGACCAACGGGCCGCGCAATGTTGATGAGTTTGGCCGGGAGCTCCGTCCTGAATCAGAGAAAGGTGACGCTGAAGGTGCCGAGCAGGCAGCAGGTGCATCCGGGTCAGCCCGGCATGGCGACGACGCTGATACCAAAGGTGACCACGATGACCCTACGTATACTGCAGATCAGGATGGCCACATTCATACCGGAGAATCCGCCGCGTCGCATAGTGATGCATACCCGCCGCCGCATGGGGGGGTTGCATCCGCGACAGGACCCGGCGTATCAGATGCAGCTGCAGGCCAGAGTCAAATTGGGGTTGTCATTACCAGCACACAAAACACAGTTCCCGATGTCCCTCTGAACGCTCCAAAGGGGCCCAAAGCATACCTCCGGGGACTTCCTAACACCAGTTATCGGACTCTGCAGGCGCGAGGCTTAGTGGATGATGGAGGGTCGAGGTCAAATGGCAGTGGCCTGCCGAGCCCGGCAGTTGATGATGCGCGGTCCAGGAGTAGTTCCCAAGCTCGCTCCAAAAGAAGCTTCGAGCACCGTGACAGGAGCAAGGAACGCGAGAACGATCGGGCCAGAGAACACCGCAGCAGGGACTACCACCCTCGCGAGCGATCGCATTCGCGGTCGGACAGTAGAAGCCGGAGCCGGAACCGTAGGGAGTCGGGCAGGCGCCGCAGGCACCGTTCGGAATCGGCCTCGAATGATGAGCGTGACGATGAGCGCCGCCATCGAAGACATGGCAGGAAACACTCGGACTCGCGTGGTGATGACGCCGACTCAAAGTCGCGCCCCAAAGATGAGCAACACGATGAGCGGACGAGGTCTGCATCTCCCGATGACTCGAGGAAGTCGGGCCACCGGAGTAGCCGGAGAGAGCGTGACTCGGAAAAGCGCCGGGAGCGAGAGCGAGAGCGGGAGAGAGATCATGATCCTGGTCGTGATCGTGATCGCGATCGCGATCGTGACCGGGACCACAAGTCAAGCCGTCGCTCACACCGTGACCGAGACTACGACCGCCGAGACCGGGATCGACACCGAGATCAAGATCGGGAACGCGACAAGGACCGGGAGCGAAAGGATCGTCACCACGGGCGCGATCGTGATAGAGAGCACCGCCACCGGAGCAGCAAGAGGTCACCGGACGAGCCGCCCACGCCAGTGGACTCCCCAGACGACGAATTCAAGCCCCCGACAGGTCCGAAGACGACGGCCGGGCCTTCGTCGTCGTCGGGCCAAGGCCTCGAGATCAAGGGGGCGAGCTCGAAGTCGCGCGAATCCGCGGAGCCGGGCAGGCGGTCGTCGCAGGCATCGGCGGCGGCGGCGGACCCGCACGCGGCGGAGCGGGCGGCGCGCGACAGGGAGAGGCTGCTCAGGGAGACGCGGAGGATGGCCAGCCTCGCGGGCGTCGCGGGGGGCAAGCGCGGCCGGGAAGACGGCGACGAGTCCAGGCGCAGCAGCAGGCGCAAGGGGCGGCGGGGGGAGGTCGTCAGCATGGATGACGAGGAGGAGAGGATGCGGCGCCTCGAGGCCGAGAGGGAGTCGGCCAGATTCCGTGACGACTAAATAAGTGTCGTGGGAAACGGGAATTACGTTGCCACGCTGAGGAATGATGCGTAACAATGTTCATAACTAGGTCTGTTGATTTGGGCTGGTTTTACAGGGGCGGCGAGGCAGGGGATTTCAGGGACATTGGCCATCCTGATCAGGTAGCTAGACTAATTATAGTCTATTTAACCAACATTCTATTCCTGCGATGTTTGCCTCTAAAGTTGTTGGAGGACTTCCCGGCCAGCCTCGGCTGCCGCGCGCTTAATAGTCTCAGTTTCAGGCCGGAAAGCCTCTTGGTGCGTGTAGGTGGTCAAGTCCAGGATAAGTACCCTATTAACTAAAATATAATCGAAGCTGGCGTTATTACCGTTTGGCGAAACTTGACGCGACTAATAGGACAAGCACGCGGCTACTGTGGCTGTTGGATGGCTGTTGGACGGATTCACAGGATTCCCATCGTCGATGGGTTGATGAGTAATCGTAAAGAGCAACAGCATCAGTTCAGGCAATACAAATGAAACTTGGAGTTATTTGCATGCCCGATGTATGTCGGCAGGGTGCGCTCGGATTTACACGGGCAGTTGCGTCACAATAACGCCTATCCATGCCTTTGTTGTAAGCGAAACCTAGCGGCGAGGACGGGTATAATAATCAGCATATTTGCAAAGCTAGGATGTTAGTTGTCGTCGACCTCCTGGATGTTGATTTGTTCAGTTTCGAGTTGTTTCCAGCCCCCATAATGAATGAAATGCTGTTCGGTTACTCCAGCCCATCGAATCATGGATGCTGAGTGCTGCGCTGAGCTGACGAGCCTATAACAGTTCCGTAAACCAGGGACCCCGTGAGTGATTGAGGTATGATGATCGGCTGCAGCGGGAAAGGTGGCGGCGGGGTTACCTTTCGGGCTACGTAGCAATGGACCGCGTGCTTGTGCCAACCTGACCCCGCCAACATCCCACTCTACCCACTCTGATACGTAACCTCAAAGCCTCCGTATCTAACAACCTCCCTTTGACCTCAAAACAATACAACTCCCCTATACTCGCCGCAACAACCAGAATCTCCTAGTAACGCTGAAAGATATTCTATTTCCCACTGAAGTCGCTCTTTCCCGCGGTCTATGTAGACTCCCAGAATGCGACCGGTCCTCGGCGATGACGCTTTCGGAGGTCCGCGCGTCGCCGATAACAGCGACGCCCCTCCCACCTTCCACCCTCCCCCTGGGCTGCAAATGACTTACGTTCTCGGTGACGAGTCGACCGTGGATGTCGCCCTTCAGCAGTCGTCCGCTGCCTTCCAACGGCCGTGGGAGGCAAGGAAGGGCAACGGACACGAAAGCGCCGGCGCTACTGCTCCCGGCAGTGGGTCTTACCCCGGTGATAAGGAATGCAAAGACGGCAGACCCTCCAGCTCGAAGGGGCCTATCGAGGCTCTGAAGCACGACGATTATACCATCTCGCGACCCGACTCACCGACTTACAAAGCCTCTGGCGCGTCAAACCTGTCGCAGCCGATGACTCCGATGCTGTCGGGAGCATCTGGGCCCGCATCCGCATTCAGTAGCGTCTCGTCGAGGCGGAACTCCTTTGTCGGGTCCCTCGACCTGGGGAGCCAGGTACTCAGCACGGATGGCGAGGCCGACAAGGAACCCAGCTCAACCATGATGGACAGTGGAAGTGCCCCCCAGCTCGTTATGCCCAGCATCAAGATGCCCAGCCGACGGCCGTTCACAGACACGGGGAAGTCCATGGGAAGGCTCAAGGTGCTCATTGTGGGCGACTCCGGAGTCGGCAAGACCTCACTCATCAAGGCCATTGTCCAGTCTTGCGAGCACATTGTCCACGTCGACGCCATTGTACCATCCCCGGCATCGTCCATTATGAGAGCCCCGGCTCCACGCCGAGGCGGCCGGAGGCAGTCTTCAAGGTCAGAACTTGGGACGACCGAGATCACCGAGATCTTCGCTAGCACCAAGCCGTACCCCGAGTGGTGGTCTGACCTGGATGACTCGCGCATTTTGAAGCGGAGGAAGAGCCTCGGTGATACAGTTCTCGACCGGAATATCTGCTTCGTTGATACCCCTGGCTATGGATGTGGCTCTTCGGCAAGCTGCCCCTACAGGAAACGCTCTCGTAAGATGACTAACCAGTGCAGGCCATGGACACTATTTCGCCCGTCGTGCAGTACGTGGAATCGCACCTCCAGCGCATGCGCTCCAACTCCCTCGGCGACGGGGACATGCTGAACATGCTCGGCGGCGATGGCGGAGTACAGGTGGATGTCGTATTCTATATGATTTCACATCGTCAGTGTGCCTTTTATTCCCCCGTCCACAAATGTTGGTCCTGCTCACCTCACCACCATCTTAGGCCTCAAACCGGTCGATATACAGTACCTGCGCCAATTAGCACCCCTAACCAATGTTATACCCTTGCTTGCGCAGGCAGACCGCATGTCGCCAGAGCATGTGGCTGCGAGCAAGGAGCAGATCAACAGCCAGCTGCGGGAGGCCAATATCCGCCCCTTCAGCTTTGCAACAGCATTTCCAGGCTCGGAAGCCCAGCAGCCGGGATGCCCCTACGCCATATCTAGTGCCACCGGCTCTGATCACGACACCATGGATGCCAGCCTGCTAATGAGCCCAGATTACGTCCAACCCCTGATACCCACCGAGCTGGCCGCGCTCGTCCAACAGATCTTCAATCAGGACGGCGTGTCGTGGCTTCGGCACTCAGCGGCAAGGAAATATATCCAGTGGCAGAAGGCCGAGAGCGCGTCGCGGCCCATGGAACTCTACCAACCACCAAATCCAAGCAGTCCGTATGGGCAGGGCCCGGCTAGCCGTGTCCTCACTCCCCCACTCGGCGCAACGTCTTCATTTGCCATCGCGAGAATCGCCGACCATACACAGAGAGAGGAGCGGCTGGCTCAGATCCGGCTTGCCAACTGGGCGGCAGATCTGCAGAAGAGTCTGGATAGAGAACGAGCCAGCTACGAACAGCTGGCACGCGGCGAGCGAGCCATATGGCTGACCGAACGACTCAACGAGTGCGTCCAAGATGGGACGCTCGTCCCAACCTCGGGGCGCGGCACGAGCGCATCCCAGGCGGAGGGGCAGACCAGGCGGAGCTGGGGCCCCAACCGGGGCTTGAAAACCAAGTCCATGCAACACCAAGATCCCCTGGGGCTCCTCGAGGTTGTTGCGGATGTCAGGCACAAGGGGTTGGTTGCATTGGAAGTGCTCGGCAGCCTGAGCGTGCTCGGCGGGCTTGCTCTGTGGATCTCAAAGCACTATTGGCATTTCCAACCCTACGGGTGGGTAGTTGGCGAATGGGACAAATTCTGGTACGGCGGACGGTGATGGCACGGAATGTGGCATCTAGTGTTGGGGTGGAAGTGGTGGGCGACGAGGAGAGGCCATATTATTGACTCGTGACCTCGAAATAGGTCGGCGATAGAAGTGTACTCAATTTCAGATCCGTTTCTAATGTTCATATCCTCCTCAATATTATTTTCCAGGATCCTAAAAACTGAGAAAGTGGTGATTTGATTTCAATTGACCCGGGTACATGAATATGCACTAAAACCCTACTGAGGAGGTAGGTACCTAGGTACCTATGCGGTGACGGGAAGCGCCGTGGCTCACAGACCACGCGCTTTTATTGGCCCAGAACCACTTCCATCCAAACCACCTGGATGGAAACTCTTCTCATGAAGTCTTGAATTTCCGTCAACAAGCAACTCCGCGTCAAGGCATCATTATTTGACTTCAGGTGACGAAATCGGTTGCCCTCTTGGCCGCGGTCGTTCCCCATCTCTTGGAATTCCCTATCTTTGGTTTTCCCGCCCTTTATCTCGATACTGGAGTATCCAGCATTCCCTCTCCCCACATCACTATCACTCCTTCGACGCCCCTTCTTCCTCCCCGTTCTCCCCCCTTTCACACTTGTCACGATGGAATCTGAACGAACATATGGCTTGACGCCACCTATCTCCACGGCGCTCCCGACTGAGTCGGAGAAACAGTTGAACGAGGCCCTGTTGCAAGAACTTCATGACCAAGACACTTTCGAGAGCGCGGCTGAGACTCAGAAACGGTAGGCATCGAGCTTCCTGAACGCGGCGACATCTAAACCTCTGGACTAGATGCTAATTCTACCGTCAGACACCAGGTACTTACGTCCCTTCAAAAGATAACCGATGCATTCGTGAAGAAGGTTGCGATGGAGAAGGAGCCAAACAACCCCGTCCTGATCCGGGATGCCCGCGGCAAGATCTTTACCTATGGCAGTTTTCGCCTGGGTGTTTTTGGTCCGGGATCCGATATCGACACGCTTGTCGTTGCCCCCCGCTACGTCACACGCGTTGATTACTTCAAGTACTTCCCAGATCTGCTTCACGAGATGGCCCCGCCTGGCTCCATCGAAGACATGGCTGTGGTCACCGATGCGTTTGTGCCCATCATAAAATTTGAATATTCCGGCATCAGCATTGATCTGATCTTCTCGAGAATTGCCACCCTGAAGCAGCTCCCCTCGGACCCGAAATGGAATCTGAAGGACAATAATCTGCTGCGAGGTCTGGACGAAGCTGAACTTCGCTCATTAAACGGCACGCGAGTCACGGACGACATCATCAACTTGGTCCCTGAACCGACCACCTTCCGTCTGGCCTTGCGAGCAATCAAGTTGTGGGCTCAGCGGAGGGCTATATACGCCAACATCATGGGGTTCCCGGGTGGCGTGGCTTGGGCCATGCTTGTTGCCCGCGTCTGCCAGCTCTACCCCAAGGCTGCTGGCGCCATCATCGTCAACAAATTCTTCCACCTCATGCGTCGGTGGCCATGGCCACAACCGGTTCTGCTCAAGAACGTCGATGAGGGCCCCCTACAGGTCCGAGTGTGGAATCCGAAAGTATGTCTCTCTCCCAACTCCCAGTTGCCATAAAATATATTCTTACACTGCCCAGCTCTACAAAGGCGACCAATATCACTTAATGCCGATTATCACACCAGCATACCCTTCCATGTGTGCCACGTTCAACATCACGCGGTCAGCCATGTCAATAATTAAGCAGGAGCTGGATAATGGTGCCCGTGTGACAGATGAGATCATGGTCGGTAAGACACCATGGAAGGATCTCTTCGTGAAGCACACATTCTTCACCAACGACTTCAAATATTACCTGTCGGTCACTTGTGCAAGCAAGACCAAGGAGGCGCACAAGGTATGGTCTGGATTCGTGGAGTCCAAAGTCCGAGTCCTGGTTCAAAGCCTCGAGCGACACCAATCTATCGGCCTCGCTCGTCCGTTCAACAAAGGCTACGACCGGGTTCATTTTTGCAAGGACGATGCAGAGGTTGAGCAAGTCCAAAATGGCAGCTTGGCATTCTTGGCAAAGGAGACGAAAGCAGCGGATCCGAAAGTCAAGACGGAAGACCAGATAGTCCAAGTCAAGGCCGAGCCGACTGATGAGAATGGAGCAGAAGACGAGAAGGTCACGGCCAAAGATAGTCAGACCCACAAGGACGGAGAAGGCACAGATGTGTACACGACCAACCATTATATCGGCCTCGTGCTGTCCGAAGGTGAGTGACTTCGCCCCCGCTGAGCTCGCCCCTGAGCGTTTCCTCTTAACACCAAAGCCTACCCGGCAGGCGCCAAATCCCTCGACTTGACTTTCCAAGTCAACGAATTCAAAGAGCTAGTCACGGGCTGGGACAAATACGATCGGGACCTGAACAGCCTGAGCATCCAACATGTCCGCAAGTAAGTTTTTGACCACCGGGGCCTCGAGGTATTTTACTGACACGACGGAAGCATTGCTCTTCCCGATGATGTGTTCGCGCCCGGAGAGGTCAAGCCAACTAAGCCGGTCAAGAGAAAGGCTCAGATGCCGAACGGTTCCCTCGCGATGAAGAAGCGCGGAGCCCCAGATGTAGGTGGCGGCTATCGGTCGACCCTTGGTGTAGAGGCGTTATGCCGAAATAACACTACAGCCGTTATGGCCCCTTCACTTTTTGGAGACGCTGACTCCTTCGCAGGAACATTCCAATCCACCCAAGCGACAGCAAACTTCGGTCACAGCCGCCGCCGCCGGCTGAAAGGACTGCTTCGCAAAGACGGAAACTCAGCCGGCAACCTGCCCGCTCCATCACGTCACTCCCCCTTTCGATACCTAGTGCTCTGCTGATTTGCAGGTCATTCCTGCAGCTATCTGTGATTCAGTTGGCCGGCACGGCCGTTCCATGAACCCAGGCTTGTAATGCTGCTAATAAGCAGGGCCGAGTGCACAGCGCCTCCATGCCTTCGTCCCACTGAGACGTTGCCCTCTTTAACCCATTCGAAGAATGGTGCCGGCCCAAAGGTCTTTCCAACCCAGACGGGACATGAAAAAAAAGAAAGATATTAAAAAAAGGAGTAAAAAGTAAAAAGCGACAAACGCAGCGAGGACGAGCAAACAGATGACGCATGGCGCCAGACTGTATTTGCGAGAGCCTTAGACTGGACGTGGCTAGGGTCAGAGGCGTTGGTTTTCTTTTTCGAAGGACAGTCAGTTCGAGAGACCGGCAGAGCTTCCATGGCCTTTTTTGGCTTCGATACCCCAGCTCGGCCTTCTCTCTTGGACTATTCGTAGATGGCACGTCGGAAGGAAGCATCATGGAGGAACAGAGGAGGTTTTTGCATTTACCGCCAGCGCTCTTGTCTGTCGGCCGTGTAACTTAGACCACCAGCTCTCGCCCTTTTTAATAGAATGCTCTATTTTTGAGGCACAGATCGCCTATGCAGAGCGAGCCTTCCTGGCACCACGTAGCGAATCCCCCATCGCGCAAGCACAAGAGATTCCAGCACAGCTCCAGACGATTGCGAGTCAAACTTGGTGGCATTGAGATCAACAGACAGCTCATGGCAATAGTTTCACGGGAATCGAGGAGCAACTGACAATGTGGGAATTGATTGGCTGCCATTGAGAATTGACATCGCTGTCCGTCGCTATTGCCGTTTCTACGTCTGTTCTGGAGATGTCGATGGATGGCAAGCAGAGTAGTGAGACATCAGGTATCATGAATTGACTATGAAAGAAAAGAAAAACCAGAACCCTTTTAGAAAGAAAAGAGAAAAAGGACTCCCTCCGACTCTGATTTTTTCTTCCATTTTTCCTCTCTCGCACATTGCACAACTTCTTGCCTACCGCCGCCTACTCGGGGCTCGACACACCCTTGGAGCCAGCCCTCGCCTCCTTTGGCTTTGTGATCTCGAAGAAGTCGGTCAGGCCCTTGACGACGACGTCGACGTTCATGTTGATGAGGGGCATCTTCTCGTAGGAGCCGTCGTGCATGACGGCGACGAGGGCGAGGAAGCGGTCGACCTCGCGCAGCATGATGGGCCGCTGGCCATCGGAGAGGACCATGGCGCTCTCGGCCCAGTCGCAGGCGATCTGGTCGTCGAGGCTCTGCGACCAGGGCGCCTGTTCCAGCCGGGCGCGCCAGCCGGGCGAGTGCTGCCAGCTGCCGTAGACCTCGGTGAAGTCGATGATGACGTCGACGTAGTCGGAGCAGATCTCGTAGCTGGTCATATCCTCGGGCGCCGAGTCGGTCGCAATGTAGATCTTGGTGTTGACGTCGAACAGGTACGCCTTCTCGAAGCGGCACGTGCGGCAGAGGGACGTCAGCATCGCCTCCAGCTGGCCCAGCCGCGGGATCAGCTTCTGGATGACTTTACTAAAGGCCTCGAAGATGCTGTGGTTGTAAATGCTGGTAAGGTGGAAGTTGACCGGTGCGTTCTCGACCCCCTGGTCCGACAGCTCGTCCTGGATGCGGATCGTCACGTCCCGCTGGATGTCAAGCTTGTAGTCATCCGACAGCCCGTCCACCTTGTGGATGAAGACCTCGATGTTGATGTGGGGGTAGCTGCGTTGGAGGTGTAGGATTGTCGCATTGAGGCGTGCCACTGCCTCGAGGTAGTCGTCCTGGGCGTCGATCACCCATATCAACGCACCAATCTCGCCAAAGATGGCGTCCATATCGAAGGTGAAGTTGGGATTGTCGAAGATGTCGATCTGGCCCGGGAAGTCCCATACTTGAAACTCCATGAATGAGCTGCATCCAAGTCAGCAAAAGCAGCAAACGGAGTCGTGCCATGCTTGAAAAGGGCCGAGAAGGTATGTGTACTTAAGAGTGTCTTTCTGTATACGTGCAGTTGACTCGAGGAATAGGGTCTCGGTTGGAGGTAGTTTATGGAAGACCACGCTGGAGATAGACGACTTGCCGCTCCTACACTGCCTGTTAAATGCCACGTCGACACATGAAGCGAAGGACTGTGATATACCTTCTCTGGCCCATTAAGAGGAGGCGAGGTTTCCCCTTGGCTTGGGTCGTTGCCAGAGGCTCGGGTGCCTTAGACCCATCTTTCTTCTGCTGTCGTTGTCTGTTCTGCTCATAGACACGCTCAAGGTTTAGTGATGCTGGGCTGATGTAGAGGCCTCTGCCTCGGGAAACTGGTTCGGGGGAAGTAATGGTGATGGTGCTGCATCTAGAGAGCGTGGAGGACATCATAGAATCTAGCTGGCAAGGCAAGGGCCAGCCGATGTTCCTAAAGGATGAAAGAAATTCAATGCAGAAATGCAGAACCCAACGTTTGCGCCTTGACAAGACATCGACACAAAGAACCCAATTGGATTCACATAGGGGCAGGCGATCCAAAGCCATGCCACGCCTCTGATCCATGTAGCCAACGACATAAAAACGTGCGGGACGGCTCGCCCACGGCTCTCTGTCTGCAAGTAGGGAGAGTTCCAAGAGGATCGGGTTGACTCCGCTGCCGAGTCCTCAGGACGCGCACGGGTGGCTGTCGGATGGGAGGAGAGAAATACGGACAGTCGCATGGGATAGGCGAGCCGTAGGAATAAGACGTCTCTCTAATCCCTGGTCTGCCGTGGCCACTGGCGGCGGTAACATTGGGAGGGCAAACGACCAAACATCCTTCGCGGCGCGGCCTGTGAAGTAGACGTACTCGACCCCGATAAGCTGAACATATTGCCCTTGATTGCGTGAAACTTTCCACTGCCAAAATGAGAGCGGCAAGGTCCACAGATAAATAACTAGGAAAGGCAACAAGAGGATATGAATTGAAAGCATGGGCCTGATGGGCCAGCGCTCGGAAGAAGCTCACCTCCATGGTTAACAACTAGGGCCTCGCGATCCTGGACCCAAAAGGTCGGTACCCAGATCCCCTGGGACCGGACTACTAGTTGACGTTAGCAACAACGAGCTTTATGCGAGTGGCCGGGTGTCTTGAAAAACCGACCTCTTGCGTGTGTCCCCTATCCTGCAGGGAGGCTGTCTTATCAACCAGGATGAGGAGGCACCAGTAAGATGGGTATCTAAGGCTGTCTTAAGGCCGGCCAGTAGAAAGAAGCGAGGGTGGAAGGCAGCAGCAAAGCCTAGGCCAATATAGACGTGAAAATTACAGCAGTTGGCGAATGTAATGGCGAGACATCAAGTCAGCAGCCTAGGTAGATCTCTGGACAATATGTTGGTACCTTCCTGGAGGTACTGAAATGTAGGTGCTGAGAGAGCGGGGTTGGGGACTGATGTGCTGCGTGCAGAAGAACCCCGCTTTCTACAAAAACCTAGATTGACGACAATCGTTCTTTCCACCTGCTCTCTACAGATGAAACAGTGTGACAAGCAACCCTAAAACAATCTTATTTGACCTGGGCATGCTTAACTTTGAATCAGCAAACCTGGGACATCGATCACAATATCGAATTGGCCGAGTTGTAGCATAAACGGTGTCAGGAGGCAAGGCTGTTCATATTCCCTCGCCTCTATCAAATGGCTCGTTTTAGTGGTGGAGGTTAACCCATTCTGTTCCTTCCCATGTTAGGGGCACGAAGATATCGAGTACTAAATGCCATCCAAGGACCTAGACAACCCACTGTCTGAGATCATTCATCTTGGATTGGTAACTGTGGGCGAAGCTCTGCCTTGGGTCCTAATCTCCCGAAAAAGGTCGCCACGAAACTCTTCTTTCGCTTAGCTGCCTTTACACTGCGTTCCAACTTCGACTCTAGACTCTGAGGTATGGCCGGAAGAGACATACGCGATGGTGCATCGTCTGCACTTGCTGGCGGCGTGAGCTCCGGTGCAGGCACGTTGCTAGCCGGGGTTGCCTTGAACGTCCCGAAAGACTGTTTAATAGGCAATTAGACTCTGGACAACCATTAAACGCCGATGGGGAAATCGCGGCCTTTCTCTTCGAGACTTGACTCACTCGAACACTTAACCGCCTCCTTGCTTTGGACCCCCTAGAGGCAATACTCATAGCATCATCCGCCGGTAGGTCTCTAAGGGTTTTCTCCAGATCGTCGATCTCGCCAGCCATGGTCTTTCCTTTCCACGCCGTATGCTCCTCCATGGCGGGGACGAATCGTAGGAAGCCCCTGGACGGCACGACACCGAGTGCCTCCTCCATGTGCTTTTGAATCAGTGCGGCATTGCGCTTGTTAGTCGTTGGCTGGAGCTGGGACGGCAAAGCATACACGGACATGACATATGCAGGGTCGAAAGTTCCCCCGAAAAGCATACACGCACCGTGCTGCAGGGTGACCACAATGGAGGAAACGGGTCGTTGATACCGCGTCGATAGCTGATACGATAGCTCGGTGATAAATGTGAACTCGTCACTAATCTATCCCAACGTCAACGTCAGCGACACTCAGCGTGGTGGGGGGTGGACTGCCAACCCACGATAACATTTGTCTTCACTTCTGCCATGACAATGGCTTCGCTCCGCACACGTTCCTTGGCCGGGTTAAACTCCTTGACTGAAAATGCGTCCTCGAAGTAGTTGCTCCGCTGCTTAGCAAGAGTCGGCCGTGATTGTGACTTCCGCGCTTTCCTGACCACGTCTCCAGGCGGGGCCCGATCAACGTCGCGCAGATTGTGGTCGCCTTCGACGAGGTACGAGGTCGACGGCCGTGGTATTTGGGCTTTCCTCTCTGCAAAGGAAAGCCTACCGGCAGTTGGTGAGAGGGCGGACTTCATGGAAGGTAGGACATGGCCAGACTCCCCTCGAGCTCTCGACGCTTCCATGATCGCTGGCAAACCTCGTCTTGACCACTTGCCTCATACGCGCCCCAAGGAAGTTGGCCCGTAGGCAGATACCGCTCCCGTCACTGGGCTGCAGATCTTCAAGACCAGCGGCCAAAGCGAGTTGGGATTAGAAACAGATACGATCAGGGGAGAAATGGCATCCAACAAGGGGCTCCCAACACAGACGTTCGGGTCAAGCCCACAAACCATCCTTCAAGATTACTAGGGAAGTGATTTAGTGAAAAGATGGGAAATTAATAGGAGATGGGATAGAAATGCGACGGGGATGGAGACAGGCCTAGACAAAGAGCGAATACCACAAGTGACACACAAATTTGGAGGTCATCAGACCGGCTTTCCACCCTGCCCCCTCGGCGTCTGCGGGACAGGACCTGCCTGCCTGCCTGCCCAGCCTAGGGTAGTTTGTATAGATAGCTCGGAAGGCAAGGTCATTTGAATCGGCTGCGGGGAGGAGCAAGAGCAAGGAGATAGATCCGTTCCGAGATCGGTAAAGAGCAAACTCAGAAAGGCATGCACGTTGCCGATGGAGCACTCGATATATTGCATCATACGGAACTTTGCGCGAGGGGTTTGCCATGGCACTTATATAGCTGGGCTGCCTGAAGCCTGCATGAGGCAGACTTCGCTCTGGTAATTGGACAATCAAAGCAATGGCCGGCTCGCTGCAGACTTCATGTAGGCACGCTTCCGTCGTACTTACCGCATCAATTCAGTAGAGGAAGCAAGGATGAGGAGACCTACGTACCTCAACGTCCCCCAGGGTTGCTTTGATATTGATGCTGCTGATCTCGAAATTGTGGGAGCCGGTTCTTCCAAGATCGGGAAAGACTAAGTAACGCAGCGGCCTGGATTCAGAGGTCTATGCTGTTGGTCTTTTTTTGGGAAGCCAGATAATATTTGAGAAGAGAAAATGACTCAGGGGTGGTTAGGGGGGCACTTAATGGTTATGCGGTGCCGGACATGTTGAAGTTAGCACAGCAAAGCCTCCGTCGGGAGCCTGCCTTCCGTCATGAAACACTGGGTTCCTACGGAGTACTCAGTGGGAATTAGTCGCGACTCCTCGTCAATATCATGGAAGAAGACAACGACAGCAGATTTGCGCAAAGGGTTCGAATATGCCCTCCTCCAGAAACTGAGCCGGTTCTGTTACTAGATCGGACGGACGCATACCATGGAATACCGGCCATGATTAAAGATTGTACATGTAATGATAATTCCCAACCACCAACGCCTCATTGCCTCGGTCGGTCCACCCCGCTATGGATGCTTCTTCAGATTCCACCAGAAAACTGTCACTGCCCCTCATATACAGCCGCCCGGTAATACGCAGCCATAGCCCCGGCAGCACAGCACTAGATTCAAGACATGGTCGGAGCACCCTTCCGGGCGCTCACGTAGGCGTTTGTGTGCCTCTCCTGCTTCATTTGCCACACGGCAACGGCCAGGACGAGGGCCTCAACGGGGACGAGCAGGATGGACATGTACAGGCCCGCCCAGCTCTCCTTGCAGAGGGTGTCGAAGTGCGGCCGCTGCAGCATGGGCACCGCCTTCCACCGGCACGTCCAGCTGAGGAGCGTGTCGTTAGTCGCGGATGCGTTGACGGCGTAGAAGAAGACCATGGCGATTATGGCGGCGATCAGGCCGACGAGGGGAGCGGCGAAGGTCAGAGAGGTGTGGATTGCCACCTTGCCGCGGAGCTGGGAGGCAGAGAGGTATTAGCAAAGTTATGGATCATTTCGGTGCCGAGGCATTCTTGTCGAAGCATGCTTCCTCAAGGGCGACTGTTGGTTGACTCACAGACTGGACCTTGCTGAACAGCAGCGATACGGCATTGGCCACGACAACGATGGCGCTGCCCACGACCAGAGCCACAGTCGGCCGCAGGTTGAACTGATCTGGCCACAGCGGAAGGAGGAAGTCGTGGGGAACATGAGTGGTGTCGTAGACGGCGAGGGCGTCCCCTGAGACACCAAGGATGGTGATGCCCATCGAGAGAGCAAGCACGGTGAGGCCCACCCTGGCGCCATCCACCATGCGGAGAATGCGGATTTTGGACTGGAGGTGGAGGTCCTCAGAATTGGCCTCGAAAGACGAGGCATACCCTCTCTTAGACTCGGTCGTCATCTTGGGCCGGCTGGGATTATTGACTCGAGACAATTTGGGGTATCAAGGGAAGTGATGAAAAGCAACAGATACAAAGGTACAAAAAGACGATGGTCTGTTCCTGAGAAAGAAGAGTAAACAAACAAGGAGATACGGACCCGCGAGGAAAGGTAAGCACACACTAGAGCATGGAACGAAACATTCGTAATGGGAGGGAGGGGGAAACACAGTCTACAAATACCTCTCGAAGTCGTTCAATATTCCATTCTCATCGTTGAATTACAGGATGCCGTAGCCGCCGACGATGCTTGCACCACACGCCTGCATTGGCACTTGGCACATCGAGGCGCCGTGCCAGGCAGATATGGGTAGAATCGTCGATACGCGCATGCAAGATTTAAGTTTAGTTGCCTGCGCCGTGCGTACATGGGCACAGAAATAGGTCCTGCGAGGGGCGATGTGGTGCTGCAGATTGGCCAGTGGCTTTCTACCCGGCGCTTAGGAGGGAGATCACCAACCGTCACCAACCCAATCATGAGAGTGGTACCATTTTAAGACGACGGCTTCCAAAACGCCGCTAGTGCAGGGTTCCGCGCTTCGCTGATTGTTGGTGCTAGTGGTCAGCCCGGATCTGACAGTAGGTCTTGGCACTCGGCTATCTTTGACCTACTAGGGTACAGTCACTTCATCCACGAATAGGGGTCTCATTGGGCGGTGATCACAGCAGCCAAGCGAAGGAGGGGCCGGTAGTCTATTCTTCCAATGATCAACCTTTGGCCCAACCGCGGGTGACCCTATCTTCCTTTTGACGACTTGCACGCGCGGGGGGGGAGAGGAGGTCGGTTTAATGGCCTAATAGGAAAATCAATGCTCCCAGCCGAGGACTGATTCTGTCCCAATGCACTTGCCGGCCTTAATGACAAAATGGCTGATGCTAATAATACAGCAATGAACAACGGTAACCTCTCACCCACTCATAACAACACCAGTTCGAGGGCTTTCCCGATGGCCCACCCCCAACCACCCCCCACAACAGGACCACGCCTCTCTACCCACCAATCCGCTCCCCAAGCCCGATCCCCCTCCTCCTTCCCCTTACCACCGCCTCAAGCGCCCTCCCCACGGCCTCCAGGTCCCCAAGCATGGTGATGTGCCCATGGTCAGTGCTGACCCTCCCCCCCTTGGCCGTCTCGTACCCCTCGGGCAGCATCGCCTCCCTGGCCAGGACGACGCCGTCGCCGGACCGGAAGACGAGGTCGTCGTACGCCGCCACCCCCGCGATGGCCTCCCGGCCCGCCACCCGCGCCGCCCAAACCGTCGGCGTGTCCTTGCCGTACACCACCGCCAGCGGCGGGTACGCGTTCGCCGCCGCGTGCCCGGCCAGGTGCGCCAGCTCGGCCCGGAACCGCTTCGTCTCCGCCAGCGTGCGCGCCAGGTAGGCGATGTTGCGGGACCGCGCCGCCGGCGAGGACGGGGGCGGGCTGGCGGCCGGGTCGCCCGAGGAGGAGCTGCCCATCTGCGGGGCCAGGGTGCGGTCCTTGGTCATCTCGGACTTGGCGGTGCGCGGTGCTTCGGGGGCCGGGTGTCGGTGGGGCGAGGGCGCCTTCTTCGGCTCGCTGTTCGTGCGGCTGCGGAGGGGCAGGCTCGAGAAGCTCTCCGAGATGCTGCGGAGGGAGCCGAAGGTGTTGCTCTTGGTCACGGCCGGCGGCAGTGGCGCGTCGGAGACGCACGGCGAGAGGCGGTATTTGATCCAGTCGTCGACGTTGTGGAAGTCGATCGGGTACTCCTCCTGCGTGTACTTGTCGATGAAGCAGAAGCCGTCGTCCGGGAGTAAGGCGAATGTCGTCCTCAGCGAGAAGTTCACCTGCGCCGTCAGGACCTTCTCGTTGAGGAGGACGGCGTCACCGTTGCGGATAGGTCCCAGGACGTTTATGCATCTCTGCGGAGTGCCGGCAAATACGACGCCCGAGAATATCTCCGGCCTCTGGTTCACGGCGTGCCTCGTGATCAGCCCTCCCAGGCTGTGCGCAATCACCAGGGCGCCTCTCTGCTCGGGGGGCGTACTTGGATGGTTCGCAGGAAGCTTCTCTATGAATTCGACCAGCTTGCGGGACAGGAGGTGAGGGCTCAGCCTCCAATCGTATCCGTAGTCGTGTATCCGAAGCTTCCCTCTGCGGACATTTTCGCAATCCCGCAGCTTCTTGAACAGCCTCCTCGAGATGTCGACCGGGCCGATGTGCTGCAACATGCCCGAGGCGAAGATCTGATCCTCCATCTTCTCTTCGTCCTCCGGATCCAGCCCAACTTCCAGATTAACCTTGCGGATGTTCAAGCCGACCTTGACGGGTACCCATAACTGACGGTACGGAGCTTGGGCGGACCGAAGAATGGACCCCCTGTAGCCGCCCATGACGACAATGTCTCCGGTCAGAGTCTCAAGAACAGCATCCAGGCTCGAGATGGCGTCCCGATTTGTCCGTTGGCTCGCCCGTAAAGAGCCGGATTTTGGCGTCGGTAAGATATCTGTACCAGATTAGCACCTACGTCTCTAGAGACGCCAGTTTTCTTTTTTGAGGAAATGCAGCTAGTAGCACTCGAACGACTTACTTGGCATCTGTGGCAGCTTGAACGAGGGCCCATCCCAGCTGTCCCTGATGGCCTTGAATCTCACGTTCACTTGCTCCCGAATGTGGGTAAACCGCTCGTCATCGCCAAATGACGAAACTCGTGCGAGGGAATGGTAAAGCATGGAATCCTCAGAAGTCGACCTGCGCAGCGCTTGCGACCTCCTTGAAGTCACGGACGGCGAGCCATGGAAGCCTGGGATCCGGACGTTCTGGCTGGGAGGTGCCGTCTGTGAAGCAGCCTGAAGACTCCCATCGGCACCGGTGGGCTGGATGGCAGGCCTGGAATTCTGCATTCTGGAGGGTGGTGCTTGGGGTGACTGTGTCAAAGCCGTGGCTTCCTTATGGGACGAGCTGGAGGAGAAGAATGACGGAGTCGATAGGTTAGGAAGGAAACTGGTGGGAAGGTTGATTGATGGGAAGGCCTTTGAGAGCCTTCTCAGCGCATTCTCCCCAACCGAATGCGAGCGCCTGTGCCTCACATTCCCGCCAAACACGCCTGACATAGAAGATCTGGGGGGCTTCGCCTCGCCAGCTGCCAGCTCTTTGGACCCGGCGTGCCATGTGGCTGCGGGATCAGCAATGACCAGACGGTTGCCAGACGGTATGGAGTCAAGAGTCGGACTACTTTGCGTCTCTTGTGGCTTGCTCAGCTTCTTTGGCGACACTGGCGAGGTGGGTGGCGATAGTGTGGGCTTTCGGCTGGGACCTCCCGTCTCATGCACAGCCCCGAACAGTCCTCCGCCGCGGACCCGATCCATGGCAGCGGCCTTCTCGGCCGCCGGGGTCCTCGGAGAGGTCAGCCGGGTTGCAATTGGGCTGATGGCCGGCTGTATGAAAGACTGGGCGCCATCTTGATCGCCATAGAAGTCATCGTCATCCCCGACATCGTCTGAGAACGAGGGTGGCCTGTCGAAGGCGAAGTCCGGACTATGCGGTCTCAACCCCGACTCGGCGGGACCGTCCGTTGAATTGGCCATCGAGAGCATAATTTAATATTTCGGGCCGTAACGTGGATGTTGGCTGAGTGCACTCGCAACATGTCTTGTTGAGGAAATACAGAAACAAAGCTAGCCGGCTCCTTCGGAAGGGTAGCTCATCGCATTGGGGTGGTATCTCAGACACCCTAGCGTGGACCACCGGCGAAGTTATGAAGAGAAATTATGGGTTTCCATGTTAGTGATACCTGAATATATATAGCTGTGTGCGGCCGTCTCCCAGAATGCCAGTCAACAAACAGTTGTCTGGTACCTCAGTTCATCAACCTTGCACTCACTCAGCCTCCTTCGCTGACGAGACACACTGCAGCGGCACGGCTCCTTTTTCAGGCTTAGAGGCCGGTACGAATTACGAGGGCTTGGGTCCCATGTCGAAGCCCAAGTGGCCCAAAACCCGCCTGTTGCAAGCAGATTGGGACATGTCAGTACGTAATTATATGGAATGCTTGGAGAGACAGTCTTGTTGACTTGCTACACTTGAATCATGGATGACGCCATGAAATCCCGGTTTCCGTTATCAGTGGGTCTGGCCGAGGCAATATCAGCAACAGCGTGCAAATTCAATATGCGAGGGTTGATTGTACTGTATAATTACATATATATATATACAAAATTTCTATCCCCCTGGCACTCTCCCTAACCTCATACTTAATCGTGGCCAACTTAATCCCGGCCAGGGAGGAGCGAAAAGCTACCCTCGATCTCGCGAATCTTCTCGACAGATTTCACCCAGCCGGGCTCCTTCTCGAGTCTCTGCATATAGGCCCACAGCTTCGGAAAGGTCGCTGCAAAAGACCCTTTCTCCCAGTGGCCCAACTCGTCGAAGCTACCACCCAGGCCTGTGATCAGTGGGAAAGCCAGCATGATGTCCGCCCCGGTCAAGTGATTGCCGCAGAGGTACTCTCCTCCCGGCGAAGTCGATAGATAGGACTCTAGGAGCGTGAAATGCTTCTGCAAATTCGGAAAACTGAACTGAGAGATCACCTGGTTGGCAATTGCTCTCGAGATGGGCCGGATGAAGAAGGGAACCCTGCCTCCCTTGAGACCTGTTTGACTCGTGAGTAATCTGTGCCTGGAAAAAAGCAAGCATACATGCAACGTACCGGAGATTACGAAGTATACAACCAGTTGGGACATGAAGCTCCCTTCTGAGTAATACATGATGTACTGATAGCGCATCCACTCCTCGGTCTCCCCGCCGATTTTCCCCTCCTGGCCATCCTTCCAGCGCTTAGGAACCAACTCCTTGCCATTGGCAGAGTGTTCGCACATGTACTCCACGATGAACGCACTCTCGGCAAGGACGATCGGCTCTGAAGCCCCCGGCGGAGTGATGGTCACCACCGGGGACTTGCCCAGCGGATGGAGCTTGGCTAGTTCTGCGGGGGCGAGCATGCTCTTGTCTCGATGATATATTTCTAGCTCATAGGGGATTTCGAGCTGCTCAAGGAGCCAGAGGGTGCCTTGCGCCCGCGAGCCATTGAGCCTGGAGCTGCGATTAGTCACTGCGTGCTGCCCTAACTGACAGGAGCACCAGACGGTCAGACGCACCAATGAAGCTTTACTTTAGGTTGGTCGTCAGCCATTGTGGGGGAGGTGGAAGTGGAACCGAAGAAATCTAGGAACTGAATGCAGAGAAACGCACAACTCTTGCCTATTAGATGCAATAAAACAGCTCTAGCGAAGAATTGAGAGAAGAGAGAGGTCTCGCTTCGGGGTGTAACCTATCTATACCGGCTCTGGCAACGCACCCAAGCCCCGTAGGATACCCATACCGTCATCGGCAGGCGCTTGGGGGAGCCGAGGTTGAGCTGCACGGACCACACGGACCTACATTCAAAGCAAACAGTCCTCGTCATGTGATCCGAGCACTTCGGCCGCAAGGATGAGTGCCAAGGGTCCATCGAACGTGAGGCTCATTCATTGATTGGAGAAGAAGTCAATCCCGACATCAGCTCAGCGTTCGCGCAAATTGTGACCACAAAACCAACAGCAGTGCGGTCTCGGTCAACTCTAGTCACAATGGGTGGCCTCCAACACCACAGTTTGTCAACCTGGTGCCCAATTGGCCATCGGCCACGATGCTAATGTGCTTCTGAACAGAGATGGCCTTGGACCCGGCCATTGTCCGGCTCGGGAGTGCGTCTCTTCCCCCCTCCCCGCGCGCCCCAACGTCATGCCGACGCCCTGATCCGGGCCCGACAACGGAAGCGATCGATCAAGAGAGGAGATTGCTGACTAGTGCCCCGCAGACATGATCACCAACCGCCACAAGTATTTCAGATGGACGCCCCGAACGGCAGGAATCACCTTCGCATATGTCGTGGTGATACCAGGCATCGTAGGCTACCTTGCTTACAAGACGGATGTGAGTCTTGTTTCAGAGGCGTGGAATTCCTACAATTGGAACAAGATTGCTGATCTATGTCGACATATAGGGATTGTGGGATTTCCGTGCGAAACGAAAGGGAGACTTGGTATCCGAACGCTAGAAAGGGGTGTCAAAGAGGCTGCATACTGTTGTACATAGGCAGGAGGTGATTAGGATGGGTGCATATGATAGAGAGGACCGAATCGAGGACCAATATCGACGCTATTCATCTAAGACGCGATGTGGATAACTTTATCAGATCATCGGCGGACTTGCATATTGCCCTATAAAAGATATATGACGCCGTGCTAGAAATCTAGGAATACCAGGCCAAAGGCCTCAAAAACATGCCCGCCAAAACGCCTCCTCACGCCGCCTCCAAAAGACCGGTTTGAGAATTATACGCTTATCCGCCTCACCACCTCGGCCCTCTGCCCCGGCCCCGACTAGCCGGCGCGTCCGGCAATCTCTCCCCACGCCGCCACTCGCCGGACGGGAACCCCGCGTCCCTATCCCGATTCCAGTCCCGATCCCGATCGCCGAACTGCCTGACCCCCCTACCACCACCGCCGGGCCCACCGCCGCGCCCGCCCACACCCCGGGGCCCGCCAATCCCGCCACGACGCCCGCCCCTCCTCATGGGCGCCAGCGCCTCGCCCGAGCCGGAGCCGCGCCCCGTGTGCGCGCCGAGCGGTGGCGCCACCGCGCCCGTGTCCTCGAGAGGCGGCAGGATCGCGCAGCTGACGAAGTCGCCGGCGACGAGCTTGGCGTCTGCTAGGGTCTTGTCGCCTGCCTCTTCTCCTCCTCCTCCTCCTGCTGCCGCTGCACCGTTCGAGCCGTCGCCGCCATTGTCGCCCTCCTCATCCGCGGATTCGTCTGCGCCGGGCCCGCCGTGGCCGATCACCAGGGAGCCCAGGTCCTTGGCGACGAAGCGGGGCGGGGCGTTGGAACCGCCGCCGCCGCCGCGGACGTCTGCGTAGACGAGCCGGAAGGCGAGGCGCGTGCCGATTGCGGGGGAGGGGAGGATGGGCGGGCTTGCGGCGGCGAGGTAGTGGGATAGTTCGGAGAGGGTGCAGTCTGTCCAGGTGTAGATGGGGAGGTGGGATGGGAGGTGGGATGGGGAGGCGAGTTCATCCGTCCTGGGGGGGAGTGTCAGCTTGTAACAAGGGGTTTGAGGGAACGTGGGATTGCTCAGAGCAGCGCCCGGTCGACGAACCTGTGAAATGAGCCGGTGCGGTAGAAGAGCTTTAGGAGAAATGGTGTTGATGACTGTCGATCGAGCTTGCTTGAGTCCTCCATATTGAACAGCAGAGTAACAGGCGAATGAGTGGTAGGAATGTTGGCGGCAGGCTCAGGTCATTTCATAATTGGTGCAAGGATGGGTTCAATCGGAGGTCAAGGTAAAGTTCATGCTTCGTGGAAGCCCTCGAAGTTGCTGAATAGCGAGGCTCTGGTGGGAGGTTTTGTGGTTTGGGTTGGTTGGCTTAGGAATGTGCTGGCTTAGAGTTCAGGTCCTGCATCGATGCCAAGCTTTGGTCATGCTGGGAGCTTCATCGCTGTCCTGGTACAGTGTAAGCCAAAATTGGACCGTGCGAGGAACCTCGATACCTAGTTTCTCCCGCGTAAGCACATATATTCTTCCTCTCTTCATTGATTTTCTCAAACAACCTAACGCAACATTCCCAGATCGACGAGACCATCCGACCTAGCAACAAGGCGTTTATTACCCGTAAGAAACCGTTACGGATTACCGCGAGCTATAAATTCGATCTACGAACCTCAGCGGCGTTGTCGCAGCCAGCCACCAAGATGGATTTCGCCTCCCTCATGGCCAAGCAAATCTCCAAATCGACAGGCAGCACAACCAAGGGCAGCCCGTCACCACAACTAGCGACCTCCCCGGACGCAGCATCCTCCACCGCGGCCCCCACTTCCTCCGCGACCCCGAAATTCATCAACCGGCGCGAGGCCGAGGAGGCCCGCAAGGCCGCCTACCTAGCGGAGCAGAAGGCCCTCGAGGCGGAGCGCGCGGCACGGGCGACGGCGAAACGGCGACGCGAAGAGGAGGCGGCCGAGGAGGACCGGGCGCGCGACGAGAAGCGGCGGCGCCTGGCCGAGGAGGGCCGGCGGCGCAGGGAGGAGAGGGAGGCGGCCGAGGAGCGCGCCAGGCGCCGCCGCCTGGGCCTGCCCGAGCTGCCCCCGCCCGGCAAGGAAGGGGCCGCCGCGTCGTCGGCGGAGGATTCGGATGATGATGACTATGCCGGGGGTGCCGCGGCGGACGTGCCCGAGGAGGAGCTGGCGGCGAAGCTGAGGGACCTGGGCGAGCCGGCGGCGCTGTTCGGGGAGGGCCATGCTGCGAGGCTGAGGCGGTTCCGCAGGCTGACGGGCCAGGTGGCCGTGGCGGGTCACGCGGGGCCCATTGCGACCACGCTGGCGCCGGTCGAGGAGAAGGACATGAAGGTCTCCGGCACGGTCCCCAAGCCAGAGGACAGGGCCGGGCGGAAGTGGCTCTACAGGCAACTGACGTCGTACTTCAACATGGTGCTGCGGGAGTGGGAGATTGCGCTGGCGAAGGAGGGGAGTCGCGACACGCTTAGCAGCAAGGCGGCGGTTAGTGCTATGCTGTCTAGCAAGGAGACGATGAAGCCGGTATGTTTTCTTATTTTATACTGTTTCCTGGCTTCTGGCCTTGTTTTATGCAAAAAGACTGACTCGGGTGCGGCAGCTCTTCCGCAAGTTCGAGAAGCGAATGCTGGACGAAAGCATTCTGAAGGCTATCGTGGAGATCGTCAAGGCGGCACAGGAGCGGCGTTACGTGGACGCCAACGACGGCTATCTGCGGCTGAGCATCGGAAAGGCCGCCTGGCCCATCGGCGTGACCATGGTGGGTATCCATGAGCGAAGCGCTCGAGAGAAGCTACACAACGGCGAAAGAGGTCATGTCATGGGAGACGAGGTGACGCGGAAGTATCTGCAGAGCATCAAGAGATGCTTGACTTTTGCCCAAGTAAGGTGGCCGCCCGAGGATGTGCGGCAGCTCATGGGCTGAGCAAGATAGTTTGTAAATTCCGATACCCTCGAAGAGAGAATAGAAAACAACAGCATACTTCGTTCGACCTTGCCTTCGACTTTAAAGGCTGATCCTTCAAGCGGGCATTTATATTCTCACGTCTCTGACTGATATGGAATACGCATGATTCGCGGGGAGTATTATTCCAGATCTAGCTCGGTACCTCCAGCCATTCTTCGCTTGGCTGATACTTCTATTCATTCTCATCATACTCATGCTCATGCTCATTGGCCCCCAAGCCCTCCTAGACTCCCTGTTCCAAAAGCTCAATAGAATGTCGCAAAATAAATGTGAGCCTGGCAATTCACAAACGCAACAATGCATGCACACTACGCACCCACTAAGGTATGGATGCACCGACCAGTTGTCCGTCATTGGCCTGTCCTAGGTTGATCTGGCCGCCAGGAAACTTCCGTTGTCCCTTGACCTCGAGATCGGCTGCTACGAGACTCATCCGCCGAATGCTCTCGACAGCCTCCCTTTGGTAACTCTTGGCCGTAGCCAGGGCTTTGAGTTGCAGCGCCAGCCTGGCGTCAGCCGATACCGTGGTTACGAGCTGCGTGGACGGTCAGCGAGATGCACACCCATGAATCTATACTCAAAAGGAGCTGACCTTGTCGATAGCATTGTATCGCGCCTGCAACGTCCCGGATCGGATCATATCAACCAATTCCATCTCTATGGACTGCCCCGGAGCGGCGAAGGCCTCGTTCATGCTCTCCAGCGTAACGCAGGAGAAGGGGATGAGATATTGCACGATGCACTTGCTTCGAATTTCCTCGTAAATCTTTTCGACGTGGGATTGCAGGTAGACGTCGAGGAGGTAGTCGGCACGGTATGATTCCAGGATGGCAAGGCAGGCTGAGTACCTCCCGTTGACAAACTGGGTGACTGCCCTCCGAATATGAGGCTCTAATTCGAGGAAGGCCCGGAACTTTGCGTTATCGAGGACCTTGAGCTGGAGATCTTTTCTGTCCATGGAGGCGAGTGCCAGCAGAGCGCCATATATCGCCACGTCGTTCGGGCTTGCCACCTCGTCGTATGAAGTGTTGGGAATTGCGGGATCTGTCTGCAAGAAGCTCAGGGCCGCTTCATGGTATTTTCCCTGACCTAGAAGTGCGATTCCATGGAGGACCTTCAGGTATGGCTGAAGGGCCTTCTCATCGTCTGCGCTCAGGTTTCCCGCCATTTTATTCACGTTGATAGCGGCCATGGCCCACTCCCGGCGTTGTAGTGATACCCTCACGAGGTGTTTCCCAACGTCAACGATGTGCTTCGGTGTGCTGATATCCGGTCTCATCCGCGTGTATGCATCCATAGCTTTATTTAGGTCCCCGATACTCTCGTAGTGCTTGCCGAGGTCCTCGTTACCCATCTAGAGGAGAACCGATATCTCAGTGAACCGGGCCATTTGGAAGTTTAGATACGGCAAAACTTACTCGGATACTCTCTTTGATAAGGTTGTTCTTATAACCTTTCAACTCTGCCTCCAGGCGGTGTGTGTCCGCTCTGTTGGACATCTCGGTGTGATCGATCCACTGTTGATCAAAGACTGCCTCTGGTTCGGATGGGGCAGCCATATGGAGGCTTTCTACCGCCGCTTGGTACCGCCGAACATCTCTTCCCCTCTTCGCTTCAGCTACCGCAGCTTTCAAGGCGTCGACACATAAAGTTTGGGAGGTGCGGCCGATAAGGAACAGCCGATCGAATCGAGTGCGACCTGTAAATTGAATTAGAAGCTCGAGCCGCAGCTGACAACGTTCTAGAGTTGATTTACCTCGGTAGTTCTGGATGTAGAGATCAAGATCTAGCTTCGGCGTGCCTAAGAACCATGTTGTGTTACCATGAGCGTCCCTCCTAGGTGAAGTAGCAACAAGAGAAATGAAGCTCTAAACCGTGTAGGCAAGACCGGTAGGGCATCCAAACCTTGTACGACAATCCCCCGTTGGCTCTCCATGATGGTGAAGAACGAGCGCAGTGAGTCCGTCATGGTGTGCGAAATACTGCGACGAGGCTGAAGTTGGCGATGCTGACGGCGGTTGAAACCTTAGAGGCGAGGCTGAAGTTGTGATAAGCACCAAGGTAGGTCTCCTGGCATGAGGTCAGATGTGGGGGATTAGATGATTGGCTGAGACCCTTCTCGGTAATGGGTCCCCAATCAGATCCATATGGAACCGGGCTTACGTATATAGGCCGCAGGGGGTATGGTTATTCCGACCTTAGTTCACGAAATCTAAGATTCACAAAAAGTTCCAATAGGCTCGTGCGTAGGATGGCAATGCTTCATATTACCCCAGGTCCCAAAGGGGCTCACATGATTGCCCACATTTTCAGACAAATCTATCCATGTTGCCTATTCCAAAACTCAAGTTACTTATTTATCCATAAAACGTAAGCCAAGGTGTTCTTTTACATCGTGTAATCCGCACGTTATACGTAAGTTGCGAAGACGGTATACGTTCCGTACAGTCATCGGGCTGCACGGAACCAATTCAGCGCTCTAAAAAAAGAAGGCAGCAACTTGTCACTATATTTAGCTTCCACTATTAAGAGGCCATTGAACTTTGGTGAACTGTGCTCTTGGGTGATGGGATCGTCGGACCCTACAGATACACTACGCTAGGGACGGCTTAGGTTGCCAATTGATGGTGCGGTGCAATGCCTTTCCACTGCTTGGCACTCGTGGGTGGCTTCGGCGCGTTGGCAGGGGGGCTCCTGTGAAGAATAGCTTGTCAGGATTTGCCCGTTGACAGCCGAAGTGGAGGCGACCAGGACGAACGAGGAGACGCGAGCCAGGGTCCTTTGGTGGGGCGCTGCGCGGTGTGGGGCGCAATGAGGTCATGCCAAGCCGCTTGTCGCAGCTCTATGCGCGATCCATGTTACCTACCGGATGGCCCCCATACGAAGTACTTTTTCCTTTCTCATTTTCAACCCCCCTCTCTTCTCTACTTGCTGTGCTGGGAAAAGGAAAGGAGAACGGGCATCGACGGAAGCAAGCGCGATGTCCCAGTTCTGTGACAGGGAACCACCTAGTTACGTATGTCCTTTGCAAGAGAAGCACCCTTAATGCGACCAGATTTGCAACAGGAAGCCACTGCGCTACGCACACTGTTCCATAGCTAGGTAGGTACACACAGCTTGGACGTACACGGTCCCGCGGTAAAACCAAACCCTCAATTTCCAGCCCCGCCAGGCCAACGCAGGCCCCAGTTCCCGTCAGGCTACTTGCCAAGAAGGGCGAACCCACTGTCCCCCTTCCACGGCCTTGCCCAATGAGGGTTTCCCTCAACAAGGGTTCAACTTAGTCAAGGCTTGGGAAGCCAATCACTTTGATCTAACCTCTGATTGACCACTGATTCATGCAGCCTCTTGCAACTCGCAACAGCGACCTGGGAAGTGGCACAAAGGTGGACATTCACACCCCCTTCCAGGCTACCTACAAAACGCTGTGCAGGCATGCCCTGGGCGATCAGATGGAGGCAGAGAAACAGATAGCAAAGCACAAAACGTCCCGGGTTGGCTGCCCGAGGCGGGGTGTAAGTTGACCGACTACCTACTTAGTAGGAACAGCACCTACGAGGCTGCAGGATAGAGCGCAGGTCAGACAACGCCGTGTCTCGGATGGCAGCTGCCACTTCCACAGAACCGTGGATCAACGTAATCTGACAATATTTTTATTGTTTTTTTATTCCGTCCCATCTTTCCTTCATTTACTGCGTATGTACCCCCTCTCCCACTGACCTGGTGCTTTTTCCCTCTTGTAGCGTCGGATCGGTCGACTCCAGCCGGGAATAATACGCAGTAGGGCAGAACCGGCGTCAGGGGGTCTTACTGTATTGAGCGACTGAGGAAGAGAGGCGACATGGGAGGGAGGCATGGATGTTCCTCGCAAAATACCCGTTGGGGTATGCTCAGACGGTTCGGTTCCATCATATGTGCACTTTTCTTATGATGTACACGTATATCCATGCCATGATCCCCGCTATCCCGTCTTCTTGCTGCGCACGTACGCACGCCCGTGTCACTGTCGTCTTTCGACGAATTCGGAGTCTCAGTATAAGCTGCCATACTATGGGAGAGAAAGAAGAGAAGGGGCCTGCAACAGGATGATGCCCCGCGGGGCTAAATGGGATGTTTCCGGAGGAGTTCCATTGCCATGGATGTTCATCCCAGGTACTGTAATCCGTACCCACCTCTCCACTACACAGTGGGTAGCCCGGGTGTACCTACCTTGACGAGGCAGGAGCCACCTGGTAGTGCTGGGCTGCTGGAGCGTGCTGGTACCTCTTCTTAGGTAGCCGGGTGGAGACAAGTACTTGGATGTACATTTTCTGCTCGTGGTCGGGTCGTGCCCCATGAGTTCCAGGGATGCGGAGCGATTCCCTCCCTCCCGTCATTGGTCCCCCGGACTTATCGCTAATAACGCGTCCGCGACTGACGACTCCTGTGCTATCCCTATTCTACCCACTCCCAGGTCCACCTGCACTCATAACTCGACCTCCAACTCGAAGTCATCCATGTACTATGTAGGATTCACTCATGTACTACCTTGATGCTATGTCTGTTAGTTCGCCCCCCCTTCCCGAAGAATCGGTTGACCCTCCCAGTGCCTCCCCAATCTACACTGCACATTGTTGGTCTTGCGTGCCCCCCTTATTGGCCTCCGTCTATGCTCCCAATTTGCAGTGATCTTGATTTTGTTCTCCCGGCGCTCCGTCGGTTCTCGCGTCAAATATCCTTGGCAATCTATGGACACTCTGTTACTCAAGCGGTTCCACCTCCAAGTCGGCACTGGCACACGCATCCTCTGCCTTAGCGGTTCCACTAGGAATATTGCCTCGCTTTCATTAACAGCCTTCCCTCGAATCCCCAACGCATCTTGTTTGTAACTCTTGGTTCGCTCCCCTCTCCGATTCCAGCCCTCCTCTCGCCGCGTCTACACTACAGAGTACTCCTGCAAAGTAGCTCCCCCCTTCCCACCCCTCTGTGTCTATATCCCTGTGCTCCGCGGGGAGAAGTTCAGAACAAGCGAACAGAGCCTTGACCAGGCGGCTATTGTGTCCGACTGGCGACCAGTGGGAAGGTTGTCTTGGCTTGCCCTACGATCCACACACCCCTGTATGGCCTACCTCCTTATGTATGTATTGTATCCGTACATGTGTACCTCCCACCCTACCGCCCCCATAGTACACTACTACCTCCCTGGAGCCCTTCTTCCTTGTCTTTGTATCTCTGGCTTGCGCGCCCCTCCAGCCCGGGCCCAATCTATTGCTCTTCGCTCCGTGGACAAACCACACTATGTGCTGCGGGTCTCCTCTGACATGCAGATCTCCTTAAGAAGCCCCGTCGAGCAGTGCCAAGAACCCGACGGAGGACGAGTTGCCCGCCAATTGACCCACGCGGGATGGCTGATAAGGCAGCCCGGCTCGGCGAGCTCAAGAAATCCCAGCGCGACCGTCCTCCATCTCAACCGCCGCAGCACTCGACCGCCGACACCAGCAACCCTGCCCTCGACGCCATGGGTTCCGGAGCATCTCCCGATGGCTCTGAAGACGAGTCGGCTTTCTCGTCTCCCGGGGACGATGTGTCCATCCCGGGAAGCCCCAGGTCGTCGGCTGCTCATGTGCAAGTGAAGGCAGAGTCCGTGGATTCGAGCGGAGCGCGTAACCCTTCCGCCGGCGGTTTGAGCATGCCGGTCCAGAAACGGCGGAGGGTGACGAGGGCCTGCGATGAATGTCGACGGAAAAAGATCAAATGCGACGGCAAGCAGCCTTGCACCCATTGCTCTGTCTACAGTTATGGTAAAGCCACCGACGCCCTCCCCCCCCTTCATCCTGTTTCCCCCTCTCTGCGTGCTGACCTTTGTAACCCCCAGAATGCACGTACGATAAACCATCTAACCGGCGTAGAAACCCGGCACCGCAGTATATCGAGGCGCTGGAAAGTCGCCTACAGCGAGCGGAGGCGCTCCTCCGCGAGGTCAGGCCAGATGTTGACCTGAACGACCACAATCTTGACCCGTCTATCCAGCAGGAGTTTCGCAACAGAGAGCAAGCCAGGGCTCAGGTGGCAAGACTCAGGACCGAAACCGCCAGGCAACCCGAGAGCCAAGACGCGAAGATCATGTCCATGATCGAGGCCATGGGCCAACTGGACCTATCTGAAGGTGGCGAATGGGACTTCCACGGGACCTCGTCCGGCGCCGTTTTCCTGAAACGCATGAAAGAGCACTTTCGAGGCTTGCTAGGCAACGACTACCGCACCCCCTTTGTTGTTCGACCTCTTCGTCCGCCGGGTCTGTTCAGCCTCGACTCGCCCAGATCGAGCTCCGGCTCGCCCTGGGACCTTTCCGCCCTGCCGAACATCTACGATCTTCCCCCGCGGGAGAGAGCACGCACTTTATGCTACTATTCTCTAAACTGTGCTACCTGCTTGCTCAGAATCGTACATATCCCATCCTTCTACGAGATGTTCGATAGGGTATACGAGTTGCCGCCCGAGAAATTCGGCACCGAAGAGAACCGGTTCCTAGGACTCCTGTACTCGGTTCTCTCTCTCGGCTGCATGTACAACACATCGGGGAATGACCCGTCTAATTCCGTCGACTACAAGACCGCCATGGACGAAGGGTATGATGTCCCGATCCACAGAAGCAAGACAGGAGTTTAATCCATTCTGCGTTTGTTTAGGTTGAAATACTACGCTTCGGCACGAGTTCTACTCCAGGATGTCGCTGAATGCAGAGATCTAACCACCCTGCAAGCGTTGCTGTTTATGCTTCTCTTCCTCCAGGTGGCCGCTAACATCAGCGGTTGCTATTCTTTCGTTGGTATTGCCCTGCGATCCGCGATCCGGATGGGCCTACACCGGCACTTGAAGCATGCAAAGATCACTCCTATCGAGGACGAAACGCGGCGCAGATGTTTTTATGTTATCCGACAGATGGACACATACATCTCCACCATCCTTGGCTTTCCCATGTTGCTGAACGAAGAGGACATTGACCAGCCGTTACCTACCGAAGTCGACGACGAATATATCACCAAGGACGCGATTCTTGCACCACCGGCAGGGACACCGTCTTTTCTCCAGGCGTTCAATGCACATGTGAGGCTCATGAGAATACTTACGAAAGTGGTGAAACACATCTACCCTCAGAAAGTGGTCCATGAATTCGTTGCAGACGAGGATACCAGGAATGCTCCCTACCTGGTCGAGTATGGGAAGATCCGGGAGATCGAGGAAGACCTCCAGGACTGGTACGAACAACTTCCCACACATTGGCGGCCTAGTCCCGAAGGGCCGATTGAAGTGATCCGGTATATCTCCCAGTTTTCTGTTCCAGCATTTGAGCTCAGCTTGATGAGCCCTTCGCCCAGCCGCCTCGGGCTGCTCCTTTCTCACTCTCTCTCTCTCTCTCTCTCTGTCTCTCCCTCTTTTCCCCCTTGTGCTTGCCCATCCTCCGCCTCCCAGTCCCGAGTACTCCCCCTATTGCTATGAATTGGCCACTAATGGGAATCATTGCGCAGAGTTCGGACTATTCTGAGGTTTGGCTATGCGCACGTCCAGATGATGCTCTACAGACCGTTCCTACACTACGCCTCACCACGACTCTCTGCTGGCAAGAATATCGATGAGAGGTATTACGCCTGCGCGGCAGCTGGGGTCAGTGTCTCCCGAAATATCGTCCACATCGGGACCGAGCTTCGAAAACAAACTGTGCTTATCGGGCCGTACTGGTTTATGCTTTACACCGAGTTCTTCGCCATCTTGTCCCTGGTGTTCTACGTACTCGAAAACCCGGACAAGTCTGGCTCTGCAGAGATACTAGCGGATGCAAGGGCGGGACGAGAGGTGGTCGCGAGCCTTGCTCGGAGAAGTATGGCCGCTGATAGAGTCACCACTACTCTGACGGTAAGTGCCGAGCCCTACTTGCTGGGGTCTGGAAAGGGGAGGAGGGCTTTGCTGACCAGTTTTAAGTCTCTCTTCGACCAGCTTCCCGACAAGCTCAAAAAGATGAAGGGCCGCGCCATGCCGACGAGAAAACGCTCAGCCCCGGTGCCAAAGTCGGGCATAGCATCAGCACAGGCTCGCCCCGGTTTGCAAGGCGCTAAGCCTCAGCGTCGATCCGAAGAACTCAACCGACCACGGAGCGGACCGGCCGGAGAGAACCACCCGACATCTCTCCACAGGGCATCGCTCGACACGGCGGGAATGCACCAGGGCCTCCATGGCCAAAACTTCTCGGCCAACTTCCAGGACCTCTTGCCATTGGACATCCCCTCGACGGGCGAGAGCTCGGAAACAAGCAGCACACCGGGAACCATGCATGCGCAGCTACCGAATTACCACCAGATGCATACTCCTAGTGCGAGCCACAAACCGCTGCACAAACTAGACGAGATGATGTTCCCTTCGGGCGACCCGTTTGCGTATCCAAACCAGCAGCCTCTAACGGATTTCACAAGCCAGGCGCAGGGCGGACATGCCGGCCCCCCCGGGAGGAGCCAGCAGCCAGGGTCGATGCAGTTCTACATACCCAACCTTTACGACGACATCGAAGGCCACCTGCTCGGGCAACCAGCACCGTACTTGGTTCAACAGGACCAACAAAGCCAACAGGGGCTCGGCCTTGCCTCGCATATGTATAACCCGTCCAATATGGTACCCATGCAGCAGACACCGCCAGCACATCACCAGAACTTAACTCCGCAGCGGCAACAGCAGAGAGAGTTGGAAGACATGTTGGCAGACCCGAATTTCCGAGAGGATTGGGGAGACATGCTTGGCAACTCGGGCTATAGGCAGCTGTAGGGCTTGCCTTTCTCGGATTCGGTATCTTGGGAAGAATAGTTGCGGTATCTTGTCCTAAAGGCTACAAAATATCATGCACTCTCTTTTAGGAGTTGGAACAGTCCGGATAGATTCAGGGTGGAGGAGATCCACATACAGAGCTGCTAGTCAGTTGCGACGAAATATCCTCTTGACACGACTATGAAGCTACGATCTTCTTGGACGGTTTGTTCAGATCCAGTATACGGGGATCCGGTCCGGGGGGCGCACGTCGGTTTGATCGCTTTATGCCACGAGGGGGAAAGAAAAGCATTGTGCGTTACGCATCGGCATCTTATGATACCCCACGGCTGGCTCTGAATCGAACGATTTCTCTCTCTACATACAACACATACTCAGTTTTATTTATCCAGCATCAAAGTTCTGGCTGGCTGTACATATTTCCCCCCCTTTTCATTTGCACATATATATGGACGGTTGAGATAGAAGGCTTGAGGTGAAAAAGAGGAGAGATTGATGAAGATGCATGGAACAAGGAACGGGAAAACAGGGAACCAGGTGCGGCATTCCGCCCGGACCTGATCCATCGTGGACATGGGACTGGTCCCATCCAGTGAATTAGCATTACGAAAGTATGACTCGACTCTGGCTCACGAAGCGTCAAAGACTGGGTCAGGTCGGGTCAGGTGAGGCCAGGCAGGAGGGCTGAACCAGCAGGAAACAAGATGCGGCGTTGTAGACAAGGTAAGGTAGGTAGGTTAGGTAGTAGCATGGAGGTAAGGGACAAGGACAGTGGGTGGGCGTTTCTGGATGAGTCGTACTGTGTACTGTAAGGATTACTTGGTTTCTGGCGTCGGGGGCTCGCTGAACCGCTTGGCCAACTTCGTATCTTCGTATTATGGAGGGGAGTGTGATGGAGACTATTGACTAACGCAATTTACGTGTGTCATTGTGCCACAAAACCCCAGGGCTGATAGATATTTATTCGCTCTCTATTCCGTCCAGACGTCATTCCGCAGCATTTACACGTCGCGCTCCCATTTTCTCCCCGTTCTCGTTCCTTCCGTTGGTGTGAAGGGTAGTAGGGCCGAAACTCTCGGCATCCATATCCGGCGGGGAACCCTTGCTGACCGAGTCGTGCCTCTTACGGTGAAGCACGGATAATCTCCATACCAAACTCCCCTCGATACGTCGATACGTCGATACGTCGACACGTTTGATACTTCTTGATTCTGGGTCGTGCCAACACTCGAGCTGTCAGATAAGGATGGAAGTCGATCATGAGCTGGTCGAGGTGGATGAGTTTGATGCGCTGTATGTATGCTCGAATGAAACTTGGGAGAATGGGAATTCTCCCCCGTTTCCCTTCCACCCGCCGCCAACTCTCCTGCCGGTCTCGCTAGGGGTCCTACCGCCCCATTGCACTATTGGGACATGCACCAGAATACTGACACACATGGATTAACCAACGGCTAGGGCTATCGAGGTGAAGCTGTCTCCCACATCTACAGCTGCCACGGACGAAGTTGAAGCCCGTGCGCTATGGCCTTTGGTTGCTGAAGCTAGCGGCAAGTACCCAGGTAATAATGAACCATCATCTCGTCTCGGGCGGTGTGCCATTCAGGGCCTCTTTCTTGACAAAGCCTGATTTTCATCGCACGGTGCCTATCGTCCCCACCAAGTGGTTCGGGGGAGTGGAGAATACGCTGGACCGGTGAAACTGGGCGAACCGTGACCTCGGAGCCGACTCCTCCCTCGGAGTTGGCACCGTTGACATTCTGGGGGCGTTTGTCCCTGAATCGGGGAGCTTTGCTAACTTGTGATGTTTCGCCCAAAGCCAAGGAGCATGCAAAGAAGGTTGCCAAAGAGCTCGGTGCCAGAGATGGACTCATCTATCTGCTGGGCCAAGAGTCCCAGCGGTACGAGGACTCGGACATGGCCCCTGAGTTCCGACAGCGTCGTTAGTATGTGCTTGCCTCGGGCGGAGCTCACCCCGGCGCCGCGAAAACGAATGCCCTAGTTTCCTGACCAAGGCAAAATCTAGCTTCTACTACCTCTCCGGCGCCGGCTTCGCCAACTGCGCCGTGACCTACGAGATCGCACGCGACTGGCTGATCCTATGGATCCCGTACACGGACCCGCGCCAGGTCCTCTGGTATGGCACCACCCCGGGCATCGCCGAGTGCAAGGAGCGGCTGCACGTCGATGACGTGAGGTACACCTTCAACCTCACCTCGTACCTGCACCGGTACCTCCGCCAGCACCCGCAGACCACCGTCTTCGCCCTCCACCCCGGCCAGACCCCTAAGCTCGACGGCGACGGCGACGGGCCGCCGACTGGCGCGGCCGCGCCGCACATCGACACGGCCCGCCTACGACCCGCCATGGACGCGGCCCGGGTCGTCAAGACGGACTACGAGGTCGCCCTGATCCGGCAGGCCAACGCGGTGACGAGCGCGGCGCACCGTGCGGTGCTGGAGCGCCTGCGGCGGCTGACAAACGAGTGCGAGCTCGAGGCCATCTTCCAGGCGACGTGCATGGCCCGCGGGGCCAAGAAGATGGCCTACCCGGTGATCGCCGGGTCGGGCACCAACGCGGCGACCCTCCACTACGAGGACAACGACCAGTCGCTGGCGGGCCGGCAGCTCGTCGTCCTGGACGCCGGGTGCGAGTGGGCCTGCTACGCCAGCGACGTGACGCGCACCCTCCCCCTCACGCGCACGCGCACCCGCGACGGCAGGTTGGGGGGCGGCGGCGGCGCCATGATCGCCCCGACCCCCGAGGCGGCGGCCATCTACGCCGTCGTCGAGCGCATGCAGGACGAGTGCGTCTCGCGCGTGCGGCCCGGCGCGTCGTTCCGGTCGCTGCACGCGCGCGCGTGCGCCGTCGCCGTCGGGGGCCTGCTGCGCCTGGGCCTGCTGCGCGGCGGGACGGCGGGCGAGGTGCTCGCGCTGGGCACCGTCGCGGCCTTCTTCCCGCACGGCCTCGGCCACCACGTCGGGCTCGAGGTCCACGACGTCGCCGGCGGGGAGCCGCTTCTGCTGCCTGCTGCTGCTGCTGCTGCTGCCGGGGGCGGCAGAGGGCTTGGGGGTCTGGGTACACGGGGCCGTGGCGCGGCGGGGAGGAGGGAGTGGGTGTCGCCTGAGATGGCGGCTGCGCTGTGTCGCGGGGGCGGGACCGCGTCGTCGTCGTCGTCGTTGGGTGGGGGCGGGCGGAGGCTGGAGAAGAATATGGTTGTGACGATCGAACCGGGCATGTGAGTAATTTCCTCTTTCCTAAAGGTGACAAACAAAAACATGAAAAGCGTGGAAAGGGGGCTGTCGGGAATAGGGAGAACGTTGGCTGACCCGCCGGCCCACAGATACTTCTGCCGAGAGTACATCGAGGCCTACTTCCTCACGAACGCGGCACACGCGAAATACATCGACAAGGCCGTCTTGGAGAAGTACTACCCCGTCGGCGGGGTGCGTATCGAAGACGACATCCTCGTCACGGAGGACGGCTACGAGAACCTGACGACGGCGCCCAAGGGGGACGAGGCACTGAGGATTATCAACGGTAGCTAGGCGGCTTAGAGAGTTTACGTGTCTCTCTCAACTCGCTCGCTTCGTTGGTTGGGAGGTCGGGTTTGAGGCTGCGTGTGAGATGAGAGAGGGTCATGAGCAAATTGTGGCAGGAAACGCATGCTATCACGCCCAAATACCAATTGAACCTCGGCCAGCAGGCGTGGTCTAAGTCATCACGTATCTTCATTTCGGCTAGCCTGAAGTGAGAAGCAAAAAAGAAAGAACAAGACATAATGCATAATTCAGAACGCCCGCGCCTCTCTCTGTATAACATAGACCTTGCATAGGTAGCAGCCTCGTTTCCCCCCTCGCTTCCGTCTTACAAATACTTCTTTGGCGACGCCTTCCGTCTCTTGTAGAGGATGAATGCCGCGACTAGCAGCATCTGGGTGCCGATCATGACTAGGATAAGCTTCGTGTGACCGGGGGCGCTCGCCTTGATGCTCTCCTGCATGTTCTCGTGCTTGTCGACGACGAAGGACTTGACCGCGTGCTCCGAATCGCGCACCTTCTGCACGAGGTCGGTCCTCAACATGTGCATCTCCCTCTCGAGGTTGGCGATGCGCTGCTCGAGGAGGTCCAGCTTGTCCAGCTTGTCCAGCCGGTCCAGCACGGACAGCCGGCCCTTGAGCTCGCCGAGGAAGATGGACGTCTCCTCGTGTCGTTTCTCGCCCACAGTGTTCTGCGTCGCGATGGTGCGGAAGATGGTCGATAGGTGGTGGTTGACGCTCTGGAGGCGGTTGTGCAGGTCCGTGAATTGCGCCTTGGAGCTAGTGAATTGATCGGCGCTCTGGTCGGGAATATCATCGTCGAAAGGGGCGTCTTGCGTCAACCCGGCCGGCTGTCCGACGGTCTGGCCCGACCGGCCGAACACCATCTGCGGCCTTTCCTGCTGCTGCGAGCCCTGATCTTGATCTTGGTTCTGGTTGTTGTTCTGGTTGTGCTGGTCCTCGGTGAGCACGACTAGCTTGAACACCTCGAACGAGTCCGGGTTGTCGGCCGAGGCGGCCGTGATGCCGACGTGGTAGCCGGGGGGGATGCGGACTTTGTCGCTTTCGAAACACAGCCTGCCGTCGACCTCTACCCTGAACGTGGAGTCGGAGTGGCGCAGCTTGACCTGCGAGGGCCGGCCCAGGTTTCGGTAGGCGAAGTTACAATGTCCAAACGAGAGCTGATCCACGTTGGACTTTTTGTAATCCGTCGAACCGTCGTTCAGGAACCCGCGGATCATGCCCCCGTAACCCCCGTGCCCGTCGATGACGAGCGCGAGACCCTCGAATTTCGACACGGTGTAGATGCTCCCCGTACCAACATCATGGGCACCGTTCCGCACGAGCCAGATCTGCAAGTTTCCCCCGCCCCGTTCGGGGCCCGTGGCGCGGAAATCGACATCGGCAATCCAGTTTAATTGCTGCAGTTGCTTGTCCGACCACACGGCTCCGCGCTGGTTGCCAGGCGCTGGAGGCGTGAGGATTACTTTGTTGGAGAGGAGCTCCGGGAGGTTGGGAGCACCCTGGATGGCGAAATTGGGGATCGAGGACTGTCCCTCGGGGCTTATCCTGCACGAGGAGCTGTGTTAGGACCAATCGATCACGAGCTACACGGCAGACGAGTCAGACATACCTAGCTCCATGGCCGAAGCTGATATCGTTGACGAGATATTGGGCCTGAGCCTGTGCGAGGCTCGCGACCACTACGGCGACGCTTAAAGGTAAACGCATCGCGGACGGGTGCGGTACTGGATCTGGGGCGTCTATGCAGTGCAAATCGTGCAGCGCTCAAAGCAAAAGGAGAGCAATTCGCAATTCGCTTTTTTTTTCTTCGTTTTTGCCGGAGCTGCTCCTCCCGGCTGAGGACACTTGGACACTTTGCAGTTGCAGATGTCGAGGCTGGCTTCCCCAAACTAGGGAGGTACCTAGGTATTAACCGCGACACCGGGAGAAATATACAGAGCAAGACAAATTTATGATTGGGCCTCAGGGGTATTTCGGAAAATCCATATATAGAAGAGGATTAACATGCAAAGAAAAACGAACAAGCAGCCACTATCATTACATCCAAATACGATACGATGGACAGAGCAATGTAGTTCTTTTCGGGGGTTGGGGAACCTGAGACAAGATTCTCGTGCCTCAAAAAGCCAGCTTTCCAAACCTACCCCCGCATGCAGGAGCTTCCAGGAGCTTCCCCAAGTGCAAGTTAGCAAGCGCCACAATTGCAAGGGTCTAGCTGCGGGGAAAAGGTGTGTTGACTGTGGCTTGAACCTCTTGAATTAGATTGGATCCAATCGGCGCACTGCCAATCAAATTTGGCCCACATGCCTGTGCTGGTCTGGCCCCTGTTAACATGCAACGAATTCCTTCGCTCCCCCAGAAAAAAAGTGCCCCTCGAGCCTGTGCGACTTGCACCGACTTCGAGAGGAGACGCAACATCAGGCCAGCCTCAATGTGTCCATGGCGGAGAACTATCCTACTCTCGCGCAATGCGCGATAGTGGCTTCGGCCTTCAAAATCCTTCTATTCCCAGCTTAGTGAGTTCTTCCCCGCCGTCTTTCCGACGTCTGACCTTGGCCTCACCACTGACAGCTGAATCCCCAACAGCAAATCAACAGACTTCGAAGTTCATCGCAATTGGCTGGCAATCACCAACAGCCTCCCTCTCTGGGAGTGGTACTACGAGAAAACCTCGGAATGGACCCTTGATTACCCACCTTTTTTCGCCTACTTCGAATGGATCCTCTCCCAGGTAGCGAAGCTGGTAGACCCGGCCATGCTTCGCATCTACAATCTTGAGTACGACAGCTGGCGGACTGTTTACTTCCAGAGGTTTACCGTCATTATAACCGAGTTGCTTCTCGTATATGCGCTGCAGATGTAGGCCCTTCCGTCGCCCGCTGGTTGTTGTGTTTGTGTGCCTGGCAGGCAAGGCTGATTGACGATAGGTTCGTGGACTCATCAAGGGGCGGTTCGAAGCGTGCAGCGCAAGCCGCAGCGATCTCTGTCTTGCTCTCTCCGGGGCTGCTGATCATCGACCACATACATTTCCAATATAACGGTTGCATGTATGGCATCCTAATCGCGTCACTCGTCTTGGCCCGAAAGAAGTCAACCTTGCTTGGAAGTGGGCTCATTTTTGCGACCCTGTTGTGCATGAAACACATCTACCTATACCTGGCGCCGGCATATTTCGTTTTCCTGCTTAGGGTCTACTGTCTATCGCCCAAGTCCGTCTTCAGGATTCAGTTACTGAACTGCATCAAACTGGGAGCAGGGATAGTCGTAATCTTCGGCATCGCTTTTGGCCCTTTCGCGTTGAAGAAGCAGATCCCTCAGATCCTCAGCAGGCTCTTCCCCTTTGCCCGGGGGCTATGCCATGCGTACTGGGCGCCAAATGTCTGGGCCATGTACTCCTTCATGGACCGAGTGCTGATCCTTCTGGCACCACGGATGGGTCTGTCTGTCAAGGCTGATGCTCTGCAGAGCGTTACACGTGGCCTCGTCGGTGACACCTCCTTTGCCGTGTTGCCGGATATCAGCCCGAGGATGTGCTTCCTCTCGACACTTGTACTTCAGGCCATCCCCTTGCTCAAGCTCTTCTTCCAGCCAACTTGGGACAACTTCGTCGGGGCGGTGACGCTCTGTGGCTACGCATCCTTCTTATTCGGCTGGCACGTCCACGAAAAGGCTATCCTGCTGGTCATCATACCTTTCAGTCTCATTGCGCTGAAAGACCGCCGCCACCTCAGCGCCTTCCGGCCACTGGCAGTTGCGGGCCATGTGTCGCTGTTTCCCCTGCTCTTCACGCCGGCGGAATTCCCGATCAAGACCGTCTACACGGTCTTCTGGCTGATGTTATTCCTCATGGTGTTTGACCGCCTGGCACCGGCGTCCAACAGTCGGCGATTTTTCCTCGACAGATTCAGCACCTTCTACATCGCAGTCAGCATCCCCTTGATCCTGTACTGCTCGATGATCCACAGGATTGTTTTCGGGAAGCGCTATGAATTTTTGCCCTTGATGTTTACCAGTTCATACTCGGCGATAGGGGTTGTGGGCAGCTGGGTGGGCTTCCTCGTCGTCTACTTTACGTCGTAGACGGGTTGAACCCAAATATGGCGGGGTAGAGAGGCATATTGGGCATCCAGCTAGCTCTTGCCATGTATTTCAACCCAAATACAAAGTAATTACAATATTGTCTAACCTGGGTAAGGTCTTAGCTACAAGTTCCTCTCCAATTAGGGGGCCAAGGATGCAAGGCGAAGCCCCAATTTGCTTTCTTTACTTTTTCCTACCTAAAAAGCAAATAGGGAGGAAGAAAGAAGAGTGGGTGCGTCACTGCATCGCAGAGCCCCGCAATCACTCAGGTGAATGGACAATCCCTGTCCGATTTTTTCCCCATCCTAACTCGGTACAAACAGTTTGCCCCACGGGATGACTCGCCTGAAAGTATAATCTTGAAAGCGTAACCTCAAAATGATTTCGTTATAAAGACTAGCATCTCGTTGCTTCTACAATCCTTTGCTTTAACTCGCCGGGTCCCTACCTGTCCTTGGATCGATTCTCATCGGCCTCGACACCTCCTAGCTTCCAGCTGCGAATAACTTCACACACACCTCCAAGTCATCCTCTCCAGAATTTCCATCCGAACGATCTTCAGGCGCGATATTCGCTTGGCTGGCTATCAACGTCCGTCCTCCGTCAACCTCTCGACTCGAATCCGGCGCTGAGCGCGACGATGGTTAAAAACATTGTCATCCTCTCTGGCAACTCGCACCCCACCCTCGTAGACAGGATCTGCAACATACTAGGAGTTCCGCCATGCGATCGTATCCTATCCAAGTTCTCGGTGGGAGAGTCTCGTTGCGAGATCAAGGACTCGGTGCGAGGCAAAGACGTCTACATCGTGCAGTCCGGGGGCGGGTCGGTCAATGATCACTTCGTAGAGCTCTGTATCAGTAAGGACTTCCAGCCTTGCCCTCGATTCCCCTTGCAGGGCGGCACTGACGAGGGTGTAAACAGTGATATCCGCATGTAAGACTGGCTCTGCGAAGAGAGTCACAGCCGTCCTCCCAATATTTCCGTACTCGCGCCAGCCCGACCTGCCGTATAACAAGGTCGGCGCACCCCTGTCCAAACCCGCCGTCGAAGTTCCCAAGGAATACACTTTCGAGAGCGTCCCCCCTACTCCGGGTCCAGGTGTTCCCAAGACCAGCGCCTTCGCAAACGGTATCGACATCACCAGGATGCTAAGCAGGACTGCTCTTACCAACGGGCGCGCATCTCCTATCCCAAACGACCTTGGATCTTCGGCTTCGGGAACGGCAGGCCTGAACGCAGCTAATGGGCGCCCAGGGGTAGGTTCAATCCATTCCGGAAAGGGGGAGAAGATTATATGCTTACAATCAAAACAGCCACAGCACCAATCGCAAATCAGCACATTTGAGGCAAAGCGCGGATACAAGAAATGGATCGCCCAAGCAGGGACTTTGGTCGCCAATCTGATAACATGTGCGGGCGCAGATCAGTAAGTACGATCGGGCATGAGGTCTAGTCCTTTTCAACAAGTTCAGGCTCGCGCCAGGTTGTGCACGCCGAGCTACGGACAAAACTGACTTGAGATCCTGCAGCGTCGTGACGCTTGAGCTCCACGATCCCCAATACCAAGGGTTCTTCGACATCCCCGTGGACAACCTCTATGCCAGACCGTTGCTCAAGGGATATATCCAGCAGAGAATCCCCAACTACAAGGAGGCAGTGATTGTCAGCCCCGATGCCGGGGGAACCAAACGAGCGACCTCGATTGCCGACAATCTAGGCATGGACTTTGCTCTGATTCACAAGGTAAGGTCACAAGTACTGAAGAGGAAGCACGGCTATTTACTCGAAATGCAGGAACGGCGCCCGACCAAGATTACAGAGCGACAGAATGCTACAATGATGCTTGTGGGCGACGTTCGCGACCGCGTTTGCATTCTCATCGATGACCTTGTCGACACAGCGAATACGATAACGCGGGCTGCCAAGTTGCTGCACCGTGAGGGCGCAACCGCAGTGTACGCCCTCATTACCCATGGGATTATGAGCGGCGATGCTATCGCCCGCATCAATGCATCGGCTCTGGACAAGGTGATCGTGACAAATTCGGTCCCCCAGGACGAGCACCGGGCCCTGTGCCCGAAACTCGAGGTGCTCGATGTCGCACCTATTTTCGCCGAAGCTATCCGCCGCGTCCACCACGGAGAGTCTCTCAGCGTACTGTTCCAGCATGATTGAGATGTCCGGAGCGCACGGGAGAAGACGCTCAGGCGAGCCATGCATATATGGCTGGATCTTAGCCGCAGACCTAACCTAGAGGCAAGTCCAGTTGAGCTCGGAAGTGGTTGTGAGCTATTAGAGAACACGGCATACTTGCTCTACATTGAACCTCGTATCAAGATTCAAGAGCGTGCAGTGTTGGTTTTTGAGAGCTAGAACCAAATATGGACTTGGAAATTCGACGATGCGGCGGATTGAAGGCTGAAGAGAGGAAATGCTTTTAGTCAGCGTTGCCCCCACCCTTACCGACAATCTCCTGACGCCAGCTTGGTGTTCCTGCAAGGCTGACGACCCAATTGTGGGGCAGACCCACTTTCGAGTTGGAAAAGTGGCAGGCGGAATTACAAGGGTGGTGTGTCAACAGCCAATTGTTTGTGACACCGGGGATCAACCTATAGCAGTCCCAACAAACATGCCAGGTAGGTTAGGTAGGTAGGTTAGGTAGGTAGGTAAACAACAAGATCAAAAGAAACGGAGTTGTGGTCATATTCAGGTTACAGTTTGTCAGAGACAGTGGGTTGTTCAGATAGCGCACAGCGATAATAAAAGACTGAACATTTCCCCTGAAGGTCTAGACACAAGGAGAATGAAGATTGGATGGATCATGGATCAGTGTCCCCAGCTCGACAACCCCAAACTGAAGATGCCTCCTCCCCAGCTACAGACCTATCTAAAATGGCAATTGAGGTATTCAATGCTCTTGCCTTACTAACTAGGTATCTAACTGACATCTGCAAGTGAACCATACTTACAGGAGACTGAAAGTTGGATCGAGTACCAGGAAGCTCAATGAAGGACAGAGGTGAGACGCGATGCCAACGCGATGCCAACCCACTGATGGATTGTTTTGCAGAGTTCCTGTGGCACGTAATACAACCTCCTATGTAGGATAATGTGACGGGTGTTTGTCCTTGGCAACGTAGAGCAAGTCATTGCAATGGGAGGCGAGTTAGACTTGGGGAGCACCCAATTGAAAGAAATAGGCGGGGAGAGCCCTACCTTGGCAAATCAATTTGTACAAAGCCTTTTCACGGTCGTAAATATTTGAAAACAGGTCCAATTAATCTGGTTCAACCAGCAGATGAAAGCCCTCTTTGAGAGGAGCAGAATGAGTACAAGAACGTTGCTGAGTTATGCTTGTGAGGGTTTCGTGCAGAGCAGAGACGAAGCTGGAGAAGTTGGGGTGCCTTTCTCGGAGCGATCCCGTCCCTGTCCGGCGGGTCCGCCAACCCATGGACCTAGTCCATTACCTGCGTTTCCATTTGCCGTCCCTCCCCTTGTTGAACTTTTTCCTCCTCCATCCTCACCCTCTCCCTCACTCCTGGCTTTCGCGTTTTTGCCTCACTGCCAGACCTCCAGCCCACCACCTTCGGTCCACCTGGCATCAACAGCCAGGGGATATCCACACCTGAAATCAATTTAGACACGGGTACACGATCTGGCCTGGAACGCGTTCAGCAGCCTTGCATGTAAGTCCTCCAACCCATACCTATGCCCACCAACCCTGCTCGACGCTCCACCCAACTCCAACCGATCGCGACTCCGACCACAACAGCCTCTGGGACAGACCACAACACCCATCAATCGCTCCCTGCACACCACTCTATCTCATTAATTCAACTGGTCTTATCATTCTGTTAGTGGCAAGGCTGACCAGCCTTGCAGAAAGTTTTCGGCCCACCCACATGTGTGGGAGGACGACGCGCCGCCAGGATGGTATATGGCTCCCCCGACCTTCTCCAAGCTCCCTCTGACGCTCACACACCACCTTTAGGTTCTATTCAAACGAAAGCCGGTGCAGTTTCTAACAGTACCGGAAATTGCAAATGACGATGCGGAGGTCCGTGAAGCCCCTCGCCAATACACAAACCAACCACGAATTGAAACTGACAGGCCTATCCAGGTTTGGCACATCCCCCAGACGGGGGAGATCTTCACCACGTACGACGAGTATCTCTATAGGTTTGTTGCACCGCCTCTCCCTGACCTTCCTGACTTGACTAACTGGCCAATAGACTCGACTTTTATAAGCAAGTAAGTCAGCCATCGAAGTCGAGCGCACGCGTCATCTCGCTTGCTCACACACATCGCAGCGCCGATTCATCTGCCAAATAAGTGGCCATTCTGGCCTCACTTTCTTCGAAGCCCTTCAAAGCGAAGTATGTCCATCCCCCCCCCTTTCCACGCTCGATGGCCACACTGACAGGGATGCAAGCTTGCTGGCGCCGCCGAAGTTGAACAGGCTTTCCCCGAGCCCCTGAAGGGTCCAATCCTTCGAAAGGTGCAGTTTCAAACTGTCTCCCGCATCGATGCCCTGGTCGACCAAATATACGAGGAATTCAAGAACGACTACTATCCTGGGGAGGCCGTCATAGTCGAGGTTGACGGGCGCGAACGGCAGCACGGCGTGGTTCGAGACAAGACGAGATTCGGCAGCAAGGTCCTCCCTGATGGCACCCTAACTCCACCATACTCGCGGTATTTTGTCAGCGTGGACGGGCAGGCCGAAAAGGAGGCTGTTGTTGACGACTCACACATCCTCCGCGATAGGAAAGCGTTCACGAAACTGGTCCTGCGGTCCTTCATCAAAAAGACAGTGACAAGGGAGGCTTGGAATGGTGCGCCGTGGCTGGTCAAGCATGACGTTGCTTTACAACACAACATCGATACCCGGATCCCTCCGCATTTGCTATACAACAACAAACTGCTAGAGAGGAAGCAACTACAGGTGCAGAAACGGTTGTCACAGGGAGACGCCAATGGCCTGTCTAGTTCCTTGAATGGGTCTGGGCCCGTACGACTGCCCGAGCTGAAGCCGGCTCCGAAGAGCCATAAGTCCCAGAAGCACCTGAACCAACAACATCAAGGGCCCGGCGCTGGACCCAAGGGCAGGCAAGGCGGATTTGCCAACCCGGAACCTGGCCAGTTTGTCCATCTTCCCTTACCCGGAAACCCGTTCCAGTTCCCCATCTCCCTGCGCGACCAGAACGTCTCTCCGATCTATGCGCAACAAGAACCGCCCCCGCCTCCGCCACCACCGAAATACCCTATCGAGGATCTCCAGCTGGAACCGCGTGGCCGTGTCCGACCGAAGTTGAAGTACATGTGTAGGGACCCACCAGTGGCGATCGAAGACAAGGCCCCGCTCGGCGACAAGGTCTTGATGAAGTCTGTCGGGCCCTTGTTGGAGACCTGGGACACCTTGAATGTCTACTGCGAGATTTTCACGCTAGACTCGTTCACGTTTGACGATTTTGTGGAGGCCATGCTAGTTGCCTCGGAGGACGTGCCGTGTCAACTTTTCGACGAGATCCACTGCGCCGTGCTCAAGATTTTGGTGAGCTCCGAGTCAGAAGGCGGAAAGGTGCAAATCCAGCTGCCGGAACTTGACGAAGATGAGGACGAGGATGAGGATGAGGATGACGAGGAGGCGGATACGAGCACAGCCACATCCCCTGACCCGCAACCTCAACCCTCGGGTCGAGCGACGAGAAGTAGCCTTGCGAAGCAGGAGGCCGAAAGGTTAGCAGCGGAAGCCGCAGCTGCTGAGAAGGAGTTACAGGATGTCGAGGAGACCCCGAAGCATCGCGCCGAAGATCTCCTTGCCGGCTATGACTGGATCGAGCATCTCAGACAGCGAGACTTCCAAGATGGTGGTTGGGAAATGATCATGGTCGGGCTATTGCACCAACTGTCCAAGAACGAGCGACACAAGGCCAGCTGCGACGAGCTCCTGGAGCAGCTGGTTCCACGGGATGTCGAGCCGGTTCAGGAGACAGTGCGTCAGCACTACGCCAGCCTTGATGTCAACTACCGCGTGCAAGCCCTACAGATTATCTGCATGCTAACTGCAGAGACCAAATCCATCCGTGGATATATGGAGGACTGCAGTGAGCAGATGACATCATACAGGAAGGAGAAGATTGAGTGGCAGAGAACGAGAAAGCAAGCGTAAGTGGCCTCTGGTTTTTTTTTTTTTTGGTTTTTTTTTTTTTTTTTTTTGACTTCGTTCGTGTGCGACGATCCATGGGCTAACAACTAACCTGTCTCAGACTCGAGGACTTGAGAGCATTGAATGACCAGCGCAAGATACTCTTGCCCGAGAATCTCCCTCCCAGTCCTCCACAGGAAGCTGCTAAGCTCAACGGCGACGTCAAAATGTCCGACGTTGACGACCTGCCTGCGTCGGACGAAGTGGCGGACACTGACGACGATGTTCACACGGGCCGATCCCTTCGACGTGGCCAAGACCGTGCCGCCGAACGGAAGCGCAAGCTGGAGAAGCAACAGGAGAAGAAAGAAAAGGCCGAGGCGGCTGCCAAGGTGCCAAAACAGTCAAAGCAATTCATCAAGGTGCTCAAGGACATACAGAAGAAGGAAGAGGAGATCAAGAAATGCGAGGACGAGATCGCTGTCATCGACAACGACCTCCGGGAAGCCGACTGCCCACGAACACGCGTGCTGGGCAAGGACCGTTTTTGGAATCGCTACTATTGGTTTGAGCGCAACGGTATGCCATACGGCGGTCTGCCTGACAGCTCAACAGCCGAGGCAGATTACGCAAATGGTTGCATTTGGGTTCAGGGACCGGACGAGATGGAGCGCGAGGGATATATCGACATGATCCCCGAGTACCAAGACGAGTACAAGGCCAAGTTCGACATGACGGTGCCGGAACGCAAGGCCCGTGAGGAGGGTCCGACCCACGTCTTCAACGCACTGCAGTGGGGCTACATCTCGGAACCGGAAGACCTAGACGGCCTGATTGACTGGCTTGACCCTCGGGGTTTCAACGAACTCAAGCTGCGTAAGGAGATTGTGAATTACAGGGAGAAGATGGTGAAGAACATGGAGAACCGGAAGAGATACCTCAACCCCCCGGCGGAGGAGAAGAAGGAAGAGACTACCAAGCGCATGAGTACTCGTGGCCGGTCCACCGCGATGACGCCGGAACCGCCGTCGTACCGCTGCCTGAAGTGGCAGAACACTACGGCCCTGGAGGAGCTGGGCCACCTGCACAGCGAGCAGCCGCCGCCGACGACGAGATCGCGCAAGCCGTCCAACAAAAGGAAAGAGGCGACAGCCGAGGCGGCAGCCGCGCCGGTCACGACCAGGTCCAAGAAGCCGCCGGCCCGCCAGGGCAGGTAATATGTTTTCTAGGGCTTGGTCGCTGAAGTCCCTGGTCTTTGTTTTGCTGCCGCGTTCTGGCGGCCTCAACGGATTTTCGGGCATTTGATTTGCATCCGTCGCCACTCATCTCACTTCGGGTTTTTATACGAAGCCCCCATAACCATTTGGAAGATGAAGAAGGCCTAACGGGTAGGTGTGGTGCGTTTTGGTCTCTGGGCCGGTTGAAGGGGGATTCTAGGCGTTCCGGGGATGTCACGGACTGACTGGAAGGGGGTGAAGGTTCGCAACAACAGGCGAGCAACCAAGTATCCCTAAGGGGTTTATTTATTCCCTGGCGTGTGTGAATATTTCGAGGAGTTTGGTTGGTTCATTCAGAAAAGAAAGGGAGGTGCTTATAAAAGCGGTTTCGTCGTTTATCTCGTCGTGGCTTCCACCCCTCCCCCCCCCCGGACTTGCTTACATCGCAGGTTCGTTGAACGGCGTAGTCTAGAGGTGGCCACCTAGCCAGTCTGCCAGTATAGAGAGTATTTTACCCCTGGTTTGCCCCATACATAGAGTTGGAGAAATGAAGTAAATTCCACATATTGAGCTAGCCCTGCCTCAGCACACGTATGTTTGCTGCCATGTAGGGTGATGAAGAGGTTCCTAAACAGAATTCTATCCAGACCTCTGGCCGGTTTCGTCCGTCTATTAACAGAGGTACGTACACTTGAGATGGACCGTGCACATTGGGCAGGGTAAGCCACTAGCCCTAATGGGCCTAGCGTGGCCGTCCGCTCTGCCATAAAAATCTCGAAATCCATCCTCTCCCTCTTCCTTCTCTTCTCTTTTTTCTTTCCTCAGCAGGCGGTCGGCGGCCAATTCCCTCTCTCTACACCGTCAAGTGAAGAGTTTGGGGATTGGTCTTCGGCTTCTTGTTTAAAATGGCGGCTCCACGAAATGTGGCTTGCTGAGGGTTAACTCGCTTTTTTTCACAAGAAAATTGCTCTATGGGTATCCTTCCGTTCCCGGCCACCGATATAAACGTCGACCACCTATTCCCTTACTCATAATGCCGCGGACGACGGTATACCCATCAGGTCCGGGACTGTGGGGTGGTCGCGACAACATTGCGAAAAATTTTCGCCTTTTTTTATAGTTTCTGTGGTCGAGGTTATGTCCTGCACCTGTGTTGCGGGTGTCCACAGTGTGCCCCCTCGGCCCGCTTTTATAAAGTGATTCTCTGGGGCTTGGATTGGAGGTCCTCTGCGTGCCTGGCATCAGGTCGGATCCCTCCTCCTCGTAGTGCACTTGAAGATACTTGATTTGTGCATTTGATGAAGCCCCTGAGATCTTTCCTGTACATTGCCAACGGGACGACTTTTACGGTATTGCAATTGCATCGAGAAGTTTCTGCTTCCAAGTCTTTGCTCGCAATGAATCGAGGCCCCATTGGGAGGCCGCAGTGGAGCCAATGCACCTGAGTTCTTCCTACGCGGTATGCCTTCAAGGCATGTGAGCTCAGTCCTGCTACAGATCTGTAGTCGTACAGGAAATTGTACTGCTCGCGCAGCAAGATGAACCCCCCGTACCTCCCTCAAGTCCCTTCTAGCAATCATCATATTACATTGTTGCATGTAGCATCGAGCAATTGGAGAGGCTTCGTTGGATTGATCAGCTACGGGATAGCTATGGTACCTGGCCTAAAGCCGTGATAACGAGCCGACCCCAGTCCATCCCAGGTTGATGGCTCCTTTAGTAGAGGCGCTTAGGAGGAGACATGGTGGCCTTGAGCGTGAGAGATCCCACGTTCTGCCAGCCCTTCTTCAGCAGCGACACCAGGTAGTTGATGGCCAACATGATGTTGGCGACCAGTTCCTCCTGGGTCATGCCGACGTTGCCGACAGCGACACCCATGCACAGAACCTTCTTCAGCTGGAACTTGATGGTGGACTTGACCTCGGTGAGCTTGGCAGAGAGGTCATCGGCGTGAGAGACAGGCGTGGGGAACTTGCCGGCTAGGGACGGTGTCAGCGGTTTACCAGGGTTAGACTTGGCCGCAGCCAGAAAGATCAATACGCACCCTTGGACAATCCAGGACCCAGGATACGAGGAATCTGCTTGATCAGACTCTCGGAGGCAATGAAGGCGTCGTACTTGCGGGCAAGCTTCTTGATGACTGTGAGATAGTTAGCGGGCTGTCCTAAATAGCGGGGGTAGTCCCACTGACGCTTCTTGTTCTTGTTGAGCTTCTTCAAGTCGTCGGCCGACATGGCGTCAACACCGCCGTGCTTGGCACGGTCGATATCGTGCTGGTCACCGAGGATCTGTAAAGGCCTGGTTAACCCTCTCCCCCCGCACACCTCGCTTCGACTTGTTACGTACGCAGACGCCCATGTTGGGACGAGGGATGGTGGGCAGCTTGACGGTGCCAGAGAAACGCTGTTCGAACCATTGTCAGAACCCGGATTTGTCATGATATCGCAGTGCCGGTCGGTACCTTGTCACGCTGGGGGTCATAGTTCTTCAGGCCGATCTGGAGCTCGACGGTCTCTGGGCATAATATTAGCACATCGGTTTAACGAACAGGGGGGGCAGGCAAACGTACCGAGGAAGTTGCGCTTCTTGGTCTCGAGGCTGTACTCGAGAACGTCGGCGACGTTCTGACGCACTCCGGCTGTAGGGAGAAACGAGCATATTAGCAATATCCAGGGCGACAGGTTTGTCGAAATGCATACCGACTCTGTTCTAACGGTCAGCAGTGCCCTATAGAGAATTGGGGAGGATGGAGGCGCAGCAGGGTCTCTGTTTCGGCCTCCATCTGTCCCCAAGTTACGCCAGGATGAGTTCTTACGTGATCTTAGACATGATGGCAGTCTTCCAATAGAAATGGGCTTCTAATGGTGAGGAATAGGCGTCGTAAGAGAATGATGGTGGTTTGAATTTGGAGGAGTAAAAACTTAGCCCACAAAATAATTATTGTGCGGGGCGGGGTGAAAGTTCGCGGGTCCGGAACATTGTGTAACCTTCCCGTACTACAGGTGGGTCCCGCGGCCGGATCTATGTGGCCAGTCAATTATGTTTCAACTTTTGCGAGCCTCATTCATTGGGGATACGAGTGTCAATGTCACGGCTCTGAAACGGACCACGCCAGCTCTGCGTAGATCCGTCAAAAACGGTAGGGAATCATGGCGATGATATGGAAGTTGGTAATTCTCTCTGTGTCTGGGGTCAAAAGTTGACGACTGGTACGTACTGAAAGTCTGAAACAGACCTTCTCGAGGCGAGGAGATCTCGAAAGTCTCCTCGGAGCTTCAGAAGCTCAACCCCACCAATGTGGATGCAGCCTGGTGAAGCATTGGGTGTTGTCCTTTCCCAGTTTGTCAGTTTGTTTGGCGAAACCGCCCAGTTAGACGGGTCAAGATCACTCCTGCTATATCGACTGAATAGCATGATGCTCTAGCTCCATGGCTACACCATAGCCCCCTGCGTGTTGTGCATTCCTCGATACCACCTTCTGAGTCGTCCAGTCGGAACGAATGAAATAGTTGGATGCTCTTGTTTCCCCGCATCACATCGAAGCACTGCTTTCACCGGAAAGCGGCTCTGGTCTTTCGACCGGGATTCCTACCAAGCAATCCTGGGGAACACATCCGTGCGCTCATACGTTGAAACGCACGACTGCCGTGGGGGCCATGGCGCTGCCAACACTTGCCGTGACTATCCACAGTCCCTGGGTTAAACAAGCCGTATACAATATGTGAACTTTGAGGTCAGTACCAGAAGAGCCCTGTCGATGGGTCAGAACCAGAAGAGCCTCGGTGATGACACAGCTACCACCTGCATGCCTACATACAGTATTTCCTGATGGACGGGTGGGCGAATGTGACAGAGGGGAAGGGGATCGGTTTGTTTCCCGCTATGATGATCCTTTGTTTCTTTAAGACTGTTAGTTCACAAACTCCCGAGACCCTAGTCGAAGATCATTGCTACCCCGGCACCTTCTAAGTCTGCGCCTCAACGTCTTAGAGCCTCAGTTCCCGGGTGGTCATTCGTTCTGGGCGCATGGGGTTGGTGGCTCAGCGTATCAAAAGCCAAAAAGGGCCCCCATGCCAACAGGAAAGGTGATCCCCTGCTCTGAGGAGGCAGGCTTTGTTTCTTGTTCGATGCTACACTGCCATTGTGGCGATGTCCTACCACCCTGGTCTCTCCTGGCTTATAATGATGGAAGAGCCCTCCCCTTGCGGGGATGCCTTCTTCTGTTCGCCATGAGGTGATAGTGATCCTGTGTACAGGACACATCTCGACCTTACAGCCCTGGCCGTCCAGCTTGCTCTCGCTCGGTAGGCCATCACGATAGGCCTTCTTCTCCGCGACGGTCTTACATGATAAAGGGAGACGGAAAGTACCGAAAACCTTAGCAGCTTTCTATCTTCCCGCCATCTTCGGAGCGATATACCTACGCAAACAAGATGTTCATACCATTTGAGGTGATAGCGAAGTGGCCAACGCCAAACAACGTCAGCCCCGAGACTCACAACCCAGTCATGGTCGTCATCATCATTTTCTTGATGATATGTGTAACGGTTCTCATGGGGATTCGCCTCTATACACGTCAGGTTATTTCCAATGGAGCTGGTCTGGATGACGTCCTCATTCTGCTGGCATTTGTACGGCCTAGACCCGGTGGCTACGGGGATGATGTTCTTTCTAACTCTGAAGTAGATTCCAGCAATAGCATTTGCTATTATCGGTGTCATTGGAGTGCTCAACCTTGGCTGGGACCGCCACGTTTGGGATGTAAGACCGGCACTTATCACCGCCTCCCTTCAGCTGAGGTATGTATACTTGACGGAAATCAAGAAATCATCGCAGAAATTGACAAATTCATAGTCTAGTTGTCCAGATTCTCTTCGATATCGCGACGAGTCTGACCAAGCTGTCCATGCTGGCTCTGATATATCGCGTTGTGAGGGCTGGATTAAGCACGATGAGATACTTTATTGTTTTTTTCGCCTGTATCGTCGGGCTGAACTGCCTGCTGTTCGTCTTTATTACTCTGTTTCAATGCAGGTACGTCGCCAACTATCCCGGGCCCAGTCTCGTGAGGAAGCGGCTTGAGCTACGCTGACAAGAAGCCCAGCCCAATCTCGGACTACTGGAAGGTTTCTCTCACTCCCCAGAAGTGTCTCAACCAAGCATCGCACCTCCTGGCGGCGAGCATAATTAATACGATAACCGACTTCATGACCGTGTTCCTCCCGATCAAGACAGTTCTCGGCCTCCATCTGCCGAAGAGGCAGCGCCTGATAATATGCCTCCTCTTTTCCGGCGGCATCGTAGCTAGCATAGCCGGAGCTGTTAGGACCTACTTCTCGTGGCTATGTGCATCCACTCCTGATCACGACACTACCTGGATGGCCTACTATGTGACGCTTACAAGCTCCGTCGAACTATTCCTTGGCATCGTGAGTTTAACTTCGCCCCATATCCTCCAGCCCTCGGGGCCCAGATTTTCCAGCGACCATCTGACCCTTCTAGATATGCGCCTCCCTCCCCGCGACAAAGCCTTTCTTCAGCCGTTACGGCCCTCGTCTGATCGGACTGTCGACGGGGTCACAGGCGGCCGAGCCCCTGGCCGCCGAGGCAGGCAAAAGCTCGAGTGACACCGACTTCACGGTCACCGTTCGCCACCACGACGCCGCTTGGTTGCTGCCGGAGAAGTCGGCTCAAAGCCCCAACCCCGTGAGCCCGATGTCGGCTCCTGACTTGAACAAGCCGTTGCCACAAATCAGGACGGGGGCTCCGAGACCGTTCTCCTGGGAGGTCTAGACCGTGCCGAATGCGCCAGGTGGCTGGCGTGCGCGGAGAATTGTGGTAATTGTTGGATAGGGCATTTGACCGCAAGTACGGTTATCAAGTTAGGAGGAATAGGTAGGCGCATCATGGTGGATACACAATCCTTTTCTGGACGGGTCGGTAAAGGGTGTTTGGCGTTGTTGAAATTCAGAGATACTGCTTTTTATGTCACTGGGATACCCCTTTAGATGACGCTCCTTTTAGAGCGGCGAACGTCTAGACCACGCGTTATTTCGCCCTTGTCTTTCTCTATACTCTTCTTCAGTTTGCTATCACCAGCGCGTACCAGTCGTTTTCGAGGTAGCGTAACTTCCGAGGTTAGACAATAACGCCTATCTTCCAAATAGAATATATAACGGAGCTCAGAGCACCGACGGACGTTTTCAACAGTATCCTGGCTCATCAAGAGGCCGCATGTCCCTTGTCAACGTCTCAATATGCGCGCCCTTTGACAGCGCAAACGGCTCTACAGACGCCCATGCCGACGGCCCTTGAATACGATGATGGTGGAAAAGCATAGTGTGTCATTGGTGAACATGATAATGATCCCTACAAGTAAGGACTCACTACGATAGTAACCACACATATATCAAAACAGCAAAGGCTACTGGACATGCAAAGGCGTCCTTGGCCGCTTAAAAAAACTGAAAGTTTCAGACCGTCTATGGTATGGCATGTGGGTGCTCTTGCCAGCCGCAAGGGAGCATCGTGAGAGCTTCCTTGGACATAGAATAGTGGCAACGAAGACCAGAGTTACTCTGGCACGCAAATATGACCGAAAACAAGTTGGCGAATTGGAATTCGGTTGATTAATCGTGCGTTTTATTAAGTGTAAAGAGAAGAGAAGAAACTGGAAGAGAAAAAAGCTCGGGAGGCTTTTAACCTCGTTCTGTCGAAGGTCACGTGCAATCTGGCACGGACCACACCTGGGCTTGATAACCTGCCGAAATTTCTTCTCATCCAACCTCTCCAAAACTTCTCCTGCTCAGCTTCAAAGTATCATCCTCCAGTGCCCAACAATATGGGAGCACTCAAGAAAAGTCAAGTTTGGTCCAATTCGGCATAATCCTCCTTCTCCTCTGATCCCCGGGCACATCACGGAGGAGTTCTCGATCTCTCTCGCCTTTATTCGTTGTCCTCGAGTCGCATCCCTCTGTCTTCTACGCTCGGAGACGAAGGGTCACGAAGGGTCTTTTTCCTTTTCTCCTTCTCTTTTTTCTTGTTATGAAACCCACAATTTGCCTACCCCTGTGCTCTCCTCATGCGCTCTGGGTCAACTTACTTAAATTCGTTCGTGGAAGAAGAAACCCAAGGCCTAGACAGCCGGTCCCATCCACCCCGCTGGCGCTGAAATCCTGTGCACCAGCGGGACTAAAACAGGACAGACATCTTGATACCGTACCAACGTGACATTTTGCGATGTGTGCCGAGGGTCGTTGACTCCCATCCGAGTAGATAACATGTAGCCCTGCGAGGCAGGTGAAGCTCATAATTATCTCTATCTCTATGTTGACCAATATACAAGTCTCTCTCATATGCTCGTGTCCATCCAGGGTATATTCGAATCCATGTCCTTTGTCTGGCCTCAGATCCAGAACTCCCACATCCGTCTTGCCCATCCGTAAGCCGGCCAACGCTGTTCCGATCAATACGGCCCAAATATATACTTCTCATTCGTGAAGGAAAGTAAGAACTTGGCGACCAGACGGCCGGTGTAATTATACGTAGTGTCGCGCGGATACGGGTGGTCCTCCTGGTTAGGCAGGATGGGATCCGCACACAAGTAGTCGAGTTCCGACCCTGTGACAATAATCTGATTAGCGTTCCAGCCCTCCCCGAATCAATCCGGTGGATGGGAAGAGGTGCGTGCACTTACAATGCGAAGGGTCGAGAATGAACTGCCGCAGCATCAGCACCATCTCCATGGAGGCGGCGTCCAGCTCGGCCTGCTCGGTCGAGCCGTCGTCCAGGAGCGGGTTGAAGCTCTTCGCGGCGGCGTCCTTGCTGTGCGTCTGGTAGACCTGGTGGAACTGGTACGCGAACTGCTTGAAGGGCAGGTTCTCGACCTCCCTGTTGACGTCGAGCGCGAACGACCGCTTCCACTTGGGCGGGTTGTGGTTGCGCAGGTCGAGCTCGTTCTGCGACACGACGAAGGTGTCGGCCGCCGACTCGACCGCCTCCATAAACAGGCACAGAACGAGGAACGCGGCCATGCAAGGCGCCCATTCCTTGCGGGACTTGGGCTTGAGCGACTTTGAGAAGTTCTCGAAGAGGATCTGCATCTCGCGCATGAGCATCTCGTCGATGACCGACTTGATCTGGCGGTTGAGCACCCGCAGCGTCACCCAGGGCACGTTCTGCGGGACAAGCTTGGTTGACTGGAGACTTGCGACGGACTGCTGCGTGAGGCAGAGGTGGCGCGTCATGACGTAGTGCATTGTGTAGATGGAGAGGGCTTTCTTGACTATGGGGGAGTCGCAGCGCGCAGAGTATCGCTGCACGATCCGCAGTATCCTCCTCGGCAGGTCCGTGTGCCGAAGGGAATCCGTCACCTGTTCCGCATAGGCCGGTTCCCGGATGAGGCACTGGATATACTCCTTGGCCTTCTTCCGCAGCTCATCTCTCTGGGCATTGCCCTCCATCTCCAGGCCGATGGGCGCCGCTCCTCGCGACTGCAGATCGACGCCGTTCCGGCTAACGTGCGAATGCCAGTGCTGCAGCACGTCGGGTGCCTTGGCTGTGAAGAACTTCGCCTTGAGCTGCAACGTGGTGGTAAATTGAACGCCCGAAAACAGCTCCACCACGCACGGCTTCTCCGCGCCGTCAACGGTGAAGGAGTCGATGTTCTCGGTGATGAACCTCGCCATCTCCTCCTTCTTGAAATGACCCCTGATGAAGGTTGGGAACAGCACCGGCAGGAAGTCTTGGAATTGCCAGCAGATGACCTGTGGCACCTGCTGCATCAGCTTCTGGCAGTTCCGGCACGGCCGCTCCTTGTCGCACCGGACCTTGCGCGCGTGGCAGGAGAAGCATGCGCCCACCCTCCGCACCTGCAGGGCGTTCTCCTTAGTGTCGTTGGCCAGCGGGCCCTTGCGACCCTTCTGCGACGGCCGCACCGCTTCGAAACACTCGAACGGGTTCGGCTTGCCGTTATGGGCGTTCACTGAGTCCGGCGTCACAATCAGGAATTGGCTCATGCCAGTGCTGCTGCCACCGCGGTTGGTCGGAGACTCCGTGGCGATCGATTTCTTCTTCCCGACGCGTGCTCCACCGCGCACCCTGCGGATCGTGATAGGGGCTGTTGACGATGTCCCGGTCGACTTCATTCCGTTACCGGCCACCCCAGACTCTAGCTTCGTGTGAATAGGCGACCGTGGGCTCACACTCGCCGGCGAGCTAGCAGATGGCGACCGATGGTGTGGTGGAGACGGCGAAATGAAGCCAGGGTCTTCCATCGTGAAAATGGGAGAATCGCCGGTTGGCATTTTGAGATGCGTAGGATCCCATGGTGGGACATTAGGGCTGGACTGAAGAGGGTGAGGAGGTACCTGCGCACCGCCGGTCTGGAAAGGTTGCTCGATGGGGTCGAGAGGACCGAACGAGTCGATAAAAGCTGATAAGTCTTAAGGGGGGAGATATTAGTCCTCTTGAGGTGGCAGTGGTAGAGAGGAATACGTGTGCCTCACCAATGCTGCTCTCGAATGCGTGGTCGGTGAAAAATGTCTCGCCGGGCGCAAGGAACTGCTGTCCATCATGGCCAAAATTATGGCTCATGAACTGCCCATCAACTGGGGCGGGTATAACGCCAAAGGCTGAGCCAGTTGTCTCCCCATATATTGAAGCTGGATGTGAGGTGGGCTGGTCGAAATCCAGGTTCAGGGGTGAAAGAGCCCCTGGCGGTGAAGGCTGAATCTGGCGTGCATGGCCCCCTACCATTGCCCACGAGCTCAGACTTCCGCTCGCCGGACTGAAGGAGAAGCCGGTGGCACTCGAGGCTGAGCTACCTGGCACGCCATTTATCATGTACCAGAGGTTCTCGTCCGGATCGTTGGGCGACTCAGCCTGGTGCGACTCGTAACCGGACCGCGGGGATGTCCCCACGGATGCGACTGAGGCCATCGCTGCGGGGGAAATCAATCGCGTTCCGCCCGGCTGGCAGAGTCCGTTCAAGACAGCCCGCTAGATCTTCCTCTCAATCCTAGCCCGGTGGGTAAATCGGCGTAGCAGGTCTAGGGATGGGCTGCTTCCCGCTGTTCGCTTCGAGACAAATTCGTTCGAGATTGGCTCGAAGACGTCGCGTGGGGCTGTCGGAAAGCGAGAAACGATCGATTCAGCTCATCTTCTTAGGACGACAGGCGACAGCAAAGCAGGGTACTTCACGGTTGAAAGGCGTCAATGTCGAGGATATCAGTTCGGTTGGAACTTTACAACAGGAGTGGAAGGAGATGTGAACTACGGGAGCGGGGGTGACGTGCTATTAACTGACCGAAGTCGCCCAATAACTTGAGGCTCAGCCTCGACTAAGCTGTATGGGGCGACCGACAAGATCTGGGGATTGGGAGACGTTTGCGATGGCGCTAGTACAAATTCGGACACCGACTGCTCCCCGACTTTTCCAGACCGAAGCTGTTGGCCAACAACGCGGGACCGAGCCACAAAACGGCTAACTTATACGGATATTAACAGACGATAATATCACAAGTGCCAATGAAAGTGCAGACGTGAAAACGGAGGGCAACTTATACAAGGCACAAACAACCGGGCAGGCTTGAACACAGCAACCTCAGAATAATGACATCCCAAGACATTCCAATACTACAGGAAAACACACAAAAATCGCCTATCCAGCATCGGGGTCCCTCCAAATAGCTCCCATCGAGAATGGCACACTCTATAAGTGTCGAATACAGACAATCAATCATGAAACAAAATATCCGCCCATGTTAAACAACTCCGAGGAGACCTGTAAGAAAAGAATTAAGGTCCTCATTTCCAATACACACCATCCCACAACCCCTTCTCATTCGCACACATCAAGACTCGTACAAACCCCATCGCTTCTCCTGAACCGTATGATTCAGATGTCCTTCTCCCTCAGAACAGCCTCAAATGAGGGCCTCTTCTCTCAACCGATAAGAGTCAACCTCCAATAAGGAAAAAGAGGTAAGAAGAACCGCAAACAAAGGTTGGAAAGCTGGTCTACGGCAAGTAGACTCCCCAAAGGTATAAAAGCGGACTCAACTTCATCGGAACCGGGCCGCGGCTGCGGCCGACCGTTCTCGAATCTGCCTTTCCGTCGAAACGTATAGCCGGTCCAAATAGTCCATGGCATGGGCGTCCTTGAGGATCTTGGCGACCTGGATGCCGGCCGAGATGAGCTGCAGGACGTTCCGGTCGTCCTTGAGCGGACGCGACTGGTGCTTTGCGGCGTGCCGCATCTCCAGCGAGTTCTCGAGGATCGTGATGAACTGCCTGATCTGCTGATTGTACAACACCCGCGCGGGGATGCGCCTCTTGGTCGCCAGGCGCTTGAGCAAGTACACCCACTCTGTCCACTCTCGATCCTGGGGCCTCTCGACGGGCCGCATGTCCTGGGTGAGCGGGATGGGGAACTGATATCTGGCCACAAAGTCATAGGCACACTGAGACAAACGGTCGTTGACTTCTGTCAGGACACTATCCTGCTCTTGCACTAAGAGATTTGTTGGGAGATGGGGTAGCTCCCGGTCCTGCATGGCGATGTAGTCCGGAGGCGGTCGTTGGAGAAGCTGATGTGGCCCATCAAACTCGTCCCTGTGGGAAGGCCGCCGCTGTGGCTTGCCTTTGCCATGTACCTTACCCTTTCCGGGCGGAGTGGTGCCAGCAACATTGTCCAACGAGTAATCCGACAGTCTCGGTGACAGCACGATGTCATCCATCGAGTCCGATGGCGAGATTATCTCTTGTCGCTCCCAGCTTTGCGGGCTTCGTCTCTGTGGCGAGCCATATGTTGGGGCAGTGTTGACATATGCTCCGGGCGCAGGTCGCGGGCTATACGCTGGAGTGGAGGTATAGGGGGTGTCGTAGCGCCCTGTCTGGCTCTGGCTGGTGGCCGGGAGGGGAGTGGCCGAGAGGTTATAAGACGAAGCGGTCCCATTGGAGTAGGTTACACTTTGACAGCCGTCAGGTTATTCCAGGTACTCTCAACAACGGTCTCTTGGTGACGCCTTACCTCGGCGACCGATAGTTGCGGCTGCCATTGTCGCTCGTACCGACCTGGTGCCCACTTGTATGGGGTTAGCTGTCTGCATATTGGAACGACAGACGATTTGGTTGCTCCGCACCTGCGTGGCAAATTCCAGGGTTCACTCGTTGGCACGGCTGCAGTGCTATAGAAATAACCCGGTTGGGTCATCTTGTCCTCGGGTGAGAACATAATGCAGGTCCGGATGACTCGAGGTGGCCTGGAAAAAGAAGATTTGCACGAAAAAGAAATAGACTGAAAGTCAACCAACCCGTCCAAATGGCGGTCCGTTTGTTATGTATCCTGTCCGGATGAGAAACCTTCCGGGCGAGAATGTGAGATACACGGCAAAAGGAAAACGTCCAAAGATCGGAAATCCGGGCGGCCAGGAGTGTCCGGTCTGGGTAAGATACGTCTTGCAAGGAATTCCGACGGTGAGGGCAGACCGAGGCAGGTGATCGAACATATGACAGGACTTGATAAGCTGGCCTGAACTGGGAAAAGCTCCTGTCATGCACCGGACAGCGGGTTGTGGAGGAGCTGGAATGATAGAGCGGTGTCTTGCTGCTGCAGAGAACCAGACCGTGACTGCTGTTGATGAAAGCTCACGAGGGAATGCGAGGGGACGGGAAGTTGGACTCGCAATGGAGGCATATATGTGTTTCTCGCGGCAGCGGGTGGCGAGGATGATGCCCCTCAAAGAGTAACAAGCCGGTTCAGCGAACAGGAAAGGCAGGGCGGATAGCAAGTGCTGGGCGTCAGACTCTCCACGCGTCTGCCACTGCAGGCTGCATTTCCCCCGAGTGCTGTCGAGCTAGGAACCGATTGAGTCTCAGCGTGTCTCGCATACGAGCTTTGTTCCGTGACCTGCGGGATCTTGTCCGAGATGGGATCTGCCAACCAACTCGGACATTGGTCTGTCGGGCTTGTGGCGCAGAAAATCACCGACGAAACGGGCCAAGGGCGACTAACAGGGCAAGCTTCATGGGGAGGCTGGCGATCGTACTATGCTAACAACTGCCTCCCCCCTGACTGAGAGGTAAGGCACCATTGGGCATAGGTTGTAGATAGATGACGCAGAGGGAGAGAGGCCTGAGAGTTATTGCCATACTCGGTAGACAAACTGGGCAGGGAACTCCCTGGCACATTACGGGGCGGGTGACACTTGTTTGGAAGATTGGAAGCGCGTTGGGCACCGAACCATATATGAGGGATGAGCCCAATTATGCCCAATTGCCGGACCACAGCCAGTCGAATCGTCGGCTCAGGGCGATCCGGGGCTACCAGCGCTAGCCGGGCGACACTTGACATCGGTCACGTTTGCGGGAACGCGGAATCACCATGACAATCCTGCTTTACCTTCCCAAATGCAGGGTTCAATGAATACCATCAGCGTCGTATTCCACGTTGTTCGGGCACTGACGCCCAGCTGTGGTGCAAGCTTTGCTTGCCTATTGGCCATGACCAGGACGATCTCCACGTGGTATATCACATAATCTCACGTGACCAATATGGAACCCCCTATCCCCAAGGTGCCAAGGATTGGGATTCGCCTGTTCACCTCCAACAGCTGCCTGTATCCTAACCACGAGGTTCCAGTTGCCGTCAATAGAGATATCCCAACAGCAATGCCTAATGTGAAGAGCCCAACAACGTACCTACTGGACATCTCTGCCTGTAGCAACTGGGATCACAACCGACACATATATGATATACCTATATTGTTAAGTCCCGAAACACTATCTATCCGCAGATGGTTGCTTGGCTTGCGATGGCTCAGGGGGCATTTTAAGACTTGAAAATCACAAATATTATTCACTGGACCTGCATTACCTAGAAAGACATGGAATGACAATAGGCAGATCTTGGGACAAATTTGGTCCTCAGTGTCGGCGATTTCAACGCACTTCCCCACGCGCTTCCCCCCCACCTCTTTCGCTTTCCTCTTATACAGGCTTCATTTCCTTCTCCTCCAAAGTCTCCTCGTTATGCAGCGTCGCAGCCACGTTCTCGGTCATGAGGCTCTCGGTATTGGGCGCATACCAGCTCATGGCGAGGGCGACCCCGCTGAAGGCGATGGTGCTCAGGTAGACGGTGCGGTAGGCGTCCGCGTTCGCGACCTTGTAGGCGTGCAGGCCGACGGCGACGATGGCGTCTGAGATGCCCGGGACGGCGGCGAAGGCGTCGGCGGTGCCGGCGGAGATGGCGGCGATGAAGTCGGCGACGCTGGAGGCCGGCAGTCCGGCGCCGACCAGGGCGGCCGGCACGTCGGTGCTGATGGTGGTGGTGAGACGGTTCGTCAGGATGGACGAGTAGATGGCGACCAGGACGGCGCAGATGGCGGCGCGGATGGAGCCGGCCATGCCGCCGGCGATACCGATATCGCGCTGGTCGTGCACGCAGATGGTCGAGTTGGACAGGCAGACGGACTCGTTCCATCCGATCCAGAAGCAGCCGAGAAAGATGAGCGCGATTGCCGTGTTCTTGTTGTCCGGCGTGGCAACTGCGGCGCAGGCGAGGAAGATGGCCCCGACGGCAAAGGCGCCCATCACCTGGTATCGCGTCTTGCCGATCTTCTTCGCGAGGGCGCCGCCGGTGATCTGGCCGCCGATCATGCCCAGGCCGATGATGTTGGAGACCGCGCCGATGTAGTCGAGGCTCTTGCCGTCGCCGTATAGCACGGTGACCTGCATGGGCCCTATGTACGTTCAAGTTAGCATGGTCACGGTGGACATTCGATGGCAACATGACCCGATATGCATAGCCAGAGGGGAACATAGAGGGGACCTGGCACTTACAGATGATGGCAAATGCGTAATAGACACCGGCGCCGAGGCCGAGAAGTATCACAGCAGCCACCCACTCCACGTTTTTGAACAGATGCATCGGTACTAGCGGCTCCTTGATCGGAGCATAGATCTCCCAGAGGACAAAGGCAATAAGGGTGATGGTGCCGAGCACAATTGAGGCAATGGTCGCGGCCGACTTCCAGGGATACACGTTGCCACCCCAGGAGAGGCCAAGCAAGAAGACGACGAAGCCGACGGCGAACAGCGACGTGCCTACATAATCAAAGTTGCGCACCCAGTAGGCCACGCTCGCCTGCTCCTCGCCACGGTGCTTCTTGTTGAAGGATGGCGGGAAGTAGAAGAGCACCCAGCAAGCAAGGGCGGTGCCGTTGGCACCGAGCAGGAGCCAATAGATGCCGCGCCAGCCGACAGAGGGGTAGCGCTGGATGAAGGCGTAGGCGATGGACGGGCCCATTCCGGAGCCGGGGATGCTGAAGATGTACAGGAAGGCATTACCCATATAGCGGTACTTGACAGGGACAAGCTCGCTTGCAGATGGTCAGCCTGCGTCATCGGGAAAGGGGTGGAGGGGGAGAGGCATGGTCATACCCCATGACAAAGTGGAAGGAGAGCTGCGTGGCGCTAGCTACACCGAGCAGCACGTTGCCGCCGATGAGCACAGGGATGGATTTCGCAGTGGCACATATGATACTGCCAGCGACAGCGAGGATGCCGCCGCCGATGAACCAGTAGCGGCGGCCGAAAATGTCCGACAGACGGCCGACCGGGGCCAGGCAGACGGCCAGCGCGGCGTTGTATACGAGCGAGATCCAGGTGTAGCGCGGGTCGGGCCCGATGTCTTCGTTGATATGCCCCAAGATTGGCGCCGCGTAACCCTGTGTAATTCAGTAAGCCTCATATTCCGGTCCCCATGTATCGTCATCCTGAGAACGTACGAAAGCCGAGACACCGGCCCAGAGACCGATGCCAGTCGCGAGCATGGAGCCGATAAAGAAGCGGCTCGTGTAATAGCCCTTGGGTAGCGAGTCAAGGTCGATCTCGAAGCCGATAGCCTCCTCGTCCGAGGAGTCAAGGGCGTGTGACTTCATCGGGCGCTCGACCGAGCTGGACGCCCTCTCGACGCCTTCGGTCGGCAGTGTGGTCTCATTGGGGGTCTCCATGGTGGGCGTGATGATGGAGTCCGGAACAGTCTTGCTTGGCCAACTTTGGGAAGCACGAGCAAGGGCGCTCGGGAGTTGAGACAGCTACGACGATATCTTATACTGCCCGTGAACAAGATGTGGCCAAGCCCACCACAACATGCCATCGGGAAATGAATACCATCCAGGCACACCCTCTCCTGCAGGGGCAATCCAGCCAGGCGGGACAGGCCTGCAGACGTGCTTGACGACACCCGCTCCATCGGATCCCGCATATCCAGCGGCCATGGCGAGGAAGTGTCTGGGGTGATGTCTGCCAACTGCCCCAGACTTGGCCCCCAACAACGAATTGGAAAGGGGGACTCGAAGTTCGGGGCGCTACCGTGACTAGACCAGACCTGTCATTCTGTTCCCCGCGAATTGCCTCCATCAATGCGACGCGATTAGTGTCGATCCTTGGATGTCAGTCCGGATAATGGCTCCCGAGGTATGAACTCGTGCCTGGTTCCCTTACCCAGCGGAAATTTGGATCCGAGATTTCTCTCCTCCGTAGTCCTCGCTAAGCAATCTAATCAGATGCCACGCGCGCATTGAGCCTCACCCACATGAACTATGAAGTGACTCTGGTGGTACAAATTAGAGTTTGATTAGACCCATCCATCACTTTGGGACCATTAGGGGCAAACAAGACTCGGCCCCAGATATCATACTTCTCCACGCGTGCAACAGACAGAACATATCGAGCAGCAGGCCAAGCACAACCGCCACCCTGCTGCAGAATCACACGGTTGCTCGCGATGCCCTCACTCATCAATAATGCCAGACCCGACATAGTGCTGTGCTGCGTGATGGCCGCAGCGACGAGTTCCAGTTCTAGCAGCATGGGCGCCTCTCACCCCGTCTCGGAGATGCGTTGGTGTAGATGGGTTCCAGCTGCTGATCGATGAAGGATGGGTCAACTCATCGCGCTCACCTTTGCCGGCGATCACGAACGACGGCCGCGTGGCTGTCCTCAAAACCCTTCATACACCCGCTAACGAGGCCACGAAGATGCAAATAGGTGCACATCCGGCCTGCTGAGTAGACCAGCGATCTTGGGACTTCAACCCAAATCAGTGGATGATAGTGTTGTGGAGGGCCAGGTATACGCTGCTCCTTCCAGAAAAATGCCATCTAAACACTTCTAAATGTGCCACCCACCAACCCGGCAGTTGGACCGTGCACCGCACCTTGAAAATAAGCCTGCCCCTTTTCTGGACAACTCCATCCATCTACCTACATATTTTCACCAACCAGCGTCAATTCCAAGATCCTGCTCGAGACACTGGCCGTTCTAACCGCCACCTCGCTTGAAACTGGATCAATTCGGCTAGTTTCTTTGGTTAAGAAGCTTCTGATGAATATGCTGAGGTAGTTTAGGTGAGGATTCGCGGCTGGACCCAGTCTGAACCTGAGCCATAGGCTACAAACTTTCTTCTTAATCCTCCTTGAGGCTTTAGCTTCTTGGCAAGGCCAGTGGTGCTTGGGTATCGCATCTCCAGAGATGAGACATTGACCGCCTCGAGGCAAGCAAATGCATGCCCCACCACCTCAGCATCTTCCAGTCTCCCGGCTCATTCCCACGTCCCGCGCGTTCCGCCTTGGGCTCTTGTCCAGCTCATCCGCCACCACCATCTCAGTCTTGGCGGTGATGGTATCATCCCCAGGCCCATCCATGGCATTGCGCTCGCTTTCCTAGGGATATCACGTGGGGAGTCATACGACACAACCTCTCAAAGGTGATAGTGGCACCGCATAATCACGAATGAGGGCGTCGTACAGCCCCTCAACCTGTTACACCTGCAGGCGTCCTTGCCCTAAGGCTGCGCGAAGCTGCCCTAGTAATTGCGGTGCAACCCCTCACACGTTTGGGACTGGTTGAGAGACACCGGATAGCAGCTGAGGCGGGAGACACGTCGGCCAGAACAGCAAATCAAGCCATCCCAAGATGGGAGGCGAGGCAATTCGCCCGACAGAAGAGCGAAGCCCTACTGACTATCTCGCAGAACAAGGTGAGGGAGACACTGTATCTCTATGGTTATGCTCAGTGGATACGACATCTGAGAGACCACGGAGACATTCGCATTCTTTGATCTGGGGCTTTCAAGCCCGTGTGGTCTGACAACAAGCCGGTGCCCAAGTCTCAAACGAACAACAACCGCCAGGCTCCAGCACCTCCGCTTCCAACTCGCATCGCATGAACCAATGGGGGGACATCCGCGTCGGCAGGACACGACGCGGCCATCCTGGCCGGCCGGGAATCCTGCGAATGGCGGGTGCGCGAGCTCGGCTTTACTATAGGAGCATTACCCTGGGACCCTTGTCGATTCTAGCGGTGAGGGGCCAGCCGTTGCGGAACGGGCCTATGACAGATGCAGCAACAAGTGATTAGCTGCCAGCTCAGCAAGCTCGGAAACATGACCAATGTGACGACCGCTTCCAAGGCGTGAAAGTGCAGAAATGCTGCACGACAGACCAAGGAAATCAGCATTGCAGGCGTTTGATGCCAGCAAATTAAACCGCGGGTCTCATTCGAGAAGCGGGGTATCATGCGTGATGTGCTGTCCCAGCTGTTCCTTTCGTGGCCCGTTCGTGGTCAAGGGCAGTCCCTGCCCTCATCTGCGATAATTTAAAAGCCCGACGACTCCTCTCCCTGCCCAACCTGTTCTGTTCCTCCGATTTTTTTTTTTTCTCTCCAACCCAATCTTCTGAAGCATCTCTGCCCAACCCAGCCGAAGCAGTAATCATCGCCCCGCCCCGCCTTCTAGCATCAGCCTCCTCGCTTGCGGATTTGAGCCCAACAACCCCTCTTCCTTGTCTCTTTCCCCACCAGCTCCTCCTACATATTTACCGGCGCCATACCCACCTTTGCGTTCTTCATCAGGTCGTGTTGATCGTCCAGGACACACATTTTTCGCCCCGAGTATCATCTTGCTGCCGCGCTGCGTCACGCCTGCAACGACACTTCCAGTCTAGGAAATCTGCCACTTGGACCTGACCACTTGAGATTAGCATCTCATCAGTGTTGATTCTCCACGGACCGACCTTGACTTGCTCCCACAAATTCCCAGGATGGCCGTTCTCTCCAGGACCGAGACTATGACCAGCTTTAACCACGTTGAGCTGGATGAGGCTCACACACCTTCTAGGTACTTGTGATTTCATATGTTTCCCTGGGAGGTCAAATGTGCTTTCGCCTACTTTTCCGCATGTTGAGACTGTCATGTTGCTTTTCCTTGTGTGTCAGCCAGCGCTTGTGCCATCTCAGTGAGGTGTGGAACTACAACACTTTTTTTTTCTTCCGTGGACAAACATTTCCGAAGGACATTACAATCCGGAACTGCCGGATCTCATCCAAGGATACCCCCACAGGAAATCGGGACGCCGGCTCTCGAGAGTTCACTGCTCGAGTGAGTCGGCGGACCGTACGTCTAACCAGACACGGAACTGAAATTTATATATCTTGCGCTCAAATATGAGCCACAGGGTTAAGTATCGCCCGAACAACACAAACAGAAACGAAGCCACAGGAATTTCCATTTTGAGGAGCTGTCCTGGATTTCCGGAATCAGCGGACATTTTTTCTTTTCTCTTTGCTCTGCCGGACCTCAGAGCTCCCTTCAGGACTCCGCTTCATACACGGATTGCTTGTTTCCATCTGGACCATGTGGTTGCCCGTTGGATGCTTTCCCAAGGATCAGGATCTTCGTCGCTTTCCGCCCGGGACGGGCCTTGCCGCTCCCTACCACCCCTCAATTTGTCATTGTGGGGTCTGGCGGGGTAGTTGGAGGCTCGTAGCTGCAATCCAATTCAGATTGCCTTTCTCATGCTGCCGCACATCTGGATGGTTCACAACTCCGAGACCAAGGGATGACTTTCCGTCTTGAGGACTTTTCCCTTTCTTTACCGTCTTGGGAGGAACCCTTTTTTTCACCGGATTGAAGACCGGATATGGCCGCTCTGCAACATCACGATCTTGGCCGACAGGCTTGTTCCGGCGTTGGATGGAACCAGTTACATATGCTCGACATTCTCTCTCGCCATTGACATTCGTTCTGCTGCCCACTATCCCATGGCGCCTTATCCAGTTGGGCACTCACCGACAAAAATCCCCATTCGTGAAAAGCTTCTGGCTGTGGACCAGGCAAGGGCTCCTTCCTTCACACCTTCTCGACCCCAGCATCAGGATTATGGACACGCGAACCAGACACTCTTTGACATTTTTGATCGCCGCCGGATATGGACCGCTTGCCGCTTGTTTCCCGGATTACAAGACCTATCTTGCCAGGGCCCTCCTACCTTTTGGTTACTCAGTTTTGGTCTGTAAAAGCCCTGTCCGTATCTGTAGTAGACGCCAAGACTAACCCTATGCAACAGGTTCAAAGTTGTGCCATTCTGGATCCGTCGTGGAACGCTGCCCATCGCCTGTTGATGCTCTTTTTTGTTCTTTTTTTACAAGTTCTCGTTTTAAAATCGCCGGCTCATGGGAAAGGATATGACACTAACCAGGACTTCAGCGATTACAGCTTTGCTCAAGCCAACATGCTGTCCAATCCGGGCATGTTTTCTTCATATTGTCAAACAGAACCAGGCGCTGCCTGGGATACGACAGTTGAAGGCACACAGAACTTCACTGAGTTTTCAGACCATGGAGATATCTACATTCCGGACCCTGATGATTATGTTCCCTTTGGCCACAACACTCCGAGGCTGGACCAGACAAATGCCGCGGATGAATTGCACAGCAAGTGGACAGCAGCTGCAGCCGCAGCGGAACTCAAGGCCGCCAAGGCGGAGCCCATGCGCCGGATGACCTCCCGGAGCTCTGTCGGCAGCCACAAGCACAGGACTCTCAAGGCGTCGTCGTCAAAGAAGAGCCGCCCAAGAGTGACTTCCACTCTGCCTGCGGCGCCTTCGCATTATGCAAGCCTTGATGTCACAGGTAATGCCACCCTCTTCGCGGATGCTGCCCTTGGCAATGGGCACATGATGGACCCGCAGCAATACCTTGCTCAGGATCTGGATACCCTCTCTGTGTCTTCTCACATGTCCGCCCAGGCTTTCAGCGCCGGGATCATGGGGCTGCCTTCCGATGGCCTCCCCTACTCTGCTGATATGGGCTTCGCTGTTGCCCAGCACGTGAACCCTTCTGCCACCCAGATCTTTGATCCCCACATGGCCGGTAACTCTCCGCGTTCGTGGGCTTCCCTGAGCTCCGGATCACGCATTTCTTCTCCTGGACTTCCCGATGATGCCTGGTCTGCGGGGGGTCACCATGTGTCCTCCCCCACCGACACGCATAGTTCCTCGCCTGACTTCCCTGATCAGTCACCAAGGTGTGTTCCGTTCCTCTTCCGTGCATGCCTGCATTCGCCTCTTACTCACATGCCTTTCTTCATCAGGGTGAGCCGGAAATCGGATGCCTCCCATGCCTCCGCCTCGCAGGATCTCCATGGAAATGTCATGACTGCCATTTGCGACGATTCCTTCTCTCTCCCACCTCCGTTCAACGCTCGCCGTCTCAGCGGCGAAGGTGAGTCTGCAAGGGACCACTATCTCTACAAGAGCGCGGTGCCGCACACGGATGGCCTGTTCCATTGCCCATGGGAGGGCACCACAAACTGCAACCACAAGCCCGAGAAACTCAAGTGCAACTACGAGTAAGGCCGCCTCCCTCAGCACAAATCCTCTCGCCCACTTCCGTGCCTGCCACTAACCGCACGCCTAACGTCAGTAAATTTGTGGATTCCCATCTGAAGCCATACCGCTGCAAGGCCGAGTCGTGTGAAAATGCCCGGTTCTCTTCCACTGCGTGTCTCCTCCGCCATGAGCGTGAGGCCCACGCTATGCACGGCCACGGGGACAAGCCCTATCTGTGCACCTACGACGGGTGCGAGCGCGCCATCCCCGGATGCGGGTTCCCCCGCCAGTGGAACCTCAGGGACCACATGAGGCGCGTCCACAACGACAGCTGCACGGCAACAGCCCAGCAGCAGCCCGCTGCCACCACTCCGCCCCCGCCTTCCGGAAACAGCTCTAAGGGTCGCAAGAGGAAGAAGGACAGCGCAGACGGCTCGTCCAGCCGCAAGGCCTCCGCCAAGGCCAGCCAGAGTGCGGAGCCGGCTGTTCCCAAGGTTGCCGAAGGGCCATCCAACCCGGAGATCAACCAGTGGCACAACTATCGAAAGACGCTCCAGTCGCTCGTCCAGGGATTCACCCAACCCGAGGATCCCAATGTCCTGCAGCAGATCAAGGACGCCCAGGGGCACCTGACCGCCATGGGCAGGATCTCCCGCGAGGCCATTTCGACCAACAAGGCAGACCTCCTCCAGGGAAACTACCGCCAGTCTTGGCACCAATCGGGATGAATTTGATTTTCTGCGACGGAACGTCGTGCCCGGCCATTCGGGCGCTGACTAGGGTTAGTCGGTCGGGGTGGGGGGGCGCGCTCTTCCACAGCCAGGAAAAACCCGACCGATCCCCGTCTGGAACTGTGTGTGCTTTTTAAGCTGCAAGTGCAAGCGCAAACAACTACTTTGCCAGTTTGAGTGTCCTCCGGGACAAAAACTGGACTCCCGTCGACGGGGGGAGAGGGGGTTTCGAACCTCCGTCCCAGGGCCGCGCCGCGCCGCGCCCAACTGGCGCCCCGGCGCGGACCCTCCATCTCCCCACCGCACGGGGGGTTTTGGCCTCGCCGATTGAAGGAGCGAGATGTTTGTCTTTTTTCCTCCCCGGCGACCCTGCTCCACGGGGTCCCGGGATGGAGCCACGGAATGCATCTGACGGCCCGAGGATGTATGAGGACCGGTCTCCGACCGGGGATGCATTACTTGTGTGATGAGGGATGTGACTGGAGAAATGACCATGGGATGACTTGATGACCAGGCATGCAATTTCAAGCTGACAGACGGACGATGGATGGTGGCCAGTTGGATGTAGGGCTATTTGTCTGATGTGGACTGGACCACGGGGAGCTTTGTCCCTTGGAGGGAAGCAGGCAGCATCTAGGATGTTGGAGGTGATGACTTATGATGTTCCAATATGCGTCTACTGCGCTGCTTTATTTTCCTGGGTTTGGGGATGTTGAACCGGGAGTAGTTAGGTAGAGCATCTTTATGACAATGTTCTTCTTTTACCTTGACTTTGTCGGCCCGAGATATACTTGACTGTCTAGCGATATAGATGATGAAGCAAGTCAATGACCACTTGGGCACTCCAAACTCATCAAGACCTCAATAAGGGTGATTGGGAGAAAGTAGAAAGGCAGTTTACGCAAAACAACACGAGATTGTTGTGCGTGCAAGGATCGCGCAGGCGGAGAGTCGGCATCCTACCGGCCAACAGCGAAATTTAACCGCTTCCACCCAACCGAGTGATGTGTTACCGAGTGTTGTGATACCGAGTGTTGCGTCATCGCGTCGATGTTGTACTCGAACTTTTTTATTTTCATTTTTTTCCACTGCCCTATCTACATATCCAACAGTCGTCATTGATTGCAATGACCGAGGAAGGAAATGGCAATACCTCCCGTGTGGATCACTTAGACCTGAGCTCCCAGGCAAGAGCTATAAGCCGGGGTGTGGCAAAGTCCTGTTTGAAGGGCAAGAACTGGAAGGGAAAGATGAAACGGGCAGCTCATAATTACGGTTCAGTAGTTCAGCCCTGCTGCATCTCCCCAACTTGACTGTTTAGAACCCAACCTCATCCAGAACGTGGTTGTCCCCGCTAAGGCCCCCACACCAAATGGGCTAAAACAACAGGAGTCCGGGCTGTCACAGAAGGCACGTCAGAAGTAAGAATCTAGGCCTGGGCAGACTCCTAACCCCCTCTCTTGACATGGCCCTCGCCCGGCACAACGTGTAGACGAGAGTGTCATTCATACCTGGTAGTGACCATGCACTGTTACATCGAGCCCTTTCTTACCCATGTAAATTGATATATAATCCCACATTCCTGACCTTCGCACTTCTACTCCTCTCCACACTCTCCGTTGGCGGTTGAGTAGGTATTGCGAGAAATTAGATCCGTCGACATGAAGTCGTCAACACTGCTACCGCTGTGGGCGGTGGCGGGTGTAGCGTACAGCCCAATCGACCAGTATTTCCACAACGGAACATGTCTCTTAGAAGCCCCTTCACTACTCCTAGGCATCGACCCCATGTGTGGCCTAGACACTTCAGCCTCAACAAACCTCGCATCCTCGGCGGGCGGCCCCTGGAAGTACGCGGCGCCGTGCAACAGGAGCAAGAAGAACGGGCGGGAGTACTGTGTCTACTCCGACCCGACCTTCGCCGGGGGCCGGGGCGCCGCGTTCGTGACATGGGCCGGGAGGGCGGCCTACCTAGCGCGGAAGCCGGCGTTCACGGACGGGCGCGCTACGGAGGGGATGAACCTAGATCCCGGGCCGAAATACAAGGTGGTCCCGATGGAGGGGAAGGGCATGGGCATTGTGGCGACGCGGCTCATCAACCGCGGGGAGCTGATCATGGCCAGCACGGCGTCGCTGATGATCGACTACGGCGCCTTCGACGACCTGGACAGAAACGAGTACATGCAGCTGCAGGAGGAGGCGGCCGCGTTGCTCCCCTGGCAGCACCGGGACCAGCTGCTCAACCTCTCGACGCACGACGACGCCAGCACCCTCGCCGGCCCGGAGCTGGTCGACAAGGTGATCTCGACCAACGCGTTCGACATCTACCCGCCCGGCGACGACGACGACCCGGACCCGGACCAGAGTGCCTTCTACACCGTCTTCCCCGAGGTGGCGCGCCTCAACCACGACTGCCGGGCCAACGCGGACTACCGGTTCGACCACGCGGCGCTGGCGCAGCTCGTCCACGCCGTGCGGCCCATCCTACCGGGCGAGGAGATCACCATCTCGTACATCGACCCGCTCATCGGGCGGGCGCGGCGCGCCAAGCGCCTCCGGTCGACGTGGGGGTTCGAGTGCGGGTGCGCAGCGTGCAGGGCGTCGGGGGCGGCGGCGGCGGCGAGCGACGCGCGCGTCGCGCAGTTGGGCGAGCTGGCGCGCGAGCTGGACGACTACGGGCGCGGGTCGCGGGCTACGCCGCAGATGGCGGAGCTGTACGCCTCGCTGCTCGAGATGGAGGGCCTGTGGGGGATGGTGTATTGGGGCTACTGGTTCGCGGCCATCGAGTGGAATGGCGTCGGGGAGCCGTGGGTGGCGACGAGGTGGGCGCACATGGCAATCGAATATGGAATCTACAGCGCTGGGCCCCGGGATCGGAAGGTGGTCGATATGGTGGAGTTGGCCGAGGACCCGTGGGGCCACTGGAGCTGGATGTCGAGGACGAGGGAGAGGCAGAGGGGGAGCCGCGAGACTGACGACGAATAGGGAGTGGATCTGGCAATGGCGTTTCTGGAATGTGGGTCAGGGAGTAACTTGGAATTGAGCGCCGGTGTGAGCCTGTGATGCGTGATGAATTGTACTGTACCTATGTATGTATGTATCTCCATTGAAATAGAAAAGTTGCAGAATAGGTATCTATCTTCTGTAACTGAAATGAATCCGAAGATCGTAGGCTCCAGGAGGCCTATTCAACACCTCTCCACAGCTCTCTTCCGTTTTGGAAGTGGGGAATGAAGGAATGCATCGATTACTGGCTAGCAAGGCACCAACAGCAGCGCTGCGCCCCGCCCCTAACGTCATTACGTTGCAGGTTTGATGGATCCATCCAGATCTGGCTCCTCCCCACTGTGTGAGTCGCGCAATAAAATACCTCGAGCCTGGCTGGGCTTACTGGACTGCTTGGCGCGGGGCAGCTCAAGTCACCCATGCGGGGCAAGTAATTATCACTTTCCACCACAACCTCCATCCAGTCGAAAGGGAATATCATCGCTCCGCCTGCCATACACTATGGCCGACATATCCAAGGCCATTGTGGCGATCCAGGAGTCGAAGCCGCCGACAACGGACCGGTTCACCTACCTGACTATCCTCGAATCGCACCTCTCGCCCGAGATCCTACCTGCGTTGAACGACATCCTCCAAGATGCCCAACTCACTCAGGATATCGGCTGGGACATGGTCGACATGCTCATCGCTCTCCCCGGCTGCGAGCCCTGTCTCGAGACCATAGCGCGGCTGGGCAACCCGCGCGAGGTGATATTGAAGGTCCTCGAGGTGCTGGAATCTCTCCAGCAGGACGAGGGCTACGAGAGCGACGACGAGCGAGCCGAACCACCACCTACCCCTTCCCCCCCACCGACGCAGAAGTTCATCACCCTAGTCGGCATGCTCGCCATCCTTCACGGCCGGATCAAGACGAAGTACCCGTCTCGCTTCCTGGCTACTACCCTGCAGACCGTCTTTCACACGTACCGCCCTACCCCAGACATCACCGCCTCGGTCATCAACCTCATTCACAGCCTCTCTGGCCGCCGCCGGCCGTCTCTCCCCACGAGGAAGTCTAGCGTCAACGTTGCGAATCCCGACAAGGACGGCGATACGTCTAAGAACGCCCCCGACCCGGAGGCGGACAAGGACGAGGCGGCGGACCCGACCGAGGAAGAGCTACAGGGAAAACTGCTGCTTAGTTTCGTGACGTGCATCCTGGAATCCTACGTCAATGGCAACAATATGATGTGGGCTCCGAGGCTGCTCGAGTACTACAACCCGACGAAGCTGGTACCGGGGAAGAGAAGTGCCCTGCAGGCCTTCCGCGAGGACCAGGAGCTTCTGGCCCGGGATGCCGTTGTCGGCCAGTTGGTCGTATGTCCATCGCCCCTATCCTTCGAGTTGCAAGTGCGATAAATGACTGACATGGCAATGCAGGCTCTGACGAGAGACCTTGGCCTGTCGAAGTGCTCTCCCACCCTCGTCAAGCAGCTTATCGAGGGCCCAATGCAGAATGAGCCCCTCGTCGATACGGAGGATATCTCGAGTCTGGATGACATTCCTCTCTCGACCGGAGGCTCTGTCTGCCTGCTTGCGTACTGGGTGTTCTCGTCAACGGTATTCGACGCCGACCAGCCCAAGCCCGACATCTACGTCTTTCCGGAGCACTTCGCCCTTCTCGATCAACTACTTCAAGACAACGCACAGTCCCTGATACACAGCACTCCGGGGACAGTTGAGGCCACCGTCGCCATCGGCCTCTGGCTCGAAGACAACAAGCGGATCTCGGCCGCTCCCACAAATTCCCCGTTGAGATCGTCAGAGACGGCGCCCAAGGACCCGACGGCCAGTTTCATGAGCTACCTCCACCTCCTGACTCTGATCGCCGTGTACCACCCGTTCCTCCCCGTCCGGAACGCCGCCAGCGCCCTCGCAGGCGCAATCCTGCACGCCGACCCCGACGACGACGACCGCCTCCGCATCCTGGAGGACCTCCTCGAGAACTGCATGTTCGCGCAGCTCAAGGCCTGCGCCGTGACCTGGCTGCGCGAGGAGCTCAACGCCGCCGCGTCCGCGGCCGGCGGCCCGCCCAACGTCTTCGCCGGCCCCGAGGCCCTCGAGGCGGTCCAGTACGTCGTCTTCCCCGACCTCGCCTTCCTGGCGGAGCTCGACGCGGCGGGCCTGCGCGAGCACTGGGCCGCCAACGCGCCCTTCGTCCTGCAGGCCGTCAACCTCGCCCTGTTCCTCTGGGGCAGCAAGACCGACGGCTTCGCGGCCGCCGTCCCGGCCGGGATGAACGCCGCCGTCGCCGCGAGGTGGGCCGCGCCGCTGTGGAGGGCCGCCGAGTCGATGGCCGCGGCGGCCGAAGGGGCGGACGGGGAGGGCGGTGGACCGCCGAGGATGGAGCTCGAGGTCTTGAGGGAGAGGCTGAGGCGGCTGGCTGGCACGGAGGCGTTTAAGTCGTTGGGTCTGGGGGAGGCGGAGAGCACGTAGGTTACTTTGCGGGACAGGAGAGGTCAAGGGTGAGAGACCCGGGCGAGATTGGGGGCGAGAGGTTCTGCTTGCTTGTATGGATTTTGCATGATAATTTCGACGACGGCTATGACCTTGGCACCTTGTTTTTTCCTCTACTAGGATCGGAGATATCGAGATCTGGGCGCATGGACGAGAGGTAATAGGGAGGGGATATAGGCAACTCTTGTGTATAAAACTGAGATATTGGCACCCAGCCTGGTTCGAGGAATTTGACGGTGCGATTCATTGCTGTTCGCCCTAGCATTCATTCCAGATGCCTGAGCTTGAACTGCCTGCAAAGGAACTGGTGTCTACGCCGTTCGGGGCAACGCTGGCGCTACAACAGCTGCCCTTGCGCAGTATCTTCCTCCGAGGTACAGGGATTCACTATTATCTCATGGAGAATTAACAGGCACTGCCTTACGGAAAATAGAGGAGGCCATTAATGTTCCTTGGTAAGGATATATGCGTAGAAGTCGAAGAAGGCGGAGAGAAACGGCTAGTGCAAGGGATTTTTACCCGCCGTTGACACTGCTTGTTTATAGGGCGATGGTGCACGATTGAGCCTGAAGGCGACCGACCCTTGTCGCCCAAAGTGGTTCATGCAATGGAAAGACTTTGGGAAAATCAGGTAAAGAACAAACATGTTCGGCCCTGCTATCAACTGGCGATTGTCTTGGGGTTGGGCAACTTAGCATTTGCAGATACATACTGTCCCGATTATCATCTACCCCAATCCTAGAATCTGGTATACAGGTTGAGAGGGAAAAGGGGGGAAGATAGAAGGGGGCAACAGGGGCTTTCGTAAGGCATGTCGGCGCTTTCTACGTTGGTAAGAGCACACGCGGCCATTGCAAAACGCATGCTGGGATGTACTGTACTACGTAACTCGGCGGACAACCACGTGGGCTGTTCTGGGCCTTGAGATGCTACCTAGCCACTTCTGTGTTGCGGAAAGTCTCCGGGACTCTGGACCCGTTGTAAAATAAAATCTCACTTGTTCACTCAGGACCAAATACAGAGTAGTGTGGTTCTTAACCAGCATATCCGGCGATGCCTCGGCGACCGATTTTGGAGCCGTCTGGGCGAAACTATCCTGATCGAGCAGTTCTTCCTGAGTCTGTCTAGTCTGTCTCTACCTACCTCCCTAACCAGACCTAGTGTGGTGTGGCATCCGAGATGGGCGCCGTTACCCTCGGCCTCAACTCGCAGTCTGAACTCTCGACTCTCAACCACTCACTGGTGGATGGACCAGGCGCAGGGAGATGGCAGATAAGGTACAGATATGGTTACATGGGGGGGGATACATACTCTCGGCCAGTTGTTCGGACCGTCATGGGCGTGCATCCCGCCCTAGGCACTATCCCTGTAACCGCGTACATAACCTTGGTGGGCAGCCAGGGGACCAAGGGGGTATTTTTCGTCTGGCCCCCCACAATGGCTACTTGGGATCTACCTGCAGATCCCAGCAGTCTTGACGCAACCTCCGACGTACCTCCTAGTACCTCCTTGGCACCTGCCACCCAGACTAAATTTCCGATTGGCTGCGGCCTCATGCGCAACCACAAAAAATGCCGCTTCTAGAATGCAACTCCACCACACTTGCGGAGGAGAAGCCGATGATGTCTGAGATTCCAATCGTTCCTTTACGCCGACTCGCTGGCCCCCGCGGCGTGAATTCGGCGGCACCATAGATCCTAGCTGCAGCATGTTTACCTTTGAGGATCGTCATGTTTGCCAACGGACAGATGTCTGATTCCGGCGCTTGCTCAGACGCCCCCAGGGAAGACCGCCCGAGGTACTGTGTAGGTCAATTCTTCTGGCCACCTACCAAAGGGCCGCCCCCTAATTCAATATTGCCCTCCCGCCAGGAGGCTGAGTAGCTCCCAAAGCTTGACTTACATAGTATGTCGTTCGCATGCTGAGGACGAGGGTGCTAAAATGCGAATGCTGGTTATAAACATAGGGCATAAGACTCGCTCTCCTTGGGTCCCGGCTGGACTCATTTAACGCAAAGTTGCGATCCGCTCCCAACCTGCCACTTTGGTGTGGAGAACCTGCTTCTGAACATTCCGCCCCATCACTTTTGTTTCCCAGAGTTGCATCTTGCTCATCTCCGTCTTCTTCACACTGCAGACTCTCGCTCGCTGCTCGTCTCTTTGCATTCTTTTTTCTCCCCTTTTCCTTTCTTCTTCCAAACTTAAAAAAGGACCCTCACAATCTCCTCGAATTGTACCCTTCAGCCATGCCTACCATCCTGCGACCTCGGTAACCGACGGGACGTCTTTCGCGATCACAGGCAAAAACAAAACGATGCGTGTGAAGAAAGGAACCAAGGTTGCGACAGGGGCAGCGGGCTGGCCAGGCATAGAAGCGATAGAGCTGTCGGATATTGAGGGCTCTTCCTCGCAACAGCACAGCTCCTCGTCGCCCAAGGAGACGTGGACGGGCCCAATGCACAGTGACACCTATGGCAACCCCCTCTTCCCGGGCCCCTACACGGCGCACAGCACCATCGAGCCAGAGCACGACGACAGGCGCCGGGCCAGGCGCGCCGGGGTCCCGCCGACGTCCGCGAGAGGCGGTGTGTTCCGGCAGGACATGATATGCGGGATGAGGAGGCAGATGTTCTGGGTCATCATAGCGACCGGCACTTTCGCCATGATCGCGACTGTTGGCATCGGAGTCGGCCTGGGCGTTGCGCTGCGCAAGGCAGATGGCCCGACATGAGACAAAAAAAAAGGGTTGGTTCGCCTTTCCCATCCGGGCGGTATGGAATGTCGACGGGCTGCAGTAGTCCCGATTCGCCCGAGACACGGGTACCGGCCGTCTCCCAGCATTCCTCCCTGCTGACGCCGGGTTTCGCAGTCATTATACTTGGGCCCATTTACCGCGAATGCCTCCCGCTACGACAACCGTCGCGACGACCTCGGCAACAGCAGGCGTGGGGGGGTAGACGGACTGCTGGGCTCGAGGTGCCGATCACAGTCCGCTGCGCTGCGCTGCGAAACAAGCCGGGCGCGGTACGAAGCTCGAGCTTGTCGACCCAGGGGAGAGCATCCCCGCTACTCTACCGTCGGGGACCTACTCATCGTCAGACGACACGACTAGTCTGTTGAATGCGCCTCTAAGACACCAAGAGCGCATCCGCCGACAAACGTGCACCTCCAGTGACTAGCGTCTCGCTGGCTGGCGGAAAAGCTGTCTCGGGGGCCCGGAATGGGGGATGCCCCAGTGATGTTTTGTCATGGAAGGACAACGATGGAGTAAGGCGTCACCACTAAAAAGAAGGAAGCAGTCTAACTCCGCTTTTGGCGGAGGGTTATCCGATCGGCTGCTACGTTGGGCCTTGGGCTCAGGGGACTCCTACAGAAGGAATCTGTCGAAGTATGATATGTGCATGTCATCCGAGAAATTGCATTGGGACGGGCACCGGAAAGCGGTTGGGCGGGCACCAGGTCAGAACTGGACGGATCTCTTGGTGCCCAGAAAGGGATTCATGTTTGGTTGTTACTTTTCGTGGCGTTGGACAAGGGGGAACGGGTTATGATTATGACACACAACTTAGAAAATGGGCGTATTCCCTTGACAGTTAACGCAGTTAACAGAGAATTAAAAGTTAACACGTATTTTCTAGCTGGCCTTGATCCAGATATTTCCGATGAATCAATGGCCCAACAAACGGTGAAGGCGAAATTGCCACCAGATATTCCCATCCAAAACACACAATACGCTCATATCTATACGATCGAAATACTCCCTTCGATGAGCGCCTCTCGCTCGCCAACAAAGCTCCCCCTCCCCCTCCCGGGAAATTACTTCCTCAACGTCAGCGCAATCCACCCGGCGATGCGATAACCCGCGATGATGCCCATCATGATCCCGACGTCCCTCCCCATGTGGCCCGGCTCGTAGCCGTACTGGTCCAGCACACCCTGGCCGGCAATCCTACACTGGCCCGCCAGCTCCGTCACGAACATGCACGTGCACCCCGGCGAGCCGGGCGCCGGGTCGCGGGCGGGGGCGCACTCGTACGAGCGGCCGGCGAACTCGTTGATCATCATGTTCTGGAAGACGTACTTCTGGTAGTCCCAGTAGTGGAAGACGTATCGGTAGAAGGCGTTGAGGACCTCGGGGCTGACCATGAAGCCGTCGACGGACATCCAGAGGCCGTTTGCGAAGGCGACGAGGGCGAGGCTGACGACGAAGGAAGGGAACAGCGCCGTCACCAGGACGACGAGCGACTCGGCGGCCAGCAGGTCGAGGAACAGCCAGAAGATCCAGGTCAGGAAGGCGGCGGCCGTGGGGCGGAAGTTGGACAGCCAGTACGAGAGGGCCGAGAAGACGGCCGAGAAGAGGAACAAGTAGGGGAGGCCGACGAGGAAGTTGGACACGACCAGCTCGGCGGCGCCGTACAGGCCGTTTGCGCGCTCCTTGACGAACTGCTGGCGGTCCTCGAGAAAGGCCGGTACGTACGCCACCGCCATGAAGGACATGAAGGCCGAGCCGTAGAAGATGGCGTTGGTCAGCGGGATGATGGACGACTGCTCCGTCGACAGCCGCAGCCACACCGTGCCCATCATCACCGCGAGGCCCGTGTACATGGCCAGCCGGATCCCGTACGCCACCACGTCGCGGTAGCTCTTGACGAAGCTGCGGTGCAGCAGCGTCGCCGTCCGCCCTACCCACCGCGGGCGCCTCTCGCCCGTCCCCGCCGACGCGAGGAGCGCCGCCTCCGCCTCCGGCCCGCCGCCGCCGCCGCGCTCCTCGGCCGCCGCCACCGCGGCTGACAGCTGGCTGGCACGGTCGGAGGCGGCCCACGCGCGCTGCATGTCGTCGAGGCGCTGCGGCGCAGACCCGCCGCCGCTGAAGTCGGCGTTGACGAGGTCCAGCAGGAACTCGGCAGGGTTGGTGTGCAGGGGCACGGGGAGCCCGAGCGACTCGAAGTGAGGGGCCACGTCGGACACGGGGCCGAAGTAGTGGGGCCTGCCCGAGGAGAGGAGCAGGAGCTTGTCGAAGAGGTTGAAGGTCGAGGTGCTCGGCTGGTGGATGCTGGCTATGACGATGAGCTGCGGGGGTAGGTGTTAGCAGACTTCTTTCCTAACCAAGGGAAAAACTCCGTCCTTACATTATTCCGCTTCGCGACGCCCTTGAGGTAGTTGACAACCTCCCAGCTAGCAGCCGAGTCGAGGCCACTCGTCGGCTCATCGAGGAACAAAATCTTGGGCCCCGTGATGAGCTGGCTCGCGACGCCGAGCCGCCTCTTCTGGCCGCCGCTGATGCCCTTCCGCAGCGGCGTGCCGACGATGGCGTCCGCCTGGTCGGCCAGCCCGAAGGCGCGCAGCAGGCCGTCGACGCGGGCGGCGCGCCCGGGCCCGCCGCTGCGGGTCGCGAGCCGCGACGCGAACGCCAGCGTCTCCCGCACCGTCAGCGCCCCTGTCAGCGCGTCCTCCTGCTCCACGAAGCTGCTCAGGGACCGGAACACGGCCCGCGGCGGGAGAGAGCCGTTGACTAGCACGGTGCCCTCGGCGTGGCGGGCGCCTGTTGGTCGCGAGGCGAGGACGTTGAGGAGAGTCGTCTTGCCGCAGCCTGAGGGGCCCATCAGGGCGCAGATCTCGCCTGGTCGGGGGGTTGGAAGGGTTAGAGGAGGGTGTCTTGAGGGGGAGGGAGGCAGGCTTGGGCGTTAGGAAAGTGGGGAAGCATACCGGCCTCGACTATGCCCTCGATATTCTCAACGATGGTTTTGGGCTGTTTTGTGATCCTGTCCTTGACGGTAACTGTGACTCCCCTCCACGAGACGTTCTGGACAGTTGTGTTCTTGAGGTGGGCCTCTGCAACGGCTTGTTTCTCGATATCGACATTTGCCGCGCTCGTGGGACCTCGCTCGACGTCTGTCGACTCGGAGGATGCATTGGTAAGTGGCATGGCGAATGGCCGAGGATACAGACTTCAGGGGCGGGTCTCTGCTCAGATCAACTCCTCTACCCGTCTTTGACGAGACCTCGTACGATACTGAGGCGTAAGAGAGTAGACCAGACGGATGCAGCTTCCGAGACGAGCACAAAGACGGTTTTTCTTTCACAACGTGTCTAGATCCTTGAATTGAGAGGGATAAGACATTAAGACACGACGAATTCCTTATTTTTCAACGAAGCCAGGCTCAGTCAGTCAGTACAGTGCCCGATATGAGCCCGGAGATTCGGGCCCAGGACGGCGAAGCTGCGGACACGCCATCTTTTATTCACTCCTAGGAAACGCATGCGGGCATGCTTTAACCACCCCCCACTGTCTTCATCGATGCAAAAGGAGCGTCATGTGTGGTTGCATCGGGCTATTCTGGGCATCTGTTCCCCGGGTCAGTGGAGGGTGTAAGCGCGCATTGCGGCGATCCATCTGAAACCCCCAAAACACCAAGGCATTCTTACAGGTCAGCTAATGAGCTTGCCCTGCGGCAATTGAGTTGCCCTTGTCGGGCTTTAACCGTTTCGAACACCATTGGTGTCCGAAGGATCTCCCTCGTTTTGGCGCGCTGTTCAAGTCGCCGAAGTGAAACCTCTCTTATTTCTGATGGTCCACAGGTCGGCGAGGTGGCCGCCGCCCGCTGATTTTGATTGCTCGGGGAACCCTGCAAACTGCCAGACTGTTACTAATAAACAATCTCTTTCGACTTGCGGGCCGCCCGTCTTGGCTTTATACTAACGCACATGTTGAAATCGTTACTATGCAGTAATATTAGGGTTAATCCAGTTAAACAAGACGGGCATATGCGGGCAATTTGACGGCTAGTTGACGCCTGCAGAGGCTAAAAGATGTTGGACCAACGCCATTGGAACTCTGTATATAAAGGAGAGATGGCCCGAAACCTGAAGAACTGCAGGCGAGCAGCTTATAAGACGGTTTTTTTTTTTAAAAAAAAAAAAACTTTGTTTTTAAAATCGGCATGGCAACAAAGCCTGAGCCGGCCGGTCAAGGGAGAGCAGAGCGTGTCCTAGTCCCCCGCCTACAGTCCACAGTAACGCCGCGCTTTTCCTTTACGCAGAGTCCTCGAAGATCGAACCATTAAATCCAACTATAATATCCGCGTTCTTTGAACGGCTCTGTAGGCCATCCCCTTCAACCGAGACAAGCCTATGTTGATTGAGCTCCTTTCCCTCCTTCCTACCTGTGCGCCTCCCCCTATCCCTCCGCCATCCCCCTCCCCCCCCCCTCTCCCAATAGGCCCAATCATTTAAAATCCGAGTCATACCTTCATTCCTCCTCTCATGGCGCCGTAGTCACCTGCGACAGCATGCCCATGCCGTCAAACTCGCTCATGATGCCCTCGTCGGCGTTCAGCGACGTGATCATCTGCTCCTGGGTGAAGCCGACCCAGAAGGCCGGGTTGATCTGCTGGGCCTTCTTGGCCCGGTAGATCTCCTGGGCGACGCCCTTGACCTGGACGCACGCCGTGTTGGCGGCCTTCCACACGTTGCTGAGCTTGCCGAGCGCGCCGATGTTGAGCCGGATCTGCTGCCGGAGGTCGTCCTCGTCCTGGATGAAGTAGAGCGCCCACTTGGACAGGTGCACGATCGACGACAGCGTCACGACGCACGTGAAGAAGTGGGTGTGGCTGAGCAGCGGCACGGGCTGGGTGATCATCTTGCTGATCTCGTAGGCGGCCGTGATGGTGAACTGCGTGTGCGTGTTGAAGTCCTGCCCGCTGGCGACCTGACGGTGAGGTGCGCAAGATGTCACGGAGCGTGCTGGGGACGAATCGAGCTGCGACAGCGGTTGGTGGAGCATGATGGTGCAGCTATCACCGAAACGTCAGAACTGGAAAGACCGGCATGAAAACTAAGTTCCCGGGCATTGGGAAGGACTTACGCAAAAGTGATGAAATGCGCCTGGAACATCATCTCGTCGAGTTGGCAGTTCTTGTTGATATTGTACCTCTTGGACTCTGGGAGGTGGATGCGCCAGTTGGTGAGGAGAGCTTCTACTTTGGCGACATTCTCGTCTCCCGGGAATATCGTGGTTGGTGTGCGCATGAATCGGCCAAGATTCCGTGCCGCAGCGATGCGATACGCAAAGGACGAGAAAGGACGCTCCTCGCCGGAGAAGAGCTGATCATCAAAATCCTCAATGTACATTGGCTGCGGTATCTCCTGTTCGGCCGTGCGTGAGTATCTAGATGGCTGCGATTGTGACGCTACGTCGGGCGAAGGTCTTACCCCTGACAGATATTGATGTTCCTCGCACGGGAGGGCTACGTCGGCCGCAATGTCGAAGAGTAGGAAGTTGGTCACGCGATGCACGCCGGCAATCATGCCGTCGCAGACGTAGAGATCCCACCACGTGCGGCGCCAGCTCTCTTCGAGCACCGGGTTTCCTCGGCCGTGCATTGCGGCAAACGGCCGTGTGTTGAGGTTGATCTCGAGGGCGATCCGCTCGCAGTCGGAAAGGAGCTCCCGCGCCCTCTCCTGCTCGCAACTGCCGTCCAGCCCGACGATGATGGCCAGGAGTGCCTGGACCAGGAAGCCATCCTTGGGGGTGGTGGGCTGGTAGCATAACCGAATAGCCTCGTCAAGATAGTGAGCGCGGGCAGGGCCGGCGTCGACATACAACGAGCCAATGTAACGCATGGCGGCGATGAGAGCATCCAGTTTTGTCGTGCCATCTTTCATGATGCGCAGCAACGCCTCCTTTGGCAGCACGAAAGGATGGCCGGCGTGGAAATAGTGATAGAAGGCATCGAAGCACCGCTCCGGGAGGCTTGAAGCTGGCGGCGCAGTGGCATGGGCCGGGTTTGTCGCAAGGGTCAGGTTTCTGGACCCGTTAACTGCCGTGGCAAAGGGGTTCCGGTACAACTGGATATTTGACAATGACGGGTTCGTCGTGAAGGGGGAGGGCGGCTGGGTGTCCGGAAGCACGATGGCCGGGCTGAACGCGGAGATGGTGGATGCCGGCAGCGAGACCGGGGTTGCGCCGAGCAGCATCGGGCAGTTGTCGGCGGTGCCCGTGGAGGCCGGAGGCGACGACGATGCGTGCCGCTTGTTGGGATTTGCGGCGGTATTCCTTCGCGGGCCCTTGTAGCCCCGGCGGGAGGCGACGTAGACGCATTCCGAGCTGGAAGCCGTGCAGCGGGAGCAGGGAGTTGAGCCGTCACATTTCAGATGCTTCGATCTCTATTCGCCGAGGAGAGCACACATGTCAGCACTACTGTGTTGAGTCGGCGGCTGACATTGGGACATGCACAACATAAAAGGAACCTGGAACCTACACAGGCGAGACAGGCCGCAGGCACAGAAGGCGGTGGTGGGCCTGCATTCCTGTTATCGGTGGTCCCCGACGTGCCCGGCGATTTGGTCGCCGTCCCCGCCCCATCCTCGTTCGAGTGTGTCGGGGACGCACCACTGGACGCCGACGGCGGGACCTCGGGCGAGAAGGGCTCCATTTCCATTGCAAATCAAGGTATAAATCAGATATAAATATACGTTGGTGGGTACGTTGCACGCAGTAGGTAGACGAAGGATTGTCCCTCCGCAACGAAACGCCGTGACTCGTGGTGCTCAGGGCTCAGGGCTCACTCTCGGGGACCAAGCTGAAGCTGATCGGCGGCGATGAGGCTTGCGGGCACAATCCACTCCGAAGATACCGACTAAGTGGGACTTTCCCTCTTTAGAACCCCCTGAGTGCGTTCGGGGAAGGCTAAAAGCCGAGAGCGAAGGGACACAGACGCCTTGGAGATGGTTGACAGACCGACAGTCGGCGAGGCAAAACGCGGGGAAAACAAGATCTCTCGGCGTTTTTGTTTGCGCGGTATTGTGTGATTGCGTGAGCTTTTTAGACCCCAGCGTTGCTCCAGTAGCTTGTTAGCACCGGCGTCATCAAATGGGCAATATCCGGCAGTCTTCAACCAAGTCTTCACCGCAGCCTCGTAAGCTAGGCGTCGTCGCTAAAAGGGGCGATTCACAGAATTTGCTTCCGTTGAAGATTCCTGCTGGCGAAAGACGGACGATGCAGATCGCAGATCTCAAATCTCCCTGCAAACAACGTGGGAAATTCGGGTGCCCTGCCATCTGCCCACGCGATTGCTGGGATTAGCAAACTGTTGGCTAGGTGGTTACCTAACCAATACAATAAACGAATAATACAGACCGCGGTTGTCCGTGCTTTCTGCAAATTTGCATCCTGCAGATGCAGTACAACGTCGGCAACCGCGTGTCGCATCTTAAATGTGTTGCATATGGACAGGCGTGCATATTGTTGGGCTCCTGGCCGGTGACTTGCCGGGCACCGCCGGACACTCCGGGAGACGGCGATCGCGGTGATCACTGATCACTGATCACCGCGGTGAGCAGAGCACCGGTTGGTTCGTGCAAATACAAATTGCACTGATGCTCGGCGAATATTGCAAATGACGATGGCTGGAAGTGGTCGTGCATGGAGCTGAAGTGAGACTCGTCACCTTCAGCGAGAACCAGCCCACCCTCCTAGATGTTGAGAAAACTCCTCGTCAGAGGATGTCAACCTCTCACGCCCTGCTCTTACAATCAACTCACTCAACCAATGTTCTGGTCCTGAAATGTGTCATGGTTATGGCCGTGACTACAGCCCCTGCCTGCAGCAGGCATCGCTGAAAGTCACCACGAAGCTACGAAGCTACCACAGCCTACCAGGGCAGGAGGATATCCCATTGCCATTTGCCATCAGCAAATGGAACCCCAGACGGGCGAGCCGCTAAGGAGCGTTCCGGCTTCCGCGACGAGCCCCATCTGTACCAAAAACACGTCGCCCATGGATCTGTATATGTGCGTGATGGCGTGTCTGGGACTCTGGGTAGCAATAGGCCCACTATTCTAGAACACACCAAATTCCCAATGCACCAGCAACTTGGAACTCGGAACAAGTCTACCCCCACTCGCGAGCGAATTCAGCAGCTCGCTGGGGGGGGGGTTATCACCATGGGGGTTTATTGTTTTATCGTTTTATCCCGCACCTCGTCCTCTTCCCCCCCTCTTGCCTTGCAGCAGTTAGGTTTTCTCGACAATGATATCGTTGCCCCTTATGGATAGGACGACAGGCTCGTCCCTTGTCCTGCAGGCAGCCTTGTTCTTGGTAAGCAGGGCTGATGAAGTGACCCTGAGGTGGTCACTCCTGAAAGATAACGTGTCCTGAAGCTCGAATTAGGCTGCTACTCTCGTGCTGCTTGTCCTCGGTCGCCGGCTCCTCTTCCACCCGCTCTCCAGCTTCCCCGGGCCGTGGTTTAATGCCGTTTCTGAAATCCCCGAAGCGCGCCACCTCATCAGCGGGCGGCAGCATGCCTATCACAGACGGCTACATGAGCAATATGGTACTGTTGCCTCGTAGTGGGACATGGGGGCCTCAGATAATGCCTAGAGTCTGGATGCTGATTTCCCGTTCAAGGACCGGTGGTGCGTGTCTCTCCGAACGAGCTCATCTTCTGCGGCGCAAATGCCTGGGACGACATCTATGGAAACAAGGTCGGTTCCCTTCCTCCACCCCACACCCCCCGGAATGCGCGGTTGCGGCAACTGTATTTCTGACTTGGTCCTGTCTTTCTGTCTGTGAAATCAGCGAGGAAAAGGGGACATGGAAAAGTCTCCTCTCCAGGCCGGCGGTCTTCCTCCAGGGCAATCGGCGACTGCCCTGACATTAGCAAGGCAAACCGACCATGCGCGCCAGCGCAAAGCATTCGCCTACCCCTTTTCCAACACTGCTCTCCTTCAGCAGGAGCCACTGATACAGAAATATGTCGACCAACTCATTGGAGCCTTGGCAGAGCTGGCTGATGGTTCGCAGCCGGCAAACATGGCTGCGTGGTTCACCTACACGGCCTTCGACATCATTGGCGACCTGTGCTTCGCCGAACCGTTCGGCTGCTTAGACGCTGGCAGCGAGACGGAATGGTCGACGAGCGTGGTCCACATCGCTATTGCAGGCACCTTCGAACAGGCCACCCGGCGTGTCGCCGGCGTCGGCACCTTCCTGCAGGCGCAGATGGCTAAGTGGCTCATCCCAGGTCTTTACAGGAAGTGGAGGATACTCCATTTCACCAACAGCACCCAGAAGACCAGACGGCGGTTTGCAGACAAGGACAGGGACCACAAGGACTTCATCTACTACATACTGCAGAACAATGAGGCAAAGTCGCTTCTCTCGGAACTGGAGATCATCATGAATTCGGCGCTGTTCATGTGAGCTGCCCGATGGGCTTGAACCCTACACCACCTATACTGCACCTTACTGAGAGGGCTGGTTTGCTGACACGCTTGGCAGCGGAGCCGGGAGCGACACAACGGCCATTATGCTCACCGCTTGGCTATCACTTATGCTCACGAATAGGGAGGCTTATGAGAAGTTGGTGAGGGAAATCCGGGGAGCTTTCAGCTCTGCTGAGGACATCACATGGAACTCGGTTAAGGACCTACCGTATCTCGGCGCTTGTATCAGTGAGACCTTCCGGGTATGCCCTCCTGTGCCGGCAAACCTCTGCCGAGTAACTCCATCAGAGGGGGCCATGGTTGATGGACGTTGGGTTCCGGGCGGAGTAAGTCACCATGCCGTCCAGCCAGCCCGTGTTGACCCCCCCCCCCCCGACGCCTGTTGCTGACCTCGTCGACCAAGACCACCGTGTCCGTCTCCCCCTGGGCCGCAACCCACCTACCACTCAATTTTAGCGAGCCGCTTGTGTTTGCCCCCGAGCGCTGGTTCGAGTCGGAGAGAGCCAGGTTCCCGCGGCACGAAAAGGAGGCTTCGCAGCCGTTCAGCTACGGACCGCGGGGCTGCATCGGGAAGAATCTGTCCTACATCGAGCAGCGACTGATTATCTGCCACCTGCTTTGGAGCTTCGATATCGAGCCAGCCAGGGGTGCGGAAATGGCGCGCAAGAACGGCCTCTGGGCCGTTGGTGATGATATGAGACATATGAAAGCCTACTTGGTATGGAAGAAGCCGGACTTGTGGGTTCAGTTGAGTCGGGCCAGGAGATGAGGGTGCCGTGAATTTCTTTTTTGCCGGAGGATCACTGATATTATCCACTGGGACGGGCCCGGATGATGCTTTAGTTCTCGTATCGTGTGCCCGGTTTCCGTACATCCTGGACTTCAGGATGTGCATCCTGGACTTGAGGATGACCTGGACCAGCGGAATCCCCTCTAATACTTTGGTGGGCTATTCCTGATGGAGCCGACGGACAAGGATATTCTGTCGTGACTGCGGCCATTGCTCCGGTTGCTTTGGTATTTGAAGCATTTTCCCCAATTGTTTGCCCCAACTTCCCCCACACGAGGTCGACCCAACCCACGCACACCCTCAATTTAGCCTATGCAATGTAACCACTCGCTGCACTTATTCCTACACTAGAATGCCTGCAACCGGTGGACTTTTGAACCAGGAATTTCCCTCCCCTTCCCCAATTAGTGGTCCCCAATTAGTGACGGAGATTAGCGAACGGGGTGACACCTGGGGAACTTGAAATGGGTCCGACTCTGCCTGGCGGGATGGTATAAATGTGAAGTCAAGCATCGCTGTTTCCTTGGCGGTTCTTGCCATTTGGATATCCTATTCCTGCCATGGCTCTCCTGATGCGCACTGCTGTCCTCTGGGCCACCCTTGCTGCGGGTGCCACCCCTTCTCCCAAGAGTCTGGGGTCAGATCTCTCCATCTTGATCAACAATGACCTCCAAGGTACGTGGAACGATGCTGAACACGCGTCCTTTCCTGGGGCAAAAGCTAACGGCTTGGGAATAGGTACGAGTAGCCCTTCGGCAAGCTCCGCCGTGATACTTCTGGGCCGCCGATCCCTCGAGGATGCTGCATCTGGCTGTGAAGAATTGGGGGAGCAACTTTGGTCCCCTGAGCTCGGGACCGCGAGCATCCAGGTGAACCTCGACTATCTCAAGTACCAGCAGAAGGCCGACGACGCGTCGCAGTTCTGGATTGCCTCCTCGGAAGACAAGGCTCGAGCAATTGGATCCTCTGGCAGTGTCACCTTTGTCGATTCCGGTCTCCGCCTGCCGGCTCTGTGCACGCAGTCTGCCCCGTTCTCGAACCAGAGCGTGCAAGATACCAGTGAGAGATGGCAAGTCAAGGTGCATTCGAACAACGAGGACTACACCGGGTCCGTATAAGTCCTGGCTCTGCCGCAATCCACAAAAAGATGCCCATGACTGAACGTGCAACATCAGATTCCGCGATAGGTTGAGCTTCCGGTTTTTGGGGATCCGGTATGCGCCGCAGCCCAAGCGGTTTTCCTACTCGGTGCCATACAAAGGCTCCGGAAAGACTGTCTCGGCGCTGGACTTTGGCCCCCAGTGTATGCAAGGCGGCAGCGGCGGGTCTGAAGACTGTCTTTTCCTCAACGTCTGGACTCCGTACCTCCCTAAGCCGGACTGCAAGCCGAGGAAGAGCAGTCTTAAGCCGGTCATGTTCTGGATCCACGGCGGCGCTTTCGCGACCGGCACGGGTAGCGATCCGCTCTTCGACGGAGGCAACATCGCCTCCCGTGGTGACGTCGTCCTGGTCGTCATCAACTACCGCGTCGCTACGCTGGGTTTCTTGGCCCTGGACGACGGCGTGACGAACGGCAACTTCGGGCTTGCGGACCAGATCAACGCGCTCGACTGGGTCCGGGCCAACATCCAGGACTTTGGGGGGGATCCCGATAGGATCACCGTGTTCGGCCAGTCGGCCGGCGCCTCGTCGGTGCGGGCCCTGATGGCTTCTCCAAAGGCGGTCGGCAAGTTCGCAGGCGCCATCCAGATGAGCAACCTGGGAGGCATCAACTACGGCACCACGTACAGCAAGTACTACACGATCAAGCAGCAGGTGGACGCGATCGCGGGCGCGATCCTCGACGAGACCAACTGCACGGCCGCGGCCTCCCAGGTCGAATGCCTGCGCGCGGTCGACGCGACGACCCTGGCCAACCTGGCCGACATGGGCCGCTTCCTCGTCGTCGACGGCACCTACCTGACGACGGACGAGCTCCAGCTCGACGGTCCCCGCCTCCCCGTCGACGTCATGATGGGCGGCATGCGCGACGACGGCGCGCCCTTCATCCTCTTCCCGACAACCACCAACGAGAGCGAGTACCTCGCCATGTGGGGCTACGACGCCCCGCCCGCGGACCTCTTCCCCATCCCCGCGGGCGCCAACGCCACGCTCAACCTCTACAACATGACGGCGCGCCTCGCCACCGACGGCATCTTCCGCTGCATCGACCAAGCCACCGTCAAGCGCGGCACCGAGACCGGCCGCCTGGGTCCCTCAGTCTACTTCTACGAGTTCGGCCGCTCCTACCAGACCGCCGGCTGGCCGGGCACCGACGTGTGCGACCCGCCCCGGACGCCCGACCGGCCCCACGGCGACCCCTCGCTGCCCTACTTCCGCTGCCACTCGGGCGAGCTGTACTACGTCTTCGGCAACCTCGCCCGCCAGGGGATGCCCGACCGCGACGGCGGCGCCGACGCCGACCTGTCGCGCCTCACGCTCGACTCGTTTGCGGCGTTTGCGCGCTCCGCAGACCCGAACCCCGACGCGGCGTTCCTGGCCGCGCGAGGGTTCGCGGCCGCCGACGAGACTGCTAGGTGGGAGCCTAGCAGGGCTGGGGAGTTGACGATGAGGGTGTTTGATTGGCCGAGCTATCAGGCGCCGTTTAGGGAGCTGCCGCAGTGCGAGGGGCTGGGGTTGGGGTTGGATTATTATGGGTAGATGGGGGGATGTTGCGCGTTGTGGGATAGAGAGGGGTGGAGTGGTGAGTCGTGTTGCTGGGCTTACTGTTCTTGGCTGTCGATGTATGGTCACCATATTGACAGGGCTGGACAAACTCACGGCGAAGTAATGTTTGGAGTTGGACTACATGATATCCTGAATAAATTGTAGTGACACAACACCGCTGATGGGCTCTTCTGGTCCGTTGAGTCATTGTGATGTACATGCCATGACAGTTTATGAATAACTACGATGGCATACCCGAGGCTGTGACAGAAGATAGGAGCTAGATATATCTAGACGACATATATGCAGAAAAGCCAGTCACTTTACGGCAGCAAGGGGAACGAGGCCAACTCTGACCCTATCTTGACATCGACAATAGGGATGGCACCCTATTGTGGCTCACTCGGATTGTGTCCCCTGGTTCACTTTCCAGTAACAATAGAGGAAGCTCTTGGATTACACTCACTTCTTCTTCAACTACGACGATACGAGAGGCTGGAACCCCTATCGTGATTCACTGTGTCCCGGGGACTACTTTGCTTTCCGGCCAGCGTCCTCCCATTGGTAAGTAGATGAAACCTTGCCACCAACTCACCTACTCACTCCCTCCACGATAGGACAGATTGGCAGATTCCATCTTGCAGTGATTCACTTCCGATCCTAGGCCCATTTCGCTCACTAGCCGACGTTCTCCCAACTATAAATAAGGTCAAATTTTCCACCTCGCTCTCAAAACTTTTCCCACCCCAACCAACAAGAAGGACCACCACAAGCCATAGCCACCACGATGGCTTCTTCGTAAGTGCCCTTGAAAAAGAAGTTCCCACATCAGGATGAAGCTGACATAGCATCCGAGTAATAGCGCTCCTTCTTCTTCACAAGCTCCTCCCGCACAAGCACCTGTCGCTCCGGCTCCTGCTCCTGGTCGTGCTGCTCAAAGCTCTCGCACCGCGATCTGCCCCGAGTGCCAGGACTCGTTTGCCGAGAGGGCCCTGACGCGGCACAGGGCCACTCGTCATGGGGTGAACAGGCGGACCTTCACGTGCGACATCTGCAACATGGAGTTCCCAAGAAACGACGCCCTCAGGGACCATAGGGCGAACAGCCACGGGGTTCACAACCCCACGACAGCCGAACAGGACGAGGTCGACCCCATCAAGGTCGGCCGATACAACAAGACCGTGCTCGCCAACGGCATCATCGAGGCCAGCGATGGCCTCAACACCATCAAGCAGGACTGCCTAGCCCTCGGCGCCCGGGTCGCGGATTTCCCGGACATCATGGTCCGGCACGGCGGTGACTCATTCGGCGACCTCATGGCGCTGAAGAAGCACGAGCTGGTCCAGATGCTCCTGGATCTCCGGATCCTCCGCAGAACGTGGAGGGAGAACCAGCGGGGGCTGGAACAGAACTGAGCGGCCTCGAAACTTGGCGCCGGCGCCGTTTCAATTTATCTTCACCCCCATCGGCACAGTGCGAATAGCACGTTGAACACACGTTGGGCGCCACAGGATCGATTGTGGCTGGGCAGGGAGGAACTCATTCACTGGCAAATTGGTAGGAGTAAAGGGGAAGGGGCGCACTTTCTGGTTGGTCTGCACAGTGCGGGTCGCACGTTGTGCACACGGAGGGGCTAGATTTAAGGTTAGATGGGGGGGTTGCTTTGCCTATTCTGGCATGGTTTCTAGACAAAATTCCAACTATGACGGCCCCTTGTGAATACCTATCATTGGTGAACTTGCAGAGTGAGGTCCCCTTAAGCTTTCTCCAAAGGTAACCCCGCGACGCGAAATCCAGCCTAGAATTTTTGGTGCGCCACCATTACACTGCACGTCTGTATTTCGTGACGCGACAATGTAAAAGGCAATCCTGTCTTGAAGATTCTTAACAGAAGATGTCGTTAACTTCACCTATCTCAACACTGTCAAATATCTCATCTCCATCTTCCTTCTACACTGCCAAGGCAACTTCTCCCCCTGGAGCTGGTGATGTTACGAATATCAGTAGCCCCGATGAGGCACCAGTAAAGTTGTCCTACCGTGATGCCAGGCAAGTGCCCCATGAGTTGAAGGAGCACTGCCAGATCCATCTCGAGGAAAGACTATGTAAGACTGCCATCAATTCCACTCAAAACCTTCAATGCTTTCTAACTATTGCTAAACAGTCGGCTCTGCCATCCAATTACTCGACACTCTGCTTTCTGCCAGCAGCGCGAGGAAGGACTCGGCCATTCGCAAGCCTGCCTTCGTCCCCCCCCCGGCCCAAATCTCCCTTCTCAGCACACTCGCCATTCATCCCTCCCACACATCATGCTCCAAGGAGCCAGGCGAACTTCAAATCTCCTCCCATGCTCTTCAATATCTACGAAACCTATGCGCCACCGTTGGACCTGTGAACGCGAAGCTGCGCGCAGCGTTCGAGTTCCAAGGCGGGTCTCTTAGGAGTGCGAGGCGGGGGGGTCTAGGACACGACGGCGGCGACCATGGCCCCGACGAGGACCGTATTGATGGGAAATTCGCCAACGAGCTGGGCATCTGGTCGAGCGCCCCGGATTTCTGGGTGACCCTGGGGTGGGCCTTCCACTGCAGCGCGGCCCATCCGCATAGATGGCGATATTGGAAGGCCTGGCTGGAATGCATCCTGGAGATCATGGAGGCTGATTGGGACGAGAGGTATCGGCTTGACATGGAGAGGCACGAATCCCGCGGCGGAGGGAGTGAGCGCGAGTTCCCGTCGCTTGAGGACAGCATACTCATGATGTATGTGGGCTCGTTGCGCAGAGAGCGAAAAAACCCACTGAGAGAAATCTTGCGGGCTCTCCTCGCCTTCGCAGATGGGACCACGGTCGATGGAGCAGTCTACAAGGAGGTGTTTGGAAGCGAGACTTTAACACCTTCAAAGAACAAGCGGAAGCGAACACAGACGTTGGACCTTGAGCATGGCCAGTTTGGAGACTATCTCGATGACGACGACGTCTTCTCGTCGTCACAGCCTGAGGACCCCCCTACACCGACGAAGCCGGGTCCACGGAGGAGGGGGAGACCAAACAAGGAAGACGACTGTGTTTCTCCCGCCACAAGCCCGGCTCTGGCCGAGTCTGTCCAAATCCGGCTCCGCTTGTTCTCCCTATTGTCGGCCGCATGTTTCTATCTCCCGAATCCTTTCGCGCCCCTCGACGAGTTTTACGACAAGTTCGCCACCTCCGTCAGGGGCCTTCCCCTCGACATGTTTTCCCTCTTCATCGCGTCCCATACCACGCCCCTCGAGAACGAGGCTTACATATCCTTATTGCGCCACATCATCGACAAGCTTCTCCCCACGCACCCGGACCCTCGCTCCGTAGACCCAGACACAGACGATAAGAACGGTGTGTCGATCGAGATACTGGAGTGCTGCTTCCTGCCCTACGCGGCGAACAAGATCTTCGCCGAGGATAACGCGAAGCTGTCTCTGGTGCTGGAACACATGGTCCGCTTCCTGTGGATGCACACCGACATGGAATACTCCACCGGGCTCCGCAAGGCTGTCGAGGCAGGCATCCAGGCGCGAAACGAAAAGACGAGGTCCAAGAAGAATGGCCGCGCCAAGTCGGTCGACCCTGCCGAGAAATGGGCGAGGCAAGTACTGGACAATTCGAGCCAGAACCTGCAGATTATCCTGGATATGATGGAAGTGTCGGATTGTGTGGAAGTTTGTTGACCAGGAGAGGCGACTGGCGGGAGGGATAACGATACGGGGGGCGGACTTGCCGCTTGCTCCGTTCGGTTGTCGAATCTGTCGAATCTGTTTGTACGAGGTTTGAAGAAATCAAGTCTTGATACGAAAGACGAAGGGTGTGTCTGCCCCTATTGTTGTACTCGGGACGGATGATGGGACGGTTTGGTCCGTTGGGTTTTCTTGGCGCTAGTTTGTTAGAGGGGATCTTGGTTTTTATGATGGGCGTGCTTGTGGGTCAAGTAGGAGGCGTTGGGAGAGGATTTCACGACTGTCTAGTCACTTCTTCAGGCGAAGAATCGAAGCTAATGAAGAAGATCCCGCTTAGACTTCATAGTCTGCGTAATCTAGAACGCATTGCTTTTACTGGTTACCAGTTACAATAATATACACCAAGCAGCAGCTTCATTCTTCTTGCGAATCATATTCAGGGGCCATTCGCGCCCAGCTGCCGCATCATCGTTGCTTCGACGCGCCAGAAGGATCCCACCCTTTGGGTTGCCACTTCTCGCTGGGTCCCCTCGCCCGTTTCCACGGATCGCCAGGCCCCGCCGCCCGCACCTTTTCCTCCTCCTGCATCTTCCGCCAACTCTGCCCCCTATCCCCAGCCGCATCCACCCGGCCAGCATCACCTGCGCCTGCGGCATCCGCCGGCGACACCCCCGGCGCGTGCCCGCCACCCTCCCGGCTCCCCACCCGACTTTTCGTCGCCGGCGCCGGCGCCGCCTGACCCTCGGCCCCCTTACCGGGCGCCCCGTCGGCCGCAGCCGCGGCGGCCCACCGGGCGTCCGCCTGCGCGGCGAGGGCCTTCATGCGGAGCTGGCGCGCGGCGTCGGCGTGCTGCTCGTCGAGGGTCGGGGCGGCGGAGCGCGTGTGCCGCAGCCACTGGTGCCAGGCCGGCGGGACGGCGACGTCGGAGGGGTGCGTGCGCGGCGGGTACCGGACTATGCGGCGGGCGCGGGTGGTCTCGGCGCCGGCGGCGCCCGGGGAGGAGGTCCGGGCGTCGCGGAATTCCCAGTAGGTGTTGCCTTGTAGGTCGAGGCCTGGGGGTGGTGGTGGTGGTGGTTAGTTGTTGTGGGGAGGTGTGGTTGCTTTTCCTTGGGGACGGGGAGGGGAGGGGAGTGAATGGTGGCAGCGGTTTGGGGTTTGTACCTGCTAGGATTTGTCGGCGCCAGGGAAGGCGCAGCGTCTTCCACTTATGCCATGCTTTGAAAAACGACGAGGTCTGCTTCAGTGACATCTGCGACGAGATTGGCGGCTGTCCGGAAACATTGGAAGCAAGAGCGAGGTGGGGTGGAACAGGAACCTCTTTCCTTTTGGCTGATAGCGTGGGATGTCGGAGCTTGGAAAGAGGTAGGGAGTTGAAAATAGGTGTGGCACCGGCATCAGCGCTGGGCCCCAGCCACAGTGCCGGCCACCACGTCACTGTTGTGGCTGGGTTTGGGCGGGGGGTTGAAAGTTGTTTATGCAGGTACAGTACTCCGTACCTTCTGGATTCCTCCTCCCTCCATTAGCAACTACCACCGCGCCATAGACAACTGAACTGAAAGCAACCTGTTTCCATCTGCGCAGGGCAAGATTCTTCGATAACCGGCCAAACCGAAACACCGAGAGGGTTGATTGATCACGCCATGGCGTCAGTCACTTCCCTGGACAAGGACTTGCGCAAGTTACGCCTTGACAAATACACTCCCGCCGTCGCGAACGAAGCCAAATCATGGATCGAAGGAATATTAGGGGAACGTCTACCGGGAGGCGATTTCCTTGAAGGACTGAAGGATGGGGTTGCCTTATGCAAGTGAGTCTACTTGTCTCCTGTAGCTTCTCTGCCGCCAGCACCTCTAACCATAAACGCCGACGACAGGCTGGTCAACCTCGCCGTCCCATCCCCCGGCTTGAAATACAAAAAGTCCGCCATGCCATTCGTCCAGATGGAAAACATCTCACTCTTCCTCCGCGCCTGCCGATCCCCGCCGCTTAACCTTCAAGAGCACGACGTGTTCCTCACGGTCGACCTGTACGAGCAAAAAGACCCAACCCAAGTCCTCCAATGTCTCGGCGCCTTCAGCCGCGCAGCCAACAGTATCAATCCGTCAGCCTTCCCGTCAGCCATCGGGGGGCGTTCCGGCCGAGGCGGGGTCCTGAGCCCGCAGTCGACGGGACCAAGGACGCCGACTGCCTCGTCCAGCGACGCCTTTCGCGGGCGCGGAATATCAAACGCCAGCAACGCGTCATCGGCCTACAGTAGAGCTACTCCGACCCTCGTTGCCTCCAAGACGGGCGATTCCGGCTCCGGCCGCTGGAGCCCCACCAAGAGCCCCGGTCACAATAGTTCGGGGTCGCCTGTAGGCACCAGCAGCTGGAGCACAAAGGCGCACGAAGGCGCCACGTCGCCGGCGTGGAATATTGCCCAGTACGGGTACATGGGCGGCGCGAGCCAGGGGAACCTGGGCATCTCGTTCGGCGGGAGGCGACAGATCACTAGTGCCGGTCCGTACGTCCCGAACATGGCCGACAAGGAGCGCAAGCGGAAAGAGGCCGCGGCCGAGGCGGAACAGCAGCGGCTGCAGATGGAGGAGGAGGAACGACGGAGAAGGGCCGAGCTTGAGGCCGAGGAGGAGAGGGCGCGCTTGGAGGAAGAGCGGAGGTGGGAAGAAGAAGCACGACGGCTCAGGGAACAGGAGCGCCGGCAAGCGGAAGAGGAAAAGCGGAGGTGGGAAGAGGAGGAGCGTCAGTGGAAGCTTACGGAGGAGCGCCGGCACAAGGAGGAGCAAGAGGCGGAAGCCCGATTAGAACAGGAGCGTCAGCGATCTAGGAGTAAGAGCGACGCCCGTCTACGTGGGCAGTTCCTCAGCCAGTACAAGGCTGAGCAGGGGGCCCCAGCAAAGCGGACCGGAGACGACGGAGACTACAGCAGTCGTGTTAAAGAACTCGAAAAGGAACTCGAACAGGCACGGCAGCGCGAGGCCGAGTATGAGCGCGAGAGACGGGAGCGTCCGCAGAGGAGAGATCAAGCACCCGATGACAAAAAGGCGAGAGCCCGCTCCCGCAGCCGCCCGGGGCGCCCGACTAGCCGACCACCTAGCCGGCCGCCTAGCCGACAAGACTCGTGGAGGCCAAAGGACGAACGAGAATTTCTCAGCGCGCAATGGGATGAGGCTCAGAATCAACGAGAGGCCGGAACATCCGCCGCGCCGCCACCAGAAGCTCCGCCGCGATCACCGAGGCCGTTGCCCAACCCGGCTGTGGTGGCTCCTCCGTCCCCGACCAAGGTTAGGACCCACAGGACAGGGGGCGACGGCCCGCCGATCATCCCGGTCAGGAAACACCACACCGGCTCACGCCCACTTCCGGACCCAGCGGCCTACGCATCCACCCCGCCACCCCAGAAAGCGCCGACGCCGGCATTACGTACAGACCGCTACCCCGCGCCGCAGGCGGCCGCGCCACCGCAGACGTACTCCCGCGAGCTTGACGGGACGGCGGAGCGCGACGCCGAGGACAACAGGCGAGTGGCGGCCCAGAAGCAGACAAAGGCGGGCGGCTTGGCGGGCAAGTCGCTGCTGGAGCGGGAGATGGAGATGGAGCGGCAGCGGCAGCGCGAGTGGGAGGAGGCGCAGAAGCAGACTGCCAAGGCGTCACGCCCGGGCGACGGCGTCGACGGCATCGGCGGGGGCGTCGGCGGGAAGTGGGACGTCAGCCAGTGGTCCGGGTACGCGAGCGGCGATAGCCAGAACAGGGGCGGGCAGGGGATCGGCGCGGGGAGGAGACAGATCGTCGGGCCGAGACCGCTACCGGGGACCAGATGATCGTTGAATGGCGGGGAGGTGCGGGGAACCGTCCTGTTTTGTTTCTATGAGAGCACTTGCATGTGCGACTTAAGATCCGGGGGGCAAACTGTACTAATTGCTTGCACTGCCTATGTCAGAGTGCGGTGATGACTTCTGGGGTCAGCCAATGATTTCTTTACGACTTACTTAGAGATACATTATCAAATAAATATCGTGAGCTTTCCCAAGGTCATCGAGCGTCTGGCCCAGGGGACTACCGCCCGTGACGGACAGAGACGGTTAGTAGGATGATGCTTGCCCCCTGGCCGGCGAGACGTCAAATGAGGAATATCACTGTCGGCCAATCCGCGATCTGTGCCTGGGTTGTGGCGGCGTCGGCTGATCGATTGGAGGGAAGTAGGTGTATACCAATGTTACTCTGGCCAATCACACGGTACAGGCACCTTTCCAGCTATAGTTCATTCCGTTGATATCCAATCCCCAGCCAACGGTGATCACCATGCTCTAGAATCGGGGCACGGGGTTCTACGGCTGGCAGGTGTCTTCGCCTTGAGGCTACATACGGATGGGAAAGCAATGCCACCTCCCTTTTGAACCACTTGCACGGGCACATGCGAGGTGCCTTGGAGCATGACATCAAGCTGCATCAGCCATGCTTTAACTGTCTCTATACCCTCCTCTTCTCTACCCCACGCCTTCCCTCTCCTCTAGGTGACAACGCTACGGGCCAGTGGCTGCTCGTGAATGACGATAGCTCACGCCGTAAGGAATCCTCGAGGGAGAAGAGGTCCACTCTTCAGGTGATTCTCTCCCGATCACCAATACTGCTGTTATTGATTCCTCTCTCACACTCGCTCAGGCAGTCTCCGGCCCTTATACACCGAGTATTAATTGCCGTCCCTGCGCACGATATCCATGGCTCTTCTCTCGCGGTTCATCGCCCTTCTGGGCTGCATCCTGCCTCTCGTCCTCGGCCAAGCCCTGCCCCTGCACACCTCAAGCCGATGGATCCTCGACGCCGACAACAAGCGCGTCAAGTTGCGCTGCGTCAACTGGGCCGCCCACATGGAGACCAACGTGCCCGAGGGCCTCCACAAGCAGTCGATCGACTACCTCGCCGACTGGATCAAGGCCCAGGGCTTCAACTGCGTGCGCCTGACCTACAGCATCGACCACGCCCTCAACCCTGACCTCAAGGTCTCCGACTCCTTCACCGCCGCCGCCGCCGCGGCGGGTGTGTCTGCGGCGGCGATGCAGGACTTGTACGCCCGGGCGGTGGCCAAGAACCCGTTCCTGGGCGGGGCCGCGACGACGACGCGCGACGTGTTCGGCGCCGTGGTCGACGCGCTGTGGGCGCGGGGCGTCATGACGGTGCTGGACAACCACGTCAGCCGGGCGTCGTGGTGCTGCGACCTGACCGACGGCAACGGCTGGTGGGACACGGCCTTTGGCTACAACGACTGGAACAGCCGCTACTTCGGCACCGCCGACTGGCTCGCCGGCCTGGCGGCCATGGCCGCCTGGGCTGGCCACTACCCGGGCGTCGTGGCCATGTCGCTGCGCAACGAGCTGCGCGAGTTCCTCCTCCAGGACCTCAACGGCCGCCGCGACTGGTACGACCTGGTCGGCCGGGCGGGCGCCGCCGTCCACGCCGCCAACCCGGACGTGCTCGTCATCGTGGGGGGCGTGCAGTCCGCCACCGACCTGACGCACCTGCGCACCTCCAAGACGCTCGACACGTCGCGCTGGGCCGGCAAGCACGTGTGGGAGTTCCACGCGTACAGCTTCACCGTGACGTTCCCGGACCCGCTCAGCAGCTGCGCGGCGTCGCGGGCCGAGTACGGCCTCTTCGACGGGTTCGTGCTGGAGCAGGGCAGGGCCTTCACGGGGCCGCTGTTCCTGAGCGAGTTCGGCGTCGGCATGAGCGGCGGGCCCGGCAACGGGCTGTCGGAGCGCGACGGCGCCTACCTCGACTGCCTGGTCGGGTACATGGCCGACAACGACGCCGAGTGGGCCGTCTGGGCGCTCCAGGGGAGCTACTACGTCCGGGACGGCGTCGTGGACAAGGACGAGGGCTGGGGCCTGCTCGACGGCGCGTGGGCGGGCTGGAGGAACTCGGCCTTCCCGGGCATGCTGAAGGGGATGTGGAATGTCACGCAGGGCCCTTGAGGGAGGCGTGCTGTGGGTCTCGTAGGTTGGCGTTTCTTGGTTCGAGCATATATCATTTTAAATCATAGTAGTAGTATGGATGGCTTATATCATGAAGACCGTTAAAACGTCACTCCTGCCTCCATGCAAATCCATGTCAACCGCCTTTTGACAGACTATACCAATCTTCCCCCGGCACTTAGAGGTCAAAGTAGGTTTCGTTCGACTCCCCGGCGTCATCTCCACTGCCACCAAAGTACAGATCATCGAAGGTATTGTTATTATCGAGGCCAATCCCCCCGAGGTTGTAATCCATTTCCTCGTTGAAGAGCGTGTCTATCTCAGCGTCGAGGCTGTCGGTGTTCGCATGGTCACCGCCTGCGTTCGCGACACCCTCCGTCGGGCCCATGGTCATGTCTGCAACAGCTCCATCGGCGCCGACCCCGAAGCTGTCCAGATTAAGCAGGTCGCCTGGCAGGTCCGCGGTGCCGAAGTCTGCCAGGTCCATCTCGGGTTGTTGCTGCATCAGGGATTCGTTCGCCGCCGGGACCAGTGAGAATGCCATGTCGGTGAACGCCATCTCTGGATCGGGGATGGCCAGCGCGCTGGCGGGAGCCGGGGTGGTTGTTGGCGGGAGGCTCAACGGACCAGTGAACGACATCGATGTGGGCGCCATCGCTGCCGATACCGGAGACTGAGCGGTGGTCGTAGCCGCGGATTGAGGGGGTTGGTAAGGCACCGCCCTGGACTCCTTCTTGGGGGGAGCACTGGATGGTCTTCCGGTCATAGCAGCTTGCGCGGCAGCGGGTTTGGGCGATGGCTTCGCCGGACTCGCTTTTGCTGCGGCCGGGGCTGCTGCCGGGGCCGGGGCCGGCACCGGGGGAGGGCTCATGGCGAGCAGAGTCTCAGGCGACCCGGAGAAGTCGAAGCCCATGTTAGGGAATGGCGCAACGGGCCTGTTGTCCGTCTTCATCAGCGACCCGGCCCCGGGAGGTGGAGCCGTGGTGGCCGCGGTAGCTGCGGGTGAAGGTGCAGGAGCAGGAGCAGGAGCAGCACTAAGCTTGGGAGAGTCTATGTCCGCAACCATAGGAGCCGGGGGAGCGACAGACACGTCCTTTGGCTCAGTCGCTGGGGCGGGGAGCGTCCTCTTGGCCCTCAGCTGCTCCAGATCTCGGAGCAGAACAGACTTTGCCCTGACCTTTACCAACGCATGTCAGAATTAAGCAATGCCATAAGAAGAAAGGGGGGCTTTACGATTTCGCTTTCCAGGTCGTCCAGAGCATCATGGAACGTGTCAGTCGAAGACGGGATTCTGCTCCTGACGGTCGAGTTGACCTGCGCAAGAGTGCCCTTAGAGTCCTTGCCACCTGTCTTCAACACTTTCCCCGTCTGCACAAGCTGATTTGACGAGCTGGTTAGCCTGGAAAGTTGCAGGGAACGCGAGACGGTTGCAGTTGACAGGCGCCTCATACTCACCACGTCATTAAACATCTGTTGCAGCACATCGAGAGCATTATTGGATTTGGGAACGGCCATCTTGGCAGGTTTGGTGGCTAAACAAAGGCCGATGAGTACAGTTGTACGTTTACAAGTGAAGAGACGGTTTGCTCTCTTGCAACTTTGCAAGCTTCAGAAGTTCAGGGCGGCAGGGGGAAGTGGGGCTGGGGTTTGACAGGACCGTTTGCTAGGTGAAGGTTCTTAGTGTGATTCTTTGAGGGTACCCCGTCAGAAGTATAGAAGCATTGAATGATCAAGATTTTAAGAAAGGCCCCCGTCTTGAAATGAAAGGAAGCCGAGAAATTCAGAAATCGAAAGCGGACGGTTCATGGAATGGCCTTTCTGGATTGAAGAATATCCGTTGTTGGGTTAGGTTTGAGAAAGTATATCCCTGTAACTTTGTATGTATATACATGTACCTTGCTAACATCAACCTCCCATCTCCCATTGGAACCCAACTTTCGGTTGGAGTGCCTCTGCATAGAGTGGATTCGCAGCATCCACTGTTTGCGCAGCATGCATGTTTGTCACTGCCAGCCAGCACCAGGGCACGCAGGGGTAGGTTATCACAGTTTCCAACTGTTTGTCTTGTCCGACCTTCCAGCAACAGCTGATTACCATAGTAAACGTACAGGACCATCTGCGGCGTTTGACTGTTTGAGATGAGACCATCCATGCCTATCTACCTACCTGCCCGGGCGGTTATTGGGGCAGGGGCTGGCTTCCATAATCCATACCAACAACAGGGTAGTACAGGTATCCATCCAATGTTCGTGACCTGCCTGTGTCTGCTTTAACACTGAGGTGGCTCCCAGGTTATGCATTCCGCGGGATATATCGGGTATAACGGTGCGCCTGACCATCGTTCCTGTGCTAGGTACCTTAATATCCCCATTAACGTACATCTCCATCCAATGGTCCCCTATCAGAGCCCAGAGTAGCCAGGCGGGTATGTATCCGGTTACCTGAGGTAGTTATCCCCATCCCTGGGCGCCCTGGCTTGTCCAACTACTAGGTACCTGCAAAGTACGCATGTATGTAGTCTGAACCGTTAAGGCGGAACTTGGACCCACACGGGAACCTCTCCGCCAATCCAGCAAGCAAATGGCACGATCAAAATTGACCCCAGCTTTCCCCTCCTCTCTTTTTCCTCTTGCTTTTTCTGAATCCATTACAGGAGAAAGACAAGTATCATATTGACCGGCTGCTGCTGTTGCGACTTTTTTGGGGGCTTCCTCCTTTCACGGCCGTTTCTTTTCCCTCTTACTTTGTCCTTTTCCCGGCTTGTGCTCTCTCTTGTCATCGCCTGCGTCATCGTCGTCGTCGAGTCTGAGTCCCTCCTCCTTCTGTTGTCTTTCTCCAGCTTCTCTTCCCTTGCCGTCGCTCCTCGACAAGGCACGGTTTCTCTCTTCCATTGGACTCATCTCCTATCGTCTCCCATCGGCTTTCCGACCGGCTCCTCCCATTGTGGGTAGCTCGTCTGTGCTGTTCTTGAACCAGATTCTCGCCTTTTAGCAAACGAGTCCCTTCTTTTTTTGCCCTGAACAAGGCAGAAAAAAAGGAAAAAAGAATTTAAGTTCCAAATCTCCCCGCAACAAACTCTTGGGAACAAGGCTTCGCCATCTTGCCCTCTTCATTTTAGAGCCGCGCAATAATCCAAAGATTTGCGCATTTACTTGGCGCAAGTGGGCGTACCGTCTTTTTTCAATCACATCCTCTCCGACCATACCTGTGTCTTCTGGTAGCCAACTGAATTGCGTCCTTCTAAATTCTCTTCGCGAAACCTTGAGCGCGCCCGTTCCGTCCCGACCCCTATTGGAAGATCGCAAGTCCTTGAACGAAGTTAAGAATCATGGCCGAGACCGGACCGCCTCCGAGCTCCGCCCAGCTCCCCCCTCCGCAGCCAAATGTTGGCGCGCCGGGTTACGAGGGCGGCCAGAACGCCCAGCCGAACCCGTCTCATCCATCCCATCTGCCGCCCCCTCCGCTCCACATCCCGCAGAACACCAACCCCATCCCGACGGCTATTACATCGCCTATGGGTGGAAATGGCGACAAGAGCGGAATGATGTCCCCAGGCAGCGCCGGTCCTTTCGCGAGACGCGCTGCGCCCGAGCCTAATAAGCGGGCGCTGTACGTCGGAGGTCTGGATCCCCGAGTGACTGAGGATGTCTTGCGCCAGATCTTCGAAACGACCGGCCACGTCCAAAACGTCAAGATCATTCCCGACAAGAATGTGAGTTGGTGCTTTGTGGGCTATCAGTTTCGCAGTGTCCTTGATCGGGGGGCATCAAGCTAACTGGGAGATATCACCAGGCAAAGGGGTACAATTATGGCTTTGTTGAATACGATGACCCTGGCGCAGCTGAGCGCGCGATGCAGACTCTGAATGGCCGACGCGTGCATCAATCTGTACGGAAATTCCGCCCGCTGCCCTAGCCCACATGACCGATACTGACCGTTTTGTAGGAGATTCGCGTCAACTGGGCCTACCAATCCAACACGACCAGCAAGGAGGATACCTCGAACCACTTCCACATCTTTGTGGGCGATCTGTCCAATGAAGTCAACGATGAGGTGCTGATGCAGGCCTTTTCTGCCTTTGGATCGGTTTCCGAAGCCCGTGTCATGTGGGATATGAAGACTGGCCGCTCTCGTGGTTATGGCTTCGTCGCTTTCCGCGACCGTCCGGAGGCTGAGAAGGCTCTGAGCTCCATGGACGGCGAGTGGCTCGGTTCCCGGGCCATTCGCTGCAACTGGGCCAACCAGAAGGGCCAGCCTTCGATTGCCCAACAGCAGGCGATGCAGCAGATGGGCATGACCCCTACCACTCCCTTTGGCCATCATCATTTCCCGACCCATGGTGTCCACAGCTATGACATGATCGTCGGCCAGACGCCTGCCTGGCAGACGACCTGTTACGTTGGCAACCTGACGCCGTACACGACCCAAAATGATCTCGTTCCTCTGTTCCAGAACTTCGGCTATGTCGTCGAGTCTCGCTTCCAAGCCGATCGCGGATTTGCTTTCATCAAGATGGATACCCATGAGAATGCTGCTATGGCTATTTGCCAACTGAATGGCTATAATGTTAATGGACGCCCGCTCAAGTGCAGCGTAAGTATTCTCTTCCTTTCCCGCCGTGTTTCCGTCTTCGAGAGCAGTCCCACTAAACAAGAAGTAGTGGGGGAAGGACAAAAATCCCAACCATCAGAACTTCGACCCCTCCCAGCAGTACAGCCCTCAAAGTGCCCAAGGACCAGGACCTGCGTACCCCGGGACGCCGTCGACTTATTTCCCCCAGTATGGAGGTCGGTATTCTATCCCCTCAGTCCTACATCTCTCTAGCAAAAACCTTACTCTGACACCCATCATAGGTCAATATAATGCTCAGCAGGGCAACTACGCGGGTCCTCAGGCTCAGTCGCCTGCCCCCTATAACTCGCAGCCTATGGGTTATTCCGGACCCTCGAGCGCCGGCGGATACGGCCGGGGCCAGCAACCTGCAAATGCGCAATGGGCCCAGCCTCCGGCCGGCCAGAACTTCAACAACGGATTTAGCGGCTATCAGGGGTAGAATGGGAAATCTCCTTTGCACTCGGCGCTCGTCTTCGCTTTCCCCCTCTCCCTGGACATTGCACGAGCATGGTGTTGTTGTTTGGGAAAACCTGAGCCTTCTCGGAATGCGGAAACAGTGGTACGGTCTGTTTGAGACCGCATCAGCACTGCATCATCTCATCTTCTACGCAACTTTTGCGACGTTTCAAATCGTTTAGTAAATGAGATATCCGGGTCTGATGGAGGCGGATTGGGCCTTTCGGTTTTTGCGCTTCGTATCTTGATGTACCACTCTCTCCTCGTCTCAGATTCTTTTCTCTTTCCTGTTTGCCAGTGATTCCCAGAGGCATGATCTATTATTATTCTCTTCAGCTGGGGTTTTCGTGCAGCTGCACATCTTACCTTCGCATCTCCATAGTTCTCTCCATGATTGATTTTCCTACGCTGGATACCTCTTCAGACCATTGCACATTGCACGGGTCCCTTCGTTGGTCAGCCCTTTCACTAACGAGTTCATGATCTCTGCTATATCAGTCAAAAGTACTCGCCCCTGTCAGTCGACGGGATGAGACAGCCGAAGTTTCTCAGGATTAGGAGGAGTCTGGGGTCAATCTTTTTTTAGTAATTTTATTTCTCAGGATGGAAGCAGATTCTGGAGGTTGAGGTCTATCGATGTTCTACGAGAATGCTAGTCAGATATAGGATTATTTTGTTGAGACGGAGAAAAGCAAAAGAAGACTGGCGTTTGGGAACCTATTCTGAGGGATTTTGGCCAGCCCAGGGAAACAGATTACGTGCTTCCGTCCCCGGTTCACTCGCCTTGTGTCCTTTTTTTGTGCATTGTGTTCACGTTACTGCTGTTCCTGGTCCTAAGCAACGGTAGCATTGCGCGGTATCAGGGAGAATGGGCACTTTGGATACAGCATGTCAGATCTGGGAGCTGGGAACTTGCCTCATGAGGATGAACTCATTCTCAGAGCCACCCACCACTTGACCGTTCGGAGAGAGATGATAGACTACCAAGGCAGAAAAAGGGAGGCGAACCCCCAATACCTGAGTATTCAAAGCCCTCAATTGAACCACCGTTTACAATAATCGTGCATGGACAACAAAGGTAATTCATTCAAGAGATGGACATGAAGTCATCCGTAGCTGCCTTGCTTGCCGGTATTGGCGACAGATAGGGTTAGGGTTGTGTTGTAGGTACGAAGGCGTCAGGCCACACCTGCATCCGTGCTAGGTTTGAAATGCACTGTACGAATCCCAATTCAGAGAGCAGCTTGTCCAAATCTAACGTTTGATTGTGTTTTGGCTAGGGATGTACCGGTGAATGTGTTCCCAACAAACAGCGAATTACCTTCAACAGTGTTGATATGTTTGATGCTCAGTATGCTACTAGGTTGCGTTAGGTTTATGACTATTATAGGTAGATACCCACCTAGGTACGCTATCTTGCATACGAAGCTCAAGGAAGAAAGTAGGGTGACTCCGTCATCCGCACTGTACCATAAGCGATACACCCCCAATAGCAGGCGTCGTCTGCTGCTCACGGGGAAAAAAGGGTCCCTTCCAAGAGGATGTATAGTGTATCCAATAATTTCTGACTCGATCGCACGTCAAGTCAGTCCTGGCTTGGATGTAGTCTGGCCAAAAAGGCCAAAACGTTTCCGACCTTCTCCCTACCTTGGGCCTTGTTTCCTGCCGTCGGCCCATCTTGAACCTCTTTCGGCCCGCCTAACGCGTCAAAGCCACGACGGGCATTCGTCGACCTTGCGCTCGCCAGATCCGCCGCTCCATCACTGAGCGGGCCCCATTTTCCAACTCGGAGCCCAAAATCCAGTCCAGCAACGACGCAATCGTCACAACAGCCATAGCAGAACCGTGTATTGGGCCTTCTTGCCCTGCAGCAGCCATGGATCAATGGCAATCGTACCCCGATTCTGCTGGTGGCTCTCGAAGATACAATGGCAGCAACCAGATGGCGGCCCGAGATTATAACAATGGCCAGCCTCAGGCACAGCCGCCCGCCGGTTTCAAGTACGACCAGTACCAGGGTGGACTGACCTCGCAACAGAACTTGACCGGCTCGCCCATAACCTCGCCCCAGGTTCGCGACGGCAATGGCGACGTCGCCATGCAGGACGCTCACGACCCCTACGCAAGTATGAAATACCCCATGCGGCCCCATCATCAACATCACGCCTCTGGTGGCCGTCCCTCGAATCTGCACTCCCCCCAGGAACCTTCCGCTGCCGCCCAGCGATACTCGCCCATGGAAGCTCTGTCGCCCACCTCACCCTACGCACCGAAGTCTGCTGGCCCAGCCCAGTTCTCCCAACCCCCTGCCCAGCGCCAGTCGCCAACTCGCCCGTCCGACTACCCCCCTCAAAGCCCTTACTTCAACAGACTACAGGGCGGGCAGCTACCACCCATGAACCCCTACGCATCTGCCCATGACAGCTACCCGTCCTCTGCTGCCATGACAATGGACGCCAGTTTCGCGAACGATCCCAAGTCGCCGCTTCGCCTCCAGCCTCCGCCGACTATCCCGTCAAAGGGACCGGTGCCCAAGTTCAAGAAGGTTACTGCCCCAACAGACTTGCGGCCAACAGTCAACTCCCAACCGCCGTTTCGGCGAGCGAACCCGGAGGGCGGATTCATCAGTGTAAGAAGCTCTCGCGCCGTTCCACCTCCATCTTTGCTGCTGCTGACTCTCGCAACGACAGCCCCTCCAAGCTCTAACCGTCCATCTCCCGGCCACCTATCGCATCTGTAACCCGAGCTTCAAATACGAGTCCTCGAGAAATCCACGCCGCGTCCTGACGAAGCCTAGTAAGGGAGTGAAGAATGACGGGTACGACAACGAGGACAGCGACTACATTCTCTACGTCAACGACATACTAGGTTCCGAGGAAGCTGGGCACAAGTGAGCTCCATGGAGGCGTGAGGCCTATTCCGGTGGTCAAACTATTGCTGACATGATTGATCTCCAGGAACCGCTATCTCATTCTCGACGTCCTCGGCCAGGGTACCTTCGGTCAGGTGGTCAAGTGCCAGAACCTGAAGACCCAAGAGGTGGTCGCTGTGAAGGTCATCAAAAACCGTACAGCATACTTCAACCAGAGTATGATGGAAGTCTCGGTTCTGGATCTGGTATGATTGCTGCCCTGCTTTATTTTACCCCGGGAACAACCCTCTGACCTTTGTCCAGTTGAATACCAAGCTCGACAAGAACGACGATCATCATCTTCTCCGTTTGAAAGATACCTTCATCCACCGGCAACACCTGTGCTTGGTCTTCGAACTCCTGAGCGTCAACCTCTACGAGCTCATCAAACAGAACCAATTCAGGGGCCTCAGCACAACGCTTGTGCGCGTCTTCGCGCAGCAGCTCCTCAATGGCCTCGCATTGTTAAACAAGGCCCGGCTCATCCACTGCGACTTGAAACCAGAGAACATCCTGCTGAAAAATCTGGAAAGCCCCATCATCAAGATTATAGATTTTGGCTCGGCCTGCGACGAGCGTCAGACTGTATATACCTACATCCAGTCGAGATTCTACCGGTCGCCCGAAGTCTTGCTCGGACTGCCTTATTCCTCGGCCATCGACATGTGGTCCCTGGGATGCATCGTGGTGGAACTGTTCCTCGGCCTGCCGTTGTTCCCGGGCTCCTCCGAGTATAACCAAGTCTCGCGCATCGTCGAGATGCTCGGCAACCCGCCAAACTGGATGATCGAGATGGGGAAGCAGGCTGGCGAGTTCTTTGAGAAGAGGACGGACGAGTATGGCCGGAAGACGTACCATCTAAAGAGCATGGAAGTCTACTCACGGGAACACGGCACCAAGGAGCAACCGAGCAAGAAGTACTTCCAAGCCAGCACTTTACCAGAGATCATCAAGTCCTATCCCATGCCGCGGAAAAATATGAAGCAGCAGGAGGTTGACCGAGGTACGCTCAGATTCGAAATTATACCCCTGCCCGGTGTTGTTGCTGACCCCAAGCTTTATAGAGATGAACAACCGCATTGCCTTCATAGACTTCGTCCAGGGCCTCTTGAACATCAACCCCCTGGAAAGATGGTCGCCACAGCAGGCCAAACTGCATCCGTTCATCACGCAGCAGAAATTCACTGCGCCTTTTGTGCCGCCGATGAACCTGAAGGCAAGCTCGCTGAATAGATCACCCGCTCCAGGAACACAGCAGCAGCAACACGCCGAGAGCCTAAGCAAACAGAGAGCTCAGGCCGCGCAAGCCCAAGCGAATTCTGCAGCACAAGGCGCATATGCGGCGTCGATGGCAGCTGCAGGCCAATACTCGCCGGCTGGCCACCCCCAGGCTGGCCACCCCCAACAGGCTCAAATCTACTCAAACAACAGCCTATACTCTCCCGGTGCCGGCCATGCGGGGGCTCCACCGCCGTATGCTTCCCAACAGGGAGGCTACGGGCAGATGGCCATGACACAGCCACCCACACAGATGCCCCCGGCGAACTACGGCGGTGTGTCCCAGTCCAACCTGTACGCTCAGCAAGCCGCCAGGAATCGACAGCGGGCATCGACCATGGAGCAGCAGCAGAGCGGTATCCCGGCGGCCATCCAGAGAGTCGCCAGCCATCTCGACCCGAGCCACCCCATCCGGCTGCAGCCGAGTCCGGCGTACTATCCTCCGCCCCCGGACGGCATCTCGGGCCTTGACCAGACTCCTGGCCGCGCCGGGAGGAGAGGCAGTCGCGCGCAGCAGACTGGAAGGGGCAACAATCGTGACTTCATCCGGAATCTCGAGGAGCGGACCCTCGAGGAGGGCTTCATGGGCGATCAGAATCCCTGGCATTGAGCTGCATCGCTGGAACTGGCTTTTTGTCGTATGACGGAGACGGAAGAAGGATCTTCCCCTGGACGTTTTCACCAGATTGCCCCATTTTCAAACAGACACTAGGTCGCGCTTCGCTTTGGTTCCTTTTCTTTTTTCTTTTTTTTTTGTACCGACAGAGACGCCGTTCGTATCCCAAAGCCTCTTCAACAACAAGCTCTCTCTCGGGATGAGGAAAAGTAGCTAGGCCCCCTAAGCCGCCGCTCTCACTGCGGGAAGCTGCATTGGGGCTGCAGACGCACTTTCGAACGCTTCTATCGCCAAAAAAAGAAACAAGAAGGGTATAACGTGTCCTGAACCGGAACAAGAACGCGCAAAACTAGGGTCGCATAAGGGATTCCGCTAGGTGCTTTTGGCTTTGACGCGATGCAGAAAGCAGCATTTACGGGGGGCGGAACTCTATTCCACCGACTCGGGGACGAGGACCCCAGCTCGACCAACGACAAGACATATCATTCAAGAAGGAGGGAACTCCTGAGGGGATGGCAGTAGGAGAGGATTGGTTGTCCTAAATTAAGATTGGTCGTGGGGAGGGGGCAAGGCTCTTTCGAGAGAGGCACAGGCGGGGGGGACTATGTTCTGTTTCATTTTTCTTCATCATCTTTCTTCACCCATCGCCCTAAGGTTTATACATTACCTCCTTTGTTTCTTCGGGTCTCGGCGGGGATGTGACGATGGGGGGGACGGGGTTTTGGGGCTGGCATCTAGTGCCATCTCTCTCATATCCAAGATGATTCATGGGGCATCGATCGAGGTTGGGGTGGGAATCGAAGTGGTAGCAAAACGATGGGCCTGGATATCGGAAGATGAGGCTCTCGGAAGGCTCTCTATCTAAATGCGAGGATCGATAAGATACTCGAATCATCATCCATGTGTTTCTGTCTCTGCTCATTGACCTTTGAAACCCATATCCCCCCCCCTTTTTTTCCTTATTTGGGAACCACACGAACTCCGCGAAAGCAAAGAAAGCGCTCGATCTCGAATAAAACGGCGACCTGCCCTATCCCTCCCCCGAAATCCGTCTTCAGGAGACAATCCAAGGCGTTGCCGGTCCCTACTACCTATCCAGCAGACCTGAGAAGAGGGTGTTCTTCAGGAACCCTCCATACCAACTATGGCCGATCAAAGTCCACAGTCTTGCCCTGTCCGGTCGGGGCAACAACAATCATCGTCATTCTCTCCGCTGGCCCCCAAGAGCGGTTCGCTCACCACCTGGTCCAACCCCTAGTACCACCACCGCCACCGCCACCGCCGCCACGACCCGGCCGCACAATGCTATCACTATAGAGGCCCCGGCCGGGCGTGCGGTCTCCGCCGCCGTCGTTGTTGTTCGCGTTCCCGTTCCCGTTTCCGTTGACGTACGCCCCGTCGCCGCCGCCGTCCATGGGGTCGTCGAAACCCAGCGTGCCGTCAACAACGGCGGCGTCGCGGGCGTCGCGACCGCGCTGGGCCCGCGGCCCGCTGGGCGGGTGCGCCGACAGAGCGGCTGCTGGCGCGGTGGGGGGCCCTCCGGCGGCGGCGCCGGGCTTGTGATATACGTGGAGGAGGCGGCCGTCGGCCTGGTTGGTTTGGGGTTAGCGGGGGGGAACCTATTTCTCTGCGGGAGGGAGGGGTGGGAGAATGGGGTTGGGGCTTGTGTGGTGGAGGGTAACGAGCAAGAGAGGGGGGAGGGGGGAACTCACAGTCTGGTTATTGAACGTGGAGACGACATTGTCCGCGCCCTCCTTGCTCTCGATGACAATCTCGGCGATGACGATGGGGTTCACCTTCAGCAGCCGGCAGCTGCTTATCAGGCCGGCGACGGGCGTCATGGCGTTCTCGATGTCGGCCGCCGTCGTGCCGGGCGCGAAGTTCTGGGCCATGACCACGTACGGCCCCGCCAGCCCGCGGATCACCATCCCCCTGCTGAAGCTGCCGCCCGCCGGAGCGGCTGCCGGCGGGTTGTTGATCTGCTGTCCCGTCTTCGTCAGGGCCCGCGACACCTGCTCGGCTCGGCGCTGCTGCTGCTGCTGTCGCCGGGCGTTGGGCGCCGGTGCGGCGCCGGGCCCGGTGATGCGGCTGGCGAGCGAGCCCGGCCGCGGGGAGGCGCGGGGCGTGGAGGGCGCGGAGTGCCTGTCGTGGAGGTCGTGCGTCCATTCGCCGTTGATGTCGCCTGCGGCGGTTCTCGGTTGGAAGCCTCCGCGAGGGCTGGTGGTGGCGGATACGATGCGCTTTAGAGGAGGTGGGGGTCGTCAGTCTCGTTTGTCACGATGGAGTTTTGAAGAAAAAATAAAAAAGGATTGGAAGGAGGGTTGTGGTTGCTCACCTTATTCACGCCAGCTCGGCTTGCCAAAGAGCCTCCACCTCTTGCCCTGGGTCCTCCGCTCGCCCGCCTGTCCCTGTTGAAGATCCGGGCGGCGAGAGCCTCGTTCTTCTTGCGATCCCGACCTTGGCAGCTTGTCAGCACGGGGTCAAAGATGCAGGGTGATGCATTGAGGCAATACGACCGTAACTTACCGGCATTGATGATATTCTCAAAGTCTGTTGCGACTCGTCCGCTCGCCATGGTTGGCGGTCTGTCTTGAGGTCTTGAGGAATGGATGTGTATCACGGGTTGGCGGGAGCTGGTTTTCTGAAAATAGACAGCCGCAACTGCAAGAGAACTGTCTGAAAATGATGTCTGGAGGAATCTTGGAGAAGGTCTGCTCGGTATTTAAAGATTGGTGACGTGAAAATCTGGTGAATACTTTGGTACAATAGGCGCGCAAACTCCAATTATCACGGATGGTGAACAGGAGGCGTGGCGCGTCGCCAGATTGCGCAGCAGAGGTCCGTGCATTTACGCTTCGTTCTATGTATGTATGTATGTATGTATGTACGTCCAGCCAGGAAAACGCGTTAGCGTGTAACCACGGCTACAAGAATAATTAGGTATTTCATAGCTCAAAACACAGAGCATGGTATAACCCAACCTTCTCTTCCAGCCCGGGTGTCAAACTGAAGATTTCTATAATTCTGACAGATATCTCCTGCCATAGACTCCCCGGTATCGTACATACAGCACTGTAACAACTCCGGCCGGCCCCTTATGGCAAAAGATATATCTAGATAGCTCAAAAGACCTTGATACCATGCCCAGCAGCTTGCTTCATGAAGAAGCCCTTCAGCGGTCCCAGGGAATTCACCGCATTCAGGCCCAGAGACCTCAGTGGCACCAACGGTCCACTTCCCACCGAGTACAGCTTATGAAGCTTATCACAGACCCCCAGCAGCACATGATTCGCCGCATATCGCTCTGATGCGTACGGCTCCAACGACATCCGAGTGCCGAGATCCTGCCCGTGGCTGACAGCAAACTCGATGGTCTTCGCCAGGCTCTGCACGTCGCCCTGGCCCTGGTTGAGGCCCTGACCACCCAGGGGGTGTATCGTGTGGGCGGCATCTCCGATGAGGGCGACACGCTCCCCGATGTAGGTGTCTGCGTGCCTCATTTTCAGGGGGAACGAAGCAACGGTGCCTTCTTGCACCCCAATCACTGTTTGCGGTACGGTCTCTGGATTGACTGCTTTGTGTTGCAGGCGCCAGGCGACTTCATCGGCCTGGCCTGAGCTCTGGCTGTGTAGAAATTCCAGATCGACAGGGGTCAGCCGGAAGGCGGCGTTGACCGTCGCGATGAAGTCCTTTGCCGACAGGCTCTTGAGCAGAGACGCGTTGGCGGGAGTGGTGGACCAGACCAGGGTCGAGTAGTTTCCGGGCATAGGCAGCATCGCAACAGGTCCTGTAGGGAGGAATCGCTGATATGCGATCTTCATCTGGTCGCCGCCCCAGCCGTTCCCCTCGAGCTCCAGCGTAGCGACCACCCCGTGCCTCCCATAGTCCCACCCCCTAGCCTCGATGTCTGCGAAAGTCCGCACGGGGCTATTCGCGCCGTCCGCGCCGACAAGTAGCCGCGCCCAGAGTTTCTTGTCGCCAGAGAGGTTGACGACAGGCCACTCCCTCAGGTCCATCGCCCCTGCCTCCTCCCCAAAGGATATGCTTTCCACCCTCGCGTTGTCAAAGGTCGCAACATCTCCAAGCTCCTCCAGCCGCCTCAGCAGCCCCGAGGTCAGGTTCAGGTTCTCCGTCATGTACGCGATGGTGCCCCCCGAAGACGCGGCGTCGGCCTGTTCCCATTCGAACTCAATCCTCGCGTCGCTAACCCCGTCCCAGACCTGCATCTCGTGATACGGCTGGATGCGGTCCCGGTCCAGATGCCGCCACGCGCCGATCCGGTCGAGGAAGAGCGCCGACGACGGCGTGAGGGAGCTGCAGCGGTTCGAGAACCGGTCGCGCGGCAGCTTCCAGGACTTGATCTTGGAGAGGTCCTGGGCTTCCACTAGTGCAACCCGCAGGCCGGCTGTGACAGGGTTCGAGCCTGCAAAGACGGGTTTGGTCAGAAGGTACTTCTTTCAGGGGTGGGATTCGCGGGTGGGCGACGCACGCAGAGCCGTGACAAGACTCAGGCCGGCCGGGCCACCACCGACGCAGACCACATCGTAGATGTCGGGGTTTGCGGTCGTCGAGTATGAGCGGAGCAGTTGCCTCTGGGCGCGACGCGTGCAGCCCCGGCACAGATATGGCGCAGCTCGTGCTCTAGCAAGATACCCCATCATTGGGCCTGTCAGCTAGGTAGGTACTCTAGGTAATCTAGGTAGCTACCTAGAGGTTGGCCTTGAAAAGCAGCTTGTCCCGTCGTCACCTGAGGTGGGTCTATGAGACATTCGAGGTTCGATGTCCAAGCTTTTGGTAGAAGCTTTTAACCCTAACCCTCATTCGGCGATCTCACATTTGCAATGCGAAGGGGAGAACGAAGCGACTTCATCACAGACGGCAGATAGGTAACCTAGGTACTAATGAGCGTGAAACGTTCAAAATTACACACAGCTGGAGTGTTTTAGTAAATCGCTGATTAACTGCACGAATGTAGAAATCTCCGATCAACATATTGCATCCGGGACATATTCCGGGCACAGCCTAGTATCTAGCCAGGGGCCTAAAATGCTCACTAACAACCCCCATCAACTCCCATCCCCATCACCCTCCGCAGCCTTGAGCTCCCGGACCCTCTCCAGCGCCTCCTCAACCACGCCCAGCAGCTCCTCCTCGCTCTCGAGCCCGACGCTGATCCGGACCTGCTCCGCGCGCACGCCGTACGCGGCGTGGTACGCAGCGCCCTCGGGGTCGCGCCCCCACAGCATCTCGTTAAATGGCACCGCGAGCGTGACGTGCGCCCCGAGGTGCGGGCCGTGGTGCACGGCGAGGCCGTCGAAGAAGGCCCTCGCGCAGTCCTTGGTCTCGAACTCGACCGAGAGCAGGCAGCCGTGGCCCGGGGCCGGGAACTCGGGCGTCGGCCGCCTCATGGCGGCCTCGTAGTTGGCGAGGGTGTCCGACAGCGTCGGGTACAGGACCCGCGTGATCGCCGATGACGGGTCCGCCGCGCCCGAGCGGGCGTGAAAGAAGTCGGCGAGGGTCCGCGCGTTGCGGTTGAGGATCGCGCTGCGGGCGAGGAAGTCGGCGCTGTTGGAGAGCAGCTTCTCCGCGTCGCCGGCGAAGTACTCGTTGCGGAAGTGCGTGCCGAAGATGGCCTTGATCGGCGCGTAGTGCGGCGAGACCGGGTTGAGGACTAGGCTGCCGCCCATGACGTCGGCGTAGCCGCTGAAGCTCTTGGTGGTGGATGTCATGACTATGTCGGCTACGGGGAGGACGTCGATGTTGCAGAAGCTGCCCACCGTGTCGTCGACTACCAGGAGGAAGTCGTAGGTATCCGCCTGCGAGGAGGTTAACGAGGCTCTCGGGTGTGTCGTTCCTGTTTCGACTTACCAGTTGTCGTAGTCTCTTCAGATCCGCACTGACGAGGATGGGGTTGCTCGGAAACTCGAGGAACACGAAGGTGGTCTTGCGCCCCTCCTTGGCCTCATCCCGCAGATACACTTCCAGCTCCTCAAGCGCGTTCCCGGATGCATCGCAGGCCCCAAAGTGCCTGAACCCGTCCACAGAGTCGTTGAACAGGTGCCATGTAGAGTGGAAAATCGAGCCCAGCGCGACAATAGGCCCTCTTCTCCACCGTCCTATCATGTCGCACGCCCTGTAGATGGACGCCATGCCGCTCGGGTACAGGTAGACGTCGTCCGGCTGGACCTTGACCGCCTCGGGCTGCAGCGCCGCGCGGTGAAGCAGGCCCGCGATCCTCTCCCTCAGCTTCCCATGCGCCTCGCACTCGGGCAGCCACGTCGGCGGCGGCGGCGGCGGCAGCGGCACCTCTTCCCCGCCTGCAGATCCGTCGAACGGCACCTCCTCGAGGGTGTCGACGTGCGGGAGCAGGTACTCGGCAAGCCGGGTGCTGACGCCCGTGCCGGGGTCCTTCCACACGCCGATGATGCCGGCGTACTTGTCCAGCGGGAACGTGACGACGTAGAGGCGGACGCCGTGGATGTCGACGACTCTGAAGCCCAGGTCCCCGGCTGAGAGCTTCTTCTCCCCGCGGTGGGGCGAGAAAGCGTGCAAACGGGCCGTGGCGAAGATGTCGGGGTTGACAAAGGCCAGGGCGCTGTGGGTTGGTGGGAGGGCGAGCTTCTCACGGATTTTCATGGGGAGCTTGGGGGAGATGTCAGTCAAGCAGTTGGGCGAGTTAGATCAGAGGAAGAGTGTATGGCCGCGCCTCCCGAAGAATGGACTCACCTCCCTGGCTTTGTTCCAGGGTGCGAATCTAGGGTATATAGATGTAACCCTTGCCAGAACCGCCTTGTCTCCTTCTCGGAGACGCATGATGTTATCCCATCCCTGGATGTGGGTGGTGATGGTGTGAGGACCCTCTGGCGGGGCAGAATGCCCAAACTCTGTGTTTAGTACCTTGGCCGGCATGTTGGGCCGTCCCCTGTGTCTACTTCGTCGGTGAGCTTCGGCTCAAGACTTGTTATCCTGGCTCGGGCAGCTTACATGTTGACGGGACGGCACGAAGGACGTGTGAGTATCTGACTCAAGCACCAACTTGGCGAGCCCGGTGGAGTTGTCGCACTAGTTATATATGCGCAATTAGCTCGTGGGCTGACAAAAAATCATGCGAGCGATCCCAAGAGATATCGCACAGATGCCTATCCAAGAAAGAAGAACATAAGCATCGACTATTGGCGCCTTGTCAACGGCCCATCAAGGCAGCGGATGGATATGCGGCACCGGCCTCGCCCTCCCCCTACTAGCTCGCGGCTGCACTAGGCTGAGAGTCTCATATTCATGATTACATATTCCATACCGTCTTTAAGTAAAAGGGTCCAACCTGCTCTGGCTGGCAGAGAGTCTTGAAGCTCGATGGCAGTAATGGACAACTTTTCAAAGACTCTTCATGATGGCTCTCTGCACTAACCACCCATGCAAGCCCAGTGCTAACTTCCCTCGATTGAGTATCTTACATGGCAAGCCAGGAGATGGGGGATTGCCATCCTACGAATACATACTGGGCCAAACCATGCCATTCAACTGGACATATCAGTATACAACTATGCATGGAAGGCGTCCCCTCTTCAACCACAGTCACTGACTGCGTGGTTAAATGCCACCGATATCCGATATCGGATATCGGAAACCCCTGCGACTGGTCATTCTTTCGAGCCCAGAGCCTGGACGGTTCAAGACACAACACTAGGGCTCTTCGTACCTCAGTATGCCCTCTCTCCCTTTTCTCTGGATGTGGTTTCATTATTTATTTTTCTTTCTTTTCTTGTCCCTTCCCATATATGCTTACCTATATATATATATGCACACATCTCCACAGCCATATCTCAAGTAAATCCCCACACAGATAGAACCACTACCACAAATTCCTCTGCCTCCCCTCAAACCCGAAATTCAGCAGCACGGCAAAGAGCAGCGACACGCCGAGAACGCTCGGTCCCCACTTGTCGTAGTACCTGGCCACCTTCTGGTTGCGGATCGCCTGGCTCCGGTAGAGGTAAGTGTAGAGCGAGTAGCACACCGAGAGGACGGTCAAGAGCGTGAACACGCCCGCCACGATGAAGGACGCCGCGGTGGGCTTGGTCCCGAAGTTGAGAAGCGTCACGGCGATGACGCCGATGTAGATGGAATACTCGAGCTGCAACGCCGTCGGGAAATCCCACATGTCAGCAAAGCACTCTTCCCGAAGATGCTAAAAGATAAAGAGAAAGAAAAGACTAGAGGTCGACTCGACTCACCCAACTGAGGAACGTGCGCTCCGCTGCGAAGTACACCTTAGGCTCGACGCGAACAGGCACATGAATCCGCTTTCCCTTCGGCGCTCTGAATCTCTTGCTCTCTATCGGCCCGGTACCGAGCAGCATCTCGAGCCTCGAGCTACGGGGGATGAGCGACCCCTGGTGCGGCACCACGTGCCGGAGGAGCCGCAAGATGCCGCGCCCCGTAGCCTTCGCAAAGGTGGACGGCAGCGTGCGGTAGTACGTGAGACCGCCAACCCTCCTGGCCTCTTCCAGCCTGTCCTCCTCGTTCTGGTCCTCCGAATCGTAGATGGGGTAAGCATCGTCCCCGACGTCCTGCTCGATGGTCTGGCCTTCCAGATCGGGCAGCAGCGCCGGCGGCCGGCCGGCGGGCCTCCGCTGTGCCCGTTGCGATCCCTGGGCGCTTGATTCCCCGTCGCGGCCGGACGAGGCGGTGTCTTCGGCGTCCGAGTCGAAGTCGTCCTCGTCGTCCTCGTCCAGGGTAGACGTCGTGCCCGAATACCCCGGCCGGGTGATGCCGAAGTTGTGGGTTGCCGGCTTGCGGATGTCGACGTCCATCTGGGGCATCCAGTAGGGCAGGAGGTCTATGCGATCCGGGAACAGAGAGGCGACGCCGTGGATGAACTTGGAGAACTTGGGTACAGCCTCGACAAGATGGCTCGAAACCAGCTCGCGCACCCACTCGGGAGGCTCTTGGCCGAGCTGCGTCTGCAACTTGACCTCGAGGACTGCGTAGGGAAACCTGACGACATCGCCGGGTGGCAGCTGTGAGAAGGGATAGTCGATGCCGATGTCCATCCGCCTCCAATTGGAGCCCGACCTCTGGACGCCATCTAAGTTGTCCTCCCGGACCATTGTGAGTTCGGTATCGAGCGAGATACGCACCCTCGCGTCGGCCGGCAGCTGGAACGCCGTTCGGTTGTAGAAGGAACGGCACACGGGCTTGTAACCCTTCTTCAGGACAGAGTACTGGATCTCCCCCGCTAATCTCTCATCCTCGGCGATCACCTTTGCCGATTTCTTGCCCTCCTTCCGCGCCTTCTCGAAGATGGCCGCCGGGAGGAGCTCCCCTCGCAAGTACGACTTGACGTTCTTCTCCTTCAGGGCAAAGCGAGCCTTAACGGACTTCTCGCCCGTCCAGTCCTCTCTGTGCGTCTTCCGCTCTACGAAGATGGTCTCGTTGTTCATGCCGCCATACCACCTCAACCGGATTGCTTCGGCACCTTCCGTCTTCTTCAGGCGCCCCTCATACAGTTCCCAGGTTTCCGGGTTGTCGTAGTAGATCGACGTGATTGCCGAGTCTTCCGACTCGAACTCTTTGCTAGCATTGAATACCAGCACGGGGAGATGCTTCAAGACGAGGAGCTTGAGCTCGGTGACATTGTCGGGGTGCACCCAGTATTTAGTGGTATGCCGTATGAAGTTGGCCTGGCTGCCACCGGCAGCACTGTCACCCTTTACAGGGTTACCTCTTGTTCGGACCAGGTCGTAGAGCCTGGAAAGCTGGACGACGGACGCGTCGTAGTTCTCCTTGTAGAAAGGCTTCGCCTTCAACCGGGTATCAAAAACGGGTTTGAGGTGCCATCCGGTCATTTTCTTGCAAGACGTCAGCTCTGCGAAACCAAAAGGGGGTTGCTAATGCCTGCGATGGAGCTCACATCGTGCTTCTTGATGATCTTGTAGAAACCCGTATAGTTCACCTGCACGAACTTGGCGAGGTCGTGGACGTCAGCAATGATGTCGCTCAAGTCCTCCTCGAGCAACAAGAACTCTTCCTCGCTTGGTCCGTCCTGCCCTGGCCCTCTCTCATTGAGGCGGTTGACAACATCTTTAACCTCGCGCTCGCTGACAGCGATCCTCCGGGCAATCTCAACAGCCTTGACCTGCTGCTTTGTGTGGACCTTGTCGAGCTCGGTCTCGAGCTTGCCCACGAAGCGGCCCTCGTCATCCTCGGTCCATTCCCGCTTGGGCGCCTTTCTCCTCTTCTGCTTCTTCTGGCCCTGCCCATTTTCGGCTTCTATGACCACGGGCCCGCTGGCGCCCTTCAGGTCGGCCTTGAGGCCATCGTAGTCGATGTAATACCACTGGTACTCCCGGATGATGCTGGAACGGAGCTGCTCGCCGAACTTCATGACGATGAGGCCGGGTTGAGCTCTCCAATTGGGCTTCTGTCTGGATGAGTGCCAGGTCCACTGGCGGGTCTGGAGGTCTCCAATGATCAGTACGGTCATCGAGTCAAGTCGGGAAGGCCAAAAGGAGGCAAGCAAGGCAACGACACAAGTCTGCAGTCGAGGACAGATTCTCACCTAGCTGCAACAGAATGATCTGGGCGTTTGGTTGTCAAAAGGACTGAACCAGCGTCTGGGACAAAAACATAGCCTAAAATCACGACAGCCGATGCAACATGCTGGCATGGGGAGAGCAATACAGAAACGTGCTGCCCTTGGAGCCGAACTGCGATAACATCATTGCTGCGTACATCTGCACGGCCCCCACAGGCATGTGCGTTTCGCAGGGGTGGGCAGCCCACGTTGTGCAATCGAGGCCTGCCATTGGCAAATCAGAACATGCTCCCAGACCAGCAGCATCCCGCTTCCCACCACCCTGTTAGTGGGGGCCACGGGCGGCTAGCCAGATTTTCAAAATCCGGGACCCAAGAACGGGACGGGACACGAGTCTGGACATCGACGAAGCACCCCGACCCCCGGACCGCGCGCGGCTGATAAGTTTGATAACTGCACGTCCTTGGCGGTTAATTACCAAATCGGTAGAAAACTGACAACTCAGAACAGGGTGCTCGCGTGACCTCTCGAAAAAGACAAGAATAGCAAGAGAGGGGGAAGGAACCAAAAAAGAAAGAAAAAAAGAACCATGGCGACCGACCCCGTCCCCGACCACGACGCAATCTCCTCACGCATCTCCCCCACCTGCCCCGCTGACACGCAGCAGCTCCTGACGGCGTCATGGTCCCACGACCTCGCCGCCCTGAAGCGCCTCCTCGCCCTCCCGGGCAGGGCCAGCAACAGTAGCAGCTGCCGGGACCCCCAGACGGGCGAGACGCCGCTACACGCCGCGATCCGGTCCTGCGGGCCCCGGCTTGAGGCGGGGCAAGACGATGACGACGACGAGGCCAAGGCAAGGACCACGGTCCACGAGCTCTTCCTCTCGGGCGCCATCTGGAACGACGTCGATGACCGCGACGAGACCCCCGGCTGCGTCGCGCTGCGCCTGGGCAGGACGGCGCTGTACGACCTGTGCGTCGAGGCCGGCGCGAGGGCCGAGATGCTGTTCGGCCTGCTGGGCGGGTACGAGGAGCTCGAGTCCGGGTCGGACGAGGAGATGGGCAACGGCGGCGACGACGCAGAGGTGGAGGTGGAGAACGAGAACGGGCTCGGGACCGTGGCCGAGCTGGACGACGACAACGGCGAGGAAGCTCCCCAGCTCGTCGAGGCCGATGATGCGACGGCGGCGGTGGCACAGGAGGGGGCCGAGTTCGTGTCGCCGCCCAAGGGGGACGAGGGCGGGGTGACGAGCGAGGAATACCTGCGGTCGCGGCTGACGTACTCGGACGGCAAGCTGGTGGACGACGAGCGCAACGGGGTCATGATGGCCTGGGAGACGGACATCATGCGGCGGAGCGTGGACGCGCTGCTCCCGGGCCGGCAGCCGGGGAAGAGGATACTGAACATCGGCCTCGGGATGGGCATCATCGACGCCATGTTCGCCGAGACCGCGCCCGCGCGCCACCACATCATCGAGGCCCACCCCGAGGTCCTGGAGCACCTCTCGGGCCCGGACGCCGAGTTCGGCGCGCGGTGGGAGTCTGGCGCGCCGGCGCCGGGGGCCTACAAGGTCCACCACGGCAGGTGGCAGGACGTCTGCCCCCGACTGCTACGGGAAGGGGAGGTGTACGACGCCATCTACTTCGACACGTTCGGGGAGGACTACGGGCAGCTGCGCAAGTTCTTCACCGAGTACGTCGTGGGCCTCCTCGAGCAGGACGGCGTCTTCGGCTTCTTCAACGGCCTCGGGGCGGATCGCAGGATCTGCTACGACGTGTATACAAAGGTGGTGGAGATGCATCTGGTGGATGCCGGGCTGGACGTGGACTGGCAAGTCGTCGACGTCGATTTGAAGGGGCTGGAGGAGGCCGGTAAAGGGGAGTGGGAGGGCGTCCGGAGGAGGTACTGGACACTTGACAGTAAGTTGCGATCAAATCCCTGCCTTGATTTTCTAGTCACGGTCCACTAACGCAGATTGCAGAGTATCGACTCCCGGTTTGTACGTTTCTAGGTTAAAGTCCCCTTCCTTGCGCAAACCCGACACTCGGTGCTCGGGCATTACCAAGAGCAAGATCCTTCCACAGCCTGAATTTAGCCCCGAAGTAAAGAGAGAGACAGCGCGTTTTGTTGGACCCACGAGGTCGAGGCTCAAGTGAAGTTCTCCGGGTGCAGGATACCCGCCAGGTTACCTTCCTTGACCCGCTTCAGTGTGAGCGCGGCGATCAGGGCAGCTCCGACGCCACTACCGTCTTCGGCCGCCAGGATCTCAATGGGGTCTTCCTCCTTGGGGTCCGTCTTCACGGGCCAATCCAAGATCTCCCGCAGGGCCTTTGCGCCACGAGCCTTGAAGTGGGGATACTTGTTAAAGACCGATCCGTCGGCACCGACGTGGCAGCTCTTATAGCCCTTCTTCTTGCTAATCGCAGCGACGCCACAAGCCGAGAGGCGGGCCGCACGAGTGCCGATCAGTTCGGCAGCTCGGCGGATGAGCTCCAGCTCGGGCCCGTTCGGGCTAAGGTTAAGCTTGCTCTGGAAAAGATCAAAGGTCTCCGACAGGTTCTCGAACGGGTCGCTATCACCCCACCGTCAGCTCAGGACCACTGCAACGGAGCCTTAGGAGAGCTCAAACTTACTCTTCGATGGCAGACAGGAACGACGAGTCGAGAGAGTACGGCCGTCGGAGCTTGGCAATGTCCTGCCCCTCAAAGATGGAGGTCTCGTGGTTGTCGTGCAGATCAACCAATATCAGTCGGAAGATCTCACCCAGATACAGGCCTGCAATCATCTTCTCGAAAGCCTGCTGACCAGGGCGTGGAGAATCTCTGTCGATGATGAGGTCGTACGGCGTTCGGGGCAGGACCTTGTGCTCGTTGTCGAACGCTCCCCACTCGCAGTTGATGGCCATTGGGGTGTCGGGTGGCAGATTCATATGGGCAAGCTTGGGAATAGATCCGCAGTTCTCCATGTAGGCGGCGTTGCAGCCGGTTCCGAAGATGCAGCCTATCTTCATTTTGGTGTCGGTGTAAGCCGAGGCGATCAGGGTACCAGTAGTATCGTTGATCAGAGCGGTCAGCTTAATAGGGACTCCCTGAACGGCTGTTAGCAAGACGTGTTACGCTAATATCCCTATATGTGTGTGTGTGTGCGTAAAGAGAGGAGGCGGGCCTGGATCCTTACCTTCCGTGATAGAGCGGCCTCGAACATGGGCACAACGTTCCGGCCCTCAACACCTGAAATGTCAAAGCCCTTGGTCCACCGCTGCAGGATACCCTCATCGACGTAATTCTGGGTGGCCGGATAAGAGAAGGTGAATCCCAGCGGCAATTTATCCAGCTTGCTGGTGCCATGGTGCGTCTCAATGAATTGATGCAGGCACTCGGCGATGTACTCCCAGAGTTCTTCGGCATCGCCCGTCTTAAGCTCCTCTGGCATGCGGTATTTGGACTGGATGATGTCGAACTCGGATTTCTGATCAGTCAAGGTGATCTGGCATACCCGGAGGTTGGTGCCTCCCATGTCGAGGGCCAGGAAAGTGCCAGTTTCATAGCCAGTTGGGAATGACATGACCCAGGTCGGGTTCATTGGCTAGATGGATAGTCAGCTCAGCTACTGCCAGTATGAAGGACAAGTAAGGAGCATACAATGCTGCCGCCCTCAATACTCAGGCCTGTGTGTTGTTGTCAGCAATGTCACACAAATCAAAGTCACGCAGTGTGCTAACCTTTGGTGAGCTCGCTCACGAAGTGGTCGGTGATCTCCTTCAGCTTCGCCGTGTCGACAGTAAGAAGCTTCTCAAGGTGTTGGATTTCCTTGAGCAAGGACTTAGGGACCTCGGCGAAAGAGCCTGGGATCGCCATGGTTAGCTGCACAAAGTAGCCGATGACAGTCGAGGCGTGCTAGTGATGGTAGAAAGAGGGGGCTTCTGTATGGATTTGGAAATCAAAATCGACTGGTGAACCCGGTGCTCAAACCATCTGTAGGGACAGTTCAAACCAGGACTAAAAAGCTAGGTCGTCGGCAGTTTCAGGGCCGGGACCTGGGAGGATGGATCTCGTTGGGTCTAGATTGAGAAGGAGGTGAGGTGACACTCATATTGTGTTTCTGCGTAGTGCAACAAGCCCAGCCTTGTGGCTCCCAATTCAGCTTGGCATCGACTTGATTCATTGGCAAACTCGAGACTGTCATCCCAAATCCAGCCACTCGGCCTGGCAGAAGCTCACTGACTGCTCCTGGAAGCATATCATACGATGAAATTGGATATTTCAGCCCAAGGCCTCCATCTCCACGAATGCCCTCTCATATACGATTCACACCCCACCACACGCCATACATTGCACAGACAGAAAGCATCAAAGTTCAAGCAGTCATGATTGGATTCTGGGATTGGAAAAGGACATACCGGTACCCTTCCGGGATGGGGGCTTCTTAGGTCCTAGGCCAACCATTGTGCTCTACAGTGGTGTAACAGACCACTGTTGATGGTGTGTGGGGGGCGAGAAATGCACAGTTTACAGAGCAATTGTGGTGTGACTTGGTATACAGGCCCAGAGCTTTAGGATTTTGAGCGGTTTTGATGTTGTTGAACGAGTGCGTGAGTGAGTGGGTAGGTAGGTGAGAGTAGGCGGTTTTGCACAACAAGGTAGGTAGGTGGACTAGGTGGACTAGGTGCAGGTCTTTAGAACAAGGCCTAAAGGCGGTGTTCCCCGCCAAGGGATTGCACTGGTCACTGCTGATTCTTGTTTGCGCTTGTTGATGACTCAGCTCTGCTGCAATAAAGCTGGGCTTCTACTGCGCAGGTAGTAAACAAGGTGTGGCATCTACAGGGAGGGCATCGTACAATCTGCTGTTGTTCAAGCCCATGGCATATTTGCTTTTGGTGAGTTAAGGACTAGGGCTGCTAAAGGAAGCTGGCAGTGAGGGGCAGGTGGTGATAGTATGTACTGTACAGATCACAGGCAGCAAGTGTACGGTGGGCGATTAAACCCCAAAAATCTTAATTAATGTTACGCATTCGTATTTGCAAGTAAGCAAAGCGGGATGATCAATTCGACCGATGAGGATACAAATTGCAGAATATCTGGCTACCTGCCTGCTTTGAAACGGCCACTGGTTCTACCTGACATATAGATCGCTACGAGGTCAAGCCTGAGTGATGCCGAACCCCGAATACGCACAACGAAGCAGCCCGGCTGCCCGCGCCGACCCTTAGCTGACAGCCCGCGCCGTACGTATCGACGGATCTAGTATGAACTGGATAGGAAATTGGATTTGCGTCGAGCACACTGCGTTCAGTAGAAAACGTCTTTGGCTTGCGCCGCGCTGGGGTAGGCTGGGATCGTGCCTCTCCCCACTCCACTCACTTTTCTGTCGTGGGGGCGGGGTTGGATAGAATTGTGTATCGTGGATGAGGGAGTTATGGGAGGCTGATCTGACACAGCTATGGGGAAAGCGAATGAAGGTGGCTAGATCGGCCAAGACGTTTTCGTTGTCCCAAGACGTTTTCGTCGTCCGTCAATCGGGTCGTGACAGGTGATGTCACAAGCCATAATATGGCGGCCAAGACTTGTTCTTGGATAGTCAGGCAGAATTCTGCAATTGCTCACCGCCTAGCCAATTGAATATTGTTGAACCGGGGTTATATTATCCCGCTCCGGAGAGCTCCTGTGGGTCAGTGCCCAATTAGGTGGGCCCATTCAGCAACACGTAACCTTTTTGGATCCAAGCTGTTTGAGCGAGGCTTGAGGACACGGCGATGTTGACGGCTGTGATGATTTGACGACAAAATTCATAGCCGCAACCATTTTCTCTTTCCTACCCTTCCCCCCACAATTGGCCAGTTAATGAGCCTTCTTCTTGCCTTTCCTCCAAGATGAAGACTTTGGCAGTCTTTTCTGCCGTCCTTTCCCTGCTGGCATTTGCATCCGCAAGCCCAGACACGAAGGGCTCCGAGAGGAGGACCTCCCGCGTCAACCTGCCATCCACATTCACACCCCCTCAAGCCTTCAAGAATGCCAATTTGGTTCACGTCATTTCGGTTGAGAAGAACTATGTCAAGGAGAACATCAATGTCCTGATTGAGAATATCGACAAGAAAGCCCAGGATGAATACTTCTTGCCATTCACTGGGGACCAGATGTCTCGGTTGGGGGGCATTGAGGCCAAGGACCGGAAAGATGCCAGTGTTGGCCCCTTCGCAGTGGAAGCTGTGGAATTTGATCCAACGAGGTAAGGAATAATAAGACCCCTGCTACCAGACCCAGCTTCTCACCAATTGATTTACCAGTGACATTCAATACTACCGGATCCGACTTCCAAAACCTCTCAAGCCCGGTAGCCAACAAACCCTTGGCATTACCTACTACTTCTTGAAGGCATACTCTCCGCTCCCGGCGTCCATAAACCAAGACGAATCCCAGTTCCTCGCCTACTCCTTCTCAGTCTACGCCCCCTCTGCGTACACGACCACGAAGCAGAAGACCGAAGTCAAGTTCCCCTCCGCGAACATACCCGATTACACCAAGCTTCCCGGCAGCGGAGATGTCAGCGAGTTTCCCAAGAAGCAGGGCACGAAGCTCACGTACGGTCCGTTCGACGAGAAGCCTGCCGGTGCCTCTGAGCCTGTCACCGTCCGATTCGAGTTCACCAAGCCCGTCAACCACATATCCCATTTGGAGCGAGACATCGAGGTTAGCCACTGGGGCGGAAATGTTGCCTTCGAAGAGCGATACACCCTGCACCATTTGGGCGCCAATCTGTCAAGCCCCTTCAGTCGCGTCAAGTGGGCGCAGCAGCAGTATTACAACCCCAACTCGTACGCGCTGAAGGAGATGCGCTTCCCTCTCCGCGTTGGCAGTGCGGACCCGTACTTTACCGATGTCATTGGTAACGTCTCAACTTCGCGATTCCGAAGCAACAAGCGCGAGGCCCTCCTCGAGATCAAGCCGAGATACCCCATTTTTGGTGGATGGAAGTACCCCTTCACCGTCGGCTGGAACTCGGATGCGCAGAACTTCCTCCGCTCACTGTCGGGCGGCAGCCACATTCTCAACGTCCCATTCCTGGAAGGGCCGAAGCAGGTCGAGGGAACCGAGTATGAGCAGGTCCACGTCCGGGTCATCCTGCCAGAGGGCGCTGAGTAAGTTGTCCTTATTCCGGTACTGGGGCGTTTCTAACGGTGTTCCCCCCCGCAGGAATGTCAAGTTCTACACCACCATTCCGGAGTCATCTATCACCGAGGCCAATGTGGAGATTCACAAGACCTTCTTGGACACTATTGGCCGGCCAGCGCTGACCATCAAGGCTCAAAACCTCGTGGATGACTTCAGAGACCGGGAGCTGATTGTGTCTTACGACTACTCTTTCGCCGCCAGCATCCGCAAACCCCTGATCGTATTCGCCAGCATGATCTTGGTGTTCGTCAGTGCATGGGTTATTGGAGGCGTGGAGGTGAAGTTCTCATCTAAGAAATAGTACGGAGTATAACCATCTTAGGTTCCCGGGCTGGAGACTTTTTCCAATGTAAATGTATAGACTCATCAAACGGCAAGGGATTTTAAAAAGGAATGAGACAATGGCTGCTGGTTTTCTTTGACTCGAGATTGCATCCGCCCGGCCTCGAAGCCCACAGCTCATTGTGCCCCCGTCATCAGGGAGTCTGCCTGCCGCCGGGCGGGCAGTTGCCCGGTTCCTCGCAGTCCTGTGGCGCTGTGCAGTGGTGGACATCGGGGCAACCCCGCTGGCACTGGAACTAGGTTGCTCGCTCTTCGCCGGAGGTTGTTCCGACGCTCTCGAGAACAATTAATGGTCCTGACGTGACAGTTGTCAACTGCGGTCGGCGCATCCCCTTGTATGTACTTCGACCGTATTTACCAGTTCAATGGATAGGCTGTTTCCCTTGAAAAGCCTAGCCTATCTGGTTCCATTCGCTTCCGCGGCTGCAGCAACCTGCAGGTTGACGTCGCCCCACTGGTTCTTGCTTGGCTCGGAATCGCATGGGCAGTGTTCTGGCCGAGAATGCGGCAAAAGGACAGGGCATGGTTCTTTTCCGGGCATAATTGCGTGTCTCAGTCATGTCGACCAAGGGGGCGCATGACAAGAGCCAGATGACACTAGGTTTGCCAAGTTGAATCGGGCAAGGCATTCTGACAGACCATCGCGGGCGCAGGGTCTTATGCGCTCGAACTAGGTACGCATGTAAGGTTAGTGACCTATAGTTCTACAACCGGACCTTGACGATGGTGGGCTTGGGACGACTCCACTCGCACTCGCACGGGGAAAGCGAATGGCCTGCAGCAGCTGCCTCGTCTGCAGCCGGAAGGGGACCTTGGCAGTGGCTTTTCAGCAGCAGAACGGCACGATAACGAGGCTCGCTTCTTGGGAGATGATAAATACCTTATGTACGTGGGACAAGCCCAGTTCCCCTTATATTCCTGGCCTCCCCCCTTTGCTCACACCATTCCTGCTATATCGAGAGAAGACATCCTTGAATCGAGCAGGCCTGTCTGGACCTTCCACCCAATCTGCTAAACGGGAGCTCACCTTTACCTACCTCCCCCCTCGAGTCAAGATGTGCTTCGGCAGCACCCGCCCCCAAGAGAACTACTACTACCGGGAGGAAATCATCCCTCCAAGGCACCACCGCCATCACCACCACCACCACCAACACCGGCCGCCCGTTCTCCGGGTTGGCTATCCCGGCTCGAGGGGTTGGAACCACCACAATCACAGCCAGGGCCGCGTGACCGGCTGTCGGCCAAGCGGGCCCGTGGTCTATGGCGCGCGATCGAGCCGGACACGCTATTGAGCACCGCTCTTCCAACACGAAAGCCCAGAAATGAATTGCATTTTCTGATGGCAGCTCCGAGGAGGAGCTGGCCAGGGAGTGGGGTGATGGGCCCCACGGCATCAGTTGATGGCGGCATTTGCACGATCTGTGTTTAGAGGAGCCGTTTGGGACCAGGGGCAGGGAGGGAGGTTTTTTTTTTTTGGATGGTTTTCTAGACATGGCGAGGGCATGGAAGCTGGATACATGGGTTATTGTATGGCGTCTCCGGGACAGGATGATCGAGTTGCGAGTAAACCAGCACCATGCCCAGTTGATAAGCGCAGGCTCAGGTCGAGATGGGACGGAATGTGGGATCTCAACTGATAGGAGGCTACCTACCAAGGCAATCAGTTTAGCAGGTGGGGTAGAAGCGCAAAGGTTCCCTCGGCCCCTAGCAGCAAGATGCTGAGGCTAGTTTAAAAATATCACGTCATGGTTTAACAAAGACAGATGGCTCTCGATACTCGTATGCCAAGCATTAATGCCCTAGCGCAGTGCATGCCCATGGGCCATGGAGATGTCATGATCAGCCAAAAATGCACAATGACATCATCTCCCGCCCTGCAGCTCTGCACAGCGTCAAACCCCACCAAGGTCGCCGATGCTGGGATCAACGACTTACACAGCAGCTCTCATCGCACTCACCTGCCCATTTCGCCAATATCAAAGCATTGAAGCACGATTGATTACAGAGCACTCTCTAGCTGTGAGCATCCAAAAAAAACGTCTCTGCATTTCAGCGATCGCTCAGTTCCTGGTCTGTAAAGATCATAACACCTGCGTCCATCCGCAACTTCCGAAGTGGCACCTACCTAACCTACCACCTGCCTAGCTACTTACCTAGAAAGGTGGCCTGCCCTTGACAACCTTGACTCTCTCCCCTTCCGTCATTCAATCTCAAAGTCCAATCCAAAGTGGAAAGAACGGCGCAGAAGATCCCATAGGTTATCAAACAGTTGAATCCCATCGATTTAACATCATGTACGGGTAAGAAACAGGCACCCTTGAATACCCATTTCCAAGCACCTACATCCTGAGTGGGCATAAAAATGTCTCCTGCAGGCAATGACAATCGACTCTCCTTCATCCAGTGGTAGCTATGTCAACAGCAATCCGTGGTCAGGCCATCTCCCGTCACTAACAAACGGCCGTTATTTTCTAGGAACCGCTCTCTCTCTGTGCGCCAGAACCGCAGCTCCGGGGGCCGACCGGCGTCCAGCGGCGGCAGCCGGCATGGTTTCTCGCTGTCGTCGCTGCGGGGCAGCGTCCAGCCGGAGCTCTCGAAGCGGCTGTTCCGGCTGATCAAGTCGGAGAACAACCTGATCAACGCGCACCAGGCGGCGGCGCGGGAGCGCACCTCGATCGCGACGCAGCTGTCTGAGTGGGGCGAGCAGACGGGTGACGAGGCCGTCAGCGACGTCAGCGACAAGGTCGGCGTCGTGCTGTCCGAGATTGGCGAGCAGGAGGACACGTACGCCCACGCCCTCGACGACAGCCGCGGCACCCTCAAGGCCATCCGGAACATTGAGAAGAGCGTCCAGCCCAGCCGCGACAACAAGGCCAAGATCACCGACGAGATCGCTAAGCTCAAGTCCAAGGAGCCCGAGAGCACCAGGCTAGTGGTCCTCGAGCAGGAGTTGGTGAGGGCCGAGGCCGAGAACTTGGTCGCCGAGGCACAGTTGTCCAATGTGGTAAGTGGGATTTCTCCTTCGGTGGCTAGGATGGTCACGCAGAGAATACAAATTCCAACTAACCCTCTCCCCCCTCACTCTAGACCCGCCAGAAGCTCAGGGAATCCTACGACGTCGAGTTCGCGGCGATTATCGAGCGCGCCGAGAAGCAGATCATCCTGGCTCGCCACGGGCAACGTCTGTTGAAGCTCCTCGACATCAGCCCCTCCGTGCCAGGCGACTCCCGGCCGGCGTACGAGGGCGGAGCGCAGGCCCGGCAGATCCTTAACGATGCCGAGGACGACCTCCGGGAGTGGCGCCCGGAGCCGACCGACGAGGATGCCGCCACCGTCGCCGCCACCGCTCGAGACTCGCGCCAGGAGCGAGAGCCGGAGCTGGGGCAGGGGCAAGGGCAGGTCGGCCTGGCGGCCGGCACCTACAGCAGCAAGGAGGGCAGCCGGCGCGACTCGGGATACGCCCCGCGCGGCGGCCAGAACTACGACCCCAACCAAGACTACGAGGACGGGAGCCGGGCCTACGACTACGGCGCGGACCCCAGCGCGCAGGGCGCATCGAGCCAAATGATGTCCGGCGGCGCCAGGCCCGTGGAGGAGCGGGAGGGCGGCCAGGAGAGCAGCCTCGATCTCGAGGCAGGGAGGAACGGGCCCCCCCGCGACGCCGACGTACTGGACACCACCGCCAATGGCGGCCAACCAGGTGAGACGAACCATACCCATCCGCCAACACCCCCCAGATGCCCCCATGATCATGGCTGATTTCGCGCCCCTGACTTAGTTACCTCCGCGTTTTGATAGCCTCGATACGCTGAGGAGTACGGATAGTGGCGGTACCAGTAGGTGGGAGCCGTGATGTGGTTGGATGCTGGGTGATCCCCCTTTCGTAGGAAGGCGGGAAGGCGATCTTGGCCCCCCGACCGAGGGGGTGTAGGGAAGGAGGGCGGGGGGAGGTTGTGTTTTATGAGTTATGGATAAGGGTTTTCATGGTCATTCATTCTCACTCGCTTCGGAAAATAAGACGAGGGAAATAGGGGAACCCAAAAATTGAGGGGGTAGTCATTCGCATATGGGTGGACGGGAGGGGCCAGCAACAGGTCATAAGGATGGCGTTTGTGAATTGTCTGCTACTTGCCTCTCTCATGTACCTGTATCACTAAATTCTCGCAGGGAACTGGCAGTTATCGAAAGGAATAATATATCGATCGAGAGAATGGAAACGAGAGGGAGAATGCAAAAAGGGGGTATGCTGGCTGACTGCCCGCTGCTTCCCATTCGACAGTGATAACCCGGACCAAGTGTAAAACCAAGCCATGGAATTCATCTAAGCTCATGTATGACATACATTCCGATGTTCTCATTACCTCCCCGATGTGTCTCTTTCCATCCGCAAAATCCGTCTGAACGACATGGCAACGTCCGTGATGAGTGAGCAACGCCGCAAAAAGGGGGAAAAGAAATAACAGACAGGCACCCCCTTCCTAAGCCAACCGAACAAAAAAAAATGCCTTGATTCCTTCCCAACACGCCCCTGGCAAGTGACAACCGAGGGGCCCCGATCTAGACAACGGCCGTGACCCTCCTCACGCTCTTCCTCGCGCCCTCCCCGCTGATCATGACCGCGCCCTCCATCTCGAGCGCGCGCATCACCTCGGCAAACTCTGCCGGGTCGACGGGCACGCCTGCGGCCTCGCCCAGGCGCCTGGCTACGTCTGCGAACTTGACTGCGCCGCCCGAGGCGGTGAGCTCGTCGAGAAGGCGCAGTGCGGCGTCGCGCATGTCTGCGCGGCGGCGGCGCTCGGCGGCGCTGGTGCCCTCGGTCAGCAGCGACATGTCGATGCGGCCCTGGGCGTCGGTGGCGGCCGTCTTGAGGGCCGACTTGATGAGGCGCACGGCCTCGAGCACGTCGGCCCGCGTCACCTCGCCGGCGAGGCGCATCTTGGCGTGCGCCTCGGAGAGCCGGATCATGCTCTCCAGCTGCCGCGTCGTCGCCGTGATGCGCTTCTCGGCGGCGCGCACGTCCTGGCCTAGCTTGCGCATCTCGACGTAGGCGTCCACGAGCTCGCGCGCGGCTTCTTGGGAGATGGTTGGGTGGATGTGGGCGCGGGCGTATGAGATGTAGGTGGTGAGGAACTCGATGGGCTGTTTGGCGGTTAGCTGTGAGGGGGGTGATGGGGGGGTTTAGTGCAGAGGGCTTCTTACCAAGATAGCATTGTTCGATTGAGCCGAATGGGGCTTGTCTTCGAGATACATCGACATCATGTGGCGGGCTAGCCGGCGATCGTTCTTCTCGTCAACACGGTCTAGAATCAAGTAGACAAGATCGAAACGGGAGAGTAGCGTCGGCGGCAGGTCGATGTTCTGCGGGACGGGCAAGTCTGGGTTGTACCGACTGCCAATGGGATTCGCCGATGCCAGAATGCTCGTCCGGGCATTGAGCGTCGTGATGATGCCTGCCTTGGCGACAGACACTGTCTGCTGCTCCATGACTTCGTGGAGGACCGAGCGGGTAGAATCGCTCATCTTGTCAAACTCGTCGATGCAGCAAACACCGCCATCCGAGAGCACCAGAGCGCCGGACTCGAGCACGAGCTGCCGGCTCTCTGGATCGCGAGTGACATAGGCCGTGAGACCAACGGCGGATGAGCCCTTGCCGCTGGTATAGACACCGCGGGGGGCAATCTTGTGGACATAGCCCAGGAGTTGAGACTTTGAGGTGGAGGGATCACCACACAGCAGGATATTAATGTCTCCACGATACCTGGGGCTGCCTCCTTTGTGGAACGTCTTGTTGGTGCCACTGAAGAGCTGGAGGAGGATGCCCTTCTTTACGTCGTCCATCTCGTAGATCGATGGTGCCAGCGAGCGAGCTAGGAGTTCGTAGATATCCGGACGAGCCGCGGTCTCCTTGATCTTCTCCTCTTCCTCGGGGCTCACCTTCCTCACTTCCTCGAGGCCGGTGCCATCGGCTTGAGCTTCCTCGTCTTCAGCAAGGTCGAGAGTCGAGGGGTCGGCACCCATTCGCTTCCGGTCAACCTTCTGGACGTGCAGAACGTCCACGTATGTCTTGTGGACGCTCTTGACCGTCCTCATCCGAGGATTTACCCGAACAGGGGTGACCTTGAAGATACCAGTGAGCTCAACACGGTCACCGGCCTTGCAGAAGTCCACAAGGTCGTTGTAGACGCAGACAGACACCGAGTGTGGCGTCTGGCCGGGAGGGACGGCGTCCGGGGTCTCCTGAAGCTTAACAACTTGCTTATCCTCAAACGAACAACGGTTGTGGACAATCTGCATCGAGTTCTTGGACTGGCATCTGGCGCGAGGGCATTCCGTAGGTTCGCGGATCCGGCCGCGATCCAGACTAACGTTCACCGAGTGGCCGCACATGCTGCACTTGAAGAACGCGTCCTTCATATCGGGAATGACCGGAGTAGTGCGAATCACGAGCCCCTTGATACACACAAGCTTGTCCATGTCGGAGGGGTTCAGGTCACGCAGGTTGGTGGTGTTGTCGAGACCCCAGGGCCTGACAACGTAGCCTATCGAGTTGACCTGGTCCTCGAGAGTGGTCTGGGCCGGCTGCGGTCGAGGGGTCGAAGGCTCTTCGCTCCGCTCAGAGCTGGGGAAAGCCGGTTCGGAGCTCTGAGTTGACGGGGCACCGTTGGCACCGGCGCTGCTCTGGCTGGTCCGCTGGTTTGCCATCTCAGCCCGAGCGAGCTCCAACATGCAGTCCTGGACGCACTGGTCCATGACAGGGACGATTTCTTGCGGGTATGCCTGGACTTGGTGCCACAACTTCTGCGTTCTGGGGTAGGCCTTGAGATCCCGGATGTTCAGGTACAGCTTATCTGTGCCGAGAAGCAACATGTTCTCCATAGCTTCCAGGTACGGCTTAGAGTCTGCCTCGGGATCACCATCCGTATCGGCCTCAGCCACGCCGTCCGCCCACATCCGATACTTGGCCGTGAAGTTCTTGAGGAAGTCTTTGAAGGAGGAGAAGGAATCATCGATAGACACGGTGGTTCCCCAGATAAGGCTCTGACTAGATCCGCCAAGCGCATCCGCTTCCGATGTGTTGGGGTTGTTGTTTGAGAACGACGCGACGTCTGATCCGAGAGCGGAGCCGTCGCGAACGACCCGGCCGGCGTCATCGAGGAGGATGCGACGCGGAATTCTAGCTGGAGACCGGATAAGGTCTGGATTGATGTCTCCTCGGCGAGAACGGGGCGGGCGCGACGAGCTGACAAACAAGCCGCTGCTCTCGCTCCGCAGGTCTGGAGTCTGTGCAAGATGTCGGCCGGGGCTGGAACTCGGTTCATAACGGATCGGGGAGGACTCTGTTCGCTAAGTCAATCAAGTGGTCTTGCTATTCAGTCACCGCTACGAAGACACACCTCCGATGAGAGCGCTGGCCCTGGGAGTCTGGTCACCGTCTATACTCTGGGTATCCGTCTGCTGGCGGAGAGGAGAACTTGGTGCACCGTTGGCCGGTTGAGAATTGGTAGTTTGCGTGTTACTCATCTGGCGCAGCGGCGAAGAGGCTCCAGCAGCGGCGTTGGCAGGGGAAGACTGGAAGAACATTGGGCTGGAAGCCAACTGCGATGCACGAGTCTGACGAGGAGTCCTTTCTGGGGCACTCTCAGCAGCATCAGGAGCGCCAGGAGCGGGGCTGCTCCGAGCAGCCTGGGAGCTGCGAGTTGAGCGACCTGGGGTGGAGGACGCTGCATTTCGGGTTCGACGGCCTGACGGTGAAGACATGTTGACCGCTGTTCGATGGTGTTGACAAGAAAGGTAACAGTAGGAAGGACGAGGGATGGAAACCAGAGAGGGGGAGACTTGTGCGGGTCGCAATTGAAGGGCTGGCTGGAGAAGGTGTGGGAACAACCACGGCCTAAACGCGAAATTAAAATCGAGACGCGTCTGTGTCGCGTTAAGGGGCTGCAAGCTCTTTACGCGTCCCCAGTCTGACAAAGCAGGGATGTTAATAGTGGGGCACATGGAACCACCAACACAAGCATCTTGGCTGAAGCACTGATCTGTATTTAACAAGGTACTGATCGGTATTTGTGGGGAAACAACTTGGTCCAACTCATGAAGTCAGAAGTCGGCAGGGTGGTGGCAGGGCTTGTAGTAGAGAGGTTGGATTGCCTGTAAGCTTCACAGCTCGGCAGCGAGAACAGAAGAGAATATATACATAGATCCGTAGACGTAATCTGTATGCATTGGAGCAATATTCTCTATTCTAGGCTGTCTATAATCTAATGTCAGAAGCCGCCTTCCGCAGCCTGTTCATAACTGCCGCTGCAATGTCGTCCCCATCACCGACTCCCTCGACGAATATCACGTCTGCCCCTCGCCTATCAAGGTCCCTCAACGCGGAGAAGAGCCCCTGGGCAATCCCCTTTATATCCCGGCCCAGGTCCAGGTCTAGCACCCTCGTTGCCCCCGCCCCGCCATCGGGCCCGCGCAGATCCCCCTCGATAAGGCTGTACATCGCCGGCCCGGATCCGTTGGCCGCTCCGACCTCGCCCTCCACCCCGTCACTGACGAATTGCAGGTTCGCGCAGTCCAGTCCGCCCGCGGCCGGCCACCTCTTCGTCCTGATGACCCCGATAATCCGCCGCGCCGCGCCCTTGCCGGCCCCACGGGCAACCTCGACATCCTCCGGATCCAGGACCCCAACCCCTCCTCCGCCCCGGTAGCCGGCCTCGTACAGCACGACCCTCGCCCTCGGGCTATAATGCTTATACTTCATCCCGGGCGCCCTCGGCGCATCCCCTTCGGCCCCCTCCCTCCGATCAAGGTACGCCTTCCTCACCCCCTCCCATCCCTCCACGCCCCTCAACTCCTCGATCCCCACCCCGCCAGGCCGCAGCACCACCGGCGGCACGCAGAGCCCGTCGACGACGGTGCTCTCGACCCCGACGCCGCACGCCCCGCCGTCCAGGACGACGAGCCCCGTCCGCGCGCCGAGGTCCTCGGCGACGTGCCGCGCCGCCGTCGGCGACGGCCGCGTGCTCGCGTTCGCGGAGGGGGCCGCCAGCGGCACGCCCGCGAGGCGGATCAGCGTCCGCGCCAGCGCAGACGCGGGCATGCGCGCCCCGAACGTCGGAAGCCCGGCCGTCACCTCGGGGGCCAGGCGCGACGGGGACGGGTTCGGGAGGAGGATCGTCAGCGGGCCCGGCCAGAAGCGGGCGATCAGGGGGCGGTAGATGGGCGGGATGGGGTCGTCGTGGTCGTGGTCGTCGTTGGTGCGTGTGTGGGTTCCGTTGGTGAGACCCGTTCCTGCTGCTGCTGCTGCTGTTGTTGTTGCTCCCTCCGCCGTCGTCGTAACCTCATCCGGTCGCGGCGTCAACAGTTCCCGCAGCATTGCCAGGTCGCTGACGTGCACGATCAGCGGGTTATCCGAGGGCCTGCCCTTCGCGGCGTAGATGCCCCTCACGGCGGCGCTGCGGGTGGCGTCTGCGCCGAGGCCGTAGACTGTCTCGGTGGGGAACGCGACGGGCACGTCGCTCGTGCGCAGGTGCGCCGCCGCGGCCCGCAGCCGCTCCATCGTCTCCCCGGCCGCGGTGCCGGTGCCGGCGACCTCCCACCGGTCCAGCGACGGCGCCCCGTCCGGACCCTGGCCCGGTGCGAACCGGCCCAGCTCTTGGCTGGTGTCGACTTTTAGTATCTGGGCCTCCATCGCCGGCTCCAGTGTGTGATGATGATGGTTGTGGTTGTGGCGGCGAGACGCGGATGCAGCAGCCCAGCGCGCAAGTGCTCTCAGATGGCTACTGATCGCCAACTTTGATCTTAGCTGCCGAGGGCAGCACACTGAGATGTGCACAGGTCTTCTATAAGACGTGATATTATTGGAGTTATAGATATGGTAAAACTTTGATCTGGTTTATCCTCTAGTGAGAAGAAAGTTGCAGTATTAGATAAAGTAAGTTGGGCAGTATTGTCGGAGTCATCAAACTGGCGGGAAAAAAATCTATTTTGAAGTCCGTTTGCCTTTGGCTCGTCCAGAATAAAAGTGGCAACATTTGAAGGGCGCCAAATATGAGCTTTCATCAGGTATCAATTGACTACGGGTATTATAAAATTGACTGCAAACATCACGTTCAATACACTATACACGATCTTCTTCTGACAGGAGGCAGCTGCGTGCCTCAAGGAAAGTACCCTGGACCTACCGCAGGCATTAGACTTTAGCTTTGCTTTAGAAGCAACATTTGCCTCCTTACTTACTTCAAACCAGCAGAAATATCCCTCGCATGAAACTCCTTGTTTTGTTCTTCATTCTTCATTCTTCATTCTCTAATTACAGCTTGTCTTGTCCTGTAACCTTCGCCGATATCATGGGCCAGACACAAAGTGTCAGAGGGCGGAGGTGCCAATCATCACTTCCTTCAACTGGAAGCGGTGGGTCAGCTCCAGGGTCAGCTCCCTGGTCGGCTTTCATGCAACTGCCAGTGGACCTGGTTCTCCTGATATCCGACTCATTCCTGGACCCTATATCAGCACTGGCCCTCTCTCTGACATGCAAAGACCTGTTCAACATGCTCTTCGTCAAACCGCTACCAAGACTAGAAAATTCTGACCAGGAAGCATTTCTGCTCCTCCTTGAGAAAGATGTGAGTCGTCAACGGCCAAGGTACTATTGCCATGCCTGCGTGCGTCTGCATTCTTTCGACCCTACTCGTGAGGGCCCAACCACGTCCGACTATGGCAGAGCTCTTGAATACAACGACTGTCGCCGCAGCCGCGCCTATCTTGATGGCGGCGAGTTCACCATCGGATACCATCATGCCCGCCTCATCATGAATCAGCACTTATATGGCGCGCCGCAAGACCTGGCCCTGAGCGCATTCGACATCACATACCGGCCAGGGGACTACCCGCAGCAAGGCCTGGCCCTGAGCGCATTCGACATCACCCACAGGCCAGGGGACTACCTGCTGCGTTGGGGCCAGCAATGGTCAGCAAGAATTATAGATGATGAGCTTTTCCTGTCTGCCACGCACACCCTCCGTTTCGACGGGACAGAGGGGGATTTTCGAGACATGCTTGACCAGAGGAAGTACAACGTATGCGCATATGTCGGGACGAAGAAGCATGCAGACAGGCGTAGCCGCGAACACGCCGAGAAGTGTCATGGCTATCGACAACACCTTTACGACAGCCGCAACCAGATGCTGCAGCGTCGGGGTGATGCCCATTTGGCTTCACCCCTTTGGTTCAACCCTCCCTGGAGCCCCAGCCGCACTATCAACTCCTTTAGGCGTGAGGGAAGCGCGAGCCTGCCACAACACAGATTTCTGAGGCAGTGTCGGGATCTCCTTGGTCGTGCATCTTCTGTGCCACCGATTATACAACGACTCTCTCTCGAGGAAATGTTGTTGGAGAAGGGCCAAAGGGCGCGCGAGAAGAATGGATCCTCACCATTGTCACCTAACACCAATTGGGGAGCTGTCGATCGCCGTCTGATCCGAAATGGGAAGCGTTTGCACGAGGAGTGATGAACGACGCTGAGCCTAGGCGGGAGAAACTCGGCTCTCTGCCTGGAGGCGTAAAGAAGAAGTGGGAGGAGTCTGTATGAAGCGGCGAGCATGTCTCTGGTACCAGATACGCAGTATTCTGAACAGCTGGCGGCAACTTTTTCATAATTCCGCCTGCCCACAGACCAGCTGCAGCGACTGGAGATACTAGGCAGGGGAGCTGCCCAATTGAATTGAGTCAATTAATCAAATCTAAGTGTACAAAAGACGGAGATATCGATACTCCTCCTAGCCAACTCCATTTCTGAAAATTGAGTATTCATCATGGAGAGTCCAGCCCGCCCCCCTGCCGCCCTGTCCGGCGGACCGGGAGGTACGACAGTTGGGCGTTCGAATAGCTGAGATGATCTGCGAAACTGGACAGCATTCGCATTATGTCGCCGCGCACTTCCTCGGGGCTGGCTATGCCCTGCATGACTCGGGCCGAGGGTGGCGCTGGTGCTGGCGGCAAATTTGAACCATGTCCGTTCAGATGGCCGTGCTGCTGGGCGGCCTGGTGTTCCTGGTGTTGCTGTTGTTGGGCGTCGGGTCGAGCGGGTGGCTGGCGGTTGCTGGCCATGGTCAAGTAGTCCGTGTCTAGGTACTCGCTTCCCGAATATCCGCCATCACCGTAGCTGCTAGTCCGGCTGTGCATTCCACTGCCGTTCGCGGAGAAGTCAGGGGCGCTGTCGAGATCATCCGGCGCCCTGGCCAAGCGGGCAAAGTCACTATCGTCAGAGACGTAGATCGACGGTTCCCTCGTCGTAGACCTCAATGGCTCGTACAGCGAGGCATGGCGCTCAAGGTCGAAGGGATTTGCGGGTCCACCAACATCTGATCCAGACACCGAGGCCGCGTCCGAGTTAGCAGTGGAGGGACGAGTAAGCTCTGGCATGGCCAGGCTTTCATCGAGATCAATCAGGCTCCCCATGGAGGCACGATTGTCCTGTGTCTGTGGGACCATGAGGTCATAGCTCTGGGAAGGAAAATTGGCCGGTTCGGTCGGATGGTGGATGAGAGGTGGGCGGGCGGCTAAGCTGGGGACCATTGTAGGACGGTCCTCATGGAAGGGAAAGCGGGACATCTCTGGGTTCGCCGTAGCTGGCGGCGGGGGTATGACGGGGAATTTCCATTCCTGGGTACGACGGTTGTTCTTCAAATCGGCTGGGTCACTGAGCGGCGCCTTACTGAAGTCGAGGGTCTCTTCGAAGCTGTAATCAACCGAAGCTCTGGGCCCAGCCCTGATGGTCTCCATGTCGGCAAGCTGCGACAGGTCAGTGCCGTGGAACGATGCGTCAAGGTCGATGAGGGATTCTCTCAATGTCGACTGGAACGAGTTGTCCCTGAGAGGGAGATCGGATGTCGAAGGGGGGATCGGTTTGTTGTAGTAGAGTCGAGCATTCTCCTCGTAGTTGGAGATAGTATTCGGATCAAAGACCTTCTCGAGCGGGGCCTTGACAGCGGGAAGGTGTGGTGGTGGTCTCCGGCGCGACTTGGGCTTAGAAGGGCGAGAGGTCTCGTCGTTGAACTGAAAGTCAACTTGGGACCCGTACACGTTGTAGACGGCCTGGGCATCCGGGTTCTCGAGCACAAGCATATCGAAGTCGACAGTTGTGCTGAAATTCCACTCATCGTTCGCAAGGGCTGTCGACGAATAGTCCAACGGCCCTTGTGCGCCACCCATTGCGAAGAGCGACTTCCGGCTCCCGCCCCGTGCCTCCCAGAGCTTGTAGGCCTTGACCAGTTCCGCGAGCGTGTACGTGGGGAAAACGTTGCTCGTGTTGCTAATGTATGGATGGCGTTGGACATCTTCGATCGTGGGCCGCTTTGCAGGGTCTTCCTCGAGGCAGAAGGAAACGAGGTTTCGGATCTGTGCCGAGTATCTATCCCCCTCTAAACGAGGAGTATGTGTCTTGAGGTAGTTGCCAAGCTGAGTGATGTCAATGCCAGCCATCACATTTGGCGGGAGACCAGATGCTATCTCGAACACCATGGACCCAAAGGCCCAGATGTCGACCTCTGTGCCGTATGAAGCAGAGGGATCGAAGAGCTCCGGTGCCATCCAGTGAGGCGTTCCAATGAAGGTGGACCGCTTGTCGAACTTGGTCTCTATAATGCCGGCCACGCCAAAGTCGCACAGCTGGACTCCGCCTGGCTCAGTAACCAGGACGTTTGCGCACTTGATGTCTCGATGGATGATCCCCTGTTTGTGGACCCAGAACATGGCCTCTGCAACTTCTCTGAGGATGGGGATGATCCACTTCTCCTGAAGACCCCCCGGAGCAGTGGGCTTCATCAGAGTCGCAACGCTGCCTCCAGCGCAGTACTCGGTAACCATCCACATCGACTCGCCAACAGGGAGCACGTCCAGGACGTGATTGATGTTCTTGGCCCCACTCTCGCTCAGGAGCTTGAGGGCGTTGATCTCCTTCATAAACTCGCTATATGTGTCGGCCAGTTTTGGATTGAGCGTATCGCTCCCCTCGATATCGATTATCTTCACAGCAACAAGAGCCTTGGTATTCAGGTCAGTTGCCTTGTAGACCCGACCAAAACTTCCCTTGCCAATCAGTTCTTGCAGTAGGTAAGAAGGGACATCTTTCCCGGCCTTGGCACACTCGTCGTAGAGTGAATCTTGCATTTTCTTCGCATCTTCGATGGCCTTCTGCTTGGTAACCGAAAAGTCGGCACCTCTGACTTGGAGGCTCGCCATTTTTCGAGGTGGCGCTTCTGGCAGACGGGATGTAGCGAACTGAATAGGAGTGGCCTGCTCTAAGTTACTCTTCCCGTTTAGCCTCGAGAGATCTGCGCGCCAGGCCTCGTCTTCGAGAGCTTGGTAGTATCTGGTTATCTCCTGAGCTGTTCTCGGCCTCGCACTGAGATGAAATCAGTCAGTTTGGTGTTCCATCTCTGATAGATGTCGGCCAGTGTATCTCATCAGTGTATAAACAAGTAGAATAGCCGAACATGAACACAGTCAAGCAGCAAAATAAGAAGCAGGTGAGCGAGGCAAGGAACATAGATGCCGAGCAGTACACCAATGACGGCAGCTAACACATTTGCACTTGCCTTGCCTCGGATAGCCACCCCGGCTTCTAACCGGGTGCACAGGTTGGACAAGAGGGAGATGCAGGCAGCAGATCCAGTCGTAGCAGTGGCCAGCAAGGGATGGCTTCTGCAGGATATGGCCCCATATCAGCTCTATACACCTGCTGGAGTGTCGCATGCTGTAGTCTCGCCTCTCTCTGGAGGCGACTAGCCCCGCCATGAATTGGGAGACTGAAGCAACTCATGGCCATGTAACGTAACAAGCAAATCTTGGAGCAAAGAGGTTGGGGAAATGAATAGCTTGTCTGCTGGACGCAAAGATCAAGCGCGAGGGTGCAGATGGATCATGATAAAGGAAAAGATATCCAACTTACCAATGTGAAATCTGAGCTGTTGTAAGACAAGCTGCTGCCTTGTTCTCTTCTCAACCTGGTGTCTGGTATGAAAGTTGGAATCTCCCAAGGAGACTTGGCCTCAGATGGGTGGGCTCATGAGAGGGTATTCACAGGCACCGCAATTCCCAAGGCACACTGGCGACTTTCGACTCGGCAAAACTTGGCAATCAAACTGGAGAGTCTGAAAACCATGCCAAGAGGGTATTGCAGCTGAGAAGCCGCGTGAGGCGGCACCCTTGAATATCCGCCTGATGTTAGGGAGCCTGTCTGATATCTGTGTTGGAGGTATGGATGAAAGTTGATCGAGGATATGCACGACCCAAGATGGAGAACCTTAACCCAAGGTGTGGGTACCCAACTAGTGGAAGGGGATAAGATCCCTGTTCCCACGTGGGAAATGCCCCACTTCTACACTGATCCTCACTTTGCCGTCAATATCATGCCATATTATTACAATTATTATCTAATATTTCAAGCCGGTTTGCTGAGAACTAGGGACCTCGTATATTCAATTATAAAATCGTTTGGTGACTCCAGAACTGTTCCTCCTAGGGAAGCAGCATGGTAACGGGGCAAGGGACAGGCGTCATTGTTGGCGTGGAGAATTCCGAAACATCTGGATGATCGTAGATGACATGGGCCCAGGATAATCCGACAGGCAACATAAGGGCCATGACTTGGTCATCGTGACAGACTGTGGCACCATGAGAGCTCTTTCCCTTCTTGTTGAGGTTGAGGTTTATGCATTGCCGGAGCAGGACTTGAAAAGGTCAAGCTCTAGTTTCCACGGTAAGAATTCTGCCAGAGACTACCTTGGGGGTCGTGACAGCAGGGTAATCGATCACAACAGAGCGATGGCTTCTTGACAAGACGCATCAAACCAAATGAAACAAAACTGGGGCCAGAGGTTGCCATCATGGAGTCTTCTGGGGACCCTCCCTGAGCCTGCCGATCATCTTCTCGTGGATCTTCTGCCAACCGTTCTCACACTGCGACCTGACGATGGACACCAGCAACATGGAGCAGTTGATATCGACGTCCTCGACCAGTTCCAGCTGGCCCTCCTCGCCCTTGATCTCCCAGATGGTGTCCATGACCACGGACATTGGACTGCGAATTCGGACGAACACCCCGTTGCTGATGTTGGTGAACTCGTACGTGCTGACCACATTCGAGTCCCACAGGCCGGCAGGGAGGGCGTGGACAACATCCGTGACCTGATACGACTTGGTCTCGCCGAGCGCCTCGATTCTCTCGGGGATTGGTGCATGCGTGTCGGTCTCTACCGGCTGGAACTTGGCCATGTGGGGGTCACAGTGGAGGAAGAATTCATGGTCCTGTAGCATCGCAATCGCCTGCTGTGTGGTTGTGTCTTCGGGCAGCTTGGAGCTGTGCAGCAGCTTTGCCGCGCCGCTGAAGACTGTCCCATATCAAATGCGGTGATGTCGGTTAGCGAACCTCAAGTCGGTGCGGCTTGGGCCTGCCATAAGGGGAAGAGGGAACACTAACATGATGACATATTTGCTATCTGATGAAATGAATCAATTGCAAAAATAACTGTTACACCGGGTCTGTAGGTAGGTATCTGTCGAGAGAATTTACTTGCCGATATATGAATGTTGTTTGTAGAAGGCGCACTTGGAACACTTAGCGGCCAGAGTGCTCGGTCAACTTGACACACCTTAAGTATCATCGCGTGCAGGGTTGAAGGATTCCTTCCATCAACTTAGAACCTAGGTAGAGTTTTAGGGTGTTTAGGTAGGTACCTACCTTATATCATATTTTGGCAGGCATTCTAAGCTGTTTGTTAATCGTCAGACCTTTTCGCTATCTCAGGAGGTAACCAGCATGGAAGTCCTCTCAGTTTTACTCAGCTCCAAGAACAAGGAGACTTCATTTTGCCATTTGCCTTCCGCCAATCCCTCATCTCAGCCAGACCCTGGGAAGATTTGGAGTTGGTGCAAATAATGCGTCCGTTTGAGGATTCATTTCAACACTTTGGATGGCCGAGATGGGTTATATCCCCAAGTGGGGATGGCCAGCCTCTACTGGATGTCGACAGCGACAATTGAAGCCAATAATTCTCATCGGTCCGGGCAAGCATCTCGCCAGAGATGGAACCCCGATGGCGGCGGCACCACACTGGATTACCCTGGGCAGCCACATAAATCCAAGTCGCGGGGCAGCTGCGCTCAGCACTCGATTTGGTCAAGACGAAGTCTGCCTCCCGCAGATGTCTGTACCTGACGACCAATCCGACGACCCGAGACATGCAGTTGGCTTTACGACAGATGACTGAATGCTGTCATCCCAGCCTCGTCATGGCTGTTGAACGCAGAGCTCTTGTCGGTTCTTGAACAAAAGATGGCGATACGCACGCTCTGCTCCCGCCTCTCTAACCTTGTTAATACCCGATGTTGGCCCTCTGTTCATTCTGGCCATGGCTGTGGGACAATGGTCTTATCAGACAATAAGATGTGGAGAGGATATAGCTCTTCTATCTCTTCTAAACCAATTGCCCTCGCGTCCCTCCGTCAACCTGAACAGGCCCCTCCAAGGCCGAGACGATCGGAGGAGAAGCCTCTCCTTCGACAACGAATGCTGCCTCGCAAGCTCTCTAGCCTTCTTGGCCGGGCCGTTTGGTGACCCAAACCATGTGATAGCTTTATCAGTGGAAGAGGTTTCGGCCTCGAAAGCTGTCAAAGTTGTCATAGCCATAAATAAGCAAGCCCCTAGTGATGGGGTTAAAATCTTGGAGCGGATCAAGGTTGGCTTCGAGTCCGTTTTCAGCGTTCTCGCTAGAGCAAGACCTGGTACCGAGTTTTGATCGGAGACACTGCCGTAGCTGTGACTAACGGCAACGCAGACAGTAATGAGAATGTTTACAGGGAGACCCTCTCTGCCGTTGTGTCAATGACACGGCGCCAGATACTCCTCCGGGTCGGCTCGAAACGCCCGGGGCTATCCTCTGCCCACAACAAAAAGACATTATTCGGCGACATTGTCCAAACCATTATCGATGTCGTGCGCCAGCGCCGACGGCTTAGAGGAGAAGCTGCCCTATTCCTTGAGAAGTCGGTCATATTGAAGGATTCTCTGGATGCTTTGGAAACATGCGACGCCAGCGAAGTAGATGCGAGATTGAAGGAGATGATAACTGCGGCAAGTCGCCTTAACCGAGCTGTGGATATACCGCGCCTCCTTCAAGACATACCCCCAAATCTGCTGAATCCCAGCACCCGGGAAGGATTCTCGAGGCGCCTTGGAAAGCTTGCCCGATACCGCGAGTGCTCCCGATATCTCTACCAGACTGCGAAGACGTTTGACATCTTCGCCGAAGCAACCGTGATTCCAATTTCGCTGAGCGAGGAACACCTTGCCAGAGTCCCTGAAAGACTGGATAACCCGAACTTCTTGGAATGCTTTTCGCGCTGCAAAAATGGTGCCAAGTTGCGTTTGGATACATTGTGCAGGAAGCTGGGTACGACGGAGCCCAATATCGCCCAACAGTTTGTCACACAGGCAAGCAAGGCATTTAACGAGTCCAAGATCCACGCTGAGATCCAGATCTTGAGTTATTACGAACTATCACACCCCGTCGAGAATACCCCGAGGGTGATCTGTTCCAACAAAGATGCCTGCTATCTATGCAATGCGTTCATCAGGCTGCATGGACAGTTCCACATTCCCGCATCCCATGGGCGGCTCTATCCAGCCTGGAGGCTGCCGAACCTACCGGTTTTACTCGACTTACAGGTCCAGCTTAACCTCTTCCTGGAAGCCCAAATACTCACTGAGAGCAAAAAGCTACTCGGCTCTGCCAGGCGAGCGGCCACCATGCTGCCGAACGAAAGCACCATTTTCCCCATCTCAACCTCTCTGTCCACCATCCTCAGTTCCGCTAGGTCACAACACGAGGATCCGCTAGTTGGTCCCTTGAACGAGCAAGCCCAGAACCCCCCCCGGGCAACAAGGACAAGTCATCCCACCACCCCAATCCAGCTCTCCCCGCAGCTACTGGCAGCAGGGGAACCACACGCGGCCGCCCTCGACATGCCCAACAGTTCGGTACACTTGCCACCTCCTGGCGAGACCAGCAACACCAGCCTACCCGACAACGACAAACCCACACCCCCCGTCCCGTCCAAGTCGAGTACCCCGACGCCAACCCCCTCCCCTCCACCAACCGGCTCCGAAATAACACCCCTAACCCGCGGCCAGCCGACAACGACACGCACCATCATCGGCGGCCATGCGGCGGCGACGCGGGGCTACTCGGCAGGGAGCCTGACCGTCTTCCTGGAGGTCCCCCGGAGCCGCAGCCGCGAGCTGAGCATCGAGTGGCTGCTTCCGGAGGAGGATGAGGAGGACGACAACCACCGAGCAGTTGACGCCCGCTCGATGCCCGAGGCCGTCGACGTCGACTCCGGCAGCCGCGACTGCGTCGTGCTTGCGTGCGGCCTGGACGTGGTCAGGATCCGTGTCCGGGCGGCGGTCTGAGGCTCGGGATCCCAACGGATTCCCCCCCTCCCGGGCGGGCGTTATGGGGACTTGTTACCTCGAGGATGGATGGTGTGACTGCTCCGTGTTATCCAGGCAGGGGGGGGGATGGTTTTGGGTTGGATGCCATCGTTGTGTTATGTGGGGGTTTGGATCAGACTCATCCTTCTTTCGTCCTGGCCTACCTCGGAAATTGGGCTGGGTCTCTTTCCTGGCGGGCAACGTAAATAAGGTTGAGACTTAAGAGTTTCTAGGTTCTCCTCGTGGGCCACTGTCTGAGAGAGGGAGAGAGAGATAGCAAGGCTGTGGTTGCGTACCGTTTGCCACCCCATATTCCCTGCGGCGTAAGGTGTCCCGAGTGACGGCTAATAAGAGGCGATCACACATCCTCTCCCCCCCAGCCCTTTCTGAAAAGGCTAAAAAGAGGCGAGTGCCGAACCGCAAGGCTGGGAACGGCTGGGCCTGCTAGCGGGGAAACGGGAAGTCTTATTGTTGTTTTGGTTTTTTTCCCCGGGTAATCGAGATGGCTGAAATCGCCCCGGGGTCGTGTTGGTGATCATTCCTGGGAGAAGCCGCTTTGTTTATTCTGTCCCGTCATGATCCGCCCAGCCACAGATTGCAACCAGATCGGTGGGAATAGAAATATATTAAAACTAAGTAGTTGCCCGACGACGGAGCTAACGATTGTATATCTCTTTTCACTCTGCCTGGTAGCGACAGGCTACGGGTATTAAACTGGCTTCTATGATCTATAGCAGGAATCCAACCTCCTTGTGGTTGCCATGCGCCAGTGGTCCGTAGAGAGAGAGAGCAGCATAAACAGCCACCCTCCGAGGTGGCCAACCTCCAAATAGCGCCACCCAACCAACCCCCTTTTTGTCCAATCCAGCGAAATAAAACAGTTACCCGTACGTACCCCGTGTATAACGCCAAAGCAGGCTGGCGCCTTTCAGCTCCGGCACCGGCACCTTCCGCCTCCCCTCCCCGCCCCTCCCCTCCCCGCCCCCACCCCCGCCCCCTCCGGCACCGCCTTCGCCCCGGCAACCCTTTCCGGCGCCGGCGGGATCCGCTCCCCCCACGAGGTCCATCTCCAGCGACAGGTTGATGGCCCTCTGGAACCTGCGCCGGAACCGGCGCCAGTCGTCGTTGGTCGGCCAGGGGTCGAACCACTCGCTCTCCTCGACCTCGTCGTTCAGGTCCCAGTCGTCCTTGTCCTCGTCCACGTCCAGCGGGTAGTAGAGCAGCTCGTTGAGGTGGGGCCGCCGCGGGGTGTGGTTGATGTTGGCCTCGATGTCGAACTTGAAGCGGTATGCCTGGTGGACGAGCTGGGGCCGCGGGAGTGGGAGTAGCGGAATCAGCTGTGTGGGCGGTGGTGGCGGTGCCGTTGGCGGCGGTGCTGCTACTACTGCTGCGCCGCTTGGGGAGATGCCTGGATGGTTTCCGGGTGGTGGGAAGTAGAGCCCGTGGTCCGGGCCGGTGGAAGAGATGGGGTGGTGGTGCGGGTGATGAGAATGAAGAGGGTGATGAGGGTGATGAGGGTAACCCAGACTGGGCGGGTAGCGGAAGTCGAATTCGAACTGGAACTCCTGGTGGACGATGAAGATGAGCAACTTTAGGCGTGGGAATTTGGCGAGACCAGACAGCATCTTGCCCATGTTGGTCTTTGAGACTTTCCAGCTCAGAACGGGGTGGCAGATGCCCGTGTAGACGCCATACGACGTCCCGAGAGCCAGCCGATTGATGTTGTCTCGTATCAGGGGGATCTGGCTCATGAAGTGCAGTGTCCGATGGAGCCGCTTGACAAGAAGGTAGGGCTCCAGCAGCAGGATATCGCGGGACAGGTCAACGTATTTGGTAGTTGCGCCGAGGGTCAGCGGCTTGTAGTGGTGGAGGACGAAGTATCTCGACTCGCGGCAGACGGCGGCGAGAGCTGGCGGGGGCTCCGGGTGGACGTTGGCAAACATCAACCCTTGCCGGGCAGGGGTCCGCAGCTTTGCGTTTGGGGCGTCGAGGACCTCGTACACTCGCTCCTCCGGGAGCGAATACTCCCATATCATGGACCGTATCTCGGCCGGGAGTTTGGGGAAATAGGTGAATGTTTCTGACATGGTGTTGTTGACCGGACAGTGGTGTTGATGGTCATAATGCATTGTGACGAGCAGGGGCTGTCGCAACCCACGCAAGATATAGCTAAGCAGGACGAGACCCTGCTTGCCGGTATCGCTGTGGTGATGATCCCGATGACTTGGGATGATGTCGAGATGGAAAATACCCGGCCCAACCTCTTTTCACTTTCGGTGGCCACGTCAAGGACGATCCACACACCGCAAGATGGCGAGCCGCCTGAACGCCACTCCAAATAATTCGATCAACTATAAGACGACAACGACAGGTCTACTTGAAATAAAGCCCGAGTTAAGAGTGCGGTTGTGTTAACCCGAGAATTATGGCCTTGATATCCGCTCGAATATCACGTAGGGTCCAAGGAAGCAGTGGAGGTTAAGGTTGAGGAGGAATTGGATGGTATGAAGGCGCAAGCCACACAAGTGATGGGTCTACCGAGGTGTTATGAGATCTAGTACGACAGGATCTCCGATTCAAGGGCGCCGCAGAACGATGCAGTACCACGTCATGCCCCTCCGGGTCTCTGGATCAAATCAGGGAGGAAATTAGGAATGGTAGGGGGGCGAAATATGGAAATAGGGAAGTTGGGAAGGAGAGGAAATGGGGAGAGATCGGGCATGATCAAGTTTTGGGGCTTCTAGTGGTTTTCAGCTCATGTCACTTGACGGTTGAGCAGGATGGGCGAACCAGAGCATGAGCTAAGGGTTGAATCAAGCAATTGGAGCCCGGGGCACCTTGGGCTGGCCCGGGAACAAGGCGAAAAGGGGTTTAGGGGGGCCACAAAAGGTCACTCGAATAGAGTGTTTCCCAATCCCAGCATATGCCTGCCCGTGCCCGCTGAGCGCGAGATGGAGATCAGATAGGGCAAGGCGAAACCTTCCGCAAGTGGTAATTTGGCACACGGGACTGCGCCTGGCACTGACCCGACTGTCACGGCATGGGTCAGAGCGGAGATGGGCCCACGGTTCATCCGGGGCATTCCTTGCGCGCCCGCATGCCGCATGGTCAATCGCTGGGCGCTGGCTGCCCGTCTTGGTCATGGTCGTGTCATTCTCATGCATGGTGGCAGCGGGTGGCAGTTGGCCAGTCTGAGGCCAGGCAGCTGCCCGATGCGAGTACTCGAAAGGAACTTCTCGCCTCCCTGGTTCAACCACCTGCTTGCGGAAGGCTGGAAAGCTGGAAAGCCTGGAACAAGGTGGTAGCTGGCTGCATGGAAGCATGGGGCATGGTAGGGGGGGGTGGCCGAGCTATTCTTAGCATATAGGGGCCACGTTTTATTCCTGTAGCGTCCCAATTCATTATTTCGCTGGCTTACCGATCCTACATAGAATCCATGGTAACGTATGGGCACCATCGAAACAGAGTTGCAGTTGTGCGCCGGCTTTCGCGATTGGGAGGGTGTGAAATCCCTGGGTGTGGGGGTAGGGGCAGGGGGGCAGGGGGCAGGCTGGCCCGGGACGCTACAACACTATTGAAATGGCGCAAAAAAAAAATGCGGAGGGACGGAAGCGAGGTTGGGCTTGGGAGTTGGGACAGCGCTGCTTCGTCTGATTGGGGCCAGAGGAAGGCCATTCAGAGAGCCGCTGCAGACACGGCAAACTATGGGGCGGCTGTCGTTGGACAGGGAGACGGAGTATTGATGCATTGGCGGCGGTCTGAGTGAAGGGAGAGGTGGAAGACACGGGCAGGGAACCACAGAGGAGGCGCTGTGGTGGTTGATGCGATGCGATGCTGAGCGGGACGAGGGACAGCACCCCCGGCCTTGCAGGCTGGCATGCATCATATTGCGTAGCAATGGGCATGCATACTCCAGATGAAAAAGGAGCGAGAAATGGGAGGTTGCGTGTCATTTAATCCGCGCAGGGTATAGCTACCTACGCAGTATACCACAGTACAGATTACTCGTCCTGTAACCTTCCAAGCTTGTTTCCCGAAACTTCCACGGGGTCACCTGGAGGTACACTCTTCGTATGGGCGCCATCAAATCCGGAAGGCGCTCCGTGAGAGTCCCGTGGGCGGGGTCGCACAGAGCTTTCGCGCACATCGCACATCTCACTATCAACGGACACACCGCAATGGTTGAGGAGAAAACAATTGCAATTTCTAGAACTTCATCTGACGAGAAAGTTGGGGGCCGGTTTATCAGATGCCGGGCCCGCCATGGGCACCCAGGGAGGTTTCACTTGGCGGGATATGGTTCATTGTTATTCCTGTGCTTCTGGAATCGGCCTAGTCAAAACGAAGCCAGCCCTAATTCGCCCAAGTCAGGATGACTAAGACAGTGGGCCCCGAGCTTCGATATTAAAAACTTCATTTCGTCTCGCCTGCTTTTTTCTTTTCTTCTTCTTTTTTTCTTCGTGCGGCTGGCATGACTTAAACATTACCCGTGTTGCTCGAATCCTTCCCTGCAAAGGGATTTCCATGGATATTAAACGTAGCGTCAGTTGTGCCACAGATCGATCATATTGCAGGCCGACCTCCGCATCAGTCAGTCCACCTAGGAGCATTGCCTCTCTCAGCGGGCTGGGTGGTGGTGCGGAGGATGGACATATATTCAAACACCCATTCAGACGTCAATACCAGACAGACGATTGGGGAATGGGGAGTGCGGCTAAAAGGGGGCTCCTCGTATGAAGAAGAGAAGAGGGGACGTTGCGGCTCTTGGCTGGCAGCCCCAACCTCGTTCTTGGCCTCAGCCGGCCAACCTCTTGGTCCAGACGAGAGGTATAGTACAGACAAGCTCATTTCCATCGCATTAGGTTGTGACAGCTGCGTCCAGTGACACTCTGACCAGGAAGAAGGCGAAGCTCATATCGTGCCGCTGATTCCCGTGATCGGTGATTTACCACATTCCCAGGAATGAGGTTGGGACACAGGAGTTTTTTAATTTATCCGTCGTCTAATCTGTGCCCGTAAATAATTTCAATGCTAATGCGCGTCAAAATGTCCGTCCAAGGATGTTCGTGATTTCGGCAAGGCATACCACGTGACTCCCCTAGCCCCTATTTTCCGACCGACCACGAGGGGATGCCTGCCCCCGGGGCTTCTGGGCGACTTCCAAAGTAGCACGAAGAACTTAGGTAGGTAGCAAAGTCTAAACCATTAGCGACACGAACACTCCGGATGAAGTGAGCTGCGCAGGAGGGCCCTCCCATTTCTCTATTCATGTGGAAGCTTCATTACAAAACTCGAAGCTCGCCAAAGTCATGTGTCTCCCTGCCATGCTATCTCCCTGTCATCGAGCCTGCCAACCGGAAGCCAGCAATTACACCTGTTTAATGTAGATAGACGACGACGGTGCCCGCGTCTTCAACCCTCTCGTAAAGCCGTAAATCAGATCACTCTCCAGGTTCATCTCCAATCTTCTCCAACTTGCCCATCTCTCTTTTCTCGCCAGACTCTCCTACCAGCCTCACTCGATCCAGCCGTACCTTCTCGCTGTCACCGTCTCCGTCCACGACGAACATGACGAGGCTGTTGATATTCTGGTATTTGACATAGCGCAGGCCGATGTTGGCAGTACCGTCCTTATTCCAGTCATTCTCCGAGAGCTCGATGACCTGAGTTGGGGTGGTGTCGTCGGCTTCGTCGAATCCAAGATTGTGCGGCTTGTTGCTGAAGAGCTTGATCGTGCGCGGCCTCATTGGTGCATCGTCGTCGTCGACGTCGGTCGGGGGGAGAGAGGTGATCTGCGTCCCACACGGTTAGCGATTATGCTGGAGGTCAATGGGCTAGGCTCGCAAGCCTACCTGTAGAGTGTGGAGTTTAATCATCGACTGGAAGGGCAGGAACAACATCAGCTGCTCGTCTGTATCGCTCTCAATCCAGTCCTTTGCATTTGCCTTGCCCCCGGCAAGCGCGCTGGGCTTCGCAGAATCGAAGAGAACCCGGACGCCACCGGTATCCGAGGCGACGTTCAGGAGCTCACATCGCTGGATCTCAATCTGGCTGGTGATATCGGTGTAGCCTCGCGGAAGGTCGGCGCCCCTCCAGCTGGCCCCGCTGCTTCCGCTGCCGCTCGCCTCGCCTCCGGTGCCGACATTCTCGACCTCCGCTCCGAGCTTCTTGACCACTTCCTGTAGCTTCCGAGGGTCTGCGCCCTGGACCTTCTCGATTACCTTGCCATCGCGGAAGACAATAAATGTTGGCAGTGCTGTAACCCCGTAGGCTTCCGCAATCTCCTTTTGCTGATCGGTATTGACCTTAACGAAGGTAACGACGTTCTCGCGCGAGAGGCCCTGTGACAGCTGTTCGTAGATAGGTGCGATCTGCTTGCAAGGCCCGCACCAGTCGGCGTAGACTGTGAAGCAGGGTTGAAGGTTAGTAGGCTGGGGAGGCGAGTTGGGAAGACGACAGAGAGGGACAGAGAGGCTCCTTCATCTTGGCTATTATCGAGGTAGCTCCAGAATGAGAGGGACTTAAAAGCAACACAGTCATGGCGGAAATCCATCCTGTCGCTGCCGTATCCATATCCCCCCGAGCCTCGATGTTCCAAGGCATCCTCGACGCGTAGCGGTGGGGTAGAATGGCGGGAGGGATTCAACGGCCAAAGAACACTTACAGTCGGCCACCACAATTCTGGATGCCTTCAGCAGGTCACTCAGCTGTGCCGGTGAGGATATCTGCACCGTCTTCGACATACTGGGCCGCCTAGTTGCTGAAGGTCGTAGGTTTGGAGGATAGCGTCTCCGAAATCGAGCAGAAACAGAAATGGATGGAAAGCTGATGACAAGCAAGTTGCCCCGCGCTGGTGCTCATCCATGCAAGGAACCAACTTTGGTGTGCTATTCTATTTTTAGCTTAGCGTCTTTCTGTTCGGGGCCGTCAAAATCTCATTAGTGGAATACTGATGCTTATACGGATACAGTCACTTGTCACCACGGAGGCATGGACTCGGTCATCGCGACCTGGTAGTAAAGAAGTTTGTGGTTGAAAGAGCTGGGACAGGCGAGTTTCTGTGATAGCCATTCCTCCTATGGGCCTTCTGTACGATTCCATTGTTTGAATAGAGCTGCCAATAGCACTTATCCCTGTATGTCTAACCCTGAGAAATCCCCTGAAAAGGTAAACTCTACGATCAGCTAGACGGGGATTGCCAACGCATCTTCAACGGAATCCGATTCCAGGAGCAGTCCTCTCAAAAGTCCCGGAGACCAATTGCTCGAGAAAAGTTCTTGCCAATCTCGGTGGCAACGAACTCCTGGAACTCGGGCAGTTCCAGAAGGCGGGCCGCCATCCGTTCTCCAGAATCGTAGAGGGCCTTCTGCAACTTCGCACGCCAGTCGAACTTCGTCTCCGTCTCAGTGACGGCCCGCAGGAAGGAGCGCAGATGGGTTTTCTCCTCGGTCTCGCCGATCTGCCACAGCGGCTTTCGGTCCTTGCCGTAGATGGAGATAACGATCTTGGAGAGGTTCTTGATTCGCGAAACCATTTCCTTCTTCAGAGCCTCGATCTCGAAGAATTCGGCGACAAAGTATGCATGGATGCACGTAAGGAAGGACGGAACTTCCTCCCAAACGTTGCAGGCGAATTCTGTGCGAGGTTATTGTCAGCTAAGCTAAGCCTTCCGGACACGAGTGTTGAAACTGACCTCCGGTATGCAGGAAGGCAAGGACCTCGTGCAAGATATTCGCGGTCTTCACTTCGCCAAACGAGGGAACGTCAAGCACGCCATTCTAAATGCTTGTAAGCAACCAAAGCAAGGTCATGGTTAGGAGAGAAGGCCGGAATCTCACGAAGCGGATGTCCTGGGTCGCGGCCCGGAACCAGCCCGACTCTTTGACAATGGCACTGTGGACGTTCCACATGCAGTTCTGGTGCTGGATCGTCAAGTCGCCATTCTCGTCATCCCACCAGTCGGAGGGGTCCCTAGAGAAATGTCTCGTATCCTATACTTTGCGAAGCATCAGGCGGAGGAAGAAACTTACCCGTTAGTACCCTGAATACCAGGACGCGTGCCGCCCTGGCCGTTGCTCATGCCGATGATGCTCATAGGAGCCATTCTCCTAAACTCTATGCCACTGGAAGGGAATAGGTTAGAGAAAAGAGGGGCGTCTCGGAAAACAATGTACGCGGACTTGCCTGTGTTTCGATCTTGAAAATTGATGTCGTCTGCTGCTAGGTCGAGAGATTTCGTCCCCGGAGGACGTCGTGGGCTGTGGCAGAGGCGGAAATCCGAGAAGGAGGAAGAGACAAACCTCACAGAAACTTGAGTGCCTAGGTACCTGTCCGAGTGGTTCCCTGAATCAGCTTCTGTACCTCTATTTTCAACGTGGAAATGGATGGGAACGCCAAGAAGTTCAACTGACTCTGTGAGGTTTCTCAACGGGGACGGACACGGGATATTGACGACCTCAACAGATGACAGAGACCAGAGGGTAGAAATCAAGGGCAGACAAGTGTCTGTGGGATGAAGAAATTTTCGTGGGAGTCAGAAATTCAGGTCCTTGGTAAATATATACAACAGTTGGAACCCTCGAGGATCATATTGGATAGGGCGAGTGGAATGGGCGGGTCCCACGGTCTCGAGGAGTCAACATGGGGCGATCAAGACGATCCTGACAAACTAGATTCAGTCATGTCGCCGGGAAAGCAAAACATATGTTTGGAGATCGCATAAGTGTGCGCCGAGAGCCAGGTCAGGCGGGAAATGGGTATATCAGCCTTTGTCTCGTGTAAAAGCCCGTCGCCATATAGACTGAAGACGTCGGGGACTAATACAAGGCCACGACGTTCGTTATCTAGGTTGACATCAAGAAAAAGCCAGAATCATGGCCAAAGCCATCTAGCAAAACCCACCCCATTGTTGCAAAACACCGAGCCTGTCGCTGTTTTTCCAGTACAAATAACGCAGGACAAAAGACACTCAAGCATGAATGAAGACACGACAACCCCCGCAGGTCCTAGAATAAAAGAAAAAGCCCATGCTTCCAGGTAGCATACTGTTGCTACAACCAAGTAGGCCCTCCCTCAAAAGTGGCCCTCGTCACCTGCGGCAATACTCCCTCTCCCTATGCCTATCCTCGATCAATATGTTAATCCTCTCGCCTCCCTCGACGCTCCTCCTCCTCGGCGGCGGGCTCCTCGGCGGGCTCGGGGCCGGGGGTCTCCTCGGGCCCTCGACATAGCGATACGTCTCGTACTCTGGCTGGACGCGCACGGGGACGAACGTCTGCCGTTCGACATAGACCTCCCTCTCCCTCTCCCAGTCGTGCGACGCCCGGCGGCCCCGGCTGCGGCTGCGGCTGCTCTTGCTGCTCCGCTCCGACGGCGCCACGTCGACGGCGATCACGTCGATCGTCTCCGGCTCGGCCGGCTTGGGCGGCGGCGGGAGGCAGAGCGGAGGCGGTGGCGGGGGCTCCACGATCACGGGTGGCGGGCACGGCGGTGCTGGCGCCGGGATGATCGTCGTCACCCGCCTGCGGATCGTCTCGGACCCGTTCCGGGGAGGCTCAAGGTAGAGCCTCTTCTTGGCGGCGCCGTAGCGGTGATCTCTATGGCTAGACACTAAGGTTTCGCAGGGTTAGTCCCGAGATCGGCAGGCAAGGTTAAAAGGGGGGGGGGGCCGGGGTTAGTTTGTGGCCACTTACTCTTTTCCAAGGATCCCAGGAAGCAAATAAGGATCCTTTAATAACAGTTATGGAAACTGGACGAGGAGATCCAAAGAAGACTTCGTCGTGAATATGGCGTGGTATCACGATGTTTTTGTACCTGATTAAGGGGCGTCAAGTACGGTGGTGTGCGCCTAGGCTGATGATGGTTGGGTGTATGTATCTGAGGATGCTGCTGAGTGTGATTGTTGTTGGCACAGCATATAGATGTCTCCGGTGAAAGTATGTAAATATGTCTCGTAGAGGAAGGATGGTACTAATATGATAAATTCGACAGTGGAAAGCTAAGCGACGAAGAGATGCGGCCAAGACTGTCTAGACCTTTCCTTCTCAGCACAGCCCACAAGGCTGTCGGCGGCTCGGCTTATGCAACGACAAGAAAAAGGCAGAAGCGCAGAGTTGCAGCGGAGGACCCTGAGACCCTGCGATGAGCTATCTGATCAATATTGCGAGGTCGGACGGCAACTTGGGAAGAAGGGGTTGGGAGGGATGGAGAGATGGAGAATATAAGTCTAGGGTCCACATGTCTACATCCCTCCTTTTTACACGCCAATCCTATCTACTAGTAGGGAAGACCGCTTGGCCTGTATTCCTGATATTGCGCTTACGTTGCCGTACTTTTTCGATATCAGATGGCGGAAGGGATGGGGAGTTTCTTGGTTCCCGACTGCCACCCTATGACATCGCCTACCTACGTCATCCGACCACTGGTCGCAATGCGCCCAGCATTTTCTGCGCTACCAAGACCTGCTGAGCCGTGGCACACGCATCGTCCCGTCCAGCCACTCAATCGCAACTACGATTCTGGTTGGCCGCGACACTTCGGGCGCCTTCGAGATTCGACGATGTCTCGGGCCAAGATTTTGCGCCTGCACCTGGACCCCGAATTCATCTAAACCATTTCTGGGCTGAAGGCCGAGCCTCACTTGGCTGGGTCATGTGGCACATGTATTGTTTTTGTCAAGGTCTAGCTACGTATTTGAAGCCACTTGTTGGAAGGGCCCCAAATTTTTTTAGAGTCTCCCAGGTTAGTACGTGAAACCGATCCGTAGCTAGATCTTATCCAAGTCTATTCCTCCCCCTCCCGCTCCCTCCTCCTCTTCATCTCATCGTAATCGGGCAAGTTCCGGGACGCAACCGTCCAGGCCCCCGCGACGAGCGTCATCACCACCCAGATGGAGTAGCCCCACAGCCACTGAGTCCTGGCGCCGATGGCAAACAGGCTCGTGAACAGCGCCGGCGAGAACGCGCGGGTGCCGCTTACCCCCGTCAGGGCCAGCGCGTTCAGCATGCCCAGGACCTGGGGACTGGGCGAGACGTCGTTGAGCGCGAGCTGGACCGCCGTGAAGGACATGCTGACGCCGCACCCGACGGCCAGGCTCACGGGCATGATGACCCAGAAGGCCGTGACGGCGGCCTGGCTGTCGAGGCGCAGCAGCGCGTTGAAGAGCGGGGAGGTGGCGAAGAAGATCGGGTAGGCGATGGCGCAGACGCGCAGCACGCCGGCCGTGCCGATCCGGTGCTGCAGCGGCGGGAAGACGAAGAGGATCCAGATCGCCTGCGCAAAGCCGTTGACGCCCATCAGTAGCGAGATCTGCAGCGATGTCAGGCCGAAGCCGCCGAGAGGGACGGGTGTAAACCAGAAGAGGGGCACAATGGCGGTATATGCGAAGGCGAGCAGCATGACGTGGCCATACGAGTACACGGCCATGGCAACACCCGGCGATTTGAGAAGCTCCCGGTTTGAGGGGGGAGGGGGCTTTGACGCGGCGAGTGCGGAATCATCACCACTGATGCCCGATGGTTTCTTGACCAGCGTCTCGGTGACGAAGAGAGCGGTGACGATCGTGGCGGTCAAGCAGATGATGCCGACGGCGAAGTTTGGCAGGGCGTAAGGATAATCAGTGAAGAACTGGATGTTCTTGAATAGTTTGGGGTATTGGCGGGCTGGGTCTGCAAGCGCACCGCCAACCAGCGGGCCAAAGAAAATGCCCAAGTTGCCTGCGAATGCGAACCAGCTGAACGATCTCGCCTGGGTCTTGGAGGTGCTATGCTCGGATATCATGGTGCGAATTGTCACGATAGTCCCCGCGAAGACCCCAGCGAGGCAGCGGAATAGGATCATCTGCCAGATCGTCTTCGCCATCCCGAAGATGGAGGTAGCAACGGTGACGCCGGCCAAGGAGAGGACTAGAACAGGCTTACGGCCAAGCCTGTCAGCCGCCTCGCCCCAGAGGATCATGACGGCCATCTGGGTCAGCGAGAACAGCGACTCGATGACGCCGCTGTAGAAGCCAACGTCGGCATCGTCGAGGTTGCCATTCTCCTGCACCATCTGGTTGATGAAGGGGAAGATGCAGAAGAAGGCAACCGGTTCGACAACCCGGGCATAGCAGAGCAAAGCGATCTGCAGCCGGGGCAACGGCTTATCATTCCCGTTGGCACCGGGTTCATTTAGAGTTGTGGCCTCGAATGTCCCTGGCTCTGCATTTCGTGTAACATCCTCCCCAGAGAGAAGAGGCGTATTCTCATCAGCGTTTTTAGCCGGCATATTGAGTTAAGTTGTGGCAGTCCCTCGCCAACTCAACTTGAGCCACCTTTCGCAATGTCAGAGAATCCCTGAAATATCATGGCGCTGATTCCGCTGTTCCAGGAGAGAGGGCAGGGAGGTACAGGGGGAATATTGGGAGGGTTGGAGTTGGTCAATGACATACCACATGTGTGATTGGTCGTTGCCTGGAACTCTTTAGTAGAGGGTGCAAGATGCAACAACAATCAATCATCAATCATGTACTTTTAATTGTATGCAGTGTAGGTGACTGCTTTGAAGTACTACAGTTCATCCATCTGAAATGATTACGAACAAAGCCATTCATTATCTCTACCTACTTTAGGAAGGCAGGTAAGCACTGAGTGCCCTAATCCCTATCAGTGTGGTTGGCTGCTCCACTAGCTACGCTAGCCAATTCCGTATATCGGCAACTATAACGCCCGTAGTCTCCAGCAACAGGCAAGATGGCCGAGCGGTCCAAGGCGCCACGTTAAGGTCTACAAAACCTTGAACAATCAATTCCGTGGTCTCGAAAGGGGCGTGAGTTCGAATCTCACTCTTGTCATATCTTTTTGTCTTTTTGGCTTCCTTCGTTTGCTTCATTACCACCACTACCGTCAACACTAGTTTTACTTTTTTGCCTTTTCCTTTTCCTTTTATTCTTTTCTTTTCTTTTCTTTTCTCGTGGCCCAAATTACGGTTCTAGCTCCTCTGCTATTTATTTCGAGATGTTATTTTAAGCAACATTACGGATTACAACGACTCCTTTCGACAGCCTTACTGAAGGATCTTGACATTATGACATGCCTCTTACTGGAGGAGGTATCTGAACACACGTACTGGATCACCAAGCAGACAAAGGTAAAGTAGCCAGCGTTCCAGACTAGTTAAAGTGGGCTTTCAGCTAGAAAGGAATACCTAGATCCACCTATCAGGCAACTAGATGACGAGGCTGGGGAAGGGATGATGATGCGCAGTTAGCCACCGTACTTGGAAATATATAGAAATGCATATGTACCTAGTAGACAATAGGTGCTAACCGCATGTCTACCATAGGTATCTTGACATATTATCCTTGCTGTTGCTATCTTGTGGCTGACCCTGCCGCAGAGGCAAATATGTTGCGGGTGGTTCACAATACCAGCATGTGACAGTCTCCAAGGATTGTAGGTGCCCAGCAAGGTTGCGATGCTGACCATGTTCCATTCGCCCCCGAGCAATGATCCCTTCCCACAGCAAGAGCCATGGGTGTGCTACGTTCGGAGAAAGCGTGACGTGCTATCAGCCTGGATCCGCCACCTTCTCCATGCGACCCATATTTGGCCTCAGTTCCCCAAAAGTATCCCCGGCGTGAGCTTGCGCCGTTAGTCTGGCCCATTTGATGTCACAAGCCGCACCCTTCTCAGACACGGAGAATCGCGAGGGGCAAGGCTCTGGGAACCCGATTTCGGCTCATCTATCATCTCCATTCCGATCTTGGAAGAGTAGCCTGAGCGGGGGAGTGGTGCATACCGGGACCAATGGAAAGTGGCGGCCAAAGGGCAGGCGTTCAAGGGAGCTGGACGGGACGGCAATCTTGAGATTTGGCCGAGCACGTCTCACAAAATCTGACACAACGGACATACCTTTCGGTGGGAGGCCCAGTGTTCGGACATGATATGGTTGATCCGAGTCACGGAGGACGGATACCCCGAGGAATCAGAGTGTCTAGATCATGATTCGGGTCTCTCTACATGCACGCCCATAAAACGAGATGCTTAGGAATATCGTTGGATTGGCACCTCCGCTTCGTTTCGTCGGAGAATCACATCGTCAAGTTCCTCCGTGGTCAAGAGTATTTTCCCCGTTGTTGATAGTTGTAACCTGGAGACAGCTATCTGATCAGAGCGGTATCTGGCACTTTGCTTGTTCTGTGAGTAGGCAAAGTAGGCCAATTCATACTAGCCTATTCCTGAGTTCAAATTGAATAGAACCATCCGGAATGGGTCTGCTAGATCCTGCGAGTAGTGCCTAGCTTGTTTAACACTTGTGTAAAAAAAACCGTCTCCAGTCGAGACTCTCGACTACAGAGACCATGCTTTCGCTCGCTGGATAGTCTCGTCAGCCTGGTACTGCTCGTTATCTTCTCCAGCGTTGAGCATATGGAGGTTAGATATCGGATCAGAAGGACGAATGTTCACGCTCAAGGATGCGTTCCAAGTTGACGCGTTGAGGAAGAGTGAACTCGCGAAGTCACGTGCACAAACTTGCTAGCTTGGGGACAAGCCTGGCGCTAGCTGCTATTTTTAATCTAAAGTTGACGCACAGACAAGCCTCCCTTGCCAACTTGAAACCTACCCGAGACCAAGTAACGATATTGATGCTAGTGTAGAACCCAATTCCGATCTGTTTCAAGGCTATTTTTCCCTTGACGTTGCAGCTCGCTTGAGAAGTGATGGTCCTCTAATTGCTCGACATAATTGCAGGAGTCGATCGAAGACGGTCCCTTACGGACAGAACGTGCGGGGAAGATGCCATCTACACTCTGGGGACTCGAAGGGTTTCGTCTGATGCTTGCCCGCTTCTGTGCACTTGCATGGCATACTTTTGAAGTGGCTTTGTGCCAAGGCTTGGCGAGTTGACATCAAGACTTGAGCACAACATTCCCGCATCACAGATGACCTGCAATAAAACATTGGATTGCCGATCGTATCCTTATCCTCCAGGGGTGATTTGGTCAAGATCGAGCCCGTTGAGGATCCGTTCGTTCTGCAACATCAACAGAGGAGGATGGTGTAACCAGGGTCATGGTACAGTATGTTATCTTCTTGCTTACCCCGGCAATGCAGGGACCAGCCTACTATGCGTCGGATCGAGGCCAGAACCCAACTCTTGAGGGTAGAGCGAGATAAGCTTATACTGCGTAGACTTGGAGCTGCATCACGCATATGCACCATTTCCACCAAGCTGGGGGGATCAGTCCCTGCCTTCTGTCCTCGTGGGTGGCTATGCATGCATGACTCCATGAGACCCCCTCCTGTCATCCAGACTCATCAGGACCATCTCAACTTCCGCCCCGGCTCTCCGGGAACCTCCGTTCCATCGATGGCTTGGGTTTCGTGTGGCTGCAGGAAGCAACCCGAGCTGGGGAAGTTGAGAAGCAAGGTGCTCCGTGCGTTTTCCGCAATGTTTGTCGCCCCGTCTTTAGGCCTTGGGTTACGCGCCGTCAAAGATGTCATGTTTTAAAAGCCCAACGACGCTCCTCGACCTGGCATAGTCCGGTTTCGAAAACCTCAGATTGCTCAACATGACCTGCATACCAGTGGCACGGCCTGCTTCCGCCTTTGGCCAAAAATCGTGGCTCGTGGCTGCGGGCAAGAAAAAGGGGCACGGAAAGGTTGGTCGTGCACACCGCCTTTCCGATGAGGTAACCGGGTGTGTGAGGCGGAACAGGGGGTTAATTGGCTAGATATGAGAGTTAAAGAGTTGTTTGTCAAGATAAAACCAAATAAATATGAATCAGTGTTGATCAACTGCAAGAAACAGAGACACAGAGGCAACTTTCTTATTTATCCCAGGAATCACGTCTACCCACCAGCAAGACAACCCTAACCCTGTGGACATTTTCCACTGTAAAGGACTCTTGTTAAAGGAGTCTGCCCTAGGTAATTATCGGGGGCCTTTGAGGGAGACGGACGCCCGTCACAATAAAATTCTAGACCACACGTGGACAGCGAAAATCTTAAAATCTTCTTGGAATGGTACCAATAACGTACCCCACAGACACCCCATCCACTTCTGCGTCTAGGAGCACGGGATGACTTCCTCGGAGTCAAGAAAGATGTCGGATGGCGCAAGGGGCGCATCCAGATTTTACTAGTGTACTAAATAATACGTTTAGTGTACCTGCAGTCGTTCAACCTCCTGCATGATACATGACGGGGTCCCTACTCCCAGAGTCCCAGAGTCCCAGAATTCCAAAGTCTCAATTGGTACCTCCCAATGGCTCCCCTAACGGCGATTTTGACCTTTGGCGCTATCATTTTGAGGTAGAACCTGCCAAGACGAGGAGGAAAAGCTTCCATTCCAATCTTTGGTGTCTTGAGTGGATCTTTGGAGTTTGCAAGTGTGAACTGGCGGCCCTCCGTCCGGCCGGTTTACTGCGGTATGAGACCGAACAGTGCCTCGCATCTACCGGCAAGCGTGCTCCCAGTGGCAGACAGGGAACGGAGAGTTAATTGATTGAGCCCGTGCAGGCGACTGCAGAGAAACTGGAAATCCGGGGGCTTGATTGGAAGCGAACCTTGTCCCTGAGCGTCCCTGATATTTTAGTGTAGTAAATTGCCCAGGCACCCCTGTTTGATGGCGGCAGGCGACCGGACCACATACCACTTGCAGCACGGACGATTGGACCTGAACGGACTAGCAGAGTACTGTGTGGTAGGCATGTATTGTCTTAACACGGCCAATCTTGGCAAACTTGGTCACTCCCTCGTTGGAAGCTGCGTCCTCGGCTTCCCTCGCAGACAGGAGCTTCTACAAGAGGAAGGGAAACAGGACCCTGAATAGGTAAACAAATAGATTATTCAATTCTGCTTGTCCGTGAGGTGTGTTCTTGGTTCGAGTTTCGAATACAGGGTTCAGGTACCGATCAGGCTGAATAATGAGAGGAGGAAACCTCTTTGCCGTGGTTTCAGGTTAGGCTTCCATAACCACCTGCACCAGAATGGGGTCTTTGCTTGTGTTTCTGGGTTCGGCCAAGATAACGGCTCTTAGTGCAGTCCAGCCAATCCAGACCCAGCATGACCCAGCAAGACATTTCGTAGTGGTGTACACGCATTGGGCAGAATCATGGGAAAATCATGGCGTTCATTCGTATTACCACCTGTACCTATTTTCTCTTGTTCGCTACGCAATACATACTCGACATCTCGAGGCTTGCCCTGCAGAATAACCTTGCTTTGGGCGCATGCAATAGCTAGGCGACCCGCTATCTTGCTTGGTTTATCAAACTGGTATTAGTGGAGATCCAGAAACGGGAGCGTGGTGTAAACCGTTCTCGTCCGACTGACCCCCGACCAATTTGAACCACCTTCAGCTCCTGGTCGAACGAAGGACAACAAACCCGTTGCCCCCTCCCCTCCGGCTTCTTAACCTCCATGTCTCCAGCGCACAAGCCGAGTGAAGCCAGATTCTTTAGTCGGCGCTGAGCGCTGCACCCCGCCTGCCATCACCGCAACAGCAAAGGAGCACCACCAGCAAGGAAGCTGCCAGCTTCGCCCCCAGTACATGCGACATCAGTCAGGGTCGCCTAGGAGTTGTCGTGCATCGGAGCACTGACCCTCCCACCAATTGGCTCGACTCCCACGTCGCATACAGGACTATGTCGCACCTTGCCCTCCAAGAGAGTGAAGGCCCGTCAGACCAGCAAGGCCTTGGACAGTCGACCTCCCAGTCCTCCCAGTCCAGTCTGCAGTACGCCCAGGACAGCCCTACAATCGGGAGGGCTCAGATCCAACCCCATCCTTTTGCCGGCCAGGCAATCAACGGTTCTGGCTCCCATAGCCCATTGCCAACGCCTTCCAGGTGAGCCACCCCGTTTCATGCTCCTCCTTTGTTGTTGATCGACGACTCTCTCTCCCGATTCTTCGGACACAAACAAACCTCGGCCGATCTCTTTGTTCTGGCAAGCGCTAGGAATTCCAATTAGGTACTCGGGGAACATAGACGTTGAACACAGCATCGACAACGCATCTTTGCCCCCCCGGGATCTGCTTGGTATCCGGTCCTGCCGTGCGACTGTGCCAGATACTGCAGTGGCCTCGGTGCCCACAGTGTGCCCATAAACACTAGTGCTGATCCGACCCCTTTCCTTTGATACAGATCCCAACGTAAACCTGCTCCAAGCCCTCTGCATGCGAGCACCGCTATATCTCCGCCATCGAGTGCCAGCTCCAGCCCATCGCGATCCGACTTCCCATCACCACCGCATCCGACCCAATCCGCCCGTACGCCACCGAAGATAGCCACCGCTGCCTCTCAAGTCGAGCGAACCCCCAAATCGGCGGCCCAGACGACATACTACGACAGTGATTCGTCGGGCGCCGAAACATCTGAAGATAGCAGTCCAGGGTGCGTCAATCTTGCGGCCTCTGTGCCTTTGAGGGTGTCTTAATGGGCCTATCTGTGCCTCGTGGGCCGAATGAATTTGCTGACCGGATTACAGACCAGATCCTTCACGTCGACTCCCGAATGACGTTCGCGACGCTCCCGGGCGAGTCGTGACCGAAAAGCCTCTTGGCGCCGCCATCAAACCATCGCCAGCAATGGCGGGCCTGTCACCTACTTCACGAGGGGAGCCGGCCAAAGGCACCCCACGGAACTCGTCGATAGATTCTGCCATATCCGCAATATCCTCAAGATCCCAGCCCAATAAGATGGCCCCCGAGGGCCAATCGCCAACTCCCGAGATTGCTAGCCTTATAAAGACGGCAGGCAGCGCTGAGGCGGTAATCCGGTACCTGCTGAAAGAGAAGCAATCACAATCCCAGCAAAACTCTCAGTTATGGCGGCTGGTCGACAAACAGAGGGCTATGATCCTCGGCCTGAATAAGGACTTGGAGAGGGCTCTCAAGGATAAGGAGAAGTATAGGAAGAAGCTGAAGGAGGTCATGGCCGTGACGGATGTTCCTCTTCTTCCATCCGCACCTCCTGCACAGGCAGCCCGACCTCCGACCGCCAGCGCACCCAAAACGACGGCAGATTCCAGCAGCAAGACTCGGGTCCTCGAAATCCCGGTCTCTCCAGGCCTAGACTCGGACAGCCAGAAGCATTCGCCCATCGACATGACCCTAGCGCCATATCCCATCACGCCTCCTGCAGACCAACTCCCCGGCGGTCCGCCATCGGCAGTGGGCGATATGTTGGATCCCGCACATACCATGCCCAAGTCATCTGAACACGCTCTGGACCAATTCGATCACGACAAGCAAGAAAGAGACGCAGAGGCGGAGAGGAGACGAGCCGATGCCGCCAAGGATCTTCCCATCAACCTCAGCTTGCCACCGTCGCGAAGCTTGCCGAGCGAACCTCCACGGGTTCCGCCACCTCGGCTCCCGCCTGTCCCCCCGCCATCAACGTCTGCCTTCGAGGCCGCCCCGATGGTAGACGAGGGAATCGCTCAATATCCACCGCCGGCGGCCCCGCCACCGCGGAAGCTACCGCCTGCTCCCCTGCAGCTCAGAAACTTGCAACAGCAAAGCCCCACAATCCCGCCGGACGACGAGCTCGAGACCGACTCGGATTATGATGATATCTTGGAGGTGGACGAGATGAAGCTCGACGAGCGAAGAGGCCGCCGAAGAACGAGGGAGGAGGACGAACGAAATCGGGAAATTCTCGCCCTCAAAGAAGCCGAGGTTCGGAGTCTCTCCATGAAGAGCAAGAAGAGCAACAGCAGCTTGAAGGGAACCAACCAGGCGGCCATGCAAAGCGAGATACAAGTCAGCCCAAGACTCGCCCAGTCCAAGACCAAGGGGACTCTCCAGCGGGATAACATCCCTGCGTCCCTTGCTGGAATTCTCAACGGCAGCGTGGCTCCGGACCCGGAATTTGCGGCCCCGCCCGCGTTGCTCAGCCCAGGCCTGCCGTCGAGCCCTCGCCCCATGGGTATGAAATCACCCGGTATGACCTCGCCGCCGCTCTCGCCCCTCGGCGTGACGGCGTTTCCGGGAACGCCCTTGTCCCCTCGACCACCGCGCCAGCCCATTCCGCTTCCAATCAACACGCCACTGTTGACTGGTCCACTGGGAGAGCCCCTGACCCTGACTTCCCCAAAGCCTCTAAATATCTTGAAGAAAGTATCAGAAAGCGCCCAACCAAGCCCTACCAAGAGCAGTCGCGAGAGCCCGACGGAACGGAGCAGGATTTTCAAGGGTTTCGTCACCGAGGACTATCCCGACCTGCTACTCCCGCCAAATGCCCTGCCGTCGATCGACATCAGGGTGGCGTCTTCGCGAATGAAGCCGTCAAGGGCCAGCTTGCTGTCCCTGACACAGCTGGAGGAGGACCCGGTGTTCACTCTGGCCATATTCTCAAGGGCCGACAGTGGCGAATTATGGCGCGTAGAAAAGGACTCGGCCTCGCTTTCTAAGCTTGACCAGAGGCTGAAGCAATGCAGCACCTTCACTGCGAAAACACCCGAGAGGTCTCTCTTCACTGGACATGCTCCGGCCAAACTCGATGCCCGCCGCCTGGCTCTCGATCATTACCTGGACGAGCTCCTCAACACGCCTCTCGACAACGCGACGGCACTGGAACTATGCAGGTACTTGTCGACTAACACCCTGCCGCCGAATGCCGACGAGACTGGCTCGTCGAATTCAGTCCGGACTTCGACCAAAGACACCGTCCTGAAGACAGGGCCCGGCGGGCGGCCTTTCAGAAGCGGGTATCTCACCAAACGGGGCAAGAACTTTGGCGGCTGGAAAGCCCGGTTCTTTGTCCTTGACGGTCCCAACCTGCGATATTACGAGACTCCTGGAGGGGCTCATCTGGGAACCATCAAGCTGCCGAGGTCGCAGATAGGCAAGCAATCGCAGCACAACAACGATGGCGCTTCGCCGGTACGCGCCCCTTCGGGCTCGGAAGACATCGACAACCAATACCGACATGCATTCCTCATTCTGGAGCCCAAGAAGAAAGACCCCAACAGTATCACGAAGCATGTTTTGTGCGCGGAGAGCGACGAGGAGAGGGATCAGTGGGTTGACGCTTTGCTCCGTTGGATAGACTACAGAGATGCAGACGACGATGAGCCTGCGACATCAAAGAAAGAGCAAACCCACGACCGCCAGGATCGTGCCAGCGGCATCAATGCGAAGAGGAGGACTCAACTACAAGCGAGGCAGCAGCATCATCAGAACGCCAATGAGAGCGAGAATAGCCTCATTGGGGTCAGCTACGAAGCCACCAGGCAGGGCGACATCCCCCAGGGCGCGCCATCCAGATCGAAGAATGGGCCACATCATGACTATGACTCACCCCATAATCATGCCCAGACCATGACCTCTCAGCAGTCATACTCCATCTCGGCGCCCAGAGACCCGCAGGTTATCTCGGACTCGGCTTCGTGGGGCTCAAAGCTGGGAATGGGTCTGGCACCCCCAAATCAAGAGGAGAAGAAGGCGAGGAAGCGAAGCTTCTTCGGATTCGGGCCCAAGACTCGAACGTCTAGCGACGGGCAAGACTCCCTCTTCGGGAGCGACAATGGGCCGGCGCAGTCGGGGCCATCTGCCAGCCAGCAGTCTGGGCCGGTTCGCCAGGTGTTCGGGGCGTCTCTTGCCGAGGCGGTCCGATACAATAGCCCCGTGGATGTCGATGTCCCACTGCCGGCGGTTGTGTACCGTTGCATCCAGTACCTGGATTACAAGAATGCCACCTCGGAGGAGGGCATCTTCCGACTCAGCGGCTCCAATGTCGTCATCAAGCAGCTGCGGGAGAGATTCAACAACGAGAGCGACGTCAATTTGATTACCGACGAGCAGTATCACGACATCCACGCTGTCGCTTCCCTGCTCAAGCTTTACCTTCGTGAGCTTCCTACGACCATACTGACGCGAGACCTGCATATGGAGTTCGTCTCGGTTACCGAGATGACGAACCAGAAGGAGAAGATCGCCGCCCTCGGCGAGCTGGTGGAGCGGCTTCCGCAAGCCAACGCCACCCTGCTCAAGTACCTGATCGCCTTCCTAATCAAGATCATCAACAACCAAGACGTGAACAAGATGACGGTGCGCAACGTTGGAATCGTCTTCTCGCCGACCCTCAACATCCCGGCCCCGGTCTTTGCCCTGTTCCTCCAAAACTACGAGCCTGTCTTCGGCATAGATCCAATTGACTATGAGCTGCCCTCGCCCGTATCTGAAAGGGAGAGGCGCCCGTCCAATCCAGAGCGACCAAGCTTCCAGGACCGACGTCCGTCCGACTCGCAACCCCGCCCCTCGACCTCAGGAACGGGCTCTTCATCCCCTCACCGCCAGCGGCTCATGGAGGCCGTCCTGGAGGGCCAGAGCCAGCGGAACGGCCAGCGGGGCACACCAACACCGAACGGCCAGCGGAGCACACCAACCCCACCGCCTGCTCCTCTCATGAGCATGCAACAGATGGCACAGCTAAACGCCGCCCAGAGGTCGACCCCTACCCCGCCGCCACAGCGGCTGACTAGCTATGAACCGTCTTTTCTTGCGCAACAGAACCAGGCCGGCAGTCATATTTCGCTGCGGCCGGCATATGACAGCGGCTTCGTTGTTCCCACTGGTTATGATGTGACTCAGTTCCACCCTCAACCCCCCGGCCAACGTTCCCAGCCAGGCTACGATCGACCCATCTACGAACCCGGCGCCCCTGTTCCTTACGACCAACCCTACAGCGCGAAGAGTCGGCGGGAAAGCGGCATGTTCCTGGGACCGGCTGGCCTCAACAACCAGGGCTCGAGAAGCCGTTTGAGGGAGGAGGCCCAGTTCTAAACCGCCCTTGCACCGAATCGGTCGCCATGTTATTCGTCGACGCCGCCTGCTTTCACCGCGTATCGCACCATTTTTCTCTGCTGTTCTTTTCGTCAAAGAGATACCATAACAGTTATTTTCGGCGTCCCTGAGTTGGGATCGCCCCTGTCTTATATTCTCGTACATCGTTCGCACTCGCCGGCTTGCTTCCGCCTCACATGTCGTCTTCAGCGTTTTACGTCTGTGTATATACCACGCCTTAGGACTGGCGCCTAGCGTTCAACCCGTTATTCTAATCACCAAAGACAATCATCGGACCGTTTTGGTAATGTTGAGCTTGGCTTGAGTGGAATTCGGGGGAGATACCCAAGGGATCCAAGCCAAGTCTGTCGTTCGTCACGATGGAGCTGTACAATCTCGTGCTTCCCGTTCTTTCTTTTTCGACTTACGCTTCCTTTTTCCGTCTCTCTTTTCTCTCTTCTCTGTCTTGGGCGGGCTATTTGTGGAAGGGCTTCTTCCTGCTTTCCAACGAGCAGGGCGTTACTAGGCGTTTGTTTCACTATGGGTTGGGCGACGACGTCCTCACATGTGACACTGGGGTGCCAGGTCGCAGGCTGAAGAAGAATGGAATACGATTTGAGGAGATGGCCTGGGATTTACGTTATGTTGTTCTACCTGGGAACCAGGACGTTCTGTCTGTTTATGATAATGCCGAGGGGTAACCATGACCAGGCTTTGTCAGCAATCAGGTGCCTCTTGCCCAAGTAGCTACCTAGGTACTATGTAATAATAACAATTTGATATTTGAGAATGAAGAATCAACAGGCTGAGACCTTATAAGAGGAAGAGGGTAATGTGAGTTCCATTACCTTCAACCTGCAGAACGTGTGTATGGAGCCCACATGTACGGATGTAGTGTCGGTCCAATTATACTCCTTGGGACCAGGGGTAGTACATACCTACATCGGGACAATCCTTTGCTAGGAGCCGACCGGAAGCGTCGGCACCAGCTGGCAGACTCAGCCATCTTCCGCTGTGGTTATCAAAGTCGCCCTATTTTCCTCCGACATTTACAGCGTCGAAATCGGCGGTCGGGTCTCCCAAGTGCCGTTCAGCATCATCAACCCCAAGACGCCACGGGTTTAGCCGAAAAGTCGAAAATCATGGACATAGATCCCCGTCTCAGGGACGCCGCGGAGACGACGCCAACGACGCTGGGCTCCTTTGCGAACTCGTCGCCGCCGGTCGAGTCCAAGCCGCCCACGTCCCCCACCCACCCCCGACACCACCGAGTCCCGAGTCAACCGCAGGCCCAAGATGCAGCCCCCTCCCGGGGCCACGGTCCCCCGACCCCCTACGGACCGCCACACGTCGACTCGTATTCCCCGCAGAGCAGCACCGCATCCACCGCCGACCAGAGGCCGACCCCGACGACGACGGCAACGACGATGGCGACCCCCACCGCGAGCAGCTCCCACCACCAGCAACAACAGCACTTCCAACAACAACACCAATATAACCACCAGCAGACCGACCCAGGCACAGCCGGCGACGGCGGCGATGGCGACCCCAAGAAGGCGCGCGCGTGCGAGAGCTGCCGCGGCCTCAAGGTGCGGTGCGTGCCCGACCCGGCCGACCCGGAGGGCGCGTGCAGGCGGTGCGCCAAGGCCGGGCGGGCGTGCGTCGTGACGCAGCCGACGCGCAAGCGGCAGAAGAAGACGGACAGCCGCGTCGCCGAGCTGGAGAGGAAGATCGACGCGCTGACGGCGAGCCTGCAGGCGTCGAGGGGCGGGGCGGCGGCGGCGGCGGCGGCGGCGGCGGCGGGGTCGGATGGTCATGTGGGTGCTGTTGCGGCTGCTGGTGCTGCTGCTGGGTCGTTGGCGGCGAGGGGTTGGGCTGCACAGGCGCCCGGCGGGGAGAGGACGCTGCAGGCCCAGCTGCGGACGGCGCAGGGCGGGAGCCAGCACCAGTCGGCGTTTGTCGGTAGGACGGCGGACTCACAGAACAACCAGAACAACAACAGCGGCAGCGGCGGTGGCAACAGCCCCGTCAAGAACAAGATATATCCCCCGCCGATGGTGATGGCGGGCCAGAAGAGGAAGTTCACGGAGAGCAGAGATTCCGCCGCGGAGAACGCCCGGGAGGCACACCCGGCGACGCCGCAGAGCCAGAACAACCCGGGCCACGACTACTTGGATGTCGTCGATAGGGGGGTCCTGACCATGGACAGGGCTGCCGAGCTGTTTATCCGATACACCGACCAGATGGTGTCGCATCTGCCAGGGGTCGTCTTTCCCGCGGGCACGACCGCGGCAGAGGTCAGGAAATCAACGCCGACCCTGTTCCACGCCATCATGGCTGCCAGCTCCTCCGAGTTCCCCCTCATCCAGCGGCGTATGGTCAAGGAGTTGATGGAGATCTTTGCCGAGAAGGTCATCGTCCGGGGCGAGAAGAGCCTGGAGCTCGTGCAGGCGTTGCACGTTGCGGTGATCTGGTACTGGCCCCCCGAGCACTTTGAGGAGCTCAAGTTCTACCAACTGGTGCACATCTCTGCCGTCATGGCTCTTGATATCGGCTTGGGCAGGAAGCTGGGTAATCCGGGAGGCTTCAGGAAGTATATCCAGAGTTCTGCATACAATCACCAGCATGTCAGGAAGCCTCGGTCGCCAGACCCAACCAGCATCGAGTGCCGGAGGGCTTGGCTGGTGTGCTATTTCCTCGCGACCAACACGTCCATGGCAATGCATCGCCCGAACCTTGTCAGGTGGTCCTCGTTCATGGCCGAGTGCATGGACGTCCTCGAGTCCTCCCCCGACGCGGCGCCGACAGACAAGTATCTGTGCCACCTTGTGTGGTGCCACAAGCTGGCTGAAGACGTAGGGATCCAGTTTTCGATGGACGACCCCTCCACCGCTGTTAGTATAGCGGATGCTAGGACGCAGTACGCGCTGAGAGCCTTCGAGCGGGAGCTGGATAGGTATAGGAAATCCATTCCCGATGACATGCTTCTACGTAAGTGCACACGTCTCCTTTCTTCCTCCTTAAAGTCTCGTAATATATCCCTTGCTAAACCATTCTCCAGCAACGTTGAAGATGAGCTTCCACGTCATTAGCCTGTACATGCACGAGACCGCCACGCAGATTGACACGGGCGAGGAGTGCAGGCATCCAACCACGGCCGACGATCTCAGGGACGCGCTCGCGTCCGACGCGCCGCTCACCCCGGCCCACGTCGCCGCCCTCTCGGCGTGCCTGACCGCCATCGACGGCATATTCGAGGTGTTCCTCGCCATGGACGTCGCCTCGATCCGGTGCCTACCCGTCTTCAACTTCATCCGCATCGCCTACGCCTTCGTCGTGCTGATCAAGATCTACTTTGCCGCGTCGTCGCCCAAGAGCGAGCTGGGCAAGGTCATCGACAAGGACCACATGAAGGTCGAACAGCACCTCGAGAACCTGCTCGACAAGTTCCGCGCCACCGCCGCCGACGACAAGAGCCGCCCGGCCACAAAGCTCCTCATCGTCCTGGCGATGCTGCGGTCCTGGTTCCAGAAGCAGAACCCCAAAGCCCCAACCGCCGCCGCCGCCACTTCCTCGGACGCGCCGCCCACACCAGGGTGCCCTGCCGCCGCGGCAGCCCCCGAGACGGCCCGGTACGACCCCCGAAACGGCAGGGAACAACTACAGCAGCAACAGCAGCAGCAGCAGCAGCAGCAGCCGGAATACCCGACAGCCAACACGCCCCTCCAGCTCCTGTCCGAGATCGCGACCAGCGACTCGGCCTCCGCGCCGCCGCAACAACAACTTACCGGCGGCGGCGGCGGCGGCGGAGGCGAATTCCCCTGGCTGAACCGCCTGCAACCCGCCGCGCAGCAGCAACAGCAGCCGTTCGTGTACGGCGGCGGGGGCCCCGGCCCGGCGACGACAAGCGACGGGACGCCGACGAGCCTGGACCCGTCTGGCGGGGGCCCCATCCCGTGGCTTGGGAGTGGGGGTCCGGGTCCCGGCACGCTGGCTGCGGATTTCGAGTACGTCGGGCTCGGAGACGGGTTCGCGCGGGCGATGGATCTCACGCTGGCGGGGCTGGCGGACGGGGGGTTCGGGTTCGGGCTCGGGCTCGGCGGGCCCGGCGGCGGGTACGAGACGGGGATGAGGTATGTCTTGCAGGATCCACCTTACTTGGATGGGATGGGGGGTGGGGGAGGGGAGGGAGGCGGCGCGGGCGGGTTCGGATATCAGTTTTGAAGTGTGGTTGTTTGGGGGGGGGGGGGGGGAGGGGTTTGGTGTCGGTCTGTTCTGTCGGTCTGGCTTCCGGGGTTGGGTAGGGGTTCGCTTGTGTACACAGAAGTCTGGACAAAAGGTGGGAAGAAAGGGGATTCTTGTCGTTTAGCACGGTCAGGCTTGGGTCTTATGAGGGATGGGTGGAATGGGGGCTTACTTGTTACAAGTCATCGAGCGTTTGTGTTGACGGCATATGGCAAAGCGGGATTCCTCTTTGTGTGTATTATTATTGGTTTCTGGGATAAGAGGAGGCTTCCTTGCTTGCTTTGGGGCGACGGCGAGTTGGAAAAGTGGCATATCATTTTGAGCTACCGGTCTGGCTTCCTTCTTTTGTTTTGGCCCAATAAATATCTCGACACCCGCACAACAGATAGGTATTCTTCGAGTCTAGCTTTGTCGGCCCAGGACTTCGATGATTCTCGCAAAGGGTGCTGGGGAATACTCAAAGAACATTGTGCTATAGAGATCACCCATCATTATTAGTTTGTCCTCAAAGACAGGCACAAGGGAGAAGGCAACATATGTATGTAATCCGTCGATGGTATAAAATCGTCTCGTGTGTATCATTTCTGTTGGCATTCTGAGTTTCCGACCCTAATCTGTGTCCGATCGTACAAGAACGCCGCAATTCGAGTCGTCCGCTAAGTGTTCGCATGCTAATACCTGGATCAAAACTGAACCAGCCCTCCCATGTTCTTTGTCCTTTCCCTCAAGCCAGGATTTGCCCAACTCCGATACCAAAAACCTCCTGACGAAAGCCCGATTTACCTGAGGAAACCTGGGCAGAATACTGATACAGTCTCTCCGCAGACGCCTCCGACGCCATGAATATGGCCCCCAGCCCCATGGACATAATATATAGTTCGCCAGTCCCTTTCACCCCGAGGCCATCCATTTTGCCTTCCCCAAAGAATATCCGGATTTCAGGCTATTTCTCAGCTCTTCCGTGTAATTCTCTCGTCTGTCATCCGTACTGATCCGTTCTAGATCCACGCTGCGAGGTAACAGATATCTGTGCAGAACCGAGTAGCTACAAGATACACGACGCCCTTAGGAAAGATGGCGAAGGTGTGAAATAGGAAACTTCATCCTCTCCCTGGGTGGACCCTGCGCAGGGGGGGCCCTTATGAGGCAGAAAAGCGAGACGATCGAGGGGAGTCAGCATAGCCGACGGATGGATGGACGGCGTGGCTGGGGGTGGAGGAGAACAGCTGCTGCGCTCCCCTTGGCGACAGCAGGTGGTTGGAAGTACGCTCATTGCGTGGTGTTTCGGATGGTAATAATACATGGTGTTGCAAGGATATTCAAGTCTTCCAGCAGGCCACTCAATCCATGTAGAAGTCGCCCTTCAGGATCCGCTCCTGGAAATGATCCGGCTTCTGCGGCTGCCGGGGACGTGGGGACTGAGCAGGAGGTGCTGGCATGTCGGAGACTGATTTGGCCCGCTCGTGATGTGGGACGGCGGCTGGACCGGCGCCACCGTTGCCACGCGGAGGAGAGGTGCTCACGCCAGGTGCAAAAGAGATCGAGGGTCGCGGGCCCGAAGCAACAGTGCTTTCGGCGCGAGATCTAAGCTGCTCGGACCAGTTGAAACCTTGGTCTGAGCGAGCAGCAGGAGGAGTCAAGTCAGAAGCCGCTCTGGAGTTGGTTTTAGTGCTTGCCTGGGAGTATGTCTTGTTCCAAGTATACCCGTTCGAGGACGACATGCTGTTGGGAGGGGTAGGAGGACCACCTAAGACGCTACCACGTCGTAGCGGCGGTGATGGCCTACCATTTGAACTGGGGCTGCTACCCCCGGGGGCCCTGAGGTTGCGCATCGCCTGAGCACCGAAACTCATGCGGCGCGTGAAGGGTGTGGTGGGCGCGGTGCGGGCAGAGGTCGGGTCATCGTCATCAACAACGGCATTCTCCTCGATCACGTCCGAATTGTTGGTCGAAATGCTTCCACGACGCATGCCAAACTGCGCAGGATTCGTCGGAGACGTGCCAGTGAGACCGAGCGTGGTGATAGACAGGCGGCGGCGCTGAGGATCATTCAGGGTCGCCGAGGTGATGGGCCCAGGATAGGCAGGAGTGCCTCGCACCGAGGTCGAGTTCCTCCGCTGGAACAGGCTCGTGAAGGGAGTGGAGGAGACGGACCCACGGCTCTGCCGAGGCATTTCGGAGTTCGAGTTGTCGCCCGACATTGTGCAAGAAGAGAGGAAGTGGTCGCTGATGCTAAGACGGCGTCGTTGAATTTATGTTGGCAATTTCTCGCAAGGGCTGCGAGTCGAGAGGAGATAAAGGTCGAGTGAGAGATGGTATGTTTGCAGACCCCAGTGGTTCGATGTCTCGTACGACAGCGATGACAAAATGCAGTGGGTATGAAACCGACCAGTCTTGGGATAAACGGGTCACAAGAACTATCGAATGACGAAGATCGGGAAGTGATTCGCTAGTTGGGGATGATCCGCCTCCTTTGCTGATCAAGGGACGCTGGTTCCTTTGTTCACTGATTGTTTGTATATGTAGAGGCGAAAACGGGAGGTTACTATGGACGAGAGGCGGGTGATCGGCGCCCCCTTTGGTTTGCTTGATTGCGTTCCCGCCCTTTTGGCTACGTGGTTCACTGCCCTCCCCGGTGACGTAGAAGGGCAGTAGGTGGTGGTGGCAGCGCAATGATGCGATGCAGGCAAGCGCAGGACAGGACAGTATTGCCCAGGTCTTTCGAGTTCTGGAACCTGCGGTTGGTGGGTGGAGTGGATGTGAGAGCTAACGTGAAGCGGGGTAAGGATGGTTGGCTAGATGAGCTTGAAGAACAAACAGATGGATCGCTGAGGGAGGGAAATGGCGTGGTGATAGATAGTATTTATCACCTTCGACAAGTGAAGGGGAAATTTGATTGTTGAGAGTAGCAGAAGCAAGGGGGAAAAGGGGATGCTGGCATGATGTACACATAAACCAGGCCGATTACTGTTGTCCTCCTACTTCGGACCCGCCATTTGTAATTCCGCGAACCCCCAATTGCGGAGGTTCCCAGGGATGTAGCAGGGGTGCTGTGGTTGGCTAGGGTAGATGCGCGTGGGTGGGGCAATCTTTGGCAGACAGCCAATGGGCGGCTCATAAATGTCAAGCTACGGATGTTTGATGACCAGGCGAGCCAGGGTTCTCCATCAAGACCTCCATTGTCGGGCTTCGCTAACAATGTTTTAGGGCGAAGCCAAGTCCTCTCCCATCGACGTCACACGGGACCCACCACAAGATCACAAGATTTTGCGGGGTAAGGTTCAGCCTTAGCAGATGAGACTCAGAACACTTGCTTGTGAAGATGGAGCTGTCGGGTGTTTGCCAGGACCCTGAATCGCAATTTAATTGGGGCTTCCTCGGTCCAACATAGGTTGTAAGAGAACGCTGATGACGGTTTGTATGTCTTTGCTGAAGAGCTCTGTTACGACTAAGCCCCGCGTTCCGTGGAATGTGTCACCTCCCTGATGCCCCAGCCCCAAGGTGATGCTTCCGTTAGCGTACCCCTATCTTGGATACCTTATAGTGGGATCGTCTGCGCCCGTAACCGCCAAACCAGAGGAACCAGGGCTTCTCTGAGGTGGATTTGCACGGCGATCCAGTGTAACCGAGTCACCCATCTACCAAACAGTACAATATCGCCCCCTAACCTCTAACCTCGTTCCATCTGGGAACTTCCACAATCAACCCCCTCCCCGCACCCGTCTCAACTAGACCACTCTGCACTAGCATGCCCTCTTAGACATGCAGTAGTCTGGGCGGATAAGCTGGCTCGGCTGGCTAGCAAACATATCTGGCCCTTCCGGAACTGCAAAGCCTGGCGTGTCTTGGCCCATGCCTGCATGAGGGGGAGACTCTAGCCCTGCCCGGAGCAGCAGCCACCTCGCCCGCTGACCAATCCGATGCCAAATAGATAAAGCATATATCTAGGGTAGCTTTCGTGTGGCCACTTTTGCCACCTCTCCTGCATCGCTGTATTTGACTATCTAACGCATAGGAAGAGGGGTTTCTCTAGATTGGCTGGGCCAGTCAATGGACGACCGCCCGCATCTCTTCTGCACCCACAGACGACGAGATTGGCGAGCTGTGCCGCAATTGCTATCGGCAGCTTCACTGGCTGCATATTTTGGCGTTCTTATCCTTTTCCTTCCCTTGGTCGCACAAGGGTCGGGTTCAGCAACACCTGGCAATAAACGGCGATGCGCGGTACCAGATCAGGATACACGAAACCTTGAACATGATGGGACCTCGGGGCCCACGGGAGAAGACCACGTAGGCGCCCTCCCCCCTTTACGCCCCCCTTCTTTTTCCCCGCAAACTTACTAGACTAGCTTCCACAACGATGTCCACCGGCTCCCACCCAGGATTAACCAGGGAAGTGACCACGATCGCGGCAGGACTACGCATGCCTGCCTTGTGAGTGGTGGCCACCCAATTTATCTTATCACACCGATGTTACTTCAACTGTCGACATGGATCATCTTATTTCGTCATCTATCGATTGGCCGCAACTGATAACCGCCGCATGGGTCGACCAACGCTCAACAATTCTGCAACGCGAACTCTCATAATCGTACCTACATATATGCTATCGGGATTCGGGACTTGATACGCCATTACGCAACAGCTTTCAGACTCGACTCATGCCTCGCATTGCATGCTGACGGCAGGATGGGGGCGATAATAGTTAGAACCGTCAGGGTGTGGTGGACCCGACTAGTCAGCCAACTAGCACCAACTCTGAATGTACGGAGTAGGATGTGGTTCCGCCAGGGAGCTCACGAATCGCTCGACAAGTCATGAGACGTGGATGCAAATGGGCTCGGATCCCCCCGTTTATCGTCTTGGGATGCCGTAGCCCCGGGGAAAGCGTCCAAGCCTGCAGCTACCTGTTTGAAGGCACGACAAAGTGTGGATTTCCCCCCTCCCCCGTTTCGCTTCCCTCGAGTTTGGGCAAGATCTCCGGATTTGCTACGCGCTCAATAACTGTAGGCTCCCTGTCTCTGACGCAATCTGCGTCGTTCGGGACTGTGGGCTCGACTGTGGGCTCCGTAGACAACAGTGTCTTCCAGGACCGGGTTCCGATACGGGGGCGGGGGCGGGGGTGGAGCTGCCTCTGATACCCGTATCCTGGATGTAAAGATGCCTCCTGACGATCTATTGTACGGCGAGGCGAGGGCGTACACCCCCCTCCGGCCACCATTCCGGTACCCGAGCCAGGCGAAGGCGTTGCCCAGCTCGCCCATCCACCAGAGCCCTATCAGGATGACGAGCACGGTGACGGGGATTGCAGAAGCCCAGTACGCCCACTGTCCAAACTCCATATCACGTATGTCGCTGGTGTTCATGCCAAACACGCCCGCAACAAAGCTCAGCGGCAGGAAGATGACCGTGACAATCGTGAAGGCGTATATCGCCAGTTCTTGCCTGTCTTTGGAGTCCTCAAACTTGTTCATGTTCTGCGCCACGAGATCGGTTGGTTAGCCCCTAGCCCGTTCCGCTATTCCCAAACCTTGGCGGGGTTCGGCGCCAGCAACCAACACTCACTCACCTCTTCTTGGAGGTCATCTGCATGCAGATCGAATCCATTGAACTCCCTAGCTCGCTTTTCCAGGAACGATAGGCACTCCGCAGCCAGGAGATCGCGAAATCCGCCTGGATCGGTAGGCGCCAGCTTGTAGAACTCTTCAGGCGCAAGCATCCAGTCCTCCACGCCGGCCTCTTGGGCAGGTCTGCCGTGGTCTTGCCGGGTAGTGGGCTCAACGTAGGCCCATGTCTGTTGATTATCGCGCCTGTTCCTGGGCACGTGGGCGTAGGGCGGGGGACTCATCTCCAGGCCCGCATATCTGGCCTCACGGGCGGGTCTGGCAATGTCGCGACCATCGTAGTTCGCCAGTTGTCTCCCCCGAGCACGCAGCTCTAGACCGTCGCTGCTCCCAGACAGCTGTGTCTTAAACCGGGAGTTGATTATGGCGCTGTAGATGAGGCTTTGCGCCGCTACCGTCCTCAGGACGACGCCGACCTCCTGCTTGAGTAGACTGATTCGGTGCTGAAAAGATCTGTCCGACGGCTTCGTTGCTATCTCGTTTCCCTGGAAGCCACGTACAGAGTCAGCTGCAAGGCGCTCAAACCGCTCCGATATTTCGCGAATCAGTACGTACTAGGGCGTCTAGATACTCCGAGTAGGTTGTGCCGATGTTGGGATACACCCCCGTTGAATCCTGGAGCAACTTCAACGTGACCAAAGACACAACCTCCATTGGTAGAATCACCACCTTTTTCAGAAGTGAGTCGCCAGCCATCTCTTCGATCACCTCTGCCATGCCTCCCTTGATCAGAGTCCGAGCAACTTCGCTATGCTCGGCCCAGGCAAAGGCGCCTTGTGAGCTGTAGATCATGGCCATCAGGAGATGCAACCACGCGCGTATCAGGCCATCCGGGACAGTAATGCTCGCGCGCTCGAGGGGCTGGGCGTGCGAGAGGATGTTTTTGAAAGACTGGATCGCCTGCGTGAGCTTCCTGAGATACGACCTGACCAAGGGGACGACAAGGTCGGCACGACCCGACCCTTGGCCTCTTCGTTGCTGGTTGCTCCTCGCTGGCATCTGTGACTACGTTAGCTGCGACGCCATTATTATTCCTGGGGGCTCGTGTTGCGTTTCCGGGTGCTCACTTGGACCAAGAGGTTGATGGCGCCCCAGAACTTCCTCACCGTCGGCCCGTCGAATCCAAGGGGGAGGAAGAACCGATAGACAATGTCAGCGGCGTTTAGGATATCGATACGGTCCTCGTAGTCCTGCTTCATCCGAGGCCGCTTTTTGAACTCCTCTGTCAAGCCGCCCTGGTCTCTAAGGTACCGGAAGCAAGAGAGTCGAGTGGCTGCTTGGCTGTCTTGGTATGCCCTTCGATCCGAAAAGCTCGTGCTGTTCTTGAGATAGTCTTCAACCTCCTGTAATTGTATCCGGAGCGACTCGACTTGTACTTGGGAGTTGGCATCGCCAGTTGTGAGAACAGTCTCCAGCCAGCTAAAGACATGGAACCTGTCGTTCACCCTATCTGGCAGAACATCCAATTCAGAGGCAGGGGTAGGCGCAGGGCTGGAATCCGGCCTTCCTTTCCCCTTGTCCTGTGGGGGCTTCAAGCCTTGCTGTGGCTCGTCCGTGTTTGTACCTTCCGACTTTATAGCACCTTTACCGATAGGCTTGAGGATACCCCGGGCAGGCGGCCGTGGTGCATTCCTGAGAGGGTGGTCAGTATTATCGACGCAGCTGGGCCTCGTATCTTACACACCAAATCCTGAGGTACAGCATAGTTTTGGATTTCGAATGCCTGGCAAGGTTGAGTATCCGGGGCCAGTCATCCGCCGTGATGGGGCGGTCCCGATGGGAGAAGCTCAGGGTCTGAGGCCAAAAGTCATGGAAATGGGATATAAACGCCTACAACGGATCGTCAGCACAGACCTAGCCATTCCATTCCAATGCATCACAAGGCCGGTGGCGTAGGAACTCACAAACCAAGATGCACACTCATCAATAGAGAGAACCCATAACACGGCTTCGGTATAGTAGACATATATCAAGGCCCCACCAGCGGAAGGGCTCTTGAGCGGCTCCGTTACAATATCGAGGACGTCGCTCTGCATGGCGGCTTCTGCCGAGTTCGTTCCGCAGGTAATCAGGAGGGCTGCTGGGCAGTCAGCAGGCAGGACTCGTCTTGCGCAACTATATTGTTACAGACAGTTATCGAGGATGATACACCAGAATTGACTGATGTGAAAGCACATCTCTGGTGGTACGTGACCGAGCTGCTGGACCACTTGTTGCATATCGCGGTCTTGAGGGACGCCAGAATACTGCGCCTGCAACAAGGTTTGGGCCGGGAAGGTCGCTGTGTTGGCCGCTGAGAGGGGCCCGGCATACTTCTCGAGAGAGAAATAGGGAACACATAGCCACGTAACAGTCCGGATGGCTGGGGTCTGCCCCTTGGATCTCTGATCGGGAGGGAGGAGAATCTGTATGAATCTCGGCTCCATATGCTTGATGTTTGAGCCCTTCGCAGCGGGCGTAGACTTTACGCAGCTCTTCTTGACCTCCGCCAGGAGCTTGGATAGGCCGTTCTTATCGCCATCCCCGAGACCGGAAATGTGGGATACTTCGTGCTGCAAGTCTGTGTCAGGGTTGACCCCAGCTAGTACTGAGGGAGTGGATTCCACTGCTTACCGAAAGCTCGTCGAAGTTCAAGCTGGTCTGCTTAATATGTCTGTCCTTTGATGTTAACTTGGAATCGTCAAGATGTCCTGATTCCATACGCACATCCACCTGAAAACTGGCTGCTTTGTTTTCTTGGGGTCATGGATCACGGTCAGCCTAGCAGAGTGGGATCCGTCAGCGAACGCATCCCCCGTATATTCCGACCGATAAATCTGGAGCGTTCGGGTTGTCGCCGACGTGGAGAACCCTTCAACTTGACCAGCAGTACTCCTTTCAGCTTCTGGCAAAGGGCCCTCTCCTTCTGAGCCACTTGCCGCTATCGAGCGGTCTTGGGAGGGAGTCCGTGACAGACGGGAGGGGTTGAACTCGTAGACTTGGGTGGTGGTAAATTCGTCTTCCCTGAAGTCGTCATCGTCACCATAGGGGCGCGACCGTGCGAAGCTCACATCGGAGCTTTGGTTAGATGACGAGTCATCGCTCCCACGAGAACGAGAGCGGGCCCTTTTCGTGCGGACACCGCTGCTAACTTCGGAGGTTACATGCCGCGGTGAGCGCGAGCGTGAGCGGGAACGAGAGTGGCCAACTCTCTCTTCATATTGCATGGGGATCCTACGGTTCCCTACAGGGCCGCGGAAATCCTGTGAGCTGCGCCCTCCATTGTCATACACGCGGGGGAAGGCGTATGTGAGACGGTCATGTCTCCTGTCCGGGATGGGCGGGGCGGACTGAGGTATGTCGGCCGGATATCCAAATCTACTAGAATACGCGGAGCCTGGATCCTTAGGGGTCCGTGACAGAACCCGGGAGCCGAACGAGCCCTGTCGGTAGATGCCAGGCGTTGGCGGAAGAGGCTGTAATAAGATGGTGATGGTGAGTGAGCAGCTAACAAGAAATCCATTATGAAGCACACATACCACTACGTACTCCTCCGGCACCACAACCCTCCTGCGAACGTGCCGAACGCCGGATATATTTTGGTGGTTGTCGCCGGAACCGGTTCGAGCTAGGATGGACCCTGCGTTGCCTGCTCTGCGCCGATTAGTAGGCTTTGGCGGGACCGTTTCAGGGTCCGCGTAGGGTTCCGCCATTGCTTCCCGCTGCCGTCGGTCCAATGCTTAGACGCTCACTTAACCCCGGACATGAACTAGCACCTGCAGCTAGAATAGTTGCGACTGTCAAGGTGACGATGATTGTATGGTCAGGACCTGTGTTTAATTTCGGAAAGCACGAAATTGGCATGGGGGGTCTGCCTACATTTAGCGCTTGCCCTGTCAGCTGAACCGCCCGCCCACCTTTGGCCGCAACCATGCCGCTGTATCAAGATTCGGAAGTTGACTGTCATTAACCGTCCCTCGGAAATGCTATATTGTACAAGAGGCCTCTTCGTCTATCAAAAACAACGAAAAGCAAAGACACGCGAGGTCCTCTGGGTATCTTAAACAAGCACGAGAGATTCAACCGTTACGCCGCCAACGCCCTTCCGGCACCAGCGGATTACAGAGCAGCCGCCTCGGTCGGGGCATCGGGCTCCGCGCCCGCCGCCGAGCCGTCGCCGGCATCGGCACCCTCATAGATCTCGGCTCCTTTCGCCGGTCCATCACCCTCCTCCTCCTCCTTCTCTCCCCCCTCCTCCCCCTTCTCCTTCTCCTTCTCCTCCCCCTCCTCCACCTCCCCCACCTCCTCCACCTCCTCCGCGCCCACCTTGGATCCGTCGCCTGCCGCGTCCGCCCGGATCGACATCATCTCCATCGCGGTCCGCACCGACGACACCTCCCCATCCCGGACGGGGTCCAGCCAGCCCATGGCCTTGAACCTCGCGTTATCCCGCAAGCAGTTGAGGGCGATCCACGGGCACCACGTCGTCTCGTAGGGGACCCTGAACGCCGGGTTCAGGACCAGGTACATGAGCGTGACGTCGGCGAGGCAGGCCAGGGCGAGGCGCATCGTCAGGGCCAGGGGCCGGTCGCCCTGGTCGAAGAGGATGGCGAGGGCGTCGCGCAGCGGCTCGTGGAAGCGCGCCAGCGACCGGCTCTGGTAGAGCGTCGGCATCAGGCACTCCATTACCTGCGTCGTCTCGTCGATGCCGTCCGTCGCAAAGTCCATCATCGACCGGCAGTCGACGCTCGAGCCGCAGACGAACATGTACGCGTTGCGCCGGATGCTCTCCCCGTCCAGGGGGTCGGCGAGGTTGAGGTAGGCCCCCTCGTATTCTAGTCGGAGCCCGGGGGGGAAGGGGTCAGCGTTGACGATGTGGTGAGAGCGATGGTGGGAGATGGCTTGGGGAGTGAGACCGAGAGAGGGTACTTACGCTTGAAGTACATGAATTGGAGAACGTGCGCTAGCTGCTCCTTCTGATGGCCAGTACAGTCCATCGTGACATGGGTCCCATCCTACCGGGTAGATTCGTGTCAGTAATGGACGGCCGCCAGGTATGACGTGGATTGAGTGTCTCACGTCGTTAGGGGGAGGCAGTCTCTCGGCAAAGTAACTCGACTCGCTGATGAGGATGTTCCGATGGACCTTCCAAGTCATGCCGTCGCATATGATGAGGACATCCCAGCCGAACTGTCTCTCCCACAAGCTGGATTTCGGATCAGTCATGGGAGCGACGTGGCGACGTGGTAAGCGCGTCAAAACTTACATGGCATTGCCCCGGGACAAGGCTCGCATCATGGCAACTTTCCGTTCCGCTTGCTTGCGCTTCTGCGTCTCGATCGCGTTGGCGATGGCCTGCTCGACCTTCGCGTCGAGTTCTGGATCAACTGTCCCAGGGGGCTGATTGTCATTTTTCGCTTCCTCGACGACGGGGAGGGTATTGACATCGGCTGCTCCGCCTTGGGTGCTTTCCTCGGACACGACACCAGAAGATCCTGGCTCGGCATCGTTTCCCATGTCTGGACCCTTACCCTTGGGTTCGGGTTTCTTCCTTTGAGGGGACGCGACCTCCGCCCAAGTTTTCCTGTTGGCCACCTTCCTACCATCGGGGTATTTTCTGTACTTCATCATAGCTGCAGCTGATGGACATGGAATACTGGATGGTTCGCAGTCTTGACCCAAATTTTGGGAAATATTGGCAGCTCCGTCACTGGATATGTGAGGCTTGATATCCTCAGCGGTGACCTGACTCGAATTTAGTTTGACGTCCGGGAAAGATTCGCAGTGTCTTACCTCCTTAAGAGTCAAATCGGCCTTGCTTGCCTCGAGGGGAGTCGGTTCTCGATTCATGGCTACTGCCCTGCTCGGTCCTGCCTGGTCATGTGTGGCTTCATCGGGGAGTGTTTGCTGTCGTGGAGGCGCGTCTTCCCCCGGGTGGTCCGGAGGCTCCTTTGCCGACGCGGCTTTCCGTCCGCGAACGGCATCGGCATATGAGAATATCCGCTTCTCAGGCATCTTTGTGTTCGAGGCTTCCATAATGGAGTGCTACTCTCGGCATGGTAAGCTAATATTCGGGAAATCTCGTCTCCTTTTTGTTGATGTTCAAGATGGACAGAGGAAGGTAGGTAGGTGTGTAATGTGTCTGGAGAGAATCGGCGAATTTTGCACTGGGAAGGCAAAAGGATATCCTATATTCACCTTGGCAAGGTAAAGACCAGCTTTCACCTTTATTTCACTTCTGTCCCAAGGAACTGTCGTGCTGTTTGGCCCAAACACCTTACATATGGCCACCCGGGACATCCTCCTATCTTTCGTGGCCTCAGGTTCACAATCAAGTCAGCTTGGCCGTGGAAAGATCCACTGCAGTAGCGTCAAGTGCCTGCCTGGGAGGATACAAAGACATACCGGCATTTCAATGTTGGGGAATATCAACACCTGGGCCGACTGATCACCTCCTATGCGAGGAGACTTGATCATGGCAAGCCCCCAGCCCACGCTGTATCCTTTGTGGACAGAAGAGTTCATGTTATTCATGACCATTACTGAAGGCTTGAGTGTCATGGGTACGGTCATATAGCTAGCCTATACCCCTTTCTATCACATAGTCAGTCCACTACCCAGAATTCGTGAAGAAGTTACCAAAGCTAATGTCTTAAAACCCCTGAACTCTTCGATAGAGTTGTGATAATGCTCAATCTCTATCTCACTGATGCGACCAGGCCCCAGGCAGATCCACAGTTGGGAAGCAGGGGGTCAGGCAGAAGACAGTCAGACAAGGCTTGGAAGGCGAAATGGTTGTGGCAGAGAATGGAAAACTATCGCATCAACCGATCCGAGGGCATGAGTAACAAGTAGGAGACATTGGCAGTGAAAGCTATTTTACCACCAAGCTAGGGGAGTAAAGCGAATGAAGAAGAAAGAACCTACTTGTCAAAAGAATACGATTTGTTGCCCTCCCCCCTCCCCCTCCCCGCCCCTCAAAGCTCAGAGGCAGCCCCCGTCTGGAATGGAAGCCGGGAGGACAAGGACTTCGGAGCAAGTATAGGCCGAGACAACTAGATTGTGTTGACTTACGACCATCTACGACCATGCGTGGTCCTAAAAGTGCTAGGTGGAAAGGCAGAGGGGGGAATGCTCGGCGCACTTGGGCATGGGTGGTGATAGTCTTATATAGATAGATATAAGGAGGTGTCGATCTTCAACAACTGAAGTCCCGAAATGAGGCGGGATCCTCCACTCGAAGGCATCAATGAGCCTAGAGAACCGCATATTACTTCACAAGCGGCCAGGTATAGAACCCTGTCAAATTCAACAAGTATATCCACAGGTTGACCACTGTAAAGCACAATAGTTTCCGATTCCAATCGATGGCTAACAAGTTGGTTTATGTTATAAATTCTAAGAGCAGCTGCTAGGAGACGCGATCGAGAGGTATATAGGTATCTAAGCAACCACGATTCTAACTTTCGGATTTGATCATGAAGATCTGTCCATAATATGTCAGCTTAGTTTGTGGGGAGAGTCAGCTGGGACGGATCCCGGTTGCTTGCTTACCTGATTGAGCGCCTTAGGGTCCGAGAAAGCCATCCTCTTCTGTGCAATGAATCGCTGCCGTGACAAATGCCGGGTCGGGGTTGAGAAGCCGCTGCCTGCCGGCGTTGAGGAGCTGCTAGCGGCTTTGGAGGTCGCGGCCGAAGAATCCAGAGCCGTGTCTTTCCTGACCGGGTCCCCGGCGTCGACCGAAGAGGCGGGCTCGTCTTCAGCTTTCCGCCGCCTCTTCTTCGATGACTTCTTCTCAGTCTCGCTCGACTCCTCGCTCTTGCTTTTCTTCTTCGGCTTCTTCTCCTTTTTGGACCGTTTCTTGGCATCTTGCTCTACACCTGCCTCGACGCCTCCACTATCGCCGGTTGCTGGATCCTCCCTTCCGTCATCCTGTGTGCCCTTCTTCCGCTTCTTGCTTGGAGCCTCAGTGTCGGCACCGCCGTCGGTAGTGTCAGCATCCTCCTTCTTCTTTGATTTTCTCTCCTTTCTCTCTCTCCTGCGCTTCTCCTTCTCAGTCTCTGTTTCGGAACCATCCTCGGCCCTCCGTTTCTTCGACTTCCTTCCGCCATTCCTCTCCGTAGTGGCACCATCCTCGAGCTTCCGCTTCTTGGACCTCTTCGTCTTGTCGTCCGACTGTTCGGCCTCGGAAGCCTGGCTGTCAGAGGAAGTGGTTGAATCCTCGCTCTCGGGTGTCTTCTCCTCCTCTACTGTGGGGGTATCCTGAACCTGGTCGCCCACCAGCCAGCCGCCCTTGACGAACCGCATCGAGCCAAACTTCCTTTCGAGGTAGAAGCTGAGTTTTAACTCTTGTCGAAACTTTTGTTCCGTCTCCAAGGCCTCGTCCGTCTTGCCATTCAACCTGCCGAGGATGCTCTGGAAGTCGTCCAGCCCCGTACATTGATCCCCATGGTTACGGTTTGCGCCGAGGCCCAGGTTGTCCTCCTTCAAGACGACGCGGATGTGGGAAGAGTTGGCCGCGGTGTGCCATTTAGCGTGCGGCGCATCCTTGGCCCCGAGATACTGTCCCGGCTCCCAACCGTGGGCCCGGAGGATCTTGTGCCCAAAGGAATCCGTGTTGCGGGCCCATTTGTTGTTGTTCGGGTCGGCGCCGACCTTCCGCTTCCTGGAAATGGGGGTCAGCTCTCTGACAGCGCTGTAGTTCAATGCAAGGGTGAGTCTATTAAGCTTACGTTTTTGCGGCGGCCAAACCCATGGTCACTTGGAGCGAATTCTGGTATATCAAAGGTAGACTACCACACAGTACATTGGTAGGCGGGCGTTCAAGGAATTTTGGAAATTTTGGCGGGGATCAAGAGGCTTGGGGTTCTGCACCTTCTCACCGCCTTAAAATTCAAGGATGCCTGCCGCAACACCAAAACATTTCTTCGGCGGTACCTCTCAACGGGCCATTCATTCCCCAAGGAAGGATTGCGATGCTCTCCATGTTGCCTTGACACCAAGCGATTAATACTGTCGAGATTTGCTGTACAAGTATTTAGTCCATCTCATCGAACCCCATGTCACTCTCCAATGGCTGTGTATGGATCCTTTTCTTCCTCGAGACAAGAGTCTCTTTGACGAGAGTGGATGGTATTCTGTTATACATATAAAATGCCTGTTTCGAGCCCGAATTACATCTGCCTTCAGGGCTACAACGGGCACCTCTTTCATGTCTATGTGTTGCCTCGACCCGGTCTATCCTTTGCATGAGACCTCCCATTTCTATCGCCTATCGTGTCATATGTACAGGGAACGCCGATATGCTGATATGCTAATGCGCCTTCGCCTCGAGTCGCTACTGCTGCTATACTTTGAAGCCGAAGCCGGCCATGCAACTCCGGTATTGCTCGATCGTGGAATTGCAGTCCTTCTCGGGGTCTGCCGCCGTTGAGAAGAGCATGCACTCGTCTCGCTTGGATTTCTCGTCTTTGCACACGCAGCACGGCTAGACAGGAAGCAGTTAGCAGCTGCTACCATCGCCCCCGACTTTCTCGTCGAAACTCACCTTGGGTTTGGTTGAAGAATCATCCGACTGCAGCGTGGTTGCAACCGCGGGCGCGGCCACGGCGCTGGAGCCAATTGAAGCTGGATTGGTCGCATTCATGGTCAGCCGAGGAATTGCACCAAAGTCATTCTTGGAATACAATACATACGCATCGACGAAGCTTGCGACCCCATGGTGAGTAACTCTAGACTTGAGATTCGAGGTTGCGAGCTTGTAAAGCACAAGAAAGATCCGGCTGTCCAGTGTCCAGTGTTCTCAATGAGCAAGTTGATTTGTCAGTTGACATGACGCACTTTTGGGTGACCGTCAGTTCCGAGTATCCGAGCTAACCCGACATTGCCACTGTCAGTCACGTGAGACCCCTTTTTGAACTCTTTTTTGGATTCAGCCTTTTCATCACGGGGTATCAGCTAGGCTAGCGGTTCTTGAGAGACGGTGGGATAGATGGGACAGTGCAAATACATGTCCTATTGACTAATCCGTTTGTCCGTGTACTTCTACCAACAAGGTTCCCCCAATCCTACACGTCGCCCCCTATAACAAGGGAATTGGAATGGTTTGCTCTGGCTTAATGGCAGCTTTTGGCATCGCCTCGAGTTAGAACCCAATCAGGTCTCCGACCATAAACAGCCGGTACTTCTCCATCCCCTCGCGCAGCCGTATCAGCACGGAAGCAGCAAGCATCTTGGCGTCGCTCTCCTCCCCGGCGCCGTCCCCGCCCCTGATCCCCTCGAACACGGCGGCGACCCACTCCTGCGTCTCCACCACCTCCCTGCTCAGGTCCTGGCACACGTCGCGCATCCGGTCCTCGTTGACGTCCAGCAGCGCCAGCAGCGCGAACAGCACCGCCCGCGTGGCGGCCAGGTCGCCAACGCAGTGCGCCCGCACGCCCGTGCTCAGCAGCACGCCCCAGAGCTCCGCCGTCATCTGCGGCAGCGCGAGCGTGCTCGGACCCGCCGCGTGGAGGACGATGGCCGCGGTCTTGAGGTAGAGCGAGAGCAGGTACGGCTCGAAGATGATGCCGCGCGTGCGGGAGGCCGGCGAGCGCAGCGCGGCTTGGAAGCGGGCCGTCAAGGGGGAGAAGAAGGAGGTGTAGAGCAGCTGGGCGGTGGTATTGGGGATTGCGCGGACGCGGGGTCGCCGGGTGCCTTTGGCTTTGGTGTTCCGTGAAGAGTCACCTTGCTGCTGCAGGCGGGAGGTAAATGTTGAGAGCTTGAGTGCATCTGGCCCCGTAGCTGCGTCGGCGGCATTCGCGGCAATAGGGGCCAGGAATCCCGTAGTTAATGACTGCGCGACCGTCTCTAGGGCATTGATTGGAAGCGCCTTTAGTGAGGAGGATGAGGAAGGCTGGACCCCTGATGACGACGTCCCAATGTAGAGCCGCTCGACTGCTTCGGGTAAAGCTTTTGAGGGGAAGGAGGCGGCATCTTTGTACTCGGACGTCTCGAAGCCTGCCAACTCTCTCGCCCCAATGCCGAGGACAATGAGCACCGAAGCTCTTTGCGTCACCGAGTAATCGCCGTCGAAGAATGTTTTTGCGAACCACGGGCCCATGACCTGAGGCTGAGCGATTACGAGAGCGATCATTCCCTGGGCTCTCTGTTCGTAGAAGTTATCCATGTCGAATTTGTCCTGTAACCCGACAAGCAGGGTTGCCAGCTCTTCCGCATGTTCCTTGACCTCGGTCCCATAATTGGCTTTCCTGCGAATCAGAGTAGGTGCCGTTGTCAGAGCCAGCTTCTGATGGTCATAGTTATCCGTGTCCCTTAGATACCGGATCAGGTCTCTGATGTAGACTGGCGGTTTTGGTTTGTCACGGTTGATCAGTGTCGGGTCATCGTCCGAATCCTCGGCGTCGGATTCCGGTTTTGCATATGGTATCAAGTCATCGTCTTCGCTGTCGTCATCCTCGACCTCCTCGATGATGAAGCCTTGTTTGGGCGGCACGGGCTGCCGCCTAACTGGTGGCCTTTCAGTTCTCGGCTTCTGTGGTCTCACGGACTTTTCTCTTCCGACGTGGCCTTGCTGCCTCAGCGTGTCAATTCGACCAACGCTATCCGCTGTCTCTGCGAGGGCCTTATACCATTTCCCCTCCTCGAGGTTTGTCTCATCTATATGGAAGTCCAGCCTCTTGTCACCATTGTCGACGAGGCCCGAGATGGCTTCTCCAACGACCATTCCGAGGAACCGTGCTCTCTGCTGGGTAGCAGCAAGCCGATTCGATATTGCATTCAACCATGGGCTCGACCTTGTTATCATGGACAGCTTGACTGGAGTCAACCGGTGGACATAACCTGCGCTCAACAGTAGAACCTGAGCATGCACTGTAACGCTCGTTAGCCGCTGGCCCGGAGTTGTCTATCGAGTCACTAACCTTCCTGCTGCAGAATCGGGGAGTGTTTGATATATAGCTGATCCCCAAACTGGGCAACGGTTTTCTCCAGTACGTCCACAAGGTTGTCCCTGTTTCGGGATATAACCGCGAGGACGGCACGGCGGATACCGACTCCATCGCCCAAGCCGGCCCCAGAAGAACTGGTGAGCCAAGCAATTAGGTGGTTGGTCTTGTCTTGATCCTGCCCTACAACCGTACTGATAATGCCAGAGGCGGCTGATATCACCTCTGCACTCTCAGGAGATTCACAGAGACCCAGTTTGTTCAAGTGTGTCTCTGAGAGGAACTTCAAGACTGCAAGGAGAACTCTGCGTTGGTCGAGATTGGGAAGGCCGTCAAAAAGAAGACGGAAACGGTCAGGGTTTGAGCTCTTACTCAGAATGAGGGTCTCAAGGAGCAGCTTGATGACGATATCTGTAAAAATCAGCACGGTGAGCTAAATAGAGGTATCGTTTGCTGTCTCACCAGTGCTCCCTAGGCGCAAGGTTCTGGCCAGCAGCTCCGCACATAACTTGGCATCGTCTGTTGACCTGTCGCGAGAAATCCACCGGCAGACACCCTGAGCCAGCCATGTGCAGTATTCTGCTCTGTTAGTGACCCAAAACGCGCCCTCCTTCGCTGTCTTGTCGGAATTTGCGAGAATATCGTCGGCTTCGGCAGCCCATGAAATAACCCGCCCACTGCCAAGGAGGGTCAGGAACTCTTGGGCAAGCGGCCTCCTCCTGGCTGGACTGTCTGCCGCCTCCGCTGACGAGGACCAGATCTGCCACGGGCTTTCCTGACCATCCAACAGGGCACAGAGGAGTTCTAGTGTAATTCTCAAGTTGGCAGCGAGGTCTGGACGTTTAACTTCTTTCTTCTCGGACTTCGCTTCTAGGGTCAGGGCCCTTAGCTGGAGGAGGACGGCGTTGACACCAGGAATGCTCCGGAGGCACAGAAGCAAGGCCTGGAGATCGGATCTTGCCGTCCCCCGGCTCTCGTCCTCTGACCCCACCGCACTCTCTTCTCTCAGTAGAGTCCAGTAGTTTGACGCGATATCGGTTGCGAGAACTTGGACCAGTTTAGCCCCGATAGGACTTGGTACGGCGATGTTGAATGTGGCAGATTTTTGGCACACTCCGCGCCCCAGAAATCTCAAGACGGTGATGAGTGTGCTATAGTCAGGCTCATGCCGGAGCACCTCCAGGGCCTCCTCTGGGGAATTGACGGCGGGGCTGACTCGATTTGTCGACCTGGCCTCCGTCAGAGGCGGAGCATCCTTTTCGCGGTAGGTAGTGCTCACGGCAGTCAAAAGCCCATTCATTTTGTTTGGAGTGAGGTGATTCAAACCATGTGTCTTATTAGGTAGGTGGTTCGTTGCAATCAAAGCCCCGAGGAAATGAATGATGTTGTATCTCCACGTCACCAACAGGTAGGCTGATAGTCTGTTATACCCGGCATGTGAGTGACAGTATAAGTGACTCTCTCATCCTAAGGCATGTGAACATATTGCAAGTCCAAGTAGGTAGGTTGCCCTCAGAGAGGTTAAGCTCATCTCACAATCTCATTCACACTGAGGTCAAGTACAAACCGCCTGCAGCTACATAAGGCCCCGCAGCCCGCTGCCTTATCGATAAGAGCTATGCGCCCACCCACCAAGCTGCAGTGTACCTGCAGTCACCGAGGCTCGACAACCTCACATCAAGTGCACTGTTTAAGCTTGAGATTTTGTGACACAACAACCGCCCAGAAGAATTGTGAGAACTGCAAGGATACTCGGCCCCTGTTTATACTGGAACCTTCCGTATGGCGTCAGGCGAAGTCCATCCGGCATCTGAGCCGTCAAGATGGTAAATACAACCCCCCTCTATAGAGGATCATCGCTGATTCCATCCCCCAGGCGCTATCTGGACAACGTTCGAACCCGAGCAGGGCCGTTCACCAATGATGAGGTCTTTGACGCCGGGTTAGTGGTTGACACAATGGATAATATGAAGATACTGTGAGTTCCCAGGCCTTTCAGCTCGGGCCTTGAATCTGCTAACCAGCCGCTACAGCGTTATGTCGGTATTCCAACTCCGATATCTGACTGATTGACTTGGACTAAGTTTAATGTTACAGTGGAGCCGGGGGTCTAGGTTGTGAGATTCTCAAAAACTTGGCTCTGTCCGGATTCAAAGATATCCACGTTATTGATATGGGTTTGTTCGCTTGTGCCACCGACATCGCCATCCCGAGGCTCATTCTTTTGGATAGATACGATCGATATTTCGAACCTGAATAGGCAGTTCCTCTTTCGGAAGGCAGATGTCGGGAAGTTCAAGGCAGAAGTGGCTGCCAGCTTCGTGGAGAGGAGAGTCAAGGGCGTCAAGATCACGCCTCATAACTGCAAGATCCAGGACTTTGATGAGGACTTCTATATGCAGTTCCAGCTTGTGGTCTGTGGTCTCGACAGCATAGAGGCACGGCGATGGATCAACGCGACCCTCGTGAATATGGTTGACCCGGAGGTCGAGGATAGTTATAAGCCCCTAATCGACGGTGGTACCGAAGGTGAGTCCCCGAGTTCGAGGATGGCCCGGGTTGATCCGGAATGGCCCCTCAATGGTGCTGACTCGTTCCAGGTTTCAAAGGTCAGTCGAGAGTAGTCCTGCCCTCGGTGACTTCGTGCATAGAATGCCAGTTGGACATGCACGCACCGAGGGCAGCGGTACCCCTCTGCACCATCGCGACCATTCCGCGCCAACCGGAGCACTGCATCGAGTGGGCCCACATCATCGCCTGGGACCAGGAGAAGCCCTTTCCCAAGCTGGACAATGACGACCCCGAGCACATTACCTGGCTTTACCAAAAGGCCCTCAATCGTGCCGAGGAGTACGGCATCACGGGGGTCACCTACTCGAGGACGCAGGGCGTCGTGAAGAACATCATCCCGGCCATCGCGTCCACCAACGCTATCATCGCGGCTAGCTGCTGCAACGAGGCTCTGAAGATAGCGAGCAACTGCGCGCCGTCCCTAGGATACCCGAACGACAACTACATGATGTACTCGGGCAACGACAGCATCTACACCTACACGTTCGAGCACGAGAAGAAGGACGACTGCCCCGTCTGCGGGAACCTGGCGAGGGACCTGGAGGTCGACCCCCGATCCACCCTGCAGGAGCTGATCGAGTCCATGGCGATCCGGCCCGAGGCGCAGCTGAAAAAGCCGTCGGTCAGGTCGGAGAGCAAGACGCTCTACATGCAGTCGCCGCCGAGTCTGGAGGAGAAGACGCGGCAGAATCTGGACAAGACGCTGACCGAACTCGGGCTGGGTGACGGCGAGGAGATTGGCGTGACTGACCCCTCGTTTGCGACTGTGTCTTTCAAGTTCAGGCTCCGCTTCAAATGAGAGGAGGCCTTGGTTACGGTCAGGGGCGTCGGAGGACAGGCACCATATATTTGTTGGATTATGCTGGACGCATCTCTGTGCATAGTGATGCTTGAGAATCGAGGCCTCGGGTGAGGTTGAAGATAGGCAGAAAATCAATCAACCTATTAAAGAAAGTGACTACCCAGCCTTTTTTTGACCCCGGACGCCACCTTGCAATGATCTATCTATCTCCAGTTGTGTAGAAAATAAGAGAAGGAGGAAAACTATGGGTACACGTTCCCAACCACGACTAACTACCTAACCATTTTGACGACCTGCTTCTCCAGCTTGGCGCACTTCAGCTTCATCATCTTGATGGCCTCAAGGAACAGCTCGTCACTGTCCCACTGGCCGGTGCTCTCGATGGAGAAGATAAAGTGGTCCCTCCGGCGGCCCAGCTTGACCTTGCCCTGGAACTCCTCGTGGCGGAGGCACTCCCTGCTGACCGTGTCCCTCATGGGGTCCCTGACGACGGCCTTCTGCTCGCCCTTGCGGCCCTCGTAGCCGCTCCCCTCCCGGGACGCCTCCTCCGCCGTGACGGTCTCGATCCCGATGACCCCCTCGGGGAAGCAGCCGGCGAACTTGACCGCGTCGGCGCCGAGGATGGGCCGCACAATGTCGATGGTCGGCATGAGGCGGTACGATGCCGTGGCGACGGGCGAGAACTTTGCGTGGTCTGCGCCGACGCCCTTGTGCATGTGCATCATCAGCTGGATCGACTGGCCCGGCCGCATCTTGGCGATCAGCACGTCCGGGTTGACGGGCGCGATGGCGTCGTCGCCGGAGAAGTAGCGCGGCTGCTTGCCCTCGGGCGTGAACACAATGTCCCGCGCGTACACGTGCGCGTGCCGGAACAGCTTGGTCGGGTCCTCCTCGCCGGGACCGGCGTCCTCGTTGCGCGTGCACTCGACGTTGAGCGACAGGCTCACCGTGTTGAAGTCGAACGTGGTCGAGAACGGGTCCTTGTCGGCCTCGGGCTCCCTCCACCACTTCAAGAACCGGAGGAGGCCCTCCTTACCGCCCTTGAACGGGATCAGGCCCAGCCGATGAGCTAGCACCTCGTCTTGGATCACCGACGTGTTGTTCTCGATGAACACCTTCTCGATGGCGAGGGTCGGGATCTCGGAGATCAGGATGCGCCGGAAGGCGTTGGCGATGGAGGCGTCGAGGCCTATCAGCGAGAACGAGGCGTCGAACTGCTCATTGTTGTGGAATTCTACGCTGAGCCCGTCCCGGAACGTGTCGATGTCCCACGAGTTGTCCTCGCCCGGGAAGTGGCCGGGGAAGTCGGTGGAGATGACATCCGTGACCGTTTCCTTGTTGATGCCGACTATCTACAAGTACAGTATTAGCCGTCAGAGGATTCTAGTCAGCAGTGGGGATGACCATGTCTGATATACCTTCCGCCGGTCGAGTTCGGCTTCGCTGCGTTTTGAAAAGGGCGCCATGGTGAACTCATCATGGTGGGGTTCAAGGGGGGAAAGAGGCCCAGCTTTGCTAGAGACACTTCCCATGGCAGAAAATTTTGGCGTGGAAGTTTTTCTTGACCGCCCGCACACCGAGAATTACCCGTTTGGCTCACCTTCTCACCGCGCCTGGTCTGTCTGAGAATCAAGGGTTGCGAATATGTCTCTTGTTTTTAAGACTCTCTGGCTCTTCTTCCGATAGAATTTTTTAGGCTTGGAAAGATTGCAAAAATGTGTCTGTGGAAATCGAATTGGATGTGATAGGGAAGGGAACACTATCCAGGGGAAAGACAGACTGCAACCTCCATCACTCACATTTTGTTCAAACCGCGTTCTTCAGGAGGATGCCAGTTCCTGTGACAGTATCTGGGTACCTATCCAAGTACACAATTGCATCCCGTAAGCCATCGGCCAATCTCGTAGCAGCCAACTCCTCCCTATTCCCAGTTGCAACCACTATCTGTCCTTGACACCCTTTTCTTTAGTGCCTCAGTTGTGAGTATATCGACCACCTGTATCAGTCTGTTTCACGATCTCATAAGGCTAAGGCACTTGGAGATGGAGATAAGTAGGTAGACTTTGTAGTCGTCAATCTAGCCGTTACAGTCACATGTCTAGCACAATGTTGAAGGTCCTCGAGTGAGTGTCAGGGAGCCACGAGCTTTTTGATCCGCCTGCGGATGTCAATGCTGCCTGGAGACCCTTCCATCATGCAAATACATCGTGCGAAGAGCGTTGAACCGCCCCGTGTGGGAATAGCGCCGTATAGAGAGTCAACAGAGCGAGCGACAACGAGTGAGATGGGTACAGTATGTGCCATCAAACCTGTCAGTGTGGAGCTCTCAAGATCTTCATATGGAAAGCAGCGTGACGCCCAGGCCTCTTGATTGGTATTAACCACCATTCACCCCCCGAAGATAATATTACATCCGACCAGCCGGGACAGGGCTATCGACTTTGCGGAAGCCCATCGATCGGTCGTGCTCGAGGCCCTCCTCCCATCTCATCACCCCTCTAGTCTTGCCGTCCCTTGAGTAATCTCTTGGTCACCTTGTCCTTCTCGATGATATAGACGTGTGCACCCCAGCCTGACAGCGCATCTCTGTCCACCGCATTCAAAAGGGCCTGAGATATCGTCTCGAAGAGCTCCTCGGGTTCCTGGTGCATCCCGGTGTTAGCTATCGTGTGGACTCTGACACGGCCCGGTCGAAGGCCAACTCGAGAAACTTACCAGATCTGGCTCCCACAAGCTCTCGCACATGCCAAACAGCTGCTCCGACGCGGTGCCGGACACGATGAAATCCTTGGCGAAATCGATGCATCCGATGCTGTCAAAGCCGCAGATGAATGGCTGTCCGGTCTTGGGCTCCAGTCCGGCGACCACGGGCGAGACGAAGTAGGGGCCGAATCGTCGCTCGTACAGGGTGCTGCTGACGAGGTTCGCAAACGTCTTCGGCGCGATGTTCCGCTCCTCCCGCAACCGGTACAGGTTCACCTTGTAGCGGAAGAGGTCCGACACAGTCGCCAAGTCGGTTGCCAGCCCTGTGAGACCCAGGAAGACGTCGCCGTACTGGAAGACCTTGGGGAAGTTGTTGGAGACGGTCAGCGCCTGCAACCCGAGGCGCAGATCGCAGGCAATCGCTACACAGTCCTTCCCGACCATGGCCACGCAGGCACCGCCGTCTGCGAGTTCGGTTAGCCCAACAAGATCATTATTATGAGACAAGGCGTAGCGGCCGCCAGCATTCGATTGATCACGGTCGAGGCGCGACAATATTCAGGCTGGGAGATCATGAGGATGGACGGGACAAGGGCAACGGACTTATCGAGAACGGCGAAGACTGGAGCTGGAATTAGCTAATATCAAGCACGGAAGTTGGCATATTTTCTTACCATCTTGAATCTTTAGTTATGCTGCTTGTGGGAAGGTTGGGTTTGTATTGACGGTGGTGGTTGCTGAGCTGGATTGATAAGTTGAACTCACGCTTCCAGAGCTCCAATCGACAAGGCAACCTGAGCTGGCGTGGCGCCAGGCGTGGGCAGCTGCGGCGCTAGGCAACACCCCTGTCGGACCTGCGAATGACGAAGCGAACAGTCTCCAAGTTTATACGGAGGTACATACAAAAAAAAGCGGCTCAAACTTACTTCTACAAACATTCCAGAGGAGGAGGATACAACCGAATGCTCCTGGATATCTGTCGATTTCTCATTATTGCTGGTTAGGTTTGTTTTACTCTAAAGCATTCTGTTATTACTCATATCCCTACGTAGGTATTAGTATCAACATAATATATAGGCTAGGTTTGGGGGGGGCTGGTATTTTCTGTACATGCAATGCTCGCACTGCGACACTCTCTGACTACGGGTCCTACACCTAGAATGACAAGTTACGTATCGCAAGGCTTCCTTTACAATCTACATTATTCTGGTGCGCTTTTGAAGGTACGGTTGCCACATCACTGCTTACAGAGCATCCCCCATCATCGAGCGGACCAACCTACCTCCCTAGGTAGCTACCTACTACCTATCTACCTAAGCTGCCTATGGACACCTACCTACCTACCCCACCATCCTCCTAACGATAAACCTCAATCTTCATCGCTGGTTAAGTCTCGACTCCTCATAATCCCCAGGAGCATACGAAATCTTCTGTATCTTCTCGCTCGAAATAAGGGCCAATATGTCAGCCCACGTCGAGGTCATCGCCACCGACCTTCGAAGAACCAAGATCAAGGTTTCTCAGGGAACCTACCTTGTGGACGTGCTCCGGGAAGCTTGCCAAAAGCTGAATCTGTCCAGTGACAAGTACCTCCTTAAGTATGTGAAATACCCCTGCATATAGGGATAGAGGTTTAGTTGCCTTCTGACACCTCCCAGGCACAAGCAGAAGCAAATCGATCTCTCGGGGCCCTTCCGAACCTCAGGCCTCAGCCCTGGAGCCAAGCTCGAGCTTGTTGCCAAGTCAAGCAGCCCCTCAGTCATCAATGTCGCCATACAGTTTACCGGCCGCGATGCGGCGATGATCCCTAATGGGCGGCTTACCGCAAAATTCCCGAGCGACTTCACGATATGGAAGGTGCTCCGGCAGTTCGAGAGCGGGACTGCAAGTGGAGGCCACAATCTGAACATCACCGCAAGAGGCACCGCGCAGAGCGATAATGGCGCGCAGAGCGGCAGCGGCCAGCTGTACTACGAATCACCAGTCCTGAACATCATGGGCCGGGAGCTGTCCTCCCTCGAGGACTTCCAAAAGACCTTGTCACAATGCGGCATCAACTCTGGCTCCGTTCTCATTCGAGTGTCGTTTCGGGCAACAGGGAAGACATTATACGAGGCCATGCAAGATACCAGTCAGTACCTGAGCGTCGTCGAGCCGGAAGGCGGGAAGGAGGACACTGCACCGAAACAAGCTTCGGACGAGACCATGGGAGAACCTGTGGCAGTGGCGGGCCCAGATTCAGCTTCAAATGCAGCGCCCCAGACAACAGGACCTACACCACAGACGGAACAAAACACGGGACACCCAGAACCTATCCCAGCACGACAGCCGGTTGAACAGGATACAAGTACAGCAGGAGCAGCAGCATCTGCAGGGCACCACAACACAGCCACCGACAGCTCTGCATCACCAGCCAACGCCGACGCCGACGCCGACGCCCTCCAGCCAGTAAGCGTCTTCTCGGCCCCGACAGGTAACACCATAGCAGCGGCCCTGATCGACGAGCCGGACTCGGACTTCGCCCCGACGATCGCGCACGCGCAGCTGCACCAGGCGCGCCTCCTCGCGGGGACCCAGAACAAGCGCCTCAAGTCGGACAAGGAGCTCGAGGCCGCCGCGGCCGCCGAGGCGGCGCGCCTGGCGGCCGTCAAGTCCGTCGCCGTCCGCGTGCGCTTCCCCGACGGCACCTCGGCGCAGTGGCGCTTCGGCCCCGACGCCACGGGCGCGACGCTCTTCCGCGCCGTGCGCGGCGTCATGGCCGAGCCCGCGCAGCCGTTCAGGCTCGTCCTGCCCCACGGAACCGCGGCCGGGGTCGGGGTCGGGGTCGTCCGCGACGCCGGGCAGGCGGGCGACACGCTCGTGCGCGGCCACGGGCTCCGCGGCGGCGTGCTGGTCAGCCTTGTCTGGGGCGAGGGCGCTTCCGCGGGGGCGCGGGAGAGGCCTTTCCTCAGGGACGCGGTGGCGAGCCTGGCACGCGACGTCGTCGTACCGGAGGTGCCGCATGTGGAGGAGGACGACGACGAGGATGCGGGAGGGTCGGCGAAACGGGTCGCCGCGGGCAGGAATCAGAATGGGGAGCGGAGCGGGGAGGGCATCGGGAAGAAGTTGCCCAAGTGGTTGAAGCTGCCGGGGAAGAAATGATGGGTTTGTGGCCTGTCCGCACTGACTGCGGATCTGTCGGGACCTCTGGTAGAAGATGGTGTACTTGTTGCCCTGTCATCGATATCTGTGGCTCAACCCATTCCATCCATGCCTTCCCGTATTCTCGGCATCTAGGAATTGTTGTTGGCCGCCCAGACTTTAAAATAAAGATCGGGCTCCGGTTCTCTCTCTTCCCCTCCCCCCTTTCCCCTGACCCCAAAAAGATCCCTCCTCATAATGTTTGAGAATGAGAATACCTATCAGGCAACGCGAAGCTGAAAGGTCTGCTACTCATCCCTGGGGGGCTAGAGCCCGTCCGAGGTTGCACCCCTGTGCGAGTATCACCCGAAAGGCTGTGTTTCCATCCGGCCAAGAGTTCATCTGGGTGGTACGAGGGGGGTCGTTGTGATCGTTGTTAACTTGTGATGAAGCCGAGATAGAATTAGAAGAAGGAAAAAAGAATAATTTGAAAAGACCTATGTAAATCTGCTTCTGTCTCTGTTCCTGGGCGCACTGGGCCCGTATTCCTTACACGGCAAAAAGAACTGCCTGTAGTAACGTAATCCACCCGTTGCCCTCATAACGTCTCATGTGGGGGAAATAGAACGCCGTTGGGGAGGGCAAATCTATCGCAGTGGTCAGACACGAGGGGGGATAAAACTCGAGTAGATCCCACCGCCGATTCTGTCCTCCGCCCCTTTAACCCTTTCCATGTCCGTCCGTCTCCTCTCCAACCCCTATACCAACATGTCCCTAGAGCCAGCCATATTCAACTCATGCAAGCTCGGTTCCATCAGCTGTGAGGCTTGCAAGCCTCCACGAGGATACAACGCCCTCCAATACTCATACACACTTTGAGATAATAATAAGAAAATGCATTTCGTAAAACAGCCACACGCCGCTGAAGGACGGCGAAGGAACAGGGCGCGCCCCGTTTTCCGGCGAGTAATCGATCAATACTCGCCACCAGCGCCGTTATGGCCAGGCTGGGCGCCGTACAGGGCATAGCCAGAGGCGTCTGCGCCCTCTTGCGGGCCACCAAGCTCGCCGCCGGGGAAGGTGCCCGAACCAGGGTTGGCACCACCCCCTGCGGCGCCATAGCCTTGACTGCCGGGTCGGTTCTGCTGGTTCTCCCCCCTATTCGACTGGGACTGCTGTGACAATAATCAGAATCTTGTGGGACGCCAAACCCGGTAGTCACTAGTGGTCCACCCCGAGCGGGAGGGGGTCTTACTTCTCGATACTTGGAGAGGTAAATCTTGAGAGCCTCAGCGTAGTTCTCAAATCCTAGTGATGTCATGGCGAACAAGATGTCTTCGCCGTTGACGGTTTTCCTCTTCTCCTGATGGCACTTCTCAGACGCTTTGATAGGTCAGAATTTATGGAGACACAACCGAGGCAGACAGAGACTCTTCAGTCTCAGATCGCTTACCCTCACTCGTAATGAAGGAGATGAACTCGCTGACACATTCTTGCATGCACTCCTTGGCCTCCTTTGCGATCTTGGCGTTCTCGGGGAGTGCATTCTTCATGATGCGGGCGACTGGTGCGAAATTGCGTATGTTAGCATCGTAGCCATCCTCCTTGTCGGCCCTCGACGGGGAGAGAGGGCAAGAGTCTTGTGGCGAGGTGGAGGACAGATCGTGAGACATGACCAGTCAAGTCGATATGCGCGGCTGTCTTGGGGAGGCAGACCAGAAGCCATGCAAGCGGGCACAGAGGGGAAGAACACACGAATCATGAGAGAGCAAGGAGGAGATATGACATACCATTGGCTATGGGCAGCCACCGGTCCTGCTCTTTTACCTCGAACTCATAGGCGAGCCCGCTGGAATGTGGGTCTTGGGGATCGTTCATTTGTGCTTCCTCGTCGGCGTCCTGTACACCTTGTTCGACATCCTTAGGATTGGATTGGGGGGAATCCGACATATTTGGCTACCTGCAGCGGCTGCTGGCTTCTTGTAGGGGCCCTTGGGCGGGTGGTAGCTCGCACAGCTGGATTCGACGGGGGTGGGTGATGTGTTCCCTGCCTGCGTACACGTTGCAGGGTTGGTAGGGCGTGCGGCTTTTCTTTGGCGGCTCGAGCTGCAAGAATGCGTCAAGCGTGCTTCTTCGCTCTGCGTGTCCCGGGATAATTTTTTACTCCCTAGGGATTCCCTGCCCGACTCTCGGGCTCTGACAGAGGCAGCTAGGAAGGATGGCCCTTGGGGGGCTTGGGGCTTGGGGCTGGGGGGGGTGGCTAGGTAGAGTGGGAGCGGGATGGTGTGGGGGGTGCGAGGTGATGCGTCGACTGCTGCGGGTCCGAAGGAGAGACTGGCCGTTTGTGTACGGCAGCAACCTGATGTCGGATGGCCTTGCTGCAGTGATAAGCGGGTGGCTCGGTTTCTGGGGCCCGATCAGCCAGCTGGAGCGGCCCTGTTCCCCGGGGGGTTGGACAAGTACCGAGGCGAGCGGCCGCGGTGCGCTGCTCAGTAGCCCTGCGTCGAGACGAGGTTACACCAGAGAAATGCGACGGGCAATGGTTGGCTCGTCGCGGTCGGGCAGGACGTCGGATCGCGGGGAAACGAAGATTAGAGTGTACTGCGCAATAGTTGTGCTGCCACGGGTTGGTTGCGCGCCTCGTGGGATATCTGCATAGTCGCGTCAGAAGAGGTGTGCGGCCGAGACCAGGGAGTGCGGCCAGCTCCAGAACGGAGGAAGCTTGTTTGCGCATGCGCACCTCGCGTGGGCACCTTACTTAAAAAAAACCACTAAACCCAAGAAGGCCTGCTGGTGTGCCGTGCTCCTTCGAACCTGGTCGGCGGCAGTGCGTGTATGCGTCGCTGAGTTGTTCGAGCTTGCGATTGCGATGCAGGCAGAGTGCGCTGTGTGGAGAGTTGGCTGCAAGAACGTGGGGTTGGTGCAGGAGGGAAGAATTGGGAAGAGAGGGCAGAAGCGGGTCTCTGGTTTTGCGGTCAACAACAACAACATGGAAGCTTACCCGTACATAGGTAAGCCGATGATAATCCCTGCACGCTACCTCCTCCGTACTTGGGAGGCGGTCGACGTTATCGATAACGAGATGCAGTGGACATCACATCAGCGAATGTACGTACATCTGGTCGACCCAAGATTGTTGCAAGAAAGCCTGAGGATATGCCGCCCTCTGAAGTACCTCTTGGCCTGTGCCCCATCATTCCATGCCCAGAGGTCAGAACCTAACAAGTACCGAGCTAGGCACCTACCTCCACACCATTTCCCTCTTACCGCTCCCTCTCCGAGTGCTCTGTGATCGGGCTCTTCCTGTAGGACCGGACATATAAGAGACCGCATGCGCTTCATTATCGAGCTGAACTGTCCGGTAGATATGCCCAGGACTTCAGGTCACTATCCCTTGCCCAGCGAGGGCAGCGGTCAGGGCGCCATTCGCATTCCGGCCATGCCTCTTCGTACCAAGAATTCGGGCCCTATTCTCATCCGTAATCACACCGGTTGTTCTTCAAGCCTTCTGTGCCTTGTTCAACAACAAGCTACCTAGCTTAGTTCCCTATCTTGGTAAGTAGTGTGTGTGCCATTGCATGACCCATCTATGCTGCAACACGGACGTAATTCCTTCCACCCCGAGGCACCTCAGGAGCGGTGAATGAGGTCGGAGGCGGGAACGAGCTCAAGGAAACAGGCTGGGATGGCAGGGCTGGGCTGGCTGGGCACCGGCCGGGTGCCCCCTTGGTTTCAAGGACTACCTTATTAGGCGGTGTCGCTTGAAGGCCTTCCTACACTTTCTTGTCAACAATCCGGGCATTGAATTGCCGATGCCATGTTTCTCTGGCGGTTGGTCGTTGCCTGGCTCCAAGGCCGCATGTCGTTGGATCCGAAGCCACGGAAACAGCAGCGATGTGGTGTGCGAGCAAGGATGCTGATTTGGCAATTGATTGCCTGCAAATAAACAACGAAGCAGGAACAGGAAGGCTGACGACAGCCGAGTGGTTCTGTATGGCCGTCGTTCAAGTTGTATTTCTGAAAAGACTGGGTGGGAGGTGGTCATGACTGGCCATCTCGCGGCGACCACAAGGCTGGCAACCCTATTTTCGTCCAATGACAGATTTTCTTTCTAGTTCTCTCCTCTTATTGGGAAGAATATCTAGCCAATATGATTAATGCGAAGACTTGTTGCCAATCATCACATCGTCGCCTCGAGTGGGCGAACCCGGATGTTACTCTGCGCCTGCAGGTGTTGCTTCCCCCCTCTTCCAAAAAAAAAACACACAACTCTACCGAGCAAGGTGTGGGAGATGCACCTTGCAAGCCAAGGGGCCTAGCAAGGACAACTGGCAGAGCAAGGAAGAAGCTGCAGGTCTTCTGTCTCTCCTGAACTCAACCTTGCAATGAGAGCATGTCATAGATAGGTAGGCCTTAGCCCCCACTGTGCATGGGTAGTGACCCGGTAAGTGACGTACTAGGGCGACCTATGAGCATTCGGGCTGTTCATATATCTCTCTTCACATGGTACTTCTTGAAACAAGACCTAACAGGTCATCGGCAGTGTAGTGGCCTCGAGGGGTTGAAAATACGTATGGAAGCACGGCATTGGGGTGTTCTAAGCGGGCCAGCCCTTCGTCCTAATACTATCGCGATGATGTTCATAGCAGAAAGGGTAGGTTGGCTATGGCCCCGTTCAGCGATCGCAAGAGTGAACCCCCAATTCTTCGGATAATTATGACCAGTAAAATCTTCCCCTAATAACATGCATCACACCCCGTGGCGGTCCAACGGAAGCCCAGAAGCCCAACTGCTTCGCCCAATTCGTCTCCATCCAGTTGGGCACTGAGACGCCTAGGCGGCAAGGCGTTGGTGTTCACACCATAAATTTGTACAACTCATCGACACACGCCACCACGACGCAAATTTCTGGACGTCGGAGATGGTCCAGCCACGCAAGGCGTGATCAAATAGGTCCCGTCCCGGCTTGGAGGCCTGCTCAGCACACTGATGTCTGGTAAACGTAGAAATTCCATGCACCGGAACCAAAGCCTCAAGACCGCGCTATTGAACCCAAAATAACATTGCCTGACAACATGCGAGACATCACCACACGAGGAGGGGCGCATGAGCAAGGCAGACGAAATCGCTGCATCTGGCCTGAACATGCAGGAGCGGGTTGACACTACGGTGCCCTGGTCTTGATGACATGGCGCGGCACCATCATCCGCGAAGCTGTTACTAACCCGGCAGATGATCTCAAGACTGAACGACTTGGATATTGTTCTTTTTCTGTGCCAGGCAGCAACGGTTAGATTCCCGGTGTCAAGCTGGCGGGCCTGGGCTGACGCCTACCTTCCACTTCTCCAGATCGTCCTGTTTCGACTTGTACTGCTTGACCAGGTCGTCAAGCACCTTCTTCAGACCCTCGGCGTTGGTCTTGAGCGCGGGGACCACATCCTTGACGGTCCTCTCCACAAGAACGCCGTTAATCATCCGGAACGCCTTGCGGTCGTCCGGGAGCGGGCCCAAGGTATCAAGAACGAGTCTATGGGATTGGGGATGAGCGGTGAGCAGGGCATGTCTTGAGGGGCGGTGAGGCCGGATGAGAAAAAAAAATTGGGAAGCAAGACGTAAGTCAAAGCCCCTCCCGTCATCAACTCAGTCTCAGCCTGCATGTGGGAAATCGAAGAACAGAGAGCTGCAACTCACTTGTGCTCTTCGGCTTCTTGTTCCACGTCGCCAATTTTTTGCGCAATCTGCTGCAGCGTATTCTTGTAGTTGGTGTACTGAAGCTGGAGATCTGGGGACGCATTAGCGACTTGTCCCTATCCAACCTCCACTCATGCCCCCTCGCATAGCTTACCCTGCTGTCTCTTCGCCGAAGCTCCCTGCGACGCCATGTTTGAAAGTTGCGCCGGTTAGCACTGGAAAGTGTGATGCAAGATAGGATGAATTTGAATTTCGTCGCTGGACTTGCTGTGGTGAGCGAGGTGAAGTCCAAGCTAAAGGTGGCCCAAGCTCCACCATAAACTTTCGGGTTACTGTACCACTCAGAACCCGAATCTTTTCTCTGACAAAGAAAAAAAGAAACTAATAATATTCGCCCAAAACTCGTTACTGGGAACGGCAACACAGCGATTCCAGCTTCTTTCTCGTTGCGGAGATTCAATTTAATACTCATAACTCTCTGTTAACTTACAATGCACCCCCATCTGCATACAAAGTACAATGCAGGTCAGTTCCCCTCCCAGCGCTCCCCATTCCTCGGGGCATAACCTGACTTGATCCCCCCTTCCAACAGGCTGCGAAGAGCTCATGACAGCCCTCGAGGATTGCCACGCGCGAGGGTTCCTGTGGAAGTCGATGGGCATGTGCAACAATACGAAGAAGCAGCTGAGCCAGTGCCTCAGGGCTGAGCGGTCGAAGCACCAGGACGCGAATCGCAATGGCTCATCAGACAAGAAGCACCGAATCAGGCAAATGTGGAAGGAGATCGACGAGAACTCGTAGTCGCCATTCCCTAGGGGGTCAAGACGGGCTAGACGAGGAATACCATGGGCGTGCGCCATCCGCGCTGCGCGATTCTATGCGATCATACGATACGAGACTGGTGATTTAGAGGAGCTGGGCTGGCTGGGACGGACAACTCTCATCTCTGCATTGGGAGGCGGCGTTCCTTGTACGGCGTTTCAAGAGTTTGGAATTTCAATACGCACACACACACACACACACACATGGAACCGCACATGGTCAATTCTGCCTGCACTTTGCATTTTTAAATGGTACACAGCAAGAGCCTTGCTTCCTCCTCCCTCCTCGCCTTTACAGGGTCCGACGAAGCGCGGAGCCAAACGTGATGAGTCCGTATGTGGCGATGATGCTGAGTAGGACCGGGACTGGCTTGCGCAGGCGAATAGCCCGTGGGATCGAGGCGCCGCCGAGGATGATCGATGCGGCGAGGCATGTCTCAATGCCGTACGGCTGCTTGTTCTGGATGCGATACCCGCCAACGGCGTCTGCCTCGTCGTTAGCAACGATGTATATCCATATATCGATATGTCCGTTTTGCCGTTCCCGCAGACGAATAGAGGCAATACTCACAAAGTAGCCCGACTGTGCAGCCCGCGATGACCGAGGGAAGCGACCCCGTCCTAGCGTATCCGGCGATCCCGCCGGTCACGGTCAGAGCCGCCAAAATGTAAGAGGGTCCTTCCAAGCCCTGTGTGCTGGTCAGCGATCCCGTGCCAGTCCTAGGTCTTCCATACGCTGTTCACGAACCATATTTATGATTCTTCGGTACTGCTGAAGTATATGTGGCGCTGTGGTGTTTCGTTGTAGGTCGTCGAATGCCTTTCCAAAGAACACCTTGGAAATGGCCCGAGACATTCGATAAGTCGACAGACCCAAAATGTGGGGCAATCCGGGGAACCACTCAGAGGTCCGCGTTTGAAAATACTTTGGTCTCAATATTGCGTATGCCTGACAAACAAGTACTGACCAACACTTAGACGTAAAGCAGTCCCAAGCTTCTCTGCGATTTTGTTCACCCAAATGACTAAATCCCAAGTGGATTTGAGATGCTCTCACAAGTCTTAGACCCGATGTCATGATGCGAGAGTTACTTTACCCGGGTTGAGGGTGCAATCGAGTCGCATGTCTGTATGACATATTGCAGAGTGGAAGCCAATCTACAACTTCCTTCGAACGCCGGCCTCCGTTTATGCTTGTCTCATTGTCTAGAACTAAGAAGCGTTGGATTCCGATGATCAATGATTGTGGCGTGTTAGTCTGGAGATTGCACGGCTCTTGGTGGAGAGAAGTGAATCTCACACGGAGTCTGGGTTTCTCCCCAGGTCAAAACCTATGCTGTGGACCTCCACCCGATCTCGACCGCCTTGTGACGGGAGGTCCCGTCCTAACCTCAGTGGCGCGAAGATAAGAGCTTGCCTACATACAAGAAGATCTTAAGAGTTCGGACCTACGCTAAAAACTCCGGGTCGCGGCCGCGAGGATCCGGCGCAGCAGACGGGAGGGCAGACAGGGTGGTGTCGCCGAAGTTAAAGGTTAAACGACCGTTCCGTCCCGACATCTGTTCACGTGCGTTCGTTTTACATTAAGAACAGGACGACGGATTCGGCGCTTGAAGGAAGTTAAGGGCTCTGTGCACGAGTAATGGCAACCCCCTAGGTAGTCATGCTATGCTGTATATTGCTATTCAAGTTCAGTTCCAGACCACATCGTCCCCAGGCGCCATGCCAGTATAAAAGTGAAAGCGGAGTTGTGTGGACCCGTACATTGGGGTGGTGGTTTCCAATATGCCCTCAAGATGGCGAGCAATGAAACAACCTGTTGGTGTCAAAATTCTCCAGGGCGGAAGAAGGGTGAATCGGCCAATGCTTGTGGCAGGGATAGACAAAGTGGCCAGCTCATGATTCGGAGGTTAGGTTATCATGAACAGGGAGATTGGAAGCGCTTTCGGCAGCTAATAGGGTGCTTTCTATTTTCGGCTTCGCTATTTTTGTCCCGTGGTCTCTCCTTCCCGCAAGCGACATCGCAAATCACTTTATACGCTACACGATACACCGCACATACTGTAGGCTTCATCAATCATCAGATAGGTACATGGGAAGGATGGGCCAGGGAAAACAAGTACGCAATAAGAAGAAACAAAATGAAATAAATAGAACGGAGGAAACAAAGGAAAGAAACGATGCCGGACAGCGGAGTTATCGGCAGTAACTATTTGCCCACTTGGGCAGATGTGGCTGTGCTAGCCAGGGTCTTATCATCCGCCAGCGCATATTTTGGCCTGCGTGGTTGATGAGCTGCGCCGATGAGCCAACCAGGGGGCAGGCCAAACGCTACCTATGAAATCACGCTTAGCGCTTTAATAAGCCAGGCGCCTACGACTCTGTATTTACCCACCATCGTGAAGCTTGCTTGGCCTGAAGTTTTCTCAAACCACCTGGGAGCGATCGACTTGATGATGTCAGAAAAAAAAACCCTATGATCTAGACTGAGCGGGACTTACCTTCCCGCAGCACTAAGAAGAACGCCTTGCCGAACTAACAAAACACACCCGCGAATCTGGAGGGCTTGCTGATATCGCGCAGCACAGCTAGCAGTCGCGATTGAGGCTGTGCTTGCTCTCCGCTATGTAGATTGAGACAGGGGTTTACTCCAGGGAGGGGATGCAGGGGTGCTATCACTTGATACTGGGGCGATTGAGCCGCAGAATTCAGCCATTGATCAGCCCAACCCAACCAGTGCCAGCTGTTACCCACCCTCTTTCCCTTCTGCCCATGCTTTGTTAAGCTTCTGCCTAGCCCCAGTGCCTTGCCGTCTATCTCAACTCAGACGATCTCTGATCTCTCCATCAATCTGGAATTTGACTGCTGGTGGTACCAAGTTTGCCATCATATCTCTCCTGCATCCGCGATGCACTGATGTAGCTGTAATATGTAAATACCTACCTAGGTAGTTAACTGTTATTCTGCCTTCCCGCTTGGCGCGCTGCTCCCCCTACCAGCCTTACCGCAGGAACTGGGCGGTTTCCTGCAAGTCCCCCTGCAATCTATAAGCGCCTGGAAAGTCCCACCCACCCTTCGAAGCACCGCCCGCCTCCGATTCCGATCATTTCGTCAACTACCTACCTACGGTCTGCTAAACTAGGTAGGGGAGACACGGATCTATCCTCTTGCTCACGCTTGTCAGACCCCTCCCTTTTGGGATCTCGTTCTTTTGTTGTCTCCAACTCTTTACTCAGAAACGCGGCTGCTCTGGTATCCTCGGCCAAACGGCGCATCATCTCTCACCAAAAACTATGGGCGCATCATCTTACCTAGCCTTCTGAGCCGGGCAAGTTCGTCTCTAAGCTTCTGGAGCTGCGCCGACTCACCTTGGGCTCCCTCCATCCCACATCCCGCATCACATCGCCTTCTTACCATATCCATGGACCAGGGTGGAATCACCCCAACCTAGCTTGAATAAATACACTCAGCCACCCACATACCTTCCTTCCACAGCCTCCGACAACCATGTCTTCCACATACGCCGTCTTGCCGTCATCGCTTGTCAACAACAGAGGCTCGGTCCGAACGCACGAGTCTCGAAACTTTCTCCCGGCCGCCAGCAACCCACACCAGATGCAGGCGTCGACTCCCGTGAACTCAAATCATCTGTCCCCGTATACCTCATCCCCCGGCCGCTGCGATTCGGCGTCTCCCACCCTGAACATAGACACCCCAGCCGACTCCGTATCTGCATCGAGCGTCCACTACCAATCCAGCGATTTCAGTGAAGTGTGTGATGACCCCTTCTTCGGCGTCGACTTTAACGCGCACGAGTGCAACTCCCCCTCTTTCCTCGGGCCCTTTGCGCCGCCCGACCAGGACGAGCAGCTTGCCAGCACGCTGTCTTACTCGACACCGGAACAGGCTCATGGAATACAGAAGGTGGGGTCTTATCATCCAATAAGTCCCGATCAGACACCGTTCCAATACAACAACAGGTCGCCAGACGGTGAACGGAAGGGAGCCGCCATTGCCTATCCTGCGCAGCTACCGCAATCCGTCTCGCCACAAGAGCTGACGAAACAATTCCAACCCCTCGCCGTCTCCGGAGATTTTAGCCAGTTTACATATCAGTTAACGCCGGAGACCAGTGACGACGGCGTAGCTCCTGCCCCTCCTGCTATGTCTTGCCCGAGCCCTCGTGTGACGGTTTCGATATGGGGTAACGATAATGACGAGCCCGAGCCCACCGTGACTGCGGCGGGGGGCCCGGCTGCCCTACCCAGCAGCGTCACCGCAGGCCATGTCGACTGCCAGCCTGGAGACTCGGAGGCCGCCACGGCAGGGTCTCCCCCGGCGCGAGATAACGAGGGGCAGTGGCTTCCAAACGGAACTGCGAGCCACCATGGCCTTGACCCAGACAACCGCCCATCCACGGACGTCGCGAGCAGTGTGAACGACCTTGCGGCTCAGCGGAAAGTCGAAGGGAAAAACCAGGAAGTCCGTGACTGGTTGACGGACAGCCTTCACAGCCTTAATCCGTCCCCGCCTGTCGAAGAGACTGTGCCTCGGGTGGCAGACTCTGACGAGCAAGACGACAACGTTTCTCCGCGGGAGATTCCGCTGGGCAGTGAGACCGAGAACAAGCTGGTTCCTGGCCAGACCTATTTCCCGGAATCAGGCGGAGCTGAACTCACTGCTGAGGACATCAACATCATGCGCGAAAATCGCAATTGGGCAGACGGTCCCGTCCTTCACCGGATCCAAGGAGACGGCACCAAGTACCAGCCAGAAACGGCACAAGCAGCCATGGAGAGGTTCGAAAGGTTGTGCAGGGATAACGACTCGGTCGTCTCGAGGGCTGCAACCTGGGGTACCAGACGCCGCAGTCTTCCGAGCGTACTCGACGTCGAGGGTGTTACCAGTGGCAGCTTCCTCAAAAAACTTTCCATCAGTCGGGGCGAGAATCGCCGCCCGAGTATTTTTGACGGGGTTCGTGGTCTCCTCAAGAAACCGAGCACCTCTTTCAAGCGGGCCCGCAATTCAGAGGACGAGTCTAGCGAACCTCCCGTGGAACTCAAAGAGTCCCGAGATAGCCTGGTTCCTCCCCCTACACTGAGCGGCGGCTTCAAGAAGAAGCAGTCCGTTCCAAGCATTAATACAGCACTCGTGTCGGTGACCCATAGCGCAGCAGCGGTTGGCACCACCCATGTGCGGAGCGGCTCGATCAGCACGGGGGCCATCACTTCGCCAAAGAGTCCAAATGCATTGTCTCTTGGGGTCAAGGCCATGATGCGTCGCCCGAGGAGTGGCTCAGAACTAGCCGATATGTGGAAGAAAGCGGGCGGTCCGCCGGTTGCGAATCTGGCAAAGCCGGCAACCACCGCCGACCAAGACGAGGACGAGGACGATGACGATGACATATACGAGGAAGCGGACATGGCCCATGAAACCGACAAGATGATTGATGATATCAATCCCACCCTGGCCGGGTTCCGGGACCACGTTTTAAGATTGAGTCCGGGGTTGGCTAACACAAACACCTACCTCGTCGATCGGATCGCACATCAACAGCTTGTTCGATATAAGAACCTCCTGAGTGCCAGGGTCAGGCACTTGAACTTCCTATCGACTGGAAGCTGTCCCTGCGGCAGCATGTGCATTGCGCAGGGAGGCTCGGCTAATAGTCTAGACTCCAAAGGCGATGGACGGCTTCCCGATCCACTATCGGCAAAATATGATGGCTCGGACGAAAACATGACTCCGCGTGAAGGGGCTCTCAGCCCGGAGAGCTTCCCGCAAGATATTCCGATGCCGCCGACCAGCTCACTGCCGTCCGAATTCGAGTGCCAGCTCTGCTTCCAGGCCAAGAAGTTTCAGAAGCCTTCTGACTGGACGAAGCATGTCCACGAGGATGTTCAGCCTTTTACCTGCACTTGGGACCGTTGCAAAGACCCCAAGATCTTCAAGCGCAAGGCCGACTGGGTCCGCCACGAAAACGAGGGTCATCGCCACCTCGAGTGGTGGACGTGCGATGTCGACGACTGCCGCCACGTCTGCTACCGGCGAGATAACTTCCTCCAACACCTGGTCCGGGAGCATAAATTTGCGGAACCCAAGGTCAAGACCAAGGCGGCGCTCAAGCGGGCGGCAGCGGTCGACCCTACCTGGCAGATGGTTGAGAAGTGCCACCACGAAACGCCGAAGCGACCCCAAGAGGAGCCCTGCCGGTTTTGCGGCAGGACATTCCCGACATGGAAGAAGCTGACGGTTCACCTGGCCAAGCACATGGAGCAGATGAGCCTCCCAATTCTACGCCTCGTCGCCCGGAAGGAGCTGGATATGGACACGATTATCAGTCCCGTTCAGGATCCTCCGCCACGTTCATTCCCGGCCGAGCGCGAACCGGTCGTGTTCAACCAGCCATCGACTATGAGCCATGCACCAACGCCGAGCTGTCCGCCAAGCACTATACCTTATCATAACTCCCAGCACCAGGCCTATGCCTTCAACAACCAGTTCGGTCAACCACCACCATTCTACAATCATAACCAATTCGAGAGTCTCGGTCACAGCCTCGAATCGACTTCCCTAGGCATTCAGGTCAACCACGGGTTCAGCAGCACCGGTGTCCATGGGTATAACAATATGCCAGTGACAGCCGATACGTGCATACCGCCCCAGGACCCGTACAGCTCTGTGGGCCCCCTTGTCGAACCTTTTCCGGCTTTATCAATGAATGCCCTGGGCCTCCAGGGTCTCCAGGGTCTCCCGGACACCCCTGGGAACCAAGTGCCTTATGGTAACTTGATTGGTCACTCCGGTGTTGGTGTTGGTGCTGAGCAGTACGCATCCCGAGGAACAGTCTCTCCGTTCACCCCTTCACCAAATCAGAGGCAGGGAGGCTTCTACGGCCACGGCCAGTAATTACTTCTACATCCTCATTCTCGCCACCTCCCACCATCTTAAAATCTTCTGCGTCTTCTACCGTTCAGATACCCCTTATACCTTGGCTTCGAGCTTTCTGCTTTGGGCCCGGGACCGCGCCAGTCCCAATCGGTCCCAATCGGTTTCCTGCTATTGAAGAGACGGGAGTTTCTCCCCTTTTGTCTCCTCTCCTTATGAAACACCTCTCTGGAAGATTCGAAAATGAATCTACCTTATTCGTTCATAGAGTCGACGTTTGCGCTGTTCTCCTCTGGATCTGTACGAACTCTATTTCATCCATGGCCAATTTTTATCGTTCATTTGCCCTTTGTTTCCCCCTCGCCATTCTCTGGCTGTGTGGGGTTTCACGAGTTACGTTACTGGGGTGTTGCAGGAGGGACGACATTAATGAAGACCCGGAAGCATTACGATACAACAAGGTTCAGGAGATGGCTACCATGGGAGGGCATTAGGTTACGGGTTCGAATTTATTTGTGTCGTTACGTACGATTTCTCTTGTTCTGAAATTACTCATCATTGGGCGTTTTGTTCGTCGTACTTGCTTTAACGTACGGGCTACGCGGTTTTTAGAACAGCGCATAGACTACCTCACTTTTTTTTGTCTCCCTCCGGCGTGTTTAGACCAAAGGTATGTATGCATGTACGTACTTACATACCTATTTCACCGAGGCGGGCAGCGTGGAAAGGCTTGACGCTTTTCACATGTGTCGAGGGAGGCGATGACGGGGCTGTGCCACCTCGCCGTGTCTTCCCGCCTTCCCGTCTTCCTGCATGCATATTAGCCAGACCCGGCCAACCGACCAGCCGGGAACGCCTAGTCTGCCCGGCCCGGGGCCAGGGTCACTGGAGGCGGTGGCCGTACTAATAAATGGGCAGATAATCACCTACTTTGCTGTGCCAAAGAGAAGAAGATGCTGGCTGCTGCACAGCCCGCTCGCCAGATGAACGTTCTACGCATACCCACGGATTACCTAGGTGCTTGCCGTGGAGCAGGCCTAGGCCTCCCATTGTCTGTGCGTCCAAATAGCAGAGATCAACTTTGTCCCACGCCGCTGGGAACGGAATCCTAGACACTTCCACCGCAAGGTGCGGTTGCAACTTGCAGCAGCAGTAGCCGAACGCATAATACAATCTCGATGTTAAATATGGTACAGGCTCATTCGCAATGGCAGATGATGTGCAACAGGGTACCCATTCGTTACACTTTCCCTATCTTCAGCATTAATGTAAATCCTAATCCTTACTATAGCAGTGTATATACCTTTAGCGGCGACGGGGGTGGGATACCAGGCGGATCAAGATCCCCTCGCTGAAACATCAAGTGCATGTGTAGATGCTCAAGGATGAGAAAACAACCAAGCAAGTTAGTATTAGATGGACATATACCTAGAAGCATCCATATCACAGAAGAACTTTATCACAGAAGAATTTCCCAGATTGAACTGGGCTGAATTATCACATCTCTTTCTCCCTCGTTTACACTCGTCGTCCCCTCCACTTCCTGACATGACTCTCCGCAACGAACGTTCCCCCTAGGGCCTGTTTCAAAAATAGGCAGGGACTGCCCGGCCTAGCGTTCTCGCTAAGTTGAGTCAAGGGTAGAGATCGGTACCCTATAGCCAATCAACGAACCAGGAAAACCCCAAGGCCAGAGCTTTGAGGCACGACAGGGTTGCTTGCGCCGCCCCGCTTCTTTTGAACCCTCCTGAGCGTTTCAGATCCCTGAACGTCGTGGAAGCTTTGGTCACTTACACATGCTCGCTACCGCCCATCCAGCGCCCAGGGGTAAAATATACGACTCCTGGGTGAGCGATGGTTTCGCCTGGCAACCATGACGCCGTTTTAACTCTGGGCCTTGCGCTTGCAGTAAGCCCGTAGTCTGCAAGGGAAGGAAACGGTAGTAGGGGGCTTGTACATACACCAATCGGCCACCCCCTCTGGGTCGTGGTTACCATTCCAACCTTCCATTCTTTGTCGTCTTCGTTGTCAGTCGTCTTTGCCTTTCTGGCTGGCTGACGTCGTCACGCCTTCTTTTGTCAATTCGTTTCATGTAACTCCTCTCGGGCCACCGTCTGGGTTACCCATATCTTCTCCTTTCCCTTGGTCTTTTGACAATCCCCGTCGTTGTCGAGCCCGTCAGTACCTACTCGACCGAAGAACTTCAAAAGACCGATAAAGAGAGAGACCACCCAGTACTTCGTGGCCTTCTCTTCTTCTTCAAGGGCAACTTGTTGCCCTCTTCCATTCGTTCCAGGTTGATCCTCGGCTGCATTGTTGAAGTCTATTTTGATTGTCTGCTTTGTTCGATTTGTCCCTTTCTTCCGACCGTGTTCGATACTATTTTACCCTTGCATTTGCCTTTGCATGCCCATCAGCAAAGTTTCCCTCTCGAAAACGATCGACCCGAACGACGACATATACGTGCGACGAATATCCACCACGGTACCTGGATGGAAAAGACTTGAGACCGGACAGGAGCTTGAAGGTTAAAAATAGACGGCGTACTATTTGAGGGGAACCAGCATTTAGTGGGAAGGATTTCCGGCGGCACTCATCTCATTGCTTTTCGACTTCTTTTCCCGACTTCGAAACGCTCCGTCGTCGAGATGGCACGGAACAGTTTAAGGCGCCGCCTATTTCTTAGGACGGCGTTGGCAGCGGTAGCTCTGGCCAGGGGGGTTGTGGGGGTGGATATCCTCCAAACCGTGGGCTTCAGCAACTGCAACACCAACGCCAACATTACGGTACAGAGGGTTAACATATTTTACAACAATGACAACAAGACGGTCACGTTCGATGTGGCGGGAACAAACACGGTAGAGCAGAACGTGACGGCGGTTCTGAACGTCACGGCATATGGGCAGCAGATATACTCCAACACTTTCGATCCCTGTGATCGAGGGACTTTCGTGACCCAGCTCTGTCCTGGTATGATATTTTCCCCCTCTGATTCTACGCCGGCGCTATACTAAACCCGCGACCCAGTTCCCGTTGGTACCTTTGCGGCGAAAGGCAGTCAAGCTATCCCTACCGAGTTTGCGAATCTGGTACCATCGATAGCCTTCCAGGTGCCGGACATTGCGGCAATGGCAACTCTCCAGCTGAAGTCGAGGGAAAGCGGCGAAAAGGTTGCCTGTATCCAGTCCCAAGTTACGAACGGCAAGACTGTCAGCGTTCCGGCGGTCTCTTACGTGTCCGCTGGTATCGCGGGCGCGGCTTTGGTCCTGACGGGCATTTCGGCTGCCGGCGCCGCATTTGCGGGAGGCAGTGCTGCCGCAGGCGGATCCGCTGCCTCGGGAGGTATGGGCACTATCAGCCCCTCGTTCACCGAGGTCTTTGGGTGGTTTCAGGGGATGGCAATGAACGGCATGCTCTCGGTCAACTACCCGCAGGTGTACCGCAGCTTCGTCAAGAACTTTGGGTTCTCGACCGGCCTCATCCCCTGGACCCAGCTACAGGTCTCGATCGACAACTTCCGGGAGGCAACAGGGGGCAACTTGACCAACAACAGTGTCGGGTTTCTGCGCAATTCCACCCTGGTATTTCCCGATGGCTCTTCGCAGGCTCCAGCAGGCAAGAACTCGAGCCAGGTCCTGAAAAGAGCCTTCGACCACTTTGCCCTGCTTGCGTCGAGGCAGATCGAGACCAGTGTGAACGGCACATCCCAGGACGGCACCGTCGACCCCAATAGCACCACGGAAAGTATCCGGGTGGCTGTGACGGGCATTCAGGCCTACGTCAACGAGCTCAGCATTCCGTCGGCGAACACGTTTATGACAGTCTTGCTGATCGTGGCAATTGTCATTGCCTCAATTGCTGTTGGCATTCTTCTCGTCAAGGTCATCCTGGAGTTCTGGGCTCTCTTCGGCAGCTTCCCCAAGTCGCTCACGGGCTTCCGTAAGCACTACTGGGGCTCGATTGCCCGTGCCATCACAAGCTTGATTCTGCTCCTCTACGGAGTATGGGTTTTGTACTGCGTCTTCCAATTCACGCACGGCGACTCGTGGGCGGCCAAGGCTCTTGCTGGAACCACTCTAGCCCTGTTCACCGGCATCTTGGCGTTCTTCTCATGGAAGATTTGGAGCATAGCTCGGAGGCTGAAGAGCTCTGAGGGCGATGCCAGCGGCCTGTACGATGACAAGGATATCTGGGTCAGGTACAGCTTGTTCTACGAAAGCTACCGCAAGGACTACTGGTGGCTTTTCGTTCCCACCATCATCTACATGTTTGCCAGGGGCAGCGTTCTTGCGGCCGCTGATGGACATGGCATGGTTCAGACCATCGCTCAAATGATCATCGAGGCCATCATGCTGATTCTCCTTCTCTGGAGCCGCCCTTACGAGCGCCGGTCTAGCAACGTGATCAACATTGGCATCCAGGTCGTGCGGGTCTTGTCTGTCATCTGTATCCTCCTCTTCGTTGAGGAGTTTGGCATCGCGCAGACGACGCAAACCGTCACGGGCGTGGTCCTCATCGCCATCCAGTCGGCATTGACGGGTATCCTGGCCATCCTGATCGTCTGGAACGCCGTCATTGCTTGCTGCAGGCAGAACCCTCACCGCCAGCGCCGCAAGGAGATGGGTATGTTGATATATTCTTCCCTCCACCCCCCTCAAGCTTCTGACGAGTCGATTGCTAATGCGTCAACAGAGAAAATGCAGCGAGACGTGGACGCGCTGACGCCCCTGGATGCCCGGAACTCGCTCCTCATGGATCGCACAAAGTCCGGCATGGATGATACCGCGGACTCGATGTCGGTTGCCAAGACTGGTTTCCAGGAGGACACCAAGGTCGCGCCGCCCGCGCGGGACTCGTCTCCGGAACCCTACCTCGGCGCGGAACCTGCCAATTCCTACGGCCAGAAGGCGTCGTCGAATGGCAACATTTACCGGCCGCTGACACCCGCCACACCTGTCCCTCAAAGCCGTGACGGCCTCATCACAAACGCGGCGCCGATTGGAGGCTCTGACATGCGCCAGCCGACGCTGCCAAACCTGGGCAACGGCTATGGTAATGGCGGCGGGTACGGGCCTTCGCCACCACCTCAACAACAACGCAGCCAGGGCGGCTACGGCAGGGTAGGCTACGGCCAGGGCCAGGGTGGCTACGGCCAGGGTGGTGGTTACGGCCAGGGTGGTGGCTATGGACAAGGCGGCTACGGCGGTGGCTACAACAATCATGGAAGGTATGGAGGACCGCCACCAAGGGGTGGCTACTGAGCGCCCCCGGACAAGGCGTTTGTATGATTCGCCGGCTAGCTGAGTGAGAGGCCGGTTTCCATCACATTTCTCTGGAGTCACTTGTAATTGTATTAGTCTTTCATTGCACATTTACACGACCTTATATTTTGCTACATAGCCACATCATGACGACAGGCGGAGATGGTGTGAGGGCAGGTATATTTGGTGGTCTTTACCTATCTATCTACAGACGCATATGTAACCTAGGTACATATAAGCGGGAGTAGGATGCATACCAACTGTCATTTATACTTTTGCGCTGGTATGACGATGCTCTGTATGATGCTTTTGCTCCTTCAGATTGGGCTTCTACCAATACCGTGCTTGCTCGCACTGTACTCTTGCCTGTTGGAGCCTCGATCTACTGAACATTAGCTCACCTGTTCCAGGCCGCCGACTTCAACTGTTGTTTATTCCTGCTATGGTCTGTGGTTCACGCCACAGCCATGGTCCATAGATCGATTCCGCATGCCATTTTTATGATCCCGGCTTAATATTAGTTACAAGTCAGTCAATCGTCACCGTACAAACTGACTTAATCGGGCTCCGTTCGGATCCGGAATCGGGGAGTTGGTGCACATCCAGTCTTGTTTCCGCCCCTTCGTCTGATATGACTGACCTGCGGCGGGAGTTGGCCAAGGCAAAACTAAACGCCATGCCAGAGCTGAGTGAGTCGGATAGAGACGGTGAGACCGATGATATCCCAGAACTCCCCGAGTTTCCCGACGATGACTCGTCCTCCGCATCCTCCGCCTCGTCCACGGGGACCATCATTCCCTCGCCAAGCCGGAATCTATTCGCAAGGCCGCAAGGGTAATTCACTCATACTGTTTCCTTACTGTACCAGCCCCGTAAACACCGCGGGGTGCAGCAAAATGCTGACCGAGAGGGCCATCACCCAGTGCCCCACGCGGACGGACCCTGCAGCAGATCCCGTGGACAACCTACTTTGAGCGGGAGCTCTTCCTGGACGCCCGGGACGACGCATCCGGCGCCCCCATCACCTACCACGCCTACCTCACCTCCCCCGTGGGCAAGGGCCCCCTGTTCGTGATGCACCACGGCGCCGGCTCCTCAGGCCTGTCCTTCGCCGTCCTCAGCGCGGAGATCCGCAAGCGCCTGCCCAACGCCGGCATCCTCTCCCCCGACGCGCGGGGCCACGGCTCGACCTCGGCCACCGGCGACGGCGTGGACCTTGGGCTCGGAACCTTGAGCTCCGACCTCCTCGCTGTGATCCGGCTGACGCGCACCCGCATGGGCTGGCCGGCGCCGCCGCCCGTCGTGCTGGTGGGCCACTCGCTCGGCGGCGCCGTGGTGACGGAGGTCGCGTCCCGGTGGGGCGCCGCCGCTGCTGGTGCTGACGGGGGTGAAGGAGGAGGAGGGTTGCTGGGCTACGCCGTGCTGGACGTCGTCGAGGGCTCCGCCATGGACGCCCTGCAGAGCATGCAGTCGTACCTGTCCGGGCGGCCGGGCAGCTTCGCGTCCCCCGAGGCGGCCATCGAGTGGCACGTGCGGTCGCGCACGATCCGGAACAGCGTCTCGGCGAGGACGAGCGTGCCGGCGCTGCTGGTGCGGGAGGAGGTCGGTAGCGACGACAACGAAAGCGGCGAAGGCGAAGGCGAAATCGAGGGCGAAATTGGGGCCGAGAAGAAGCAGCAGCAGCAGCAGCAGCAGCGGGCCGAGAGGAAGCCCCGCCGCCCCTGGACGTGGAGGACCGATCTCGCGGCGACGCAGCCGTTCTGGGAGGGCTGGTTCGTTGGGCTGAGCAGGAAGTTCCTCGCGGCAAGGGGCGGGAAGCTGCTTCTGCTCGCGGGGACGGACAGGCTTGACACGGAGCTGACGATTGGGCAGATGCAGGGTAAATGCGCGCCTTTTCCCCCTTAACCTCCGCCCCGATTCTTCCCCTTCCATGCGCGGAGATCTGTTTAGAATTCTTCTTCAGGGGCGCCCGCTAACTAAAGGGGGTCTGTCTCCTCATTATCTAGGGAAATACGCGCTGCAGGTCTTCCCGGAGGCAGGCCATTTCATCCACGAGGACCTGCCCGAGAAGACGGCCGTCGTGCTGGTCGATTTCTACCGGCGCAATGATCGGAGTGCGCTGGTGTTGCCGCCGAAGGTATCTGAGCTGCTTGCGCAGGGCAAGAAGGTCTAGTCCAGGGACTGTGTGGATTGCTGTGCGATTCACGGATCAACGTTCTAAGGCATCTTAGGAGTTTGCAAACATGGAGCAGGCATTTGTAAAGGTGGGGGGGAAGAGGGGGGCTGCAACGGCATCAATGTAGATATCTCGGTTTTGCGTCGATTTCAAGACCTTTGCAATCAAGACCTTTGCAATTCTATAGGCTTCCCCCATTTGCACCCCTTCTAGTTTATGGATATCATTCGCGTTGTCCATACCGCGTGGCAAACCTGAACGCCTGTGGAAAATGGCAAAAGAGGGGGGGAGAGAGGCCACCCTCTCCCCCCGATAAAGATATTTACACACCCCCCGTGCTACAACTCACATCTGCAGCGCAACAGCAGCAGGCGCCTGCTGTGCCGCCACTCCCCTCTCAGAAATGTTTTTCCGCGGCTGGGATGCCGACGACCTCGCCTCGGCCATCCTCCCGCCGGCCGCGAGCGCGGTGCTGTTGTTGCCCGCCTTCCCCTTCCCCTTCCCTTTCCCAGCAGCTTCCGCGCCGGAAGGCAGGAGCCCGAGCCTCTCGTCGACGTCGCGAGCCGCGTCTGCCAAGGCCGGGAAGCCGAGGATCTCGCACGCCTCGGCATAGCACTTTGCGTGCGTGAGGTTGCGGAAGGCGGGCTCCTTTCCGGGGACCAGGTGGCCGAGGAGGAACTTTGTGTTGCCCCACTTGTTCCCGACCTCTGCGGCGAGGGCGAGGTACCTCTCGGTGACCTCCCTCCAGCCGGCAAGGCCGCCGTCGCGGGCGCTGCGGAAGCAGCTGGGATTCCTCTCGGCTGCGGTGGCAATCATGGCGCCGTCGGCGCCGAACTCGGCCGCCAGGCGCACGGCCTGGTCGCGGTCCTCGACGTCGCCGTTCATCAGGCACGCCACCCCGGCCTCCCGGCACACGCCCGCCACCATGCGCAGCTGGCCGCGGATGGCGCGCTCGCGCGGCCGCATCGGCGTCGTCCGGCAGTGCACCGTCAGGCCCGTGATGCCCGTCGCCACGAGGAGCCTGACGAGGGCCTCGGTCTCGGCGGGGGTCTCGAGCAGCCTGATCTTGACGCTGACGCCGACGGGGAACTCTGGGGCCTCCCCCGCCTCGGCACCGGCGGTGCCGACGGCGGCGACCAGGGCGCGGAGGATGGCGCAGAGCCGGTCCGGCGTCCGGAGCAGCGCCGCGCCCATGCCGCCCGTCGTGCTGAACGGCTTGGGGCAGCCGGCGTTGACGTCGATGCCCGCGACGTCGGCGGCCACGAGGCGCGCCGCCGCCACGGCGCGCTCCGGGTCGCTCGTGCCGAGCTGGAAGATCAGCCGGCCCGCCTCTCGGTTGGGGTCTAGCCGGTAGATGACGGATTCCTTGGGCGGCGGGACGGGCTTCTTGCCCTGAGACTTTAGGCTGTTGGAGGGCATCCGCGTCCACTCGATCATGCCCGTGTCTGGGTTGACGCGGCGGGTCGTGCCGATGAGGGAGTGGTCGACGGTTTCGGGGCCTGGAGGGGAAGAAAGGGAGATGTGGTTAGCCTAGTCATGATCCGATAATGGGGTCCGGAGGGGGTTGCCTGATCGGGCGACTCCTACTCACCCCATACCAGGTCCGCGCCATAATGCAGGGCCAAGAGCCGGGAAGGCAGCTCGCCCGACCGGACCATTGGCGCGAGCACAACCTTGCCACGGTAGTCGACTCCACGGGCCGGGATCGGCACTTTCTTGGCAACCTCGGATGTCATGATGGATCGAAGATGGCGAAGGAGCATGACATCTGGAAGGGACGGCCTTTTGCGTTTGATGGGATGATGAAAGCGGAGATTTGCTATTATTTAAATGAGTTTTGAGGGACGGTCCCTGACAGCAAAAGAAACCTTGGGCCAAAAATGTTGTTGCGCCTTATCTTATCGATAAGATACGGGGCAAGTGGGGCAGGTCAGCTACCCTGTGCCTCGTACGCCAGGTGCTCACGATAATGATACTTCAAGCAGTCCGGGCTATGGCTCTATGATTAGAATGCATAACAGGTCCTATTATTCCTGGCCCTAGGGTAGCTCAATCCCCATGCGAGCTTCTCCCATTGCCCCCAGTCTCAACGAATTGGGGATGACCTTTAAGTCGACCTCCAGAGGAACAGCTATTCCGAGACCGAACTTGGGAGTTGAAGAGGTTGTACCTACTTTGTAGGCGTGATACCTAAAGCAAAAGGGCAACGTAATCCAGGAGACAGGCATGAATGGCATGGGTCGACTCGGGTAATTCTGGTCTTATACAAAATCATCTCATGGGGCTAAATTCCTAAGTAGAGCTTTTCTGCGGGGTCCAGCCACGGCTCTGCACCCAAACGACAAAAAGGAGATGCATACCTACCTACCTCGCTGAACCTACGATTGGGCTGTTTTTATGTTTCCGTATTCGTACTTATTACTTCGTACTACTCTATCTACCAGGTAGGTATATACTACTTGAACCGAGTTCATCATCCACTGCAGGGTTGGTAGTCCACGTGACGCATTTGTGATGCTTTCACGAACTGGGAGACAGGGCTAGAGGGGTTATGGGAAGATCCATATCAGGTAGGTTCCCGTGCTCTCTTGTGGGACAGTTCATTTGGCACACTGAAACCCCTCCTCTGAGCCCATCTTGAAGGCAGTGCTAGCGGCTAGTTGGTTCTATATCATTGCCGTAACAGGAACGACGAGGTCCCGACACGCCGGCGCCAGTGGTGATAGGGCTTGGAGGCCACAAGGCCGGATTCGGAGATCAGCGAGGGGAAGAATCAATGGCTGTCACCAAAGTACCGATACACCCTGGTCGAAACCCAGATCGGAGAGGGGCGCCAAATCAGGCAGTGTTGGCGCGGCCCGATGGCGTGTTGACCCGTTGGTGGGGTCTTATTTGGTCGACTGACGGCTGGCGAGTCTTCAAGGGTCTCGCCCGCTTCACGAAAAGTAGCCAATGAGAGGTCGCATATATTGGAGCTCTTTCTCCAAGTCAGAAATCAGACCATTGCTCTGACCGCATCAGGCCATTTCAAATCGTTGTTGAGGCGAAAGAGTGGCAGTCGCAAATCCAGATAACATCCCATATCGCAATTGATGTGCCCATTTTCGCCCTCAAAATCAGGCTCCTCACTGATCCTGTATTTCCTGATAGTTTGCGCCGCTCGTGCAACTTGATGTCCCCCTCCCACTCTTGTCTCCCCCGTCCAATCGCTGCGACGGCTGCGTACATAAATTCTGCCTTCAATAATCCTGGAGAGCATTTCCACTGTTCCACCATCCCCTCTGCCTCGCCTTCTCTCCTCAGGTGACTCAAGGCAGTCCCGTCGAGCACTGCCTGCTTCTCGCTTCTGTTCAAGTAAGGGCCGCCGACACAGCCTGAAGGACCGTTTCGCCCTGGGGACCTATTTTGCAGCATATACCCCGCGGGCCTCATCGATCCTGGACGAGACAATAGAAGCCACCGGTCCCCGCGAGGCTGACCTCGAGCCAATGCTCTGGTGAAATCCACGGCCATTCAGGGTTCTTTATACGGGAGTCACAGCAAACAATGTCTCCTGCAATCGTCGAGAACGGGATGGACGAGAACAGTGATCGCATGGAGACGGCCGAGTGTGTTGACCGCCTGACTCTGTTGCGGAGCATGCCCGAGGCTCCCGCAGAATGCCAGGTCTGCGTCGTTGGAGCCGGGCCGGCTGGCCTGATGCTTGCTTGTAACCTCTCTCGATTTGGTGTGAAGACGCTTGTTATCGACGACAGAGCCGATCAGACTCCTGTAGGAAGGTATATGCCGAACATCTCCGCGCCAGGGCCTTCAAGGTATGCTGACTAGCCCACAGGGCAGACGGCTTGCAACCCAAGACGATCGAAACCTTCCGGCAGATGAGGCTAGCCGACCCGCTCCTGCAGCGCGGCGTCCGAGTTTACGACATAGCTTTCTGGAGAAGTACGGCAGACGAGTCGCTCCATCGCCTGGGTCGCGAAGTTCACTACCCTCCGGTCATCGATGTCCTAGACCCGTATATCCTGCTTGTCCATCAAGGAATGGTGGAGAGCTTGTTTATTGAGGATATGAAGAAACGAGGTGTTGAAGTCAGGAGAAACACGGCGTTCGACTCGTACAGTGTCTGCGACAGCAAGAAGGGAGCCCTGCAGGTGAATTGTCGGACCAATGTTACTCAGGATCGAAAGTCGATCCTCACCCAATATCTGGTTGGATGTGGGTGCTCCACCCAGCCCCCTTTGCCCTAGAGGCTGAGCTGACACGGAGTTTCTAGGTGATGGCGCCCATTCAAAGGTCCGCAAGAGCATTCCGGATGCGCGACCCGTCGGCATGTCCCAGTCGGCAGTGTGGGGTGTCCTTGACGGGGAGTTAATAACGGACTTTCCCGACATCTGGTCGAAGACGCTCGTGTACTCTCAAGAGCATGGCTCCATTCTGATTATCCCCCGAGAGCGAAACATGACGCGGTTCTACATCGAGCTGAAGAGCGGGCCCAAGGGTGACAAGCGCGAACTGGGTCAGGAATTCGTCATGCAACGCGCCAAAGAGATCATGGCGCCATTCCAGGTCGATTGGAAATACATCGAGTGGTTTGGTCGATATCAAATCGGCCAGCGGGTTGCAAGCCGATTCTGCGATGCCCATCAACGGGCGTTCCTGGCTGGAGACGCAAGCCACACACACTCACCCAAATCCGCACAGGGAATGAATACGTCGATGCATGATTCCTGGAATCTCGGCTGGAAGATTAACTTTGCAGTCCGAGGGCTTGCGAAGCCGGCGCTTCTGGAGAGCTACGAGGCAGAACGGAGAAAGATCGCGCTGGATCTGGTGAACTTCGACTACGAGCACGCGAACCAGATTGCCGGAGGCGATGCTGTTGCGTTGGCAGAGAACTTCAAGACAAATGTGCGCTTCATCTCGGGCATTGGCGCCGAATATGGCGAGAACGCCATGAACATGCCAGAGAGCCCTGCATGGGTGATGGGAGAAGCCAAACCTGGTTGCCTTCTTCCCCCAGCCAAGGTTACCCGATATATAGATTCGAACCCCGTCGATGTGCAGCTCGACATTCCAATGTTGGGCCAGTTCCGCATCTATCTGTTGATGTGGGATGTTCACCAGTCGCGCATTTTCCTCGAGACTTTCTGCCAGGCAATAGCCACTGCCGAATCTCTAGTGAACCAGCTCTCGGCGGCCGCCAGTGTGTCGTACGCCAAGCAACCGCGCCTTCCAGCTCCTGAAGACCTGTACCTTCGACCGGAGAGGTATACGGCAGTCAGCCACTTGTTTACCTTCGGATTGATCAGTATGGTTTTCTCATCCCCCCTTTCCGTTTGCACGAGAACTGACCAGCGCACAGCGACCATGCCCAAGAGCGAGATCGAGGTCTCGGATCTGCCAGCGTTACTACAGGACAGCCGCTGGACATTCTATCTTGATAACGTCCCTGAGCAGGACACACGCGGTTCGCTCTGCACGAACAAGTGGCTGGGAAGCCTCGACCCCGGCGAAGTGGCCATCGTCAACGTCCGTCCCGACGGATATGTGGGGTCCATCGGGAGATGGGACACTAATGTTGACGACTCTGGCGAGGAAGCGGCCCGGTGGCTTGATAGCTACTACGATAGATTCCTCCAGGTCCCGAAGCAGAGCTAGAAGTTATACACTGATGTATTCAGTTCCAGCGAGGCCCCGAAAACGGAGAGTGGTATAAAGGTAACCGCAGGGTGGAGATGATCGATTCAAATATGGCAGATATAAAGCAGAGAGGCCAAGAAAAGGGGCGAACGAGGAGAAGATTTAAGAAACGCGAAGCATGGTATTACTGCTGAGGCTCTTGGCGATGGGCATGGGGAAAATCCTGGAGCGTTTTCGGTTGGCCATTTGTTTTGGTCACGACTGGCGTAATGGCGTAGAGTGTACGATGCGATATACAGGACTCCGGGCCATTTTTGGGGATTTTCGTCTTATTTTTCGGGTTTCTTGAATACCTAGGTACCTACTTTACAATCTACAATACAAGCCTACATGGATGGGTGTTTTGTGATTCGTGATTTCGTGATCATGATCGTCCCTCCTTTGCAATGAATGCATCGCCACCAAAAACTCCACCTGCCAATGACCGTAATACCGGCGCAAGCAAGAGTGCCGATTCTCCCAACGTTTCCAGAACGCGGTTACATAGTCCTGGCATTCATTAAGAGGAGAAAAGGAAAAAAGAAGGAAAGGAGAAGGAAAAAGGAGAAGGAAATAGGAAAAGGAAACAGGGGAAAAGGAAGGAAAAGAAAAGAAAAAAGGAAAAGGAAATAGGAAAAGGGGGAAAAGGAAAGAAAAAGGGGCGGCCCGTCAGAAGCGGAGGATGGCGATACGCCTCGAGTTGTCCTGGCCGATGATCCAGCGCTCGTCGCCGGCCATGGTGCCGGCGGCCATCATGTGGTGGACCCAGTCGGGGTGGAGCTCAACCATTTCGGGGCGGCGCGGCTCATCGTCGTCGTCGTCGTCAATATCGACGTCGTCATCCTGGCGGCGGGACGTTCAGGGTGACGAGGGGGGCCTCGACGACCGTGTACATGAGCCAGACGCGGGCCGAGATGCGCACGCGGGCGCCGAAGTCGAGCACCTGCGCCACGGTCATGAAGGGGAACACGTCGTGGCGCCAGCACGGGGCGTAGCCCGGCCAGCGGGTGGGCGGGGTGGAGGTGGTGTCGGCCTCGTTCCAGGGCCAGAGGCCGAGACGCCGGAGCTCCGAGGGCCAAGGGTAGGTCGTCTTCAGCACGGCCGTCGTCCCGTCGTCGCTGCCGGAGCTGGAGCTGCTCTCGTCGCTGTAGCTGCTGTCGTTGCTCTCATCGCTGCTGGTCGTGTATTCCTCGTATTCCTCGTCTCCCTGCAGGGGGGGTAGGCACATGTCTGGGTGGGGGGCGCCACCTGTCTGAGGCCCCAGGGGGTCTTAAGGGGGGCGACGTGCCGGCAGACGTTCGCCAACCGGTCGCCCTCCGCGCCGCAGATATCCACCCAGTGGGGGCCGAAGAGGCGCCTGCAACGAGGGATCGAGTCCGGCCCATCGTCGTCGGTGGTTCCGAAGGGGACGATCGGAATGCCTGTCGATTGACCATGTGGGATTGCTTCGCGGGCTCTCAGACGTGATAACCCCTAGCAAAGCAGTGATCCTCCTCGGTGAAAAATACGTTGTGCTTGTCGAACGCCAGGTGGCGGAGTTTGGGGGTGTTGCCCTGGAGTATTCTGTAGAAGTCCAGGTCGCGCTCTTGCAAGCGCCGGATGAGGACGGGTCCGGAAGGGACTTGCTGACGCGTGCCAGGCTCGGTGCCTCCTTCTCCGCCGGTAGCGTTGTCGTCGCTCCTGATACCGGTGCCGTTGTTGTTCTGAGACTGGGGCTGCAGGTGAATTTGAGACGACGTGCTAGCAGTCGACGGTAGTGCTCCCAAAAGTGACAAGCCCGTGCCGGATGCACCAGCCGCAACGACTTGGTTCTGGTTACCATTGTTGGCAACACTGGATGGCGGGTTTGGGCTAGGACAAGAGATGTCCCAAACAGAGAGCTCCTCCATAATCTGAGGGAAAACCCCTGGGTCTGGGCTCTCCCGGTGGGAGTAGACCGCGTAATGGTTGGGGGTGTGGGCCGAGAAGAAGCGATCCAAGTCGCTCAGGATGAAGCCGACGCCGTGGATCTTCCATTCAGATCCGAAACTTGACAGACCAGGTCCATTTGGGTCCGGCAATTCCCAATGGTGCAATAACCCTCACAACATCCAACGCGGTGGCGAAATGACGATGATTTCTTGTCCAAAGTTGAATCGATAGGGCATGGCTTCGGCCCAGTCGAATATCAAGACCCCGTGGTTCAGACGCACCCGCCGGATGATATTATTTCGGACGTCGAAGGGAATAACGGTATGCTGATTCGTTTCTAGGTCGAACAGCTCATAGGCGAAGCCCGTGAAGGCATTGCCTGGTTCGGCTTCAGTGCCAACGACTGTCTTGACCGGGTACACCAAGACTCCGTCCTCCTGACTGTACCACCACATGGGGTCAGGGGCCTGGAAAAGACCCTGGGCCTTGTCAAAGCGGAGGTATCGATCCCATCCCTGGACGCTTTTCCATCGGAACACTGGCTGGAATGGGTCATTCGCCGAGGCCATGATGAGCTTGTCAACCGAGAACGGCTCAGCGCGGCGAAGATTATGATATCGCCTGGCGACTGTGGCAAACGCGGCAGTTAAGTCACTCGGTTCGCGGTCGACAGTCTGGAGCTCCACCCGGAAATTGTGAGACATGGTATGGGGACCGCCTTTGCCAAGTGCATGTCCCCGAGCCGCGTTGATGAGTCGCATCTCGCGACAGTAAGGAAAGTTCAATCTCAGCAGTATTGACGACACTTGGGTGTTGGTCAAGAAGCCACGCCATCCCCGGGAGACGAGCTGGCAGCGGGTAAGCTCGCGAGGTGACAGATAAGAGATGATTTCGAGGAGGATGTGTGCTGGTAGTTGTAGCAAATCCACCTTTCCAGATTCTTGCTTCTGTCAATATAGCAACATGCTATAGAGCCAATGGGTTTTTATGGCAAGGGATGGAAGGCAGTTGGTCGCACATGTGGTAGAATGATGGGCAGAGGACAATGGAGGATGGAGGTAGATGAAACTACCTGAAAGAAAACTCACCGTTTGAACAACTCGAAAGATAATTCACTATGTAAACAACATATTCCCCGCGAGTTACCTGGGCGAGTTACCTGGGCGATAAAAACAAGAAAGCAGAGCATCACGATACTTAGACTGTTGATCGGCTTGTTGATCGGCTTCGTGGTCGAACAAGGTCCTTCTCACCCTTGTGTACGCCAGTGCCAATCCCTTGGGCCTCCTTCCTCCGCCATATGATAACTAAGCTCCTTGCCGTCATAAAAACCACCGCGAGCCACACAAGCAGTAATAGCGACAAAAAAGCCGCAAAAAGGCCCAGTAGAAGCGCGTCAAAAATCTTGGACGGGATACTCGCCGAGCCCGCCACGACCCCATGAAAGAGTAGTCTTATGGTCGACGTGTATATGGCGCCGAACCAACAACCGTAGACCAGCACAACAGCAAGGTACGCCGAGTAGAGTACAGCCCATGCATACACAGTAACACGCGGGGATGCCCAGCGGTCCCTGTTGACGATGATGTACGCTCCTCCCGCAAAGGTGATGGCGGTAAAGGCGTAGAAGGTAACGAGGTCCGGTTCATGGCACGGGAAACCAGCAAACATGTCTGACGGCACGCCTTGGGGGTGCCCGGGTCGCATGATTGAGCCGGGTGGTGGTACGATCCGAGGAAGATGCTGAGACGGGAAGTAGTCAGCGTCTCTGTTGGTTCGTGTGTGCATGATGACTGCATTCAACTGTGTCTGTCCATACCTAAGTAGAGTAGTTGAGGGTTGAGCTGGATTGGCCCGCGGCAGGCTCTGCGAGGTTCTTCTCGCAGTAATGGTTATGATGTCCTCGAGCAAATTGTGTGGTGTTTTCCTTAGGTATTTATTTATAGGTATGTGTTGTTGGTTGGAATCCGGTGTAACCCTGCGGGCCGTGGGGGGCCCAAGCTTTGCCAAGTGTAGTCAAGCTTTGCTTGCACATGCAGATTCACTAATGCCTAACCAATCACAGTTTGTTCGACTTCGACATGGGCGGCCCGGGCCGCCTCCGACACCTCCGGCATGAGAGCGATATTGATTTCTTCGCTGCTAGCTGCATCTGCAGTCATCAATCACCAGTGGAAAGTGGAAAACCATTGAAGAGTGAAAAACCGGTGGGGAATTCGCCCCTATTATGGAAGGTGTCATTCGCAGCGAAGAGCCAAACACCCATCTTGCCGTGACCGGGAATGTTGTGGCCGGGGACGAGAGAAGTATGTACCTTTACGGATCACTTGTCTCCCCACGACATGTATGCTATCCTCGGCTGCTCTATCTGCACATAAATACCAGAGTAGAAGACGGGCTTTTCTGGACCTCACTCTTCTGACAGAGTTTCTCAGATTGTGGTTCCGGGACCCCAAGTATTCGCCGCCACTACCTCCAAATCAACTGTTCCCACTTCACGACAGCCAAGTCGAAGACAAGTGCTCAATCAACTAGCAAGTACATTGCCTGAGCCCACAGATGACGGTAGCAGCATCTAACGTACGAGAGAAGGGAACCACCGAGTAATATCGACGCTGGTGCACCAACGACATAATGCGAGCTTCAAACATTCTGGTGACCGCCTTGTGCGCCACTGCGGAAGCAGCAAGCATCGGGCAATCCCCGCGCACAATCCCACATGGAGTCCATTCCGAGTACTCCTTCCACGAGTCGGAGCTGAAGCTGCAACTCCTCCTACCTTACTACGAAGAAGACGCCATAGTCAAGGTGCTAAGCAGCAACTTCACCCCGACCGTCCACTACGTCCGGCGGACCGATGCCAGCCTCGGGCTCGAGGACAGGGACATTTGCGCGAAAATCACTGACTGCGCCGGCCAGGCCGCCGAGTCGGCCGCTGCGTGGGCTGCCGTGGCCCAGGCGACCATCGGCAGCGGGTGTAACTCGATCGCCGGCGCCGTCTACGACTTCTTAGTCGCCGACGACTACCAATATGCCCGCCAGGTTCTCTTCAATGACGTTATACTTGCCCTCATCGTCAACATCATCGCCACACCGATCCAGTACAAAATAAACGCCAAGTTGGATGCCGTCTGGGGCCCTTCCAATACCAACGACGCCTGCGGTGACTCGAACCCCGAAACCTTCTCCAACAACGCCGCCAGCGCCATCTATCAGTTCTGCCGCACCATTCAGAGCGAGAAGCTCGAGCAGGCCACGACTAATTATGAGGCCATTGACGAAACGTCCACCGATGTCCCCGGGGGCTACGAGGGGCTCGCCAAGTTCTTCGTCTCCAGCCAGGCGGGCATCTGGGGCCCCATCTGTCATGATCTGGGCATCGACTGGAAGAAAAGGCTTCTCAGGCGGTTTGGTTTCTAATTGAAACAACCCGATCGCTTGCGTGGATGCGGATTGGTTGTTGCAACTCCTCGAGAAGCTAGGCGATTATTTGTAGTAGAAAGGTATATCTCATTCTCTCGACACCGCTCTTTGAAAGGCCCAATTCTTTGTTATCGCCGCAGAGTTTCCTCTGCCACATTCATTCAAGCACCTTGGTCCGATACTTATACTAACACGTACGAAGAGAACCAAGTGTAGCAGAATTGATCAAAAGGTTACCCCGAAAAGTACGTGCCTCAAACTATGATCGCATTGTGGATCCTTCTCGATCTGCCTCCTTCCCGCCTCCCCGTTTCCAGAGTAAAGGAGTCGGCCCCGAGGTAATCCGAGAAGGAAACATGGTATATGGCGGTTCCCAGAGCCCGTACCCCCGTTAACGCCGTTGGCGGTAGTAGTAGGTGGCACACCAGCGCGCTCTATGGGACATAAATATCGATCTTGGCTTATTTCCGTGTCACGCAAAAGTTCTTCCAGGTCGCGTCTGATCTCGGTGTTTAATCACGTAATGACTCCATGTTCAGCGGAGCCCAACTAGCTCGTCCCCACAAACTGACAATTTGATAAATGTGTGGTCCTGCATCCATAAATACTGTAGCCAACAGATGGGCTAAATATACGGCGACTAGCTCCCCTCCATGGAATCCTCATCGACAGTCGCGACATGGCTCTCGTTGGGTGTCACAACCGTGGGCCTTGGGGGTCTCATCTCCCAGGCAAGTGCCATCATCGATAACATGGACCCCCTCACTCGGTACGCACTGCCGAGTATCTGGGGATATGGTTCTAGCGCCAGGCCCATTTCCCATGGTGGCGTCTAGTACGGCCGCCTCCTGACGGCCCCGTAATATCGGCAAAGCTGTTCGAAGGCTTCTGTGGGAGGAATACCTTATACCTCACTCGCGTCACTCTAAGGAAGGTTGGCCAGGCCGGCTGGTCCGTCGTATTGTCCATCATTCTGCCTCACCCAGATGTGCCGCCGTCCCGCCACTTATCTTCCAGCAACCTCGTCGAGAAGGCCACAACGAAGGCAGCGGAATATGAGATTTTGGCCAGCGATCTCTACAACAGCAACAAGCAGCACTGGAAAATTTCAACCGGGATTTCCTGGCCCAGCGTCCCCTCGTACGCCACCAGTCTAACAACGCCTGCGTCACCATATCGCGCACCACCCTCATCACCACCATGTGCATCACCAACGCCCCCAAGGTGTTCACCGACACCGCCGGCTTCCCCGCCGGCTACGGCTCCTACAGCGGGCAGTGGTAGCTCACCTGGCCCATCGGCCAGGAGGCCATCGTCAAGTTCGCGCCCGACGACTCGCACAGCGCCGCCACCGACGTCTACCCGCCGAGTTTCGTACAGCGTGTCGATCGCTGCGTAGAGATGCTAGCCGGCATTATCGCTGCGCGTGGCGGTGCTGCTGGTTTCCAAGTTGCCTTCTGTGGCCGCAAGCCCGCGGGGAGATAGTTCTCTAGCACCAGCCGAAGGGATTCGCAGGCGCTCATGGGAGTCGGCACTTGTATAACATGATGGGCGGCAAGGTGTACAAGGTCGACTTTATGTTCGCGCGCCCCGTCAACCCTGGCCCGGCCAACGCCCTGGATTTCTCCCTGCTGCTCAGGTTTCCGAGCACCGACAAGGGCGGTGTGGTGGAGATGGTGATACCCCCCAAAGAAGAAGAATTTATCAAGCAAGCGCTTGACTGCTTGCCCTGGGCACCTCTATCTTGGAGCATCCACCGCGGGATGAGGGACATCCTGGTTGTCTACGCAAAGCCCGTGATGGACTCCTATCGCGGGCAGCTTGCAGCCAAGCTCAAACGCTTGCCGCAGAGAGGCCGGCTGTCCTAGACGGCAGAGGCTGGGATCCGACATTCGTGCGTGAGAGCTTGGGAGATATGGCTGCCTCGGCTGTGATGGCCGGGAGTGGGAACTCGGGAGATCTGGTTCGGGTCGTCACCGAGAGATCGTGCTGGCTATGGCTGGCGACCAGGACCTTTCTTATCTAGATGACGAGACCTTTTGGAGACGTGACGAGCGCGAGGGAGACCTGCAATTGCAGGCGTGATTGCCTTGACCAAGTTCGTTCTAGAGCGGAGCAGCGAGTTCGATTATCAGATATATCACGAGCTTTCCATCTCAGTTTACTTTGCCTAAAGTAGAGAGACTAGATGGAGCTTAATCTTTGCCCTTGCTGAGCAGTTCTTCTGCTATATAATAAATAAACAAAACTCGAGCCGCGACGGCGAGAGACAGTTCGAAAGTAATCAACAATAGATACTAATACTTAGTATCTTTAATTACAGTGACAAGCTGTTAAAGTTCAGCAGTTAAGACGTGCAGATGTCACACACCCTGCCCCAAGGCCCTCCTATTTCGTCAGCTGGCGCTGGCCCTATACGACGACGTCGTCGTCGTCGTCACACACCGTCAAGGTTTAACCTCCAGCTATTAAGGTTCAGCCTTGTTTGCTGGCCCGCTCGTCACTCTGACTCCGAAACTGTGTGACTCAGACGGCGACTTAAGGTTCGGCGCCTCCGACTCAACAGTTTCATAAACCCGGCGCTGTCCCTCGACCGACCAGTCTCTCTCGTCATAACCACAACCAATCATGTAACCTATCATAAAAGACATCCAGTCATGTCCTTGCAGGGATGAACGTGATTTATGGACCAGCACTGGTGTCTATCCCTTTGGCTGTCATTGCGCACCACGAGGGGGGTCAGCCAGCATTCAGCAAATCACGGCTCCTTAAACCAGGTTCCTACACTAACCACCAACATCGGTAAGTAGTTCCCGTGACAGCTAAAGGGATAGTTACAACTACTGCTATATAGAGTAAATAGGGTTAGAAGGGGGAAAAAAGGGACAGTGTAGGAGTCAAACCCACTGTAACGGGTCGTAGGACCCAGGCCGGCAGCGGGACGGAGGCATGGGGGTGATTAGTCTGACTTGACTTATACAAGGTGGCTAATTGGCACGGGTTCTGACAGAGAGGGCGGTTGCGACAGTATTGCTAGTAATTTAGGTAGGAAACTGTCCCAAGTAGCTTCTCAGTCAAAACGTCTATTAAAGCCTGCTCTCGTAAACCTTTGGGCAGGTCCATCGCGGTCTTTAACTCAGGGCTGCCCAGGGGTCCCTACGCAGGCCTCCTGCGGGGACCCTGTAGGACCGGTCGACCAGGCCAGCTAGACCTTCCTACCCTGCAAGGCAGGACCATACTGATTACAAGGCCTTCCAATTGAAGGCTATGCTTGCGCTAATCACTTGAAGCCATTTTATATGGCAGACTAAGCCACCTTGGCCACTAGGCTTTCCTAGGCCCTGCGTGTGTACTGGCACTGGTTAAATGCACTTGAGGGGGGGATATTGTTAGCCCCTACATGACGATACACGTAAGCCCTGACAAGATTCCAGGCGCATAGGCTCTCCCAAGTAGGGCAGTTAGATAGGTAGTTTAGCTGTGGATTTCCACGTATATAGAAATCCACCACGCATCACACACAACAAGAGGTCTACAGGTAAGGCTTACGCGTACTTTGCATACCATTATACCCTGGAATGCTTCCATACCTGTACCTGCCTACAGTACTAGAGGCTAGGATTTAATGAGGGGTACTTAATGACGCTGGCGAGATGGTGTCCTTTCCCATTTTCTGTATGTCGCAACATCAAGATATCACCTGACGAAGATCCGTTGCCCTCCTTTGGCTCCTTGACCAATGTTTTGTTTTGCTCCTCCCACACCCTCCTTTTTCAGCTTGCTTCAATATAACATTGAGAAATCAATAATTGAGGTTCTCAATTATGGCTACAGAAGCCAGGGCTACTCGGAATCGGGAAGATGAACAGCCTCCTAGGCGGCCGCACGAGCAATCGATGCTCTACAAGGTATGATGTCATCCTTCCCGAGTCCTCGGTCCGGAATGGGATGCATTGGCTTTCTTCCATACCTACCTACCTACCCACGTATCTACTGAGTATGATATCAAGAGGCCGCTCGACCCATTAACTTTGGTCACAGGCGGTCATGACGCCCATCGTCTTTGTAACTTTCCTCTTCTCTCTCATCATGGTTGACTACCGATATTCGGTGATGCGCTCGCACTATCACGCCGAGAACCCAAGCCGCCTACCGACCTGGTTGCATCGCATCGTTTATCGCTATCAGCCATATGAGTACGTCGTTGTCGACGAGAACGGCCGGCCCACTGGGCAAAGCGCGGATCCTCGCTTCCTCCACAGCAAGCAGCGCGAGCTCATGAAGATGGAGGTCACCGATGCATTTGAGGTCCGGAGTACTGTAATGTTTGTCCTTGGTCTCATAAGCCTGCCCTTGATCTGGGGCCTCTGGCGAATAGCAAGCTGGGTTGTCGGTTCGATGCTGGCCAAATAATGACTGGTGCACTTGACGGTTGATATCTGCAGCTGCCGACGATGTGACGGTCCGCCAGGCAACATGCAGTTGCGGGATGTCTTGTGAAGTCGGCTTGCCCGGTTATGAGAATGGATATTAATCCGTTTCTAGACCTTCATTAGGAGGGAACAACCTTATAAATTTGTCCGAACTGCGTTGGGATTGGGGCAATGATCTCGCCGGCTCCGAGGGTGTAATTAGATAGCACAAGCCTACCTATTTGCAGGTTGTCCTAGAAGAGCTGACTGATCTAGGTTCTCCGCAAAGAGGTGGAGGAGGTATATACTGTACCTGAAATCCAGCTAAAATATCTGGCTACTAGGTACCTCTAGGTAGGTAGCTACTCCCAATGCGAATGGGCTTCTCTTCACAAAGCAAACACAGGTTGACAAAAAAAAATATTAAGACTGTACTGACTGTAACTTCATACTACGAATCAAGCCAAGTTGAGGGAATTCTGATGTTGGATCAATGTGGACCGTGCGATGCAACAACTTTGGTAGGCGCCCTGGTGTTTCAATCGGCCTGACTTTCGTCCGCAGTTCCTGATCGCGATGTTTGCGCCGGATAGTCCACGTCCCGCAATACCGAACTGACGTATCTGTGGACGCTCATTGCGAAAAGGATTATAAAACACTGGACAAGTTCCATTCTAGATCAACTTTCAGATCCAATCATCTTAACATCATCTCCCATCAAGGACCAACAACCTCTTTGCTCATTGAGCTCTGGATGCCATTGGGGAGAGACCAGAAATACAAGTCCGGCCTGATACTTCAAGTTGGTGACAGCTCTGAAGTCGAATATACAACTGCGTTCTTGGGTTAAGCCCGGATCCTCCTTCAGACCTCCTGTCCCATAGATCACCATGGGTTTACCGTGGCGGGTTATATCGGGGACGTCCCTCGTATGCTCTTATCTTGCCACCTCCCGCGAATCGGATTGGGCGGTGCTGCTGTTCGTTGCGAAGTTCGCCGCAGCATGGATTGCCCAATTCTTCCTCTGGGCAGTCTGGGCAGTCTTGCTGTGGCCGAAGCTCTTCTCGCCTCTGCGCGGTCTTCCCGAACCCAGCAACAACTCTTTTTTGATGGGCCAGTATGACAGGATAGCTTCCGAGCCCACGGGCTCCCCCATGTTGGACTGGTAGGCAACCCCCCTTGAGGAACTGGAGTGTGTCGGGAGGGAATGATGCTGATGAGATCCGATTCAGGATCAACACAATCCCCAATGATGGCATTATCAGGTACCTATCGCTGTTGAACCAGGAACGGATCCTTCTCACCTCGCCCAAGGCCTTGGCCGAGGTCCTGGTGACTAGAAACTATGATTTCCCGAAGCCGGAGCAGATGAGATACAGCATCGGCCGGATACTTGGCGTAGGCGTCCTGCTTGCCGAGGGCGACGAGCACAAGATGCAGCGCAGACACCTGATGCCCGCCTTCGCCTTCAGACACGTCAAAGATCTCTATCCCGTCTTCTGGGGCAAGTCCCGCGAATGCGTACAGGCAATGACCGACAGCGTGTTGCGGGACTCCACGAAGGAGCCCCAGTATCAGGACGCCGCCGCCGTCGACAACGAAAAGGCGGGCGAGAAGCTGCCTAGCGGCACAGCTGTCCTGGAGGTAGGCAGCTGGGCCTCGAGGGTGACGCTCGACATCATCGGCGTCGCAGGGCTGGGCCGTGATTTCGGTGCCATCAAGGACCCGGACAACGAGCTGACCCAGACGTACGCGCGCATCTTCCGGCCTTCCAGGCAGAGCCAGATCTTGGCCCTGCTCGCGCAGTTTATCCCGGGCTGGATCGTCAACCTACTCCCCGTCAAGCGCAACGAGGACATCGGCCACGCCGTCAAGGTCATCCGCGCGACCTGCCGGGACCTGATCCAGCAGAAGCGGGTCAAGCTCGCGAACAAGGAGCCCGCCGACCCCGACATCCTCTCCGTGGCGATCGAGTCGGGCGGCTTCAGCGACGAGAACCTCGTCGACCAGCTGATGACCTTCCTAGCGGCGGGCCACGAGACGACCGCCTCGGCCATGACCTGGGCCATCTACCTGCTCTGCACGCACCCGGAGGCCCAGGCCCGCCTCCGCGCCGAGGTGCGCGAGCGCCTCCCCTCCCCAGCCGACGCCGCGGCCTCCGTCTCCAGCGTCGACGTCGACCACATGCCCTACCTCAACGCCGTCTGCAGCGAGGTCCTCCGCTACTACAGCCCCGTGCCCATGACCCTCCGCGTGGCCGGCCGCGACACCACCATCCTCGGCCACAAGGTCCCCAAGGGAACCCGCGTCATGCTCACCCCCTGGGCCGTCAACAAGTCCCAGGACATGTGGGGCGCCGACGCCCTCCGCTTCGACCCGGAACGCTGGCTGGGCGGCGGCGGCAGCGGCGGGGCGTCCAGCAACTACGCCTTCCTGACGTTCCTGCACGGGCCGAGGGGCTGCATCGGGTCCGGGTTCGCAAAGGCCGAGTTCGCCTGCCTGCTGGCGGCGTGGGTGGGGCGGTTCGAGTTCGCGCTCAACGACCCGGAGCAGGCGGACGAGCGGAAGCTGGACATCCGGTCCGGGGTCACGGCGCACCCGCGGAAGGGGCTGTATGTCAAGGCGAAGGTTGTCGAGGGCTGGTGAGGGCCGGTATCCTCCCCCTCCACCTTTCTTTTTCTTCTTATTTTTGCTTGGGTGTAGATACGGGTGAGGGCGTCTTCTCTCTTTTGCATATACGGGATCATGGGTTTCTGTATACAGTTTCACTGTCGGGCGGCTCTGTGTACATGTGATTGCTACATTACTCACCTCATCTTCTACAACTGGACATCCTCTTTCGGTTGTCAAATTCCGGCCGATGTATTCAATTCGTACCTGCGCTAGGTAGTTGCCATGTGCAACATTGACTTGGCCAGCGCCGATTGAACTACTGTGACATGCTGGAATGGAAGACCGATGGGTTTCGGGAGTGACGACATGATCGCCAGTGAAAGATCGGAGCAACAAATAGGACTATTTCCTTGTCACGCGGAGTTGGAGGTCTTGGCGAGCTGGCACCGAAGTCGAGACCCTTTGAGAAATATCCCTCCCTTGGAAAAGATAGTCTATGACCTGGAGCCTTCTCGAGTAACACGGCCTTTCCTCCGAGGGCCAAACTGCAAGTTCACGCCGACGGCGACTCATCCATTATTCGATAGAGGAAAACGTGACAGAACTTGCCGCCTTGGCCTCCACGAGTGGTTTAAGGGGGTGGACGAGCAGACGCGGCTCACTGAAACCATGAGAGTCAAAACCCTTTTAAGTCTAAACCTAACACCAGCGCTCAGCGCTCAGCTACCCGTGAAATGACACCAGGGAGAAAGACCCAAGACCAGGGCCAAAGCAGCGCCTTGGCTTCAGTTGCCCATCCGCTCGTCGTAGCAAAGGGGGTAGTCTCAGGGGGAATAACTTCCTTCCCCCCCACACACACATTGACCTGGCAGCTAGCTGCTTGCACCTCCGTTACCTAGGTGGAAAGCATCCGATCCGAAACCATCGAGCCCCGCACCAGCCGATGTAGCTCAGTAGCTGATCTCCCTCTCTCCCTCGAATAGATAGGACCATGGGAGCTAGTGAGTGGGTGGTGCTTCCCGCCCGAACCTTGAGATCAACTCCACCTCAGGGCCGGGCCTTTCCCTGCCCTGCTGCTAATGCCCTGCCAGGTTTTCCCGCTGTTGGTCGCTTGGAACAAGCGCGGGAGGCGAGAGAGAGGGCGGGCGCAGCGAGCGGGAAGGACTCAGGGAAGGGGGGGTGAGATGGAGGGGTGGGGATGCGGGGGGGGGGGGGCCAAAGCTCGGTTCATCCCTAGGCTGTCCTTGTGGCGGGCGGGCAGGATCAGCTGGTGTTTGCTCTCCTCTTTTTCCTTTTTCTTTCTCTCTCTCTTTCTATTCTTATCTTGCCCAGTGTGGTGGGTGTGTGAGGCGGTGTGTATGTAGGAACAAAAAAAGAAAAGGGCTTGAAACATGCCTCGCTCTTGATCTCTGGCCCTCCCGAGCGCCGGGCCAATTGAGAGATGGCGTTCCCTGATTTGTTTCAAGCCCAATAATGACTTGCATTTAAGACCTGCGAAGTGGGCTGCGGCGCTGGGGCGCGCAAGGCTTAATTGATTGATTCTGGGCCTGCACTATGACCACCTCTGTCTCACCAATACTGGAAGGGGGGTGTGGGGGGAGGGGCGAGGGGGTTGTCCGTTGCGCCGCTCGGTCATGGCACTGGGAGTCCGTCATCAGACTGTCTGCAAGGGCTTTGGCTTTATTCTTCTTGGGGGGGGGGGGGCAGATACAATGCATCTCCCCTGCGTTACAGGAACCTTTTCTTTTTTCTTGGTAGTCGAACCCGCCTAGAGCAAAGAGGGGGCTCAAGTGTCTGCAGCGAGGCGCTCCAGGTAAACCGTCTACTTGCCCTTGGCCTGGACAGTGAAAGTGGTCAAAGGCGAATAGTTGGACTCATAGCTGGACAGTCCGTTTTGTAAAGTAAATAAACCCAAGTTAAACTGTCAGAGCAACTAACTAGATCGTAATGTGATGGCAAGTATCCAGACGCCGTGGGCGCTGAATTAACCGCGGGATATCATAACGCGAACCAACCTAGTAACCAACGCCTATCCTGTCAAACCAATATGACCCCCGTTTCCCCAGTTTCCCCCGTTGCCCCTCGGGGCCAGTATAATCATACATATTAGTACGGATACAGAGTAAGAGGTGGTGAGAAAGATAGAAACAATGCCGCAGTGGAGGTCACCTCCAGGTCCCGTGTATCTTCCCTCGCCGACTATTCCTCTTCAGCCCGATCTCGCCATTGATCATGAGGCTCTTCCACCGACGCCCGACACTTCCCCGGTCCTTGCCCAGACTCCTTGCGCAGTCCTGCCACTCTGACTTGCTCAGCTTCAGCTTCTCCAAGACCAGCTCGACCAGGATGCGGTCGTCCTCGGTGCTCCAGAGCTCTCCATCCTGCTCCGCAACAACATCCGTTCCCTCTTTCTTGCTCTCATCATCCTTGAGGACGCCATCTGCATGGAGCGTATGGTAATCCGAGCGCTCCAAGCCCAGGGGTAGCACCTCCGGGGCGATGCGCGCGCGCTTTGGTGTCTGAGGGCGGGGAGGCAAGGGTTCCGCCTCCTCTGTGCCCTCCCTCCCATTGCCGACCCAGTTCGCATTGTCGCCTTGAAGGTCAAAGTCGCTCTCCTCGCCATCATCGTCTCTGCCCATGTCGTCGTCGAGAGCCCGACGGCGCTTGTTCGGTCCCCGAGTTGGCGCGGGGCGTTTGACAATCCTCTTGCGCACCACCAGATGGTCGCCGCTCGTAACTCCTAAGCCAGTGCTCTCCGGCCTGTGTGATCGCAGGCGCAACTTCAGCGGCGCCGGCGCATGCGCCATCGGCGGAGTAGGCAGCTGTGAGTGCGACGTCGTTGGTGGTGTAATGGGCTCAGCCAGTGGTGCGGGAGCTGCGGGAGATGCGAGGAGAGCTTGAAGAGAGCGGCATGTAGTGAATATGTTCCCGATTGCGTTCTGGGTCGAGAGCTGGGGTGGGCTGGCAGGCGGCGAGGCGAGCAGTGCTGCCGACTGAAGGCGTGTGACTGGCGCCTGCGACGAATGCGACGGGTCGCAAGAAAAAGCCGAGGGGAGCAGCATGGTGCTAAGCGCAAGAGTATGCTCGCCTCGGTCTTGTAGTGGTTGCGACAGTGAAAGGAGGGTTCGTTGAGGTTAAACGAGTTTGGGAAACTGCTTGTCCAGCTGAGTCGTGCGGTTGAACGGCGGCGATGCGCGCAATGCGAAACGAAATGGATGGGTGTCGAGAGTGTTTGCGCAGGGGACGGAAGGTAAATGGGGTGTTCAAATACTGCTACAGTGAGCAGGGATGAGTTGCGACTGCGATACTAGGAACGAGAATTGTGTATATATATAGCGGGTGGTGAGAGTTCGCGATCCCAAGGTCAGCGGAAGGTGGGCGGTGGGCGGGAGAAAAAGGCGGGAGAAGAGGGAAGCCTGGTGTGGGCTGGGAAAGGCCTGCGAGATGTTCGCAAAGGATTAATGCGCCTAATATGGACAAGCCCATGCGGAAAGGCGACCCACAAATACCCACAACTGGTCCCACAGGCCCACATGATGCTCTTGAAGGGGCGCACTCTGCCCAATAATGGAAGCTCTGACCTCCATGAGGCCCCTCCTGTACAGTACATTGCAGGAGTCCTGCAAGCACTTAAAACTGCCCAAAGAGGTACACGCCGGGAAGGTATTGCGCACCCCCTCTTGCCAGGGGTGTTAGTATGGATGGAGGTCTGGTCAGGTACCTGGGAGGTAAGTAAGGGGAAAAAGCCATCAAATATGAGCACACCATCCACGACGGCGAGCTAGAGAATAGGTACAAGTGCTGAGACTTTGTCTAATCTAACCGTCGATCATAGATGGAGAGTCCGGGCCTTCTGTCTGGAGCAGCCGGTATTTGAGATTCCCTTGACGATCTTAACAAGACCGAGTCTGTGGATCGGGCTGCAGATGTGAACGACAGGATGGGGGTTCTCGGGTTACCCTAAGAAGATTCACCTAGGTACGGTCCGGTATTGAAGGCAACATCCTAGCCTCTGCGTCTTCCGCCCCTCTGATGGGTATGGAAGGCGAATCCCTACCCTTTCTGGTCACCTTCCCAGGTAACCACGTACACTGGCCCTCCTATCCCGGGCAATCCAAGGAGGAACCATGTAGGCTACCTACCTTGTTGGTGGAGTTTAAGGGCACCGCTGATGTGGACTAGTGTATTCCTGCAGGAATTATGTGGACGCACAGGAGGTGACAGGACCCAGGCACACAGGCAAGTCCAGTGGCTTGAGGCCTGTGCCCCCATGGTAGACGGGAGACCAGACTTCGTATGCGCCCTGTTGGACGCCATCGAGTCACAAGCTCTCCAAATAAATTACATATACAGCAAACGGCACCCTCCACGACCCCGGCTCGATCGGAGAACGGCTGGCCGGTAAATATGCCGGGTTATAAGAGGACTGAGCCTGGTTGACAGTCCATGTTGTGTTACCTGGGAATGATCAATGTCGTTGCGTCCCTCTTTTAGCCGCTCATTACGTTTTCGAAGGCGTCGTGATAAGACATCGTACCTCCGGCCCTGACGTCGAGATCCAGGTCTCTTTCAGGGCCTGAAGAGACGAGCAATAAGGGGTGCCCTAACCAGATCGTCGCCAAGATCATGACCCGCAGTTAAACCACTTGTATGTACATAAAGGTCGTAATTTAACGCAACAGCCAGTGCTGGCGCCCCGTCCCCTTGCCGTCGATGCAAGGCAAACGGGATGGTGTGGGCGACTCAGCGACGATATCCATGGGAGCGTTTCGAAGAGGCGGTAATTCGCAGATGACCCATTGCATCTAAGAGGACCTGCCCTCTCTATGTCAGGTGTCCTCTCCCTTCTCCCTCCCTCTCCCTCTCCAGCTAGGAGAGACCTTGTGCATTGTAGTAAGACACTTGTATGGCCGCTCTGTCGATTCTCGGTGAAATGCGCCCCTGAGGTCTTCCGAAGGCGAATTCAGATGCAGTTGTGGCCTCTCGCAACCCCCGGCCACCGAGGAAATATCAAATATCACGTTCAAATTATTGTCTCCAGCGGAGAGCAACGGGCTTGCAGCTGCAGGAAGATAAGGTATGTATCTCAACTGCAAGTCATCCTACAAGCAGGTGCTGCAGAGAGCCACAATTTCAAGAGTGCATGGGCAGACAGGGCGCCTTGATTGGGTGATTCTCTCAAATTTTTACCCGGGTCATACCCAACCCCTCATCAAGCCGACGGCCTTGATCACAACATCGCGCCTTTTGCGCCTCCCTATTTCCCGCCACGTCCTTAGGCGCCACATTTACCGTGTACACGGCTTGTTCCTACGGGCCATTACACTATATCTGGAAAGGAGTATAACCGCAGCTAAATCTGGATTGTGCAAGATACTATCTGGACATTGATGGAGACCGAGCATGGTCCGAGTGCTACAGGGAAAGAGCACTAAACACGAAAAAGACGCGACGCGACGCGGTTGACTTGCAGGTTTAATTAAACTCTTATCCAATTGACCAACCACATTGCTTCTGACGAAGGTGGCTTGTCACTTGCAGGGCGAGGGTGCCTGCAGGTGGCCCTGACCACATTGTGGCCCGCCCTTCCGCTGCTGGGGGCCCCACCCTCTCACCGCCGGATAACCACAGATGAAGGCAAGGTTATTGCCTGCCCCTGCAATAGTCAAATCTAGACGGGCTTCAGGATATGTACCAACGCTGCAAGACAGAACCTTAAGTTGCGATAGTTTGCAGTTGATCTCGCTCATTGTCCGAAATGATCGTCGGCAAGCTAACAATAGGTAGGCTTTGTGTGGGCTGGGAAACGGGGAAACCGGAGGAGTGCCTTGGCAACAAATCCCACGTCCAAAGACCTGAGTCCCGTGGTGCTGGGACGACGACCCTTGTTGCACATCTCTCCATGGCCTGTTCGCCTATGCGTAGAGGCTCTCAGATCATTGTCAAGCGATGATTCATCAGGAGGTAGTCTCCTCTAAACCCACTTCCTCAGAAACGGCCTGCTACTGCAACGACATGGAAGTCATGCCTGTTCAGAAAGCATGCGTATTCGTCGGTCAAACTGCTGGGAGCCAACAGAGATATTTCCATTCTTCGCTGAAATGATCCGCGTCAAAGGGAACAGGGAGCGCTTCCATAGGTGCTTTACTAGGTTGGTTTCAAGAGTTATGGTCCAATCTTTCGTTACTGGAGGTCTAAAACTTCGGATCTCTCTTTCTATCTATTCATCTCTCCCTAGACCATCTCGAAGTGTGTGTGTGAAACTTCGGGTCGAGAGTCCTCGACAGAGAGCATGCGAGGGAATGAGTGTCCGGCTCTATCTAAACTTTGGACAGTCATATCTTCGCTCAGTTGAGGTATTCCACATTATGCCTTGCCAAACTCTGCAAGATCTCGCTTGGCGATGCCCTCTCATAATCAACGCTTGCGAGCATACATCGAAAACTCTTCTGTTCATCAAAGAACCTGTCCTTCGTCGACGCTATGTAGGGAGCTTCCAGGTTACATGTCCTTACATGTCCTTGAATAAAGCCACGTTGGGCGCATTGTTGACAAACTGTATCAAATTTGCTTCCCGTGAGGTACACATAGATGCTTTCGGCTGTGTCTAGGTTTTGACAGAACCCAGGAAGCTTCGACACAGATAGACAGTTTTGCCACCCTTTGCCTCAGTTAATGGAGTCATGCTTTCTCCGTTATACTCTTGGTTGGTTCATCAGATGGAGGAAGCTTAAACCTCTTGTGTATATATACCTACCTATGTTCACTGCTGCCCATTTCTCTAGGTACTCACTCGCATTATCAGACTACATTCAGGGATCTAATCACAACCTCCTCCTATTCACGATCTCCTAATCACAACCGCCTCCCAATCACGACCTCCTCCCAATCACGACCTCCTCCTAATCACCACCCAATACCTTGCATTTCGCCCTCTCCGGCGTATAGCATCTTGGTCTTCTCCATTCACTCCCATATTTCCTCCCACCCTAAAAAGTGAGTCAGCGGTGATACACTTTACTCAACCACCCTAATCTTTTTGATGCCCCATGATAAATAGGGTTCCTCGCCCTCGTCCTCTGTTCCCCGGTCTTTCCTTTCTCCCCCAATACCAGGGGACTGTTGTCTTGCTTTGGCTGACTTCTGTTGCCCTTCTTAGCGCGCAGTTCCCTAACTTGCTTCAGGCAACCCACGATTCCCCCCCCCCCAAAAAAAAAATTGGTCTAGTTGCAACTCTTAACTGCCTGACCCAATGGGCTTCTATAACCGGCCTGCACTGGCACGAGGCCAGGAGGCGTACTGGACGACAAGAGCCGACAACTCTAGCAATGGCCATCATGGTCAGCCGGTGCCTTCGACCCCATTTATCTCGACTCATCCATATCATGGAACGGCTCCCACGCTGCCCCCTGTGCGCTCGCTTCTCCTCCACGGGGCCCACGCACGAGGCCGCCAGGTCCACAGTACCCATGGATCCTGGAAAAAAATATCCAACCGCATAGCCAAATGCGACTGCTGCGAGAACCGCTGCTCCGGTGTTGGGCAGCAGTGCACTGACTGCGGCGCCAATGTCTGCCACGCCTGCGCCGTCTCGGGCAGGTGGCTGGGCATGGGCAACCACCACATGAATCTCTCCGCCCTAGACTGGAGTCTAGCGCCGTCCAAAAAGAGTAGGCCAGTACAAACCGGTAGCTACGCGAAGGGGGCCACGAGCGCTACCGCGACATCAGCAGGTCGAGGCAAGCGAGCGCGACCAAATGCCACCCACACTGGCGCCCGCCCTTCCAAGCGAAAGGCTTCAGGGCCGGCGGCCACATCTAGCCAGGAGGGACCCCTGAATCAGACGGCGAAGCGTTCGAAGATCTCTGACAAGGTGACGGAATACAACGCCGATGCGGGTGCCGCCGACCACCACTGGCCGGCCGAGCTGGGCCGCTTCCCCGACTGGCTCCTCGATCCGACGCCATCGACCACCTCATCGGGGTCTGTGACCGTCGCGGCGGCGGCCGACTCGCCTCGCCTCGCGGCGGCGACGACTCTACAGCGCATGAAGAGCATGCACGACCCGCCGCCGGGAAATATTGCGACCGGCGACAAGGGCAAGAAGGAGGTGGAGGGTTACAATATCGACCCGATGCTCTCGGCCGGCAGCCAGGACACCTCGATGCTTCGCACCGGTTGTAGCGCTTGGCGCTGGGAGATTTAAACGCGGCTGGTTTCACAAACAGTTTTGTTAGGAACAAGTGTGGATACCTATATCACGTATAGCCACCCTGAGGAGCAACTTCCTCTACCTAGGTATTTGCCTACTTAGGCTGGGCAGGTACCTAGGTAGGTAGTTCCATCGAGCACAGCGCAGGAAACAAGAGTTCGTTTTTCCTACCGTGCTTTCCTCAGTAACGATGTCTATGATCGGTCTACTAGAAAAAAAGAAAAATATAGGAAAACCCCCTTTTAAATTGAAAAACAAAAAGAAAACCCCCTATTTAAAACCTCACGACCTATGAACAAATCTAATCAACCCCGTCTTAGATCTCATCCCCCAGAATCAACTCAATCAGCTTTTCCTTCTCGGCGCTCTTCTCCACAAGCCCCCAGAACGCCCCAGTCCCATCACCATCCCCGCCGCCACCGCTCTCGTCCTCCCCGCCGACCCGCGTGCCGCTCCCACTCCCGCCGCTGCTACTAGCCGATTCGTCGTCTCCGTCTTCGCCACCACCACCGCCGCCGCCGCCGCCGCCTCCCCCATTAGCCCTCGCCATCCCGGCCAGCAGCAGCTCCCTCGGCGTGCCCATCTCGGCGACCCTGCCGCCCTCCATGACGAGCAGGCGGTCAAAGTCGGCGACGGTCGAGAGGCGGTGCGCGACGACGAGTACCGTGCACCCCGCGGCCGCGAACTCGCGCCGCAGCGACGCTTGGATGGCCGCGTCGGTGCCGCGGTCGACGGCCGACGTCGCCTCGTCGAGGACCACGATCTTGGGCCGCGACAGGAGAGCGCGCGCGAGGCAGCACAGCTGGCGCTGGCCCTGGCTGAGGTTGAGGCCGCCTGTTGAGATCGGGTGCGAGAGGTTGGTGAAGATGTTGGTCGCGTTGTTGCTTGCCGTGCTGGCGTCGGGCTCTGTGGGATCTACGGGCGCGGGCCCGTCAGTGCTGGCGACGGAGGTCCCGTCGGGTGAGGTGGCTTCTGTCGTGTCGGCCAGAGGAGCTGCAGCCACGGCGGACGGCTCCTCCGTGACATCGGCTGGAACATAGGTGCTTGGTCGCTCCGGATCTGGGCCTTGGGGTTCGACCAGATGGACTCGCTGCAAGGCGAGCTCCAGGTCATAATCATCGAGCTTCCCTTCCATATCCAGGTTTGAGCGCAGGGTCCCCGAGAACAGGAACGGATCTTGCGGGATGATGGCGAGTCGGCTGCGCAATTGTGCCAGCTTCAGGGTGGATATGTCGATATTGTCGATCCGCACCGACCCCTGCTTGGGTTCGAGCAGCCGGAAGAGCACCGCGGCGAGAGTAGACTTGCCGGCTCCCGTCCGTCCGACGACCCCTATCCGTTCGCCAGCCTTGATGGTGAAGTTGACGCTCTTGAGAACGTCAGGTAGGTCCTCGGCATAGCTGGCTGTCAGGTTATCAACCTCGATCCTCCCTTCGGTTGGCCATGCTGCAGGCGCATCGTCGCCCCCCTCCGGTTCCGTCTCGATCTCTGCATATTCCAAGATACGCTCCGCCGCGTTATAGCCTAGTTCGACGGACGTCATGCTCTGGAGCAACGTCGTCAAAGCACCAGTGTATCTCAGCGCAAATGTCAGGCTAAATCCGGCTAGGGCAGCGTCCACGCCTCCGATGGCGACGGCAGTCGCCACGACCGTTACGAAGACGGCGCCGAGGGCGCCCATTCGGAACGTCATCCAGCGAGTCGCGATCTGGAGTGCCCAGCCTGCCTTTGCGTTGTCGTCAATAAGGGCGTACATGCGATTCATGTAGAAGTTGCTCCGGCCAAACGCTCGGATCGTGGAGAGACCGGACAGGACTGAGCTGAACTGGTCGTAGATGGGCGAGTGCGAAGTCGAGTTAAGCCTCTTGATTTCGCGGGCCGCGTTGATATACTCGCTGGCTATGCGGGCGTAGAAAACCAGCAGAGCAAGCCCGACGAAGATGATATAGACAGACACGGACAAGCTACATAATCTAGTCAGCGCCATAGATCTTCAGGGGAGTTGTTCTCATACATACCTTGTCCCGACGATAATTAGCAAACCAAAGATGTTTTGGATGAAGCCAAAGGTCTCGGGCGCCAGCCGCTTGTCAACAACAAACGTGTCCGAGGTGAAGCGGTTCAAGATCCTGCCAGAGGGTATCGTATCTATCCAACGCAGGGGAGCCCGGAGGATGGCATGGGTGAGCCGTTGGAATAGCACCTTTGCCGCCCTCAAGCCCACGACGAGAAGAGCAAGTACTCTGACGACTGTCGCAATGTTGCCCAGGAAGTATAAGACGACGTATGTCGTCATCCAGAAGGCGACGTCGCGCTCTGAGTCGGCAGCGATGCGGTACTCGGCCTTGCCGAGATATACCTGGGAACTAGTGACTCCGGCAAGCACCAAGGGCTTGGGGCCGTCTTCGCTGGTCACTCTCTGCGCGAGCTCCTTCAGGGCCCACGTTCGGGCAACGGGCAGGAGACGGGCAATGATCAGCACGCTGATGCCAAACATCCAGTAGAAGGCCGCACCGCTGGCGTCGTAGTACGCCCTGTAGACCTTCCACTTGACCCGACCTGTTTCCCGTTTCTCCTCATTGTCACTCCCATCCTTGGGTTTCTTATTGTTCTGCTTCAGCTGTTGGTCCTCCTCGAATTCGGCTCCGCTGTCCGACACCAAGGTGGATTCGACTTCGGTGTCGTCTTTTGTGTCATCCTCAGAACTGACGAGGCTCTCTGCCGACTCCAGCCTTCCATCTCGGAGCCGTACGAGGTAGCTCGCTCTGGAAAGAACGAGCTCTGCGTGGTGGGTTGCCAAGATGCGCGTCCTCCCCCTTGCTAGCTCGCCCGTGAGCGCCTCCTCGACGATTAGTCTCCCGACGTGGGCGTCGACGGCGCTGAGGACGTCGTCAAGAATGATGATTCCGGCGCGGGAATACAGAGCACGCGCGAGAGCCACGCGCCATCTCTGGCCGCCGCTGAGGGTGACGCCCTTGGGTCCGACCTCGGTCAGGTCCCCGTCCACTAACAGCTCGATATCCCTCCCCAGGGCACAGGCGTGGAGAACTTTCTGGTATCGTGTTTCGTCAAATGGAAGGCCGAACACAATGTTTTCCTTCACTGTCCCGCTCTCGATCCAGGGGGTCTGGGATACGAAGGATGTCAACGATGGTATGACCCACCCAGATGCAGGTATGCTCTTAGGGGCGTCTTCAGGTATCGGCGGCTGAGTTGGTACCCGTATCGTCCCTGACACGAGCTTTACCTCCCCTAGGAGGGCAGCAAGGAGGAGACTCTTGCCGGAACCAGTCTTTCCGGTGACAACGCTAAGTTTGCCAGTGGGGAATTCTAGGGAGATGTCCTTCAGCATCGAATGAGCATCGCTCGGCTCTGTCGAGTCTCCGTCCGAATCTTCAATCTTTGGCCAGGCCACCGTCGCGTTGTCGAGTGCGATTGTATCCCCGGGGATCGCAATGTCCTCCTTGTCGGTCTGTGTGAGATACTTTTCCAATCGCACGCAGCTGGTCCAGGCCTCTACCAGGTACATCTGTAGAAGCGGGAGGAAGGCCACGGCCTCGTCGAGCTGGTCAAACAGACCCAGCGATGTGAATAGCACCGAGGCCCTGATGTTCGTGCCGTTTTCCCAGACATAGACGGAGAAAGCGACGCAGGCTAGGAGTAGGGGCCCGAGATTGATGAGGAAGATCAGCACGCATTGCCACATGGAAACCCTCCAGTACTGCTTCAGCTCCTCGTTGCGGCTGGCGAGGATCTTATCCTCCCAGTGCTGCTCGAGCGCCGAATACTTGATCTGCCGCATGCCCTGCAGGGCCTCGGTTAACAGGTGGGCTTTGGCATCGCGGTACCTCATCAAACTGAAATGCAGTTTCCCATATTTATTGGACATCCGAGTGCTGATCGGGATGATAAGACAGGCCGACCCGAGCCCGGCCAATGTGCTCTTCCAGCCTAGCAGCCGCATCAAGAAGGACCCCGCCAAGATGAGTTTGAAGAAGGACTGGGGGAAGTTGTTGTTGTACTGGCAAAATATCGTGACCCGGTTGCTGAGATGCTGTCAGATAAGGATACTTCTTGCGGTACGGGGCTGCGACTTACCTGTCCAGTTTCATATGGTTGATAACTGACTGTCGAGTCTCGTCCTCTCTAGATTTCATCTTGTCTTTACCTTTGCCCGAGTCCGCGGCCTTTGCCTTGTACTTGTCCTTTTCTTTTCCTCCCTCCTTCTGTCCAGGAGCAGCAGTCTCGTACTGCTTAAGAGCTTTAGAAAAGACCAGTGACTGTAAGAGCGACAGAACAGGGGTATCCAGCCGGCTATTCGTGATCCATCTCAGCCAGTTATAAACCCCAACTTGGAGCAGTTGGCTGAGGAGTAACCCAAAGACCCAGGCAAATAGGCCGGGGTCGGCCGAGTTGAAGTCTTCTCTCGACTCGATCCTCTCGAGAAACTTGAACAGCACGAGCTGCGGAAAGAGAGCCAGGAAGGCAATGACCAGGGTCAGAATCCACTGGATGACAAGCTCGCGAGAATAAGCCTTGATGAGCTGCCGCCAGAGTCTTGACCCCTTGCCACGCCGTGCAAAGAAGCTGTCCCGCAAGTTACGGGAGCGGGTGCTGTGGTCCAGCATCGGAATGTCCGACATATTCATCTGACCCCCCTTTGGGATATCAAAGATGACTCGGTTCCAAGAATAGGAGAACAGAGAGAGCAAGGACAGGGTATGCTGCTGGTCGACCAAGTGGCCATCTTCATAGACATCGGGGCGGCGGGGGAAGGCGGCGAAAGAACAAGCTGCCGCCAGTGCTGCTGCCAACTGGGCAAGGCACAGAACGCCGTACACTCTGACCTCGACATTAGGGTCGGTCAGGGCGGCCATCGCGGGGAAGGCATCTCTCAGGGCGATGGAGATGGCAAGGGTCAGCGAAGACAGCAAGCCGAAGATCCCTAGACGGAATTTGAGCAGGTAATGATTCCTGAGAGGAATGCACACGCCTTGCAGGCAGATGAGGATCTTGTAAACGACGTCAGTACAGTTCGTATGCTTGAGATCCCTTCGGATCCGGGCGCAAGGAGACCTACCCATGACGCCAGATCGGCCCACGAGGATATGATAAACAGGCCGCGGTAGTGCCGGTCGTCCCAAGGGTATGCATTCTGCGCTGACAGCGCCTTGGATGCAATCGATACCGCGAGGCCGGCGCTGATACTCAGCCAGAGTGCAATCCTCGGGCGGAGGTCGGTGTATGCCCTGATGGAGTCCTCTGTTGCGGTGCCATCCTCATCGTGATAGAGGTCTTCGACAAGCGCATATCCTCCCCGAAGCCTAAGCTGACTAAGACCTCGTTTGAGAGCAGGGAGACTTAGAGGCACAACCAGAGCTGTTCCAGCAACGCCGACGACCCCCTTCAGAAGCTCCTGATCTGCCATCTTGACAAGCCTTATGCAGACTCAACGGTGTTGCATATCTTGGCGTTCGCTCCGGGCCTAATAATTCCAGGTCGCCCAGTTCATGACTTGCTTACAAACTAAGGTGGGAAGGTAGGAAGTTTAGAGTGTAGTGGGGGTGGTTCCTACTTGAATGGGCTGTTGGACCAAGCGAGTTTCACCTTATTTGTATTGGGAGGACTGGAATGGGAACTGTCTGTTGGAACAAGGAAACAGGAAACGAAGGGAGAGAATGTTTGAATTATAAGAAGTTGTTGCCCTGGTAGACATCTTCGCCACCACCCAAGCACCCCAGCGCTCTAAGAGGCTGGGCTAGGCCATGCTGTGGGCCGAGCGCAGCGCTTCGTTCAGCGGCAGTGGCAGCCCAACCACCTCGGTGTTTACCAAATGGTACGTCCGAGGTCACCTCACGGTCCTCCGTTCTCTGTCCTCACCGCTGCGAATGCTGCGAATCTTGCCGTCTCGTTCGTCATGAATTTCGGTTGGCAGCTCCCCGGAGTCCCTTGATGGGCAGCTGTCTCATTTAATCTTGCCGCATAAATTATCCCTCACTGCCGGCCCAACGCAGGTACCCGCCCGCCTCTCCCCGCGTTTGCTGCAAATCCATGCCACCAAGATACGTAAGGTATGTTCTCTGTACATATTACTATACAATACAACGAGCTTCATTTACTATTTACTCCCTATCCATTGACAACCGTGCCTCCGTTGCAATGGATGGTCTGCCCGCTCACGCACGAGCTGTCCGCCGAGGCCAGGAAGACCACGCAGGTCGCCACCTCGCTCGGCTGGATCGGCCGGCCCATGGGGCTGGTGAACTGCTTCTGCTTTTCCTCGGTCATTGTCGAGGGGATCAGCGGCGTCCACACCGGCCCGGGAGCGACGGCGTTGACCCTGATGCCCTTGCTGAGCTGCTGGTTACTGAGGCCGCGCGTGAAGGCGACGATGGCGCCCTTGGTCGACGTGTAGTCCAGCAGGTCCGGCCGGCCGATGTAGGCGTTGATGCTGGCGTTGTTGATGATGGTGCTTCCGCCCTTCATGTGCGGCAGGACATACTTGGAGAGGTAGAAGAAGGGATGGATGTTGGCGTTGAACGTGTCTACCCATTGATCCCTGCCGGTTTTGTCAGCAGTAACACTAACACCAGGGTATCCAAACTTTGCTTGCTCACTCGGACAGGTCCTTGACATCCTCAACCATCATCTGGACGGCGGCATTATTGAAGAGGATGTCGATCTGGCCTCCGAACACCTTGACGGCCTCGTCAACGACCTTCTTGCAGTTATTGCGGTCTCTGAGGTCAGTGGGATGCAAGTGGCATGTCTGGCCAATCTCCTCCACCCGTTTCTTCGTGTCCCGAGCGTCCTTCTCCTCCTCCGGCAGATAGGCGATGAACACGTCGGCTCCTTCCCGCGCAAACAGAAACGCAGTCGCCCGCCCGATACCCGAGTCTCCACCAGTGATGATTGCGTTCTTGCCCTTGAGCTTTCCTGCCGCCTTGTACTCCTGCGCACCACCCCTGTCCGTCGGGACCTGTTCGAATAGTGGTTTGGGATAGGGCATCTTGTATTCCTTGCCCGGGAACTGCTGGCCCGAGACAGGAATCTCGTGGCCTGTGCCGGTCACGTTTGTTAGTTGCGATCGAAAGTTGTTTCCTGGATATTCATCACCCTACCCTGTTTGAACTGAGGCTTGTCGGTCATGTTGAAATGTGTGTGTTATCTGACCGAAACAGCTGTATAGAGGGAATCTGAAAGTAGAGAGCTACCAATAGAGAGAACGTAGGATAACCAGGATCACGAACGCCGTCAGCTCTTGAGGCCTACCGTCACACTTGTTGACTTATACCTAACTGACTGAGTTGCAGTTGAGGCTCTTGCTTGGCAGTCGATGATCACCGATGACGACATGACTCTAGGTCAACCACGTCTGTTAGTTTGCTCATCATCCACTCGCATTAAATATTCCGTGAAAATAGGAAATCGTGCATAAGTGGAGAAGTTCGTCTTGGCCTGTCGCAATACCAGGTGGGTAGGCATCATCTTCAAGGTTGTTGAGTTGTGGAATTAGTGTGCAGTTTGCGTCCACACCTTCCCGAGGCAAAAGTACGAAAAGTGCACCGCCACCGTTCCAGAATCCTGAAGGAACTTCATTCCCAAACCATGCAGGCCTCACTAGATCCCACGTGCCGGACAACAAGTCGGATCAGAGGAGCTTGAGTATGGGTGTTTTGGGGTGCTGAAAAAGGAAGCGTCCTCTCCAGGGTCAAAACGCGGTGAGACCATGGTCCGTTCTCTCGACCGTTATCTCCTGTAACGTTGAAGCTGCCGTCATGTCGATAATCAGTTAAATCGCCAACAAACGAGAAATGCCACCGAGAGTTCGACATCTCACACAGCCGTTCCTGAGGACAGTCTTCCGCACACTAGTGATTGGGCCCTTGGGTCGTTGGCCGCTGCTGATGTTGCCAAAGCCGAGGCTAGCTGTCACTCCGCAATGTGTTGGCAGAGGATCGGTGGGCGTGGGTGGTGCTATGCCTTGTCACGTTCTGGAGAGGTGGGAGTTCCTTAGTCTCGATTCTTATGTTCGTCCAATTCTATGGATGCGGAGACGAAACAAGGCCATCGTCGCCGTTATGTGCTACCTGGCGAGGTATCTAGACCTACCCCATCACAAATGCAATGATAAAAAGACAAATAAACTCATATCCCCCGTTCCTTGAACGCCACAGACCGCCAATACCTCACCACCTCTCAACTCATGGCAGATGGGTGCCCCTCAGCCCCTGGATATCGACATCATTACCCGGGCCTTTCCAGGTCTTGCTGCCCGTATTTCCACAACAATTCATGGCGCCGTCCACGTTGTAGATGACCGTGTCTAGGTTGCCCTGTTAGCAAAGTCGATCGAGTCCCCCTTCATTCTCTGGCAAACGGACTGAGATCCAAGGTGCTGGCGATCTGAGATCCGCCCATGTCCTCACAGTCGCAGGTCAGGTAGAGGGTGGAGGTCTTGGTGACCGAGCAGTTGGAGCATGAGTCGGCGTATGCGCCACTGTTCAAGGTCCAAATGTCGTTAGCGAACCTGCTCGTCTACAACCCAGGATTCCCCTGGCGTAGATGCCTCACTCCCGAGGCGGGAGACGTACCTATCCCAGGCGATCAACGTTCCGCCGTTGTTGGCAACGCACAGATTCAGGTCGAGCCTGTCAGTAATGGATGCGGTGGTTAGTATTGGTGTTCCCATCCTATTATGACCCACGGGAACCGCCGGGGGGAGGAAGGGGGAGAGGAGGAAGGGTAACTGTACGAGGTCCAGTTGTATGCAAATAGATCGACCTGGTTGTTCAGGCAGTACATGCCGAGATTGGAATCGGTGAAATTGTAGCCCGGGTAGATACAAGTTGTGATGAAGCCCCCATCTGGGCAACTGCTCTGAGGTGTGACGAACTGTCCACCGAATGCGAGAGACAAGACCAAGGTCGTGGAAATGGTAGACACGATGGACGCCATTGCTTCGGTAGCTGGTAGGTTGTTGTTTCTCAATTCCTCTGGCCAACCTTAGTTGCTGAGGTGTTTGCCAGGTGAACCTATGGTTGCAGGGGTGGAAGAAGACCAGGAATTGAGCCAGCAGATATTTCGGGGAAGATGGTCTTCGGGACGTTGGAAGATGGAACAACTGGTCCGAGGGTTAGGTTAGGTAGGTAGACAAGGTAGACACTTGGCCGTGAAACGTACCTACCTACCGAGTCGAGGTCTGGGTCAGAGAAGTTCCCGATGGGAAGCGAGACCCCTGTCCTATTGTCCCACAGAGGGAGGCGCGATGCTTGTGTGATGAATAGGGATGGGAAGGTGCCCTATTTATACCCTCCATTCACTCCTTGTTCCGTTACTCATTTAATCTAGCACACAGGCAGAACTGCCCAACCCATCTGAACTGTTCACTGGCCACGTACCCTGAGCTTGATAATACTGAGGAAGTGAATCCATCTTCCACATTACAAGCCTATAATGCCAGGCCTCCCTACCAGATATCAAAGCCACAATAGGCCATCAATCGATACCGTACCTAGGTACATACCTACTTGAGTATACGCAACACACAGCCTAAGATTAGTACGAGTCAGTGCAGGTTCCACGGCAGTCCTCCCCAGAAACCCCACGCGGCCAAGTAGCACAGCGTCACAGCATATGCGATCTGCAGGTGCTTGATGGATCCGACTCGGCAGAAGAATATTATGGGACGTCGCTTCATAACCTTACATGGAGCTCTATTACCCTGCAAGCTACCTAGGTACCTTGCCATGGGGGCATATTGGCTCAGGGGAAACCCAAGGAAGGCGTTCCTTCTCAGATATCCCATTCCGTGGAAGCAACCGCATTCTGGCTCAACTAAAGCAGATTGAGGGGATGGCAAGTCAAGGGAGCGGATATTCTGAAGAGAAAATGGAAGCCGGCTGGGTTCAATATTCCCAAAGTAAACTGTAGGTACCCTAGACCACCAACCCCATCATCCAGACGTTTGCAATACCGCTGAGGGTCTATCCCCCTCAGAGTTTCCAAAACAAGTAAGTTGTTTGTCACCAATCAAGCTTCTACCCACCTGGCTAAACAGGGAAGGCAACTTCGTTATTGCAGACCAGGAACCCGTCCTGGCTGCCGATATGATCGTCTAATCATCGCTGTCAGCACTGGTGGTTGGCTCTCCGTTGGAAGTGTGTAGATCCTACTAAGGTTAATGTACGAGAAAACCAGGCCCCCTGTCAGGCTTAGACATCGAACGGGGAAGTTTTCAAGGTCGGTATACCCAGTCTTTGGCCACAGGGAGCATGTCTCGGCAAGACGACCCCTTTTGCGAACTTGTCAGCAACGGGCATGCCGAGTCGAATGTGAGGAGCGCGAGAGAAGGGGGTGGGGGCGCGGGTTATCTTACATTTTGACAGGCACCACCTCGCCATCCCGGTTTCTGGACGAAGGTCAGCGAGCGAGAGGTAAACGGTAACAAGCCCCCTGATCATGGAGTGACGCACTCGTAGCAGCGGTCGAGCTTCAGTATGGAGCAAAATTCATTGCCAGAACCCGCGCGGCATGAAGCGGTAATGGCTACCTCGGTCGAGTTAAAGACCCAATCATGGCAGTTCTTCATGAAGTTATGCGGGTGCTTCGTGGCGGCAAGTCCAGATGTGATTAATAGGAAGAGGGCGAGGAAGCGTAGCATGGCAGACTTCATCTTGGTCGCAGTGACAGGAGACACTGGGCAGGTGTGTCGTCCTTGCACTTGATGGGTCAGTAAATGTTGATATTTGAGCCCGGGGAGATCATAGAGTGCTGGAGCATGCTGGCAACAGGGGGAGGGACCCTGAAGAGAGAGGGATATATATATTGGCTATCGTCAAGGCCAGTGGTGACGGTGATTCGCGATCCCAGCGTCGAAGCGAGTAACGTGACGCCGTCACGAATCACTCTAGGTGCCTCCGCAAGATCACTCGCGGGCCAGTGAATGCCGGCTGGTGGACATCCAAGGAGCACTCTCATGCACATCCAGCAACCCTCATCCAACGGCATCCGACTCCGTCAGTGGCTGGTCTAGAATCACCAACCCCCCATTGTCGTCATACCCGACCCGACCCTCATCCACGGCCCTCCGCATCTCCTCTCTGAGCACGACCCGCTCCCCACTCACAGGATCCCACTCCCAGCCCTCGCGCATCCACATCCACCGCAAGCACGCCCTCAGCTCCTTGTCGGCCGGCAGGACGCGCTTCCACTCAGGGCGGAACATCGACTCCCGCCCCTTGCCCGTCCAGTCCTCGGCCCGGCCGAGGAGCACGTCGCGGCAGAATATGCGCCACGAATCTATGGCATAGGGGCCCTGCGTGAGATGGCCGATCTCCCACGCAGAAGCCGGTGCCTCCCTCCGGGGCACATCAGCCGTAGAGTCGCAGTCGCCGTCGCCGTCGCCGTTACCTTCACCGCCACCATCACCATCACCATCCTCTGCTTCCGGCCCATACTCGCCACGCGCCGTCACCCCACGGCCGTCGCCGGGCCGGGGGTAGTTTTTCACGCCGTACCTGACATTTCGCGTCGGCGGCCGCGCGGCCCACAGCCCCGCGTACCTCTGCAGGGCCGCGCATCGGACGGCCGACAGGCCGAGGTGGCGGATGACCTCGACGACGTCGGCCGGCTCGGCGGCCGCGAGCGACGCCGGGGTCGGGAACCGGTCCACGAGGCGCCGGAACGCCGGGATGGCCGCCCTGCCGGTCGTGCGGATGAGCAGCGTCACCGCCACGAGGAGCCGGAACGGGTCGTCCGCCAGTTCCTCCTGGATGAGACCGAACCGCGGGGCCGAGAGCGGCGGGATCGGGAGGCTCGAGATTGTCCCGCGTCGGGGGCGCGCCTTCTTGGCCGGGGAGGCTTGGGGGCTGAAGTATGGCGACTTGGTGACGAGCTGTCTCGGCCGGGATATGTCGGCGGGTATGTCCCATGGCACTCCCCCGTCGTCCTCTACCTTGATCTCGAGCAGTAAGCTTGGGTCGTCTCCATTCGATATTAGCGTGGGATCCGCAGTCTCTGTAAGGGGGCCATGTTGTCTCCCTCTCGGCATCGTGACTTCGCAATTGCTTTCCGCGCTCTGTTCTTCCCTTATACTTGATTTCCTCCTCCGCTTTCTTTTAGCAGGCGGAGAACCCGGTGTTATTGCTTCGCCGAGCCCATCTCCTCCATCCTGGACATCGTGGGCTGGCCCCTGTTGTCGCCGAGCATCAGCCGACGGCCCTACCCTAGCCGGCACCACCGGGCTGTCTTCCCAGAACCGAGACACAGTCCCAGTCCGCCGCCTCTTGGACGAGGACTTGGACCTCCCCTCCCGGCGCCGAGGCTCGGCTGACCGCCGGGCCTGGTCCTCGGCCGCTTTCCCGGAGAGCACGTAGGCGACATACGGCACCACTCCAGGGTCACCTTCGTCACCGTCCGCTAACCCGGCCCGCGAGACCGCCTCGTTCCTGATCGACGTCGCGCAGTTGACGAGCATGTACCATTCCTCGACGCCCTGCATGAGGCTGGCTTCGTAGAGCCGCTTCATTTCTTCCCTCGGCACCAGCCCGGACACGATGAGGGACTTGAGGAATTCCCGGGATTCGCCGTCTTCGATGTCGAGGCCGTATAAGAGGTCGGCCGCCATGCTCATCCCGGTCTGTTTGGCATGTAAATACGCCATTGGTATGGTGGTTGATGAATCGGGGGGCTGCAGTTGATCTGCGGCCCTGCCTGATAGCCCTCCCATTTTGTCGTCCAACTCATCGGGGGAACATGAAGTTATATGAGGTGTGTTTCACTGGAAGAAGTTGCTGGAAAGAGTGCCGCCCTAGGCAAAAGCGAGAGAGCCGGCAGCTGATGAATAGTAATTTTCTCATCGTTAAACTTCAAGTCCCATGCTGGATAAAATCATTGAAAATGAAAATATGGTAATGAGATATGAAGATATTCAATGAAAGAAAGTGTCTAAACGATGTGATAACCAGGTGTGAAGGTAGGTGAATGGATGGTGAGTGGGCTTTTTTGTTGGGGTTTGTAGCTGTCAATTTTAGGCCTGATCACGTTAGAAGGCAATTCGAAAGCCTTGACATTGCGGCAAACATGGCCGGCTACCATATCCGAAATATTCAGTGGGTGCCCAATATGTTCAATGAGGAAGATTGGTTGTATTTGGACCGAAACACACTGTGATTTACAGCTTAACCCACCAACTCATCCAGATCGCTTCAACTACCAACCCTTATCCCCTGTTTTTTCGTCTACGCGAACAAAGGAGCCTTTCTAGGAGCCAAGAATATCATACAGACACGAGATGATTGTTTAATTACTGGCGGCGGGCGATTCTTGGCGGATCATAGGCAACCTTTCTCGATTTCAGGTAAGCCCACTTGTATCGCTTGACCCAGACGCTCATCGCGATGAGGACCGTCGTAACGACTATAACCTTCATACCCATCCGCTTGCGGTCGTCCATCTCCGGCTCGGCGGCCCAGTTGAGGAATTCGGTAACGTCCTTTGCCATCTGCGAGGTCGACGCCGGCGTGCCATCCTCGTAGTCGACCAGTCCGTCGAAGAGGACACGGGCCATGGCGATGCCGGTTCCGGGGAAGTAGGGGTTGAAGTTGAGCCCTTCGCCAACCTGGGCACCCGCTGGGGGGTCCTCGGGGTAGCCAGTCAGCAGGGAGAAGATGTAGTCGCAACCGCCGTGCCGAGCCTTGACAATCAAGCTCAAATCCGGGGGCAGAGCGCCATTGTTCGCGAACCGGGCAGCCTCGTCGTTCTTATACGGGGCCGGGAGGTAGTCGGACAGCTTTCCAGGTCGCTTCTCGATCTCGCCTTGGTCGTTCGGCTCGGTATCGAACTCGTTCTCTTCAGCCAGCGCCTTGGCCTCGTCGACGGTCAGGACCGTGCCGACAAGAGATCGGTACGGAACTCGGCTGAGAGAGTGGCATGCCGCGCAAACTTCTTGGTAGACGGTGAAGCCACGGCGGAGTCTAGATACGTATTTTCATGAGCTATTTGCGCCCTTGTCATCAAGAGACTGAGTGGCCTTACGCTTGGTGGTCGAAGGTCTTGAGCCATTGCTGGTGAACCCAAGGGTACTTGGTAGCATGAAGTCTAGACAGGCAGTCAGCTTCGTGTTCCATCCGCCCCAATCTATACGCCCCTCGATGGCGATTGGGATTATATAGCTCAGGACAGCCTGAGACGGGTTGACCCATCCCGGACGTGGTCAACACCTGGACGTGCAACTTACCCTTCCTCAGCAGGAGTCATGGCATGGGCCGTAGACCCATAGAGGTGATAGTACCAGGCAATCGAACCGACGGCAACGGTGGTCGCGGCGGCGGCGGCGATGTTCAAGCGTAAAGGGGAGGCTTCAGCGGACGGTCCAGAGCTCGACGAAGAGGCAGCACGCTACACAAATAAGAACCATGAGTTAGCTCTTATACAAGAGGGAGGGAGCTGAGCGATGACTCTTGGTCTAGGATCAAGACTCTCGAGAAGTCAAGCGGCCCTCAATTGCGAGTAAACACCATCAGGTCAGTCAATTCGTACCTTGGAAAAGTTAATGGCGCCATTTCTTGCGCCAGTGAAAGCGCGCGCCGAGCGCAAGCAAGTCCTGGCCAACATATTGAACAACCAAGAGGAGTCCAAGGGAGATGTCTCGATGAGGGTGACAAGGGCAATTGGCCGCCAATCCCCGTGTTTTGAAGGTCCGGAGTGCTCGCACAGCAGGTGAGGTTGAAAATCAAGCAAGTGAAAAGACCAGGGTGTCGGGCTATTCCGGCAACATCCCCCCGGACCGAGAGAGAACCCGCCTCAGCGGCCTGGTTTATCCAATGAGAGGGCTAGAATAACCAACCAGCTGGACTAGAGCGTCACAAGCAACACAGCCCGTTTTTATTTGCGAATCCAATCAACCTAGTCACTGTACATATGGACTGGACCTACCTACCACCTAAGCGAATGACAGCATGAGCGGTTGCTCGAACATCCCTCCAGCAGATTTATGTGATGGCGATTTTCTAAGCTTTTATGTGCTCAAATATGTCCGCACTTCTCACTTCTATGTCAGCAAACTGAAAAACGCCTGTCTATCGATGAACACGCTTGGCTCGACATGCAGCGCCGTCTCCATCGAAACCTTCATCCAAATCTCCATCATCCTTCAGAACTTTCAACTCGGCAGTATCGTCACTAATTGGATGTCAGCCATTTCGGCAGTTTCGAGAGACTTGATGGAACTTACGTCGCCAACGTGACCGTTCTGGCTGAGGACCTCTCTCCTCTTCTTGATCGCGTTCGCAAGTCTATCCAGCACAGAGACAGTATCTTCCCAACCGATACAGGCGTCTGTGATGCTGACACCGTATTTAAGGCCCTCTTTCCCTTCCTTTGGTACTTTTTGGTTGCCTGGATAAACCATGTTAGAGCCGCTAGAGCACTGGTCTGGTGCACTGGTGCGCTGCTGCAGGTGGCAGCTGCACTTACCTTCGCTGATGTTGCTCTCAATCATAACCCCCATGATGGCTTCTTCTCCGTTCTCGATCTGCTCTGCGAGGACTGAGGCAACCTTTGGCTGGTTCTTGTGGTTCTTCAACGAGTTACCGTGGCTGCAATCTACCATCAACCGTGGCTTGAGGTTGGCCTTCTCCAATGCTGCTTTCGCCTCGGCGATGCTCTGGGCATCGTAGTTTGTGCCCTTGGTGCCGCCCCGGAGAATGACAAAGCAGTCCTCGTTACCCACTGTGCCGACGATGGCAACCACCCCCGGCTTCGTGACTGAAAGGAAGTGATGTGGGTGCTTCACGGCGCCAATGGCATCGATCGCGACGCCTAGGGTCCCGTCCGTGCCATTCTTGAAGCCGACGGGGAATGACAAACCGCTCGCGAGTTCCCGGTGCAACTGAGACTCGGTAGTCCTCGCACCAACGGCTCCCAGACTCAGGACATCGGCCAGGAACTGCGGGCTGATCGTATCCAGCATCTCACTGGCAATAGGCATGCCCTTGTCGGTCAAGTCGACGAACAGCTTCCTGCTGAGGCGCAAGCCTTTATTGATGTCGAAACTGTTGTCGATGTCGGGATCATTGATGAGGCCCTTCCATCCGACTGTGGTGCGCGGCTTCTCGAGGTAAGAGCGCATGACGATCAGCAGCTCGTCCTTGTGTTTCTCCTTCTCTTTAAGCAGCATGTCGCAGTATTCTAGCGCGGCCTTGGGGTCGTGGATCGAGCAAGGGCCGATGATGACGAGCAGGCGCTGTTTCGGGTCGGTGCCACTGACGACGGCTGCGGCCTCCTCGCGGCCAGCCAGGACGGTCTGCTTCGATTGCGCCGTCTGGGGAATCTCATGCTGGAGCAGGTTGGGCGGAATCAGGGGATTGTAGCCGCGAACTAGGCGCAAGTTAGGACACAATGGCATCTGATAATAATGGCCATTGGGCTACTTACTCCTCCGGTCCTCGCTTTGGTCCTTGTTCCCGACATTCGGGTTCTGAATGAAGAAGGTCTGGGGCAACGATCGTGCTCATTAGGAGGGGCACATCGTGAGGGGCGCGCAGTGTGATAGAAGTTGCTTACCGACATGGGGAGGGGTATTCGGCGATTGAACGCACAATTGACAGCTTCAAGGCCCAATCTGACAGACTCGACACCCAGAGACTGAAGGTTCCTCGGCAGGATAATTTGCGACCACGATCTGAAGTCGGTAGGAGGCGAGGTTCTTTATAATTTTTTTGGTGACCTATCGGGGAATCAAGGTACCTTCAATCATGACTCAAAAGGGATGTGGGGGTGGTTGCGGAAGGCCGTTTTGGCCACCTCAAAACTTTCAGTTTCCACGTTAATATACTAGCGAGGCTTTGACGTCAAGCACCAACATTGCAAGCCAACTTCAAACTATCTGGAGCCCCTCGTTTCCTCACATGTTGTCTGAACTGGTCAACTTGGATGGACGTAATTCGGCGCTGTTGCAATCGCTGTGACTATTACCTGTCGATATCTCTTGCCACTGCTATTAAATGGCTAGGTAGGTACCTCGGCCGAGGAAATCCCAATCAGACGGACAAAACAACCTAGCAACCTAAACCACCCTGTCAGACATATCTGGTCTTCAAAGCCCTCAAAGCGATTTCTGCATTACCAGGAACCTGGTAGCAGCTGCACTAATCCTACAGGGTTTTCGCTTTATTAGGCAACTGACCGAAGACCTACCGAAAAAGCTGTCCGACGGCCTGCAGATTGTCGGCCTGCAAGACATCCTTTCGAATGCACAGCCAACAACGTTACGGCCACGTTTTCTTCGTCTTTTTCTTCTAACACGTGCATTATGTAGGTAGGACAGCCACGCCTGCTTACCAGTTAAGTGGGAAACGATCTTCCGAGTCAACAAAATAGGTCATCAACGGACCTAAGCTTAGTCCTACAGATTGGGAAGAGGCGTAAGACGTCCAAAGCTCTAGACATGGTTGATGACGCCTCTTTGTGCCACATACCGCGACATTGTTTACTTTCACTAACCTTTTAATGCCCGAAATAACAACTTTGATTAGCTTACTGTTGCTGTCAACCGCCTGGTCATTGCAGCTGACGCTCTTGCCGTTGCTGTTAATAGCTCTTACCGTTACTTCGCTGCAGGGTCTTGAGCATGAGATACAAACACACCTGATGGTAGTGTAATGGGCGAATCAGAGAGTGGCATTCTAGTGCCGTGCCACAGAGCTGAGGTATTACTCGCAGAAAAGAGCTTCATATACGGATCCGTACTGGGCATTGGCTTATCGTTGTAATAGATGTGAGAATGTGAGAATGTGGGGGAGCTTAGGTAGGTTATTAATATCTATAAATACATAGGTGGTCACACCTGTGTTGTAGCCGATGCAATGTCACACCCTTCTCACAACAAGACATCGCTTTGAAACAGCCCAATCCCGGAGGTCTTCGCTCCTCATGCATGCTCCGAACACGGAAGCCGAATTGATGACTGGCCCCCGCCGACTCTCCGAAGATGTTTTGCGTGTGCCCACGGGTTCTCGGGAAGATCGCTTGCAGGAGGGTGACGGTGCTATGCTAGTCAATCTTCGTAGGGTTGATTGCGTCACTCTTGAACTTCTCGATGCCATTGAGCTTCCCGTACCCCCACTTCAATGCCATGGTGCTCCCAGTCATCAACGCAGCGGACACGGCGAACAGAAGGGCCCGCTGGGAGGTGCTTAGCAGCTCAAATATTGGATATGGATACCTGGGTGCATAATTGCGTAAGCCGAGTTGAAGGGCATTTTTCGGCCTCGGGGGGTTGCTTCTCACCATCCGTTCCTGCTAAAGCAGTACTCTATCCAACCCCAGTAGAGAAATGCCAACGCCAGACTCAGGGTCATTGCGTTGTAAGACTTGATGGTCCACGGAGGGCTAAGTAGGATCAAGTCCAGAGACAACATGATCGCGGGCATGACGTGGAAGCCAAAGTCTGGGAGCAAGGGCAGTTCAAGTTCGGGGGGCACCACCAGACCCTTGTCTATGGCGCAGAGCCCCCCATAAAGGGTGGTAACCAAGACCTGCAGCGGCGCTGAGCAGACCGAGAGAACATTCTTGGCTGCAAATAGCTGTGGGCTGAGGGTTATGTCGGCCAATAGACCTAAGATGAAGGTTATGGTTGCCAGCGCCAGTCCGATGATGGTCAGGTACTGGAACTGTCCGCCAAAAGACGCAGATATGGGGCTTGGGAACGTAAATAGATATACAAACGACGCAGAGAAGGAGCCCAGTCCAATTAGGTGGACGAGGCCTGAGAACGCCCTCGAAGGCGAGGCGAACCTCTGCAACGAATGTCTCGCCATTAAGAGGGATAAGGATGAGATAGACTGATTACTAGTAGTGTAGCTTTCGCAACCAACCCGAGTCAATGTGCATGGATGAGGGCAGAGGGGGGATATTATAGGTACAATACCTATGTCCTTGACGACGGGAACTAACCAACACACTAACCAACACTAATCAGATGCCGAGGCTCCCCAATTGGCAAAGGCCGTACGTATTCCAGCTGTTTGGCAGGTGACACTCCTGCTTCAGTTTTGACACTCCACCAAATCAGCGATCTACAGATTATTGCACAGACGCGAGACGTCCACACCAACAGCTGCAGACAAGCTCTCAATTCGCCTCCAACCCATTTTTACCGCCTATACCAGCACCCAAAATGGCGGACCCAAAAGAGGAGGACGATGTCAAGTCGAACAAGCGGAGCCATTCAGATTTCGCCGAGCAGGATGAGGCTGGTAAGCACAGAACCTGGCGCATTCCCTCTCACGTCCTGCAAACTAACAGGCCCTTCCCCCTGGCAGACAGTTCTTCCGACGATGACATGGGACCGCAGCTGCCATCGGCAGCCCCGAAGAAGAAGCGACGAGTTCTTCCCTACGAGAAGCTGTACATATCGGCGCTGCCCAAGTCCGCCCGGTACTCGAGGTCCCTGATGCACAAGGAACCGCTCTCATTCGTGACGATGACGCCCCTCACCGAATTCCTCATCACGACGTCTGTTGATGGTGTAGTCAAGTTCTGGAAGAAGGTCGCCGAGGGGATCGAGTTCGTAAAGGAGTTCAAGGCCCACCAGGGCGAGGTCGTGTCCGTGTCAGTTAGCCAGGACGGCAGGAGCTTTGCCACTGCTGGTGCCGACAAGTCAGTCAAGATTTTTGATGTCATCACCTTTGACCTGCTGGCTATGCTCCAACTTGACTTCTCGCCGCGTTGCATATGTTGGGTCCACAAGAAAGGCGCGTCTCTGCCGCTCCTGGCCGTCTCGGAGAACGACAAGCCCCTGATCCACGTTTATGACGGGCGCGGGGAGACGGAGGAGCCTCTCCATACTCTCAAGGGCTTGCATCGGGGCGTGGTGACGCTCATGTCGTTTAATGATAGATTTGATTGCGTGATATCGGCCGACGAAAACGGCATGATCGAGTACTGGAGGGCCAGCGGCAGCTACGAGAAGCCCGATAACGTCTTCCAGTACAAAAGCTCAACCAACCTTTTCGACTTCAAAAAGGCAAAGTCGGTCCCGACTTCGCTTACCATATCGCCGGACGGCAACCAGTTCGCCACCTTCTCCTTCCCCGACAGGAAGATCCGCATATTCGAATTCGCCTCTGCCAAGTTGCATCGGACCTACGACGAGTCGCTGAAGGTCATCGAGGAGATGCAGCAGGCGGGAACCGCCATCCAGAAGCTAGACAATGTGGAGTTTGGGCGGCGCCTTGCCCAGGAGCGAGAGCTCGACTCGCCGGCCTTCCGCGACAAGTTCAACATCATATTCGACGAATCCGGGAATTTCATCATGTACGGCTCCTACCTGGGCATCAAGGTGCTCAACACATTTACCAACCAGATCGTCAAGGTGTACGGCAAGGACGAGAACTTCAGGCCCCTGGGACTTGCTATATATCAAGGCCAGCCCCAGAAAAAGGGCGTCACCACCGTCGCAATGGCGGCGTCGAGCAACCCACTGCTCCAAGAATCCGAGACCAGAGACCCGATCCTCGTCGCCACAGGAATCGGGAGAGTGCGGTTCTACATGTTCACGAACGAGGAAGAGATCTCCAAGTCGACGAGGGACGTCCAGAACGAGAAGCCGACGATGCTCGGCCAGAAGAAGGCCGAGCAGAAGAAGGCGGCCGAGACGGGGACTGCCGCCGTCATCCACACGACGTACGGCGACATCCACATCCGCCTGTTCCCTGACGCAGCGCCCAAGGCGGTGGAGAACTTCGTGACCCACTCCAAGAGGGGCTACTACAACAACACCATCTTCCACCGCGTCATCCGCAAGTTCATGATCCAGTGCGGCGACCCGCTCGGAGACGGCACCGGCGGCGAGAGCATCTGGGGCAAGGAGTTCGAGGACGAGTTCAGCAGCCTCAAGCACGACAAGCCCTACACGGTGAGCATGGCCAACGCGGGCCCCAACACCAACGGGAGCCAGTTCTTCATAACCACAGAGAAGACGGTGAGTACCCAGACCCCTTTATTTTCGTCTCCCTCCCCCATATGAAACCATATCCCCGTGAGGGGTCTCAAATCAAACTTGGCTAACCTCTCGTGCATGCAGCCTTGGCTGGATAATAAACACACCATCTTCGGGCGGGCGATCCAAGGTCTCGACGTGATCCACAAGATTGAAAATGCCCGGAGTTACAAGGAGAGGCCCGAGGAGGACATCAAGATCCTGAATATCGACATTGTATAAAAGCTCGGCTTAGCCCTGAAGTCCGGCATTGGCTGAAGTCGAGGCCGACTTTTGCCCTCGGATTCACCCAGAAGGAAACGGTTGGATAGGCCATGCCTTCAAGTCGGCTCCCTGGAACGGAGTGTAGAGAAAGGACGAGAAGGGAATAGAGGTAGCACACCGAAAATAAATCTGCGGAAAAAGGGCACTAGATAGGTTGGAGAAGCTGTACCACGAGTTACGTGTCGATGTCAAGTTCTATAATGGGCAAGCGCGCGTCGTGAGGATCATCAATTTCATCAACTAGCTATTGAGTCTCTCGAGCTCCCAATGATCGAGGCTGACCATCCTTAAACTCCCAAAGACCGTAAAAGATAGCTACCATAGCACAGTCTACAAACAGTCAAGACCACTCGTCCGAAGCTACTTTCTGGCCTTTCCTTCGAACATTCGAGTTAAAAAGTCGAATCCCTAGAATGAAAAGTGACGAGGTTAGCGAAAAAGGTCCATTCCCAGCAATCCTCGACACAATCCATAACACGCCGAACGCATCACTCGTAAAAGTTCAGATACCCAGGTTTTAAGCACCACCGTCCCCACCCGCCCACCGCCCCTCTCCACCCCCGCCCCGCAAGCATATGACGATGCAAACGCGTCCCGAACGGCGTACCGTTGGTCCTGTGGGCAAGAACGGTTCGTGGCGGCAGGCAAGCCGAGGAGAACCCCTCCCCCACCCCAATCCCGCAAGAATCCTCGCCACCGTGAGCAGCAGCACCAGGATACTCCCACCCCAGAGGAGCGAACCATGTCCAGCCTTCATACACGGGGAAAAGAGGAAAAAGATCCAGATCTCGTCCGTGTCAGGCAAGGGGACAGGGCTCGTCCCTCCGAGGCAGGGGCGCACGGGTGATACCGACCACGGCGGTTCGGAGGCCGCAGGAAGGGGGAGGAGGAGGGGCTTGAGTTCTCGGGGACAGTCTCAGACGGCTCTTCCTATAAGATATAATTGGGTGCAACAGGAGTTGCGTACTTCATCATGTAAAGTGATGCCATACGGCGCGAGGGGAAAAGAGAAAGCGAGGCCCAGAGGTAGGACGGCGCGGAGGTGAGAACTTACTAGTTACAGGTAGCCTAGGCTTTGACACCTAAAGATAAGTGGCTATGGGTTAGATAGCGGCAAACGAAACCAAAAAGTGTCCGGACTGATGATCTTTGCTAAAGAGCCAGGAGCCATGATTGTTTGTTTTGTAGAACTCGGAATCCAAGTTGAAAATTTGGGCGTTCGGGTTTTGGGGAGGAAAGCTGTATCACGTGATATAAAATGAAAGGAAGGCCCACACAACTGACCTTGGCGAACCCCCAATCGAAATGCCAGATACTACTGCGTAGGTAGATTCAGTGGCTATTGGCCATCACAAGAGTAAAAAGACGCAGTTTACAGTCTCGATGTGTGTTCCATTTATGAAAGGCATCTGGCTAGCTCTAGTTCCATTTATCTTGATTATCAAAACCTGGACATTTTTCAACCTCGTGTCCAAGCTTTGGCCGCCATCTCGGTGAAGACATTGATAAATATGACTGAGGGGAAGATCAACTTAATTACAGTACCAGGTGACAATACTCAGGGCAAGAAATCCTAGATCCTAGACAAAGAAAAGGCAAATAAGGCCTCCCAAGACAAAGACGGCAAGGCAAGTATGCTGGAATCGTCGCCCACATAGTATTGTCAATCTGAACCGGACTAGGCAGCTCGAATCGAAGGAATAACATCATCTGCTCGTCCCCATAAACATATTTGTAGTTCGTCACATCGTAACACAAAACGTAAGAAGCCAAGCTTCCCAAAGCCTCCGTCATCTTATCCAATTCCGGTTGATGCGCGCCTCCAGGAGCTTCGACTAATGTTGGGTGAAGTTCTTGTAATCATTCGTCCAATGACAATCCATCATCAAGGCGTCCAGCAAATCCTGCGAGTTTGGTTGGGAGAAGCCGGCAGCCAGGCTCGGAATCTCGCCGAAGAGGAGTGGGTTGTTGAACACGGGCTTCGAGGTATTGTTGTCCGGAAACAGGACAAAATCATCACCATTGTAGCCCTTCCCTGTGCCACAGAAGTCTTGGTGCTCGTCGAAACCTTCGTCGATCTCGGCCAGGGAGGAGGGCGTAAATAGCATGGCATTGCCCTGCCCGATGGGCGAGATATGAGAAGCAGGTTGCGGCGGGCGCATCTCAGCAGCGGTGAAGCTAGTAAAATGCTGAGGAAACTCCTTCTGGAAAACGTCATGCATCGGAGCGGGAACTCGGACATGGGCAGTGTAGATGTCCTCGTAGAGAGTGAAGTCATTCCCAATGTCCTGGTACGTAGAGTTGAAGTCCAGCCCAGAGTCAGTCGAAGGTGTGCCATTGTCGGCAGGAGAGTAGTCGAGCTTGAGATCTTGCGGGATCATGTCGAAATCGGTATCATGAGGTAGGTACGTGGGGAAGTTAAGATTGTTGTTGCTGTTGCTGAAGATGTGGCCAAGCTGGTCATCAGTGGGAGTTGCGACCCCCACGCTATGGTCACTCGACGGGGTTGCGATGTTCTGAAGCTGGGGGGTTGGCTCGGCGGTGCTTCCCTGCACGCTTGGTAGGGACGACTTGTTGTTATTGTTGGACTTGGTCCGCACGTAGTTCCAGCCATGGGCCTTCTCCATGTGCTGCTTGCGGTTGGAGTCACGCTTCGACTTGTACGAGCAAGGCTTGTACAGGCACTCGTACATGGGTGGGTTGGCCGAGTGCTTGTCATTGCGGTGGCGATCCATCTCCTTCTCGGTTGGCCACCCATACTCGTGATACTTGCAAGTCGGGACGGGGCACTTCCAGGGCCGAGAGTGGGTCTTCTCGTGCTTGGTCAAATCGCACGGACGCTTGAACTCTTTGTTGCAGCCAGGCTCACGACACCTCTTGGGGGCCAGCTCTTCGGGGCTCGCATTCTTCTTCCGGCGTGCCATGGATCGCTGGATTTCTTCTTCGTCATCAAGCTGCTCGCTCAACGAGCGCTTGATTCTCACAGCGCCCTTGGAATGCTCCTCAACGACATCGACAGGTTCGCCGGTGGCGATGGAGACGGCCGTGCCGTTCTTCTTCACGCGGACAAGTTCAGCTGGGCAGCCGTTGATGTGGATACCACCATGCAGCTTGATTTCGTCGCTCCTAGGCAACAAAGTTAGCATAGCTGGAAGGTGCAATGGAGCAGGTGGGTCATACTGGTCGACATCCATCTGGTCGTCCCCTCGAGTCCCCTTCTCCTTGGCGTCAGCAAGTTGTTGGGCGTAGTGGCGGATCTGGTCAACAAGGTCGATAAAATAGCCGCCAGTGTAGGGAGTGTCGCGGGGCCGAGTTAGCTCGCGATCGGGCAGGTGTTCAACGGTTGTTTGAATGCATCGAACAGTGAACAGGCTGAAATCGAGGTACAGTCCGATATCTGCGGTTCTCGCCTTTAAACCGAAAGCGCGATAAGCTTCTACCCTAGAACTTTGATCATTCGCGACAGGTTTACTTACCGGAGCAAGGAGGAGGAGTGTCTTCTCGACGTCTCGAAGGCAGACGATATCCTCCTTCTGGATTCTCTTGGGGCATTCCAGAATGAGGGGATGGAAGTCTTTGTATTTTCGCTTTGCCAGTATCGGTTTCAGAGCATGCTCGTAGATGCGGTTGATGGACCGGGCACTGAGTGCTTGAGCGTTCGCCGATGTGGAGAGAGCAGCTGCAGACCTAGTAATAGCAGAAGTCTTAAAGGTCGACTTCTCCTTTTTGAGAGAAGAGCCGGCGCGCTTCTCGTTGGTGGAGGCAATCGAGGTGCCGAGGCCGCTGTCGGAATCGTGACAGCGGTTGGGGCGAGGGCGCAAGACGCGCCGGTCAACTGCTGGTTCCTTCGACATGAAGCTTGAATCGAGGGTGTGGTCGAGGATTCCTCGGGGGATAGGTAGGCTGTCGTCGCGGAGTTGCCTTAGGGACGACGCCAACGAGGTCTCGATAGAAGGGGCGAGGACGTTGTCGATGTTGCCGAGAGTCAGAGCAGCACGGCGACGATTAGCGTCGATGACATCGTCAAGGTTCGTTTGAGAGCGTTGCGGCAATCGGGGAGGTCTGAAGTCGGTAATATCCAACTCCGGGGTTGAAGTCGAAGTGGTAGGGGAGTGGAAGGTGGCTCCCTTGCGGAGGACCATGTTAGTCTTAAGGCCAAGGGCCTCAGAGGACGGTCGAGTCACCGGAGTCCTTCGAGGGTTGCGCGACATATTCGTTCCGGTGAGTGCGGGGTGGAGCCAAGTCCTAACTAAGGTTGTAAAGCAGGGGACTGGGTAAATTATAAGTGTCAGTATGGTCCATGGTCTCGTAAGGCTGAGGACGACGGGCGGGTGTGAGTCACACAGTTGGGACACATGCACCGAGAGGAAGAGAGCCCCCTAAATGAGAGACAGGACACCCAGTTGGGAAGAGGACATTGGTCAATCGACGTGTCAAAAGAAAATATCTCTCATTGGAGATGAGACAGGCGACGCCTGTCGTGTGGCAAACAGTATACCGGGAATTGGGGAACTCGGGATGCAGAGAGAGCCAATCTTACAATGTCGGTTAACCGCGAGGACTACGATAGTCCTTCAACAGAAACAGCCAGGGAAGGAATGAGCAAAACGCGTAGATAATAATCGGGCGAGGAAGGAAGCAGAACCGCTTTCCGGGTGGCTATGGGTGGTCTTGTATGGGGTTACTGAACAACGGGGGGAGGCCGCCTCAGGACAGAGGAAAGAGAAGTCGTTGAGGAAAATGGGACAGAAATCAGGGCAGGAACCAAAGGGGACGGACAACCTTCGACGACGATGTGGTTGCCTAAACTGCGCCGCACCGCCCTCGCGCTAATTCCAGAGCCGGTTAGACTCGAATTCTGTTGGTACGGAGTTAGGAGCTGTGGCCGGTACCCCACCCAGCCAATGAGATGTGGGCACGGTTCGTTCGGAACCGAAATAAGAATTGGTAAACTGCACATTGTTTAGATTTACACTGCAGATGGTTTATGCGAAAGACCGGTAAGTGTCACTCTGTCTGAATACTGGGAGATTTGAAAAAAAAAGTTGGCGGTTATGTCCTGGATGCGCACCGCCCTTTTTGATGGGGTTGACCCCCTGCTCAGTACCTTACCTAGTGTACCTACTGTGTATGTGCAGTCTGAACCGATGCAGGACCGACAGCTAAACACCCAACGACATGTACTCATGGAGCTTAACACGTCAGAGGTAACATCTCGGGAATGCTGAGAGAATTTAGAGCCAAGTTTGTACACAGAACCCCGAGGAATGGCAGACCATCTTAGACTTGGAAATCACACGGAGATCTGTTCAAGGTTCCTTCTGTTAAAAGTTACTTCCAGGTTCCTGTGTAGCACGCAAGAAAGAGTACATAATAAGCAGACATCAGCCTCGTTTACAGCCCTCCACACATTCCGGCCAATAACCCAAGTTTCGTACCAGAAACTTGCAACAGCTCCATACGGGCTCGACCGACACCAATAGTTGCGCATTGTTAACCTTGGACTCGACCGACACTAATAGCTGCATGATGTTAACCATGGTCTCGAGACGCTACAATTCGCTTGTGTGCATGCAGTCAGTCGTTGCATGCAGTCGTTTGCATGCAGTCCAGGGTCATAGGATGGATGAGCAACAATCCAGACCGTGCGAGGATGAAATGACCCGATTCATCCGGGGGCTGCCGGGGCTTGTAGGGCTGTTTGTTCTGTTGGCCACATCACCCGAAATCCCGTGTTTCTCCCCAAAACCCGGCTGGAGTGGAGTACTTTGCAGTGCCAAAGCAGGGCGTACATAGCAACGTTGCGAATATGGGCTGCCACCAGTCCTAGCGACCCCCCTTCGATGAGGTTTGTCCTACGCATACGTAAGGAAAGGGAGAAAGGGGGTCAGAGCACGAGTTGAGCACGAGCCAGGCATAACCCGGCTCTCGATCTGTTCAGGAACAACAAGCTTACCCTAGTGTATTATCAGTCGCGGGCTCGCGTCGTCATCTCTGCCCCAACCGATTCGCCAAGCGTCCTAGGAGGATATGACACGTACCCCGTCTGGCGCGTCAACCACCCTCCTCCCCAAGTCAAGCTTTGTCATCAGCCCTACAACCTCAAATGCACTATTCTAGGTGGGGCCTCGCCCCGCTCTCCTGCATTTCAACCAATAGGATGGGAGATAAATGGCAGCCTTGTGAGACCCCCCTTTTCCCTGCTGTCGTCATGTCGGCTGGTCACCCTTTCGGTTCGTTTTGAGCGTTCTTGCAGGGACGAGCCGGGCGGCATGTCTCTCAATCCAGGCACCTGTATTTCTGTTGGTCGCCGACGTCTTAGCCCATCGGTAAATGCTTGTCTCAAAAATGGCCCGTATCACTCCATGTAGCCAGGATGGAGAATGACCAGATCTTGCCGAGAACGACACACCACTTCAAACAGCAGACGGGTCGGTATTCATTAGACGATTAGATTACTTGTTTACTACGGACGATCCTCCCAGCCCACCGAGGATGTATTGAGACCTCAGCTGATTTTCTATTTTTGAATCGTCGCATTCTGCCCGGTCTTTCTCTATTGATTGCTTGACCGATGGTTCTAACCTCTCAAATCTATGATTGGTCTCAGCGGCTATCCGATGTGGCAGTCGTATCACACCCATTACTAACCACGGTGAGCATCACTCCGATGCCCAATCCCATTGTTATGGGTGTCTGGTTCCCACCTCACCGGGTGGACATTGGTCGTCATCACCCAACGCGGCTCACCATGGCCAGAAAGTCGTCGTCAGGCAGCGGTTCATCGTGCTTGTCCGAGGCTTCGTGTCTCTGCTGTGGCAGAGGTAGGGGGAAGCCTGCGGAACGCATCATGTTGTGGTACGAATCCCTGATTTCGCGCCTGTCTCGTTGGCTTGGTTCCGGGTCCTGTTGGCGCCAGCGTCCGCGACCGTCGGGGCCACCCGCGCCTCTCCGGACTTGGTCCCGAGTCAAAGCTATGGGAAGCGGAGGCAGGACCTCGGATGCGCCAATTCTCCTCGTGTAACCTCTAGGCATTCTGGTTGTTGCCGCGCGACCGGGCGGCGGCGGCACTTGTCGCCTGTACCCACTCTCCGGGAGGATATTCGCCGCTTGCTGGTACAGTCCGGTGCTGATGTATGAGTCCCTCCCGGTTCCCTCGCTGGCACCGACACCGTTACCGCCGCGCAGGGCGGCAGCCCGCCATCCGTACTTCTCCGCTGCCCGCTTGGCCTGGGCCCTTGCTTCAGCTGTTTCGCGTGCTTCTCGGTCGATCCTCTCGCGGGCAGCCCTTTGGCACTGGCGGCAGGGCCGGGGATCATAGTGAGTCTCGTGTCTCACCTGGCAGACCTTTCTCGGCGTGCTAGACCATAGGCCGCAGCATCCGCTCTCGGCTTGTCGTTTCGCGCGCCTTGCGGCCTCGCAGTGGCTTTTCGCTCGCCATGTGTGACGGCAGCCGCTGAATAGCCAGCTGTGCTCCTCGCACATTTGTTTTCTGCTCAAGTATTCTGAATTTTATCAGTAGTGTGTATATATCAATCTATGCGATCTAGCTGACCAGTTTTCTTGTGGTTCTCGTCAGTCGAGTATTGTTGTAGTAGCTTCTCCTGCAGCTTGGTTTCTATTGTTCTCGGAGTATGAGATGATGATATGTTCGTCGCCCAAATAGAGGCTTTCCTCGACCACGGCGAGTATGGAGAGTCGAAAGCAGTGCCCTTAATAGTGCCATAGGTGAAGGCCAGTGTCTCATTCTCTCTTTGAGACCGATGTTTCTCGGTTTGGCCATGGTGATGGCCTTCTTATCGATACCCTCGCGACAGAGACAAAGCTGTCTTTGAAGTCCCGAACAGCGCCTTTGTTTCCTCCTTTCATGCCTAAGATAACAACAGCCTTCCCTGTTTTGAACAAGCCGCGTCGCCTCTTAAGCAGTGGCAGTCAGCCCGTGACGGCACAATGGCACCCTTCAGGGATACTATAGTCAAACTCAGGCATCGAAGCCTACTGATGCGGCTCAAATTCTTGAATCAAGGGCTTCGTAAAAGGTTCTTTGACAGGTGACAATGTTCCAATAATCATGTTGTTGCAAATATGGGTCTACAAAGAAAGACTTTGTTTTTCTGGCAACATTCGAAGCCCAGCATCCGTCTGGTAGTATAAAATAAGTTGCATTCGATCAGCCATCACCTCTTCTCCTCCACCATCCAAATTTGCCCAAGAGAGCTCTCAGGAAACAGTAAAGACAGCAATAGAAGGCTGCGGTTTCGCGGCCTTGTCTGATTCAGGCAGGCCTCAAAAGCAATGGTCTTTCCCTTCAAGCAGCTGAGGCTCTGGGCCTCTCGGAAGCAGAGAGAAGGCAAGAATAGCGACTCGGACGCCGACTCGCACGAATGCCACCCCCCGACCAGTTCAGTATTCCCCATTTCGTTCCCCACCCCCACAATCCCTTCCGCCCCCTGTGCCAATGGTGAGAGCGAAACCCGCGCCTACCTCGCCGGCGACCCCTACGCACTGACAAGCGTCTACCATGCCCAGGCCGTTGCCGCAGAGAAGTCCCGCAGAGCCACGACCAGGGCTCATCCTTCCAATGGGTACTCCATCCAAGCCATGGGCCAGGATGCTACCCTGGCACTGGCAACGCATCCCGACGACCCGCAAGCGCTGGGTCAGCTTCGGACCCAGATGGATGAGGCCGGGCGGTTGAACAAGCAGGGGGGCCTGAAGCTGCCTCGGTTCCACAGAGACACCGGGGGCTTTGTGTCGCTGAGGGACTTGGTCGGAAGGGAGGTCGATCTAGTGACCAGTCCGACTCATAGCGCCGCGAGAGGGAGCCTTGTCTCGAGCTTGATAACCGAGGATACGATGGAGGATGCGGTCGCGGACCCGGACCGACTGCCGCTGAACATTCCTTCACAGATCGGCAGTCGGCGAGATAATGAGGCGATCAGGCTCTGCGGGCCGTACGAAGTTTGCAGCACCTCTCCCCTGAATGTCGACGGTTTCCGTGCGGCTTCAGCTGATACTCTGCAGGGCGAGGCAGTTGAGGAAGTGGAGGAGGTGGAGGAGGAGTATGTGCGACCCCCTTCCAGGTGGAGCACATCCCCCTCTTGCTCGGACAGCGATAACTCATGCTCGGGAGATGAGATGGACGATGACGACGACGACGATGACGGCTTTGGCGACCCTTTCAGCCCGTCTCAACATAACCTGCGGCAACCACAGATTGCCTCAGCAACACAAGGAGTTGATACGTGGAGAAGTCAAGTCCCAAGGAGACCTCCTACCCCGTATCACATCGAAGATGCTGATGATAACCCTCATCCTAGGGCCAGAAACCCCGCCTACGACCCACGTCTCCCAACGGTCTACGCCCGTATACTCCCCCTCCCCAGCCGGCCCCCGCCCGCACCCCGGCGCCTAACCCGCCCAACAACCCACATCGGCCCCCGCCTCAGCGGCCCCCTCCGGCATCGCGTCACGACCGTCCCGCCGGCCCGTGGCCTCCCGAGCCCACAGTCCGCGACGCCCCAGTGGCACTACACCCACCCCGAGGGCCGGGCGCGGCTGTCGCGCATCAGACGGTACCTCAGCCTGCCCGCCGCCATGCCGCCCTGCGAGCTGCTCCTGTACCTGCTCAAGCTGGACCGGTCGGTGCGGGCCGCCGCGGCGCGTGCCTGCCCGGCCCTCGACGCCGGGGCCCGCGAGGTCGACTGGGAGGGCGTCGACCGCGAGGTCGTCACCCTGCCGTATGCCGACGAGCTGGCCTTCCGGTGGGACATGCGCATGGTCGCCACCTTCCTGCAGGCCCAGCTGTCGCTTTTCACCTGGGACGCCGAGGACGGCGGCGATGGTGGCGGAGGGTCGGACCGGGTCGTTGATGTGCTGCCTCGATATGTCGCAGCGGCTGTAGCTGGTGGTGATGGTGCGGGGGAGGAGCAAGAGCAGCAGCAGCAGCAGGGGGGAGAAGACCTGCGCGAGAAGTTCAGGGTACAGTTCAAGAAGCGGTCTGAGAGCCTGGCCTGCAGACGAGACAGGAGCGAGAGTCCCCGGAAACTGTTCTGGGAGAAGCCTGGGAGAAGCCCACTGGCGAGAACCCTGGTGAGGGAGAGAGAGGACGGCGGTGAGTCTGGCATTGACCCTTGGGACGGGGGAAACGAAGAAGCAGCATCTGGATAAGCAGTAAGTATTATGTTTCGTATTTGTGTGTTTTCGGACTGGCGCAATGATATGTTGGTCCATATCGGAAGCTAGGGAGGCGGGGTTAACTTTGATATTGTTCTCTAACTCTTGTTCCTTCTGCTCTTCTAGACCACGTCCGTAAAGTATTGAATTTCGTTCCAAGCATCGCAGCACTTCCTCCAGACTGTGACTCGTAGGCCGCATATCCTACAATGGCCAGTACTTCCTTAGGAATCACCAAAAGGTGCCAATATGGCACGGCTTGCGCTACGCTACTCGTGCTCGACGAAGCAAGCGAGTTATATTGGACTATCGATAGTCTGGTATATCTCTCTCCCATTTGTATTTTTATTGCCCTCGATGCAACCCATGACTGGTCCAGTCCGCAACCACCGCGCCAGAGAACAACCTGACTGGGCGAGTGTCGGGATGGAGGGAGTGCTCGATGGCATCTCGCTCAGCAGAATGCAGAATAACCGCCTTTCCGAAACTCCTTCCATCCGTTTCCCCTTCGCTGATATGCAAGCAAGCACCATTGTCAGGTTTACAAGTTCCAAATTCAATCCGTTAGAACGCCCTCTGCATGTCCTTCCTTGAGCGTCATGAATCTCCTCTTCGCCAGCCCTCCGCCGATTCTTCCCCTAAATTTTTTTTCTCCCTTGCAATCTTGTGATGAGCCCTGTGTTGTTCACCAGCGGCTCCATTGATTCATCCTTCTTCCTTCGGGAAAACCTTGCCAACACCTCTCCAACACCCCAGAATCTTGGTACAAGATCACAGTTGTCCCTCCATGATCATTTCAATTGACACCCCGTTGCCCGCATTCTAAACGGCCTGAACGGGGGTTATGAATGCCTCTGGGGGAAGTTGTGCCTAAGTTCGAGTTAGTCAGTCATGGACCTGAAAAGGACCTATCTATCCTTTAGTAACAAAGAACCACCAACCTTCTTCTGCTCGAAGGCCACCCAGGCCTTGTCGAAGTCCCAATCCACTCCGGAGAGACACAGTTCCGTGTACTGCAGAGTCATATTGGTCCTGTTCGACAACTCGGCGACCATTTGTTTCTTCTGCTCCTCAACAGCAACGACATTGACGGGGGCGCTCAAGACAGGAACGGGTTTCCAAGCGCGCAACGAAAGCATGTCGCTAACGACACGGATGGTGTTCCTTCCGGGGTGGCCGGGACCTAGAACAAAGGTGCGGGAGAAGGAACGCTTGCCGGCTTTGTTGGTAGTTGGTTCCATCTCGTCGAATTCGCCGTGTGCGGTGATGATGAGACCGCCAACCCCGGACGGGCTCTGGCCAGTTGGATCAACCAGGCCTGGAATGGGATGGCAATCGATGATGTATTTGTTATGTTCCGTCAACTCGGGGTGCTTTGTAGCCGGGAGGGTCTTCCATAGGTCTCCAATGAGTTGGGCACCATCGAAGAGGCGCTGACTTCGCGCCGGGATGGTCTGGATCTTGACCATGTTCCGCGAGAACTTGAGGTAGGGTTGCCATGGGAGAGGGGTAACATTGCTCTCCTTTGGCGAGTGGGTGACGACAGAAAGGGTAAATCTGCTCTCATCGTCGTAGAATGCGGAGAGCAGCTGTACGCGATCGGTGTCGTAAAGGGGGAAGAAAGCCCGAAGGAAGCCCTCACCAACCCCATCCGCATCGCGGAAATCGGAGCCAATCTGGGGAATAGGAGTTGGCCGGGAGGCCATAGCCTTTGCCTCAATCTCTTCGGCAGTTCTCATCTGCACTCCGCTGAGGATCTGAAGCTTCGGGAACCACTCGAGGACCTCAGCCTGGTAGGTCGGATCCTGGGACTCGAGTGGATTTCTAAGGAGAACCAGGTTCTCCAGGTTCCGGAATTTGTAGCGCCACCGGTTAAGCTTGCGCAGATGGTCGAACCGGTTGTTGCTAAGATCTAGCATCTTGAGTTGTGGAAAGTTCTCTGCCAGATCAAACACCGGTGCAACGTTGTCGAGTTCGTTACCGGAAAGCGAGACGCCTTGAATAGCCTCAGCCTTCGCTTGGGGAGAGTCGAATTGCGCATCTGCAATGACTAGGAGCGCCTTGAATGCCTTTTCAGCCGTGGTTCGTTGCTCAAAAAGACCCATCGAGACAAGATCTTGATCTTGGCCCAGAGAAGAGAGATCGAGGATCCTGGTCTCCGCGTTGTAGCGCTTGAAAAGGACGGTTTTCAGTTTCTCCTTGGCATCCGCGGCCTCTTGAGTCAGCTGGGATGCAACAGCCCTGTGAGGCCAGGGCTCCTGGGATTCAGAAATGGTGAGCTTTGCTCCCGCATGGCTGTAGTCGTTCAATCGGAGAATATCCTGGACATCGTCTTTGCTGACTTGGATGAAGACGTAATCGCCAACAAGTGCTGACTGTTATATCCTTAGCATCGCTGTCTGGCCTAGGTACCCGGGGCGGGGATTGGTGTCGAAACCCACCTTCTGGATCGTCACATGCTTGTCTCCTTTCGAGGCTTTTCGCTCGAGAAAAGTCAGGAGAGAGCGGATTCCGCCATCGCTATTGGTTGCTGCTTTGCTCTCCTTGAGGCCGTGGATCTTCAAGATCGCCGGGTGGGCAAACCGAGTTTTCGAGGCGTTGATAGAAACCCGGCCACCGCGCCCGCCACGGCCTCCCGTAATGGCGAGCTCGCCCTGTCCGTAGAGGACGACGTTCTGAGCAGTTCGAGTGGATGATCTCGTCGTCATTGAGCCTCTCTTCAGCGGGCCGGTTCGCCCCGCTCCTCTGGCGGCACCGGCAGACGGCGCACCCATCGAAACGTCGCCATCACGGTCAATCCTGTTGCCTGCAGCGCGGCGCTTCTGGATACTTCCGCCTCTTGCGCTGGCTCGCGTTGGTTGCCTGCTTCGAGCAGAGCTGCCAGACCCGCGTCCCTGAGGTCCAGTAGGAGGAGCCATATCGACGGAGAATCTCCGTGGGCCTCGAGAAAAATCGGTGGCGAGGAAAGAGGCTGATGGCTGATAAGTCGCACAATGGTTAGAGCTTTGTGTTGAAATGACGGGGCAGCCGAGTGGCGCATGCGCAAGGATGGAGTCGAGGTGATTCAGGATAATCTTACTCGAGTGGGAGATGCGAAGAATTGTCGTGGCGGTATTCAATGCTTGCAGGAGCAGGAAAGTTGGAGGAGGATGGCGGGGATCAGAGACGCTTTGAATATGACGCCTCTGATCCGAGTCAAAGAAATCGAGTCCTTTCAACGTTGGAAGTAAAAGGGAAAGTCAAAATAAAGGCAGACCGAAAATAAGTTGTCCGGATGTAGCATGAGTTGATGCTTTTGCCTGGCCCACCCACATTGTAGGTACCTAGGTACCGACAGACAATAGCGGCCAACAATAGAGCCCCGCCTTCGCATGTATTGATCCTGTGGCGCAGTATGCCTTATTGACGATTAGTCACAGACACACAATTGCTGCCTGGGGTTCTGCTGGCGAATCATAGCTGAGGTATGAGCAGGGTTGCCAAAAATGGATTAGGCAGTTCTGGAATCGTGGCTGGTGTGATCATGTGCTTTGGTGATGCATCGCGTCTCGGCGCGTCCCGCTTGGCTTCCCTCGAGGGAAGATCTTCGCAATTCCTCGATGACATTCACCGCGACCCATACCAACCGGTCATATTTATCTATTATTGGGCGTAGACATGGTGATCTTCCTGTAAGCCATTGAAATGGAGGATGACTACGACGATATACCGGATGAAGATCTGATGCTGGCCTTCTGCCAAGTAGCAGAAAAGGGTCCCTCGGCTGTGTCAATTCCTCCGGTTTCGAACAATGCGGCGTTACGACACGATCGAGAAACAGACTTGTCTGATCTGCGCAGGTCTTATTTGCCTGCGAAATCCCTTTCGAACCGGTCATCCGGACCTGCCTCGGTATGGCCTGACTCGCCTGCATTAAGTAGCTGCACCGGCTGCCTTGTCTCTGAGCGATCTTGCCTGACACCCATTGCATAGATCCCACCGAAGATTGGGCTGGGAAACTCTTTGAAAGATGGCCCGAGTAATGCCCAGACAGATACGGCTGTTACTTCATCTATCAGGCCCAGCGCCTCAGTCAACCAGATACGGCCAACCGTGTCAGCTGCACTACCCCTCCAGAGGCCAGTGATTCAATCCCAAGGGCTCCGGCAAACTACTCTATGGGGCCAAACTCTCCGTGAGGAAGATCAACTGCAGTCCCAGCCTACTAATAGCAGGCCCTACCGAGCTGATTTGCCTCTGGAAGTTCCCACTCATCACGCCCTAAACACTGATGCTCTGAAGACATGGGTCTACCCAACAAACCTGGGCCCTATCCGAGAGTACCAATTCAGCATCATCAAAAACGGACTGTTCAATAATACCCTCGTGGCACTTCCGACAGGGCTGGGCAAGACCTTCATTGCCGCAACCATCATGTTGAACTACTTCCGTTGGACAAAGTCTGCAAAGATAATTTTCGTTGCACCCACGAAACCTCTCGTCGCCCAACAAGTCGATGCCTGTCTGAATGTCGCGGGAATCCCACGGTCGCAAGCTACTCGTCTGGACGGTGACGTCGCCCCCGTGGTCCGAGAAGGAGAGTGGGAAAGGAAGAGGCTCTTCTTCATGACACCCCAGACCCTGATGAATGACTTATCCAAGGGGTACGCGGACCCGAAATCCATCGTCCTCCTCGTCGTCGACGAAGCACATCGGTCAACTGGCGAATATGCCTATGTCAAAGTTGTTGAGTTCCTCAGGCGCTTTTCCAAAAGCTTCAGAGTGCTAGCTCTCACCGCCACGCCCGGGTCTACAGTTCAAGCTGTCCAAGGTGTCGTCGACAACCTGGGAATATCCCATGTTGAGATTCGCACTGAGGAATCCCTTGACATCCGGCAATATGTACATTCACGGAACATCGACACTGTGGTCCTGGACCCGTCCGACGAGGTCATGCGCATTCGGGAGCTGTTCTCCAAGGCTTTAAAGCCATTGGTTGACAAGCTTAGTTCGCAAAACATTTACTGGGGGCGGGATCCTATGAGCCTGACAACTTACGGTCTGCTCAAAGCGCGCACAGAGTGGATGTCCGGACCTGGGCAGGGGGTACCCCAGGGAACGAAGTTTATGATGTTTTCAGTCTTCTCAATCCTGCAGAGTCTCGCACATTCAATCAAGCTGCTGAACTTCCACGGTATCATACCGTTCTACAATAGCCTCGTCGACTTCCGGAGTGGCACGGAAGAGAAAGGAGAGAACGGTTCCAAGTACAAGCGCCAAGTCACCAATGACCCGGGTTTCCAGGAGATGATGGACATGATTGAGAAATGGAAGAGGCTAGACGGCTTTGTCGGTCATCCCAAGATAAGTTATCTCTGCGACACCCTCCTCAATCACTTCATGGATTCCGGGGAAGGGTCGAGCACGAGGGCCATTGTCTTTAGCGAATACAGAGACAGCGCCGAGGAGATTGTGCGTGTACTGAACACCCACAGGCCACTCGTCAAGGCTACCGTTTTTGTTGGCCAAGCAGATTCCAAGCGAACCGAGGGTATGAAGCAAAAGCAGCAAATCGAAACAATCGAGAAATTCAAGGCGGGCGCCTTCAACGTGCTCGTTGCAACATCGATTGGCGAGGAGGGTCTTGATATCGGCCAGGTCGATCTCATTGTCTGCTATGATGCTTCGGCGTCTCCCATCCGCATGCTCCAGCGTATGGGGCGGACAGGGCGGAAGCGAGCCGGGAATATTGTCCTCCTCCTCATGAGGGGCAAGGAAGAAGACCAATTTGCAAAAGCCAAGGACAACTATGAGCACATACAGAAGCTCATCTGTGATGGCAGCCACTTCGAGCTCCGTCATGACCTGTCTGCAAGGATCGTACCGCGAGATATCCGGCCCGAGGTCAACAAATGCCATGTCGAGATCCCTCTCGAGAATAGTCAGAATAAAGATCTTCTAGATCCTAAGAAGACAGCGGCTGCGTTGAGGAAGAAGCCGGCGAAGAAGAAGTTCAATATGCCAGACGGCGTTGAGACGGGCTTTATGAAAGCTTCGGTCCTCGGTCGGCCTACCGGACATTCTGCCAAGGTACAGCCCAACCGGCCCCTCGAGACCGACTTCCTGGCGGAGAAACCCAGCCTCAGCAGCGTTCTTCTCAACGACAAGCAGACCGACCAACTCAACAGGCTTTACCGAGACCTCCCGTTTCAGCAGTCCAACCTGGAAGAGATCACAGGGCCAAATCTCGGGGCATACCCGGTCGCGCAGCGGACCCTCCGAACTACTGTGAAGCTGAAGCACGGCGAATACACGAAGAGATGCGTCAAGCTTTTGGCAGGGCTGTGTCGAGCGAACAACTCGACGAAATCATACCGCGACCACGGTAGAGATAATTGGAACAAGTTGCCCGTTATACCCTTTGCCAACGACACCGACGATGACTCTCAGGGCAACCTAAGCTTTGGTTCTACACGGAAGAGGCAGAGGCCACACGCATTGTCCGATGATGCGGCCTCGGATCTACAAGGGCCGAACAAGCGTAGGGGGCCCGCCCCTGCCAAGAGAGTAACAACACAACCGAGGCGGCGAGAGCCCGTATTCCTAGACGACGAAGAAGACGAGGAAGAAGCGGAAGAAGGGGTAGATGGGGATGGGGATGAAGCCGACGAAGCCGACGAAGACGGAGGAACGCCACCGGCACCAGCTCGAGGCGGCTCTCGGGGACGGCCCCGGCCCAAACCTTCGGCGGGCGCCAAATGTAAGAAACGGCCACGTGCTAGGAACCGACTCAAAAGAACGGGTGATCATATCGAGGACCTGGGGGACGACTGCGAACGCACGAGCGACATACAAGAAACAGACGGCTCTGACAGCGGCGGCGACCTGGTTGACTTCATCGTCGGGGACGACGAAGTGACGTCCAGCATGATGAGAAGCCATGTGTCAACATCGCCAACGACCTGCTCACCTCCGCCTATGCCTCTGTCTAGAAGTATGGGGGCCAAACCGCACGGGTCCGACGGTGCAAGCTTCGAAAAAGCAAAGCCTTCTTTCGAGATGATCAGTCTCACCCAGACACAGGATAGCGACGAGGACATGCCGGATCTCACTACGCTAATGGCGAAGGGCCCAATAGCCAAGGAGAAGAAAAGGCAGTCTCTTATGATTGGCTTGGATGAAGATGACGATGAAGATGTACAAGATTCCGTGGCTGGTGGACGGAAAACTGTATTCAACAAGAGACGACGCGTTTTTGTAGAGGACAGTGACGACGATGAATAAATACGCGATGCGATGACTTGATGATTGGCTCTCACTTGCTGTGTCTGTCTCGGTCTTCTTAGCTTTTCTTTTCCTCTTTCTTTTTCCTCCCTTCATCCCTCCCTCTCCCCGGCTTAGCACCTAACCGTATGGTTCTCGTTCCATCGATGCTCACACTGGCCGGATTACATACAAACCGCATGTGTTGCTTCCTACTGTTTTTGATACCCCTTCCTCATTAGTACTACGAAATAGAGAAGCACGTACTAACCAAAGTCGACTGAGTATATAGGGGGAGCGACCCCAATGCAAGCGCATGGTGGCAATGGGAAACAGCCTCCTAAGCCTAAAGAAGAGCTACTAGGCAACGGCGGGGTGTTACAACGAGTATCTCGGCTCATTCTCTTTTCCATGGTCTTACCCGGAGGGTTGTTCAGTGGTCTCGACCGGAAAGGTTAAGCTAGCCTGACTACCCAGAAGCGCTGGCAGGTGGCAGAAATTTTGAGGTAGCGCCAAGAATTCGAGGTTCGTTTTATGGAAGCCAGCATCCAGATGGTATTTTATTCAGGGGGTGCATTGTGTTTTACACCTAGTATGGAGTAGTCTGTATGTACATGTACAGTACAAACAGTGCGAGTCTTGATCCAACCTTTCGCCCTTTCGCCGTCGCCGTCGCGCCAAAGCAAGCCCGCTATCACCGTTGCCAAAGAGTATCGCTCTCGCTGTCGCTGGCGCAGCATTGCCGTTGCCATCTCTGTTGCTATTGCTGTCCCCAGAGCGGGATCGCCGTTGCCGTCGCGCCAAAGCCGATATTGCTGTCGCAATCGCTGTCGCAGTGGCTGCTATAACTTTGCTATTGCAACTGTTGGGCATCTGGTAGGAATTAACTGGCCTCTATGAGGCAGCCCTGATGAAAGTGGTCCTGGTGGGCGTGGCCCTGGTGGGCGTGGCCCTGGTGGACGTGGCCCTGGTGGACGTGGCCCTGGTGGACGTGGCCCTGGTGCCGTCTCCCTGTATCGGATCGATGGGTTTGCAGATGTGCCCCCCGCTGATGTGGTCCTGATGAAGGTGGCTTGATATAGGTGGTCCTGATGGAGGTGGTCTTGATGGAGGTAGTCCTGATAGCGGCAGATTTGGTGGATGCAGGTAGATGCAGCTCTGGTGGATGTACTTTTAGTAGATGTAGGTAGCTCTGGGATTGTGGCTCTGGTGGATTGCGGCTCTGGTGCAGGGACTTGGATGAAGGCAGAACCTCTGATGGCTCTGGTGGATTGCCGCTCTGGTGCGAGGACTTGGATGAAGGCAGCCCGGGGCTGTCAGCCCCTGATGGCTCTGGCGGATTGCGGCTCTGGCGCAGGGACTTGGATGAAGGCAGCCCCCCATGATGACTCTGGTAGGCAATGCAGGGCCGACGATGGTACCAAGGATGGCAAACGCTGTCGAGATGATGAAGCAAAGACGCTTGCCCCATTTCCGCGAGCAGGCAGAGACGATGGGGCCTGAAGTGGCGACGAGGAGGAGCTGGTAGCCCGATATCAAGGTGATGTTGCCGATGGGGACGTTGAACTCCTGAGAGATGTCGAACATGCCAGCAAGCAATGGGCCCATGGTTGCCGCGTTGAGGATTGCGCCAAGCCTGATGATGAAGATGTTGATGAATTTCTTGGTCTGGGACTAGCTTAGTGGGTTGTTTGGGATGTCGCTTGGCTGGGGCGCCAGCATGATATGCGCATCTTTTCTCGTGCCTTGCTTCAGGCCGGAAGTGAGGTTCTCGGATTGGGCAGCCTCTTCGTTGAGGATGACTGTTCCCGGGACATGCGGGAGTTTCGTGTCTTCAAGAATGCCGAGGAACCCCATGATTGTGATTGTAAGCCTAGGAAAGGTGAGGTTGGGACCGATGGTGACGACAGTCAGGAGGAGGTTGAGGACAGAGGGAGTGAGTCTCTGGCAAACAGCACTCGACCAATGCCAAACATAAACCAACGCCAAACGCCGAAACGCCAAACACCAAACTCCAGGCAGGACATGAATGGAACAACGCTGTTGTATAAAAACAAAAGAAAAAATACGCTGAAAAAAAAAAAAAAAAAAAACCCCGCTGGTTAACAAAAAAGACAATCACGGTGGGGGCCGGACCGGACGAGAGGCCGGGGGGGTGACGGACCCCGGCGGTTCGAGCGAGTATGGAGGTGGTGGCGAGGGGGGTGACGGCCCTGCCGAGAGGAAAGGGGGTTGAGAGGAGGGGGAGTTGTAAAGGGGGAGAAGCATTTCTGGTGGTGGGCCCCCAACCCACTCCAAGAAAGCTCTCCAAAATCTTCTCAATACTCTATCCATCTGCGCAAAGACTCAGTTAGTCGGACTGCTTGACCACGGCTTAGACAACGGGAGAGGAATGATAGCTGGTCAGGATCGGGGATGTGTCGACGCTCGCGGTGCAGTGATGCCAAGGGAGCAAAAGCCGAAGCGTCGACGCTCATGCTGGGCTCGCTCTGACTACCAGAGGAGTGACTAGCAGAAGTTCAAGGTGCAAATGCCAACCGCAAAGGGAGTATACTGACTTTAAAATATACTGACTTCAAAAAAAAAAGGATTGGGGTGGCATGGAGAGACTTATATTCTCGGCCGATTACTCCACGTCGCAACAGGAATAGGAAGGAACTGCCTACTCTACTTGGCTTCGACGGCTGGTTTCGCGACCACCTCAGCAGTCCTACCTTAACGGATAGGTAGAAGTCTGACGCTGGACCTGCCCATCATGGAGAACCAGCACAATACTTGAGGAAGGAGACGAGAAAAACGATTCCAATTCGAACGGCCTACCGCAGTAAAGGCAGTTAACACCGACCACCTAGCTTTCCCTAGCCCCTTAGTACCGATACTAATCAACCGCCCCTTCTCAGCCCGCTAGCCTTCGTCACGATTTCCCCCGGCCATCTCCGTGTCGACCACGGAAACCTCTTGGCCTCCACCAGTTCCTTCGGGGTAGGCGCCATTGATTTTGACCCGATTTCTGGTGCCGGGCCTTAGCCTTACGCCATCGCCGGAGCTCCTGCCATTCTTGGCCCGCATTGATGAGAAACCGGACGGATATGCGTGTATATTTGGCCAGCCAGTTGATGCAGCTGTACAGACGTGCTTTGAGACCGTAAGCTGCTTGCAGCTGAATCGTATTGAAGATGGAAGGATCCGTCTCCCGGAATCGGATGAGTGGGCCTGCGGATGTACCCCCCGCTGATGTGTGATACCTTGGTAAGACATCGCGTTCGGGTGTGAGCGGGAACTTCATGGCTGGTCTTATTCGAAGTTGAGAGTTTGTCTGAGATTGGTGAACTGAGCTGGGAAGGTTGAATAACAGCGATCTTGTGTTCCTTTTATACCTATTCGAACCCACTGCCAGAAACTTCTCCAACGTGGCATATACTTCTGTAGGTTAGGTTTAGGCAGTTACCAAAGTAAGGCATCGGACACATGACGTGGGTTGAGGCTTAATTCCTTGACTTGATGTGTGCAGAGGTTAAATCCATGGTTTGGAGTCACAAGAGGTAGCGTTCACAGGTGGTCGGGCATTTTCTAAACCTAACCCAGGCCCCCCGGACCCAAATTCCGCGTCAACGCTGCCTCGGACTGAGGGCCAACCATCAGGCTGAGAGCTCCCGCTGAGCCTCACGCTTTTGGGTGCTTCAAAATTGTCGTCTGTTGTCGTTGCAGCTCCGCACCCATCCACGTGACTTTACTATGTATACCGCCTGAAGAGTGAAGACGGGACCCTTCACACTTATTAGGGAGGTACCTACCTATTTTAGGGCCTGTTAAGGGTCGAATCAGCTGCTGGCGCCTACTGCGCAGGAGGGATTCACACACCACCATCAGGGACACCGCGATCTCTTATGGCGACTGATTGGCGCTCATACAAGCGCACGTGAGATCTTGTACAGATCTTCATCTCGCATGCGGCGGGAACGATGGTCAGGGGTTGGCTCCATTTCCCCCAGCTTCCCGCTGAGGTTGACCATTTCCCAAGTCGAGCTTGGAACACCTACACTCTCTAGGTCATGGAAAGCAATACGCCGTTGGTAGGCGGGACGGACTAACGGAGTAATGCTCCATTGGGAACCAGATGATAGGTCCATGCAGTGTAAAAGCCCGCCAGGTCGACACCACCAGGCTGGTCAGTCAAAGCGCGCAATGTTGAGCCTCACTGACATCACCAAGATCTTGAATTACCTCATGAGATGTGGATCTGTGGGCGGGAGAGAATTTGGTCAAGGCCATTAATGAACGGTCCCCCAACGGTGAATTCAATCTCTTGATTGTCAGAAAGGGACGAAGGTCAGTAGAGTGACGGCCTGCGCTGTAAGCCCTCCCCGTCTGGGTTTAGTTCGGGGCCGCGGGGGACAGGGATCTCGTGTTTCAGAACATGAGTGAGGGTTCCGCTAAGAGTGAGCCCAGTGGAGTAGCCCGCCGACCCCAGCTCATGATGAGTGTGCGCCACTGCGGTCACTGCGGGCGGTTCCTATCCAAGAGAGTCCTTCCAGGGCCCTGGCCCTCACGAGAGCGCTTCGCCCTCCCGTAATCTTTCCAATATGAAGGGACAGGCGACAGATCCTGGTAGAGACCAGCATTCCTAAATTGCAATGTAATTAATTTATTCTCCGTTCTCGAAGTTCATCATTGCGGGGAGCGACAAATACTCCAGGTTTTTTTTTTTTTCAAATGTTTCGAGCAGTGAGATTCTTGATCCTAAATCAATCAGCTACTTTCACTAAGCTGTGTGGCGTGAGTGTCGTGTGGGTTGTGGCCTGTCTGTTTGACCAAGTGACTCCTAAGGTACAGTACCTATTTGCGTAGGTGCCGCCCAGTGGTTGTTCTCCCCCTTTTTGGTCTGCCAGGCGAGGATGGATCACCCCAGCCACAACCAGATGTTACTTCGTATGCACCCCTGCTTGGACCTGGCGGGCCTACTTTAGCGGGAGCTAGGGCCCCCCTGGCATAGCCTTCCTATTGGCCCGAACCCCAGTCGCGCCCCTTGCGTCCCCTTGAGACCCTGTCCGACCGTCACTCCTCCTCATAGTCGCCAAGCGGATCTGCTGTCGTGTTGGTTGATTCGCTCTCAAGTTTGATTGCGTCTGCTGGTGTGCTGCTGCTGGTCTTCTCGGGTGCTTTGCAAGCTCTGCATACTGCTCAATTACTCACCTTCTTGTGTTGCTTGCTGCCCAGGACGTGATTTATCAAGGAAACGCATTCACGCTGCTCGTTCTGTTTACCATTCCAACACGAAACTTCGCCCGTTCCCGACTGGTTGATTCCACGGCGCTGCCTGCAACCCCCCCCGGTATTCCGTTAAATTAATGTGCCAGGGGCCACCAGGAACCTCTCGACCAGGAGTTTAACCAGCGAGGAGGAAACAACACGGCCTCCCACCTCCGCCTGAACCCAATTCTGCGACGTCAATCCCTCCAAGACCCGAGCGAACTTTGTGCTTTGTTTCCTCTTCTTCGCTGTTGACCATTCGCGCCTAAATGTTTCCAAACCGCGAGAAACATTTCAACAGTGTTCCGTAGATCATTCCCGCCAAACCGACCAGGGCCGGCCCTCTCCATTGAACTCTCCGTCGATCGAATCCTTCGCCCCTTTCATCCAACTCTTCGCTTCACTTGATGGTCGACGCTCGTATCCATTCACTCCCTACGACTTGGGGATTCGGAGGCCTTGACCAAAGACAAGCAAACCCTTGGTGGCTATTTTCTCTTCAACGGCCTGAGCCCCCTTTCATTCGCAATCAACGCTCAAAGCGCCAGATAGTATCTGGCTCAAAGGAATAGTGGTCACCGTCATCTCTGCCCGAGGTCACAGTAACCATTTCTTTGTAGCCGTTTCCCAACCGGTGTTTCACGCTGCGGCAACTTGAAGAGCAATCTCACGATCCACCCGCACCGTCTCAAATCACGATATGATGTCGAGCAACTTTGTTTAACAATACCGAGGAAACCATTTACGAGTGCTGGGGATATCGGACTGAGCCGACTCATAGCACTGAGTGATAACGCATCCTCAAGATGCCCCTTCCGAATCCGCCAGTGGCGTTGGACAACGCGTGTTCCGTCATTTTCAACAACACACTTTACACCTTCTCGGCAGCTGCATTCCAAGCGCTACCGCTTTCGCCGGGAGCAAAATGGAAAAAGCTACCCCATGGTGAGAAGGTTACGGGGGGAGTCTGTGTTGGATCGACTCCAGGAGATCCAAAGTTGGCCGGGCTTTATGTGGTTGGAGGAAAGGGAAAGACGCCTGGTTACCAGGGCCTCCAAAAGTTCACATACTCGACTGGGAAATGGGAGGCCATCACCCCGGAGACTCCCGTGACACAAGACCGGCTCTGGCACGGCGCCGTCTACCTCAATGGCTCGGATTCGATTCTACTCTACGCCGGAGCTCAGGATGGAGCCAAGCATCCTTCCACCCAAACCTTCACTGTCGGTGCTTCAGCACCATATGCAGTTTCTGCCTTCCAGTCGGTAGCGCCACCCACAACCAACCCCATCCTCCTTCAGTGGTCCGACTCGCAGGCAGCATTGGTGGGCGGAAGCACGACAAATACGCAGGTGACGCTCTTCAGCCCCGAGACATCATGGGTTGATTCCGGAGCATCTCTGGCAGAACCGTTGGAGAAAGATATAACGGCGATGAAGGCTGTGCTGGTCAAGGGAGACGACGGATCCAAGAACCTCTATGTCTTTGACATGACAGTGTCGCCGAACCTGGTCAAGAGGATTGTATTGGTTGATGGACAAGGAGCACCGGTGCAGAACTCGGCCCCAGTCGTGAGGTCGGTGGAGGCCGTCGAGTCTCGTCTGGTGGGAAGGAGGGACGCCGAGTCGCTCACTGTGAATGATTGGCCGCAGTACAATTCGACACTGGCACCGAAAGCCACCCGAAGTAATTATGCCGTGGCGGAAGATCTGGATGGGCTGATCGTCTTCTCCGGTGGGAACGACGATGATATCCTTTGCATGTTCAATGGAAGGGGAAACAGTTGGCGGAATGCCACTGCTATGTTGGTGGACCAGACCGTGCTTGCCGCGAATACTGTTTCGTTATCCGAGTCAGCCACACCCACGGCCACGTCGGCAACGCTTTCAACCAGCAGCAGCATTGGCAGCAGCACTGCCACGGCTACCCCTACTCCAACCTCGACTCAGGCTGCGGCGACCGATTCCGGAAGCGGCGGGATCCCAACCAACACGGTCCTGGGTATATCCCTTGGCTCGATATTTGGGCTCGCCGTGGTCCTCATCCTCCTCTACTTGTGCCTCGAAAGGCGTCGCAAGCGGCAAGCCAACATTGAAGCCGGCAACGACGGCAGGGGATACGCGGCGTCGACGAGCGAGAAAGACAGCATTGTCTTTGCTAGTGATAGCTTACCTCGCGGCCCGGTGGGGGGTGGATTCCGGGGGCACCAGGTGCAAGACTCGCAGGGCTCGTTCTCATCAATAGCCATCTTGATGGGCCGCATCAAGCAGCAGGACTCCCACCAACCCGAGGGCGTCAGCCGCAATCCCAGCCATCAGACCAAGCGCAGCTCGACGAGCAGCATCTTTAACAAGGCCTTTAAGAGTACCATCAGCAAGCCGATGCCGCAAGGGGTTGCGCCCATGACTGCTATTCCGCCTCCGCCTCCGCAGCCCGCAGACGTGCAGAGCAGGGAAGACAAGGGTGTATCCTTCGCGCCGGACACTGCAGGAACAAAAACAACGCCGCGTGCCGCCAACGCCGCTGCCGCCACGGACCGGCAGGGTGCCACACGCCGCAGCTCGGGCTGGAACAGGTACTGGTCAGGCGGCTCGGCTTTGAACATTCTCGGCTTCGGTCACGGCAACGGTAGCGGTAATGGTGCTGCTGCTGCTGCCAACTCCAAGAGGATGACGGTTGAGTCTGCCCGGAGCTCTAACTACAGCGACCGGTCAAACTACCGAATCACTCAAGACAGCGCAACTGTGCCACCCCTGAACGTCTATGAGCCCCGCGCTTCCTTCAGCCGGGTCAACACCGGTAGCCCGACCATTGCGTATCACGATAGCAAGCTCAAAGAGGGTATGAGCGGGCAGATCGAGCGACCCGTGAGCGCGCTCAGCGATGGTTCTGCTTACTCGAGCGGCATCCCGGCATCTGTGCACGAGGCATGGGACCCGACGATGCCTGGGAAGCCCTGGGGTTCTGACAGGGCACCAAGCAGTGCCTACAGCAGCGGATGCACGACTGCCCTTGCGCCTGCCGGCTCCACGGCCAAGCAGCCGGCTCAGGCGCCGACCGGTGTGAGTCGGCAACCACAGCTTGCTATGGCGTCGACGTCCTCGGATATGAGCTGGTTGAACCTCGGAGACCACAAAGATTCGCGTGTCTGATCTTCCATCCCCTTCGCTTCTCGGACCCAACCATTGTCCCCATGGACGCCCGCTCCTTTACATAAAGAAAGACACGAACACCCACGGTCGAGATTCATGACAGCTTCCATAGCTTGACGCCCATCGCTTATACCCCATAAAGAGAGACGTCCCGGGGTACCATCTTCTCGTCGGCTATCTCATTCCCATTTCCACGATCTGGCTTTGGCCACACCATCGGCAGGAACTCTATCTTGTCGACATAGAAGCGCCCACGCATTTACGGAGGAAAGGAAACATCAAAAGTTCAATCCAGCCTTTCTTCAACTCACCTATATCAGTGCCTCGATTTTTCTGGCGTTTTCGAGACACCCATTGGCTCCTGGCGAACTTGAGGAGACTGCCCTCCCTCCGAGGACGTCTCCTTTTCCATTTTTGTTGAAAGTTGGCATCTCTCGGCGCTAGTCATTTCTGTTTTCATGATACACCACTGCACATAAACCTTATTCCTTCTTTTGCCGCCTTCTTTTCTTTTCTTCTATCCTGATGTTGTACAATGTAGAGCCATCGTCATTGGTGCGACCCCGGCCCGGTCATTTTCTTCGCCTCCCGTCCTTACACTCGATGATACCACCATTATCGTTGAAATAGTAATTTTTGATTGAGAGTTGGAGGTTGGCTTGGGGCGGCTGCTGGAGTTGTTGCGCTGCCCCTTGAATGAGAGGGATGGAATTAATTCATGGGAGAATTGGAGACTGGAAGTTTTCGGTCTGCCTGGTTCTCAGTGGTGGTTCCGAGACCGACCGTCCTGTATGTATCTGTATCAACCATACGGCTCCCGTCTCGGCAGCCCTGGGCCGCGACCCAGACCAGTTGCTGAGATCGGAAATATTATATGACATTCAAACAAATCACCTTGGCGAGCCCATGGTCCACTTGCGTCGCATAGCGCCGCTTCACTACCAAGGAAAGTCTGCCGTATCCTGGCTGAAGGGATATGATTGACACCTGATGCGATAATTCTTTCAACCGATTATTGTATACGGAGTAGACTAACCGCACACATGTCAAGCCTCGCCTTGTAAACCCGCCATCCATTTCCGGTCTTTTCCCGTTCCCGGTCCAAATTTAATAAAACTACTGCCTTCCCTCAGTCAGATCATATCACACCTATCGGGACCAAGCCATCTAGCGACTCAAAGGAGGGGGGTATGCACGTCGACTGGCAGTTGTAAACTGCGGAATGGGTGTGCTCCGTTTCGCTCTCGGGTGGGTGGTTCCACGAGGCGTGCGAAAGTGGGAAGTTTGGGGGCAAAGGGGGAGAGAGAACAGGCTCAGCCGTCGCACGCTGGCTGGGGAAGCTGGGAATCCACTGGCCTAGGCCCTGATGGAAGCTTACTCGACGGCCGTTGTTGTTAACCGGTCATGCCTCTAGCAATGGGCGGGCCCTCATGTTGTGTTACCCCGGCCCGTCCTTGGTCTAGGCTGCACATCGAGGGGGAAAGAGACCTTGCGTGGTGCCACAGGATGTCGATTGCCTGCAATCGGGAGTTTTGGCAAGGGGGGCCAAGTAGGAGGGGAAGGGGAATAAAATCAACGAGGTTCACCACAGGAGGAAAAGGGGGATAGAATATCCGTATATGTCCTGATGTCTTTGAGACCTCTTGGCTGGGAATCAGCCAGTTTCACCTTGCCAAGAGACGGCGCCAGAACACGCACGTGGCGGCGGCGGGCGTTGGTCGTCGGCGTAGCCGCTGTGCACACCGAGGAGAGCAGCTGCCTTCCCCGAGGAGGAATGTGAGCTCATTCCACAAAGCCGGCCGTACCTGATGTCATGGCCAAAGTCGCGAAACCCAGCAAATGATGGGCATTCCTGGGGTCCTTTCATAAACTATTCCGCCGAAAGTAGTTTCGAAATGGGACCAAGGGGGGACTAGCTAGATAGACACACGTGTAGGTGCCACCTGACCGCTTCTTAAGGGTCCAAAACATCCACCCTCCGGCCTTGCCCGCCCGGGGGTAACGGCGGGGTTGGCTGTCGATGTTGCCGTGCCATACAGATTGACTTTTGGAGAGAGGAAGTTGATGATCGGGGTCCTTTTGGTTGATAAACCAAGGTCGCGCCGAGGCTGAGCTAGAAAATTAGCTCTGGTTGGCATCTCCCTTATGTTTGTGTGAAACACCAGACTGGCAGATCTCGGGTGATCACTGGGTCTTGGACGAACCACTGAGCGACCTCGACCCGGGAGGATGGAGAGATCGCGCTCGACCCGGTTTACTTTTTGGCCTTTGCTTCACAGAAGGATTCCTCCAGAATCTTACCAGCCTACTCTATAGGTAGCCCCATTCACGAAGTTAGTCCAGGGTTAACCTTGGAAAATGCATTTCATACCACTTGCTGATATTTTATGCTGCTATTAGGGAGGTGCCGTCTTTTCGCTGCTGGCTTTCTACAGTATACGGATATGAAATAATCAGTTTCGAGTGATCTGACGGGAACATCCTCGTCAGGCACCTTACTTCGCTCACTGGCCAGCCTGAGTGTGGCTGGAATGGAAACTGCCGGGACCGTTGATGTTCGCTGAGGTATGTATTGTACATACCTAGGCACCTACCTACCTAACCTACCTATGCAGATATCAAGAATTTGATACAAATGAATACCTATGTACAGTACCTACCTAGTTTATTGGTGCCTTGGTATGGGTTAACCGGTCACAACAACGCACCTATAAAGCATACAGTGCTCCATATTCAGCAGACAGAAGGTGGAATCGTAGACCCAACGCCGTAGTGCGTTACGGTCCGCCATCTATTCTCTCACACCTTGAGGCAACCATCGCAGCCTCCAGCCGCCATGACGTCAGTGGCGCCTGCCCGGTCGCACTGATGATGCTTGGCGAGATAGAGTGCATTGTTGTACTGCTTCGCAGGCAAAAAAAGCAAAAAGGGAAGACGGTCAAGAGGGCACACCCTCCCGTGGTTTTGGGGCATTTCAATTTTCATTTGCTTGAAGAGTAATAAGACCTGTAGCCTGTTAAGTTGCTACAGTAGGGTAGCTCTGTCCAAGTTCTGTAATAGCGTCGGGACCGGGTTCTTACCGGGCTCATCCATCTCTTCCACTTGTATCTTCTCACGCATCCTTCTTCGCATAGTACAAAGGCTGTTTGCTGGGAGGCGCAATTAGGGTCGCCACTTTGGAGGGACAAGATTCGGGCCCGATGGACCCCATCCTTTCGCGTTTTGGCAAATCGTAGGCTCCTGGCTGTGGTCGCAACTTACAGGGATTTGGCGCGCTAACCGGCCGTCACGCGGCGTCTCGTTCCCCTGTGATAGGAGCTACTCGTTCCAGCTATTGTCAACGAAGAAGGCGGGTGGACGATAAGTTGTTGGTCAGTCAGTCTGGTTGGAATGATCTGATGTGTTACCTACCAGATGTGCATCCGTACATAATTAGATCAACCTCCGTTTGCCTGTGATACATGGCTTTCGATCAGATTGATAGCCACCTCAGTTGGTGGCTTGACCGCAATTGGAGCCCACCCAGCACACAGTGTCCCTTACCTCGTTGATCTCTTATTGGCTAGACACCGGCACATATGGACCCGACTTACCATTGCCCACCGTTTGCCCCACAGGCAAAGTCATTACCACAGTACGGATGTACAAACGTCGATTTACTTGGTGTTTCTTTTGCCAGCTGCCAACTGTAACCCAAGTTAGCGTCTGCTGAGCCTCCCAGGCAGGGAGACAGAAAAAGGAGGACGAGACAAAGCTCGTATAGGGCTACCTCGGTACACTACCTAGACCTAACAAATGATCCTAGTTATAGATACTGTGTGAATAGAGGAAGAAGAACCTGCTATGTATTAGTAGAGGAGAGAAGAAAATTTGAGGGGCTGGAGACCATCGTGTATGAATGAACGAGTGCTTTTTTTTGGCCCTTGGTCCCCGCTGCGGAGAATACGGTATTTTACCGGAGCCGTTTTCTCTATTTACAGACTTGACCTTTTCAGTTTTCACAGTTGAAGTCTGGGTAGTTCACAGGCAACGCCCCCTGCCCACAGCCCGCTCTGCTAGGCGCTTGTGATAGGTAGTGTATGTTGACTGCTGAGTAGGTACAGTACCGGTGCCGCCCATCCGCACCGCCGGGAGCTGGATTGTACCTAGGAAGGGCTCTACGGCGCTAGACCACCTAGGTAGGTAACGTTAAGAACAAAACGAGTTGGTCTTGACTTGCCAAACGGCGAGTTGTGTCGATCCATCCCCTTCCCCCCTTGTCACCACTCATTGCCCGTTCATTCTTCCTCCCTCTCCGCCTCGATCCTTCTCCCCAGCCCGCCCACCCTCCGACCGACCAGGCGCAAAAATACAGCGAGACGTCTTCAACCAGCATCTAGGCCCTCTCTCTTGCAGAAAGAGCCTTGGCCATCGTGGTAAGCCACTTAACCTTTTTCTCATTACCCATTTTCGCTATTCGCCTTAACAAACGACCGCACCTTCGCCACTACCCGCATCGCCTCGCCCATCGAGAGATTAATGGAACCATCGTTTTTAACTAATCGCCTTGCTCCCATCTAGTCCTCACCAGATGCAGTCGCATTCATAGCCCGAGAAATATCATTTTCACCAACTAGTCGCTCTTTCCGTCTTTTGAGTGCCGCGACGGTGTAGCGAAAACGAACCTGGACGAGTTGGGATGGCCGACGACTCGGCCTTGGCGGCCGTCGCCGCCGTCTTGAGGTCTCTCGCTACCGACCCTTCTTCTACTGCGGCGCCAATCCAAATCAAGCTCCCCATTGCTGAGAGCGCCGAGGCACAGGCTGTGGAATTTGAACTCGCATCGCTGGTCCTCCGTATCCAACAACTCGAAGCCAGAGCCTGCTCCGCGAACGGTACAGTCTTCCCAGATACACCTAACGAGACAACTGAGTCGCTCTTTGCTGCAAACGATGCCTCTTCATCCCCGGCAAGCCTGGGGAAGCCATCCAAACCCAAGCATGCACCCCCGATACCCCGAAACGGCTTCATCGATGACGCTCTCGAGGGGTTGCAAAAGCATGTCGACGGCCAGTCCAAGCTCCTGGACAGCCAGCGTCAGGAACTTGCGGGCGTCAACGCGCAGCTCCTCGAGCAGAAGCAACTGCAGGAAAGGGCGCTGGCGATGATTGAGCAGGAGCGCGTTGCAACCCTCGAGCGCGAGCTATGGAAGCACCAGAAGGCGAACGAGGCTTTCCAGAAGGCTCTCCGAGAGATTGGCGAGATTGTCACGGCCGTTGCCCGAGGCGACCTTTCCAAGAAAGTCAGGATGAATTCTGTCGAGATGGACCCCGAAATCACAACATTCAAGCGCACGATCAACACCATGATGGACCAGCTCCAGGTTTTCTCGAGCGAAGTTTCTCGGGTCGCACGCGAAGTCGGAACCGAGGGTATCCTCGGCGGCCAAGCCCAAATCGAGGGCGTCGATGGTACTTGGAAGGAGTTGACGGATAATGGTACTGATCTCCCACAGCACTCATCATTAACTCGAGTCCCATATACTGACCGTCTTCCAAGTGAACGTCATGGCCCAGAACCTGACAGATCAAGGTGAGACCCCGACCTAAATGCATCGCGTGCATATCTGTAAGCCACCCATATCTAACCTGGCCTTCTAGTGCGCGAAATCGCATCTGTGACCACAGCCGTCGCCCATGGCGATTTGACCAAAAAGATCGAGCGTCCGGCAAGGGGGGAGATTCTCCAGCTCCAGCAGACCATCAACACCATGGTGGATCAGTTGCGAACCTTTGCCTCCGAAGTCACGCGTGTGGCCAGAGATGTCGGAACCGAAGGCATCCTCGGCGGTCAAGCCCAGATAGAAGGCGTCCAGGGCATGTGGAACGAATTAACCGTCAATGTCAACGCTATGGCCAACAACCTCACAACACAAGTACGAGATATTATCAACGTTACCACTGCCGTCGCCAAGGGCGACCTTACTCAGAAGGTCCAGGCTGAATGCCGAGGCGAGATCTTCGAACTCAAGAAAACCATCAACTCCATGGTGGACCAATTGCAGCAATTCGCCCGAGAGGTCACCAAGATCGCGAAAGAGGTCGGCACTGAAGGACGCTTGGGCGGCCAGGCTACTGTGAATGACGTCCAAGGCACATGGCGAGATTTGACAGAGAATGTCAACGGCATGGCCATGAACTTGACCACCCAGGTCCGCGAGATTGCCAGGGTCACCACCGCTGTCGCCGAAGGCGATCTCACCAAGAAGATTGGGGTCGCAGTCCAGGGCGAAATATTGGACCTGAAGAACACCATCAATACCATGGTTGACCGTCTTGGGACTTTTGCCTTCGAGGTTAGCAAAGTCGCTAGGGAAGTCGGTACGGACGGGACACTTGGAGGTCAAGCTCAGGTCGACAACGTCGAGGGCAAGTGGAAGGATCTCACGGAGAACGTCAACACAATGGCGTCGAACTTAACTTCCCAGGTAGGTTACCAGCTTCGTCTTTGTCGATCCAGCTGCGACTCGTGGGTACCAAAGCACAAGACGTTAACAGAGTGAAAACAGGTCCGCGGCATATCGACTGTCACCCAGGCCATCGCCAACGGCGACATGAGCCGCAAGATCGACGTCGAAGCGAAAGGAGAGATTCTCATCCTAAAGGAAACCATCAACAACATGGTTGACAGGCTATCCATATTCTGCAATGAAGTGCAGAGGGTCGCGAAAGATGTCGGCGTCGACGGGATAATGGGTGGCCAAGCCGACGTTGCCGGCCTCAAGGGCAGGTGGAAGGAGATCACGACAGATGTCAACACCATGGCGAACAATCTTGTGAGTTGAAACAAATCGAATCGATGGCCAAGTGGACGGGGACATGCGGTGGCTGACATATCTCCCTAATCCAAAACAGACGGCACAAGTGCGAGCGTTCGGTGACATAACCAACGCCGCCACGGACGGCGACTTCACCAAGCTTGTCGAAGTCGAGGCGTCGGGAGAAATGGACGAACTTAAAAAGAAGATCAACCAGATGGTTTACAATTTGCGGGACAGTATCCAGAGGAATACTCAGGCAAGAGAAGCTGCCGAGCTGGCCAACAAGACCAAATCCGAATTCCTGGCAAACATGTCGCACGAAATCCGGACACCCATGAACGGCATCATCGGTATGACACAGCTCACGCTGGACACGGATCTTACGCAATATCAGCGGGAGATGTTGAACATCGTCAACAGCCTTGCAAATAGCCTGTTGACCATCATCGACGACATCCTCGATCTCTCCAAGATTGAGGCGAGAAGGATGGTCATTGAGGAGATACCGTACACGTTGCGGGGCACCGTATTCAATGCGCTGAAGACGCTCGCTGTCAAGGCCAACGAGAAGTTCCTCGAGCTTACGTATAGTGTTGACAGCTCGGTGCCGGACTATGTCGTCGGTGATTGCTTCAGGTTACGGCAGATCATCCTCAACCTCGTTGGCAATGCCATCAAGTTCACGGAACACGGAGAAGTCAGCCTGACGATCAAGAAGGCGAATCAGATCATCTGCAGTCGCGGCGAGTATGCGATCGAATTCGTCGTCTCAGACACAGGCATTGGGATCCCGTCGGATAAGCTCGATCTGATATTCGACACCTTCCAGCAGGCCGACGGATCCATGACACGAAAATTCGGAGGCACCGGCCTAGGTCTGTCAATCTCGAAGAGATTGGTGAGCCTCATGGGTGGCGACGTCTGGGTTAACAGCGAATATGGGAGAGGAAGCTCGTTCCACTTCACCTGTGTGGTCAGGCTGGCTGGTAGCGACATCGGCCTGTTTAAGAAGCAGCTAAAAGCCTACAGGGACCATCAGGTCCTTTTCATCGACAAGGGTAGGACCGGACATGGACCCGACATTGGCAAGATGCTCTCCAGTTTGGGCTTGGTCCCCGTCGTTGTCGACACAGAAAAGAGCCCGGTGCTCCAGGGAGGACAGCCGAAGGGGACACCGTACGATGTTATCATTGTCGACTCGATCGAAGATGCTAGGAGACTTCGAGCGATCGACGATTTCAAATATCTCCCCATTGTCCTACTGGCACCCGTGGTCCACGTCTCATTGAAGTCCTGCCTCGACTTGGGCATCACTTCGTATATGACGACCCCTTGCCAGCTGATCGACCTGGGCAACGGCATGATACCGGCCCTGGAGAACAGAGCGACGCCTTCCCTTGCCGACAACACACGCTCTTTCGAGATCCTCTTGGCCGAAGACAACACGGTCAATCAGAGGCTAGCCGTTAAGATACTTGAAAAGTATCACCACGTTGTGACGGTGGTAGGGAACGGACTCGAGGCATTGCATGCCGTGAGGAATAAGAAGTTCGATGTCATCTTGATGGATGTGCAGATGCCTATCATGGTGAGCGTCAACAAGAACCGGTTGTGAATCTCCTTTCCACCATGCTAACTGTTAGAAATAGGGCGGCTTCGAGGCGACGGGCAGAATCCGTGAGTATGAGCGGAATCTCGGCACTCAAAGGACACCGATCATTGCTCTGACTGCACACGCCATGATGGGCGACCGCGAGAAATGCATCCAGGCACAGATGGACGAGTACCTCTCCAAGCCTCTGCAGCAGAACCATCTCATACAAACCATACTCAAATGTGCGACCTTGGGCGGTCAGCTCCTGGAGAAGAATCGTGAAAGGGAGCTCACACGGGCTGCGGACGCTGCAACGGGGGGCCGTCATGATACCGGTTCTTTGACCCAGTACCAAAATGTGTCGACCCTCTTGCGCCCGACTCTGTCCCCTCGAGCTGTGACCAATGCTGGTCCACCCGATAGCCCCCCCATTCTCTCTGGGGACCAGCAAGCCCGAGTCAGCCCGGCACACAGTATTTCCGAACCCAATATCCACGCACCCAGTTGATGTCATTAAGCTTCGTCACACAGCGTCACATCCGGCTGATGGCCTAAAGTGTGTGGCTGGCCTGCCTACCCCCCTGGGCGAAATATACCACAGAATCGACCCTTGGCTCTCTCTCACCAGCTTTGCTCAGCTACCACGGAGGCTGGGACAATGCCCCTTCTTCGCAAACGAAGCGCTCTACTTGGACTATTGGATGGGCTTACGGACGCCATGACAATTACCACTGTTCTCTTTTTTTAATTACGGCAACGTCTTTTCCCTTGGCATCCCATCTGGCGTCTACGGATTTCGGTCGGGTTTTCATACCTCTCTACTGGACGGATTCCTCTCATGTAGTCTGGATGTTATAATGGTGTGGGATTTTCCTGTTTCATTGCCTAGCCGTCACTCTACCTGCTCTCGCTGGCTTCACATTACCATTGCATGGATATCGTCGTAGTTGATGCCCTCTCGTATCTAGATGTACTTTGGAATTGGTTCGAGGGCTAGCCCCTTCGTAGGGGCAAGGCGGGAAGGTGGCTCGCATCATGATACATATATATATATACACAAAGTTGGATGATGCACGCGTCTGTCTGCAGCAAACCTCGTTTGTTTCTCATGTACCCCCTATGTGAGCGAATATATGTGCGTGCTGCCGCCGCCATGACCGGAAAGCCAGGACGGACGGGCCGGGGCCGGGGCAGCTGGGTGCCGTTAGGGTTGGGGGGCCAGGGGCTTTCAAGGGACAAAAACACTGCAATTTTGTTGACAATATGCAACTCGGCCTGTTTCTAGGCGGTCTTGCGTGGTCTTTAAACTACTCAGTGCATCATCTCGAAGAGATAAAACTTTTTTCGCCAACATACATAAATAGGTATTGATTGGTGTAGGTTGTCACCAACAACTTTGAGCATCCATCTCAAAAGCCGTCATCGACGACCCTCTTGCCATCGTCGTGCGTCTATTCGCGGTTTGCCAATTCTACGCGCCTTCCCTTCTCCCGCGCATTGGAACATGGAGGGGGGGAAAAACAAGGGGTTGGCAGCCCAAAAAAGGGGGAGATCATATAGACATGGATAGGTGGTCTAGAGTACTATCCGTCCGGCCTCCAAAAGTGTTCACAATCAAACCCAACATTGCCCCTTGGACATGGTCTGCCTCATTGCGTTCATGCCTTCTCATGGGATGTATCGTGTGCGTTCCAAGAAGTTGAGGCCAGATGCTGCCAGACCAGAGCCGGGTTGATACAGCGACGGTTGGTGGTTAGGTAGGTGGGGGGTATCTGATGCAAATACGAACCAAGAAAACGTGGTACAGTCGTCCCAAGATACAGCCCGGCTAAATAAGAAACATTGTTCAAAGGTGGAAGTCATCTATGAGAGTCGTAAGGTGGAAGAGGCCTTGCACGCAGAGCCATCACGCGCGTGAGACTGGGAATTCAACTGCAACATCAGCAAGGGGCTCCACTGTCGGCGGCGCGTCTCATCGGGTCCGCCGCTGGTCGACAATTTCGCCAGCCCTCAGCAAAGCGCTCATTCCATCTAGGTTCGGCGCGGGCTTCTTCTCACCAGGCTTCGTGTTCCTTTGACTTGAGTAGCCACCCGCCGCTGACCGATGCGGAGGCGGAGGTTTTTGAAGAGTCGGCGACGGACCAGGCTTGAACTCTATTAAGGCCCAGGTTAGTGACTGGAGAACTGGATCAAGCAGAGTGAATGGCAAGGTACCGTTCGCATATGGCATCGAGGTGGCAACCCCCCGCTGCTCTAGGAGGGAAGACTTCTGGTCCGAGGGAGTCGAGTTCCCGTAGAACAAAGACATGGTCTCATGTTGCTGGTCCGAGGTTGTTGATAGGAGTGTGTGGATTGCGAGTGGGCCCTCTATTGGTGTCCGTGGATGGCCAAATGAGGAAGAGCCCGATGAGCTGCTGGTAGCCCAGGATTGTTCCTTCTTTAGGGCCTGCGGCCTGGATTCGCCGCCGACTAGAGGGGGAGGGGGATCCAGACTGCCTAGGGCTAAGCTGGGAGTTTGCGGGAACGCGAAACCGTTGACTTCGCTCGAGTGGCCGGCGCTGCTCGGGCGATTCTGCTGGTCAAACATATTGGACAAGGGCGGCAGGTGATGTTGCATGCCAATCTGGTCATTGCGAGTGTCCTCCAACCATGAACTTCGGAGGTGTGCAATCGACGCCAGGTCCCGTGGACTTGAATTTACAACAGGGGATCGCTCTGCAGATCGTCGATCGGGGCCATGGGATGACGGCGAAGGAACCGACTCATCCACCGACGTATAGCACGAGGCCGGCGTTGCGACCGATTGGGACTCTCTTGCCGACGCTGTAGATCCAATTCTCCGCCGTCGGCCGGCGGCGGGCTCGCTTCCCGGCTCACCTTCACTGGCACTTCCGCTCCGCGCCCTGCTTGCCCGGTTCGTAGAACCGTTGGTGGTGATCCCGCTTTGACTCCCTCCCTGGCTCTCCGATAACCTCAACCGCTTCGCGCTCTCCTTATCTAAAAGTCCTGCCGGGGTTAAACTAGGTCCAATAGGGTGAGCAGACGACGCATGCGTCTGCTATGGCAAAACGAGGACTTCAGAGGTTGGCTTACCCTGAGACTGATGGGCGTGTTTCGCCTTGAACTCCTGCAAATATATGCTGTACTTCTTGTAGCCTGCTGTTTTCTTATAGTCGGCCAAATCATTGTTGTATTTGTCCTTGGCCTCCTGTGCTTGGGACTCGAGTGATTTCTTGTCCGCCTGTGACAGATTCTGCCAATGCTCGCCAACGAGTTTGGCAATCTCGGTAAAGGTCAAGTTCCTGCCTTTCAGTTCATCTCGCATCTCTGATGAGAGAAAGGGGCAAGGTTAGCCACCCGGCGTGACACAACAAACAGCAAGGGACAATGGCATAGCAATGACATGCTAAGCCATCCCACACGTGACTCACTATTAGAAAATAGCACATAAGCTGAAGGGGGTCGCTGCGGCGCATTTTCATCCGGCTACGCAGCACATGAGGTCAATGGTCCGTTCTCGCACTATGTCGAAGGCCTCAGGACCACAAGTGAAAACCAACCTTGGGATGCCGCCTGTATTTCCGTTTTGCGACCGCTAATGTCGTATTCTCTCGACTCTCGGCCCTGGGTCCATCAGGTCTGAGCGCGTCAAGCCTCGGATCCTCAATGCTTGCTTGTGTTGGAGAAACTAATGAGGCATCGGGAGCGACACCTCGGGAATTGGCAATACGTCTCTGGAGTTTCTTCGCACAATCATCAGAACGGCTCCTATTAGAGTGTCGGGGGCGGCACAGCACTGTACTTACCCTGCGATGTCCCAGTTTGACCCCTAAAACATCCCTGCCAGGTAACAAAGGTACCACCGGTTAGATTCGCAACGCTTTCATAGCTGGCCGGCGTGGGTGCACTCACAAATCAGATTCGGTAACGTCGAGAATAGTCTCCCAAGAGTCGAACCCCTGATCCAGGAAGGCATCGAGATATTGCGAGATGCCGAGCTCTCCAAAGACGACCTCCAGTGGTTGCGTCATCCAGCCGGGCGGTTGTTGGGGTATGATCATATAGTGTCAGGGCGCAGCCTTCGGGCGACCCAGCTGCCAAATATATGCAGTGGGGTTGTTGTAGTCGCGACGACACGTCCCGGTGATGAAGGGGTGGAGGCTGTCTCAACGTTCCCGCAGGGCTTGGTGTAGTCGGCTGCTAAGACCATGGAACCAATGCCGGTAGAATTTTGAACGACGCCTGCCAACGAGCTCTAGTCTTTCTAGTCTCTTCTTCCTTCGTCGGCAGCCTCAGCAGAAAGGCAGCGAGTTGATGCTTCTTCAAGGCTCTCGTCGGGGTGGGCGGAACGGCGGCTTTTCAGAGGTCAGCCCCGCCGCCAGGTAAGCAATACACTAGATGGCCAAGCGTGGGATTCAACAGCGTGGACACGAGATGGCCGCGTGGGATCTACTTTGGAGTCAATGGCGATCGAGGCGTCGGACCTCACGAAGTACATAGGCTTTCTCTGGGAAGACGGTTGGGTTGGAGAGGTGCTGGAGGGTGACGGAGACTTCAATGACAACAAGTGCTCACGTAGCCAGGACCTGATGTTGCACAAACGGGAAATGTTCAAAGCACTGGGGAAGAAATGAACTCACAAGAACGGGCCTAGCGACCAAGATCGGCTGGTGGCCATAGGTTATATGCCACTTGTCTGCTAGTCGTCGCGGCGATCTCAGCTACGGAGGAGGATCAACGCTGGGCCAGAACGAGGTCTACCGCAGTCCACCTTAGTATGACGGATATTGCACCTGTCCAAGGTTGTCGCCGGCGCTGCAGTTCGCGGATACTGGATGATGCGTGTATCCTGGCTAGCCAGGCGACTAGAGACCAAGAATAACGGGCGTGTGGTAACGGGTTTTGGCCGTCAAAAGATCAGAGTCTCGAGGTAAAGTGTGGTCGACTAACAAGACCATTGACCAATGCTCCACCAGGGGTGTGTGGAGGCCGGGCAAGGATGGGGTGAATGGATGTACGTTGTGCATATAGGCAGGTACCTCTCATGCCTCGGGAGATTTGCTGTACTACGGTTGCTACCACCTGCAACTGTACACCAGCAGTAACAGATGCCGGAATGTCGCCGAGGGACTGGCTTCCGGGGACTTCGGTTAGGTAGCCCTTTGAACCTGAATTATGGGAGATTGGAGCAGAGCGAGCACATTTCAGCCTAGCGGAAGGGAGCAGGAACATGAGGACAGAGGCCGGGAGTGTTAAGGTTGGAGGTACGGATATGGTACAGCCCGTCAATTATCGATGGCACCGTTGGTGTACAGTAGGTACAACGACGGGAAGCCGACAACTTGAACACGGCCCCGCAATGAGCAACGGCTTCTACGTATGAGGGCATAAGGCCACGCCGTGGAGTGGGTTCAGAATGACATAAGGCACCTCTTTAACCATTCCTTTTTTCTCCTCACAATCAGTCGAGGAGTTATATTTACGCACTTGGGAAAAAATGGTGCTTCGAGCGGGGGTGACCAGAAACACTGCAAGTCTCGAAATGGGATGCTGGGTAGTGTCGAAATGCCATGGCGGGATGAAAGGGCGAATGTGAGGGTGGAAAAGGCGACTAGGGATCTCGATCTCCATCGATTTGCCAGGGAATGCAGCAAGAATCGTACGATATTCAATGGCGTGGACCGCGCGCTTCAGCCAATGAGCTGCGAGCAGAGCCTGAGCCCACCGCACCGAACAGAAGCAGGTCCCAGCACCCGGCTTGACGGGGAAAGAGTCGTTGGGATTGGGGAGAGGTCATGTGTGGGTAACTGGGTGCGAAAGGGAAAATGCCTGCTTGCGGGGAGCCGGAGTCGCAAACCGAGTGAGCGACATGCAAATTGAAATTCACAGAGATGTTTACGCCGCGATCCAAGGCAGGCAGGCAGGCAGGCAGGCAGGCAGGCAGGGAGGCAGGCACTTTCCCGTTTGGCAGGCAGATCCCTGCTGCAGATTCTCCCCCTTCCAATTGGGCGGCTTGGGGTGCCACCTGGCAACACAAGCTCCAGGCTGGCGGCAGTCGCGTACTATGCGTGGGTAGTTGGCCCAAGCCTCACGGAATGTCTTCTTCACATGGGTCTACATGCGAAGAATCCGTAAAGATGGGCCTTTGAGAATTAGCCATCCTGGCATTCTCAAATTTCGATGCATTTCTCCAGTCTGGTCACCAGCCCCCTTTGACCCTTACATAGTATGCCGAAGGTTTTCTAGCGTTGTTCGCCCCGACCCCGACCCAGGCCCTTGGCTCTCCTGATTCTATTGTCATACTCCATCATCGTTCATGACAAAACAACCTCATTCGACAGGACGTTTACGCAGTTACTATGGATGGTAAAGCTCATCGGAATCGGAGCTACCTACGCCGACTACCCAGGGAGTAGACCTACCAAAGCAGCAAGAGGAAAGGTCACTCTCTTCAAGATATTTCTTCTTTTGACGGAGCGAAGCCTCCCCGATCAAATTCGTTGACTTTTTGTTGTTTCTCATCAACTGGCAGCGAGTACACCTACATGCGTACAGCCTACCTTGGTACTTAGGTACATACGAGGAACCCTGCCCCGTGTAGGTACTGCGCAATGTACTACACCCAGGGTACATTATAACTGAACCGCGCCATCTCGCCCGCTTCCACCAACCAGGTGGTGACGTAACAGTTCGTAACCGTACCTAGGTACCTTAGGTATGTAGCAAAGCTACCTGCAGAGGTAGGTACTGAGTAAGTATCTAACCTGTGATGAGGTGATTGGTCCGTTTGCGCTCTTACCATTCGTGGGCTAAACACATGGCTTCCCTATGGCATCCCCTCATCATCAGCCTTTGAACCTGAGGTTTTGCAACGGGGAGTCGTTCTTCACACTGCTCGTAGGGCTCTGACCTATCATTCCCATTCCTCGACGATTTTGGCCCGGACACTCTCCAAAATCCAGCAGGATGGACCCAAGCGAGTCCCAGGGCGGCCACAGTGACGGTGCCCACGAGTCGGCAGGTTCCCCGCCTAACTCGACTCATGCACAATTTGCTCAGGTAAGCCCCTTACTTTACCTTGCGCCTGTCTCGGGATGTCACGATATGCCATCATCTTTATTCTTTTCCGTCTTGTACCCTCCAGTAGTGCCTCCAAAGCTGCTGACACTTGAGCAGGCTTTGAGAGAACTTTCGAGGTACGCATACGCATACGCATACGCATATTGCGATTTTGTTTTCAAACTCTGGCGCCCAACTTGGCCGGAGGTGTTTCCCACTTTGCACCTTTCCCAGCTTCTCATTCTCTGCAACCTCTGGACCTGGGGAGGGACCAGGGAAGGATGTTCAGCCCGCATTAGGGCTGCTGCCTCCCACCGCCTCACCGTTCGTCATGGGATCATCCCATCTACTGCCCAGTGCGTGTGCTCGTTTGGCTTCATTTCTCAAGTTTCGCGGCTCTGACGGCTGTCAGCCTGAGTCTTGTTCTGCACGTCTTACCGCGAAGTTGCCGTTCGCCTGTTCTGGTTGGCCCGTACTCCATACCAACATAGAAGTGTGCTGCTTTTGATGCTGGATCACCGCGTAACATTCCGCTTTCCATTATCCCCCAACAGATATCCCTTGGGGAAGCACCCTGGGAGAACCCTGATCTGCCCACCCTGGAGGACCCTGAAAAGGACCCTGGACCATGTGAGGAATCTTCCCGATGTTGGCCAAAGTGGGCTTTCCGGTCCAAGTTTTCTTGCAATTTTTGGCGTCTCCGCATCCCGACCTACCAGTTGGGGCCTACCAATGCAGCAGTGTCATTCAGGCAGGGTCCTATGTTACCTATTTGTGCATGGGGTAAGGGCTGTAATGTCGGAGTCAAAAAAGACCCCTGATATCAGCATACACCGCGCTGAGGCATGTCATCGCTGTCACGTGGATGCCACCTACACCGCGGTTATATGCCATGCATGGACAAGCCACAAATGCTAACTCGGTAGTTGCATGCAGAGGCGAGCAAGCTGCAGCTGCTCTCGAAAAGAACCTGTCAAATCTTGAGAGCAAGCTTGACGAGATTTTGGCGTCGTTCGAGGACAATATGCCGGCGGCCGATGAAAAGGAGCCTGCGCAACCGCCAACCGGTCACGGCAAAGAGCCAGCTAATGGAAGTGGGAATGACGGTAACAGATAGCATGGCCGCTTGGCCACCGAGGACTGGATAGACAGCGTTTTGCGTAAGCACGGTATCCCGCTCTATAGATAGGCCTTTGTTTCTCTAGATATCGTACCGTCGTGTCCGGGGCTCGCAGCTCGAGCTCGTTTATGACCTATACAAGCATAACCTGGGCTACGGCCGTTGCAACAGTTTTTGCATGTCATGGGTTTCACGAGGAATATCGTCGGCACTGAGAATTCGACGGCCAGGCCTGGATTCCACGGGTTGGATGTAGCGAAGATAACTTCAAAAACGCATCCCATATCATATGCACGCTCTCTCACCCTCATTTCTCGTCATAACTAGGTAAACAAAACCGGACCAGCCACATTACCCGCCCGCCCTTCTGGTCTTTAAGGGCCTAGGATCATGGGAGACAACAACAAAGCCGATCGAACTCCTATCCAGTACACACAGAGTAAGCCCGGTTGAAGGAGCCTTGTCCCTCAGACAGACAATCCCCCTGCCACCCCCACCTTGCCAACGGCCTTACTCCCCGCCGTCCGTGATTTCGGCAGACCAGTCCTTCCGGATGTCGAGCTCGTCGAGCGCGGAGTTCTTCGTGATGACGAGGCCCTTCTCGTTGGCGAGGTGGAGCAGGCAGATGAAGCAGAAACTGGTCGAGATGTCGTCCATGGCCGTCTTGGGATAGACCCTCTGAAGGTCGTTCATTACGTTGGTGAACTTCAGCGCCGGTTGGTCGCCTCCACCGCCAGCTGAGATGGCGGGAGGCGGGCTTGACTCATCGGCCGGCGGCGAGGGCAGTCTTGGTTGAGGGGGTTCCTGTCCAAGGAAGGTCAGTCAGAGATCGATGCCGAAGAAGGTATGGGGGGTTAGATAGGGATGTTCCGGTTCTCGCTTACGTTCTCGAGCTTCTCCAAGCGCATTCCCTTCCATATCTCCTCCTTTAGCCTGCGGACATCCACCTTCTTCGCGACCCGTGCGTACTGCAGGTATTCGGGCCTCACCCTCCTGTTCTGAGTAACCAGCATAGTGCCGAACGCCAGGTCGGCAGGGTTCGTGACAGTCAGGCCGGTGAAGGCGCCCGTCATGCCGACATCCTCGGTCATGCCCAAGTTGGCCCCTTCCCCTAGGCCGGGGGAGAACTGCTCGCGGGCATCGGCAAACTCGTCGATGTCGTCGTCGTCTTCGAGACCGGTGGCCCCCGCAAACGGCAAGCCGTCGTCCTGGAAGAAATTGGCGTCGTAGTCACCCTGGGGGAGCGCGGTGTCGTCGCCCGGCGAGCCGGTCTCCACGCTCTCTATGGGGGCCTTCCTCGCAGCCCAGAAGGCCTCGTCCATCTCGCCCTCGGGCCCGTCGTGGTTCTGCTGGTCGCCGTTGCCAAAGGCGCCGCCGCGGCTACCGAATGCTGCTCGCCTCTGGGCAAGGCGAGCCTTGGGCTTGAGGAAGAGGCTGACGAGCTGCTTCGAGTTGAAGTGCTTGTCGTCCGGGAGCAGGTTGCGCGACTTTGATTTCCAGTCCTTCTTCGGCAACGAGATGGCCGAGGTGCTTGAGGCCTGGTTATAGATGACCTCGCCGAGGGCCGCATCGAGTGGCGATGAGAAGTCAATCTCGAAGGGCTGCTTCTCTTTCCTCTGCCGTGTCGGCTCGGACGGCTTGTTGACGTCCTTGATCTTTCGTATTCTCCAGTGCTCAGCATTTGTCCAGTTCTTCTGGAGCGCTTGGTCAAAGTAACTGAGGATGTCCTCGTGCACCTTGTCCGCCTTCTGGGCATGGGTCATGGAGACGACGAAATCGCCGTTGACATTGTCCAGCATATCAACACCGTCGCCGTCACCTCCAGCGCCGTCGCCGAGCCCGACATCGAAGACTCGCATCATCTGTTGCTCCAGCGCAGCTTCTCGAGCCCAAGCCTCGCCACCTTCACCGAAGTTGACTTCCGGTCCCATGCCGAAAGTGCCAAGGGCGTCAGTATCGTCGAAACCAAGCATGTTCTCCTCGTCGATGAACATGCCCGATTTGTCTCCGATGCCTCCGGACTCGGCACCTTTTTCCTTGTCTTGCTCCTGTCGCCAGTCTTCTGGAGCTTTGAGGAAGGGGATATCCAGGGATCCCGAAGGGTCTCCAAGGTCGAATGTCTTCAGTGATGGGCACACGTCCAGTTCGTCGAGGCCGCTGAGGTCGGGGAAGAATTTGGCACCGAGCGATGCGATGTCGATTTCGACATCCTCGTCCTCCTCCTCAAGCGCCGCGGTCTTATCCGCAGTCGAAGCATCAAGCTCCTCTGCACTATCATCTTCATCGCCTTCCATGTCGTCCTTCTGACGCGACTTGGACTCGGCAGACGCATCTCCTGTATCGTCGCTACTGTCGAAGACAATGCGGCCTTGCCCGTCAATCATGAGATGGTTAAGGAGCAGGCCTTTGGCGCCGCCCTCGTCGAAATCCGCCGAGGCTTTCTTGAATAGGGGATCGACGGAGAATTCGAGCTCGAACTTCTTTAGTTGCAAAGAAGCAAATGACGGGGCTAGTGTTGCCTCGGACGATCGCTGCGACTACGCCATGTGTGAGCAGAGGTTCGTCAAATGGGGGCATATTCAAGGGGCACGGAACCTTCTTCTTGGGCTTCTTCTTAATGTTGCCATCCTCGTCTACTTCCTCCTCTTCCTCCTCGTCCTCCTCGCCTTCCTCGCTATCACGGCCCTTCCTCTTGTTGTCCCGGCTATCGGCCAGGCCGCTTAGAAGTTTACCGGTCTCGGTTGCAACACTGTCGACTCTGCTCGTATAGATCTTGACGCAGCCGTCCAGAGTGCAACTTGCTTTTTGGAAGTTGACGCCGTCGCCCTCCTTCAGCAGAGACATGTCATGAAAGTAGTCGATCAGAGCAAAATTCCACGAGTTAGCCGCGTTGATCTTGTTGTCGGTAGCCATTTTCATCCACTCCTCAAAGTTGGCCAGGATCGGGACGCGCTTCATAGGCGTGACCGCCGAGCCGCCGACGACGAATCGCTCGTGGTCGTCGTCTATCGCCATCGCGCCGTTCTGCCGTGACCGCACCGGCGTGCGCGGATTTGAACCCGGCGATCCGGCATTCTCGTCCCCGTCTAGCGCAAGGCTGATCTTGCGCGCCGGGGTTCCAGTCGCTGCGGCTTTGAGCTGGTTGATCTGTGCTTCGTGAAGGGCTTTGCGGCCATGCGACCGGCGCGCCTTCTCTTGTGCATCGTCGTTAAGCGGGATCCTGGTGGACAGAGAGTCAGCTAGTTAGTCGGAATGCGGTTGCTATGCGAGTCTGTTTGTCTTGTCGGGTTTCGCCAACTCACTTAACCGGTGACTTGAACGGCGATGCGGACAGAGAGCCAGAAGCCGTCCTGCTAGTGGCGCTTTTTCGCGGTACCTGAGCCACCCGAGGCATTTTGTTGATGTTGTACTTCTGATGTTGGGATGGTTCGCAGTTCGCAGTTCGCAGTTCGCAGTTCACACCTTCGGTGCTTAGGAGCGAGGTTCAGTGTTTTTGTTTACTTCTGAGCGCGCCAACATTGGTGGCGGCCGATCGGCACGTGCAGATACCGAACTAAACAGGAGCTTGGGTTGGGGGTGGGGTAGGGTGACTGGCGAATCAGGGCTGGCTGCATATCAGAAGGTTTCCCTATTAAAAGGGGCAGAGGGCTGAGTAGGGCGGGGCGAGAGGCAACGTGCACAATTACGCCATCATATCCAGATTAGGGAGAGCTGATGGGGGAATACCATCTTATACCATAGTACATATATCCGTCACATCAAGGCACGCGAGCTCTTATCCCAACTATCTAACATCTCATATACGCAGTACATGTTGTTTAAATCATCGATCTTAGCTTCATATCTATTGGATTGACCACTCCATCATTCCGGCTGTCTCCGCGATGTCATAATCTCAGAATGTCGGCGTCCCACCTCAGACGACGCAAACTAAGCGGGCGACCGTTTGTAGTGTCAACGCTCCTCATTACCTTGATAGCGACATATGCGTTGTTTCTGCGAGGAAGCGTCTCGAGTAGCCGAAATGAATCGCCTCTCCTTCATTCGAGATCGGCCGAGCCAGAATGCCACGATGTCCACCATGCCGAGGACCAGTGCGCTTTTGTCCTGGCTTATTGTCAAGATGATGAAGCCGGCCTCCTGCCGTACCTCACTCTCTATTACTGCACCCTAGGCAATGCGCGGCCAGTCGCATTCGTGGTCATGGTCGCCTGGCTAGGCCTACTGTTCACGACGATAGGAATTGCTGCCAGTGACTTTTTCACTGTCAACCTGAGCACCATTGCCACAATCCTGGGTCTCAGTGAGAGCTTAGCGGGTGTCACTTTCCTTGCCCTCGGCAATGGTTCCCCCGACGTCTTCAGCACATTTGCTGCGATGGGTTCCAATAGCGGCAGCATGGCGGTTGGCGAGCTGATAGGAGCGGCTGGCTTCATCACTGCCGTTGTCGGGGGCTCCATGGCCCTCGTCCGCGAGTTCAAGGTCAGCAAGAAGTCGTTCATTCGGGACATATGCTTCTTCATCGCTGCTGTCAGTTTCACCATGGTCTTCCTCGCGGACGGCGCACTCCATCTGTGGGAGTGCTGCGTCATGATCGGCTTCTACGTTTTCTACGTCTTCGTCGTTGTCGGGTGGCACTGGCTCTCGGCGCGCAGGAGCAGGAGGCGCATGAGAGAGAACGTTTCTCGAGGCCACTTCTATGGGGTGACCGGACAGGAAACCGACGAGCTAGAACCGTATCGCGACGATGAGGAGGAGGAGGACACTGCGCCCGTTGGCCATCGGTCACCTGCCGCAGAGACACCTGACATTAGTGCCCTCGAGCGCGCCTCCTTGCTTGAGCCAGATTCTGCAATGTCTCAAGCCCCGGACGATGAGGATGATGAACGAGGACGGCATGTTGCCGCGGAGATGACTAGCAGCATGCGCGTGATGCGGCCACGCTGGGGGAGAAGCAACACCACCATCACGCCAATCCGGCCCAGCTTGGTTGGTGCTTTGGAATTCAGATCCGTTCTGGCTTCTTTACAGAAGGCCAGAAACATGCATCTGACGCCGCTGCCCGGAAGATCATACTCAGACAACCGATCGGTTGATGGACCCCATGGACCCCCCGCACAGCCATCTGCATCGCTCCACCATGCTTCTAGGGGTATCCCCTTTGATCGGAGAGAGCGTGCCCTATCGTCAGGGAACGCGCCTCTGAATCTGGATAACTCCGGGTTGCCTCGTCCTGAACTGCTGGTCAGGCCCTCGAGTCCGCCTCGATTTACAACCCCTCGATTTGCAAGCCCCGGAGCGACATCCATCGACGGGCGGCTCTCTCCTATCCCCGCACGTCACCTAGCAGAACCTCAGGCGGCACAACAACAACCACAGTCGCCAGGGCCGCCTCCTCATTTACGACTCCAGATTCCCAGCCCTTCGAGGGGATCAAGTTGCCAGTCGTCACCCTCGTTGTCGCCCTTCCCAGCAATATCCGAATCCCCCATGCCGATGACGCCCAATGTCTCAGGGCACCCATCCGCCTTCATGCTACCCCATCCCGCCGTAGAGCGGCATTCCTCGATTGCCGGTCTTGGCCTTGATGACTACGACGAATCCCCAAAGCCAGTCAACTGGTGGCCGTACAGGTTTTTACCCCCTCCTCACGTCCTCTGGGAGACTCTCTTCCCAACCTTGCAAGGCTGGAGAGACAAGACTTTCTGGGACAGGACGGTTAGCATCATATCCGTCCCAAGCATTTTCGTTCTGGTCACCACATTGCCGATTGTCGAGACCGAGCACGACCACGATGACGAATCGGAGGATGGTGCAATAATCAACCCGCCCGAGATTCGGGTGGGCGGGGATACCGTTCCACCAGTAGTTGTGGAGCAGGATGGGACCATTGAGCCCGAGACAGAATGGCAACGATACCGCCGCAGTACAATGACCTCTATATTCCAGCCATCCGTAAACACGTCCCCGGCCTTGGTCCCCCTCAGATCTCGACAACCGACCGAGTCGCTCATCCCAGATATTGGTGCGCAGGCTGAGATGGCCAACCATCAGCGACCGAAGCCCTCCCCAAGTCTGGAACCCGGTCGCTCCGTCACCTCGACGGAGGGTCCTGCCGGATGGAACAGGTGGCTCGTTGCGCTGCAAATCTTCACCGGGCCCCTCTTCGTCGTCTTCATCCTCTGGGCCAACGTGCGCGAAGACGTCGACCAGCCCGGCTGGGCGCTGCTGAGGTCGATCCTCTACTCGCTCCTCGTCTCCCTGGTCATGCTGGCCGTCCTCATGACCACCTCGCCGCACAAGAAGCCGAAATACCACTTCCTCCTCTGCTTCCTGGGCTTCGTCATCAGCATCGCCTGGATCTCCACCGTCGCCGGCGAGGTCGTCGGCGTCCTCAAAACCTTCGGCGTGATCCTGAGCATCTCCGAGGCCATCCTCGGCCTCACCATATTCGCCGTCGGCAACTCCCTGGGCGACCTCGTTGCCGACATTACCGTGGCCCGCCTGGGCTATCCGGTCATGGCGCTGTAAGTTCATCCATCCATCCATTCATTATATCTGCCTGTCACAATGTGTGGTGAAGAACACTGACTCACGAGAACCAAAAAGGGCTGCGTGCTTCGGTGGACCCATGCTAAACATCCTGCTCGGCGTGGGGATCGGGGGCGCGTGGATGACGATCAAGGCGGCGAACAAGGACCACGAGAGGCACCCGGACTCACCCATACGCTACAAGCCGTACCATATACAGGTCGGCGGCACGCTGCTGATCTCGGCCGTCACCGTGCTGCTCACGCTCATCGTGCTGCTCATTGCCGTGCCGTCGAATAAATGGGTCATGAGCAGGAAGATAGGGTGGGGCTTGATAGCCATTTGGACGCTAAGTACAATTATCAACCTCGTGGTCGAGATGACGGGAGTGTGGTCGGACGTGGCATGATAGTACATACATAGTATAGTATATAAATCAGAGGGGTATTATGTTGGTTCAGGTCGCATTCGAACATCACAATCGCTCCCATGCGACACACGGTTGAATGGATGGCTTAGGGATGTAATTTCAGTATGTATTTCCGTACCGTAGACCGTAACCGTACAATTATATCTATCCTCCAGGCTATGTATGGACCAGACGACTGCGATACTAGACTACCGTGGGGTATATGGTGGTACTTACCGGCCGGAGTCGAGTGCCAGCAGATAATGCCAGCTTAAGTGTCTGGAAAGAAAAGGGGAAAAGCCAACCCTCATGAGCAACTAGGTATGCGCTAAGCGCAGATGAAACGATACTTTTGGACGCCCTCGGTAAACCCTCGGAAAGCAGCGGTGACGTGAAGCTTGGTCCACTCCAAGATGTCCACGGGGGGACATAAGGAGGTTCATCCCAACTTCTATGTCGAAGCCCTCGGAGCCTGCGGAAACCGCGAAACCCACAGCGACAAGGTAACCCATCTTGGTGTGTCAGATCGACGCGAAGTCGATGAGCCCACATGGTCTCGGCGAGCTGTCAAAGAGCAACCAGCTTGCCACGGATAGTATCAAGCCCTCGGGTGTATCGCACTCCTTGCTAGAAGTGTTTTCTCTCGGAAGCCCACTACTCCTGGAAGGAGTGTAAGTTTTCAAAGCCGACAACCCACTCGAAGCCCACTATTGTGTCCGACAAGAGCCCTCAGGGACGATGGACAATGGAAACATGTGCGGCTGGCCACCTTAGAAGGTGATCTTCTTGCCCTGGAAGCCACCACCACCGCCGCCACGGCTGAAACCACCACGGTCTCCGCCACGGCCACGGCCACCACCACGGCCACCACCACCACGGCCGCCTCCTCGCCCACCACCACCACGGCCGAAACCACCACCACCACGGTCTCCGCCCCAGCCACCGCCGCCACCACCGCCGCTGTTCGGGTCACGAGGCTTGGCAAAGTCCAAGCGGACGGCCCGGCCATTGAGGAACTCCCCGTTCTTGGCCTCGAAGGCAGTCTTCGCATCCTCGATGGAATGGAAAGAGACATAGCCGAAGCCCTTTGGCTGACCAGTTGTCCTAGGAAGTGTGTCAGAATTATCAAGGACGTTATGTGTAGGAGCGGATTGCAGAAACTCACTGGTCAGTTGGGAGCCGCAGGCTCTGGACCTTGCAAACGTCGTTGAAGAAGGCAGAGATGGCGTCCTCATCAGCGCTCCACGGGATGTTGGCCACGAAGAGGGTATCACTCTCGGGGCTGATCACATCGCCATGCTGCTTCGCACGGTCGAAGGAAGCCGGGCGGCCACCGTTGGCGGCGTCGTTGTTGGCACGCTTCTGGGCGAAGTCCAGTCTCATGTCGCGGCCGTCAAGCAACTCGCCGTTCTTCTCGTCGTAAGCCTTCTGTGCGGCGTCGGGCGTGGTGAAGTCGACGTAGCCGAAGCCACGGGACCTGCCGGTGTTCCGGTCAGTGATAACGCGAGCGCTGGCGAGATCGCCGAAGCCCTTGAACTCCTCGAACAGAGCGTCATCATCGATATTCCAGGTGAGGTTGCCAACGAAGAGGGTGAGGGGCTTGTCCTCAGACTCGTCCTCGGTCTTGGTCTTCTTGGCCGGGGCCTCGGCCTCCTCCTCAGCCTCATCCTCAGCCTTACGCTTCTTGGACGGGGCCTCAGCCTTAGAGCCCGTCTCAGAAGAGGCTTCGGATGCGTCAGAGTCGGATGCCGAATCATCGGAGTCATCTTCTGAGTCATCGGATGACTGAACGACGAGGTTAATATATATGTACATCCAGGGGAGAGTAGTAGCTATGGTCACTTACGCTTGCATCGGCATCGGCCTTTGCCTTGCCGTTGGCCTTGACAGGCTTGGCTTCGGTCTCCTCCTCGTCGGAGGAGGAGTCGGAAGAATCAGAGCTCTCCTCGGCGGCAATCTTGGGGGCGGCCTTGGCCTTTCCGTTGGTCTTGGCAGCCGTCTTCACCTTCTTAGGCTCCGACGAGTCGGAAGCAGAGTCGGACTCGGAGTCGTCAGAGCCATCCTCGGAGGCCGAGTCAGACTCGGAGTCGTCAGAATCGTCCTCGGACGAGGAGACTTCAACCTTCTTGCTCTTCTTCTCCTTTCCGTTCACAGCCTTGTTGGCGATGTCCTTGGCCAATTTCTTGGACTGGACCGCCGGGCTGTTGGCCGACTTGGTGACACCAGCAGGTTTGGCAGCGGCGACGGGTTTGGCAGAGCCCTTGGACTTGCTCTTGATATCCTTGACTTTACCCATGATGAAGATGTTATGGAGGATGGATTGAGATGGACTGGATTTATTTTGGGGGTGAAAGGTGGTGTTGGAGGGACGAAAATTCAACTTTACAATTCGGGGTGGGCAGTTGATATAGGCGGTTGGGAGGCTGGGTTCGTCTCGAGAGCTAGGAAAAAAACCTAGATTTTTTTCTTCACAGGTGGGGACCCAAGGCGGTGAGGAGCAAAAATTTACTTCAATGATCACTTGGCGCGGATAGGTAGGATGGAAAGTGTCTGTCTGTACCTAGGTACCGAGGTGGGGGCTGCAGCCGTACGGATAGGCTATTTTTGGTGCCTGGATATCAAGGCGGCAATTTCGGAAGCTCAACTGGAAGCATCCAAAGCTCAGACATCAACTGATCGTTGTTCCAAGGCATTGGAACTTCCCCCGCGTCCTCTGCACTCTGCCACATCAGCGCGAGCGCCTGGTCCCGGACTACGTCGAAGATATTTTTTAAGGTCACAGCCTACGCCCAAGATGCCGACACCCGAATCTGCCGCCTTCCTGGCCAAGAAGCCGACCGTGCCCCCAACCTTCGACGGTGTCGACTACGACGACAACAAGCGCTTGAAGCAGGCCCAAGATGCAATCATCAGGGAGCAGTGGGTACAAGTCATGATGGGGCGTCTAGTACGGGAGGAGCTTAGCAAGTGTTACTACCGGGAAGGGGTCAACCATCTGGAGAAATGCGGCCATTTGCGAGGTCAGTCTGCTTGACCCGACCCTGTGACGAATTGCAACCAATTGGAGTTGCAATCTCAGTTGAACTGTTCTCGACCACGCCGGAGAGAATGGGAATTGATTAATGGAGCGTATTTTGACTGACAATCACAGAACGGTACCTGCAACTTCTCAAGACCGGCCAGGTGAAGGGTTATCTGTTTGAGCAACAGAACTACATTTCGAAACAGGAATGAATGGAATTGGAGGTTACTGGAGTATAAAGCATTTCGAATTGGCTTTTTATGAGGCATCTCTCGGACGGTCGAGGCGAGAGCAACAGCAGGGCTGCAATTGCAGTGCATGAGGGTGCTGATATACAGGGGCGGAGGTCAAGCGGAAGCCACCCCAACTGTACATATACCGATCCAATGTACCCAATCGGACATTTCAAATTTTCAAAATTGCATCCAACTGTTCTACATGTCGTATTTTGGCAGATTTCCTACTTGTAGGTCGTAAATTGCGCGTGTTGCGTTCTATCAATAAGCACATGTTTAGTAGGTTGGCAAGTTGGTATCTGAACTGCCATGGTGGCTCGTGCCGCCCGCCCCATAAATTTTCTATCAACATACTTGAAGGTGCCGACAGACCTCGAAAAGCAACAACTCCCCCAGTACGCAACTGCCACACACCCCGCCGTGTGACCACCAACCATGATCTGCCGGACGTGTCTAAGGCGAGCCGCCGGCCTCAGCCAGCGGCCGCAGGCTCTTCGCACATTCACGACCAGCATAGCCTTCCGCAACGCCGCGCCGGCAGCAGCACCACCTGGGGCATCGCAGCAGATCCCCGACCTCAGCACACCGCTGACCAAGCCCGGCGGCGGTGATGACGCATCATCATCCTCAGCGACGGCAACCGAGTCGAAGGCGGCGCTGTCCTCCTGTCCCGCCGGAACAATCCTCACCGGCCTGAACTACCTCAAGGGCAAGGCCGACCCCGTCGCCGCCGCGGACGAGGAATACCCGGACTGGCTGTGGAGGTGCCTCGAGGTCCAGACCAAGACCGAGGAAGCGGACGAGACCGCCGGCGACGAGTTCTGTATGTTTCACTCGCCCCCCTTCCTTCCTTTCTTCTCTCCCTTATCGACGCGGGTCGTCAACGTGTTGTATCAATTAGCTAACCTGGGCTTTCCTTTCTCTCCACAGCCAAGTCGAGGAAGCAGCGACGGCTGGCGGCGAAGCGCCAGCGGATACTGGAGGCGAAGATTCTGGCCTCGGGAGACCTAGAGGCGCTGGCCCCTAAGATACCCCTCCAGCAGCAGACGATCAACCTGCCCGCGGCCGAGGACGGCAGCGTCGACGGCGCCATCCTCGCCTTGACTAAGAGGGAGGAGCTACGCAAGGCCATGAGGAAGGAGAGGAGGGCCAAGATCAAGGAGACCAACTACTTGAAGTCGATGTAAATATCACACAGCTGTACTCATATCGCCAGGACGGGACGGGGATAGATAGGATGTTGTTGTATGTATCATATTTTTGGAACCCGGGCACTTTAGAATGCCCTAACGCTAAGCCTCCCATTGGGAGAACTGCTTTTGTAAAATATCTTCCTGCTTTCCACCGAAAAGGCCCCTGCTCCTCTTGTGCCCCTGAAGCATTCTGGCACCGGGTCATGTCCATATCCTACAGCTAGAATACTCCTGTAAATGACTTCCTGAACGCAGTCCGGAACTAACGCCTTGCCCACCGAGATTGGGTTGTAATCCCTAAAGCTAATCGTCGTCCATCTCTCCGATGGAGGACTTCTTCAACTCGACCTCGGCCTTGAGGTTCTTGATATTCTGCTCAATGCGTCTCTGCATCATGGGCTGCACGCTTCTAGCGAGCTGCCCCTCGAGGTCCGTGAGCTGTTTCTTCAAGTGCGCGATCTCGTTGCGGACGGCGGTGACCTCATCGTGCCGGACGCCGTCCACATCGTCCTCGTCGATGTCGCCATGGTCGCCTTCGTCCTCTTCTGATTCGTCCTCCTCGTCCTCGTCCTCGTCGGCGTCGGCGTCGACGTCGACGTCCTCCTCCGCGCCACTTGCATCTGTCTGGCCCGCCGGAGTTGCCGTGTTCGGGGTCGTCGGCGTGGCTACTTCTAATCCGACGCCCAGAGTCGGGGTGCCCGCGTCAAGAGGCTCCGCCATTGCATCGCTGACTTGGGCCTCGAACTCGGCCTCGAGAAGCGCATCGTCGAAGTCCAGGTCTGCCTCCATAGCGCCTCCGTCGCCGAAGTAGTCCTCAGCCTCACCTTCCGCGTCTGCTTCCGCATCTTCCTCTCCTCCTTCTTCTTCTTCTTCCTCCTCCTCTTCCTCTTCCTCCTCCTCCTCCTCCTCCTCGTACAGTTGAGAATCTTCCCTGCCGGCCGCGTTGGCCTGGTGCCGGTCGTCGACAAACTCCCATCTCGTGCTTGCAGCCTCCTTATCGGCCCTGAGCAAGCGCTCGACTTCGGCTTCTTTGTTCTGGATCTCCAGCTTGCTCAGGCGCTTCCGGAATCGCCTGTGAATGCAGTCGTGCATTGGTGGGGTGAGACCGTGCGGCCATCTGTAGCCCTGCTCGGCCAGCTTGGGGAGCTTCGCGTGCCTCACCTCCTCCTCGTTCTTGACCTTTTCAAACACCAGCAGCATCTGGCAGATGTCCGCAGCCTTGATGAGAGACTTCTTGTCCCAGGTCTTCATTGCCTCCGTAATGGTGGGCAGGTCGAGTAGAACGGCGGCGTAGTTCTGTCCTTGAACGGTAACCATGCACCGCCGACCCTCGTCATCGACCCATTTCATCGAAAGGTCGGCGCCTCCTTGATGCCGAGGGAGGCCAATCTTCCGCTCTTGGATAGCCTTGCGGATGTAATCGCAGTGCTCGCCAGGTGGCATGCGCAAGACGAATTGCTCCTCAATGATCGGATCGGCCTCTCCGTCTTCAGCCTCAGAATCGTAGCCATCCCCCGGTGGGCGGTAGGGTATCTTGCCCGCGTTCTTGAGCTTTAGGGTGGGCGGCCTGGTCAGAATCGGTGTCTTGAGGACCTTGATTCGCTTTGCCTTTGGCTCCGTCGTGGATGACCCGTTCACAAGAGGCCCATCCCCATGTTTGTCACCGAGTGTATCGTCCTTAGCGCGTTTCTTGGCTGTCGGTTTTGTTATACGCCCCGTCTTTGTCCTCACGGACGGCTTGGGTTCTTGTAGAATCGGTACCGGCGGCGGCGGCATAACCGCTGGATGGGCTCCATCTGGGGGCGCCGAAGGCAGGGGCTTCCTGGCGACGCTGAGCTTGATCTTTGTGCCGCCCTCGGAGGAAGGGGTCTCGGGGGCAGGTGAGGTTGCGAACGGCAGAGCAGAACTGGGAGTCGTCGCGGTCGGCGTCGCCGCGCCTGAGGAGGTGCCGCCAATCTTGAGGGTAATCTTCCTCTTCGTCTGAGGGGGTTCGGCCATCTTTTATTCGTGTTGGTGAATAGGAATCGAAAAGGTATCGGGGGATTGGATGGCTTCAAAGGTCAGATCGGCGCCAGCAGCGCGCGACGAGGTGAGAGACTCGTCATAAACGAGGTTCCATAGATTATGGGAGATGCCAGTAATGGGGGAGCCGGGAGCTGGCCGCCTGGTAGCTGATATTCAAGTCGATCTACCCATTCCCTAGGTAGACAGGAAGTTAGGAATATGCTGGCGCTACAACTGGAGATTCTGGTCTTCTACCCGTCTGAATAGGTAGGCAGGAGGTGATGGATGATTGGATGTAATGGACGCAGTCAAAGCCCCTCTACGGAGCACTGCACCGTTTCCTGGCATTGTCTAATTAGTGGGTGGCATCCTATTGTTACCTGGTCTGAATAGCAAGCTGTGCCAGTCTAGCGCCGCAATTACAGGCATCTGCATTACTAACTGCATAAGTATCTATCCTTGCACCAATAAAAGTAGGCACCTCCTCATATAAGCCAAATCTAGCTTCGACGTACAAAATAAAGAGCACAGCAACTTCGGATTTCCACGCTCTCTCAAAGAACTCTCGCCACAGTATGTTAGTTGCCTGAGTGATATACCGAGCTAGCTGCTAACAAAAGCCTGTGCTTTCTAAGGCTCTACCAGAAGGAGCCTCAAGCTGATTGCACTATGGATCGCTAAGCTCAGCTCAAAGCAAGCTCAAGCAAAGTCTAGCTTTGGTTCACTTTCAACCCTCCCAAAATCCCAAGCTCGCTTTCTCATATCGCCCATACAATCGATACCTCGATCCACTCACCGCCAGAAAAAAGACAACCTCCTCCCCACTCGCCGACGACCCGACAAGATGACGCCCCCCCAGGCCCTGTTCCACACCCTCCTCCGGCCCAGCGTCCTCCAGATCCTGCGCGCAATGGGCTACCACAGCGCCAAGCCCACGGTGCTCGACTCGCTGACCGACCTCGCGGCGCGCTACCTCTCGGAGCTCTGCCACATGACGGCCCTGTACGCGGCGCACAACGGGTCCGACTCGGCCGCGGGGCCCGACGTCGTCGACGTGCGCATGGCCCTGCAGTACATGGGCGCGCTGCTGCCGGAGCGGGCCGAGGAGGAGCAGGAGTTCCTCGGCGTCGAGGACACGCGGGGCGCCGACGAGTTCGTCGCCTGGGCCAGGGGCCCCGTCAACAAGGAGATCAAGCGCGTCGCCCTGGATGGGGTCGAGGATGCGACTGATTACCTTAACGGTGAGTGATGGTCTAGGAGCAGCAGGGCGTATATACATTCAAAAGTGCTGACTCGGGTTGCGTGTAGCGCTCAAGAAGAAGCACGGAAAGACAGACGACGATTCAAAGTACGCCGGTACACTCCTCGGGAGGTGCAACGAACACGGTGATGTCCTCGTCGAGGGGGGCGAGGTCCCCAGCATACAGAGATGGATCGAGAAGATGCGGGCGGCCTCGCAGGGGGCGGTGCGCGACGTCGCCGAAGAGCAGCACGCCAACGGGAACGGCGACGGTTCCAGGCCTCCCAGTTCGGGTCTGAGTTCCCTTGGAGACCGCAGCATCGGGGACTACGACGAGATGATGGATTCTTTGTGATGATTTGGATACCAACCTGCATAGCGACGGCGTTACGGCTCGAGGAAATGGAAGAGGGGGGTGGTGGGGGGGTGGTTCCCTAACACCCGAATTTTACGGTTTTCGGCGTGAGCCATGCCCGCACATCTATGGGGCCTGTACATAGGGGAAACCGTCCCCATCGCAGTAATGCCGGGCCCAATCTTCCCTCATATTAATATCCCACAAGCGGAGGTAAGTTTAGTCGGAGACACTGGTGGCTCTCCTCGGCGAAGCGTGCGGATCCTTGGGTGGCGCCCGTTCTCTCTCTTCAACTTGCACAGTAGAGCTACCATTTAAGTTTAGGGGTACCTACTCGGTGGCAATACAAGAACATAAAACTTTCAGAAAAGTATTCGATATCTCTCCGCCCTTAACAACCCGACATCTACCTACTTCTGAAACTCTGACACACGATCCAAGTTGAAGGCGGCACTGATGAGGGCCAAGTGACTGAAGGCCTGCGGAGTGTTTCCGAGCTGCTCGCCACTGCGCGCGATCTCCTCCGAGAACATCATCAGGTGGTTGGAGAAGCTCAGGATATTCTGGAAGAGATTGATCGCCCTTGGCAGATACTTGGGCTCGTACACGCTCGCCCGAGTCATGGCTTCCACCAGCCAGAAAACGCACATGCTGAAAGCTCCCTCGCGGCCTCCAACGCCTGTGGAGACAGTTAGCGAGAAGGGGGGTACAGATGAAAGGGGGCCAGAACTCACCATCTTCAGAGACCTCTGTGTTATAGCGATACACGAGGCCGGTGCTCGTCAACCCCCCCTTCTCGGGTGGCAACAGGATTCGATCCATGGTGCTGAGGAAGCGAGGGTCGTTGGGGGCAATGAAGAAGACCAGAGGGGCAATGAGGATGGAAGAGTCGAGCATTGTGTTGTTCTCGTAGCTTTGGATGAAACAATTCATCTCCTTGTTGAAGCCCTTCTCCATGATCTCTTCATACAGCGAGTCTCTGGCCTCGAGCCACTTGGCGCGGTTTTGACACGGGAAGTTCCTCTTTTCGGAGAGGCGCAGGCCCCGGTCGAATGCCACCCACAGCATGATCTTGGAGTAGGTGAAGTGCTGTTTGTTGTTGCGCACCTCCCAGATGGACATGTCCGGCTGGTCCATTATGGTGAGAACGTAGTCGAGCATGTGGCGGACCGAGCACCACTGCTCCCAGTTGATGGGCTTGCCGTACTTGTTATACAGATATATGCCATCCATCAGCTCACCGTATATGTCAAACTGCTTGTGGAAAGCAGCCCCGTTTCCGATCCGGACTGGTTTGCTACCCCTATAGCCATCCAGGTGGGATAGCTCCCTCTCGGGAATATCGGTCTCGCCCCTGATCGTGAACATGATGGGCAGTCCCTCGTCTGGAAACGACGACTTCATAAACCGTTCGCTGATGAAGCCCATGTAGGCGTCTGCCTCAGCAGTGAACCCCAGACGAAGCAGGATGTAGATGGTGAAACTCGAATCTCGCACCCAGCAGTAGCGATAGTCCCAGTTACTTGGCCTATGTCAGGTCAGCAGCTCCAGGAGAACGAGGGGCGAGGGCACATACCGAGTACCACCAATATCCTCGGGAATAGAAAACGTCGGGGCGGCAATGATGGCACCCGTGGGTTCATAGGTCATTAGCTTTAAGATCAAGAGACTGCGCGCGACGACTTCTCGCCACCGGCCTTTGTATTTGCTCTTCGAGATCCAGTTGTACCAGAAAGCCTGGGTGTCGTGTTGTTGAGAATCGAGGATGGAGCTTGTAATGTGTTCAGTGACGTGGTTTTGGATGTCGTCGCGGAGGATGAAGGAGATGGCCTGCCCCTCCTGGACCACGATGCTGGCTACGACACCCTCTCCCAGCATACCGGGCCGTTGGACCTTTTTGAACACAACAGTCGGGCAAGTCTCAGCATCTTCTTCGCCCCGATCAATTGAGACGTCCAGCTGCAGCTTGACATTCTTGCTGTGGAAAGTCACCGTCTTGCTCCGCTCACCTCCTGGCTCGTGGACAGGCTGAACGATGGTAGTGGTGTGGGGTTCCAGGGCATAATCAAACGCAGGAAAGATCTCAACATCTATAACTGAATCAGCATTGCCGACTCCTTGGTGACGACATGGAAAGGGGGTTATCCGGACCCAAGGAAAGCGTTCCGCGGATGCACTCTACTCGTCGGACGAGCCATCTCTTAAGCTCCTCTTGGACAGTCATGATTTCCCGATAAGGGTTCTGCCTGGGACCCTTGGCTATGACGCTGGCGTTCTTTGGCCTTGGGAAGAAGTCCACAATGTCAACGACACCGACTTCGTTGATATAGCGAGTTTGTAGAATATTGGACGAGGGCATGTATTGCTGCTTGGTCGTGCATGAGAGGCTGGAGTCGGGATGGATGCTGAAGTATCCTCCCTTGTCCTTATCCAGAAGCCGGCAGAAGACAGACGGAGAGTCAAAGTCGGGCCTATGGGTAGTGAGCTTTGGGATGCCCATCTCCTCCCAGACACACACAGGGCCTGCTAAACCTACCAGCACATGAAGTCGATGCTCCCATCCATACCCACTAGGGCACAGGTCCGCATATTCCCTATCAACCCATAGTTCTCGATTGGGAGATAGCCCCCCGAATGCTGACGTACTTGACCGGTCGGGGTCATGGTAGCGCACGTAGAAGCCATGGCTACAACTCGGAAAGAAAGAGTGAGCCCGGGATCTTGAGAGATGAGGATGAGAAGGGAGAGGTATGTAGTGATCCAGGGCTTACCCAAGTTCTATATACCAATCTACTCAGGTAGGCAGGTGCTTATACGCTTGAGTATTTTGATCCTGGGTTGCTCGGAGACTGACTTGGGAGGACTCAGAATGTGGCAAGGGATGTCGTTCAAAGTTCAGCTCAGCTCATCCGGGACATTCCAACCACCTACCTTCTTGCGATAGGTAGTTTGAACGGCCGGGACTGACTAAGCAATATGCTTCACTAGGACCTACCATGCCGAGAGGTACCTAGGCTTACACGAGTATTCTTCAAGTATCGCATCTTAAGGCATGAAAAGTGGCATGGAACTAAGAGAAAGCCAGTGGAATGGGAACGGGGAGTGGGCGATGACGCCAGCACCTGGTATCGTTGACTTGGACTACCCACTATCTAACGTATACTACGTATACTACTACACTAGATCCGACTAGAATGCGAAGATCGCCGATCACTGACTGCGGGTATCGCCTTGATAACCCGTAACTACCTACGCAAGTCACAGCGGACAACGAATTACTTCGGCTAGGTATGTAGTTAGTAGAATAGAGTGTTCGCTGAGCATCATGTGGAAGCATTGGCGCTGCAAGTACGGATTAACAGAGGGGTCATCCCTCACCACTCCCCAGCGTCCCCACACTTCCCGGCGGCACTAGGTAGTGGTAGACCACCGAGCCATCAAAAGTCGGCAAAGTATCCATCAGCCACCGACATTCCAGCCCGCCCTTCCTTTCCGAATGGCCCGTCGATGATGCGGGGCTTCCTGCAAGTCGCGTGCCTCACCATAGGTACCTAGGAACCCTGAAGAATCAAACAGGATGCAATGCAAGACGATGAACAGACATACTGTAGTATACACTAGGTGCCGGCATTTCCGAACGATACCGAATTCGCTGGTACACTCATGTGAATCTGCGGTGCTTCGCGGGTGCCAGGTGACAGGCAAAAGAGGGAAGGGGCCCTGAGGTAACAGGGGCCCTGCACAACACGCCAAGCAAGGGCAGGGATTTCTTGGGACGTCGGGACCCAAGTAAACTCTAGCCAGATTCGCGATTCGCTCAGGAGTGCCAAGCTGCTCCACAACTCATCTTGTGAGCGCCATCGACCTGCTCCAATGTCCCCAGATCAGATCGCTAATGGGCAATGAAGAAAAGACCGGAAGCAACATAACCCTACATAAAATAATATGTCTCTTCCTTTCCCATCCGACAGAAGAGGCACACCGCCCACAGCTCCACCCCCTCGAATAGACCCCAATTCGACCACCTTCCTCTCCGTCTCAACCTCCTCGACGAGGCCACAGCCCATCTCGACGTCCCGTGCTCTAGGGGATCTCAATCTCCCTACAGACCCCTGGCCAGCTGGCCCCTCCGACAACTGGACATATCCAGATGCCGCGTCTGCTCCGGTAACCCTGCGCTCCGACGACATCGAAATGGACCCCATCGCTCCAGCTGCCCATCGCCGGCGCAGGAGTAGCCTGAAGAATCCGGCCAACTCTGGAACCAACCAATCTGGATCCTCGCGGCCTACGGCGTCATCGGTTAGGAACCAGTTGAGTGCCCACGAGGAGCCCAAGATATTGGAGGTAGACGACGAGACGGACGCTTCGAGGACGGATGAAAGGGGTAACGACAGCTTGTCGGATGAAGACCTGCACGACGACGAAGAGGCGGGCCTCACCGGGGAGGACAAACGTCGGAAACAGCGAAAGAAGAGACGGAATACCCGTCTAGATCAGAGGGTTGTCCGGGAGAGAATCACAGCTCAGGAGAAGAAAGAGGCGGACCAAACCGTTGCCAGGAGGCTCTTGGTGAACGGAGTCCTTATCGGCCTGTGGTATTTCTTCTCTCTCCTCATCTCACTGGTAAACCTCTGCCCTCCCTCCCCCCCGCCCCGCTGCTTCGAGATCCAGGCCAGAGAAGAGACTAACATGCACATGTAGTACAACAAGTGGATGTTCGATAAGGACAAACTCAACTTTCCTTTCCCGCTGTTTACGACTGCCGTGCATATGATCGTACAGTTTTCCCTTGCGTCTCTGACCCTCTACTTCATACCCTCATTCCGGCCAGAAAATGCCCACAGATCAGACCTTGGGCAATCAAGACACGAGCCGGACAGGCCAATCATGTCCAAGATGTTCTACTTCACCCGAATTGCTCCCTGCGGAGTGGCGACTGGCCTTGACATCGGTCTGGGCAACACGTCCCTGAAGTTCATCACTCTCACATTCTACAGTAAGTCTATCGAACGGCGTTGGTTTGGGGGAATCGAAAAGCCTAACAACCCCGCAGCCATGTGCAAGTCCTCAAGCCTAGCATTCGTTCTCGTCTTTGCCTTCCTGTTCCGCCTCGAGTCCCCGACATGGAGGCTCATCGCCATAATCGCAACCATGACCGCAGGCGTCGTCATGATGGTCGCTGGCGAAGTCGAATTTAAAATGGGCGGGTTCCTCCTGGTCATCTCGGCCGCCTTTTTCTCTGGATTCCGCTGGGCCCTGACGCAGATCCTCCTCCTACGCAACCCCGCAACCTCCAATCCATTCTCCAGCATATTCTTCCTCGCCCCCGTGATGTTCCTGTCTCTCATCGTAATTGCCATCCCCGCCGAGGGCTTTCCGGCGCTACTGCAAGGCATCGGCACGCTTGCCAACGAATGGGGCCCCATCCTCACCCCCATGTTAATCGTCTTCCCTGGCGCCATCGCCTTCATGATGACGGCCGCCGAGTTCGCCCTGCTGCAACGGACGTCGGTCGTGACCCTGTCGATCGCGGGCATCTTCAAGGAAGCCGTCACCATCTCGGCCGCCGCCATCGTCTTCGGCGACACGCTGACCGTGGTCAACGTCTCCGGCCTGCTCGTCACCCTCGGGGCCATCGCCGCGTACAACTGGCTCAAGATCGCCAAGATGCGCGAGGAGGCCCAGGCCGAGGCCCACCGCAGCCACATGGCCGGCAACAAGGAGGTGGACTCCAACGGCTTCTCCTCGTCCAGCACCAGCGGCGGCGACGAGGACGCCGATGACGGCGGCGAGGATACGGGACTCCTCCGGCACAGCACCGATGCGGAGGACAATGCGTTCGCCGTGGACGGCGACACGATTTCGTCGCCAGAACTGGTATCCAACTTGAATAAAAAGTCCGAACGGGAGGACTAGAATCACCGGTCGATCAAGCCCGGGCGGCTTTTGTGTCAGCGGCCCCCCGAAATTATTTTCTAATCGATATGCATATGGTGCGATATTTAGACATCGTCTCCCATCCTGTACAAAAGATAATCCGTCTCGAACGACCATTTATATTCAACGGACACAAATCAGCATAGGCTTCGGACACCGACCGTCAAGGACGAACATCCTTAGGGGAAATAGGTCGATTGTGATGGACAGTTGCAAAATACCCATGTAATAATAGTAGACATTTGAAGGAAGAGGGGGATAAACGCAAGGTGGTCATGGGGATGGCGTACAGTCGGGTACTTTTAGGGTATGTGCATTTCCATCGAGATACATGAAAATAAATACGGGGTCAGAAGAACGAGGAAGCGTAGAAATCCTACAAATGGGGATTGTGAAGAATTATTCATGAATTTCTGTTCTTGACTCTATACGCAGACGGTTAGCTAAGTGCGATACAACTGCTGCTGCCGTCAAGTAGCCATTAATCCTGGGTATGTTCCTACCCCCAACGCCGAGAGCAAATGTCAAGTACCAGTTGCCTCCAATGCACGTTCTCTAGGTTTCTCTGAGCACTTTCCCGTGCCTCGCCTGCTGAATACCGTCTTGATCGACTCAATATCCACGCCCGATGAGATCATAGCTTTCTTCCTGTCCCCACCAGGTAAGGCGATGGAAATCAAAGTGCGCTCCGCTCCCAGATAGCCGAGCAAGACTGGGCTAACCCAGGAGCTTGAGGCCGCCCCTCGTCTTCTGGCCGGGCTTCGTAATGCCGGAGCCAGCGGCCGGGCCAAGGTGCGGCTCGTATCCGGGGGCGGCACCGTCGCCCCTGCCCGAGCCGCTGCCGCTCTTGTTGCCGCGGCCCTTCTTGTTGTTCTTGCCCCGGCCGCGACGGTCGTCCTTGGTGATCTGGGGCTTGATCTCGGTCTTGGCCTTGTGCACGACCACGGGGTGGCTCTGGATGTACTTGCCGTTCATCTCCTTGGCCGCCTGGAAGAAGTCGTCCGGGTCCGAGAAGCTCACGAACCCGTAGCCCTTGCTCTTGGTCGTGCGCTTGTCCCGCACCACCTTGGCTTTCTGCACGCTGGTCCACCGCGAGAAGGCCTTGAGCAGTGACTCGTCCGTCACCTCGCCGGCCAGGTTGCCCACGAAGAGCCGCAGGTGGTTGGGATCCCACTCGAGCAGCGTGTCGTCCATCCACTTCTTGCCGCCGCCCTCGCGGTACACCGTCTTCTTCTTCCCGTCTCCCGCCGCGGCCGCTGCGCCGGGGTCCGCCGCATCCGTCGCCTTTGCAGCGTCCGCCGCCGCTGTCGCCGCCGCCGCCCCGGCTGCTCCCGTCACCGCCGACGCGCCCGCGTTAGCCCCGCCGCCGAACCGGCCGCCGCCGGGGTGCTTGCCGGTAGGGTCGACCGCTTCTTTTGGCATGTACGCGCTCTGCCACTGGGCTATCTGGGCAGCCATCTCGGCGTCGTGGTCGCCGCCGCCGCCGCCGCCGCCGGATGGGTCGGGTGCGGGGAAGGGGTTGCGAATCTGAGGCGGAGTTGAGTAGCTCGCGCTGCTGGCGCCGCCGAAGTAGGCCTGTTGTTGTGGATAGTTTCGTTGGGGGTAGTTGTATGAGGATGACTGCTGGTAGGTGGTAGGGCCTCCACCTATGGTGGGAGGTTGCGAGTAGGAGGGGTAGGGTGCCGTGGTGGGTTGGGCGACATATTGGCGTGGAGGGGCAGCACCGTAGCTGGGGCCATTCGAGTACGAGGTGGCTGTCGGATAACTGGGAGCTGGGCTGGGAGCATAGGATGGGTAGGATGGGGATGATGAGTTCGTCGCCTGTGGAAATGCTGGCTTGAAGCCCGATGGCTGCTTGGCTGGGGCTGGTGGTCGTGGTGGCAGCGAAGGGTGCGACGAGTTGCTGGATACACCTGGAGGACCGGGGTACGACATGATGAACTGGTTGCGCTCGCAGAAGAGTGGTTCTCTGTTATTTATCACGTACCTGTGAGTCCCACCGGCAAATTTTAAGTTCCTTCTTGAGAACCTCAACAAAGACGGGGAGGTAGGACTCGTTGACGTGGGGATGTTGCCTGGTCAGTGGCGTCGGGAAGTTGGCAGTCGGGGATCAACAAAGTACTTTTTTTCAGCCTCTAAAGAAACTTGTCGAGTGGCAGTGCAGTGCCACGTGATTCCTGCCGATCTTTCAATGCGCCACACATGGAAGTGACAATCACCCCACCTTGAGCAATGGAGGGGCAGGAGTGCCAGAGTGATGCCCCTCCAAAGCTCCATCATCGGCCTGGCATTGAGAGATGCTACTGTCGGTAGTTTCAAATGTGTTCAACAACACAGGAGACACAGACAGGCAATGCGTGAAATGCAGTTATAGTGGATCCTGGAGGTTCTGGCTTGGCTCTTCTAGAGCCCTCCCAGCTCTAAAGGCCGAAGAAATAGATAGGCGTCGTCATGACGTACAGACCTGTCATTCGGTAAACACGGAGTGTACTCCGTACTATCAGGCAATTGGATAGGTAGGTGCAGATTAAGTGTGTTAAAGTTGTCTTTAAGAGCTACTGATAAGGATCGGAGAATTTAGGTGCGACATTTTTTCACGGACAATTGTTGTGACGGGGAGCGAAACATGGTCGGACTTCCCTCCTGACCTTGACAACAAAAATCCCGCCTTGCCCCACAGGGGCACACAAAGATGAGATGGAAGGGTTTGATTGAGGGAGGGACCTCTCCTTGTAACACTGAGGGTTGGAAAACAGCAACGCCAATGTTCTCATCAAGGCATGGAGGGCTATGGTCCAATGGGAAAGGAGGGCTGGAACCGTTTCAAACATCTGCCCACAGTAGATGGTAGTTATCGTCAAACCTGAATGGACAAGCAGCACAAAAAGCTAGGAACTGACTTGATGGACGGCTCAATGAAATCATCCAGGTAACAGGTTGATGCTGTCGCCGGTCGGGACCCTGAGTAATAAGCCCCGCCATCAATTACCCGCTCATTTTAGCTTTTGCCTACTACTGGACGTTATTACACAATTGCCCTCCTACCCTCCTCCGACTTCGAAGTTGCATCACTCATCCATATTTTCCTCCTCCCCGCCTTCCCCAATAGAAATCCCGCTCTTCTCAACTCCCTCCCCCCAACAACAAACAACAACCAAGAACCTGGAATCCTGTTCAAGCCCTTGGCTCCGGAACAGCTGCACCTTCAAGCATAGAACCCCTTTCTGCCTCTTTTGATTTCCCTGAACCCTGCTGTTCCCATTGATTCACCATGTCTGGTGCAGTGTAAGTCCCTTGTGCAAGTTCTACCCCACCTTCTTCCTCCGATCAAGCAAATCCAAGCAAACCACGAGGCACCTGAGATCATCCCCTCCAGGTGGTGATGGAGTTCCGTCTTTGCCAGCAAGTCGATGATCTGCCTCGCAGTAGTTGTCGGAACCACCCTCCAGCACTTGTTTAATTGATGCTGCGTATCTCCTTCCATTTATACCTACTGAGTCCCTCCCAGCGCTCGTCTGGCCAACCTCAACGTTGGCGGGATCGGGCGAGCTATCTCATCCTCCCTGAAACCAGAGAATCAAGGCAATGCTAACGATACCGCAAGTGCTGATCTCGGCCTTATTGGCCTGGCCGTCATGTAAGTTTGAGCCGCATTTCCTCCGATCCTCGCGCGCCAGTCGTGGCTAACATGAGCCAAGGGGCCAGAACCTGATCCTGAACATGGCCGACCATGGTTTCACCATTTGCGCTTTCAACCGCACCGTGTCCAAGGTCGACCGCTTCCTCGAAAACGAGGCCAAGGGCAAGTCCATCGTTGGCGCCCACTCCACCGAGGAGTTTGTCTCCAAGCTGAAGAAGCCCCGCCGTATCATGCTCCTGGTCCAGGCTGGCAAGGCTGTTGACGACTGGATCGAGACCCTCCTCCCCCTTCTCGAGCGTGGAGATATCATCATCGACGGTGGTAACTCACATTTCCCCGATTCCAACCGGAGAACGAGGTACCTCGCATCCAAGGGCCTCCGCTTCGTCGGCTCTGGTGTCTCCGGCGGCGAGGAGGGCGCCCGTTACGGCCCTTCCATCATGCCCGGTGGCCACGAGGATGCCTGGCCCTTCATCAAGGATATCTTCCAGAGCATCTCTGCCAAGAGCGACAACGAGCCCTGCTGCGAGTGGGTCGGTGATGAGGGTGCTGGCCACTATGTCAAGATGGTCCACAACGGCATCGAGTACGGCGACATGCAGCTCATCTGCGAGGTATCTATTGCCCACTTGTAGCCCGCCGAGTCCCGCCATGTGTACTAACACCCATCTTCTAGGCGTACGATATCATGAAGCGCGGCCTCGGGATGTCAAACAAGGAAATGGGTGACGTTTTCGCCAAGTGGAACAAGGGTGTCCTGGACTCCTTCTTGATCGAGATCACCAGGGATATCATGTACTACAATGACGCTGATGGCACTGCCCTGGTCGAGAAGATTCTTGACAAGGCTGGCCAGAAGGGTACTGGCAAGTGGACAGCAGTCAACGCCTTGGACTTGGGCATGCCTGTGACCCTCATTGCCGAGGCTGTGCTCGCCCGCTGCTTGTCCAGCATCAAGGATGAGCGTGTCAAGGCTTCGTCCAAGCTCGAGTTTGTCGGCAGGGCCAACACGTTCGAGGGCAACAAGGAGCAGTTCCTCGACGACCTGGAGCAAGCTCTGTACGCCTCCAAGATCATTTCCTACGCCCAGGGCTTCATGCTCATGCAGGAGGTAAGCCGTCGCCCCAGGGAGTGGTGTGCAAGAAGGTGCTTTTTAATTAACCACGCCGTCTAGGCCGCCAAGGAATACGGCTGGAAGCTGAACAAGCCATCGATTGCCCTAATGTGGCGTGGTGGCTGCATTATCCGGTCCGTCTTCCTCAAGGACATCACTGCCGCGTACCGCAAGCAGCCGGATCTGGAGAACCTGCTCTTCGACGATTTCTTCAACAATGCCATCCACAAGGCTCAGCCCGGCTGGAGAGACGTTGTCTCGAAGGCGGCGCTGCTCGGCATCCCGACCCCCGCTTTCTCGACTGCCCTGTCCTGGTTTGATGGTTACCGCACCAAGGATCTGCCGGCAAACCTGCTCCAGGGACAGCGTGATTACTTCGGCGCTCACACCTTCAGAATCAAGCCCGAGTTCGCCAGCTCCAAGTACAAGGTAGGCGAGGATATCCACGTCAACTGGACCGGCCGTGGAGGGAATGTTTCTGCTTCCACGTACCAGGCTTAAAAAAAGGGAGATTGGTGCATAAAAGTAGATGACTGAAGTAGTAGACTGGTAGCTCCGTGAGAGTAGATCCTACAGTTTGGCATGGAGAACACAAAATGGATTCATGATTGAGTGCAAACTTCTAGGTTGTATTTTTGCAAAGGTACGGTACATAGCATCATCACCTGGGTCCATGATAGTGGAGTTTACCTAATTGGCTGTAGGCATAGGTATACTACATGGGAGGAAATATCACGTGATGGTGTTTGTGATGGCTTTTCTGTCAGCCTTGTCTGTGCACTGTGCTCACGCGTGAGGCGCGACTTTTCTTCACAGGAGGGTCCACCATCAGATAAATAACCACGATTCCATGCCAATCGCCATTACCCAGGAAAAAACAGTGACCTGAAATATACTGGGCTTCTCACTGATTTGGTCGGCTAGGCCTAGTGATTCTACCCACATTGCCAATCGCCCCGCCGATACCTCTCATCATGGCAGCCAACAAGATGGCAGTTGAGCCTGATCCGAGTCTCAATGTTCAAGGAGATTTGGTGAGTTGAAGCCCAGCCATAATGGCGATCTTATACAAGCCTAACAATCTTGATTGGTAGCTCCCTCACGTCCATCTCCTGTCGACATACCGATACCCATTGATGCCACGACTCGATTTACAAGAAGTGACTAACTGGCTGCTTGGCGCGCCCAAGGTCGCCCGCGACACTGCCCCTTTCTTCTGGACTTACCTTGAGACCCCTCAAGATGGCTCAATATATTTGACCTGGCAACCACTGGTGCGACGCGGTATCGATTTTGCCAGTGATGGATACGTGTGGGCTTCCCCTGAGACTTACTACCGCCAGGAAGTCGGGAATAGACTGGTATGTGGAGCCGGAAAACCGAGTGAAGATGCATGAAGGAACAAGCGCGGCTAATAGATATGGCAGATTCTCGAGATATACTTCCAAAGGTCCGGCTACCGTATGGGCGAACCGGCCGCCGTGCACTCGAGGCGACGCTTCCGTCTCATGCCGCCACAGGCGGGCGCGCCAAACACACCTCCAGTCGATCCTCGCCTGTGGATCGTTCACTACGGACCAGCCGAAAAGAGCGACCGGTTGCCTGTAAACATGATCCCCGTCACTCCGCAGATGCAGCAAACCTTGAACTTCCGCCAGCAACTGATGTCGATGGGCCAAATCGTCCGGAAGGAGTTCATGCTCTCGGACCGCGTCAACTGGCCTCACCTTCCTCTACCAGGGCGAGGCAACGCCATGTATGCGCCACCGGCGAATGTTCGCGGTGTCCCGCAGACGATGGCATATCCCCCGCACGGTCCTCCCGCAGCGGGCCCAACCCCCAAGCGCCGGGCAGGACAAGTTGCGCCGCAAGCCCAGGCCCATCAACAACCCATGATCGGGGCAGTTCCGTCGCTAGAAGCAGCTTACGACGATGAGGAAGACACGTCACGGGGCGACCTGTTTGACCAAATGACCCTCCGGGAGGTCAGCATAGCCCGATATCAACAAAACCACGAGTGGATGGAAGAGATCCTGTCTTCACCCTACCGTATTCTGCAGATCATCGCTCCAGACCTTGGATTGGGTCTCAAGGGGGAACTCGCGTCTTTGACAGATGGGATCTTCGAAGCTCAAGGCAGCGAGGCCTTGTCCGTCCCGCCCAAGAAACCATATATTGGTCAACTGGACCCTGGCCTGGCCGCCGAGTTTGAGAAACGTGTCCAGGAGAAGATCGAGTCGACCAATGCCGAGATTGAGCAAATGAAGGCTGATCATGCAGAGGTAGTAGCCAAGCTGAGGGACAACGCAATCATCAAGGATGCTGAGATTGATCTGCGGTCGACGGTGGAAGAGATGGGACCGGAATTCTGGCGACTCGAAGGCAAGCTGGAAGAAGACGAAGACGGGGCGATCAGATCGCCTCAAAGGCACGAGAAGAAGAGTATTGAGGATATTCTGGCTCAAGTCGAAGTGCCTCTGGGCAAGCACGCCGCGGTGGTCCATGACGTCCATCGAGTCCAGGATGGCGGATATCAGGAGCCTCTGCCGGAACCTGAGCCCGTTCCGCAAGCTCCGCAGATGGCCATTGGAGTTCCGGATGCTGGCGCAAGCGCCCCGATGTCTCGGCAGCTGTCCCAGAACGAATCCCAGAATAGTGGTATCATGATCGGCGACTCTGATATTGACATGGGTGGGACTGCTGCGGGCCTTTTGGATCAGATGCACACCGGCTTCTCATCGACACCAACGCCTGTCAACAATTTCCCGACACCGCAACCGCACCTCTCTGCCATGGCTTCTTCCGTCGTTACCCCCTCCAACATAAATGCGCCATCCCCACAGCCAACGCAGGCAACATCGGCCGCCCAACCCCCAACATCAGCAGCCCACGCTGCCGGAGATGTCAGGATGGAGGATGCAAGTGCGGCTAAAGCCGAGGCACCCACGATCCCCGATCAGGGAACGGGGAGTGGCGACTGGGTAGTCGTACAAAAGACGGACGGCTCCGGGAACTCGTCGCCCAACCTGCCGGGAGCCTCCGGGACTCCGCAGCCCCAGCCGACATCTACCACGGAGCCGGCCACCCAGGCGCAGCATACCCAGGTGCCGAGCAAGCCTGCGTCGGCGGCCCCCACGCCGGGCGACGGCTCCGCGTTCGACGGCGACCACGGCGACTTCAGCTCGCTGGGCGACCTGGACACGGCGGGAGACGCGCTGGCGAGCTACGACGGGGCCGGGGGCTCCGACCTGGCCGAGGGGCTCGACCTGAACATGGACATGGAGGACTCGGCGTTCGGGGACGCGTTCCACGGCGTGGACCGGTCCGCCGGGGGCACGCCTGCCGATGGCGGCATCTAGGGTATGCGGCAGCTAGGTAAGCTAAGCTAAGGGGGCGAGAAACGACCTTTGTGACACACATGTACACATATTGCAGATTCCCCCGAGGGGGCGGACAAGTCATAATCGTGGCGGCTGCAGAGTCGTCGAGGAAGTATGTCAGCAGGTCAAGGGGGTGAGATGGGTCCAACCGGCGTTTACGGGAACAGGGGTATATCTGTTGGGTGATGCTAGTCTTTAAAGGCGTCGAAGCTCGATGGCGATATTTACGCCCACCTTGGGGCTTTTGTGTGTTTTTGTGCTCGGTGCTAGGGGGGTGGAAGAGCAAGCAAAACGCGATTGTGCACTGTACCACTACGAATACTACGAGTGAAAATGGATTATTGGCCTTTGGTGTTGCGATCTCCTTGCTTGCTCGTATTCTGCGCCTAGGGAGATCAGTTTCTCGCCATTCCCGGGTCGTGATCTTCCCATCGCGTGGAATGCATGGAAGGGATCGTTGTTTCTTCGCTTGGAGATAACCAAACATCCTTGTGCCAAGGGCGGAAGATCCGACTCCTACTTTTATAGGTACTGATAAAAAATACAATCCTCGGACCTGAATCTATTTTTTTTACCAGTCGCCACTTCGTCGCTTCACCTTGAACTTTGACCCCCGCCCTGAAACATGAGCAGTTTCAGGCGCTCGTGCCTTGCCTGGGGGATGGCCCGTGGGGGCGGCGGTTTGCGGGCGATCGATCCCGTGGTGGCTGTGCAGAGCGATCAAACAATGCCATCGTTGCGAGGGAGCCGTCAGTCAGCCCACGTCCGATTTTGCGGTTATTGGAGCAAGCCAGGCCGGGTGCCGTGGTGGTGAACGGAAGTTGAGAGTTGGATCCGTGAGGCGATGTCTAAAAAAGACGCAGACCTAGACGGAAGACAGTGGCACAAAATATATTGTTATTTTGGTTGTTTTCTATCTACTACACTAGTAAGATATGTATTGCCTTACTCTCCGCGACTCTCCCCCTTCAGTGTCTCCTTCTCGGCCAGAAATTACCTATGTCCCACAGCGAGTATTCGCACCATTGATATGTATCATGAGCAGCGTCTGAGTGCTGCCCAGATGGAAGGTGCTGTCGTAGCCTATCGAGCAGATCCAGCTACGGCAAACATCCATCCTCTTCCACATATGTATTCGTCTCAAGTGGTCTCGCCTCAAAAAGGAGTCCGGTCCTATATATAAATCACCGCCCACAAAAGAATGACTGAATTCGTAAACCTGGTCTGAGGTTGGCCGCGGACCAAAGTCGCCATTTGGTGATGGCTAGAAAATATAAAATAAAACGGTACAACATGGCCGCCTCCATCCGACCCGATCGACCACGAGGCTCAGCGTAAGTCGAGGTCATCGGTCGGGCAAATCCGCCCGGGGCCTGTCCACTTGCTTCCTCGCTTCTTACAACATGAGCATGGCAAACAGGCCAAGGGCACCGCCGACAATGGCCAGCGAGGCATCCATCGCCGGTCCTGCAGCGTTGCTAGCGTTTAGGGTGGAATTGCCGTTAGTTGTGCCACCTGCCGAGGCCGTAGCGGTGCTGCCGCCCTCCGTCAGGGTGACGCCGCCAGTGGATGCCGTGGTGGAAGGCAGCGTGCCAGCTGCGCCAGATCCGCCTCTAACATTGGTCGACGTCTCGATCGGGAGGGGCGCAAGGCTCCCTACGCCGGTCCCCGCGCTACCGGGCAGCGGGTTGAGGGAGACCGAGCCTCCCTCGCCGGCACCTCCAGTCCCAGCGCCTCCCTCGTTAGCCCCGTTGAGACCGGGGAGCGGGGCGAGAGTGCCAGCGGCAGCGCCGACGCCGCCGATGCTGGCAGAGCCAATAGGAATGAGGCCGGCAGTTGCCTGGGGGGCGACTCCGGTCCCGGCAAGCTGAGCACCGCCACCGAGCCCACCAGGCTGACCGGCCGTGCCGTTGTTGAAGGGGAAAGCTGGCTGAGATGCTTCCGTGCCGGGTGCCGGGGCCGTGGCTATCGAAAGGCCGCCTGCAGTGGAAGAGGACACCCCTGGCAGCGGCAGCAACTGGACCCCAGAATCAGCCCCGGCAGTTGGGGTTGCGATTGGCTCTAAACCTCCAGGCACGGCCGTTGCTCCGCTTATGGGCGCAAGGCTGGCGAGGGGTGCCGACTCGACAGGAGAAAGTGGTGCAAGGGGTGCAAGGGGTGCAAGAGATGCCGATGCCTCTGGAGCAATGGTTGCAAAGGATGCCAAAGTGGTTGCCGCAGATGCTGTTGCGGGGTTTTCGCCAGCCACTTCTGCCACACTGCTTGAAGCAGGGATAACATTGAAGGACCCAGCGACCGCAGCTGTGGAAGCTACGGGTGCGGGAGCTGCCACGGTTGAGAGACCCCCAACAGGTGGGAGTGCGACAGGGGGAAGGGCCGCAACAGACGAGATAGCCTGCACAGTGGACAGGCCGGGGAGTGGTTGGAGCGCTTGTGCGGAAGAGGCAACACCACCGCCGAGGTTCGGCTGAAGAATTGATGTTAGCGAAAATTCAGGGAGAAAACGCGGAGTCGGTGTACACGTACCAGGGCCGTGAGGGCGGGCTGGACGGCCGAGGCTACAGTGTTCACTGTTCCGAGGTTAGGCAGCGGCTTCAGCTCCCCGGCAGTTTGGGCCTGGAAACCAGGCAGAGGTAGTAGAGATCCAGGACCTGCTGCTGCTGCCTCGGTGGCAGCGGCTACCGCCGCGGCTGTCCCAACTTCCGCATTCGCATTGACAGCATTCGCGCCGGCGACACCCTGGTTGACAGCATTCGCGCCGGCGACACCCTGGTTGACAGCATTCGCGCCGGCGACACCCTGGTTGACAGCATTCGCGCCTGCGACACCCTGGTTGGCAGCATTCGCGCCGACAGCACCCTGGTTGGCAGCATTCGTGTTGACACCATTCGGATTGGCGGCAGCTCCCACGCCGACCGCGTTGCCAACGGCGTTCGCGCCAGACTGGTCGGCAACGCCTCCCACCGCGGCGCCCACTTGCTGCTGCCCATTGCTGACCTGTCCCGCAGCCGTTGAGTTACCGCCGAGCGCGGGGTCGCCGTTAGCGGCATCGCAGGCGCTTGCCGCCAGGAGGATGGCGACGAGGGATCTCGCAGAGAAGTGCATTTTGTCGGAGGGTAGAGGGTGGGAAGATAGACAGGTTACAAGAAAGGGACCAGGCCAAAAGCTGGTGACGAAGCGAAAAAGTCCGGTGAAGCTGAAGAGGTCTAAAAAGTGTATAGCAAAAAACCTATACTGACCTGCAGTCTCTCGAAAGGAATGACGATGGAAGAAGATTAGAGAATGGAAGGAAGAGGCGGGAACGAGACAACCTCACGAAGCAGACTTAGCCGATTCAAAAGAGAGCGCCAAGGAGGAAGAAGGCCAGACCCAGGTAACAGGGTGAATATATGAAATGGGACACGGCATGAGTCTGAGATGCCCGCGGACATGTCATCCTACCCTGACAGGGGCGGGGATGATGAGACGAGGTTCCCGCTTTTGGCGAGCCCTTGACAGTTCCTTGACAAGCCCTTGGCAAAATCTTGCGGGCACCTCGTCTCAAAGGTGGTACTATGGTGCAGGGCTGGGGGGATTCAGGGCTACAGAGCCCAGACAGCATAAACAAAATCGTGGCGAAACATCAAGACTGCATGACTGGCAGTGTGTGATGTGGGAGACTCGCCTGGTACAGAGGAGTCCTTGAGCGACGAGATCTCTCAGAGCAGGTGGATCTTATTGTCGTCGAAAATAACAACAGGCACACATGGTAGGCCTCCCCACCCAGGGCGTGCAACATGTGGCTGCTGATCTCGAATTCATCCGTTCATGCTCCGGCTGACTGAGTCGAAGTCCAAGCTGCGGCTCTGACAATAACCCCTGAGGCGATCAAACGTGCTTCTCACCAGCTCAATTCAAGCGATCCAGAAACGCAAGTACCATGGCAAAGAGGCAGATTCGTTTCCCGTCCCTATAGTAAACTGTCCAGCTTGCTACTCCTTGGCAACGCGTGGTCCGGTTTCCAGACATTTCCACGTCATCTGATAATGGAAGAAGGGGAGAATGGCCACAAAACGAATTGGCTGTTGGGATGACTTGAAAGAGAAACGGAGAGAAATAGAGTTCCTAGGGACGGATTCAGGCCCCTGCATTAGGCAGGCGCAGGGGACCGTTTCCACCCCCCTTTCCTCGCTAGCCATTGTTTGGCTACTTCCAAAAGTCGGAAAGTTCCGAGCTTGTCTTTGTCAAAGAATCACAAACAAAACACCCGACCATTGTTTGAAAAATCCAGCCATGTTACGTCGATTCCGGTGGAGGACACCTGTCTTTCTGAACACTGGCTCCGTCGCTCGGGACCACCTCGCCTCGGAGCGGACCTTCCTTGCCTGGATCCGCACCGGCCTCGGCTTTGTGGCTCTCGGCATCGCCATTGAGCGCTTTTCGCAACTCGATATCCGCGAAATCCTCCAGCCGCCGGAGAGTAGGAGACGCAGGGGTGGCGTCGACGACGCCGACGACGACGACGGGAGGGAGCAGGATAAGGAGCAGTCGCAGCTCCTGGTCGGGGCGCTCATGGGCCTGGGCTCCGGGTCCATCGTCTACGGGACGGCGCGGTACTTCTCCAACCTGAGGCTCCTGGAGCGCGGCCAGTTCAAGCCCGCCTACCACGGCGCCGCCGTGCTAGCCGCTGGTGTTGCCAGCCTGGCAGGCGGGGTCTATGGCAGTGCTGTGCGGAGAAGTCAACGGCGACATCGAGAACGGGACGACATGTCGACTGCTGGGTGACGTCTCCGTTGCTTCGCCTCGTAATTGTATGACTACCATGGGGATTCTTCAGCCCTATAGTTTGTATATTACAGCACTCCCGGCGCTCTGGTGTAGGCGTGTGCACTGGATGCTGCTGCCCCCCAAGACCGCAAGCACATGCTCCCTAGCAACAATGTCCGGTTATTGGGTCGTGTTTCGGGGACTTGCCGCTCGTCTACCTTCTGCAATTAGGACTGGAAGAAAATGGAGGCGGGCAAAGTGATGGTTGTCATCCATGAATATCCCTGCCAACCCAGGGATATGCAGTTGTTTCTCGATACCAGAGTCCAACCCCCTCTGCACAATATTTGGGAGGGGTCCATTTACTGCGAGGGATATATTTATCTCTTGAACAATGCCATATTTTCTGTCGCTAATTGGATGTCTCAGAGGTTGGAGTTCGTTCGTCTGCCAGCCGGGTTAGCAAAGCCTGCCAGCTGTACGGATTGCTGGGTCGCGTAAATGCCATTGGCATGCTCATAGGGCTGATACTCCCCCAGGAGGCAGGGGCTGAGACAGTCTATCGATCTCGCCATATCCAGAGATCTAAGAGCTGGAATGCAGAGGGCGGGGGAGGCTTGCCAACCCGAAACACCTCTTAAAGGTATGTAAACCCCAACGCTGCAACGCCCAACCACTTGTGTGAACAACGCGCCGAATACACTTGGGGGTGAGGAACTTGGGGACGAAGCGCGCGGCGGAATGGACTCGTTCATACGGATGAAAATCGAACAGTTGAGAGCGTATGACGGGGAGCGCTCAGTTCACGCTCAACCCGCGTTGCACGCCTCTCTCTGTCTCATCAGGCTCCTCCTGACCCCCCTGACAGCAATGTGAGCACAATTTCTGGGCCTTCCTAATTCCTAGAAATCACTAGCCTCAGAGGGCCGAGGGAAATGGTCCCCCACATCATTCTCAAGCCCTCACGGTCGTTCCCCAGGGACGGGAGATACTGTAGAGGGAGCGCCGTTGCTGCCAGCAGGCGAGTTTGTATATCGTAATCATGCAATCGTTCTATGTATGTATGTACCTGAGGTATATTGCAAAGCCAGACATGCCAAATGCACAACCGAGAGTCAAGAACCAGGAGCCGAAAACAAGACAGACACAGACAGAGACAAACGTGCCACCCCATCATATACATACATACGCACAAAACCTCAGCCACAGCCTAGAAAGAGAAAAGGCCAGGGACACAGTCCCGGACCAGGATCCAAGAATTGAAGGGAGATGGGGTAAGGGAAAAGGAGAAGATCAGAAGCGAAAAAGGCAGGAGAAAACGACAACAAAACCCCCCCTCAAGAGTCCGGCATTCCCGCACGGATGTTGTCATACTTGCTAACCGGGTACGACAGCAGGTTGGGGGTCATATCGAGATCACCCATGCGCTTCGCGACGGTTCCGACGAGGCTTTCGCTGCCGGTGCGGTCGCCGCTCGCCTCCCAGAAGACGGCGCCCCCGAGACCCTTGCTGACGAGGTACTGCGCCTTGGCGGTGGCGCTGAAGACGGTGTCGTAGGTGATGAGCTCCTTGGTGCTCGTGTCGTAGCTGTAGCTCGCCTTGGCGACGTCGTCGTAGGCCTCGCGGGCGCCGGGCCGCGGCAGGTCCTTGTACAGCCAGACGCCCGCCTCGACCGAGCCAGAGCCGATGCCGCTGTACGGCTGGCCGAGACCCGTCGTGTCCTCGAAGGAGCGCCCGTAGAGCGGCAGGCCCATGGAGATCTTGTGGCTGGGGATCCCTGCTGCGAGGTAGTCCTCCACCGCCTGCTCCGTGCTGAATTTTGTGCTCGCCGGGTCGCCAGTGTTCACGTAGAGGTTGGCCTGGTGGCCCGATGTTGTGTCCCACGAGCCCGCGTAATCGTAGGCCATGAGGTTCCAGTTGTCGACGAGCGGCTCCATGCCGGCGAAGTCCATGTTCCTGTAGTGCGTTGGACCGGCCGAGGTGGCGATGGTGATGAGGAAGTGGTAGCCCGGGGCATGCTGCTGGGCGTAGTTGTCGAGGGCCTGACGGCACGCCTGGAGGAGCAGGACAAAGTTGCGGCCCTCCTCGGCGCTCGCCGGGTACTCCCAGTCGATATCAAGGCCGTCGAAACCCCAGTCTTTGACCAGGGCGACCGCCGAGGAAGCAAACTTCTGGCGCCCGGCTTCGGTCGCAGCGATGGGAGCGAACTTGGACGAGTACGTCCACCCGCCGATCGAGAGCAGCACTTTCATGCCGCGGTTTTTCTTCTTGAGCAAGTACAGCTGCTTGACACACCCGTATGCATTGTTGCCCTGGTCATTCCAAGAATCTGTCGGGTAGTGCTTTTGGAGGTCTGCGTATTCATCTGACGATTTCCTGCCAAACATGTCAGCTAGCTAGCCATTGGGTGAAGGTATAAGGGGGACAGAGGACTTACACTTCGCCATCTGCTGCGATATCGGCGAACGAGAAGAGGACATGGGTTATCTCGGACGCAGGAAGTTGCTGGGGCTGGAAGTCGGCGCCATAGATACCCCTGATATATAAAGTCAGCAACTGAGGGAGAGGTGTGTCCCGGACTTGAGCAAGCGCACCAGTTCGTGAAGTAGAGTGCGTTTGTGTACCGTCCCGAGCCACCTTGGTTAGCTGTCCCGCTGCCGCTTGGTGATGGCAGGAGACTCTGGGAGGTCCGGGTGGGTTCGGAGCTTGAAATCTCGCTGGGTATGGTGTGGCTGTGGCTGTGTATAGTGTCGGTGGGCACGGTTCTCGAAGATGTTCCAATTGGGCTGTAGTGCTCGGTGAGAATGGTCGGCGGGTCGGCCGACGATGTTGCGGGCAAGGAGGTGGTTTCCTCCAGCCAAGAGATGACTGTCGTGAACGTTATGGTTTCAGTGATCTCTACGCAGGTTGGCTCGAGGTCTTGTCTGGCAAGTATTCTCGGCCCAGCTGATGCCGGAGCTATCAGCAGGAAAGGAGCGGCGGCAAGCAAGAGGGCGGGCAACATGGTGGAAGATAATCTACTCGTTGGCAGTAAGGACTGGAAAGAGAGAATGTAACAAGCTAGGCCATACCCAGAGGCCAGAAGATGAGAGTTTTAAAGGGAACTCGTGAAGCCTTTGGCTACTAGACCACGCTAGGGCGCCTGTATAAGGAATGTAAGAGGGTGGCCCAGCTCACCAACGTCGAACACTGTCGCGGAAATTTGGAATGGGAGGCTGACTATCCATCCTCAGAGACAAGGTGAGGGGGGCGTGCCGAGTTGAAATATGAGAGACTAGGGAACCAAGACATGCTGCTCAAGAGGCTGTGGAACTACCACTGTGCAACTTTCAAGAAATGGAGGCAATTTTGCTAATGAGCAGCTATCTTTAGCCTGTGAGGGTTCGACCGTCTGCCGGGCCGTTACGAGAGGAGGGAGGGAGATGGAGGCAGGGGGGGCCAAAAGAATGAACTCAACGGAGAAAACAGGGAGGGGTTTTGGTGTTGCGCGGCTTCTTAGACCGGGAACGACGGCGAGGCCTCGGCAGAGCGCTTCTACTGAGGCTTCTACCGCCGAAGACGAGGCTATATGATTATCCAGATATAGATGGGACCGGGTGGACGGCCGTGGGATTATCTGCCGGAAGATGTGAACAATCAATACGGCAATGCGAGCCCTCGTCGTGTTCATCTCATCCATCTCATCCGGGTCATCCAAGTTGTCCAACAGGTTTCGCCATACAGCGACGTTTATTGCTCTCCACAGTTCCCCCTGGCAAGACTTCATCCAACGTTGGCTGCCATGCACTTTAGAGATTATACTCCGAGTGGGGGGGCACGGAGGAGAAACGTGCGACTGCAATGAAAGGGGGAATCGTGATCTAGAGACTAGGCAGCGGTGAATTGATTGGTTCTAGTCCGCCGAGTAGCTCATGTTTGACGATGTGCTGTTGAGCTTGATTGTTCGTTCCCTGGATTCGCTGGGTTGAGGTTGAGAAGTGGAGGGGGAAGAAGCTCGGCGTCGAGGAATCGGATCCAGCCGAGTGGAATCGGCAGGTACCCTTTAGTGGCTGCACCAATGGCATGCGACAATTCTGGAGGAATGCAACCTCAATCTCTATCTGGGTTCTGGATTCTGGAAGGCCACTGCTGCACCAACCTTGATCTTCTTCATTCCATCTCTTTGTTCCCTTTTCCCTTCTAGCCCCTCCCCCTGCCTTGCTAGATCAGGGTCGTGGTGTGATGGAATCCCCTTTATTTGAGGCTGGACCTTGCGCGTTTATTCCCTGCCCCTTATTGTCTCACAAGCTCCCTCCGTATTGGAAGCTGGGTAGGCTGTGAGCTGGATTCCACTCTCCAATCCAACCTCGTCGCACAAAACCGCGGCTCAAACCATTCCAACTCATGGCAACGGACTAAAAATCCCTTATTGGTTGTTTCCCGGCAGATTCAACTCGAGTGAGTCGTGACATCTGCTGTGTGCTTAAGCCCGAAGCTGCGCTATCCTCCAAAGTTGTCCACGTATGTATAACATTACTATCTTGCTGCATAATTGGGCTGGATGGTCTACAAGCAATCAGCTCAGTAAGGATCTCGACCATGGATGTTTCCTCAGTCGACTTGCTTGGAGACATATGATATACCTAATTTCATGCAAACCGCAAGTATGCGGTTCCCCGCCTTCTAATACATGAATATATTTGCACGGTGGTAGATCTGACCTGGAACCTAAAGAGTTCCTCTAGGATATCCTCTATTTTATTAAGTCTCTGATGGTGAGTTCTGTCCTGTCGCTTCTGGTGAGAAACAAACACCCCTCACACCTTTCCAAGTGCCGTGTGATCATGCAGTTTCTTCTCCCGCCCTAATAATAAGACCTCCTTTCAAATGCACGACTCCCGAAACTCCTTGCTTCGAGGGACCAGTTTTCCCGTTGCTCTGTATTCCCCCCTTCCTCCCCTCTCTGCTCGCCAGGTTACCATGTCCCCTCCTGTCCCGCTCAAGCCTTCGACGCATTCACAGTCGGGCTACCCCTGAAGTCAGCAACGCACACACAAGAACCCCCAAGTTAAGGACGAACCGACAACTTACCCAATACCCTCACCAACATCAACCTTTCCCCCCATGATCCCCCGCGCCTCCCCTCCCCCCTCCCCCCTCCTCTCAAACACCATTACCAGCACCGGCATGAGCGCATACCCAACCAGCATCCCCCCAGACGCCAGCGCGGGCCCCGTCCCACCGCGCGCAAACCAGTCCTCTCCCCCTCCGACCTCGTACAGCGCCAGGCGGGCGACGAGGCGCGTCACGGCCATGAGCGCGAGCGCCGCCGCGCCCGCCGCGAGGCGCAGGCCCGCCGCGCGTGGCACCTCGTAGCGGGCGACGAGGAGGCGGGCGCACGCCGTCGCGGCGACTAGCATCGCTGCTCGGACGGGGAGCGGCGGAGCCGAGGTGTGGGTTTGGTTGGCCAGGGCTAGGGCCGCTAGGCGGGAGAGGGCGAGGCCCGAGGCGAGGGTCAGGAGGGTGTAGATCAGGGCTAGGCGGATGATGAAGGAGGCTAGGGCGATGTTCCAGAGGATGTCTATTACGGAGTCTGTTGTTTCGAAGAGGACGAAGCCTGCCATTTTCTTCTCTTTTGGGCTTTCAACGTTGAGCGATGCTCGGGTGGTTTTGGGTTTGTTGGTTAAGTTGGTCAAGTTGAGTTTGGTTCAAGATGATGTCTCAAGGGTATAGTTTGCAACATTTAATTTCTTGACAGGAACAAACCCTGGTATTTATCTGTCGGCATAGTAGTCACGAGGTTTACCATGTTTGCGTTGGTGATGTGAGTAGGTGCCATATATCGGGCTGTTGTGGTGTGATAATGGGACGACCAGCGGCGCCACCACAACGTCACAATTGCTCAACTAGAAACTGCTGATGTCGCTCCCACAAGCCTTGAAGACCTGCAACCTTTCTTTACACCCATTGTTGACACTTTCCAGGACGTCTCGAGCTAGTCCGTCTAAAACAGACTGCTTGTGGTAATTTCCAACTTTGGTCCATTTGGGTATCGTCTTGCATGTCATAAAACCAGCGGTCTCTAATGGGAACTCTATTCGCTGGCAGTCATGATTCTATGTTCAAGCCTGTCCAAACTCAGATTTCTGTCTTGGCGAGCTTCTTCGTCAATTCGTCCACCTCCTTGTCCTTGTCAGGGATGACTGGCTCTTCCTGAGCCTCCTCGGCCTCGTGGATGAGTTTCTCGGCCCTCTCCTCGGGCTCGGCCTCCTCCTCCTCCTCCTCCTCTTCCTCCTCCTCTGAATCCAACTCTTCGAGGTCGCTCAGGCTGTCAAGACCCCACTCGTCCTCGACCAGAACGTCACCACCGAGCTTCTCTTTCCGCTCCTCAAGCAGTTCCTGGAGCGCAATGATCGATTCATCGTCCTCTGTGAACTTGTTCCCGTTTAGCTCAATCTTCTTCAGCGCCGGAAGGGCTTCCTTTGCCGCCTTCGCGAGACCCTTCACCCCCGCGGCTGTGATATCGTTGTACTGCAGGCGCAGGATCTCGAGCTTCTTATTGTTTCCCTGGCCAAGAGCGGCGGAAAGGAGGATGCCACCCTTGGCGCTCAGGAGCGAGTCACCGATGCCCAGTTCCTTGAGCTCACTCCAAGTCGGCGCGACCTTCGCGAGAGCCCGGGCGCCCTTGGCCGTAAACGTATTGTCCTGGAGATCAAGGACCTTGAGCCCAGAGGCACAGCTAAGGCCCTCGAGAATCAAATGCGAGATACCCTCCTGCCGGATGCCATTCTGGACCATCTTGACCTCCTTGACCTCATTATGCAGGCTAAACGTCTTGGCCCATGCAGTCATACTGCCGTTCTCCAGTCGGTTACGACCGCATATAACAGTCTCGAGGTGAGGCACCTCCTGACCATCCTTCCGTGCCGCCTCTTTCTTAGCGTGAAGCTCAGAGAGCGCATCGGCGATCAAGATGCCGGCATGAGGGCCAAGGCCGTTGTTGTTCAGAGAGAGATGCTGGAGAGGAACGTGCGCGGCGAGGAACGCCACGAGGGGGGCTTGTGTGTTCAGACCAAACGCGTTGTCGTTCAGGTTGATCGTAGAAAGTTTAGGAAGGTTCAAGATCGAAGTCAGAAGGGAGGAAAGCGCCTCGGGGATCTCGTTGAGGAGACGACCGGTGAAGATATCGGCTAGATTCGCAACCTATCGTTTGGGGTCAGTATCTTGCGCAAAGCCTTCTCTTTCCATATCGTGACATGCCTGTAGATTCTTTTTCGTCGCCAGGACCTCTCCAAGAAGCTTGCAGGCCCCGACTCCCAAGGTATTTCCGAGCAGCCTAACCTCCTCGACATCGTCCATCGACCGCAACTCGGCAATGTGGGGTTCCAGGTCAGCCGCGGTGTCCAGCTTCAGACCTTTCCCATCGAGGGAAAAGACCTTGGTAGACGGTGCCATGCTGTAAGGATCAAGAAGTCGGCCGATTCCGATATCTATAATGTGCAGGGTGTAATCCTTGAGGCTCTGGGGGCAACGTCGCAAAAGTTTGGGGAGCGAGATTGGGGAGATATTTTGGTGGGGGAGGGGTCAAAACAAACACTGAATGGAATGGGATCGTAAATAATTATCTAGGTACGGAGGTACCTCGGGGGATGGCGAGATCGGGCAACTGGGCAGGTGATGCCAGTTGGCGGTTCTTTCGGCTGTTGGCAGCTGAAATCGCGTCAGATCACTTCTTTTGACATGCAAGGCTCGAAGAAGTGAATGGCGATTGTCCTCTGCGCAAGAACACGTTCATCGATTAGTTTCTGAACAGTCAATTGTAAATTTTCTGACCTCTGGGGGGTTAATTCGATCGAAAATTACCTCCTCCCGAGGAGTCAACTTCACCTTCCCTTACAAAGTTGCCGAAAAGCTTCACGACCGCTCCTACGATGGGAAGGCACGATTCTCCACCAGATTCACCACTCTCTTCAATGGATTCATCAGACGGCTACGACGAAGATGTCACAGAGACAGCTGACGACCTCCCTCCTGCAAAGCGCCAAAAGAGGGGCGATGGGTCAGTAGCCTCATCCGCAGTCATTCCCGATCCAGATCCAGATTCCTTGGAAGGCATGTCCGACGTGTCCTCCGACACCTCGGGCGATGTGCCCAGCTCGCCGATAAATGCACGACTCGACGAGGAGGAATTCGCAGAGCAAGTGACGGTGTGCGCGTGGGAGGGATGCAAGGCCTACAGTATCGGCAACATGGATAAGCTCGTCGAACACATACACAACGATCACATCGAGGGTCGGCAGAAGAAGTACACCTGCGAATGGATCGGTTGCCCTCGGAAAAGCATGCCCCATGCCAGTGGCTACGCTCTGAAGGCGCACATGCGGAGTCACACGAGGGAAAAGCCCTTCTACTGCTACTTGCCTGGTATGTCTATTCGGCCACACCCCCCATCAAGGACTCTGCCACCGTCTTCCATTACTGCGCGCTAACTCTAGACTCCACAGAATGCGATCGCGCGTTTACGAGATCCGATGCCCTTGCTAAACACATGCGCACCGTCCACGAGACTGAGGCTCTCCGACCGTCAGACCCGGTCCCGAAGAGCATGCAGACGGGAGGGCCGGCGGGGAAGTCGTCCAAGCTCAAGATCATCCTCAAGACGCCGCAGTCGCACTCGAAGGGGGACTCCGACTCCGCGGAGGAGGGGGGCAACGCCGACGACTCGGTACCCTTGACGCTGCTGTCGACGGACCTTGGATTCACCCAGAATGAGCGTGACATGCCGATGGATAAGCTATATGCCCTCTGCCGGTGCCAGGTGAAGTGGGCCGAGGCGGACGGGGAGGCGCTCCGGAAGGAGTGCAAGAAGTGGGAGGCCCTGTACAAGAAGGAGTGGCTGGAGAAGGAGGTCCTCTTAGACCAAGTCGTGCAGAGCGAGCTAGGCTGGCACAAACGGAGGCGGGCGGTGCTTAGCGGCGCGGTTGATGTGCACGTTCCGGACGTGGTCGCTAACGGGGCAGGTGATGAGGACGAGCATATCGGCGGTGTTGTCACAAACGGCGAGATGGTGGTGGATGCAGACTAGGCATCGACTTGGTGGTGCTGGGCATGAACTTCAAGCCCAGCATGGGCTACGAATATCACGAAGATTGTACTACTAGCCGTGGCAATTCCTTTCATGCGAACGAACCCTTGTACTCTTAATTTACAGCGGCAATCACCGCGTCTATGCATGCCATACGCCTCAAGCTTGCGCCTAACCGTACATGACGTTGTGATGACTGCGAGGACCACTCCTCATCAGCATCGGCCGTCCCCTCGAAGCAGACCATCGGCTCAAAGCTCCTTCGGCCGCCTCTTGTCAGCCTCGGCGTTCTTGAACGGGAACCCGCTGGTTCTTTTGTCTGCCCCCGTCCTTTTGCTGATATGGCCCTTGTCGCCGCCAAACATGAGGCACCACAGCCCGAACGAGCCGAAGATGCTGTACCCAACAGCCCCGACAAGGTAGCCCATCTGCCCGGTGGAGTTGTACTGGACATAGGTGGAAAATGCATACGCCCCGTGGTAGAGCGTGGAGACGAGTATGGCGGCATTGGAGAAGGGCGTGATGTTGCCGGAGGGAGCTATATTGGTGACGTACTTGTAAGCTGGCGTACTTTTTGCGCAACGACCTGAGGATAGAGACTTACTCTCAACCAGAGATGTAAGTGGCAGAGACCCGGTTAGGACGACGAGAAGAACGCCAATGGTCAGCTGCGAGAACCCCAACGAGCGGGCAAGGTGCTGATCCACGGCTGCTCAGATATTAGTACTCGATCTAGCCTCCGAGTCTTCGCAAAGGGAGCGCGCCCCTGGCACATACCACTTGCATGCCGGAAGTCCGGAGTGAGGAGAGAGATGACAAATGTCGGCCAGAGTGCCAGAGGAATTGACTGCAGTGCCAGCCAGCCGAAGCTGCTGAAGCTGTATAGGGAGATAGACTAGTAGTGGGAGGCCATGGTCAGTTCAAGTTGATCTCGAGTTATCTCCCTTGCCAGCCAGGAGAACGACTTACATCCATAATTGAGGTGTGTGTGGTTGTGCTATAGTTGCAAGATTTAATATCGAGCTTCTGCCTGGACTCCGCCTTTTATTAGTACTTGTACTAGAATACACGCGTCTTATATGTCAAGATCTGGAGCCTCCCTGGCATAGCATTTCCAAGTGACAATGACAACTCCGTACAAACCGAGGAAGATCAGGTTACGTCATATATACGCCTATAATCAGTCCGACGTGGTTGGCTGGCACGCAAAGGGACCTTGCTCCACTGCGGCAATACTGTGGTAGAGACGACCCCACTGGACCGCCCCAAGGCCGATTTCGCATCACCCGTTAAAAAGCGTCTTGACCTACCTAGATGTCCAGACGAAGAGGCGGAGGCAAAAAGTTTGCAGCAACACTTAAACTCACAAGACAGAAGCACTCTCTTGTTCTTTTCTAATTGTTTAAAAGATCTAAGAGACTATATACTCGATGCGGCAAAGGCAGTAATAACCCTTCAAGTCCCACCCCGAATCTTCTACAACCTCGCCACTACCACAGACGGTTTCGAATCTGATTACCAACACACACTCGGAGGAGAGGATCCACGCAAGAAACACCCGCTCGATGGTTCCAACCCAACAACACCCGTCACAATGAGCGCGATACTCTCCGCCGACGACCTCAACGACTTCATCAGCCCCGGCGTCGCCTGCATCAAGCCCATCGAGACGCTCCCCCCCGCCGCCGCCACCGCGTCCCCCACGACCGCCGACGAGAACGAAGTCATCCTAGACGGCCAACAACCCCCGCATGCCGCCGCCGGCGCCGCGCCGGCCGAGATATCGCTGACCGACTGCCTCGCCTGCTCCGGCTGCGTCACCTCGGCCGAGGCCGTGTTGGTCAGCCTGCAGAGCCACGCCGAGGTGCTCAGCACGCTCGACTCGGCCCCGTCGCTGCGGCTCGCCCCCGATAATGTCGAGGGCCTCGAGGACGAGTCCCGGAGGCTGTTCGTCGCCAGCGTGTCGCCGCAGACACGGGCGAGCCTGGCGGCGGCGTGCGGCGGCGGCGTGACGGAGGGGCAGGCCGGGCGCATGCTTGAGAGGCTGCTGATGGGGGAGGGGGGTTTGAGAGCGGGCGGCAAGTGGGGCAATGGGTTCACGTGGGTCGTCGACACCAACACGGCGAGGGAGGCATGTCTGGTCCTTGGGTCCGACGAGGTACTCGGGGGTGGTTCTATTACAACGCAGCCGCCGGCGGACGGGCCTGCGCGGCCTATCCTCACATCATCATGCCCCGGATGGGTATGCTATGCCGAGAAGACACACCCTTACGTCCTCCCTCATCTATCGCGCGTCAAGTCGCCACAGGCCCTGATGGGCACCCTGCTCAAGACCACCCTCAGCCGGAAGTTTGGGATCCCGCCCGACCGGATATGGCACCTGGCCATCATGCCTTGCTTCGACAAGAAACTGGAAGCGAGTCGCGAGGAGCTGACGGATGCAGTTTGGGCGGGCGACGGGAAGCCCGCCCGGGGAGTGCGAGATGTCGACTGCGTTATCACGAGCAAAGAGATACTCATGCTTGCCGAGTCGCGGGGAATCGACTTCTTCAGTCTGTCCTCAGGGCCCCTTCCAAGACAACCCCAATTCCCGGATCCCTCGATCCAGAGGTTCCTCTTCCCTCCCAGGTCGGGCCACAGACCGTCACCCGCAGCGGGGTCATCTGGTGGCAACCTCTATTTCGTCCTCCAGGACATGCAGTCGACGCACCCGGGATCGCAAATACAAACGACAAGGGGCAGGAACGCCGACGTTGTCGACTATAGCGTAACCTCTACCTCCGGCGAAGTCATCTTCAGGGCCGCACGTTATTACGGTTTCCGGAATATCCAGAACTTGGTCCGGCGGCTCAGGCCGGTGAGGCCATCGCGGATGCCAGGCGGAAGGCCGGTTGGCAGCGCCAGGAAGCCGGCGGGGAAGTCGGCCGGGTTGGAGTATGCATATGTCGAGGTCATGGCCTGCCCCGGCGGCTGCACCAATGGGGGCGGCCAGATAAAGGTCGACGACCCGGTCATCATTGAGCGCAAGGGGTTTGCCTCAAAACCGGGGCCCTTGGAGCAGAAGGAATGGCTGTCGCTGGTTGACGAGGCTTATTTCTCTGCGGATGAGGCGGAAATCGGTGTGGGTGATGTGGAGGGCGTGGCCAATGGCTACGAGAAGGTGGTTGGTGGTATTTCCCCTGCATATATTCGAGATATCCTGGCGCATTGGTCGAGTATTACAGGCATAGCGTTGGATAGACTGGCCTATACGAGCTACCGCGAGGTAATCAGTGACGTCGGGAAGGATAAGACGACGGATACTGAGAGGGTGGTCCAACTGGCTGGAAAGATCGGTGGAGGGTGGTGACCAGTACCTAGGCTAGGTAGTCCGACGTGGTGTCGTGGTAATTCAGTCTTCTTTGGCACCGCGCCTGGCGAACCTAAAGCCGCCTCTTCCGCTATTATCGGGTCCAATGGGTGAACGAATAGCCTGCTCTTCTTCTCGCGGTGTAGATGCCCTGCCAGGCCTAGGTGTCGCGCTTTCGCCGTCCCGCTTCTGTATGCCGAACCCGGGTTTGGGAGAGTAGCTGGGATCATACAGTTCCCGGGAACCGATCGGGTTGCCCACAGGCGTGCGGCGGCTCTGACCGTCTTGCCGGCCGTCGTGCCGACTGTCGCTGCGGGATCCTTCGCTTCGGGGCCCTCCTCCGCGACCCCTGGTCTGTTTTCTGTAGGTCTGGCGGCCATCTGATGAGGGTGGAGTGGTCTCATTCCGAGGAGTCGATTGGCCGGATGAGGCATTTGAGTCGCCAAAGATCTTGGCTCGTACTTCTTCGTAGCGGCGCTGCTTCTCCTCAAGCTCTCTCTGCTGGCGCATTCGGATCTCCTCTGGTGTGGGCTGGTGCTTAGTGGAGTCATCCTCGTCTTCGTCGTCATCGAGTGTCAACCGCTCGAGTCCGGTAACAGGATCCCTCTTGACTACCATCTGCGGTGTGGGCTTTCGGCTCAAGACCTTCACTGCAGGTTTGAAGCCCGTTGCCAGCGGTACGTTGCTGCTCGCAACTACGAACAGGTTCTCTGTTGGGGTCTCGCTGCAAACATCGTCAGCCAGGGTAGGAATAGTCGACAAGCCGGTGGACATACGCTGATTCCCAGAGTTTGCGTTGGCCTTCGGCATGCCTTGCCAGCAGCTCAGGGCGTGACATGGGGGTTTTCTGCGCAGGCGCTGCCTCCTCTTGTTTGGACATTTGATCGGCCTGCGTCTCCCAGTCGTCTTCCCACGCGTCGGGGAGCTCATGGTGTTTCGGCATCTTATAAGCAATCAAGATAAGATGTATTACGGTGACGTCAAGTTTCGGCTTGGAAGCATGTAGCTATTCAGAAGAACAGAGCTTCTTGCAACAATTTCAAAGGAAGCCGTTCCAGGTGTGTTCTGGGGTTTCAAGAAAGTAACCTGCACGCTATCGTACGTGTAATCTGTGTAATCTGGAGTTGCAATTGAAGCCTGAACCCTCTCCCCTTGTTCTCCAAAATTTAATTCAACTTTCTGATTAGCGCGATACTCCCAGTGGGAATCCTGGACCCACATAAACGAGCTGACGGATAGTGTGGAAAGAGCCTTGAACACTGTGTGTAGGTAACTCGACGTCCAAACACTAATAAGCCTCCTAGCATACACCACAGGTCACGTTGCCTGGGGTTGGGAAGAGCAACCGCAAAACTATCCCTCTCTGGTTAGCAAGTCGTAATTGAGACACCCCAAGAGTCATAAACAACACCCTCATCTTCAGGATGAACGTAGACGAGATGCTGTCAGACGCCCCTAGCAGCTTCAGCCAGGACGCTGCTGCCGGAGCTGGGGAGAGCGGCAAGGTCACAGGAGGGGGGATGAACCCGAAGAAGCTCAGGGAAGAGATAGAGCTGGCAAAGACACGCCTCTCAGATCAGAAGTTCAGGATCAGTAAGTCCCTAGTCCCCGAGGTCATGTTTGATAATGCCTTCTCGACTAACATAAATAACAGCTGACTATCCCGATCCGCTGCTGCCTCGGAAAGGTATCAGCCCCAAGAAGTACCCTGCCGGTGTTACTGCTGAGATAGAGGAGCGTCTAATGGCCGTTATTGCAAAGACCCAGGCGACATCGAATGCTTGATGCCATGGAAAGATAGGAGAGCGTGTTATGGGAGTGTTTTTTTGGGGGGGCTGTTCATCGAGATACATGGTCCTGGGGGCCAATGCTGCGGTTCAGTCCAAGTCTTGTGGCTCGTCCGTTTTCTATTGTCCGTATTGTTAAAGACAATAGTAATTCATGGCCAATTGTCGGCCAGCTCCGTCCCCCTGTGAGTAGCCCCCTATTGCATTCGACCTATTCAACTCCGTCAACAATAGAATATCCCGGGCTCAGGGGAACCAGCAGCAGAATAAATTCAACTTTACACATCAACTTTGCCCTTCTCCCTTCCTACTTTTGCGACCGGATAGATCATTTTCAAGATTTGTGAGCCAGCAAACAGATTCATCTTCATCGAATTCTTTACTCTCTTTCGCAGTAACAATCAACCCTCATACCATACCAACCTTCTTCAAGATGTCTTTCACTATCACTATCAACCCGTCTACCGCCGAGAAGGAGACCGGCTTCGAGGTCTCGCTCAACGTCGACGAGACTTCCAGCGTCACCATCAAGCCTTCCACCACCGCCGGGAGGGACAGCGGCGTCGAGGTCTTGGTAAAGGCCGAAAAGTCTTTCACCATCACCATCAATGCCTCCTCCGCCGAGGTCGTCGACTCGCCGCCAGCCCAGCCAACCGGGCTCTCTTCGCACCCCACCCCACCTTCGGATACCAGCCTTGGTGGTGCCAGCCCCACGGGCAGGCGAGGCAGAAGCCTATCTGTCGACTCTTCCGACGGGGGTCGCCCCGAGAAGCGGGCTCGGCTCGCCGCCGACGAGGACGAACTGGCGTCGGAGGACTCCCGGCCCGACAAGGACCGTGCGCTCTGGGAGCACACCGGCGCACGCCGCATCCGGTGGGGCAAGTGGCCCACCGCGTCCGTGCTGCCCGGTGAGTCACCCAGGGCGCACGAGAGGCGTCTGGACTGGGAGTACTCCGCCTGCCGCGAGGCCGAGTCGAGGTACTACCACTGGCACGTGGCCATTTACGGAAGTTAGTAGCCACCTCCTCTAACTGATCGGTATAAATTGAACATCTGCTGACTGTTTGCCCTTTAGGAGGTCCAAACCACGACCTCTCATACAAGGATGCGGTCGAGCTCGCCTACCAAACAGAGCTCCTGGTGCCGTCGGACGAGCAACTCGGTGCCCTCGAGGCGGAGAGTGAGGACGAGGGCGCGTATGGGATGGCGTCGAGACCGGCTTCTGAAGGAGGGAGTTGGGTGGGTTAGTGTCTGGTCGGAGTGGAAGGGGGGAAGGGATGTTTATTATCAATCCTATACGGTTGCCTCGCGGCACCATCCCTTAGCTTAGCAGCATTAAACGGCGACAGGATTGTGAATCTTGCTTGGTGAGGCTTACATCTGCACCAATGGTTATCTGAACACAGCTGGTGATCCTGTATCCTGCCATGGTGCTTAGAATATACTGGTAAACACTTGTCGACTATGGACTTGCATTGTCGCTCAGAGCTATGCGATACCGCTGGAACCCCGAGTCACAACCCGGACATTGACAAGCCATGGGACAGCCTTCTCGTTCCCCTTATTGCCTGGGGAGAGATATTTGTGATTGAAAATATCCAAACATACCTAGCTTTTAAGCTACTAGGATGCGCCCAGACTCAAGGGCAAACCGCCCTGGACTTAGTAGAACGCTCCAAGATAAGGTCAGTCAATTAGATGAATTTCCATAACAAAAAGCAGAGCAGCAGACTCATCATGCATTTCCGGGGATATGCAATGCCATCGCCGCTTGGCCATGACTGACAGCAGTTGTCGTCCCATCTCGCAGATCTGGATACAGTGAGTCAGGGTGCACATGCTCGTCGGGCACGCCATCCCAAACCTGGGACGCTGACGTAGTATTCAACAGTAGAATACGTTCACTGCTCATTCCACCATTCTGCAATCAGTCGATGGTAAGGCGGTTCTCTGTACATGCAATCTGGGTTCTCCAGGCGTGGATCTCTGTTCGGCACAGGACCTAGTTTCCGAAGGCTCAACATTGGTTGCGTCGCGGCAAAAAAACGAGCTGCACGCTCTGAGCCGGCGGATCGGGTCACGGAGGACGCCCAAGATCGACGATCGCACTTGGCTAAAGGGGATTGGCGCAGTTGCGGGCGGGATAATAGCAGAGGAAGAGAGACACTGTGTACACTACTACTGTGAAGAAAGGGGGAGGGCTTTCTCAAGACACTCCGGATGCCACATACACGCACAGTCGCTGACGCGAGAGGGTTGATTAACTAGGTAGGTGGTGTAGATCGTAGTGCCCAGGAGACCACATGTGCAACGGCAACCAGACGCCACGGCGATCGATATCCGCTGCAAGTCGAGGACCGAGTAATCATGACTCGCATATACGACTCGTGGGGGTCTCAACGGTCGGGAACCCGGGTCGGCGATCCTTGGCCAAGGGATGGTACTCGCTATCGTGGGTTCCCACTGCCTGCATTGCCTCGTTTGGACTCGGCCTGGGCGGCTTGGTCTCCCAAGGCGAATGAATTTGAGCGGCAGCCACGAGGATCCATCTGGCCGCAGGCGGGCTGTGATGGACCGCGGAGCATGTTTTTTGAGGCAGCAGACGTCGAATGTACATACAGAATGCATGTGTACCATTGGGAGATGGCGGTGATGGTCGGACTGCACCTAAATAGAAAACGATATAGGCCAGCTGACAGAAGGAAAGCCGCCCGTTTCGGACGGGAGCTTTTGATTGTGTGCTGTAATCCGTAGTGTATGTACAGTACATTCACATACCATAGATCTGATCACTTCCATGCCAGACTACCTACACGTGAGCCAGGTTATGTTAATGCAGCTGGACGGGATTAGAAACAGGAAACAGTTGAAACCTTGGAAGGCCTTCAGCTCTGGGGGTTGCGTTACCTCAATTCCAGTCGGCACCAGGCTCTTGGGCCAGCCCCCGAATGACCCCGGAACAACATAAGCAAGTAAGGGCAGGCCTCGAGTGTGACACCAAAACCTAGTGGAGGTGTAAAAGGTAAAAGAGAGGCGTGAGTCAAAGCATGAGACATAGGAAGCCTATTACATTGCAGGCGGCATCTCCAAGCTTCGGCAGGTTCGTACGCTGGTATGCGTAGTTGGCTTTGGACCGATCCCCGTCATGGTTCCCTCTCCCAGAATCCTGATTCTTCGTTTCTTGACGTATCATGTACGATAGGCCTTTGCGATCGCAGCGCGTGTTACAGTAGCAAACCCTGCTGTTGGTATGGAAGGGTATCCTAGTATAGTACATCCGGCAGCCGCTTGGCCCCACTTGTTCCAGCTACATAGTACGGCGTATCTAAAGTACTGTACATCATACTTCTCAGCATAACGTTGATACACTCCAGTGGGAAGCTGAGAGATATCATGGTTCAGATGCCTACCTACTGTCTCTCATAGAGACGATTTTGAGCCTTATCTGCTGATGACGGGAGAACCTTACCTTCGGAGGCAAAGTAGGCTTTTCTCTCACTCTTATTCTGGTGGCGGCCTTACTTGGTACCCCAGGTTCGGGAGCTCTCGGCTTGTCGAGCGGATTACCTCACATTCATATAAATCCCCACTTCTCCAACTTGGTTCTGCTGCTCATTGACATCGTTGGTGACATTTTTCTCGACGAGTCGCCGCGGGGCTATTCCCAACCAACCAGATAGGTGCCTAATAACCTAGTTAAACTACCACCTACCTACCTTACCTCAACTGGATGTTAGCCTGCTAGGCTGGTCATGGGCAGTTCGCCCGCCGCAGGCAGGAAAAAAATTCATACTCCCGAAATCCCTCCCCCCCCAAAGAGAGAACTCCAACAACCTACACCCCAAGCGCCCAATCGACTCGCCTCATATTATCACACTCACACCACGCGCAACCCACCGCTGAAACGATCCAATACCAACCTCGACTCTCGCCCCGAACTCCGATCCTCCTCAGCCTGGCATTTGCTTTCTCCTGCGAGCAGATGCAAAATGTCGGGCCCGGCTGATGGCTCAGGCGCTGGTGCAGGCGGCGGCGGCTTCGACCTGCTGAAACGTGCAACCCAAGCAATGATGTCAAAGTACGTCGGTATCAAATATTTCTCTTTTTTAGTCTCTGCCTACCGACTCTCCTGGATCCCCTCACTGCAAGTTCGATATCCCTCAGCGCCTGCGGCTGCCGCGAAGAAATACCTCGAACACCCTGTTTCGCATTACAAAGCTCCTGTTCCATCACGTCCCTTTATTCATATTAATGGGCCACTTCTTGGGGCTTCCAGAACGCCCGGCAGAAGTTTAGCCAAACCTGTTGAGCCCCTCGGAAGACCCACAAGCCCAGACTGCTGCCAAAGTTGGCGGCCGTGCCCAATGAACCCTTGCGTTTGCCGATGCCGCAGCGCATTCCCCGTCACCATTTAAGCCAGAGGTACCACCTGGCTACCTGAGCCAGCAAGGTACATAGGTGCCTACCCACTGCGCTACGCTTGAGGCGGTGATCAAGAATGTGGTTGCGTAGCCACCTAAGGCAATCCCCGAGTCAGGCTAGTGCCGGCCCCCAGATGGCCCTTGGGCCCTTTTGCGGTTTACATGCCTACTCATTTGCCCGCAACTCTGGGCCTACTCCGCCTACCGGATGCTTCCCCCTCATGGTCTGCGTATATGGCGCATCAATAATTGATTTGCACATGTAAATTTCATCTGGTCTTCCCTTCCCGACCGGGGCCGTGGATGGCAGACAGGCCGGATGGTAGCACCAGTCAGGTTGTCTGCCCGTCCAGAGTCCATTGTCTGTCTGTCTGTCTTGTCGAGGTCGCTATCACACCTTCCCTTGTAGCCGTGGCCCTGAAGAAAAGGTGGAGGATGAGAAGCTCCCCCCACTTCCATGATCGTTCGTCAACCGCATGGCAAGCATCAATGGTACACTACTAGGTTTACCCAAGAGCGAGTAAGCAGTGTACCAAAGTGGCAGAAGCTGAGGAACCCGTTCGAACGGCAGCTCCTTTTCCTTTTTTCCATTTCCCTTCCTTGCTTCACTCTCTCCCTGTCTTTTCATGCAGACCCAAGTCACACATCAATCAGCCCTGCCTTCACTAGGTAGCGACGTATTACCTTCCTTCCCTGTTCAGCTTCGCCCAGAGCGCATTTTTACATCCCGCCCCATTTCCAGGTTTACCCCAAAAAAGCACCTCAGCTCACTGAAAATCATCGCCACCTCACCCCAGCCCAATCCAGAGTAGTCATCATGAGCTAGCCATATTTACCTCGACTGTTTCGCTCTTCGCTCTTCTCCCGCTTATGCACTTTCTCCACTCACTACACAACTCTTCTTCTTCATTCACCATACTTGCCTTTTATGGTCTACTCTCAAGATGGACCGATTCCTCGCCTCGGAAGGTATTAACGGTCGCAGCAGGTCTGTCGCAGCCGACGATGATGGAACCGACCACATTGGCCTCGATACCCCACGTTCCGGTGTGGCAACACCGCAACCAGACCTCCACGACAAGCGATTACCCGGCATAATGAGTTACTTTGGTCAGGTTCGTGCAGCCTCTTTTCAGCGTTTGTTGTCTGGCACCTTCAACGCAAGTGGACAAGCTTCACCCGCTCCACCCGCCTCACCGACCGCCGGCCCTCAGGACGAGGAGTCACCTCGAACTACTTCCCAGTCGAAACCCCCGGCTAGCGCTGTTGAACAGGACTTGCGCCGCATATCTACAGACGAGGCGCCCTCTCTCTTCCCTCATGAGACGGTGGGCCCTTCTGAAGAGCATCCATATCCTACTCCCCCTACATCCCAGCGATCTTCTGTCCGGGGGAGTTCGAGTATTCCTAGCGTCGGCCTGGAGGGTCGAGACACCCCTGCGTCGTCTCGACAACCCAGCCTTCGCAGGATGAGCCTCGCAGACTTTGCTAGAGGAAATGCCCGAAGATCTTCCCTTCTCGCACCTTTGACAGCCAGGGTCACTGAATCTAGTGTCTCGGCCCCTCATTTCTCAAACCCCAGCTCTCAGGCCTCCACTGTCCCAAGCTCACCGACGCGTACAAGTTCTGGAGATGAGAAGGGTGCCTCTGATAATAAGTTCGCGTGTGTCAAGAGCCTCAGGAAGCTAACAGATGTGGCCGGGGTCAAGAGTGGTACTTCAACCCCGACCCGAGCGCTTTCAACCGCGCGCCCGTCGAAAGCCGAAAGCCAAGACGACGCGAGCCGGGAAACCGTCGCCGTTCCAGACCGCGCAGTGGCTCGCACCCCGACACCCCCAGGTGCCCAAGCACCAGCCGCTAGAGGAAAGCTTACTATCAAAATCGCCGAGGCGAGGGGACTGAAGAAGTGTCGTGATCCGTACGTCGTTGTCGTTTTCCAACGCAGCGAGCTCATATCCGGCGGCCCACGCCCCGCCGAAGAGGACGAGGATACTGCTGTTTCGGCAGCCATGGCAGTCCCCATACGCGGCACCCCAATGCAACGCCAAGGGAGCGACTCCGGACGACCACCGATGGCCATCCCGATGAGAAGCCGCCAGAGTAGTAACACCAGCATTGGCGACTACACGACCTTCCGCAACCGTAATTCGCGCCGGTCGTTCACCAATCCTAAATGGGACGCCGAGGCTATCTTGTAAGTCTGGGTGGCCCTGAGAGGCCCAATCTTCATGCTAATAGCCCACCCCTCCGCCAATAGTGACGTTGTTGGATTGGACATGCTTGTAGACGTCTCGGTATATGACCACAGCGCCTCTGGAGAGGAGTTCCTAGGCCACGTCGATTTCCAGGCCAAGATGTCGGAGAAGGAGGGCCCTGTCCGAGGATGGTACTCCCTGAAAGGTCATGCCGACACCATGATCGAGGACACACCAACAGGCGAGATATACGTCGAGGCATCCTTCCAGAGGGCTGAACGCAAGCACTTTGGACCCGAAATGTTCCAGATCTTGCGGCTGATCGGGAAAGGCACCTTCGGCCAAGTATACCAGGTGCGGAAAAAGGACACGAAAAGGATTTACGCCATGAAGGTCCTGTCGAAGAAGGTCATCGTGCAGAAGAAGGAAGTTGCCCACACCGTTGGCGAACGGAACATTCTAGTGCGGACTGCTATGTCCGACTCGCCCTTCATCGTGGGACTGAAGTTCTCCTTCCAAACCCCGTCGGATCTATACCTGGTGACCGACTACATGTCCGGCGGCGAGCTTTTCTGGCATCTACAGAAAGAAGGCCGATTCGACGAGAAGAGGGCAAAGTTCTACATCGCCGAGCTTATCCTCGCCATCCAGCATCTCCATAACAACGACATTGTCTACCGCGATTTGAAGCCCGAAAACATCCTACTAGACGCAAATGGACACATTGCCCTGTGCGACTTTGGTCTGTCCAAGGCGAACCTAACCAAGAACGACACGACCAACACATTTTGCGGGACCACCGAGTACCTGGCTCCCGAAGTCCTACTCGATGAGGCCGGTTACACAAAGATGGTGGATTTCTGGTCTCTCGGAGTCCTGGTCTTTGAGATGTGTTGTGGATGGAGCCCATTCTATGCCGAGGATACACAGCAAATGTACAAGAACATTGCCTTCGGCAAGGTCAGGTTCCCTCGCGACTCGTTGTCCTTGGAAGGGAGAAATTTCGTCAAGGGGTTGCTCAACAGGAACCCGAAGCATCGGCTCGGTGCGACTGACGATGCCGAGGAGCTGAAGCGGCACGCTTTTTTCCAAGATGTCGACTGGGAGGCGCTGGCGAAGAAGCTCATCACACCGCCGTTCAAGCCCAAGTTGAAGAGTGAGACGGACGTCTCGTACTTTGATCCAGAGTTCACCAACGCCTTGAACATCAATGGGTCCCTGAACGAGCGGGCTGCTGCTCTAGCCAAGGGGTACGCAACATCGACTCCTCTCTCGCCATCTGTGCAGGCCAACTTCCAAGGCTTCACCTATGTCGACGAGAGTGCTCTTGACATTCTTGAAGACCATATGAAGGACCGGTACAGCGGCAGATACGACGACGAGGAAATGGACGACATCGACCGTAAGAAGGATGATGAATGGGATGACCTCGGAGATATCGACTCGAGAGACGCAAACCGAATGAGCGGCATCGTCAAGACGAACACCAATGACGAGCAAATGTTCGGCAACACCCATTTCGATGATGTGTAATCGCTTGAGAATCCCGTCTCTCTGCGGCCCTGCCAGCACCTCTTCTTTCAAACGACTTCTCTTGTCCCCTTATTTCCTTCTTCTTCTTCTCTCCCTATCTCTCCTCCCTCACCGCTCTGGTTCAGATGGAATAAGACAAAAAAAGGAGACCGTTTGCTTATTGACGACTTACACGCGACCATCATGGCATTCATGCATCTGGCGGTATACTTGCATTATGGTAATAGGAGGGCAGGGTACGAAAGGCTGGGCGTTCAGGGGAAGGGTCGCCGTGGAACATAACAGACTGCATCATTGCGTTGTTGTTGCTGGCAGAAATGATATGGACGAGTGCATGATCTATTTACACTGCAAAATCTCTATTCAAGCCCCTTCTGCGGTTATCCAGGAGCTGTGGTTGCCGAGGCTTGTACTTGATGCCCTGGCTTTGTAACACACGTCCTGCCATTCTTCGTCTTCCAGAAGTCGTCCCTAGTCACGGAGTCTCGCAACTCTGGGATTAATCTGCCGAATCGCCACGCTTGGTCCTAGAGTTTCTCGTAAGCTGTCAGGATGAGGCGCGCTTTGGTCCATGTACTTACAGAGACAAATACGATAAACCAAGACGTAGAATGCAATAATATCTAATGCAAGCAAACAAACGAGCGGTGCGTATGGTTGGTGTAATACCCGTGTAGGGCAAGGCTTTCTTCCACAACGGTATCGGGATCGAAGCAACCAAGAAATTGACTTCGAACAGGATCTGCCCACCTCTCCACATATCCGATCGGGCACAGAGGCTTTCCAGGTGGGTAAGGCGATGCCATCAGACATTATCTCCCGGCTCTGATATGCATTGCTTGCTATCCAGAACAAGCATCGACTAACTACCTTCTCTTACACTGTCGGGCCCAAGAGCTGGATGGGACAAAGCGGCAGCGGGAAGAGCTAGAAGAGCACACGGGGAGGCAGGCTTGAAAATTGGCATTTGCTCACCAGCCATTCCGTTCGTCGGCCGTGAACTGCTTGGAGACGGGCTCTTCCAGACAAATGCGTTGACCCGGAATGGGAACTGGGGATGACTACAAAACCAAGACTCGGGGGGGGGGGGGGGGGGGGACGTGGGTGGGGGGGGGTAAGATGCCCCCCCCTAAGGTGGGACGCCCGGGCGGGCAAAATTCAACTGGGCCAGGATGGGGGGGGGTTGGGACCCC